CAGAAAAAAAAGAAAAAAAAGGAGCCACAAGTCGTTTAACATTATAAACCCAAAGTCGTTTACAAGTACTCTAATGAACATGATGTGATGATGATTATGATTGAAGAGAGTTGATCTTAAACATAACAAACGGATACTGGTGTATCGACCGTACAGCTAGAAGCCAGGGTTCATACTGTTTCGGCTGATCCAATGGTTCAGGAGTCCTCGTCTGCTTCGGATTCGGTGATGTCAGAGGGGTCGCGGGCATCGACTGCTGAAACTCAAGTCAAGAGCGATGATGACATCCAGTTCAAGAAAAACCCAAAGGTTAACAGAGGTTTGCTAGCATTACTTGATGACGCATTTAAATATTCGGCTTATGACGAATATTCGATGCCCGATGGCTTCTTGAGAACCAAAAAACGAGCTGCAGCGAGCCAGAATTTAGAGAATCATGTTACACAAGACTTAGATGCAGTTGATTCTCACGAAACGGTGCTAGCTAGTCGAGATGGGTATGTCAGCTCCGCCTCAAAAAGCGTTACTCCACTGGATTTCAGTGGGACTCTTGAATCTCGCAGAAGCTCAAGAACTATCGTTAAAGCATCGCCTGATGACGAAATGGACCAGCGACCACAATCCAAAGGCCCTTCGAACTCTGTGAAAGTACATACCTCGTCCAAAGTTTCCATTCACAAGAGTAGGAGTCCAATCGTGAAGCCTACGAGAAAATCGGCAAAGGCCAGGACATCATCAAAGAGAAGTGTTGGTCGTCCCAAGAAAGTACCCAACTACAAAGACTCATTTGTGGGCGATTGGGCCTCTGCATTCACCACGTTGCCGGAACTTTTTGATCTGCAAGAGTGTCACGAACCCACTGCTTTTTTATCAGAGCTTGTACATTCCTGCCGCGTAACGCTGCGAAGAAGCGAACAAGACAAGGTTGTAACGTTACGGTACATTTTGTATCCAGAATTTGAGGAAAAGTTTGTGATCAACTTTTCGTCAGATCTCTCCAAGTACAATCCAATGAGCGAGGTTGGTCGTATTGTAGAGTTCACCGGACTCGTTTATGTACCCGCGAAATACAGCTCGCAAATGAAATCTCAGATAATAACGCCTTTGAACAAGGCATTTGATCAAGAGAATGAAAGTGACTTTATTAGTGTAGTGAATCGGTACAACGATTTCATCAAGGCTATTCCGAGGCACGAAGTCATACAGCACTTGAAATCACTTGACAAAATCCCCACTGAGTTGCTGCACAGTATTCTGCACATGATATATGTCAGAACAATTCACCCCAACGCAAGCTCCCTCAAAAAATACCAGGCCTTCAGTAACTACGTTTATGGTGAACTTTTACCGCGATTCTTGACAAACGCTTACAAGCAATGCGATCTCAAGCCAGACCACATATTCATGGATTTAGGTTCCGGAGTTGGGAACTGCGTTTTCCAAGCGGCTGCAGAATTCGGATGTAAGCTGAGTTTCGGCTGTGAGTTGATGGCACATGCGAGCACGCTGACTGAAGCACAGACCAAAGAATTCAAGAATCGATTTCGGCTATATGGGCTCAAAGTTGGAGCAACCCAGTTTTCTTTAAGGAAAAGTTTCATTGAGAACCCGGCTGTGCAGGAATTATTGCCGCAATGCGATGTCCTGCTAGTCAATAATTTCATATTTGACGCGCAGCTTAATGACCTGGTAAGAAAGCTGATCCAGCCTTTAAAGGTAGGTTGTAAAATCATCACGCTAAGAAACTTGAGGCCACTGGGATACACAATGGATTGCAGTAACGCAGACAGCATTTTGAACAGGCTAAAAGTGGAGAAATTCGATCTGGCAGAGGATAGCGTTTCGTGGACACATCGAGGCGGGGAATACTATGTCTCAACTGTGCTGGAGGATATCGACGAATCCATATTTCTGATGCACTCCAAAGGTCGCGTGAGGGCCAGAGCGCCAATAAAGTACACACGGTGATCGTGCCTGGGGCAACTACAAATGATTATTTGAGATGTTAAGACTTTCGCTACAAAGAATGCAAAGATAATACATGTAAGTACAACAACGGAGAAAAGTTCAGATTTGAGACGTCTGAAGACGCCCTTGTATGCGTGTATAGAATGAAAGGAGGAGAATAAGGACAACGCGGGGAGCACGGTCCTACCAAAAAAAAAAAAAAAAAAAAGGAAGGAGAANAAAAAAAAAAAAAAAAGAAAGGAAGGAGAATAAGAGAACCAGCGTGGGGATGCGAGACCCTGCAAAAAAGTATATCTTGTTCTTAGGCGCGAGTTGTTTGTTATTGTTCTAGGTTGGCTGGGAGGAAGAAGGGTTTACGTTCACTGCAAGGCGTGTTCCTGGCCGGTCAGCAGCGTGAACACAGGCGCCTGCAGTCTTTCACGGCCCTTGAGGAAATCGAGCTCCATAAAAAACGAAAACTCCAAGATGTTGGCACCCAATTTCTCGACCAATTCACCGGCTGCCAACGCAGAGCCACCGGTTGCGATGATATCGTCCATAATCACAACGTTGGATCCCTCGGGAATTGACTCGATCTGGATGTCGAACACGTCTTCACCGTACTCTTTGGTGTAAGTTGCGTGTACACATTCGCCGGGCAGCTTGCCGTGTTTTCTGACAGGTACGAAACCTGCACCAATCTCCAAAGCCACTGCAGGAGCAAACAAAAACCCACGAGCTTCCAAAGCCACAATATAGTCGATTTTGGTGTCCCTAAACTTGCTTTCAAAGTGCTGTTTGAAAGCTTGCACCATCTTACCAAACAGCTGAGGTGACCTGAAAATTGGCAGGAAATCTTCGAAAAGAATGCCCTTGCTGGGGAAGTTTGGGTATTGGTGAAGAGCGGATCTCAGCTCCTGGGCTAGAGATTCCATCGACATTTCAAGATTCTAACGCTATTCGATGAAGTTATTCGAATTCTTGTTGAATTGTTCAAGTTTTCCAAAAATTTTCAAGATTTTTCAACTATAGCTCATCGCATTAAATTTGACCTGAAATAGTTCAGATCGGCGATGAGCTGAACTTTCAATATATAAAATAAGGTCCAACAAAGGAACAAAGAGGTGATAGCTGCGATTGTAGTATCAGTTGAAGGTGTGTGTTGTGCCGGGAAATAAGGGTATTTCTTTCAGGGGAGTAAAGACGTCTCTTTGTGGGAATTGAAGGTCTATCTTTCTGGGAATTGACGGTCTGTCTTCCTGGAACAAATCCCGAGAGAAAATCAAAAAAACGGCTTCAAAAGCTGGATAATTAGACTCTTGTGAACTTATGAACCGTACACCACCGTATAAGGTTTCTTTAAGGGCACAAGATCTACGGGGTTTTGAACTTTTAAACAGTCTGTGCGCCGTGGAAAAGTATGGCGAGTTATTGTCGTATTTGGAAGCCCAGCTGCGACGGGGCTGGCTGCTCGATAAATTGTTTGTGGTGCCACCTGCAGACGTCTTGATTGTGTTGATGACGCTCGCTGTGATACCGCATTCTGGAAACAGCGAGCGGGAGGTCAAAATGGACCCCTGCAGCGTTATAAAGACGTCCATTAGTACCCGCAGCTTGAAAATCCTGACCCATTACGTCGACATTTTGCACAGTTTCGAGCCAGATGTTATGTTAGACCACAGTGTCGAATTACTGCGTTGCCAGTTTTTCATCGTGTTGGACCATTTTAAAATTCCCAAATCGCATGCTTTGTCCGAGGGGTACAGGGACTCTCAAAAACGCAGGAAAACCAATCCGAGTATTCGTCTTGAAGACACCCCATACTTTGGTACGATCAAGGCCGCTATTCCCGGCTATAGCAACCCATATGGCACGTATGTGAGCGTATTAGAGCACTCACCTCTAGTTTTCAAAAATATAGTCCTAACAACGGTGTTGGCGCATGAAGGTGAATTTTGGAACAGTGTGACTTGGACACTTTTTTGCTCAATATCTGAAGATCCACATCTTTTCGAAAGAAGCAAAAAGTGGGTCCGATTATTTTGTCTGCTCTTTGATTTGTTCGAGCTGCAAAGTGTTTATTTCGAAGAGCTAATCGTCCCAGGAAGTCATTTGCTATTCGATCTTTTCCGCTCCCTAAGCTCAAGTGACACATATTCTGCGCTTTGCGACATTCTTTTGCTGGGATTTGAGTGCTTTACAGCTGGTGACGTCAATGTCCATGCAGTTTATGGAAAGGAAAAATATACGCCTGCTACATTTGTGCCTCGGACAGTCACCGACCAGTCTTCAAGATTTGTGGAGTCTATGGCCTTCCGTCACCGTCTGCTTCGCTCATTCACCAGGTTGCTCGACTCAAGGGGTGCGGAAATGCAGAGCACATGTCAGGTTTTTTCAGAAGCTCGATTCGTCACAACACTGTCAAGACATCTCAGCCGGATTAAGAATCTTGAGCATCTAAAGCAGTTCTTCTGCGTTGCAGATTTAAGGTCCTTTTTTGCCATTATGCCTCACATTGCACAAGCTACTCTCAACGAGTATCTCGCTGACTTAGAGCAGCATCGCCAAATTTCTCTAGTTGAAAATTTGGGCGGCGATGACACAATGATAGACGACCTCATCGAATTATTTGTACCAGGTTTCCCGTTTCTGGATGAACAGACGGATCAACCGCTTACAACCACCTACATGCTGATTGAAAAGTGCGATATATGTCTGCTTGTAGTTTTGCGGTACTGGGAACATGTTCATAAATCAAGTCGCATAAGGACTAGGAAAGGTTTCCCACATCTTTTAGATACCATCCGTCTTAATGATCAAAGAAGAATAGAAACTACGAGAATTATGAACTGCGATGATATAACAATACCTCCGCTTTTGCCCAACTTTGAAAAGCTTTTTGGTCTATGAACTACTGAAGAATTGATTCTCCTAGATTGCCTCCGGAACTCTAAGATGCACGACGGCATTGAGCATTTTTTTTACCGCAACAACGTGCCAAGGAACGAAAGAGTACTCAGTCTCTGAAATGCCAAACCAAGTATTGAGCGAGGCAAGATTCCGGAATTCCTGCAAGATAATTTTCAACAGCTTTGTGCTGTCCAAGTGGGGACAATTTAGTAAATTCACTTCAAATTTGTCGAGAACATTGTGACCGCTACTAGCTTTGAACCTTACCAGTGCTCCGGTTCGAATTCCGCATCTATGTTGCGAGTTCGCCAGTTGCAGTGGGTTTTGGAACAGAATTCCGTGAACTTCATTTCGAATGTCGACAATTTCGTAATTGTCTAGGTTTGTCGTGTCGATAGTTTGGGATAGTTTCTCATTTTCAAGTATTGGTTTGAAAGATGGATACAACCTGTCCTCATCGTATAGTGAAAGCTTGGTATCGTCTCCAACACAAACCACTGCAAGATGCAGATTTCTAGTCGTGGACGAAAGTCGTCTCCAATGCATCAATTCATCATCCGGTAGAACACTGTCAAATCTAGAAAGAATCAGGCAGACCTTAGAGTAATTTTTGGCAACCATCTTCGAGGTGGTTTGCCACATCTGGCTACAGGCTTCCTCAAATGCAGAGTTCGAATTACCGATGTACCAGGTCTTAACACCACTTTCAGAGCCACTAGAATTCGACCAAGCCGCGCACATCCAATTTCGGTCTATACTTCTAGCGTACGCTAGATGGATGTAGACGTCAAAGTGCGATATTTGTCCATTGGACTGCTGGCCCACACGAAATTCGATTTTTTTGGGGATTTCCTCTGCTATAGCGGAGAACTTCGTGTTTTTGGGAGGAACGCTGTTATAGATTCCAACACAAAGGTTGTAATATTCATCGACAGATACCAGAGGATTCTTCAAAAAGTCCATTGGTATTATCTTCAAAAGAATGTTGACGTTCGGAAGTTTGGATGTAACTTCTTTTGCAAGAAAGTCGAACTTGCGCGTCATTGTCACAACATCCGCCATGGACTTACCTGATAAAGGTAAGAGTATCAGTAACGGAACGGGCATTTTGTTGATAGTATTCGTCGAACAGTAGGAGACGATCTGAGCGGAGAGAAGCAACAGCGTGTCTTTTTCGAAGTTAATAAGGTAAATCAAGCCTGGCGTGTCAGCGAACGTGAGTTTTACTAACTCACAAAAACCTAATTCCTCACTTGAGTAGGTTTGGGACATTGTGGACAGAAAGTCTAGACAGTCATCTTTTAAATCAGTAGTTAAGAAGAGCGCCTTAAAATTCTTGGGTCCTCTATATGGCCTCAACCGCAAATGGGGTGAGAATAATTCTACGTCAGCCTTCATTTTAATCACTTCATCTGCCTTTTTTAGATGCACGGCAGGCTGTGGAATGTAGTTTATCTCTTCAACAATCTCTCCACCATTTAACCTCTCGAATTTTGAGAAAACGTTTTTCATAGTTCTTTTTATGGCGCCATCAGAACAGTCTTTGAACTTACTGTAAGCGGTGGGCCCTGAATTAATGCCATTCAAAAGGCCACTGTCAAAAACAATTTGATCGGTGAGTAGATCCAGCAAAGGATTGATGTTTTCCCTCATGGGAAGCACAGGATTTCTGTGAAAAAAGACAGAAGGCATTGAAAACAGAGGCATATGTCTCAAGAGGAAGGGCAAGCTATTGGGTGTTTCAGGAGCAGCGGGTGATTCATTGTAAAGCGCTTCGCCGTTTTCTTTATGTTCCGAGCCATCTGCGCTTATATCAGTCAAGTAATTTGTCGCTGGAGATTTGCTAGACTTTTCAGAGAATGGCGTCACAGTTGTCAGCTTGAGTAAATCATCAGTATCATAAGCGCTAGTAAATTGACCCATCTTTGTGCCACCTAACGACAGATGACTTCTTTGCGGACTGAAGTTTTCAAATGCACCGCTCTTAGGATACTTCCAAGTATCAGAGCTGCTGGAAAGTATATCTTGTCCATCGCCGGTATCATTTTCAGATCGCTGAAGGACTGCTGAGTCTTTGAAAACGTCAGATTGTGAGATTTCCATTGTAGTTGGAGGTTGAGTCTCGACCGGAAAATTTATAATTGCACGATGTTCCTCCGCCGCTGGAGGAGCAGCGTTGATGAGATCACCATACTCTTCAATTTCACTACCAGAGTCATCGTCCTCGGAACTGGAAATGTTAGCCGTGGAAACATCGAATTTAAGTGATTCTTCGACCTTCGATCCGTCCAATGAGAACTTACCCCCATTCTTGTATTTGTTATCAACATTTGATTCAATGATTGGATTGAAGTTTAGAGGAGCAAACACACTCTTCTTGCGGTCCTTCGGGGTCTCCACTGGTAGTGGTGCCCCAGGATCCGTATACAGCGGCGTTGTTGGAAGAGTGATTTCATCAAGCGGTATATCCAGATACTTCCGCTTGAACGGTGATTCTCCAATGTTAAAAGGGGAAGGATCTTTCAGATTAGCTGTTTTTTCTTTCGATTGATCACTATCGTCTGCTAGATCGAACATTTCATCAGTAATTTCCTTTATGTGATGACCCGCATCAATACCAGTAGGGGGGGAGTTTGTCTTTTGGTTATCGTCTTCATTATCATCATCATTAAGGTCTCCAAAAAGCTCCACCTCTAAATCGGCGTCTTCCTCGGATCGAGATATTGAGGAGGTTGACTTATCGTCATTTGACGCTCCTGGCATGCCAAAATTTTTATCATTCGCTCTAACTTCTTTATCCCACTGACCCGTAGTCAGTTTGCGAGGAGAATCACTCATGTCGATGTCATCATTCATCGCATCAATATTCTCGTTCACATTGGGAGTTGTCAAAAAGCCGAAACTCATGTTCTCAACTGACTGTGGAGCAGACCTCGAGTTAACTGGAGTGACGTTCGTGAGCGACATATTCGGAGACTGTCTGGAAGTCGCAGGATTGTTGAAAATGCCCAGCGCTGCTAAGCTCCCACTCTGAGTGTGTTTATGAAATGTGGGGTATTGATCAGGATACATTCCGCCAGTACTCAATGCATTGTTAGCGGTTATGATGCCAGATCCCGGTCCTCCTGAGGTGCTTCCGGGTGTCTTGAACGCAGAGGTGAGTTTCAGTTGAATAAAGTCATCGATCAAGTCAAACGTGTGCTGCAAATCTGGCTGGAATGTGGGCTTTTGTTGAAGAGACAGTGGATTTAGGCAACTCTGGGCAAAGCACAATTCCAATGGCCATATAGCTGTTTTCGTTATTTTAGGAACATCCAGGTAGCTGGCGATACATGGTGTATACCCATTTAGATGATCCAAATTGGGCGATATCCGGACCCATGTCAAATCTGTCTTTTTCGTGAGATCAATCCCGTGCGAAACCAACAGTGTTATGAGTAAAACGGATGCATTTCGCGGAGCTGGCGAGATGCAGTTTTTTATGTCGGAAGAAGCCAAATATGCTCTTATCCCGGATGGTGCCAAATAGATAGCGTGTGTTTTAAGGTAGGATTCGGTGACGTTCGATATGTCCAGTGGATGTAGACGCATTTCTTTACTGCACACCGAGACACACAGATCGCCATTGTCAAAAAGCTGCGGCTCGAAATGCACGATTTTGTTGGATACGGTAGCCTTGTTACTCTTGAGCAGGCACGAATTGCCGAAAGGAACCATATGTTGTTTCGATTCTGCACATAAATTTATGTGGATCATTCGTCGCAGCGCCTTCAAAAAGACAGCGTATGCGGTGGGCAGATTGGGCTTGGAATAATCTGGAGTAAAATGACCGCTTTTCTCGGGAGTTGGAGCAGTTCCCAAATGTTTCAGCTCTAGGCTAGGAATTGGGTCATTATTGATGCTAAAACACCACAGTTCACGAGAAAACAGAGACGTTAATACTTTTGAGTTTTGTTTCCTCAATGCTAGTTCTGCCTGAATGCTCCATTGGGCGTCAGCTTTGCAGGGTATATATTGAACGTAATTGATTTGTTCAACTGTCTCCAGCCTGTAGAGACTTGTCAAAAGCTCTTCTAATCGATACGGCAGTTCTGTATGCTCCATTCTACTGAAAGTATCTGAATACCGTGCTCTTTATATACTTAATTGGCCAGTTCTCAACCTGAGTACAAGCTCTTGTGGTTGGGTTTGACATCCAACTCTTTTGATTCTATCAATGAGTTGATATATTCATATCTTCAAGTTATTAATCTTGGCTAATGTCATTGTACTCTAAGGCATCGCTAAAAAAAACAAACTCACAAGCTTCCATGACTAAGAGCCAAGATGAAGGTTCCCTACTAGTTGATGACTCGCTAGTACTTGGACTGGGAGAACTAGCTCGTTACCGGATAACCGTTGATCAGGATTGTAAAGAATTGGCGAATTTAGTGGAGAACTCGCAGCTTTACTTGACATTTAAAAATACAGAAAGCGCACTTTTGAGACCTATCTACTTGACAGGACCGTATTCGTTCTACGTGGATTTACAACCGTACAACTACGATGAGTCAAAACCTTTCGATGAAGACGTGCAATTTTGTGATGATGTCAAGCCCAATGACATTTTTAGGGCTGTACTCAAAATTAATGAAAACTCTCGTATAGGCGAAACCAGCAAATATAGCTGGCACATCAACATTTCGTCACAGCTTTCAGTCACCAAGATCCCAACTTTGGGGTTCAGAGTGTGCATAAGTACCCAAAAGTTTCGCGAAATGCCGCATCTGCAAATTTCGTCTGTCAAGGGCTTTTCGTGCGAGAAATGGGACACCAATCAGCTATGGAATTTACCCCCACGCTTCCCAGATTTGCCCTTGCATCTGGTATTCCTCACTCATGGTATTTTCTCAAACGTCGGCTGCGATATGATCTACTTAAAGGACAAAATCGAGCAGATCTCGATGGGCTCGAGCCGATCTTCAGTATCTAATGTAGTTGTAAGAGGATTCAGGGGCAACCAGGGACGATCTTCAAAGGGAATCAAAGCAAACGGAATAAGAATGGGAAGGTTTGTCATTGAAACCATTGACGAATTGCGGAGAGATTTTAAGTTGAAGTACATATCGTTTGTGGGCCATTCTCTGGGCGGTCCTACACAGTCCATGGCGCTAAGGTACGTGTGTCTAGAACGACCCGATATTTTTGACCCTAAGGAGGGTCTAGAGCCAATGCACTTCATCACTTTGGCAAGCCCTTATTTAGGCGTTGCCGGCGAAGTGCCACCTTTTGTCACATTGGCTCTCGATATGGGCGTTCTGGGTCAGACCGGGGCAGATTTGAACCTTAACAGAACCTTTTTCATGTCGAAAACGGGACTAGTAAAGAGAGGCGATAATCTCGGCAAGTATAAGTACAGGCCTTTGCTGGAAATCATACCTTCTGATCCCGTCATTTCTTTAATTCAAAGATTCAAAAATCGAACGACCTACGCGAATGTACTCCACGATGGTATTGTGCCGTTGAGAACTGCGGCACTTCTGTACCTCGACTGGAAGGGGCTAGGGGATGTCCGTGGGGTGAGAAAAGATGGAGGAAAGGAAGATACGGGGACGCCAGAATACTCTAACAAAAATAACACAACTGGTGAGATTCCAGAAGAGAAAATGGACAAGAAATCTGCGCTGAAATATATGCTACCTCAGGCGGCTTTGAGAAGAGGTTACAAACGTTATCAGAGAACTCAAACTCGGTACCCGCGATCCGATGGCAACAAACAAGACAATTCGGACGGTGAGGAACACATAGCTCCACCTCCTACTGCCAACCCGCTTACCTCTGCCGCGAATATAGTTATTGCCCCGTTGCCTACTCAGGAATATCTTCGCAATCCGAAAGACAGAGGAGATAAAATCATTCATGATAAACTCTATTATCCTGACGAGCTTCCTCCTCCTCATTATAGCAACAGGGATCTGTTTAAAAAGATCATCTACCCCAATGATCGGATATACAGGGTGCAGGAAAGGATAGCTAGGCAATGGCAAGAGACTTCTACCTGGAGAAAAGTGTTGGTAAGTTTGGAGCCGGACTCCCACAACAACATTGTTGTTCGCCGTAAGTTTGTGAATGCATTTGGGTGGGTGGTAGTCGATCATCTTACGAAGAGCCATTTTGGCTCTGAGAGTCATTCGAAGGGTGACATAGAAAAGAACTAGTCTGTGGAAACTAACTCTTCATGGAAGAAAACATAAGCGTGCTGCAATATTCGCTAACATTTCAATAATATCATAATACTGCCAAAATGGTGGATGCTCTAATCTTATGTTTGATATGCTTTTGCTAGCGCAAAGGGTTTTTCATTCATCGCTTTCGTCAAGCGGATCTATCTTGAATACTTTATCTGGATTGAGTAAACGCTTGGGATCTAGCGCCATCTTTAGCTTCCGCATCATCGAAATGGTGTCTTTTCCAAGCTCTGTTTCCAAAAGAGCCCTCTTGCCACTACCGATTCCGTGTTCACCTGAGCAAGTTCCTTCGTTAGCGATAGCAAGTTTGGCCATTCTGTCAACGGCCTCTTTGCACAGCTCGTACTGGTCCGGCGTGTAAAAAATATCGTAGTGAAGGTTGGCATCGCCGTGTCCCAGCACCATATGCTGCATGGGGTATTCTTTCATCATTTCGTTTAGCTCCTCCAAAGTTGATGCTAACTTCGACAGTGGCACCGCACAGTCCGTGATCCACATTTTGGCATCAGGACTGATTTCATTAAAGGCATAATCGAGCATCATATATAAGGCATTTTTTCTTGCTGAAAACAATTCATCGGCTTCTTCAGACGTTTTGGCAAATTCGAACATTACGCACCTGTTAGCACGGGAAATAGATTTGATTTCCTTAATGTACTCTCCAACAACGGTTTTGTTTAAGCCACCTATTTTGATAACCAAGGTTGGCATGTTCTCGTACTTTCGTGTCACCAAGTCACTATAATTGACGCACTTCATCATGTCTGAGTCTAAGAGCTCCACTGCATTCAGCGGAATGCCAGTTTTGAAGAAAGAAGCCATTGATTTGGTGCAATTATTGACAGAAGGAAACTGAACCACCGCCACAGTTTCATAGGCGGGTCTTACTTGCAATTTCACGATAACCTCGGTTACGATAGCGAGAGTACCTTCGCTTCCGACCAAAAGTCCTGTCAAATTGTAACCCGCGCTCGATTTTCTCGGCCTGTGCTTTGTCTTGATAACTGTACCATCGGCTAGAACAGCCCTTATAGAAATGACATTCGACGCCATAGAGCCATACCGCGTAGCACTGACTCCGGAAGCGTTGGTGCTCACCATTCCACAAACGTGAGCACCAGGACCACAGTCACAACCAAGCATCAGGTTTTGCATTCCTTCGTGGTTCGATAGATATTCGTTGAGATCCTGCCACCCAACACCGGCCTGTACGACTGCGTCAAGGTCATCGACGTTCACTTGCAAGATTTTATTCATTTTTGAAGTGTTTAGTACGATCCCTGGCCTTGTAGAGTAAGTGTGTCCTTCCAGTGCGGTCCCACCGGAATACGGTACTACTGGAATGCTGTACTTATTCACCACTTTCATAACTTTAGCTACCTGTTCCGTCGATGTTGGATAAACGACGTACTTGGGTCTTTGATGCGGCAGTGGTTTTGCCGGGTTGAATCCATTATCGGTATGATGGTTCAGCTCAACATCCGAATCCTTGACTGCATCTTCTCCCAGTATTTGTTTAATTTCTTCAGCGCACTTCTTCAAGTCATCGTCATTTCCATACTGTGGTGGTCCTAGATCCTCTAGAGCAGTGATCGAAGAAAGAGGAAAGGTCTGCTTTGAGTTTTCCGCGAGTTGTTGCGCTATGTAAAGTCCAAGCGACACACCTATTGCCAGAGAAAAGGCGGTGATTACCCCATTACGAACATAGGTCGTTCTGTTCTTCAATCGTGCAGAAGGGCTCAAGAAACGCACAGAAAGAACTTGTTTCGACGATAACAATGGTGTGGGTCTCACCAAAGTTCGTAATAGCGGTCTGAACAGCATTAGGGTTGAATCCTAGCTGGTGTTGATCCGATGCTCGCTACTCAAAGAGCTCGAGCAGCGATAGTCCATTGTTGACCAAATAACCACTACTATTCTTTATATCTACGAAAGAAAAGGAAGCCACACTTCTTATTCGATAATCAACGGTGTCTATAATTTCACAGATCTTATCGGCGAACACAGATCGGTGTACACGACGGTCAGTGAATATCGATGTCAGTGATAAGCTCTGATGATGACTGACGGTCAAGCTTGAAGTTGTTTTTTGACAAGTGAAAGATCAACGCTTCAAAATAGGAGAGTGTCAATTTGCCCTCGGTGAACACAGTTGCGCGATCAGGAGTGATGCAAGGCTACCGGACTTCGTGTTTTACCGATCAGAAGCCCGCTGTTGAGTTTAAAGATCACTTTTTAGCATACTGTCAGGACCATCACTCTGTACTAATGTGACATCTGGATTTTCCATCGACGTTCATCTATTAGTGATTAGAATCTTACCCTTCACAATTGCGATGTCAACAATCAAACACGTTCAGAAGTTTCAAGAACTAAGCTCAGTGCCATCAAAGATGGAACGCGTCGATTCTGCAGCCGAAAACAAGCCCAAGACCTACGCAAAAGTCGAAACCGCATCGAAAACGCCCGACAAATGCTCAAATAAAATGGGAAATTGGGATAGCCGCCCAGCTCTGAAAGAAAAAGCTACAAATTTGCCGCCCAACCCAACGGAAACCAAACCAAAAGAGACCAATCGGTCTCAGACGCTCCTCCAAAACTTCCAAGCCCCTTCAAAAGATAAAATATTGGATCAGACGGAGCTAGCAAAACTGCTAGACTCAGGCGCCGAAAATCACATCAAGATCGAGGAACCCGCTGTTTCAAGCGTGGCATTGCATCCACAAACACCTGTAATTGGTGAAAAAAGAAGTCCTACAAGGTCCTGCGGGTCTCCCATTGCCAAAAGGGCTCAATTCAACATAAGCCACGACGAAACCGGCCCTGTTGTGAGTCCTAACTTGAATCTCCTGCCGCTTAACACTACCGTAGGTAATGATAATGATAGCGATTTTGACGTTACGGATCTGAAAGATCCACCCAGCCCGCTGCAATGCGCTTCCCCCTTAAAACCGGATCCGTACCAGCCGCTTCTTTTGGATCTTCATGAATCTGATCTGGAAACTGAATCTCAGTCCTACTACGATGAGGTTTTTCGCGAAGTGAAAGACGAGAGTGAAAGAGCCGCATTGGTTGAGTTCGCTAAAATGGACATCCGCACTTGGACCGCGAGTGGCGATAAGTTACAGCAAGAACAGCACGCTGTTTTGGTCAGGCTGGTCGAAGCTCGCATGCGTTTGAGCGCAAAATTCAAAGTAATCACAGATCTTGTCAATGAACGTGCTTTGGCGCTTACCGATCAAGGTCTTCTGCTCGACAGAAAGCTTAAGCGGATTCAGGACCTAGGAAAAGAGATTTTGGACATACTATGAAAAGCCAAATAAGTGGCTATGATCGAAATGATTATCTCCAACAAAGTATTGGCTGTCTTCAGTAGGCCGCAATGTTCAGCGATACAGAAATTTTTAAGTAAGTTCTTCGTATTGGTGTGATGTTATCTTAACTGTACACATTTGTTGGGGGTTTGAAAAAGAGCTATACAACGATGAATAAAACACAAAGCAGCTGACAAAAGCAAAGACGGAACAAAAACAAGGACCGGTCCAGCACCGCTTTTATCGCAATGTGAGAAAATGCTTAGGCTCTTCTTCTGAAACGTCTCTCTCTCTGAGCAGAAACGTTGGAGACGGACAAAGGCAATTTCAAGCCCAAGTTCTTGACCAAGTCGGCGGTTTGGTTGTCGACGTTCAAGACACCCTTGGAGTGAGACAAGTCCAAAGCGGAGACAGCTGGAACGTATTGATCCTTTCTCTCTCTTTCTTCTTCTTGAAGCTTGAAAGAGATACCTCTCACTGGACCCTTCTCAATTCTCTTCATCAAGTGGGTGGTGTAACCAGCAATCTTGTTTCTCAATCTTTTGGACTGGATGGTGGCGATTTCGTCACACATTCTCTTGTTGGTCTGGAAGTCCATGGTCAACTTTGGATAGTAACGCTCAATCAAAGCCTTGGAGGCACGCTTGACGGTCTTGGTTCTAACTCTACCCTGTTGGAAAAAAAGATTTGTTAGTATAAAGCGTTCCTGAACCTAATCGTGTGGAAAAACCATATGGGATGTACTATCTATCAACAGTGCTTAAACGCAGCGCGAAAGCTGGCGATGAACCATTACTTCAAACAATCGCAGAAAAAATACCATGCCTTCCGCTAGCCGAGTACCACATTTTCCACGCTTCACTGCCCTGTTCCATCATTGCACTGATTTCAATATTGGCAAATATGCCGGATTATCAACTTGTTCTACCGTCTGTCATCCACTGGATAAATATTCAACATTCCCATAGGCTCCATCCTTATTTCCGCACCCTTCAACGTACCATTTTGTCTTATTGCTGGTCTTAGCTGTCTGATGCTAGAGAAATCGTCAAATTTACCAACTTCAAGGTTTTTCCAGTAATTACTGATGCCAAAAGTTCCTAGGTGCTAACCCTGTGTGAACCGGGAACCCGTGAGCAGTCTGTCAGTGGGAGTGTCTGGGCACTGCTAGACAGGGACCTTCCAGATCCAGGCTCTCCTACACGGAGGACATAGTTGGTGGGAGCCTAGGGCTAGACAGACAACGCTGTTCCGGCGAGCCTAAGAAGCTGCCCGGCGCCCGAAGGGACAGTTGCTGAACTCCCGGCTCGTGAATTACAAGCGACGCAAGTTTTTCTGTCTTGAAAAATTAACAATTTTTTCAGAAAAATACAAAATGTACGGATGTTATATCACTAGCTGATGACTGCTCTCGAAAGAGGAAATTTAACGTATGTTAAGATATCGTGGAAGTGATTTCGAAGGTTGCAAAGGTACGGGCATGCCAACAATGAAAGGTGTTCGATAATAAAGATTCATGCGGGGGTGAGTCTACCGATGATTTTCTGATATAACAACTTTGAATCCTCATTCAAAAAAGCCGAGAACAAATGGTGGTCGCCTGTAGATGCTCACATAAACAAGGGTGCTCATGAGGCCCCACGATGGCCTCATGAGTAAAGATGGTTTTGTGGAACTGTGGAGATTCTAAATGCAGAAACTTATTCGAGTCTGATCAGTTGAAATTCCATAAACAGCTGTCTTGAAGAAAGAAAGAACTCGAGTGAACAAGATGTACTGTCGATGTCTTGCTACTGAAACCAATCTTCCAGGAATTTAAGGAAATATTCAGAAGCTTTCAAGACTGTTGACCATCCGGCCTTGACACTTTAGTGATTCCCGATGACTCAATGGGTACTCCAGCTAGATACGTCGTCGATAGTGATAATGTGTAAGTTATATGTAAATGAAAGTTGACATAGTCATCATAAAGTCGAATTCCAAAAGCAGAACTCAAAATCCGTACTCCATAGTGTCTTGGGGCGGTCTGGGGAAATAACATTGCCAATCATTTATTGAACGAGCAAGGCTTCACCGAGATTCTTTTTTTTTGGTTCGAATCCGGGTTCGTTACAAGTGTTTTTGAGTGCTTTCAATAGTGATCAACACATCGGGAATATTTCTTTAGTCACACCGATATCGAGCTGTTCTGCAAGCCTTGATGTCCAATAAATTTCACTGCGATATCTGCTCTGCCGATTGTACTAATAGGGTCAGAATATCGTGTGCAGAATGTCCAGAATATGATCTGTGTGTACCATGTTTCTCGCAGGGCTCGTACAGTGGCAACCATAGACCAGACCATGACTACCGAATTATAGAAACAAATTCTTACCCCATCTTGTCGGCAGACTGGGGTGCAGATGAAGAAGTGGCGCTTATAAAGGGATCACAGACTTTGGGCCTAGGTAACTGGCAAGATGTTGCCGATCACATAGGCAGCAGATCAAAGGAGGAAGTGGAAGAGCATTACATTAGTTACTATTTGAACAGCCCGCATTATCCCATACCAGACATTACCAAAACGATCGACATTTCTCAAGAACAGTTTCTTTCCAACCGCAGACAGAGGATTGAAAAGTTCCGTGAACAGCCATTGGAGCCTCCACGCAAACCGATGGCTTCGGTCCCTAGCTGTCACGAAGTACAGGGGTTTATGCCCGGAAGATTAGAGTTCGAAAGCGAATTTGAAAATGAGGCCGAGGGACCAGTGAAAGACATGGTATTCGAACCAGACGATCAGCCTCTCGATATCGAAGTCAAGCTGGTGATCCTGGACATTTATAATTCTAGGCTCACAACTCGGGCTGAAAAGAAGCGCTTATTGTTCGAAAATGGGTTAATGGAATATCGGAAACTTCAGGGTATTGATAAGAAAAGAAGCAAAGAAGCCAAAGAGCTGTACAACAATTTAAAAGCATACGCAAGCATAATGACACCTTCAGATTTCGAAGAGTTTACCAGAGACATGTTGGAAGAACTCCGATGCCGGTCAAGGATACATCAATTACAAGAATGGCGCAGTAATGGTATCACTACACTCGAGGCAGGTCTCAAGTATGAACGTGACAAGCAAGCCCGTATAATGACTTTGGAAAGATTTGGTGGCATTCACAACACAAATGGCAACGGCAATGGCCGCTATAGAGCTGCTTCCACCCAGCGTCCCAACACCGATTACGGTCAAAACAACAATGAACAAGGTCAGCGAAAGAAGACTTTAACTATAAGTGACATACAGCACGGCGCTGATTATGGCTTATTGTCTGCAGATGAACAACAACTATGCATGCAACTGAAGATCCTTCCCAAGCCATTTTTAGCAATCAAAGAAGTGATGTTTAGGGAACTTCTCAGAGCTGGAGGAAATTTGACTAAAAAGACTTGCAGAGACTTGCTCAATATTGACCCCGCCAAAGCAAACAGGATTCACGACTTCTTCCGTTCTCAACGTTGGCTATGAGTAAAAGCGTTTGGATTGGCGCGTTTACTCTCGGTCTCAAATTGTCTTATATTCACCGTAATAGTATTTGCATTACGCATATATTATTTACAACTTTTTAATGATAGCATTAATGATCTTGTATCTTGGATCGTGGTCCTCCTCCAATCTTGTCAGTATTTTATCCTGGAGGTACGCAACGAATGATGCCTTAATCTCTTTACCGATGTTTCCGGTAACCTTTCCTTTGTATGCAGTAAACTTATTGACGGATAGCTGAAGCTGATCGACATCCAATTGAGACACGCTCATGAACCTTATATTCAAAGTAATTTCCAATAGCAGGAGTTTAACGTAAACATCTGGTAGCTCTTGGTCTAGTCGAACATCATAATTGTTATTCCTCCAGAACTGAATGATGTGATTTATCAGGTAATCCCTCTTAAGATCTGAGAATTCATCAAACAGGCTGATGTAAGTCAAAGAAATCTTGAAAAGCTTGCTAACCATTGCAATACTTAGTTCATGATCCGGCTTTGACTCAGTGACTGCGTAATAACCTCTATGTGTATTCAAGAAGCTCTGTCCCAGTTTTTCCATGGCGAAATCAAAAATTGTTAGTGCGATATCGCCACGGAGGGCAGGATTTGTCTCTTCACTTCCCAACATGTCCATGTCTGCTTCGGGCAGCTCATTCAATTTGTCCTTCATGTTGTCGCCGGTTGAAGGGCCGGAGAGGCCTAGGTCATCGTCGCCCTCATCTTGTGCGACATCTGAACCCTTCCCTGCTCGCTGTTCAGCTTCTTGTCGCTGAGTTTGCATATCCAATTGCTGTTCGCGCTCATTGATCAGACCCATTACTTTGCGTCTATTGATCAATTTTGTGATAAAGTTGAGTTCGAACTTAACATATTCGTACCATAGCGTTGCAGAATCTGGATTGAAACGCAATCCTGTTTGAAAAACAGTTCTACAACTTTTGAAGTTCGCATGTGTTTCATACTCGTACTTTGCACAACTCACCCATATATCGATATTTGTTGGATGCAGTTTCAGCAGCTGGCTGTAAACGCTATGAATTCTACGGTACGAGGTCTTGTGGCCCTGAGTTTTGAGGTAGTTCAGATACAGTGACCAAAATTTCAGCTCTTTGGGAAATTTATTGCATCCTCGTTGGAAAATGAACTGAACTCGTTGCGGAATTGACCAATCCGATATGCTATTGGATTTTGAACCTTCCAGTATTCTCTGAACACGTTTTCTACGCAGTTTTTCCACGTTTAGTTCAAACTCGATATATTTTTCGTAATCTTCGATCCGGGACCCTCTAGAGTTGAGTCTATGCTCGAAATCTGTTCTCTTTTTCATAATGCTGCTGACTTCTTTCTTGGTGAAGAGACCCTTATCCACCAGATCATCGATCTCTGGAATTGCTTGCTCTAAATAATACCTAGCTTTGGAAGACATGGTGAGTACAATAGGAGAGAAAAACTTCGCGTTAGGTCTTCTTTCTCAAGCTAACTGACTCTTTAGCCTGGCTGATGTATGAGCGATGAGCTGCGATGAGCTGCTAAAAATTTTGAATATAGTTCAATATCCTTCTGAATTTTTCAAATGATCACGTGGTTCATGTAATATTCAATATAAATTTGAAAATCACGAATTATTTGAAAACTGAGCTAACAAACGTGAAACATAGCGAGTGTAAAATAGGTTTAGCATCTTCCCATACACTACCTTGAAACATAAATTATCAGGTTTCGTCAAAAAACTACACAGTTTTAGTATCACTATTAACGAATGTGTCACATCTAATTATCAAAAATTTTAATTTAAAATATTGAAAAAGTTCCAGTCCAAAAAACTGAAATGAAGACAGTACGGCGTGAACATCGTGCACCATCTAAAGGAATAAGCTTATCTGCCATTGATGTTCTCGTGTGGTAGCAGCAGACCGCTGTTGAAAGTATGTGTGCTTTTTTATCTTTATCTTCCTTTATTCAGACCGCATGTTTCGCAAACATCTGGCTAAATAGTTGTCATCGCGATCCAATGTAATACTAACATTTTCCAACAGAGCCTCCAAAAGATTAGATCGCAGTCTTCGGTAGCAGGCAAGAAGATCTTGGGAAATGCGGCTCTTCCTCCACTATTTACATTGGCAACATTGAGATCGTTCCCATCGTTAGAGCCTCTGACGTTCGTTCCAGTGCCAGCCTCTGTTTTCGATGCTCCCCTGAGAAGAGATCTGCTTTGGAAAGCCGTAGTCTATGAAAACGATAACAAACGTGTTGGCTCATCCAACCCTCCCGGCAGAAGTGAAAACGGGTACTCCAGAAGAAAACTTCTGCCCCAAAAGGGTTCCGGTAAGGCTAGAGCCGGTGATGCAAATTCTCCAACCAGACACAACGGTGCCAGAGCATTGGCCAGATCCGCACCCAACGACTACACCACCAAGCTCCCGCAAAAAGTTTACTCTCAAGCGCTACTGAACGCATTGAGTTACCAATATCGTCGTGGAAATGTGCACGTGATCGGAGGTGCTAACGCTCTATGTGAAACGGCAGAGCATGATCTCAACGAACTAGACGTGCTGCCCACATCGATACAAGAAGATGACGGAGAGCTGGTTTTTGAAAAATTCCTGCAAACTCACGGCATGGCGGGTGAGAACCTGCTGTTTATCATCAGTGCCCCCAGAGCAGGGTTGTTCCGATACTCTGATCCAGTGAAGGACGATGTCAATATAGTTCAACAGGAGTTTGTGGACGTAAACGATATCTTGAAGGCGCGTCGCGTCTTTCTAGAGCTGGAGGCGCTTGAATACCTGGCCGTAACACACACCGTATAAATTGCATCTACCACCTGTATATAGAGAAAAGCGGTAGCTCGACGGGGTGGGCATTTGGAGCCTTTACCTGTAACGCATGGAACTATTTTTTACTGTTTTGTGAAGCACTCGACAGCAAAGACAATCTTGAGATCAATGATGCAGAGAGCTTCAAGCGAAAATCGATAGAGATCCATCGAAGTTTTCACCATCGATAACCACCATCACTGCAGGCTTTATGCTCAACACCAACGCTAGCATTTGCTTGCTACCTTTTCCATCTTGCCTCAGTCTGTCATCGATAACTCTGAACAGTTATCTGTCATTTGACTATCATTATTAAGTACACCCATACATTTTTTTTAATATATTACGTTTTCAAAAATTGTTTGGTCTTTGGAAAAATTGGTATTTTCAATCTTATTTACAGACTCTCAGCGGAGGAGCCCAGTAGAGCTGGGCAGAGCTCCTTCTACACTCCACTGCTGTCCAGCCTGGATCCCGAGCGTGCACTCTAGCCCTCTGCCTACCTCTCCGTCTAGCTTTTCCTCGTGTCTCGCAGCTTCCAGTAGGGTGACGCCTCCCATGGCACGAACATGGAATCTCTACGCCTGTGGCACGGAACTGGAACTTTTGACAAAAGTTAAGCGGTGTTGAATCTACAGGTTCAACGTCAATACAGGATTAGAACCCACGTATAGCGGTAAAGATGTCTCTAGTGATCCAAGAACAAGGTTCCTTCCAACACATTTTGCGGTATGTGGACGACGAAGCGCAGTTTTACGATGTCTGAGCGCGAACAACGAGTGAAAAGAGCCAACTGGAAGAAAGTGGGGGATTAGCAACCCGAATCTGAGAGCACAAATCAGGATGTTATTTGTGGGCGAAAGTTGGAACAAAGAAACCGGTGAAACAGTGAACCCCAAAGGAGAATTTTGGCCCCACTATTATGTTATTGTGTGATTGTCCATGGTTCCTCCAATATGCGAATTATTTTGTGTTCACCCGAACTTTCCAGTTGCATGCTCTTCACCGTAGCAACCTTTTATTACCCATACTAACTATTTTACAGTTTGTTGAACACTAACGTTGATGGTAACATCAAGATCGTGTACGCGTTGACCACCATTCGTGGTGTCGGTCGTCGTTACGCTAACTTGGTTTGCAAGAAGGCCGATGTCAGCTTGCAAAAGAGAGCTGGTGAATTGACCCAGGAAGAATTGGAGAGAATTGTCCAGATCATGCAGAACCCAACCCAATACAAAGTCCCAGCCTGGTTCTTGAACCGTCAAAAGGACGTCAACGACGGTAAGGACTACCACAATTTGGCTAACAACTTGGAATCTAAGTTGAGAGACGATTTGGAAAGATTGAAGAAGATCAGAGCCCACCGTGGTATCAGACACTTCTGGGGTTTGCGTGTCAGAGGTCAACACACCAAGACCACCGGTAGAAAGAGAGCTTAAATCTCGTTTGTACATACATTTTTTGCAAATGTGTTGAAGCCCGAATATTTGATTGTATTTTAAGAGATCAATAACTGTGTTTACCTAGTTTAAACGAAACCTGAGAGTAAAGAAGGTACAACCATAAGCGTTTGTAACTTTGCCAGAGAGATTACGTTTCACGTAAACGAAATACTATGCATTTTATTACTCTTGATGGCGCATAGTTTCTCGGACACTGTGTGATTGGCGGTGCCATCTACTAATCGCTTGACGAACCACCTTTCTCCTCGACTTGAATACTCGATCATAAAAAAGACTCAAAAACTCCTAGCACAAATATGTACAAACTACCTCATTATATTTACAACCCTCAATACCTGATTGCATTTATGTCCAAACTTCGTAGTGGCGTAGCGTGGGGTTTGTGTGTAAGCCCTTTGGTGCTCGTAGGCGACCTTTTGTTATGCCCGTTGATCAGCTTATTTACTCTGTTGTTTGGAGACGTCTTTATGGGCGTCAATGTCTTGTTGTCAGTCTTCAAACGAAACGTCAGCGCTTGTCCACGTTTTGAATGTTGATTATTGTAAACCAAGGGCTTTGTGGGGGTTGAGTCGCTTTGCGGAATGACAGTGTCCAGCACTATGTTAGAAGTGTCTAAGACTGCCAGAGGAGGAGTTTTAGGATTACTGATTAGTCCAGCTGAGTTCGAACTTTTGACGCTCACCGGTGTCAACGAATTAGCAATGACCGGCGAGTGAGAATCTGCAGATTCGTCACCCTCTGTGGTATGGCCACTGCTGTTAGCAACAGTGCCGTTCCTCTCATGTCTTTTGACGCTTTGACGCTTGTTTTGGAACCAGATCTGGATTGCCTTTTCAGACATCGAGCAAGACTCCGAAAGTTGAAGACGGGTCTGCTTATCTGGGGTGGCACACCGTTCAAACTCAGATTGTAGGATATCGAGTTCACGCTTGGACGTCCTACGTCTCTTACGTCTCGCCAATGGTGCGTTGTCAATAGAGGGCTCTTTGGAAGGGAACGTTTCTTGGGAATGCGAAATAAAAGCAAAAGCCTTGCGACTATCAGACTGCGGAGTCTTCGCCATGGAACTGGGTGTTGCCATACGCTGCGATGGTGGTGAATTCTCAATCGATCCGAAACATGACTGAGCTCTTTTTAAACTGCTATCAGGTGTTGCAAGCACCTGTGATGATGTAGACCGCTGAAATGGTGCTAATTGTAGCGGTGGAAGTCTTATGACACCACTTTCTCTTGCTGTGAAAGATCCTGGCCTAATTGGAGCCAGTGGACGTATTGAAGGCGAGCAAGGCTCCGAAATCGACCGTTGACTGTCGTATTGTTGAAGAAGTGTGTTAATTCGTGGCAGCATGCTGTGGATTTTTTGGGATTCCTGGTTGCACTACAGAAAAGCGATCCGATGCACATACTGTTCATCGTTCGAACTACACATATATAGCAAGCTTGGCACAGGACTTGACAGTTCAGCGTCTCGATTGTGTGTTCATCGACTGACCACGATTTTAGCGTGGTTGATCCAAGAAGCATACAGATTGGTCGTGGCATTGCCATTTCGGGCCAAACACCCTCAATGAACGATTGAAAATTACAGACTATTTGAGTATTTGACTACATCGCCATTCTAATGCCTAGACTGCACAGATACAGCCTAGGGTTCCGTGGTCGCGTTGCGACGGGAAACTTGTGTATGTTATTCGATTACGGTAATTTATGCTCGAGAGTTAGGAATTTTTCGCGTCGACGCGACGACGCGCGCAGAGAATGGAAAAACACGCGAACCAGTATCGAAACATCTGGACCGTTTGGGAAACGTTGGGTCGATAGATGTAATTTTGGTGGAGAAAACCACTGTACGCGAAAGCCAGACTGGAGAAAGATCGGGAGTGGTTTACAGGTGCATTGTGTACGGCTGCGTCGCGGCCGTTGTGGGTGAAATTTGGAAATCACATATCCATGAGCATTACTGAATCTGAATATATGAGGTTGAGCTTATGATATGCGTGTTGGTCTAGCCAATGTGGTTTGAGATTATTTTACGATTTCGAAGGATTAAAATATAGTTTCTTCCCGAACTTGCTTCACTGGCACGCTTGAAGGATAAGTTCCCGAAAAGATGATTTGCTTCAATATTAAAAACTTTACACCCGTTTCTGCTACTGTGTTTTACCAAAGCAGCGGATAGCTTGTCCATATCGGACGACCTCGTAGCCACGACTAGTGTATCCTTAGCATGCCACTTTGTAGATGGCATCCAGAACGTAGCATTTTCTCGCCGTGCCATATAAGTACAAAATGATCCGGTTGCTGTTCTTTTTTCGAGACTTCTCAACCAGTGCAATACCTTCACCATTGCCGAATTGAAGCATGAACATCTTCATCTTGCTTTAATCATAGATATCGGCAATGACAGATTCATCCGCAGAAAGGAAAAAAATCTTGTTGTTTTCATATAGGACAAAAAATTGATCCACTATCCAAACTTCAAAATCTATACTTTAAACAGTTTTTAAGACAACATAACTCTTCTCAGCAGTTCCATCGGTCTTAAGAAGGCCATTCATCATCATATGTCAGATATTCTTCGAAATGACATCGGCATCGCACGTGACCATTAGTTATAAGGTTAATATATCACTATAATAATAATAATAGCTGGATGTATAGAACAATTTCAACTGGCAACTTCACTGAATTCATCCTGTATAGGCTACATTCAGTCCTTTGTGAAATCTAGAACGTCAATTTTGCTCGACGATCTGGGGCTGGAGAGTGTGAGGACTATCTCACGGCGTGGAAGTAGCGAAATTTGGCGTCCAATAAGGGACTTTTCCTTGAGATATCATGTCCGAAAAATTCACCACACATGAAAGTCTTCGGCAAAAGTCTGGTAGACGACTGGCATTCAGATTGTTGACCAGTTTTTCGACAGCATTGCTACTGTTGCTCGTTTTTTTTCGTTTTGACAGCGTACAGTCGTGGATGCTTGACCTTGAATTTGGCTCGAAACGCATTAATACTGGAATATCGGTAGAAAACATTCCACAAACTGCTTCCATGGATCAATTGGCAGCTTTGGGACTTGATACGAAATCCGGTGTTAAAATCATACGGCTTGCCGATGGAAAAACGAAATCTCTGAAAGGAAGGTTTTTGCATATCACCGATATCCATCCTGACCCTTTTTACAAGTCAGGAACATCAGCTGAGGAGGTTTGTCATCGGGGGAAACCTAAAGATGCATCAGACACCGCAACTCGTTTTGGAGTGGCCATGAATGGATGTGACAGCTCCATGGATCTCATGAACTACACTCTCGACTGGGTAGAGAAAAATCTACGAGACAAAATCGATTTCGTGGTTTGGACAGGCGACAACATCAGACACGACAATGATCGGCGTTTTCCAAGAACCGAGTCTCAAATTTTCGATCTCAACGCAAAAGTGGCTTCAAAATTTGAAGACATGTTTCGTAACAAGGATAGCATAAATCCAAGAGATTTCGACGTGACAGTTATCCCCAGTTTGGGAAACAATGACGTTTTCCCACACAACTTATTTTCTTTGGGGCCCACACTACAAACTCGGGAGCTTAACAGCATGTGGTCCAATTTCATACCGCAAGAACAGCAACGGTCTTTCGACAGGGGGACGTCTTACTTCGTTGAAGTGATTCCTGGAAAATTAGCTGTTTTGTCAATTGAAACACTTTATCTCTATAAGGCAAATCCTTTAGTTGATACGTGCGATTCCAAAAAAGAACCCGGTTATCAACTCCTTTTATGGCTAGGCTACGTGCTTGAAGAACTGCGCAGTAGAAATATGAAAGTGTGGCTATCGGGCCACGTTCCGCCGTTACCTAAAAACTACGATGGCAATTGTTTCCACAAATTCACATTATGGACTAATGAATATCGTGACATAATAATAGGAGGGCTTTATGGACATATGAACATCGATCACTTCATTCCTTTGGACGCCAAGAAGTCTTGGAAAGCAGTTGAAAAATCTAGTGGAAAATCTATCAGGGCGAATGGTGAGGAATTTGATGACGAATATGAATCTGATGATGTACTAGATGGTGCAGTCGAAGCAAGTGATGCCAGAACTATGGGCGCCAAGCCTGTTAACAAAGTTGCATACATTGACGGTGTACGTGAAGCTTACTACGAGAAGATTGCTTCGAAAGCTGGCAGTTCGTTCTCAATAGAAAGGAAGAAAAAGAATCATAATAAAAAGCACAAGAATCGGGATAAAAGTAAGAAGCAATACAAGGGCAAGGTCGATCGCTACAGTATTGTCAATGTGGCGGGATCCGTGATACCGACGTTCAACCCGTCGTTCAGGGTTTGGGAATACAATATTAGCGGATTGGAATCTGACTATTCTGTCAGCGGGATGCCGGCACAGGGTTGGCAAAAGTTTTTTGATAATCTTGAGGTTCAAATCCTGCGAGATTTGGAAGACGAATCGAGCCTTTCAGGTTTGGCTAATACCTTATCGCGCAACCGTAAGGTCGACAAAACGATTCCACCACGAATGCCAGCGGATTTACCACTAGGACCTGCATATGTGCCTCAGTTATTCACACCAACACGATTCGTCCAGTACTACGCAGATCTCGAGGCCATTGAGCGTAAATACCAGAAAGAAGTTAAAAAGGGAGCCAGCGAAGAAGACGCTGCTGCCAAGGCCTTCGCATACAAGGTCGAATATACTTCAGACGATGCTCCATACCCAATGAAGTCACTGTTAACCGGCGATTATCTCGATTTGGCTGTGCAGCTCGCAAACAACGAGACGTTTTGGTCCAAATTCAAGGAGCGAGCGTTCCTTTCAACGGGCTACGACGATTAATTCAAAAACGGTTTGGAAGGCAAAATAAAAGTGGTTATACTGAAACTAAAAATCAAATCTGTGTCAATTTTTCTATAATCATCAATAAAGCATATACTTGATAGACCGGAACGGACGTCACAAGGTACTATTTACGGGGTCTGCTTGCAGTACGTCTATTTGTTGGCAGAGCTGAAGTATTCCTTGGAGGCGTCAACTTCAGGCTTGATGGTGGCAGCACCAGGGGTCCAGTTGCATGGCAACACGGTACCGTTCTTGTCAGTCCATTGGAAGGCTTCAACCAATCTTAGGGCTTCCTCAACGTTTCTGCCAACTGGCAAGTCGTTGATGGTGATGTGTCTCACAACACCCTTAGGGTCGATCAAGAACAAACCTCTGAGGGCAACACCGGCGTCTTCAATGAGCACACCGTAGTCCTTGGACAAGGAGTGGTTGGTGTCGGCAACCAATGGGATGTCAACTGGGCCTAGACCACCGTCCTTTCTAGCCACGTTGGTCCAGGCTAGAAGAGAGTATTCAGAGTCGGTGGAAGCGAACAAGATCTGGGCACCGATGTCCTTGAATCTCTTGGCAGCGTCAGAGAAGGCCACGATCTCGGTTGGGCACACGAAAGTGAAAGCTAGAGGGATGAAAGCCAAAACAACGTATTGGCCCTTGTATTTTTCCAACGAGACTTCGTCGAACACACCGTCGATGACGGCGGTTTTGTTGAAAGCTGGGGCTGGTTTTTGAACTTGGGCGACCATTTTTGATATAAGTGGGATGCTAAAGGAGCAATTGAGTTGTAGAAAGTGTTGTTTCTGGAGTATTAAGCACAAGACAAACAAGAACTCAAATGTGGATTAGACAAAATGGTAGGTTAATCCATCGCCCTTTTATACTTTTTTTCTAAGGGTTCCAATTTGAAGATCCAGATTTGAAGTATTACTAAAGAGCCTGCGTGTAAAGTGATTTTCTTTTGGATCACGTGATCAAATGCCAGACTTTCGAGGTCGCCTCGTATATGATGATAATGGTCTATGTCATACAAAAACACACCAATTGGCAACATTGAACAAAAATATTGTACCCAGACGACTGGCTCATGCTAGCTATATTACTGTTCCTATTTTGTGACCTGTTTTAGTCCTCTTTTGTCTCGATTTTACGGTGTGAATCAATTGGTACGTGTCCTGAAATTTTAATGACGGTTAAGGACAAAGTGATTTGCACAATTATTAAGCTCTGGGACCAGCTAGAGCATCCTACAGGGTGCGAAAAGGTCGAGAAGGTACGATTTGTAAGTGTGTGCGTGTGTGTGGTCTACGCCCAGAAAGCTTATTCATTGGAATTCTTGGCAAAACAGACAGATGATGATCAACCATTGATGATTCATTCAAAATCTAGACCCATTACGGTGGAATGATGATGACACACAGTTGAAATGGACCAGAGAGAAACATGGTTTGTAAGTCAACGGGAGAAAGCTAATCGGTCCTTAGGATCGCGGTTGTATGTGGAAGTGTGTTCGTCGGTGTCTAAACTACAGTACACACACGGCTCGTTTATGCTTCATTAATTATCATGTAGGTCGGGGTCACATGACCTGGAAGTTGGCAACGGTAAGATCAGCACAGACAGACTAAACCTGTCTCTTTTCATTTCTTGGTTCTCAATCCTGATGACTTCTTGCTGTAGAGATCAGACTGGCCTCCAAAACAGCTTGCCGTTGGAATCGAGGTACCAACACCAGAACTGAAAGCACTGCTAGTTTCACGACGTCCCCTACTGCACGTTGCACGAGTCGCCAGCCACGCACCCGGCGTTCGGCCACAGGTATCAGTCTGCGGATCAGTCCACCGTTGTAAATGTAATCCATCATGCTAGAGAACAACCGGAAAAGGTTCTTGTGCCACGGCAGACTGGACCTCTGGTACGCAAATTTCCGTAGCTCCTTCAGCACTTCTTTGCTTGCCGCATCTAACACAGACGGGTTTTGAGCGTGCTCCACAGCGTCCTTCACCAGTGGTTCGAAAAGCTCATGCAGATTCGACATATCGAGTTCATCATGTTGCGTAGACGTACATTCTTCCAAAAGCCTCGCTAAAAAGAGTATCGATGCGTCAGTGTGATCTAGCTTGAATTCATTTGCCAAGTTGACTTTCAGCTGATTGTCTGCACTCAAATGCCGACACAAAGCGCCTACCACGGGCCCCGCGGATGCAAATCGATGGTAGAAAGCTCTTGTCAATTGACGATCTGTATAAGCCTTTGTTACAAGTTCGAGCTCCTCATCGCTGATTTCACTCTCCTCTTCGCCAGATAAAAGCTCCCGCCACATCTCTCCAATCTCGGGTGTACTCCATATGGCCTTCATTATTATCAGAACTGTCCCCAAAATCAAATGCCTGGTTTTCAGTACAGAGATAAACTGGAAGAACACAAAAAAGAAAAAAACCGAGTTTCTTAGTATCAGATAAATTGTCCTCATGATGGTTTGGATCCATTGGCGCAAACGCGCTACTCTCCCCGCTTCCTCGAGCTCTTCAATACCTACCGGGTTAAGTTGGTCGGTGGCACGTATGTTTTGAAAAGCATTGGAAGTCACAGCGGCTGGAACACTTTCTGCACCCTCAGAATACTGTATTTCAATGCCGAAATTGCTAGAGATTCTTTGTAGTGCTCTATGTGATAATAAAACCGCACCTCGCAGTTCCACGAATTCCTCTGGGTACAGCTGAAGCTTTTGGCCTTCTAGTTCGATAAAGGTCTGTGTAGGTTCAAAAAAGCCAGACTGCACAAAACTTTCGTGCCCTGATATAGAAACTTTTTCAAAAAACTGACCTGTACGTTGAATTTCAGCTCCTGTTTGCGTGAAAAACTCTTGTGGTGATGAAGAAGAGATGGCATCTGCTTCAGAAAACCTGAGATCTTGGCGCTCTTGTAAGGGTATAGAAGAAGGCATCGCCCGTTCGTTTCTTACCGTCCTGGGCATAAACGAAAAGCGATCTCTACTGCTCAAAAGCTCATTCCAAAATCCTGGTCCAGGTTCAGTGTACTCTTCGTTAATCTGAACATGAATTTTGACCTCTCCACGCTCATTGAGGTAGTCCAGTGCTTTTGCTGGGTCACCCGACAAAGTGTTTTCGTGAAGCAGGTGGCCCTTATATATGAGTTTGATATCTTCACGCGCAAGCCGCAGCGTGTGACCATAAACTGAGCAGATAAAGTCCTTCAAATCCTGAACCTTGGTTTCGTTGTTAATCGTCATTGTGTCCATAGTGAGTTGAGCATCAGAAAGGAACCTTATTGTGACGTTATCTTCCAGGGCCGACTCTTGCTGAACCTGAAGCACTAAGCGGTAGTTGCTTTTGACATCGGGTGCGTAATCTACACCCAGAAAATCGCTCAACTTCATGTTGCAATTCGAATTGTCGATAGCCAAAAAGTTACGTTCGCAGCTGCTGCCATCATCTGTCGTGATACCAATGATGTTTTGTTCCGGAAGCTGTTGATCGGGGCTCGTATTATTTGAATCAGAGGTTTGATGGCTCCTCAAAATTAAAGCCGCGGTTTCTCGAATTTGGGCCAATGTTGAAGTCCATGGCACTCTCTGTTTGAGATGCGTGAGAGTTTCGCCGCTTGGAAGCCCAATTATCTCGAGTTCCAAGTTCGTAACGCTAAAGTCCTGCGTAGAGTCGTAGTCCAAGTTCAAAGCTGATCCTGTGTATTGCACACAATGTTCCATACTAAGCGTGAGAACCTGATCATTTCTCGGATCAATATTTCTCACTAGTTCCTCAGGATCCAGTGTACGGCCCTTGAATTTCATACAGAACCGTTGAACAGGTTCTATGTCGCCTCTACAATTCTGAAACGTCATCCAGTGTGTGTATTGCAGCAGACGAGCAACCGAAGATTTATGCGGCACCCTTATAGATAGGTTTCTTCGGTCAGCACCATGACCGGCATGATCTGGGGTCCGAATGTTGACGAAAATCGCAGAACCAGTAAATCCCATTTAGTACAATTTCGGGGTAACAAGACAAACGTGAGAGAAGCGGTTCTAGTTAAGGTTTTTAGAACCTGCTCATCGGTATAAGTAACAGAATAAGAGTTGAAGGTATTAAAGGTAAAAGTAGTTATATGCCAAATTTACAAGTACCTTATAAAGATCGTCACTATTTACGTTGTGTGGTGTGTGGGTTTCCTCAGGTGTCTAAGAAATACAACGGGCTCCCATATTACTAGCGATTTCGTCTTGGCCCATGATTCGGCTCTTCTCTTGGCTATATTACAAAGTTTCTCATTTCAATTGCGTTTTCCGGACCCTTTCGACACATTGTCGAGTTCAGATTGCAGCTGTTCTGCCTCGGACTCTAGAGCCTGGGTTTTGGCACGAGCCAGTTCTGCTCTCAACTTCCGCTGCTGAGTTTCTTGGTCACGACGCTCCAACTCTTGGATCCACAAATTTTCTCTTAATTTGGCCTTTTCCCGCAACTGGTCTTCTTTGGATTGACGATCTTTTTGAGATGTGCCGTATATAAAGCTACCAGCGACCAATGCAACCAACGTCGCTCCCTGTAGACCAACACGCCATCTGAAGTATTTTTGGGCCTTGCGTTTGTTGCCGGATCTGACGTTCTGTGCTGCCAAAATGACTGCTACACTTGTAGCAAGCGTACCTAATGGTACTAGTGGCTGCTGTTTGCAATGGAAAATCATTTTTTCGTAAAAAGTCATGTCGTCTACATCTTGTTCAGCACCATCAAAGCTGGATGGCAGGTGCGACATCTTATTGAGGGTATCGGAGTGTTTTCTTGGCTTGATTTTGAGTTCAGATTGTGTACTTTTTTAGACGGTTAGGCAACTTTTAAGGTTATTATATATATAATGTATATTATAAAATATGTATATGCGCATATTTATCGGTGAGTACCCTGGGTCACGTGCTTCGGTAATAGGTCGATGAGCCCATTCATCATGACTCGATGGATTGAAGAATGATTTCTTGAGTCGATGACATGGGAAAGTCGTTGAACGGTTCACGTAGAGTCTCGTTTTTGAAATTACGTGTCGTTACGTTTAACGTTAAAGAGAGCACACTTATGGGTTAAAGGGAGCACGATTATTGGCAATCTCGATAGACGGGGCTTGCACCAGAAGGCTTTGATTGGGGACGAAGTCTAGGCAACCTTTGGCATCTTTTGGTATGAACTGCGTCAATAGCCTCAGTTGGATTTCCAAACCATATTATTTCGTGACACGTGACCAAATTCACCTATGATCCAGTGTATCGTATTTCGACACATTATAAGGCCCCCTGGCCAAGCCTTGAGACTCCTAGCCTTAGTATCCTCCTGTCGGTCACATGGCTTGAATTAATCTCTTTATTATTATATGTATCTGAATACAACTCTTTCAACGCTGTGTTTTCACTCCTCGAAAACAAAATCCTTCAAATTCTGGTACGCGTCTTCTAGGACGTCGTTCACAACGATCTTGTCGTGAGCACCGGTTTCAGCGTATTCCAATTCCGCTGTTGCGGCATCGAGTCTCTTTTCGAGCGATTCTGGAGTCTCTGTGCCACGGCCGGTAAGACGATCGCGCAAACTTTCCACGGAAGGAGGAGCCACGAACACAAACCGCGCGTTGAGATCCGTTTTTTTCACAGCTTTGACACCTTGCATGTCAATGTCCAAGATGCAGCGTTTCCCGGCCCGACTCACCTCTTTTACCGATGCCACGGTTGTCCCGTAGTAGTTTCCTGAAAACTGCGCCCATTCGATGAATTTGCCGTCTTTGATCATTTGCTGGAACTGTTCCACCGTCACGAAATTGTAATGTACACCGTTCACCTCACCTTCGCGTGGTTTACGCGTTGTGGACGACACAGAAAACCCAAACGCGTTAGGAAACTCGTCAAACAATTTCTTGAGAATTGTTGACTTTCCTGTTCCACTGGGACCCGAAACAACGATTGGACGCGACATTTTATGACTCCTAGTGAACAGCAACGCACTCCTCTGGCTCGCACGACTTGTAGTGTTGAGCAATCCTGGTAATCGGCTATCAATTACACCAAAACATCTCATCAAATTGTCGGCTCTTCTCTTATATAAATATACATAGGTATTTATTATTATTATAGACATATAAATGTATATATTAATATGGTGTCTCTATTTACTGTACCTATGTGTGTGTGGTTTTTTTTTCATCATTTTTTTTCTCGCAGTTAATGAGGCCCGTTCCCGGCGTTTTCTGAGACGACACGAAATGGGAAACAATGGGGTGGAGAGACTAAACGAGACATGAACCGCTCTTGAGGGAGGGTTGCGATGCAAAAGGTGTGCACACTTGAGGTAGTGTGTGAACGCGTGTGTGAACGCGTGTGTGAAGGTGTGTGTGAAGGTGTGTATAATAAATCTCAGGACTTTTTTTTTCGTGTCGTCAGAGCAAGTCACGTGACGCTAGTATAGTATGATCGAGTTTCATGAACAATCAAATAGATCTAAATGGATTAGTTCCCGGTTTATTCTCTCTCGCATTCACGAACTGAGCTTTTCGTTTGGTTGACTTTTCATATTTTTTTTGACTCGGGAACTCTGATGATCACGTGGTTTTTGAGATCTATGATCACCATGTACGAGATCGATTTCCCTTTACCTATCAAAGATCCTAACATAATGCACCCACCACCATGACACCTTGTTTAAAGACCATCAAACGGGTTTCATCAACTCCAAATCACACTGAACCACATCCCTTGAATTATCTATCGATTAAGTGGCAGCTTCCGACTCTGTCCAATCCGCCAATCTTCCCCAGATGTCATTGAACGCGGTGCTACAAATACTAGTTCCTTTAGTATATAAGGCCACTTTCTGCTGGGCAAAAGCGGGCTCTACAGATTCTGACGACGATTTGGACGATTATATACCTAAACCAGGCTCTCCAGATGATGACGGGTCCCCAATTGGGCCAGGACCCGGAGATGATGTCAATCCCGTCACGGAAGAGATTTTTTCGTCGTGGGCACTCTTTATAATGTTGTTTCTGCTCATCTCAGCACTGTGGTCATGCTATTTTCTGGCACAGCGCCGTATCAAAGCCGTGCACGAAACGGTACTTTCGATTTTTTACGGAATGGTCGTAGGACTTATCATACGACTTTCACCAGGTCATTACATCCAGGATGCAGTGACTTTCAATTCCTCCTATTTTTTCAATATTCTACTGCCCCCAATCATCTTAAACTCCGGGTACGAGCTCAATCAAGTCAATTTCTTCAGCAACATAGTGTCGATCCTGACGTTTGCAATTCCGGGCACTTTCATCTCGGCGGTAGTTTTGGGTGCAATTCTCTATATCTGGACAGCACTGGGACTCGAAAAGGTGGATATTTCGTTTGTGGATGCTCTTTCCGTAGGGGCCACTCTTTCGGCAACGGATCCAGTAACAATTTTGTCTATCTTCAACGCCTACAAAGTGGACCCCAAACTATACACCATTATTTTCGGCGAGTCCCTTCTCAATGACGCCATTTCCATTGTCATGTTCGAAACATGCCAGAAATTCCACGGCAAGCCTGCAAAACTTTCGTCTTTATTCGAGGGTATTGGTCTCTTCCTCATGAATTTCACTGTTTCTTTGCTTATCGGCGTGATGGTTGGAGTCTTGGTGGCACTGTTACTGAAACACACTTTGATTCGTCGATATCCTCGTATTGAAAGTTGTCTTGTGTTGCTTATCGCATACGAGTCGTACTTCTTTTCCAACGGCAGCCACATGTCAGGTATTGTATCGTTGTTATTCTGCGGCATTACACTCAAACACTACGCCTATTACAACATGTCCAGAAGAACCCAGGTCACCATAAAGTATATTTTCCAGCTGCTAGCTCAGTTATCTGAGAATTTCATCTTTATTTACCTTGGGCTGTCTTTGTTCACTGAAGTTGAGTTGGTTTATAAGCCAATGCTGATCATCGTTACCGCCATTTCGATTTGTGTGGCACGCTGGTGTGCTGTTTTCCCATTGTCTAACTTTGTGAACTGGCTTTATAGAGTTACAGCCAAGAGATCAATGGGTGTTTATGGGAATGATGCTGCCATCCCAGATGAAATTCCCTATCAATATCAAATGATGACTTTCTGGGCTGGTCTCAGAGGAGCAGTAGGCGTTGCTTTGGCAATGGGTTTACAAGGAGATTTCAAATTCACGCTCTTAGCCACGGTATTGGTCGTGGTGGTCTTGACCGTAATCATCTTTGGAGGCACAACCGCAGGTATGCTTGAGGTTCTCGGGATTAAAATGGGTTGCATAGACGAAAATGACGATTCTGATGATGAATTCGACATAGAAATGCCCAAACCTGTCAACATCGCTCCTAGTCCCATACCGACCTACTCAGATGAACCACGAGATCAAGGCATCACTACTTCTCTACCCACAAGTAGAGCCGAACAATTGCAACCACCCGAAGATGTTCAGCCGTCATCTAGGATTTCTTTGGAGAGGCATCATCTCAGAGAAACCTTGGGCAATATCTTTTCAGCAGATTCTCAATGGTTCACGAATTTTGACGAACAGGTCCTAAAGCCGGTTTTTCTCGATAATGGTGCTGAAGGGTCACAGCCAAGAAACAGCGAATCAAGTACACCAAACTTTTTAGGTAGCAGAAGATAATTTTCTGCGTTAGTCTTACGTTCATTGGTCTTCAATTTATACATTAACGTTGTTCAATGCTTCATTCAATGTGTATAATTACGTAGTATGCCTATTCGTTACAAATTTCTAGCACCCACTTGCTGAGCTTGACAACGTCGTCGTCGAGATATACGTCGTTCAGCAGTTCATTGTAGTTGAGAACAACCTCTAAAAATGCATTGATCGAAAGATCGTAGAGGATTGTAACAACATCAGGAACGATAACATCCTTATTTATTTGGGAATCATTCCACTCGGCGAAAGCTCCTAGGGAGCCTACAGATCTTTCTAAGACCTTTAAAACCTCGCCGACGGAAGATACCACGGCGCCTTTGGGGTCTTCTTTTAAGGACTTTATCAGCAACGCCATCAGGGAAACTGCACACTCGGCATGGCAAACCGGCAAAGGCGCTAATTTCTCAGCTTGCATTTTTTTAGAGATTCTCCATAGTTCGAATGAAGATATCTGCGCTGTTGAATCCGAGTTTTGAACGGGGAAGAAAAAGTCGACGAAAGCCTTCCTAGACTTCTTGATGCAATCGTATAATACATTGGTAATTGTAGTTTGATGCGTGAGTATACGGTTGTTTGCCGCATTCGAAAACTGGAATGGACTGGAAAATTGTAAACTATGATTCTTGGCGAAAACGTTATTATTTTGTACCTTGATCCTGTGTGTCAATTCTGAGCTGTTAGGTTCTGGTGTACCTGGTATTCTGGATTGAGAGCTCGTGGTTATCACAAAGTCATTACCGAAAAGACCGTCTTGACCATAAGCGTCTTCCAAAAATTCTGTCTTTTCAATGCGCTTCGTTGTACGATAGTTATCTTCTTGACGCTCCAGGCCCTTCATGAAAGTTGCCACATTGACATTGGTCTCATTAATGGTGGCGATGCATTCTTTGAGGATGCTTGGCCATACATATACGTTCTTGTAGCGTGTATGATAAATTGGTAACCTTAATTGGATATCCGGAGAAGTAGCCCTGAATGAAATTTCTTGGAAAGCGGTCAATTTGGTAAAAGGTTTTTTAGAAGACAGACCCGTAACAAGAGTTTCCATCGGGGTCGAAGAAAGAGATGAAATAGGCTTTCCCTTGTGCAAACATCCAATTGATAAATATGCGCTGAAAGTCAAGTTGACAAAATCCCAAAGCGTAAAGCTCAACATAGTAGAAGCCGCGATTTTCCACAGGAAAGCCACGCTTAACCCACTCTCTTCACGAGCTAAATATAGTGTGCACAGCGGCAAAATGACGATGGCCCCGAACGTAAGCACAAGACATTTAGTGAGAGAGTTTTTCAATCTAGACCCAATATAACGTTGTGGATGCTGGTGCTGGGATCCGTACTGGAACATAAGCTTGTCAAGATCGAATGCAACATGCTGAATGGCGTACAATGATGGAGCGAGCCCCCAAATTGCAAACCGGTATGCAAACTGTTGCTGAGATCGCAGGGCGCACCCGAAAACGGCATCTTTGGCTGCCGCCGCAATGCAGACGTTACTGAGCCAGTGAACTCCGAAATACACACAGAACTTGGCCGAACACAGCTGTCCGTAGATCTGAGTGATGACGCTTGAGTAGCCCGGAGATTGGACGTGCAGGTAGTTTTTACGGGTGATCACCACCAGCAGCACGGCCAGATAGCACATCAAGCTTTTCACAAACCACACCGCCAGCTTTTGTGCCATTGTTGTTTCGGAAGAGGCTCCTATCAAAGTCAGTAACAACCCCAGAGCCAATGTCACACTGAGGAGCAACCTCATCACTAAATGGTTGAATCTTGTCTTACAAACATCGCTGAAAATCGCATGGTAGCTGTACCGGGAGTTCAATGGCACCGCAGTGTGCATGACAGTGTTGATTCCCACGACAAATACGGGTATTCAATGGTATTTTGGGATCAAATCTGACTAGCTTGCTCGAGATGTGTACTATGATATTTTTACTATTCAATTATATAGGCTAATCAATTTTTTGACAATTTTCGTGTTAAGCGATCTTTAAATTAAATGCATCAAGATTTAAGTTGACTACAACATCAACATGAATCAACAAGAATCAACAATAGGCAGGACTCATCGGTTCTTCTATTTGTAGGGTGTCAATTTGAGGAAGCCGGTGGCGATAGTTTGAGAATGGAAGTTTCGAAACTTGGAGGGTCAAATTCCGATGATATTCAAGCGAAATTGGATAAGAAACTGGGGCCCGAATACATATCAAAAAGGGTAGGATTTGGAGCAAGTCGGGTGGCTTATATCGAGGGATGGAAGGCAATCAACCTGGCAAATCAGATATTTGGGTACAATGGATGGAGTACCGAGGTCAAAACTATCACAATCGACTTTATGGACGAGAGACAGGGCAAGTTCTGCATTGGATGTACGGCCATCGTCCGGGTGACGCTCACAGACGGGACCTTCAGAGAGGACATAGGATATGGAACGGTAGAAAATGAGCGTCGAAAATCTTCGGCGTTCGAAAGAGCCAAAAAATCGGCCGTCACAGACGCTTTAAAACGTAGTCTGCGAGCGTTTGGCAACGCGTTGGGAAATTGCCTTTATGACAAGAGTTTTTTGGCCAAGATCGACACCGTGAAGTTCGATCCGCCAGATTTCGACGAAGGAAACCTTTACAGGGCCGCCGATGAAGCCAATGAGCTAGCCCGGAATCACACGGTCGAGCACGAGGGTGTTGGACCGCCTTCCAAAAAGCGCAATGTGGCTGATACAAGACCGAATTCCTCGAACGCAGGTCTTGCCTGGAAACCTGAAGTGAAGCTACCGCAGCAGCAGCAGCAGCAGCAATTACCGGACCAACCTGCACAAGCTGATCAAGACCCCGACGAATTGCTGGACGATTCGTTCATGTTTAGCGATGAGATTCAAGATGACGAGGTCGCCGCCCCGGCCAACAACAGCAACAACACCACGGTATCTGGGACCAACAGTGGACCCTCTAACTCGTCACATGCGAGGACGCTTTCCGGCGGTAATACTGCTCCTGTGGCCTTCGTCACAGCCAAAGCGGCTCCAAACGTGCAAAACCAAGTAACGGTGCCCGCTGGGGGCATGTTTGATCCCAAATTTCGCGCTCAATCGATAAAACACACTGTCGATCAAACAACATCGTCGCATATCAAAACCGCTGTCCTGAAGGACAAAGGTATACCCTACCATCGCAGCGATATATACAACCGTTTTGCCCCGAAGGGAAAAGTTCTCAGTGACGGGGACGCCACTATTACAAAAAATTCGACCGCAACGAATGACGTCAAGTCGATCCAAAATAATCACAGTGTACAAACAGCACCGTCTACCGGAGACCAGACCTCCAATGCAAATAACCGCCAGTATCCATCGGCGAATAGTGTGCGACAGCTACCACCTATTTTGACGACGCCTCTACCTCCTCAGCCACAACATCCTAATATCCAACCAGTAGGAAAACCAAAGTTTCCTCCGCCAAATACAACAAACTAGGAAAAGTTGAAGAAAATGAAATTGCTCCATCGATGCAGTGCATTTCCCGCTGAATTGTGGCTCAAGAGGAGTAATCCTAGTCTATCTATGCTGAATCAAATCATTCACATCGTCGCAGGCGCACGCTGTCACATTCGGTTCGCTTTATATCATAATATACGTGCTTTGCACATTGGGAATAAATTGTTTCGAAAATACCAGGCCCTTAAAGAAAAACTATATAAGATACACTCACTTCAGTGAAGCTGCACTTAAGGACGCTTGTCGGGTGTTTACGGACAAGTTATTGAGTCTCATCACCTAGAAAAGGTTATCTCGACTTTTGACAATTTTGGGCCTTTCTAACGCCACCATTAGAAGCAAGTTACACATTAATTTCGTCTACTAAAAGATCACTAGAAAATGGTTACTTTGACTAAACTGGAAAAGATTAGAAAAGAGGAGAAGGCCAAGGAGTTCAAGCCTTTGATCGACGATCTTATTAATTGCACCGATGAGGAATTCGTGGAAAAATTGACAAAAATCGTGGAGTGGGACAGATCAAGGGACGACCTGTACACATGGATCCCAGTGCTTAATAGAATGGATGATTTTTTGAATCGGATTTTGGATCGGTACTCATACCGGAGTAACAACCGCAAAACTGAGCCGGTGAGGTTGACTATGATGAATGATGATGATGAAAAGCTTACTAAAGAGTTACTGGGGTTCAGTTGTCGTCTGCTCAACAATAGCTGTAATCGATCACTATATTCGTCGTTGGACGTTATGAGCCACCTCTTAAACTGTCCAAACTATGGGGTCAAGCTTGGAGCCATGAAAGTGATTGCAATCATGGGGGAGCAACAGGTCGTGTCGCGGCAAAAAATCGACAACAAAAACCTGCTGGGCAATAAGGATTTGAAAAGAAAAGCTCTGGATCTAGCATTAGCACTTCCGTCCTCCACTACAGATGATAAAATGGACCATTTTGCGTTGGTAGACCTTTATTTTGATAAGAAAAAATTCCCTTCGAAGTGGTCAAAGCTCAATTTCAGTTACTACACAACATCATCTTCGTCAACATCTTCGTCATCCAAAACACATGCTGTCACTAGATTTAGCAGTGGAGCGTTAAAGCAGTTTGTCATGACGGCTGAAGAACTGTCGAGTCTGTCCTTTCAACAGCTGTTCGATAAAGGTATGGCAGAGATTCCGTCAGACAGATGGTTCGATTTTTCTTTGCATGCAACCATTGCCAAGGCTTTTTGCGACAACACTTTCGTAAGCTTGGATTTGAGGAACCTTGTCATACAAACAAAATTCAACGCCATAGCGTATATCAACGCTGTTTACATTCCTGCCCAAGTCAGTTCTCAATTGTTCGAAGTTGATCCCTACGCTTTCAACACCTTGACTGACTTCATTTCATTATCTGAGCAGAAACTACCGAAGAACTTGAGATTGGACGCGCTTTTCTGTTTAGAATGTGTGTCACTTAAACATATATGGTGCTCTGACATTGTCAGGAACTTGGGTGGGAATATGTCACACGGACTTCTGTTCCAGATTCTGAGATACATTGCGAAAATTTTGAGAGACAAAAACTATGAAGAATTGGACGAAGAGTATAACGTGAGATTCTTCTATCTGGTATCAAATTTAGCTGACGTCAAGTCTTTGCAGGACTCATTGCTCACGGCGGGCCTCATTCCAAATCTGTTAGAGGTCATTTCCATAAAGGACTCACCATTCAAACGCACCTTGGCCTCTGCGACTCACCTCTTGGAAGTTTTCATAGATGACGCCGATGCCACAACAGAATTTATTTCCAACAACGGCTTCAATATACTCATTGAATGTATCAACGAGGAAGTGTCGTTTGCATTGGAGCACCCAGAATTTGGGAAACCACCGAAATATCCAGTCGTTTATTATTCCATCTCTTTTCGGCAACTTGGGTATATCAGAAGCTTACTGAAACTTGTTTTAAAGTTGCTAAAGACAGATTCAGGAGATAGGATCAGAAATTTGATTGACTCTCCGATCCTCTTAGCTTTGAACAAGATCTTGGGCAACAGACCGGTTTTTGGTTACACCCTCGTTACGTATGCATTAGATGTCGTTCAGACGATTATTAACACTGAGCCGACCATCTACCCCATTCTAGTAGAATCAAAAACGATTCCATACATTTTTGATCATTTCCCGGATTTTCTAGGACCATCAGGAGAACTTCTCTCGCTACTTCCAGAGCTCATTTCTGCCTTGTGTTTGAATGTTGATGGTCTCAACCAAGTCAAAGAAAAAATGCTCATAGACTACTTGTTCGAAATCATGAAAAGGCCAGAACTCGCCAAGATTATGTCGTATGAAGACTCAGCGATTGATCTCGGCACGTCAATTGACGAACTTGCTAGGCATTACCCCGATTTAAAGCCAGACATTGAGATGAACTTTAACGTCACAGTTCAGACTTTGCCTGAAATAATAGAATTCAATCAACCTTACGTTTACAGGTCTATCACAGGCGAAGGAGAGTTCTATCGTTCTAAAACTGACAAAATTGTGGACAATGAACTCGATAGCTTTGAAATAGGAGGCGGGGCAGTGGAGCAGCCTTTTTCGATTCTTGATTGCTTTTCCGCGGTTTTCTATGGATTAACACTAGAAAATGTTTCTTGGGCAAGCCTCGCGGACGAAATCGATATTGAACATATGCTGAAGGTGGTTATCCAGGAAAGACCACCCTTTGATTACGTAGGATCTCAGACACTGCTGAATTTCTCTGATATTCTCAAACTCTTTGATGATGAAAGAAGGAGCTACGCTCTACCCGCCTTGATGAAACTTCTCTCTGAACAACTCACTGAAGTAGAGGCTTTTTTGAACTTCCCTTTTGAGGAATCATACGTTCTATCAACAAGTTACGATGAGCTTGATGAAACGTTGCGCAAGCTTTCGGTGATAAATGTTATTCTTTACGTCATAACAGACATTTACGTTAACATTGCTTCTCTATTCCCGATCCGTGTGCTGCAGATCATGGAATTTTTCGAGAAAAATGGCTTAGAGCTGATACCCAAGCTCGGTTTACTATTTCAGCGAAGCGCGTTAGAAGAGATGTACATTCGCGATCGGTTACCTGATCAAGTTGCGAGCGAAACAACTGTGAGACCAATTGGGAATACGCCACCTTTGACACTTTATGCATGCAAGCCCAAAAAATTGGAGAGCACTCCAGCGAAAACATCGGCAAAATTCAAGAATACCCTGCAAGAGCGACACCTTTTTGTCAAAATGCAATCCTGGGTGTCAATGCTTTTTAGGTGTTTCTTGAGGATGACACACGCAAGGAAAATGACTGTGGAAGCTTCCGATAGAGCTCTTGAGATTAAAATATTCGACACTGCTGTGAATGAAATAGTTAGAATGATGGATCTGAAGTATTTGGAATCTCATCTTGGTTACTACCTGGTGCTTTTCAACTTCAACACTTTCGTTTTCACGTTTCCGAATGTGACAACATCGGTTGGTGGTACGTTGCAAACAGTTCCAGCATTTCTCTTTTATCAGGCTAAAGGCTATCTACTATACTTTCAGGCCATCAAGCGACTCTTCGCCAGGTTGCAAACCTGTGACAATGTTGAAAGCATAGAAAAATACGACTTCGTGAAAGATACTCCTGACGTTTTAACCGCTAGTGCCCTTATCAATGCTTTGTCCTTTCTCAACAAATCGATTCAAATGGATACCATGGAAAATATCAGGAACACTAAAGAGTATTATCCATTTGATGAGGTATATTACAATTTGACAACTGCTCTTATTGTGCCCATCAAGATTTTGGCCTTGGGACTTGTTGATGAGGTCACAAGGGACTATGCGGTTTTTGACAATAGCTCTACCAGGCTACCATACTCAGTTTTCAAACAACTATTAAGTGTTATTAGAAATGTTTACAACAACACTTCAGAAGGAGAGGATCACGAACTTTACGAATTAAGGTGGGACCTCATGCCCCCATCCCACAGGAAAGTCGAGATGTTGAAGGCAAGCGGAGTATCCGAGGACATTGCAAGAGGATACCTCGAAGAGCAGAAGGATGATTTACCCATACATGTAAAACCTGATGTCTTCTCTGATGATGAATGGAGCAGATACAAAAGCTTAAAAGATAGTGGAGAATGGAGAACTGATTTGAGAGTTCTGGAGCCTCAGTACAAAGGCAATGGCTCTGTAAGCGACTTGAATGCGTTACGGTCAGAGTTCTATCATCAGGGATTTGAGGACCGCGTTTTGCAGCTGTTACCAGCCTACCCAAAGTTGATAAATGCTATATCTCACATGATTCTCCAAATCTTGAAGGACGTCGATAAATCACCTGCCAGTATCGTTGCAAAATTATTAAACATGATGCGTGGTACAAAACTCGATAATTCATCAGTTCTTGCCCCTATGATTCACCTTTTTGGCATACTTTTGAATAACAAGGGCATCTATGATGATTGCAAAGTGTATACCCAGCAATTTGTTTCCTATTTGAAAAGCTCACTGCGTCCGGGGTATGTCAACACTGCTTGGTTCTCAAAGGCACTCTACGTGTATGAGATAATTTTTGCTAAATCCGAGGCGCCCAAAACTGATACCACTTCTGCTGATTTTGAGGCAAAATTCCATGTTACCTGCCCTACTCTTTTTAATGCTGTTGAAATATCTCCTGACGCCAAGCTCGAGATATTTAATTCCCTAATTCGAGTAGACGAGATAACGGATTTCTATTCGGCGCTTGCGATTTCACGCATACTCATACTATACACCCGGGACCAAAAGTATGCGTTTGAAGTAACCCAGTCGGGCGTGCTTTCCAAGCTGCTCAAGACCATTGGTGTTTTTCAAAAGTCAGATAAGATCAATTACCTAGAGTCCTCCTTTCTTCTCCTCGCCAGACGATGTTTCGAAAATGGGGAGACGGTGAGGAATTTGATTCAGTTTGAACTCTCGAGAGCTTTCACAACAAGGGCGATTGGCGATTCTAAAGAAAAGCCGCGAGACCTTTCGGGGCTGATATCAGAGAAAGCGAACGTCGTCATGCGAGAATCGGAAGTATTCGTAAATTGCATTTGTGAAACAGCAAGGTTTGAAGATTTTGACAATCCTGATGTACTACAGAATCTAAGCGTTCGAAGAAATTTGAAAGAGCGCGACGAAGAAATGTCCGACATCAATTCGCCTACCGAAGGCAAATTGACTTTAAACAACAGAACTGGTATCGTTCACCTCCTTCTATCCCAGTTGATGGCTGCATATAAAAAGGACTGGACATCTGAACCCCCAAGAGAAGATGAAAACGAGGAAACGAAAAAGAAAGATGACGTAAATGTTGGTAGAAATCCGGTTTGTGCTTACATCATATTTTTGTTGAAGGTGTTGATTGAATTGATCGGCAGTTACAAGCAGAGCAAACTCGAATTCCTCACTTTCAATAAGAGGAACCTCTACGTGGAAGCACCCAAGCCACGGACGACAGCTCTCAATTTCATCCTCTATCAGCTACTGGATACGGAAAGTCGTGATCAAGACAAGCATTACTCTGAAAGGAAAGAGGTTGTCGGAAAGCTGGCCCGTGATCTTGTTGTAGGCTTTCTATCTTCTGTTCAAGATCAAGAGATACAGAAAAAGGACCCAAAAGTAACAGATCCGGACATGACGTATATTAGAAAATTCACCATTGAGTCGGTCACGAAGGCTTTGAGAGCCTCTACTAGGACTCCAAAGAACTTGGAAGCTAATGTTGGTAAGTTTTATGGCTGGCTTCAACTCATAAGCTCCTTCCTGGTGACCGATCGAAGTTACCTCCATTCCGTTTTGGACTCGAACAAAACTTACGTCGACAAATACCAGATCGGGAAGTTGATGATAGATATGAACCTTCCCACAACTATTGCTGAGTGTATGGCCACGCTAGACCTGAACTACCCTTTCTCGAAACGACTTTTCAACAAGAGCGTAGAACCTTTAAATGCCATGAACGAAATACGGAGCAGATTTTCTGACCTTTTCAAAATTGAGAACACTGAGGAAGACGATGATGTTGAGGATGAATCTGAAAAAGAAGAGCACTCAGATATGTTCAGAAACTCTGCATTAGGAATGTATGATGTCGAAGATATTGAGGATGATGAGGACGACGATGCTTCGCTGATTGGCGAAGACGAAGATATAGCGTTTGTTGAAGGTGAAGATGGTGAGATCGAAGTTGTTTTCAGCGATGATGAAGAGGAGCATCACCATCGTCATCATCATCGCCACCACGAAGATGATGTAACTGATTCCCAGCATGCTGGGGAAAGCGAGGATCTTGAAGACTCAGACGAAAGCATGGCTTATAACACCGAGGGCGACGATGATCTGGACTTGAATTCCGAATCACAGTCGCAAGGTGATCAAGACGATAGTGGAAGCGACCAATCCTCTTATTACTCGGATGAAGAGAGCCCAATGCACTTTGTTGGTGTTCACGACGATGTTAGCGGTCAGGTGATAGATGTTGACCTTGGCAGCTCCGAACTGGACGAAAGCGATTGGGAGTCCGGTCTTTCAGAGCTTTCCGGCTCTGATGACGACAGTTCTGGAGACGACTTCAACGACGAGGTCAATGATGGGGAAAGGTGGCTAGCTGACGAAGTAGACATGGAAGAGGAATCTGATGACGAGAGCAGGGGGCTTTTCACAGGAATCCAGCATGTGTTTTCTCCTGAGCCGCAGTATTTCCGCATCCATGGCCATGGCCACGGTAGCCACCGTGGTCAGCACCACGGAGGTCGCCGTTCCGAGTTTTCAATGGTGGCTCCCTCCATCAGTCTATTGAATGGTAACAGGCGAACGCAAAGCATTCTCATGAACCCCTTAGGTCCATCGGGGCTTGAGGAGGTTGAAAATGGAATTCTCAATCAGCTAAATAGCGTGGGGAACACCAGTCGCCTGAGAAATGACACCGGATACCTCTCGGATGTATTATTCAACGGAGAGTTCTTTGATGAAAAGTCTTCCTCCGGCATTGTTTTGAAATCCACAACAGCTAGATGGAACGATATTTATGAAATGTTCTATGATTCTAAGGTCTACGTCAATAACGTCATACCTACCATTGTTGAGAGGATTTTCCAACCTAGCTCAGAAATGTGTCTCAGAAAGAGGAATGAAAGTTTTGAAAGGGATCAAGAGCAGAAGAAGAAGCGTGAAGAAGAGACTCGACTAGCTGATTCTAAAAAACGAAAGGTCCAAGAGGAGAACGAACATGATTCACAGGATAGCAATGGGTCAGATAATAATTCTGATCATAACCTCGACGATTTAGAACCTATAATGGTTGATATTGCCGGCGAGCAAGTTGATATCGCCGGTACTGATATTGACCCTGAGTTTATGAATGCTCTTCCTGACGACATGAGGGCTGAAGTTTTTGCTCAGCATATCCGTGAGCGGCGTGCGGAGGCCATTGATCAGTCTGTTGCTTCGAGAGAAATTGACTCTGACTTTTTGGATACGATACCCGAAAACTTGCGCGAAGAAATCTTAGAACAAGAAGCAGCGGAGTCCAGATTTTCTAGACTCATGAACAATTCCCATGAAACGGAAGCTGCTCAGGATTCTCATGACCACCAACAAGCAGACGGCGAAGACGAGGGCCACGCCACGAAGAAAAAGTCTGAGAGGACGTTCTTCTCGCCCCTGGTAGATCGCTGTGGAATATTGGCTCTCATGAGGTCACTTTTCATCTCTCAGCCATATCTAGCCCGAGAAGCATACCATGAATTGTTTTTCCGGCTTTGTTCAAGTAAACAAAATCGGAGTGACATTATGAATATTCTGATGCTTATTCTGACTGAGGGTATTAACGATCAGAAATCCATGGAGAAGGTTTACAACCTTATCTCGAACAAATCTTTAGGAGCTCAGAAACAAGGAAGTAACAGGATGTTACCTATTGATTGCACGCCCTTAACCCTGGCAAACCAGACCATAGAAGTTTTACAGAATCTAGTGGAAACAGAAAGTAGAATGAAGTTTTTCTTCATCACGGAACATGAGAACTTACTGATCAACAAAACACCTTTGAAAAACAAAAAGGACATTTTCACGAAAAACATGAAATGGCCCATAAACTATCTGTTTGGTCTTTTTGAAAAGAAAATCATTACGGATGAATCCGTTTTGTTGGATTTACTGACTCGAATTTTGCAAATCATAACAAAGCCCATTTTGACAATTGCAAAGACATCCAATGAGGGATCGCAGAAAAAGTTTACTGTTCCTGATATTGAGAGGAAACATCTAGAGGCGATAGTCTCTGTCATTAGGCTGGACGCTTGCAACACCAAGGTTTTTCAGCAGGTTCTCAATATCATGACACATCTGTCAACCATTAAAGGAACAAAGGAAGTGTTTACGGCAGAGCTGTGCACTCTGGCTATACAAACTGTCAAAGTTTTGAAGCCAGACCTCGATGCACTGAGGTCCGAAATCTGTGACGTGGAGAGTGGTGTCGAAATAAACTATGAGACGATACAGAAATTCACGGTACACAGTTCTGATCAGGCCAAGCTCCTGAAAGTCCTGACTGCTATCGATTACATTCATACGAGCAAGAAGAAAACTGGCGAGATCAATGTCGATGCACTCATGGCCCTTTACGATAAAATCAAGTTAGGCGGAATATGGACTTCTCTTGGACATTGTCTTGAGCAATTCGAACAACGCCCTTCCTTGAGTTCCTCCGCGAATATTCTACTTCCGTTGATTGAATCTCTCATGGTCGTTTGCAAGCATAGTAAGGTCAGGGACTCCAAAGATACTTTGAAATATGAAGAGAGAAAATCTGATTTTAGTGAGATAGCAGCTGAAAACACTTTCTTTGCATTTACAGATTTGCACAAAAAGTTATTAAACCAAATGATTAGGTCAAATCCAAAGCTTATGAGCGGGCCCTTTGCTCTACTCGTGAAAAATCCGAAAATACTTGACTTTGATAACAAAAGGTACTATTTTATTGCCAAGCTACGGACAAATGTACAAGAAAAACCTAAGCTGTCTATTTCTGTCCGGAGAGACCAAGTCTTTCTGGACTCTTACAGATCTCTTTTCTTCAAGTCGAACGAGGATATCAAGAACTCCAAACTCGAGATCACTTTCAAGGGCGAAGCTGGTGTTGACGCTGGCGGAGTGACCAGAGAATGGTATCAGGTTCTGTCTCGTCAAATGTTCAACCCAGACTATGCCTTGTTCTTACCAGTTGCCTCTGACAAAACGACATTTCACCCCAACCGGACATCTGGTATTAACCCAGAGCATCTATCGTTTTTCAAATTCATCGGTATGATCATTGGAAAAGCTATTTGTGATCAGTGCTTTTTGGACTGCCACTTCAGCAGAGAGGTTTACAAGAATATTTTGAGTAAACCAGTGGCCCTCAAAGACATGGAATCTTTGGACCTCGATTATTACAAGTCGTTGATTTGGATCTTAGAAAATGACATCACCGATATCATAGAAGAAACATTTTCCGTAGAAACAGACGATTACGGTGAGCATAAGGTTGTAGATCTGATCGAAAATGGGAGCGGCATCCCTGTAACCGAGAGAAACAAACAGGAATATGTCAAAAAAATCGTTGAATACAAGCTACACACTTCGGTCAAAGAACAGATGGATAATTTCTTGCTTGGATTTTATGCCATTATTCCTAAGGACCTGATTTCAGTCTTTGATGAACAGGAGCTCGAATTGTTGATTAGCGGCCTGCCAGACATCGATGTCGATGACTGGAAGAACAACACCAATTATGTCAACTACACGCCAACTTGCAAGCAGATTAACTACTTCTGGAGAGCTGTCCGGTCATTCGACACTGAAGAGCGCGCCAAGTTATTGCAATTCATCACCGGTACCAGTAAAGTTCCCTTAAGTGGTTTCAAAGAATTGACGGGTGTCAACGGCATCAGCAAGTTCTCCATCCACAGAGATTACGGAGCAACGGACAGACTACCTTCATCGCATACCTGTTTCAACCAGCTGGATCTCCCCGCTTACGACTCGTACGAAACCTTGCGTGGTTCTCTGTTGCTAGCATTGAACGAAGGACACGAAGGTTTTGGTATAGCCTGATATGTAAAAAATTGAAGTTATATAGTTAGTGATTAGTTCGAAGTACAATGTCTAGAGTTCACTTCTGAATGTGTAAATTTTTGTCTGTTTACATTGATTGACTAGGGTGTCTGAGCTTGCAGTGACACACTGCACACCGAATAACCATATTATGGAGCAAAACATAAATATGCCAGGAGACAAAGAAAGAGAAGGCACAGAAATGTACTACAACAAAAGTAGCCCTCGAAAATCATTTATTTCCCGGACTTTAGCTTTTTCACGGCTTGCTAGCTGATGTCTTTTGTTCAAGCTTTGCAACATGCAGTTCTAGTTTTCTGACAGATTTGCTCAAATCAGACACACTGTCATTCCAGTCCATTTCCTTTCTAGCCCTGTCCACAATTCTTATTGCCAAAAGCGAGGCTATTGAAATTCCTACTACAAAGCCTAAGGCTCCGCTTTTGAAATGTTTTGCGACAGGGCTTCTTGTCAACTTATTTACCGATCCAGCGTCAGACATGCTAAAGACGATGAAAGTTCAAAAAAAAGTATTGGTAGCTAGATGATGAGAATTACGCCGTCCATACCATTCGACTGCCCTCTTATAGTTTCCACCCTTTCTATATTCTGTTCCTAAAAAGTTTGCGTCAGTGCAGTTAGGGGTCCCTCTGCTAGTGATGACATTTTACGGCCGGATTTCCACGCAGCATTTAGCGATGTGAATACGGGTGTGGGCGCCATGAGGGACTTCGAGTATTGTCCAAAAACAATTGCAACTCTTTGCCAACACATTTCATCGGCATATAAGGTAGCGTTAACTTCGATTTCATCTACATAGAACTATGTTAGAGTTACTTAAGATTCCTTGAGTAAGGAACCTGATAATTAGTCTTCGATCGGGCCAACCCATTCCCAGCACTTCATTATTTCACCGTGAACTTCCATGAGATTGCTTCTCACGTTAGTATTATTGCTTTCCAGCTTTTTGACGACGGAATTCCACAAATCATTTTTTAGCTTGAGGTCCACGACATCGGAGAGCAAAACGTCCCTCAATTGAACGGCGCTTAGATTGGACGGCGAAGTAGAGTTCTGCGAATCTGCTGCATTTTTTCGAAGTTTAGCAATGACCTGTCGCGTCAGTCGCTCAATTTTTTCTTGTCTTTTGAAATATGCACGCAGTTGGTGTGTCACTGTCTTGACCAGTACGACTATCCCGAAAAATACCCAGATCACGTATTTGAATCTCTGATAAGTCTGATAAACCTCTCTTTCGAACTTACATCTGAGCCCGATGTACTTCTTGGATGTCGAGCGAAAAATTCCGTTTTTTGGGCTGCCGTATTGAAAATGTTTCTCCTGTTCCGAAACGTCATCGGTTTCAGTATCGATGTCGGTATCTGCTGCAGGGTTAGATTCAGATGATGGTCGCTGTATTAATGTTAGTAATGATGACGAAGGGTAAGAAGAGCTCACGATTCTGTCAACGATAGATCGTGGCTCTGAATGATAAAGTTTATAACTCACTTGCCTCCAGGTAATGTCAGGTTCATGTTTTAGGTCTTCCACCACTTGAGACCACAGGTCTTCGAAATCTTCACTATTGATCGAAGGAGCTCTAGATTCGTAAAAAATTCGATACAAGTCGTCCTCGGTTATTCCGCTTTCAGAATCATCCGTGCTTTCACCACATTTGACGTTTCCATTCTTGGTTCTTAAAAGCTCCAGCGATTTTTGAACCACTTCTGCAATCAGTTTCTCACGTTTTGAGTCCTTTGCGCAGTAATCACTTATAGGGAACAGGCCTTGGAGACTCCATTTGGACTTGGTGACAGCATAGTCAGGTCTGCACTTGATCTTCATGTAAGGATAGCAAATAGCATTTTCGGGGCACGGTAAGCAAGAAGGTTTCCTTTGATCTAAAAACTCTTCCACGCGAGACATCCATGGTCCATCGTTAGCATTTTCGAAAGTAGGCAAATTGACCTCGTGCCCACAATATCCAACTTGTATCCTTTGTTCGCGATACCAAAGGCCAAAAAGGATGGGAATAATTATCATTAAGTTCAAAATTAGCTTCCACAATAAATAACCCAAGGTCTTAGCCCCAGATCGTGTGTTTCTCCAGAAATTTGAAGTTCTTTTCGTCCTTGAAACTTGAGACTTCTCTTCCTCTCCATGATCCTCTGCTTTCGATTCCTCAGATTCTTTTTCCTCTTCTGACTCTTCAGCGTGCGATCCTGTAGGAGTAGCGGATGCAGACTCTGTTTCGTCAACTCGCTGCTCGAGAGTGTGCAATGAAATGGACTCGTCATTTTCTTCAGCCTCGGAAGATGCGATGGTTTCGTTTTCTAAAGATGCATCTTGGTCCTCCGCGGGACTGTGCGCCAATGCTTTTGGTGTTTCTTCTGTGGTACCAATTTCTGCAGATGTGCCTCTTCTCAACTTATTCCTTTCTTCTGACTTGTCAGTGGTATCATCATGAGTTGGAGGTCGGCTTTCAGTCGATCTTAAAGCGTCTTGATTGGTATTAGCGTTCTTTGAAGGTGTTGCATCAGTCGATGATTCAGTCTTACCGGAACGTTTTTGAGTGCTAGAAAACGAGGGCAGGTCTTGAAACGAGACGTCTGGAGATTCGTTTTTCACTTCCTTAGATCTAGCCTTTGTGTAATTGGTACCAGGAGATCCAGAAGAAGCTCTCATAAGCTGTTCTCTGAACTCTGGACTAATTTTTAGTTTGGAGAGATCAGGCGAATCTGTTCGACGTTGAAGGGAGAAATCCATTATTCCAGCATTGGGAGAGGCGGGTCCTGGTGACGAAGCAGCAGACGACGATGATGACGATTCAAACTTTTCAATCACAAGTGATCTATGAGGTGAACTTTTGATCGGGCTTTTCGATTGTACTTTGTCAACCAATGGAGAACCTGTGATCTGTTTGTTGATAAATTCATCATCTGTGCTCGCGGTAGGACGCCTTTTTTTACCACGTTTTTTGGGCTTTGGAACATCTAAACGAGCCCCTTGAGTGTCTCCATCTTCCGTTTCCTCCATTTTACGCTTCCTGGTTGTTTGCTTGACTTTCTTCGACTTTCTCTGGAAGTCGTTTTCATTTGTGAAAGGCGATTCCTCCGAAGAAACGTCTCGAGAGAAGCTCGAATCTGTTGTAGCCTTCTCAATGTCATCCTTATGCTCTCTACCCTTGTTTTCACGCAACAATTCCGCTCTTTTGGGCCTTATCTCCTGTTCAAACAGGTCACAAAGCTCAGCCTTTTTCAAACCTTGCGACAATACTACATCGTTTTCCAACAGGATGCGACGCAATTGCGCCACTTTAATCCCTTTAGGATCGAAGTTCTCGTCCAGGTACTCCAAATCCATGATTTGAAGGTATGAAATGCTGAATTTGAGTGCTGTTGAAGTTGTTTTTACATCGAAGGATAGGTGTCTTCTTTCACTGATCCATCTTCCGTCATAATATTAAAATTACGGACAGGTAATTATCCACGAAACGAAATCGGGTTTAACAATGAAGTTGTTCACCGCGACAGTGTGAAATAGGGACCAGACCATTCAGGTCTTTGAATGGTGAATTGGTGGTGTGTATTCATACAGTTTGTCTAGGTTGCGGTATTATAGAACTATTTTGGATGTTTTTAAGGTGTAAATCGGAAAATGCGTCAGACTGTAACGAAATGATATTTGGCATTTAACATTGTTTGGACTGGTTTGATGCAGCCATTGCGAGTACAAATATGAGTGTGAAATGTGGACCAGCCGAAGAGGCTAAATTTTTGATCAGCAAGGTTAGTTGTACAATCTTGACAAAGCTGGCCGTGATGTAATATCTGCGTAGAAAAATAGTAATTCAAAAGGACTCTCTTTTTGAGATATGTTTTCGACAGCTTCTAGTATAACAATAATACCTTCGCGTTTGCAACTGGGGGACCAACACTCATGCAGATGGTATTGAGGATGTCAGATCACTTTATACTCATTCCGTCGCTTTAACATGCAACATGAGCATCATAACCAAAAATTATCCCAAATAAAGCTTAACTTACAATTGCCCCAGTTTCAATCCACATAATGGCCACCAGGCGCGGTAATGGCGCCATGGAATGCTTTTAGCCTTCAGATCACTTTGTACATTAATGTCACTGAATTAACAATTTACCAAACTTTCCCACTGACAACAACGACAATCCCTCCACAGACAACAATCTCGGTTCGATCTTGGATCGATTTCTCCGTATTACAGTGACCTTGACCCAGATATCCAATTTCCTTTCTTCTATCTAGATTTTCCTCCGCAACGCTGTTCAACCTGGAAAAATTGTCGTTAATATTAGATATGATCTGAAATATGCCATCCAAGCAACGAACAATTAGCTTGAACGATTAGTTTTGGTATGCTTGACACTCTAGCACTAGTTTTCATTTCATTCTGCTTTTTTTTGAGCCAAGCCCTCGCTAGAAAGCCAAAGAGCTAGGTTCTTTCACTCAAACTAAGACCACCGAAATGGCAAATAAACTTCCAACTCTAACTGACATTCCCAAAGCAATTCAAGTCGCGATAGATGCTCGAGGTATCCGCATTTATGCCGATCTTATCCGTGCTGATCTTTCAACATATCACCAAACACGGGTGCACTACATATTATGGAGCCCTTCAAAAGATTCAGATATGGTCAAGGCTTTACCCTTGTGATTGTCATCTATCCAGCGACCTCGAGCGTTCAAAGACCAATCACTGGATTATAGAGAGATTCCGAGCGTCCAAGTAGCTATACAATACAAGCAGATCGAGATTTCCCTTTTTTCTTAGAGGTTTTCGTACGCAGTTTTCACTTGACCAATGTCTGACCTAGGAATTGTTAAAGAAATGTCCCATGAGGGCGAAAGTCCTGAACCTTTTGATAGAGATGACCATCTTGGAACAGCGACTCTGAAATTGGATAAGCTGGGCCTAAGAGATGCAACCCACGACGATGAAGATGACCATACCCAAGGTGAGCCTACCAACTTTTCGTTTCACGAAAACAAGTCACTATTTGACCAAGATAGCAAAAGAGCGGCACTGCAACATTTAATGCAGCAATCAGCATCAAGTCCTGTGAATGCCTCGCCAACAGCAGGAAGAAGGCTTTCTGTATCGGCCCAAAGCTCGATCCCTGAGCCTCCATCACTGAAGTTCGAACAGGACCGTGCCCGTCATGTTTCTGCAAGCTACAAGATGGGAATGGTTTTCGACGAGGACCAACAGCTTTCAGATGTGCCATCTGCTGAGCTCGTGGACCTCTATTCTAAGGTACAAGACTGTCGTAAACTCAGAACCAAGTATCAAACACTCTCAATGCAGCAAAACGCACAGCAAAACCCAAAAAATCAAACCGGCTGGAAAATTTATCCTCCGCCTCCCAAGCCTACCTACAACGCCGAGACCAAGACCGTGAAGCAAGTGGACAATCGACCAGACGTTGAGGTCTTCGATTTTGCAAAGATTAACGTTCCTGGCGAAGATCAAGACTGGGACTTCAGTATTAATGACGATGACGTTTTCGTTGTGTCATCAGTACAAGATGCAGCAACTTCTTTGTCCGAGGTCCCTTCATTACGCCAGTATTACAAAGATTTGGACTCCCTAGTGACAATATCCTCTGATGGACCCGCCAAGTCTTTTGCTTTCAGAAGGCTGCAGTACCTCGAAGCTCGATGGAATTTGTATTCCTTGCTGAATGAATACCAAGAAACCTCTGTCTCCAAAAAAAATCCACATAGAGATTTCTACAACGTGCGTAAGGTCGACACTCACGTTCACCATTCAGCATGTATGAACCAAAAACATTTGCTTCGCTTTATCAAGTACAAGCTGAGACATTCAGGCGATGAAAAAGTTATCCATAGAGACGGTAAGGTATTGACTTTGGATCAAGTGTTCGAGTCCTTAGATCTATCTGGATATGATCTATCGATCGATACACTCGACATGCATGCCCACAAGGACACCTTTCATAGATTCGACAAGTTCAATCTGAAGTACAATCCAATAGGGGAATCTCGTTTGAGAGAAATCTTTTTGAAAACCGATAACTATATCAAAGGAACTTACCTTGCTGATATTACCAAGCAGGTCATCTCTGATCTGGAAAACTCAAAATACCAGATGTGCGAATACCGGATTTCGATTTATGGCCGCTCCATTGAAGAATGGGACAATTTGGCTGCTTGGGTCATTGATAACAAAGTTATTTCCCATAATGTGAGATGGTTAGTACAAGTCCCTAGACTATACGATATTTACAAGAAGACTGGTCTAGTGGCAAACTTCCATGACATTACCAAAAATCTTTTTCAACCGTTGTTTGAGGTCACCAAAAACCCACAAAGCCATCCTAAACTGCACGCGTTTCTCCAAAGGGTCATTGGATTCGATTCAGTTGATGATGAATCAAAAGTTGATCGTCGCTTCCATCAAAAATATCCTAAACCTTCTTTGTGGGATGCTCCTCAAAATCCACCATACTCTTACTACCTGTACTACCTATATTCGAGCATGGCATCTTTGAATCAATGGAGAGCTAAACGTGGATTTAATACCTTTGTTCTGAGACCTCACTGTGGTGAAGCTGGCGATCCCGAGCACTTAATCTCCGCCTATCTATTGGCCCAAGGTATCTCCCACGGTATTTTGCTGCGTAAAGTACCTTTTGTCCAGTACTTGTATTACTTGGATCAAGTCGGGGTTGCGATGTCGCCATTATCTAACAATGCGTTGTTCCTGACCTATGATAAAAACCCACTTCCCTACTATTTTAAGAGAGGGCTAAATGTGTCTTTGTCCACAGATGATCCACTTCAATTTTCTTACACCAGAGAGCCTTTGATTGAGGAATACTCAGTTGCCGCTCAAATTTACAAATTGTCAAATGTTGACATGTGTGAGTTGGCTAGAAACTCAGTTTTACAAAGCGGGTGGGAGTCCCAAATCAAGCGCCATTGGATCGGGAAAGACTTTGAGAAGGGTGGCATCCATGGGAACGATGTAGAAAAGACCAATGTCCCGGACATTAGAATTAATTATCGCCACGAGACGCTCTGTACCGAACTTGAGCTTGTTGAACACTATGCACAGTTCAAGACACAATGATAGTAAGTTAATGCAAATAATAACTATTCAACCATTTTGTAAAATAAAGTACAGTTCAAGCACCATCGAACTTTTCCCTCAAGAAACCGATTCCGCTGTTTTGTCGCCGAACGCTCTGAATGTTAGTGAAAAGTCTGCGTTTGAGATTCTGTCTTGCAGAAGCTGCAATAATGAATCGGAAGGTTCTTCCTTGTAAGAAAGTAGAACATCGTCATATTCTAATGTATGGGGATGGTGTTTTCTAATGCTTGTGCCCATTGGGAGGAACCACGTATACACATTTGGACCCATGAACTCCTTCAAATTGCTGAATGCGTTATGTTTATTCCAGTAGTCTTGGGCGTCGAGAGCTCTGAATTCAAAAACATAACGTAGTCCATTCGCAGGGTTGAGGTAGCAAATCCAATTTTTCTTTGCCTTCGACCTGCGGTTAGTGGCTATTACCTCCAGAGACGTTTTATTGACTGTCATGTAATAGATATGGGCAGAGCTCAACGGTCCAACCATTAGTGTCGCCATACAACACAACGCCATAGTGATGAGGATATTAGGGTTAACGCGTGGAATTCTGTCGCGAGATCTTATTATGCCTGGTAGATAGCTGGCAGTTGAAGCTATTACGTATATGCAAAATACCCAGAAATACAGTGCGAACTGCACAAACAAGCGGTAGTTTTTCCGCCCTACCACAGTGCCTATCCAAAAGCAATAATGATCAAACCTCGGTATGCAATAGCCCAGTGCTGCAGAGTGATGCGTGCGATTAGCCTTGATGCTTTGACAAGTACTGCACCACAAAGGATAACCCTGAGGATCACACTGGTACAGTGTTGGTGGTCTAATCGTCGTCTGCTGAATTGTTCCAATATCAGTCTTTTTCCCAGTCATATTACTGTCATCTTCATCATCATCATTATCATCATCTTCAGCGTCATTGGGCCCGATGTCAGGAAATAATCGGAATGGTAAAATTTTGGGCTGCTTTCCTGGGCCCACAGCGACGATTTGTACCCACAACACTATCAAGAGAGCGGTTAGTACCACCTCACCACACATAAGTCCCACGGCAACAGATTTCTGGCTAAAGTTCAAATATATTTCGTTATAGCACAATTCATAACAGTAACTCCAGCTGGCGTACGAAAGTAATGCAAAAACTACTACTGGAGCCCAAGCCCTGAACCACCAATACTGATCTAGCCGCATCTGTTCCTGTTGGCGACTGACCAAACGACAGTGAGTCCAGTGACTCGCTTTTTGAGTTGATAAATGATTCGGGGTTTTCGATTATTCATCGAAATAACTGTCAAGCATTGTCAATTTATAAACTCATCTTAAGCTCATCATCGACTTTATTTCAAGTTTAGAAATCCAAATTGAACACTTCTTTTTGAGACAAACAAGACAGTACACAGGCTTGGTGCAGGTTCTAAACTAGAACAAGCACGTTCTACAGCTTTTGAGCTTTCTAACGATACCAGATTTGAGCTAAAGTTATCATGGTAGTAGATGACGATGAGAAGAAAGACATGTGTCCGATCTGTAAGACGGATCGGTACCTGTCGCCCGATATGAAGTTCTTGGTGAATCCAGAGTGTTATCATAAGATTTGCGAGTCGTGCGTCGACCGTATATTCAGTCTGGGACCGGCCCAGTGTCCATATGAAGGCTGTGATAAGATCCTAAGAAAGAACAAGTTCAAGACGCAGGTTTTCGACGATGTCAACGTGGAGAAAGAGGTGGATATCAGGAAAAGGGTGTTCAACGTTTTTAACAAGACGATAGACGATTTTGACGGGGATCTTTTGGCTCACAACAAGTATCTCGAAGAAGTGGAGGACATCGTTTACAACCTGGATAATGGGATCGACGTAGCAAGTACGGAGGAAAAACTGCGCACATACGAGGAACTCAACAAACAGCTGATCATGGCAAATATAAAGCGGAATCGCCAAGACCTGGACAGTTTTGAACAGCGACAAAAGTTCGAAAAGGAGATGAAATTGAAGAAAAGACAATTGGAACGGCAGATCGAAGAAGAAGAGCTAGCCAACCGAGAATGGGCCCGTAAAGAGATCGTGAACCAGCTGTCATCGGCAGAGAGCCCAGAAGACGTGATAGCGCACGTTAAGAAGACAGTGAAGCTGAAAAAATCGTCTGCAAGACGTAAATTGGAAGACCTCAACAAAGTGCTTAAAAATAATCCCTACATGACGGTATCTAATGGGCTGATGAAGAAAAAAGATACAGTGCCTTTCACACCGTTCAATGGCGATCGCGATCTCAACAAACGGTACGTGCTTGTGGAGTCTCAGTACGACGATCCCTTCATCAAATCGTTGCAAACCAAGAAAGAGTACATTGCCTCAGGATTCCGGGCGGATCTCGTGTACGATCGCATGTTGACCGAGGCGTTCATGGGATTGGGCTGCATCATTTCTGAGGAAATGCAGCTGAGCAGTGTTTCCGGTTGAAAAAATAGAAACAAATTTTCTTCAATTCACAGCCCTCGCAACTGAATTGCATTGACCAACGCCTGGGAAAGCTCGCGAGGCGTGAGCAGCGAGTAGTCGCCTTTCAGTTTATAATTCTGCATCGAGTATCATTAGGTTAGTAAATAGGAAACTCATTTTTCATTCATAGATTGTTTTCACTCACTTTTTTGATGGCATCCCAACTCACGGTTGCTTTCAAGTTCTCATCTGAGAGTTCCTCCTCTCGGCCCTCGATCTGTTCTTTAAACACGCCTTCTAACACATTCTGTTCTGATTTCTCAACCACCATCAAGCACACAATATTCTTCGTATCTTCTTTGATGCCAAATCGTCTAAAAGCTTCCGCAATGTTTGACGTGGGCGACAATGATAGTATACACTCGGAATTCAAGTTCTTGGTTCGCAATCTATTGTACTTACTTTCAATCAAAGCCTTGTATACTGCACAGAAGAGCTGCTCTAAACTTAAGATTGTCGATGCGTCTATCATTGCAAAAGGTAAAACAGCAACCTGTGCCAGAAGCGCTTTCATATTTTCAACATCTGTGAAAAGAGTTGCGTGAATGTCGAAGGAATCGAACTGCGGAATCGAATAGCTCAGCATTCTGGATGAGTTGAGTTGTTTTGCTGGTCATTGATGGAAAATAATAATTGCAGATGTATTATGGAACTCATCTCATCTCATCTCATCTCTATATATGCCTACCTTAAGTGTGAACGTTTAAGTACATGAAGGGCATGAATTATGGATGAGTCGACATCGATTTGGAATCAAGAAGCTAGCAAGCGAGATGACAGCGAGATTTTGGAGAAAAACGAGCCTTTTGAAGACACAATTGAGGAATTTAAGGTAAGCGATGAGGCTGTAGAGTTGATAAATATAGCACTTCCTGGGAAGAATGATGAGAACTTGAAAGCTCAAAATGAGCCTACGACGCTTTATCAACTACTTGACACAGCACCACATGGCAGGAAAGTCATGAATGATCTTTTCGCTCGCTCCACTGGCAATGCAAGCATTTTCCAGCATTACCGTAAAAGCTCCATCCATCGAAATTTGGTGAAAGTTGTTGATAGATGGATTGTGGAAAGAGAAGAATATGGTGGGGACACAACTGGATCGCGTGCGGCATCGCGTGGAGATTATTCTTCGACTATCTTCGCCTGGAGCTCCGCGAACAGGGAAAAGAATATACCCTTGGCTTCTACGGCGCATGCAAAAGACAATCGACCACAACGTTCTTTGAACCAAATACTTCAAAAACATGCTCATTCGGGAATTCGTGATTTTTTGGTCCAACGACGTGAACTGGAGCGACAACGGGAAATTGAAAACCTTGCCAGTACCACGAGTATGCCTGTGACTCCCGGCACGTTCAAAGTTGATCCTTTACTGAAACTAGAACCCCAAGCCCTTCCAAGACCAAGTAAAAAGAAGTCCGAATCCGAAAAGCAGCGACGGAAGACCACCAAACAAAAGAACAGGTTGAGCAACCTATTTTTTTGGAAAGGTTCTTCTTCTACAAAGAAACAAACACGCGACGAAAAGCAAACTACGAACGAACCTGTATCTACCACAGCAGCTTCTGATTTTGCAGGCCTCACACACTCTACGGTAGAAGGTGATCAACCATTTTCAGAAACCTCTGCAGATGCATCCGTTGACGTCAGTGATTCTGCGTTTGGCGAATTTGAATCAGGATCAGCGTCAGCATCGGGTACAATTGATGAAAGTGCTGATACAGCGCCACCGACAGAGGCTAGTCCTCGCATGTCAGCAAACTTGGTGATGGAATCTTTTACACCACTTCAACCCAAGAGAAGAACCTAGTCTGAACGTCATAGTCATAGTAAAATTAACATAACTCGCATAGTACACATATGTACCGATAAATAAATTAAGAGCCCCACATTCGATTTTTCGTCAGTTTCGTTTGCCAAAAGTTAACGGCCTATTGCCTGGAAAAGACGTATGACCTCGGCCCTTTGCCGGTTTGTACTGAAATTCAAGAGACTGCTGGCCTGTATTGTGTAAATTCAAATTATTTGGATTGAAAAAAGGCGGTTTTGTCGTTGCTTGATCTTGCCTTAGCACCTCCTCATAAGAAGGCGGCTCTGTAGGTATTCCAGTCTGTTTCTGACCCATGATCAAGCCATTCCAGTACTTCTGCTTGTTCATCGCATGGAAGTTAAGCCATGTATGTATCCTTTATAGCGTCGCAATATATAGTGAACTCCGACTAGCACAGTTCTATCACATGAAAGTCACACCTTTGTAGTTGTGCTCAGGCCAGTTTTTGGACGTAGTTTGCAAGCAGGACGAGAATGAAACTCTGTCAAATGGGACTGGAAACTAGCTCAAATCGTGTTCCGGGCGGGCTCTTGCCCCGGAAATGTTCGTTCCGTCACAAGGTCAATTGAGTTCTAGTAGGGGACATATGATGAGCAAAAAACAACCTTAGAGACTAGTGCCCCGCGAAAACATGCCAGGGATGTTGAAGTAAGATCTGAGGTATTCCGACATGGGATACTCAGATCATTGAAGAAGGTGTCGCACTGTCCGACGTCGTAATAGTACAAAGTGATATAAATGATGAAAGCTCTCAGCCCGAGAGAGAAAGACAGAAGGATAGAGCGAGAAAGAGAGAGAAGAGATAAAGAGACTGATTAGGCTGATTTCATACATTCTTACGTTGTATAATTGTCAGTAGCCCATTTCTCTGCTCAACCATTGTCCAAAACATATCATCACAAACGAAAACTCTACCTATATATCAAAATTTATTAACACCAATTCATGCTTCTGAGTAGACATAAATCAGATTCTAACCAGTTTGATCAAACAGTATCTAGTTTCAAGAGCGTCATTCAATACCCACCGCGATGATTCCAAACGGACGGCCCGCTATGAAATCCTTAGGGAACCCCGTGCTACAATTTGTGCGTGGCAAAAGGACGAAAAGCAAGGGAACTTTGTCGCCAGCTTTACAAAGAGCTGTAACCCAGCTCAGCGTCATGTCGGCTGGCAGGAAACAGCCCAGGATGCTCAAACTTTCGCGGGAAGACCTCGTTAAACACCAGACGATCCAAAACTGCTGGGCTTTGTACCAGAAAGAATTGCGTGAAAACCGCAACACTCAGCTAAGACTGCAATACAAAAGCACCGAGCAGGCGATGCAGCTACTGGAACAGCTGGATCCAGAGCTATTCGAGGCCGCTAATGCATCGGAGGCCGGCAAGCGGTTCCCGCTCGAAATGAGGGTGCCCACAGAGTACCCTCCCAACAAGATATGGCATTACAACCACAAGACCAAGGAAGACTGAAAAAAAAGCTATTCGGGGGTTGTCGAGGCTGTGCCAAAAAAGTACAAGGCGTTACGGAAGCCTAAACCTATCCTGTAAATTAGTACCAAAAAGTTACGACTTATGGCCTGTAAATATCACATCGCCTCACTCAAACCGAAATCTCCTAGGCTGGTGCAGTGAGGTATCAACTAATGAACATCAAACTGTTGTTGCTCACATTAAATACGTATTCGGGTTTCAACGAATCAACCGGTCTCGAGCAGATCCGTACACAATGACACATACCTAGCATCTTCTATCCTACCCACAAGTGTTTACCCTCAAGAATGAACTCATCGACCTGCGCTTTGGCGACTAGAATAGCGTCAGGCTTGTAGTTGGTGCATTTGGTATGATTAGCACGCTCTTAATCCTGATTGGGGGCTGGTATGCGTGTTCTATAACGCTGTCCATCTACAACAAATGGATGTTCGATCCAGAACTTGGGTTAAGCGTACCGTATCCTATTTTAGTGACGTCTTTCCACCAATGGTTGCTGTTAGCGATTTCCTGGGCGTACTTGAAGGTAAATAGAATTGAATCAGCGGGAAATGTCGGTTCAGATGAAAATTCGTGGAGGTTTTTTTGGAGGTATATCGTCCCAACAGCGCTTGCGTCTGCTGGAGACATCGGGTTCAGTAATGTGTCTTTCAAATTTGTGGCTCTGTCTGTTTACACAATTGTGAAATCCTCAAGCATAGCATTTGTGCTCTTATTCGGATGTCTATTCAAAACTGAAAAGTTCCGTTGGAGACTGATGGCCATTGTGCTGGTAATGTTCATCGGCGTAGCCATGATGATATACGAGCCCGACACGGGTAGCCATAAATCCAGCAGCGACCATGCGGTGCTGGGGGTTCTAGCAGTGCTCGCGAGTAGCGCTCTTTCGGGCCTACGTTGGGTGTACACGCAACTGATCTTGACGAAAGGGGATTCATCGTCATTGCAGGCCGACAATGGCAAAAAGAAGAGTCCCGTTGAGACCATCTACCGCGTGGCTCCAGTTATGGGTTTAGCTCTGCTGGTTAGCTCCTTGGTCATTGAAAGACCGTTTCCCGACATTTTCCGCTCGCATTTGTTTTTGATCGACGAGAAGGCAAACGTTGCTTCCATAGCAAGAGGGATAGTACTTCTTGGATTTCCAGGAGCCCTAGTATTTCTCATGACCTTGTGTGAGTTTGGTATTCTGCAGCGTGCCCACGTACTCACACTTTCCGTCGCGGGGGTCGTCAAAGAGCTTCTCACGATTGCAGCCAGCATGCTAATCCTGCGCGAAAAGCTTGTCGGCTTCCGCAATTGGCTTGGAATGACTATCATACTCCTAGACGTATTCTACTACAATGCATTTCGCTACCATGAAAGAAGAAACACTGCAGTTCCTTCGGACGACCAGGAATTTAACGCTTTTATTCCAGAATTTGAGTTGCAGCATAGAGAACAGGATTTGCAGCATACAGAACAAGAGTCTCCAGCTATCAACAGAATCAATCGATAATACAAAGCCAACGACCAGATATCTATCTGTCTGTCAAAACTTGTACTGACAAACCTAATATTTCACCTTTCCGCGTACTTAATGCTTCGAATCGGAGGTAAGTGTCCCGTTCCAATTTCGAAGGCGTGCAATGAGAAAGTTATGGACATGCAAACAAGAGATGTCTGCTCTGAAACTTCAAGCGACGACGCGAAGCTTTTCTATGTCGATGCAACGACAGCGACACAATCGTATTGTGTGATCTCTAAAATTTTCATTTTACAATATTAGGAGAAACCTGAACTAAAACCAATGCCAACTCTCTCCACAATAAATAGACCAAAAACGAACCACAAAGTACTGTTCACGAACCAGACGAAGCTGCTATGCCACTCGCTTCGCTGCTCTACTTGACACCTTTGCGGATTTTGAAGAGTGTGGCTGGAAAAATCGAGTGGGTGCTTAAAAACCTGGTCAACTTTTTAGTTGCTACTGACATCAGGAAAGACATAACAAACAAGGACACTAGAAAGGAGAAAGAAGCCAATGCGGACGGTTTCAAGAGTAAACCCAAGGCTGTTGGAGCTGCAAGAGCCCTTTTTCCAGCGGTGAACAATGTTGATGACTCGCTGGACGGCACAACGGGTCCTGTTCCGTGTTCACTGGACCTTTCAAGACTTCAAAAACCACTGTCAATGGTTAAGACATCTGACGGTCACTTTGAATGGCGGCTGACTGAAGGTTCGATGGGTTTGGACGAAACTGAGCATGCCATGTGTGAAGAATCGGTTTCTCCAGGAAGTAGTACTACTACACCGAAATCGATGGAAGCTGACAAAGGCCCTGTGGCGTCTTCGGAATCCAGAAGGTTTGTGTGTCATCTTTGTCACGCAGAGTTCCACATGAGGGGTTACTTAACCCGTCATCTCAAGAAACATGCCGTGGAAAAGGCGTACAGATGTCCATTTTACAATAGCACTCTACCGAAGGAACAGCGTTGTCACAGACATGGTGGATTCAGCAGAAGAGACACGTTCAAGACACATTTGAGGTCTCGGCACTTTATATTTCCCAAGGGAGTCAAAAGTAAGGACAGACCCAAGAGCTTTGGTGTTTGTGCACATTGTAATGCTTTTTTCGAAAATACTGAAGATTGGATTACAAACCATGTTGAGTCCGGGGAGTGTAAGGGATTGCCCGAAGGCTTCAAAGTCACAGAGAAAGCTGCTCGCAAGTCGGGCAAACTGAAGAAGATCATTACTGCTGATGGGAAGTCGAGGTTTATATCCACCAGTCAGACTTTGGTGGACCAAAAACTTACAGACCACAAGACTTGTGCTGAAAGTGGAGAGGTCTGTACGGATGAATCCGGCACTCCCGAGAATATGGGTTCAGTACAGTCTGTCACGTCGACAAGTAACGAGCGCAAATTAAACTTGAGGTATGAAGATATGATCTGGGACGCAGCGGTTCCCTTCGGAAAGAGCAAGAATCCTGACACGAAAAGTCCTGGATTCTCTACAGGTTCTAGCCCTGCCGTCGCAGGACACCAGCTGAGCGCTGCGTCCAGTTATGCATTGAATTTTTTCACTCCACCTAAATCCACACCATTGGACGAAGGCTACCTCTCTGTAGACCCTTCCCCTACTGATGATGCGGGCTTGGAAACCGTAAAATCCGCATCTTCGGCATCATCTCGTGTGTCATTTAGCGAAACCCAGGAAAAGGCGTCTGGAATGCAGGTCAATCCGCGTGACGACAACGCTGATGCGTATTTCCAATTTCCGCTGGATTTCGATCAGTGTCCGATGAGCTTTACGATTTCCGAACCACAGCAAAAGGGGTTCAAGTATGTCGACTCTGTGGATATTCAAACCTCACGACTGTGCGATTCTTTGGATAAACAGATGGAGGCTTCTGCCCTGAACGATAAAAATCTGCGAGAAAATCAGCAATATTTGAATTTGTACAACCACACTTTCAACTCTCATCTGTGAGCAAGGCGGTATCGCACAAAATATCCACCGCTAATATCGACTTTGAGGCAACGCCTCTATTTAATGCATAGTCTGACGGGCAGACACTATTTCAATTCCTGGTTTCGTTTCGTTCCGTTTGTTTCGTGACGCTTCGTATCCTTTTTATCTTTATTTCAACATAGGTTTCTGTAATTCAATTACATCGGTGTAACAAAAGCTTCAAGAGTTTTCCGGAGGTGTTTATATTCCGGCATTGTTCTTACGGACTGGTCGCCTATGTTTAAATAGTCAGATGTTCTTTTAATGGGTCTAAATTAGACTAAAAGTTGATGAGATGAGCTATCATAAATGCCCAAAACACAACGACAATCCAAAAAATAAAGGTTAGGATCCTGTCTCTTGCCGTCGAACTCCTTTCATTTGACTGATCTCAGGTAGCGGAGCGTAGCAAGTTACGCCAGGTTCATGGTTTTACGATGTCTGCGGAACAGGAAGAGCTAAACTTGAGCGAGCTGGTAGGGAACTTGTTGGCAGCGCACAACGAGGATGAGCTTCCTTCACAGCTTGAACAAGGACACACGGAAAATATAGGTGACATCCCAGATCTGTCGGAACATTCTCAAACAAATGGGGAGTTTGACGATGAGGATTTGGCCGCAGTTGTAGCACAAGCCATTGGCGGGATGGAAGGACGTGGTACAGAGGAAGCGGACGATTTAGAAGCAGTACAGCATGATGGAAGAGTTCAAGAAGAAACTGGAAATGCTGGTAATAAAGAAGAAGAATGGGCTCAAATTTTACAACAGGGTCTGTTGCAGGAAAGTCAACTCAATGCACCTGAACACATTCAAGGAGAAGACGAAGAAGAAGAAGAAGGAGAACAAGCAATAAACGTGGCTGGCTCTGAACATCTGGATAATGAGGACGAGGCACTCCGAAGAGCCATTCTAGAGTCTCTACAAGGCTTCAACGTCACAGAAAGTCAGCCTGTACCTCCAACACATACCCACGAACCGTCGAAAGTCGCTCACAAGACGAAAGACAAGGAGAAAACCAGCCGAAAGGACAAGAATAAAGATAAGAAGGCCAAGAAGAGCGACAAAGCTTCGTCAAGTAAGAAAAAAGCAGCTAAAAAGAAGAAGGAATCTTCCAAGAAGACTGATAAAGAGCTTTCTAAACGTGCTTCAACTGCGCCTAAAAAGACCGTCCCAGAAATTAGTGATGGTGACTTACTAAATTTCGAAGATGTCATAAAAGGATTCATGGAACAAGCAGGCGATGAAACGCTGCCACAGACGGAAAGTAGTTCCCGAGATGATTTAGGTGCTTCTGAGGGACTCAGCGGCGTGACAGATGCAGAGACACGCTCTCTTGTTGAGAATACTCTACGGGCTTTTGAAAACGAGCTACTTTTTGGCTCAAAACCTGCCACAAGTAAGAAGTCCACGAGCCACAGCAGGAACAAGCCTAGGGTCACCACAGCAGCACCTGCCCCACGCAAACCATATGAAGGTATTCAACCAATTGTTCAAACTCTGCCGCTAAGCAAGCCCAAAAAGACCAAAGCAGGCGATCATTCCAAGAAGAAAAAAACCCCGAAGAAGAACAGTAAAGAAAGTGAGTACAATGAGGACGATTTTTCAAAGGCCTTGGCAGATATGGTCAATCAGGTCGTGAACACAACACTTTCAGACTTTCAACCGTCCATACGACCACCCTCGGGAGCCAAAAATCTAGCGGCACCAAGCTTAGAAGTGCCGACTGAAGCATCTCCCTCACGGCCCGTCGATCTGCTTGCCACCAGAAAGCCTTCTATCTCTGAAAAGAATCCTTCGCGGAGTGATGACATACGCAAGGATTCTGGCAATGAGTCCTTGTCGAAAGAACGCCGGCCATCAGATGAACGGAAAGGTGTACTTGACCGGTTTTCTATGCATGAAGACGCCGATCAATCTCATGACCATGCATCCGACCTCTCTCAAGTCTCTGAGAGAGTCTTCCAGGCGAATAATTTAGAGGACATACCCGGGGACTCGTTACTGTCTTTTCCTGATGCAAAGCTGGCATCTGCGCCTCTTGACTCTGTTGAGCATAATGACGGTTTTGATATAAACCAAATAATGCAGAATGCTATGGCAATGGCGTTTCATGGTCAAGTCGAGCAACAATTAAGCCAATCCGATCTCAATGGCTTCAATAGGCAACTACAAGGATATGATGTCTCCGGTTTCATGGATGGCTCTCGCACATCCACAAAGGGCAAGAAAAAGTCTTCTAAGAAGAAGAATAGTGGAGAAAAGAAGGCCAAAACCAAGTCTGCCAAAAAGAAAAAGTCATTGGACCAAAGCGATCTAGGACGTCCTGCTTCGATGGAAGGTGGAAGCGTTATGGATTTCAACGACTACAAGGTGAAACCTGCGAGAGGAGAAATCACAACTTCCACCGGTTCAGACGTGAAGTCCAACAAGCCCAAACTTCCTCATAAGAAAAAGATATCCACTCAAGAACTCAGTGCCGCGCTTCAAGCCACGGGTGGATCCATACCCGGCTTACTAGATGATCTACCGAAGGCATTAAATATGAAGGGATCTAAGAACTTTGGTAAACTTAAAAAGGCGCTCACTCCACAGCCGATCTCTGATAAATTCTGGAGGAAGAAATACAAAACGGCGGTAACAGAGGCTGCTGCCAAAGCGAGGCGACAAAGAATGGACAGGAATAAGGCAAATCGCAGGAGGCTAAAAGAGGTTCGACATGTAAGGCGCCAGGAAAGACACAAGAAACGAGAGGAGGAGCGATCAAATGAGGAAAGGGAGAGGAAGGAGCTGGAAATTCTTGTGGCTCGTGGACCACCCTACCCACCAAATTTACGACTAACGAAAAAAGGTGTTCCAAAAAAGCCGTATCGCTGGTACACAAGAGACGAAATGAAATCGAAAAATTCTGCGATCTCTGCTGAAGCTATGCGCGCGTGGAGAAGTCGGGCGAAAGCATTGAGACATTCGAGCCGAAAGTCGGCACTAGTCACTCGTCCTAAGAAGGTAACCATTGCCGATCACACCTCCGATAAGATCATCCAGGAAAGCGATGATAGGGCAAAGACCTTAGTCGAAGAATCTGCTGTGCCCATTCCCATCATCAAACTTCAGTCGATGGAAGAAGCTCTTTCTTCAGAATTGCCTTTAGGTTTAGGCGGAAAATCTCTCAAAGAACGCGACGAATCAACCGGCAGACGTGAAAAGAAAAAAGACAACATCAGTTATGAGTCAGTTCGTAGCTCGAAAACCGTCGTTCACCGAGAGAAGATTGCTCTACATCCGCCGTGGGTCATTCCAGAACGCCCTCCGCTTGCTTTACCTATAGCACGCAGGAAAAAAAAGGGCAAAGTGAGAATTTCTGGGAGTTCAAAAAGCACGAAGTCTTCACGTCGTGACGGTAACAGGCTTGGCGCGCCCTCCTTTATTGCTGGCAATAAGATAGTTCCTTCCTCATTGTTCCCCATAATAAACACGTTGAAAGCCGCAGCGAGAGCTAAAGCAGCAGCAGGTGCTACTCCTGAAGAAGCTAGTAGGCACTTGGGTGCGATGCTACGTAATGCAAGACTCACAATAGCTCAAGTTCTTGCTCGGGCTAGGGGTCGTGGAGCGCGAGACTATGGCAGCATCAAGACACTGGATGATGTGAAATCATATCAAAGTAAGTTAGATCACAACAAGAGCAAGAAGACACCATTTTTCACTCTAGGCAGTATCAAAGCTATCACGGAACAAAACGAAGACACCGTGGGGACTCGTATTGATGATGGTTCTCCCAGAGCAGTTCAGTGTGAAGACAAAAGTCTCATGTCAAAGGAGCCGCTAATAAGTAAAGTCGCGGGCGACAAAGAAATCAGAGAATCAGCTTCTATCCCAGCACCGAATTTGGAAGATGACAGAAAAGAAGACAGTAGCTCTCAAATAACTTCAGACGCAACGAAGTTGCCTCGCAAGTCTACCGACGAGGATACCAGATATTCTTCCTCACTGCTAAATGAGGACAAACCTAAAACTTTAGAGATGAGCCCAGGCACCAGTAGGGATCAAGCACTTTCCAAGAGCCGTGTAGATTATTCCCATGATCCGGAGATCAAACAGGAAGTTAGCGAACCGCCTCTCAAAAAGGTAAAGAGTTCTCAGGTTGTTAAGTTGGAAGAAATCGAGCCTCTATTGATAGACGAAAGAGGCGCTTTGTCGAAGGATGCAATAACACCACCACCAGCAGGAGACGACCTACCGCCTGAGGTTAAAGCAGAACTGGCACGCGCTATCAATGATATCGTCAATCCTCCGGAAAAGTCGCGTAAAAAATACACCCGAAGAACAACCCCGGTCTTGAACCTTGAGGGGTTGGTCCCTCCAACGTCGTTGATTTCGAAAATAAAGCCGGAAGGCATGGACGATGCTTTGAGGCACGGAAAACTCTCGAACAGCTCACTGACACATGATAATCTAAGGCCACTGAGTCCACTCATTATTAAAGCCGAAGCCCGGACCAAGACGCCGATGCCTTCTAAGCCTGCTTTCGAGATCAAGCACAAATTCGATATACCCACTAAGAACATCGAAGGGCAACCAATGCCACTCATTCCAATTTTGAAAAGGGCCAAGAACCTTTTAACCACGGATGACCTGACAAAGCTCAAGAAGGCCATGACAAATGAGAGGAAGCGCAAATGGCGGGAAGTCAACGCCACCAAAAACAAAGATCATGACTTGCGAGCTCGGCTGAAAAAGAGGGCCAACGCGCTGTTCGGTAGTCTGGAGTCGACTCCCAAAACCAGCTGGTTCAATCAGGAATACTCCAAGCGCTCGCTCAAGATCGAAGTGGAGACTGATGAGAAGACGAAGCTGCCGACTCAAGAGCTCTCAACAAGCATAACAGATCATGAAGTTTTAAACATGATTGTCTGCTTGTTGGATAAGGAAGATGTCGCTCGTGCTATCGAGAATCAGATAAAAACTGAGGCCAGTAAGGTGGGGCCTGATCGCAAAGGATCAAAGAAAAAGGTGAGAGCCCCCTCAAAAGTGAAGAAAGTTGAGGCAGTTCCTCTAAATCGAAGGGAATCCACTCAAACGCTTGCTGAAAACTCAGTGAATGAGACTAAAAAAGACTCTGTGCTTTCTCAAGACGGAGCCTCCTCCCACTCTCAACCAAGTACGAGAATTGCGACCACAGTCGATCCGGTTGAATCTATCGATCCAGTCTTTTCGCAAATGGCCAAAAGAAACCGATCTGAAGAGGAGACTGACTCTTTCAATGGTCTCAAGCGCGCCAAGAGTGATGACTATTCGAAGAGTGAACCCCTCAAAAGACCTGCTTATATAGATTTGGGTGGGCCGGATTGAGGTGCCGTTTGTCTCATCTACTTGACGAAGGCACCAATAAAGATGCAGTTTTTGGACATTCGAAGACGTGTTCCGCTAATGAACGTTGTTTATCACATCGAATTGGGATATAAATATTTAAAATACAAAACGTGGAATGCATTCAGGTGCATGGTATCAACTCTTGCCATCATGGTTTTCTTCTAGAATGAAATCAGTTTGCTGAACTTAAATGGACTGTTCAGGGTTTCTCTTTTCCCACACAATCTCGGCTGGTTCTAAGGGCAAGGTGACCATACTTTGAAAATCAGGCTGTGGAACGCCATTCATTTTCGAGGATGACTTCCACTTCAAAGTTCTAATGTAGATGGAAAGAATGACACCAAGTTGACAGTAAGCGAAGTGCTCACCAATGCATCTGTGTCTTCCACCCCCGAATGGCAAGTAAGGTGACGAGACACCCTTGGAGATGGCACCAAAACCGTAGTCAACCTGTTCACTAGAACCGTAAGAAGACTGATAGTCGTTATTCCAGCGATGTGGATCGAATTTCTTTGCTTGAGGGAAAAATTCGTCTTGCAAGTGACAGTAACCAGGAGAAACAAGAACAAAATGCCCTTTAGGTACGACATATGGGGTGTTTGGAACGGACATGTCTCTGGTAACTTGACGGAATAGCGAATGCAACGGGTGGTGCAGTCTTAGAGTTTCTTTGATAGTCTGATTCAATAATGGCATTTTCTGTAATAAGTCAAAAGTCAACTCCAGCTTACCGTTTTCCAAAACCTCCATTTGTTCTTTGTAGAGTTCTTCTTGAATCTTTGGCTCTTCGGCCAAATGCAACAGCAACCAGGCCGATGTAGCTGCAGATGTGTGTTGACCACCCATCAATACACCAATTAACAAGTTGGCGATTTCTTGGTCGGTCATTTGCGTGCCGTCTTTGTATGTAGAGTTTTTCAATAAAGAATCAATCAAATCTCTGTCCTGAATATCATTATTCTCTCTTCTCTTCTTGATCAACTTCATGTAGGTGGCACTGATGGTTCTTTGAGCATGATCACGCTTACGGTAGTGATCTAGAGGTAGATGAGAGAAGACAAAGTTGATAGGCTGGAAACCCTTGTCTAGATCCGAGTACAGATAAGCAAAATCGGTGTTGAGCATTTGACGCATTTCTTCACCTAGCAAAGAACGCGATGCGGTGAAAATGGTCATTTCAGGCTGAGATTCCATAACATTGATGGTACCTGAAGATTTGGAGTTCATTTCGAAATTCTTGGAGGTGCGGAAGTACTGATAAATCTCGTCTGCTATCTTTGGCACATAAGAACGGAAGGACTCAGTACTGAGTGCACCTTTCACGAACTTCTTCTGGTCCATCAACTTGCTGTTAGGACAATCGTAAATCACACCTTTACCAAAAACTGGGGTTGTGAGATGTGTATAGGCCGCTTCAGCAGACACATCTGCCAGTTTGGCATTGAGCACGAATTCGTGGCCCTTGGGTCCCAAATACACCGTCATAACACGTCCCAAAAGCATAAATGAGAAAACATCACCGTATTTCTGCTGGCATTCTGCGAAAAACTCGTATGGTTTCATTCCGTAAGTGACAGCACTACCAACCCAAGGAATCCAGTAGAAAACGAGCGGAACCCGATCTTTGCGCATAGAAAACCACAACTGCCACAAAATAATGTACGCGAACGGCGCCAGGATCACAATGGATGCCTGTTGTGCGATGGGTAGATGTAAAAACCAGCTCAACGCGCCGCTGGAAAGCGCTAAAACTTTGGAAACCAGTGCATTGACCACTGAAGTATTGCCAGACGCCATCTCGAACCCTTCCTAGTACCCTTTTGTGGTCTTTTGGCTCACAAAATGTGGGTTTTTTAGTTGATTAGCTTTTTAACATGCTCTCGAGGCCCATCACCTTCGTAAATTTCATGGTCTTTATATAGTCGTTCAATGTTATACGATTAGGTGACAGATGACAGAGGGCCTTAAACGATTCTGGAAAACCGATATAAAACGACCTACTAACAATGACTTGAAAGTTGGTAACAATGCCTGGAACCGATAGCCATATTCATCACCATTGTTATGGATAAACGAGGTTTAACGAGTGGAAGCTTACCGGGGTAGAGTTTTGGTGAGGCTTTGAAAGAAAAAAAAAATGGGGATCTTGAGAAAAATGCCGAAAAAAAACGGGCCAAAATGCTCGTATTTGGAGCAGAAACGGGAGGTGCGTGTACGAAGTGGATCCATGTGAAGATTGGGCTTCGAGAAAAGTTAAACGCAGAACGGTCTAAAAACGACGGACAGGGGAGAAAATAAAAGAAGCAACTCGTATGGGTACTTACAAAAATGGAGTAGACTGCGCTGGTGAGCGGTTTTCGAGGTGCGTGGCATCTGTGGAACCTGTGGCACGTTCCATCTCTTTGATGTGTGCTAGTTGCCAAAGAATCAATCACTCCACACGTGTGTGACGCAGACCCTCCCATACATACATATCATACAAACCGGATCTCTGGATGGTAGTATCTGTCGCATGCAAAATAAGATCTGCGCACTTCTTCCCAGTTTGGATTGACGGGTAGTGGTACCGTGGTGTAGTCGCATCTCATGCCGTAGTTCTGCACGTCGACCTCCACCACACGTTTGTAAACGTCGTAGCAAACCTGTCTGTCGGCACCCAGGCCGTTGAAAAACGAGAAAACACCCTCGGGTTTGATAAGGCCTACCACTGTATCGTAAAGCTCCAGCATGTCGCTGTAATGCTCGCTGAAAGTGTCGTAGTATATGGCGTCGAAAAAAACGTCGCCTTTGTCCAAAAGTGCAGAAAGTGTCTCTTGCCAGCGGCCTTCCAAGATCACCACATTTGGCTTTTCGTACCAGCCTTGTTCACGCATGTGTTTCAGGACATCCGGGTGAGCTTCGCAGATGTAGTGTTTTGTTGGGTTGCGCTCTTGGATAAAAGTGTCGATAATGCCCATTCCGAAGCCGATATTCAAGACAACCGCTTCACCAGAAGATGCATATTTGAACATGGTATCGCGAGCCAACTGCATGATTCCCGTTTCCCAGTCCATCATAACGCCGTCCTTGTTGCTTTTCGTGACGAGAGCATTCGAAGTGTATTCCAGATCCGCTTGCAGATAGACATCTTGATCTTCAGCGGTGTCACCAGTGGTGGCCTCAACTTGTGGGACATCCACAATCTGTTGCTTGGACTCTTCTTCAGCCCCAGCCTCGGCTTCAGCCTCAGATTCCTCAACCTCATCGTCCTCTAAAAACTCGATGTCGTCGTTCAACTTCCGCAAAAGAAGCTCAGCAGAAACACCGGCATCCACAACTCTCTCATATAGTGCGTTCCCATTGGAGAGTCCGCGTTCACATAAGATATCCCCAGGACTTTTGTTTTCGTAGTCCAAAAAGTTCCATCCAGCACCATACTCGAACAAAATGTCCATCATCTCTAGTACAACATCTGTTTCCGCTGATGTCATTTGATCGGGCAAAGATCGTACCAGGACATGTAGCGGTGTTGTGTCTGAAGCTGGCGCTTTCTCATCTTCCTTTCCAGCTTCAAAAGCTGCAGCTTGTTCTATAGTGTAAGTGGCAGGAATACCACTTTTCAAGAGCGCTTTCAACTTGTCCACATACGTCTCATCGATTGGAAGTGTTTCCAACGTCAGCAGCTCGTGAAGATTCGACATTTGGACCTCTGAAGACGTGTTTTTGCCGTTTGTTCTTCGAGATTGAAGAAAAGCGAGCTCATCTCATCTCGTCTTCTTTTAGAACTTGACTACGAGAGTTAAAGGTTGAAGTCAACTAAAACAACAAATATACTGTAACATCTAGTCATAAAGCATTGTTATAAGGATATGAATATATAGACTGGCCAGTTTGACTCAGCTAATGTCGTGGTGTTTGTGTTTTTCAGTTCAGGCATCGAATCTCTTTTCGGCTTCTTTCCAGTTGATGACATTCCAGATGGCCTTGAAGTAGTCGGCCTTGCGGTTCTGGTACTGCAAATAGTAGGCGTGTTCCCAGGCGTCGATGGCCACAAGTGGCTTCAATGGACCGGTAACGGTGTCCTGGTTGTAGGTTTGGACAACCTCGATCTGACCACCGTTTTCAGCGTTCTTGACGATGAAGGCCCAGCCGGAACCTTGGATTCCAGCGAGCTTGGCATTAGTTTGAGAAATCAAGTTGTCCAAAGAGCCGAACTGGGACTCGATCTGCTTGGCCAAAGCTCCGGAAGGAGCTTCTCCACCGCCTTGCGACGAGGGAGCCAAATTCTCCCAGAACAAACAGTGGTTGGTGAAGCCACCGCCGTGGAATTTAATGTTTTGCTGCAAAGCCACGAGCTGCTTGACAACCGCCACGTCTTGTTTAGGGTCTCCAGTTATTTTGCACTCTAGCTCGCCAAATTGTTCAGATGCAGCGTTGAATCCGTTCACATATGTTTGGTGGTGCTTAGTGTAGTGAACTTCATTGATCTTAGCAGCAATGTGAGGCTCCAAAGCGCCGAAATCCCATTTCAAGTCGGGCAATGTGACTTTGGTTCTTTTGGCCATCAATGGTGCCATGGATGGGGCTTTTTGAGCAATTCTTTTGGCAAACATTTTGTGCGTTGTTCTTAGGGGATTCAGAGCAGTTGTTCTTACAGCGAGCAATAGCGTTTCGGTATCTACCTACTTATAAATATAAATACACAGTTTTAGTTGATACAAACCAGTTAAAGAAAGGCGCTGTTACCGGTTATACTTGGTAGATTTTTATATACTGTGGATTTCCTTAAAGGCCATCTACCTTTTTTTCAGCTGGATAGGATATTGGAAAAATGATTGGACAGTGAGAAGAATCGCAATAGGTGTATAATGACGCACAGCTTTGGTTGATTTCGTCATGAAAATGAGCTAAAGAGACGAGACTTGATGACTTTGAATTTACAAGCCGAATGAGAGAGTTTCAACGGTGAAAAAAAGGCAAAAAGCGGTTTACTACGACCAGAATTGGAAAGTGTAGTAATACTTGTAAATATTTGAGACAGAGACACAGTTTTCGCGCCGGAAAATTGGGTGGAATATGTCCATGTAATGGTTAGAGAAGTCTAGATTGTAGATACCGATTACTGCAGGCACTTTAAGGCGGGAGCCCTTCGAGATTATTGTAGGTGTTACTTATTTTACTGACATATTAATTAATATCAGAAATCTAGAGTTTTGAAAATTTCAGGACCAGCCATGGTAACTTGATGATTGTGAGAACGAAGAAGCAGCACAGTGTTGTTCAAAATGGCTGGATTGCTGGTTTGAAATGATTGTGGAAAAAGGGGGAGACTCCTCACGTGAAGCTGGAAGCCAACGACACGCCCGTGTAAGGTGATATATAAGGCCTGAAAACGACTGTTTACTTGGAAGGTAGAAATGGAATCAGCAAATCACGGCTCATGTTATGCGGCGTGAATATTCAATTCACTACCCGTCTTGCTGAATGGAGAGGAACAGTGGTTTGATATCGAGCACGTGACCGGAGCTGTACTGCGACACAATAAGATGAAAGTGATAGACTCATTCATGAAAGCCCCAAGAATGCTAGTTAGGCTGCCGCTACGAGCTTCAGCTAGGTTCTTGCGGTAAGAACTTTTTTTCATATGTGCTGGCAATCTCAAATAGCTAGACCACAATCATTTAAGTTACGGAAAGGGCCCCATTCCCCATCCCACTTATCGCCTGGTCCAATACTAACTGCACAAAAAAGTTCGAGGATTTCGAAAGTAAGCCGAAAGGTCATAAATCTGCCAAAAATCACGCCCAGATAATTTACAAAGAGCTCAAAAATGTACACTCACACCGGGAGTTTTGTCAGATACTCTTCGATTGTCTGTCGCTGCGTCAAATGTATTACATAATGACTATATGCACGTGACACGATGACAGCGACAAAAGTTTGACAAAGTAACCAAGAAACTTGGACTTCCACAACGCTCTGAATCTCCAATGACCATGAAGCCAATAAAATCAGTTGGCATTGCCTCATTATGTATAATTCGATTATTGGTCATTTGCACTTCAATTCGGATCAAAACTTTTCACTTTCGTTGATGACGAAACGATTCCCGGATAGGTACAAATGAGCACAGTTCCAAGCCTGCAAGCCAGTATTTCATAGGCTGAGCGCAGTACGGGAACATACCCTTTTCAGCTGCGTAATAGAAATTATCAACTCACCTCCAATGGAAGACATCGTCAAGGGCATGGTGACTTATAGTACCGTGCCAAGACACCTCCAGGGATTTTAATCGAACTCAACAACCGATATACATAATCACACTGCACAAGCCCTCGCAGCACCTTTGAAACCCTGTTCTGAGGCAACGTCACTATAGTACAAAGTGACAAAACGAAATATATACAACTCTTGAAATAACGTCCTCGAGAACTTCCTTCCCCTCTAACTGAACAATCGATGAAGGAAGAGCCTTCCAAAGGGCTATGAGCGGCAAACGGACACCAGAAGATTATGTGTTTTTGGAAAGGTTAGGCCAGGGCTCTTATTCTACAGTTTTCCGAGCTGTAGAGCGCAACAACAGTACTAAGAACTATGCTGTGAAAGTGTGCTCCAAAAGACACATCATCCAGGAAAAAAAGGTGAAATATGTCACTATTGAGAAGGACTTACTCAACAAATTGGGACAAGGGGGTCATCCAGGTATTGTACGACTCTTCTGTACATTTCACGACGCTGAAAACCTTTATTTCGTGCTTGAATATGTCAGTGGAGGAGAACTACTGAATCTGGTACGCAAGCATGGACCATTGCCTGAAGTATGGTATAAACATTTATTTGCACAGCTTGTGGATACAGTGGATTTTATGCATTCTCATGGTGTGATCCATCGAGACCTAAAGCCCGAAAACGTGCTGCTATCGCATGAAGGGAGAATCGTAATAACAGATTTCGGAGCAGCTTGCTCTATAACTACAGCGGGACGAGATCGGTCAGCCTCGTTTGTGGGTACTGCAGAATATGTTGCACCAGAATTGCTGCTCTACAGCCAGTGTGGTTTATCATCTGATATCTGGGCCCTAGGCTGCATTTTATACCAATTGACACAGGGAATTCCACCATTTAGAGGCGAAAACGAACTGCAAACTTTCGAGCAAATTGTTCATTTGGATTACAAATGGCGCGTAGTCACTCCACAGCAGGTCGTAACATTAGTGCAGAGCATTTTGGTGCTTGATCCCCTTCTAAGACCCACCAGTAAGCATTTGAAGCAGAATCCATGGTTATCCGCAATAAATTGGGAGAACAAGTCAAGTCTATGGAAGGGTATCTGGGAACTACCAGAGAAAGTAAGAAATAGACAAGGTCATGCCCAAGAGCGTCCAGTCACTACAAACAATGGGATCAGACCGGCCAGGAAAAAACCGACACAAACAAGAAGCACAAGTGCGATTGTGGAATGGCGACAAAAACTGGGTCTCAATTCACTGCCGTCTCCACCATCTTCAACAGGAAATACAAGGTCCACTCCAAATAATCAAGTGCAGCAGCCAAAACTAAGGAACAAACCACAGCGAGCCCATTCTCAAGATTCGTCTTCCACACCACCCATAAGCACTACTCATATCATTTCAGATCTGCCCATTTTAAAAAGAGATGTTGTTCGCACCTTAGAGATACCATTTAACTCGGCACAGACCGCTTTATCTTTTGAAAGCTTTTCCAGTGTTGACGATTCTGCAATCACAGAATTTGTTACTAATAACAAGAGTGCGATATTAAATCGGTCATCCACTTGTGCTATGACTCTGGACGCCAAGGGCAATCTATCATACCTTGACCAGAATCGTACTGAAAAGCATATGATCTCCATTTCCGATCCAGAGCTTTCCATGTATGATTTTGAGTTTGACGAGGATGCGAGAACAGGATTTCTAATTTTGGAGAAATATAAATCTAAGCTTTGGTTCATAGCCACAGCTGCGGTCGACAGCACGTCGTACCCTGATGTTCGAACGTTCAATAGCCATAAATCTTGGGTTGACAGTTTTTTCACCGCAAGAAACTTGACAGCCACGACAGAGAACAGAAGGCCGAGATCTGCTCCCAACACAAACTCTCCCAGTGTACCGCGTAGTGCTCCGCAAGTAGCTACACCGAGGGTGAAACTTAAACCAAAGACTAATACGAGCGGCTCAGCGACTATGGTGGTGAGCTCAAGCAGATATGAGGTTCTGCACACATTATCCAATTCAGGTATGAAAGGCAGCGATGCTAGCAGTGGTGCCAGCGCAGCTTTTCGAAGTCTCAAAAAAAAGTAGCACATCTTACATATACAAGGTTAGAAGCAATTGTGCGAAATGCATAAAGAGTACATAATTACTTGAGGTCATCAGATGGTCGTGGGCCATGGCGTTCGGCCTAAGCTGAAGCGCTTTGGTTATTCTGTCATTATCTTTTTTTCGGCCAACAATATTCATTCCAATACACTTGCGTCGAAATATAGCCCTGGGTCCAAAGCAGATATATCCGCACTACTTGCTACACCATCCAGCAGTAGCTCACTCATGATCTTACCGGTGCCAGGTGCATTATTAATACCCCAGCAGGAATGACCAGAAGCCAAAAAGAGACCCTCGAGATTGGTTTCTCCAACGAGAGGTCCCGAACTGGTTGGAACATTCAGCACAGGCAAATAACAAGCTTGTCTTTTCAGGATATGGCCCTTTGAGAGATTAGACGAAAGCTTGGATACGTAGTGATAAAGTTCGTCACATTTCTCACGTACAACTTCCACAGCATCACTTGTCTCAGGTAGCTCGACTAAAGTATCACCTTCCCCACATACGTATACTTCATCCTTACGAGCGTACATCTCCGGAGAAAAATAGTTGTTTCGACCGATTTTTAACTCCGTGAAAATCGCATATGGAGAGACTGTACCGGTAGAAGGTTTTATAGTGATGGAATGTGCTCTTAGACCTGAAATTGGACAGTCCGGCAGAAGCTTCGAAGTCCAAGGCCCCATGGCTAGGACGACTTGCTGAGCGTCCAGAATTTCCACCGCGTCTGTCTTAGCATCGATTTCTTCAGACGTGGGTGTGTACGATACACCAGAAGCACATCCCATGTCATTGTACCTTATTTCATTCACTTTTCCCAAGATAAGGTCTACTGCTCCTGTTTTCATGGCCTCATGTAAAAGGAAATACGTGAATTTGTATGGATGCACCTGAGCGGTGGAATCGGTGCCTCCTAAGGAAGACCAGTCGCGCACAAGTTGTGTTCTGATCCAGTTGAGATCTTGAGGCAGATCCGATGGTTGGGTGCTGCTAGAGTTGTTCATCCCGCATGACTCCTGTATTGCGTCGGACTCATAGTCCACATCGACAGGGTTACTGACTCCTAGTTCCAACGCTTCAAGCTCGTCTTTGCCATCACTCTCGTCGTCGCTCTCATTATCACTATCATTGCCGCTATCTTCGTCTCTATTACTTCTGCTGGTCTGCGCGCAACGTTTTTTCTTGCCTGGGGTAGTGGTATTTTTCCGGGGTTGTCGATTTTTTTTGCGCGTTGCCAAAGTGTGCGACCTGCTGTTACTGCTCTTGCTGGAAATTGAACCAGCCTTATCTGTGGAGTCACTTACGTTTTGAACGTCTGCTTCTATTGAAACTGTAGTCAAACGGCGATAATCCCATTGGTTTTCCCCATCGTATTCATCACTTAGCTCCTGGTGCAGCTGAAAGCTAAGGGGCACAATTTGTTGTGGGAATGCCCAAGTCGCCAAGAGTCCACCTGCTTTACCAGAGGCACCACCTGCAACTCTTTTGGATTCTAGAACGGTGATGTGGTGCTTGGAAGCGTCAAACGAAGGATGACGAGTTAAATAGTAAGCAGTGCACACACCAATGATGCCCGCTCCGACAATCACAATGTGATGTTTCCCCTCAGCTTTGCCAGAAGGCTGGGACAGAAACTCCACCTGATCAACAGCTTGTGGTGAATTGCTCATAGCGATGATATGATCTATTCAAATGAAGATCGATGGCAATAAAGATTCTTTAAAACTTTTGTGCTCACAAACGACCCTCTTCTGATGGTTTTTCTGCTCTAGGGTAGGATGACGTTTACTCCTCAAGGTCCAAATGTGACAGATTCCTTTGAACAAATATGGTGCCAAAAAGCTATACCTGAAGGAATGAGTTGCCAGAAAATGAGACCACTTAACTCACTATTTTTCCCAAACGGTATTTTTTTTTCTGGGATAGTCTAGAAAAATTAAGGCTTTAGGACTTAGTCAATCAAATGTGTGTTGGCAGCGATATAAAGCTTCGTTTAATGGAAATTCCCTTAGAAGATAATCAAACATAAGCTGAAACAAGACGTCCCGGGCAATCTCTGCTGATTCCATCCGCAAAAGCACTTAATTTTTCCTTTGTAAAAATTCTATAGTTCTCTTTTCTTGTACGCTTTTCCTTGGCTTTTCCGTGTATCGTATAGTTGGCTTTTCCGCATTTCGTAGTGCGATAATGTCTCGGAGTCGTGCGGTTAGGGTGGTTTTCGATGGAGGGTTTCTGGGGTGCCAGTTTGATTCTGCATGTGCTTTGCGGGATGTAGAACGCCCTAGAAGGCAGCAGGTTGTAAGGAATGTCAATTTTTCACGGCAATAAGGGCCTATTGATCGTGTTGCAAACGCCGAAGCCGTTTAAAGCGGGTTGTTTAACGGCACCATATTGCGTTTGTATTTTGAACATGAAATGGATGCATATGTGTCCTTTTTTCCGTTGTCCGGAAAAGTGGAACCATTTTGGAAACTTTAACGACCGCTTGGAGGCGGCCCGTTTGGTTTGTTGTGGGTTGCTCGGTTTAGTGATGGAAACGACAAAATTCAAAACCGGACAAATTGTGAGTCTTGTGTCATTCTTTGCTTGGAAGGAAGCATTTCGACTGTAAACATCGAGCAATTGAGAGCGGACATCCTTCAATCTTTGGAGTACGGTCTTGGCAATCGAGTAGCCTTCTTGACAGTTTTGTAAAAAAGTCTTTGTCCGCGGGGTGTTCATTTGCCTTTCGATTTTAGATCTTCGCGTAGGAGACTATTCCTGAGGCTTCACTCGTGTTTGTGACTCGTGTTTGTGACTCGCATCCGTCATTGCACTCTGCAACACACTGATGTCCCCATACACACAACTTGACCACTATTTCGTCGAGTTTCTTTCTTGAAACGTGTTTGTTGATTTCGCGGTCTTAATATCGTTCTTGTTTCGGAATTTTCGGGTCTAAACACCGTTTCTCAGTCAGGGATTATTTCCAGTAACTAACTAATACTAGTCAGTTGTCTTACTACACGTCTGGGGCCTTTGTTTTAGCTCGGCGGCTAATTTCTCGGTGTTATTTCAAGTGTCTGATAGATGAGATGTGAGAGATGTAAGAAGAAAAGCCTGAGACTATTTTGGTTGGACGTTAAAAACGATACATCTCTAAGGAAGTGTCACGTGATGAAGACGAAGGCTCTCCTGTGGTGTCTTACCACCACCCTCGCTACGCCAAACAACAGCTGCTTGTTACGAATCCTTCTTCGTCTTGTGCCTTTCTCTTCTTAATGCCCAATCATAGCACAAATGCTAGCACTAGCAACACGACTAGCGCAACGATCAACAACCCTATGCAACAATCGTTATATTTTTCCTTATTCTTCTCGTAAACCCATTCCAGCTGTCTTCTGCCACGCGACAGTTTGCTCATTACATTGTCCATGTTCCCGTCCATCTCGTCGAGCATCACACCTTGATCTTCGAGTTCCTGACCCATGGTGCTGGCCTGTAGATGTAGATTACGCATGCTCTGCTGGATTGTGTCCAAATGCTGATCTTGCTCTTGCAGCATCTGCTGTTGCATAGGATTGTCGTTCTGAGCATCGGACGGTACGTCAGAAGTGTCTGTATCCAACTGAAGAGACCCGGAATCAGTTTGCAGACGATCCGCTGGTATTTGCAATTTTAGTCGTGCCACATCCCGTTTCAAACTTTGCATGGCTTCTTCTCGCTGCATTACTACGCTGTCAGCCACAATCCCATCTCTTTTCATAACCAGAACGCTAGAATCCAGCTCCTGAACGGTTTCCTCCAGGTCAACGAAAATGTCCCTTATCTCAGCATCGATTTGATGGTTCCCGTCCAAATATTGTAACAATCGGTTCGTCTGTTCATGGGTATCATTGAGAACTTGCTCGAATGGATCATCCATCTTTATGACTCGTTGTTTTCCTTCTAGAAATGGACGATGTCTTCGTTAGCGAACAATTTCACATTATGATGTGTAAATATATCTAATATACGTTAACTCATCGAAATATCGAAGAACCAACCAAATATAACAGGTTAATCGGGCAATCCATGGAAGTCGAACAGCAAACCAAGCAGGAAACTCCACAGCTGCCCGATCCGGACCGCATCGACATTTCAGAGACCATTGGCGGCTCTCAAACCCGCAAATACCTGAATAAACATGTAACGCCGGCGTTACTACGTGGTATGCGCCTCATTGCCAAAAACCAGCCCGAAGATCCACTCAAGTTTCTTGGAGAATACCTTATTCAGGAAAGTCAGTTGCCACAGACTTCTCCTGCTACGAATGATCCAGAGAATCTTCCCGATGCTGTTTAGCAAGCGTCAACATTGTTATAGAAACCTAAATATTCTAGTAATATATTTACTGCGTGCTGGGTGTGTATGATATGATGATGCAATTTTAACAAGAAAAAGGTGCCCAACGGTGCTTTAAAGATGACTATTGATTGCGTCGTCGGTACTTGAAATCTCAGAATTTCTCTTCCTCTGTAGCTTCGTAGTTCATCATCTTCAATCCGTAGCCGCAGAACACGCTCAAGAGACCGAGTCTCCAACCGCTCCAAAGTTCGTGAATCCGGTTTGTATCCCGCACTGTGCTGTAGATGCCGCCGTATTCGCGTGGATGGACGACCATGTTTACCTCAACGATCGGGAAGGGGTCCTCGGGCTTCTTCCTCAATAGATAGGCTGTTTGGCAGCGTCTCAGTAGCGTCTCGACCGGCAGCTTCACGAAAAGCTCAACCATGTTGGATAACAGCTCCAGAGTGTTGTACCAAATAGTCTGTGTAAACCTGTCGATCTTGAACTGATGATAAAGAAGCACTCCTGTGAGGTTGGTAAATACTGTAGACGTCAAGGAATGGCCAATGTTCAAAATGATCATGTCCAGAGGAATCCCGCTGGCGTCGCGCTTCCAGGACCATTTTTTCAGCAGGTCGCGCATGCTCCGGTCCGGCAGTTTTACGGAAGTCACAGTAAGTCTCGTTCTGATAAGATCCAACGGTAAAAGAATCAGACCAGTGAAAACACTGGCACAGACTGTCAAAGCAATGGATTTGCGCGGGTCTGTAGAATGAACGATGTCGATAAAGTAAGGATCAGGGATTTGCAGAAAGGGACTGATCAAACCAGTAAACCAGGCGTCCAGCGTCACTGATAAAAAGTTGTAAATAAAAGTAGTGTTGTTAGCCCTCCACAACCCGCGGGTCCCTTCTTCCTCCATGATCGAATTCAAAACATCCATAGTATGCAAAGAGTTGGGCTGGATCTGTTTTGTCAAAGAAGGCGAGCTATGGTCATGATTTGCATGCGCGATAGAATTGGCCGGCGCTTCAGACCAATTGGGCTCGTCATCGGGGAATGTCTGTGGGAAGTACTCTATCTCCTCCTCGATATCACCCGCTACTTCGGCACTAGCTCCGTCCTCTGTGTTTTCGTTGTTCTCACTCATCTCTAGCGAAATCTTCGTATTATCCGTGGCTTTCGTAAACCGGAACTCACTCACTTGCAGCAAGAGCCTGGAAACCTCAAAAGGCTGTTGAACAAGATGTCTGAAATAGAGTCGCAGAAATTGTTCTAATAGACTGGACCCCACACTCTTCCAAGATCTCCAGTTTAGAACATCGTTCCATTCCATGTCATTGAACGACTTGTGACTTTTCTCCACCGCATCTGTGTCTCGTACTTGAGCCTTTACCCCAGCAGACAATTGTGACAGGATTCCAGGCTCCTTCAGCGACTTGGAAAGCCGTGACGACTGACGTTGTGACATTATATTCAGCTTGGAGGCGATGCTTCGGCCTTGACCGTCTACAACGCCTTGATCAGGCTTGAATACAGAAGTGTAGCCCGCATTGAAAGTATCTGGGTCGTAGTATGGCCTCAGCTGTTGATGCGTATTGACATCGTCCATCGCACGGTTTTGATACGGCCGATACGAGTTAGATAGTCAGAAACCAATGCTTGCAACCGTTGCTGGGGTTGGTTAACAAGGCTTAATTGAGATGGGATCCAAAATACAAGGGCGTCGTACCCGATGAGGAGCGATGAGGGCAGCTAACAGAGACCAAAGCGTAAGTGCTAAAGACAGTTTGCCAATTGTAGAAGATCTGATCCCTGAAATTCCTATAGGTTCCAATCGAGCATGTGTGAGACTTTCTATCCTTTTTATGGAAGCAGTATTTTCTTGGTGAACTGTTAGTCGTCTTCGGCGTCGTTTTCAGCGTTGTCTTCTTCGGGCTTGTCTTCTTCTCCGTTATCATCGGAGTTGTTGGAGGGCTCATCAGAACGCATGCTATCAGCAACATTCAAAGAGACCACTCTTCTCCCATTGGGCTGTTTTTGGCGTAGCATGGACGTGATGCGGTTCATTTTTGTCATCGGCAAGGCGGTCGACACTGAAGCCTTTGAGGGCATAAAAGCGGCCCCCGATATGGCAAGGTTATTCTCCACGGCTTTGCATTTCTCCAGTAACGCGTGGTCCAGTTGTTCGACCAGAATCTTGTGATCTTGTCGCAGAATCTCAAATTCTCGTTGCGCTTCTGTAAGCCGAGCTACCACAAGTCTGTGTTGTGTTTCTAGTTCGCTGACAATGGCCTGTTTTTGGGAAATCTGTGTGTTCAGCTCCATCAACTGCCCATTTTGTTGCTTGTAGAGATCCAATTCCTGGCGCAACCTTTGAACCTCAAGAAAGCTTTCTCCCCCGTTTTCAGCCGCCGTAAACGACTTTGAATTCTCTTGGACTACATCTCCGCGTTTCTGAACCTCTTTTTTTGACAACAGCAGGTGTTGCAAGTGCTTGTTGTTGTTGGCACTGCGGGACACCAACCCCTCGAGATCTATCTGTGTCTGGGCGACCTTCGAGTCCATGCGTTGCACCTGTGCGTTCAGATTGTCATGCCCTGCCAAAAGACGTTTGATTCCCACCACAATCTCACTTATATCGTCTTCATACCCTAACTTTGACCTGGGCGGCTCTTTTTCCGTAGAATGAGTATTGAAACTTTGTTTCGTATTTTCCAAGCCGCTTACAACGCAATCCCCACCGTTTTTCGACATTGGGGGCTCTTTTTATAGCTGGAGTTTCCTTCTTTCCTGTCGACTGAACTTAAGCTTATGTTAACGACACCCACGGTCAGATAGTTGGATAGAAAGATGTACATCCGGAGATGCTTGTCGTATTACATGTAATAAGATACCATTCCGTATATATAGTAGGTAACGGTTTACATCTCGATCTGAAAGTTGTCAGTTGTGACTGTTTTTTAAAACACCCACACATCCTCGACATATTTTGAAGATATATTTTATTTGTTGAAAAACTTACGATCACGTTTTCGATATGGCACAAAAAAAGAGTCGCTTGGGTCGTAGACTTTAATGCCACTGCGATATGCATTCCCACGATTAGTGTAGGCAGAGCGGCGAAGGGATTATCTGAGCCTGGCCCACAGGAGTCCAGACAGAGAGAAATGTGGCTTTCTCTGCCTGGGGGGAGGTCCGTGGGGATGCTTCCGTCTAGTCTCTGTCTAACTCCCTGCTTGCTTCCTGTCTAGCTTTCCACCTCACGCCTGCCTAGCCTTCGAATCTCTGTTCCTGCCAGTGCTCAGTCTCTGAGCTAACCCATACTGGAACAAATTTTGGAAAGATGCGATTGATATACGTACAATTGGTATTCCAGCGCTGTTGATCTTCAAGTTAACGAATACACAGATAGTTAAACCTCCATCATCGAAAATGGTTAAGTTCTTGAAAGCTGGTAAAGTTGGTACGTATTAGCACGTCCCTGTGGGACAGATTCGTGGATGTTAAGTGAGTGTGCCAGCTGCAGAGGGCCGATTGGACGAGTTCGAAGGGAAAAGGCTCAAATCTGTTCTATTGGAAGAGAATAGACCGTTGAGTGATTTTACATACATCGTGGACATCCAACATTGGTGAACAGGTCGTTGTTGGGAAAACGAAATAACTGGGGATTTTTCTTTGACTCTCCGTGCCTCTGGCGCGTGTACACACTTTTTTGGTTTACAACTCCAATACTAACTCGTCATTTTTTGGTACAGCTGTCGTTGTTCGCGGTCGTTACGCCGGTAAGAAGGTGGTGATCGTCAAGCCACACGATGAAGGCTCCAAGGCCCACCCATTCGGTCACGCCTTGGTCGCTGGTATCGAAAGATACCCATTGAAGGTTACCAAGAGACAAGGCGCCAAGAAGGTTGCCAAGAGAACCAGAATCAAGCCTTTCGTCAAGGTCATCAACTACAACCACTTGTTGCCAACCAGATACTCCTTGGACGTTGAAGGCTTCAAGTCTGTGATCTCCACTGAGACTTTCGAAGAGCCTTCCCAGCGTGAGGAAGCCAAGAAGGTTATCAAGAAGGCCTTCGAGGAAAGACACCAGGCTGGTAAGAACCAGTGGTTCTTCACCAAGTTGAACTTCTAAAGCAAATAAAGCATAATTCAACTTTTTGCATTTGGAATCTTTCATCTCACCTCTAAATAACCGAATTTTACAAAGGCGGATCCGTATGTAATCTACTCAAACACAACCCATTAAGCTCGTCTAGTACATCTTTATCGTGCGCTGCTCTACCTCCGCACCAATTGCATGCGAGCCCGAGCGCGTCTGTGCATTTTTTAACTTTAAATGTGGTTCGGTCTGTAGCTCCTTCACCATCATAAATAACTGACCTCAAAGGCTCTGGAATGAAGTGCAGATATCTGACCACCAGTGCCGTGCGCTTTTTGAAGCCAGCTCGATTTGACATCAAGCAATTCGTCAGTCAACTCCCGCTTTACGCTGAGTCCGTCAAGGCCCGACAGCTAACAAATGGTAATGAACTTCTCCAGCAGCTGTCCCAACTGCCATTGCAAGAACAGCAAGCCAAGACGTTAGATTCTGAGGTTGCCAGAATTCAAACGCAGCGGAAGTCCATAGAAAGCGAGATAAAAGCAGATAAAAGCAAGCTCAAGCAATTGCGAGGTGAATTAGCAGACTTGAAATCATCATTTCAAAGTGTCACCACTGAACTCAAGAAAATCCAAGACGAAATATACGAAACGTGTGTATCGCTCCCGAATTTAGTTCACCCTGATGTGCCTTTAAGGGAACCTGATTTGGTCAAGTGGATCAATCAGCTCCCGCAATACGTCCCTGACCCTATGCGCGATCATCACGACATCATGGTCAGGAAAAACCTTGTGGACTTCAAAGCTGCCGCAACAGTCTCTGGAAACTCATGGTACTACCTTCTCAACGATGGGGCACTGTTGGAGCAAGCACTGGTCTCGTATGCGACCAAGCGGGCGCGTGAACATGGATTTTCGATGTGCAACCCGCCCAGCATTGCCAAAAATGAAGTAATCGAAGCCTGCGGGTTCAGGCCACGCGATATGAATAACGAGCAGCAGATATACAATATCGAAGGCTCGAATTTGGGTTTAACTGCTACCGCAGAAATTGCCCTTGCCGGGATGCAGATAGATACCGTTTTAGATCTCTCTGATGGTACCAAGAAAATGTGTGGTCTCAGCCGGAGTTACCGAGCGGAGGCAGGTGCTAGAGGAAGAGATACAAGAGGGCTGTACCGTGTGCACGAATTCACCAAAGTAGAACTCTTCTGCTGGGCCTTGCCAGGTCGTAGCGAGGATGTACTACAAGAGCTATTGGATTTTCAGGTCAAGCTTGTGTCAGAGCTAGGTCTTACTGCAAAGGTCCTGAATATGCCTGCGAATGACCTTGGAGCTCCCGCATTCCGGAAATACGACATAGAGGCCTGGATGCCAGGTAGAGGATCTTTTGGCGAAATTACAAGCACTTCCAATTGCACCGATTTTCAAAGTCGTCGCATGGGCACCAAGTTCAAAGACGAAACTACAGGCAAACCTAAATTTCTACACACGCTCAATGGCACTGCTATCGCTGTTCCGAGAGTAATCGTTGCCATTGTAGAGAATTTTTATGATCCCTCTACGAATTTAATCGCTGTTCCGGATCCTTTAATACCTTACATGGATGGTAAAAGATTCTTTTAAAAACAGTGGGTGATAAAAGCCGATTGTCTACAGTATATTTCCAAAGGATCAACAGGAACAGACTTCACTAACCCTAGGATCTTGTCGATGTCGCTAGACATGCTCTGTTCTTTCTCCGTTGACGATGATCTTGAATTATATTTACATCTAAAGGGAAGCTTAACAGGATCCTACACGAGCCGGTTCCCAACCACTTGCCTTAAAGCTTCAATCAGCAACAAGGGCTGTTTTGAGCTATGCTTCTGTTGGCCTTGAGTGATGCTCACATTCCGGAACGCGCAATAGTATGTTTTGAAGACAGATGGCTCTTTTTTCCCTTCCTTGAGATCACAGCATTAACACAACGTGGTGACAGGACCTTCCGCACAAGTTCAAGAAACTCATCGGTGTACCGAACAAGATAGAGCAAGTGGTTCTTTTAGGGAATTGCACAAAAAGTTATAGCTTCGTGAAGTTCGTAGAACACATCTCCTCGAACATAGTGGTCGTTAGAGGTGAATTCGACTCCAAAAGCTTGCCCTCGACCAAAAATGCACGCGAGGAGATTCCGTTGAGCACAATTATTAAGCAGGGGAACTTCACAATCGGCTGCTGCAACGGTTACACGGTTGTACCCAAAAGTGATCCGCTAGCGTTGCTAACGTTAGCCCGCCAATTGGACGTAGACATTATCCTGTGGGGTGGAACCCACAATGTCGAAGCCTACACTTTGGAGGGCAAGTTTTTCATAAATCCAGGCACATGCACGGGCGCTTTCAGCACCGACTGGCCACCGTCGCAGGATCCTGAAGCCGAACCTGACAAAAAAACGGATGAAACAGGATCTTTCGCTGATGCAGAGCCTGCTTCTGCTGCAGCAGCTGCTGCTGCTGCTGTTGACGAAACGAATGAAGCAGAGACCGAGTCCGACGACGAAGCTGACACTCAAAGCGTCTCCAGTTTCTGTCTTCTGGACATTCAGGGCTCCACATGCACGCTTTACATCTACACACTTGTTGAAGGCGAAGTGAAAGTCGATAAAGTTGTCTACAACAAGAGTTGAGGAAAGATTAAAAGCAGCAGCTGGAAACTAGAATGCTAGAACCGATATCTGGGACATGAACCAGTACATTTAGAAGCGGAGCAATGGAATTCATGTTGTTATAGCCAGCAGATCGCTCACAACTTCGATTGACGATTTCTGGTAGCCCTAACCAGATCGGGCTTTAATGCTTAGCTCAGCATTGAACCATTATACCACGTGATGATATATCAGGGATTATGTAATCTCGGGACCAAAAAAATGTATATAAGTAGAGGTGAAAAACTCACATCCTTTTCAATAAGTAAATCCATGCTTCCATGACATCAAGCACCAAGAACACTGAACCGCGAGCATCAGCTTTTAATCCTGTTCTTGGATAAGCTGACGTAGAGGAAAAGAAGTATCTTTTCGAGAATTACACAGGCTTCGGACCCACAGGTCCGGCCGGTATATTTCTATCCCATTGGAAATCAATATCTAAGCATTACATTTCTCTACAATGATGAACACGAGTGCATTTGGCTCGAGACGTTTTTGTCGATGTGGAAAAACCCAAGCTACCTTATTTTTTTTTGTCTGAATGTTGAGAAAATGCATTGCGTAGATTTTTATTTTTGTCGTAGAGAAAGTCTAGTAAAGTAGAGAAATAGTAGACGATGATGATGGCTGGCTTAATTCCGGCTATACTAAACCGTGATCTTTTGAATACCTTCCTGCAACGATGATTCTGTGTTTGGTTCCAATAGATCGGACTCCAGGTCGTCCTGAATCGAACCTCGCTGGAAATTGGCAGGCAGCAATTGTTGTGTATCGAGTATCTTTTTCATAGCGTATGCGTCTTCGCCGTCCAAGTAGTAGCTTTTCTCAACGTTTAGCACTTCAAACTCCAGTGTGTCCCGGTACAAATGCAGCGCAGCGCGATTGGAGTTTCTAACGTGTAGCGACACGAAGTTGGCCTTGTATACTTCGGACAATGCAAATAGAGCCTGACGCATGAGTTTTTCGGCAAGTCCCATACGACGGTACGTACGCATGACACTCAACGATGTGATGTGGCCGTTGAGGGCATCTGAACTCTGGGCAGCAGCTGGATCGTCGTTCATCTTGGCCAAAACGTAGCCCACGAGTTTTTCACCCGGACGCACATAGCATGGATCGCATTTACACTGGGAGGAGGCATTGGCTGCGCCAGAAGCGAGTTCTTCCAGCTGGTCTACGCCCACGTCATCCGTCGTGGTGGCCACAAATGATGCTTCGGGCCACGACAGGATGTGGTACATGTAGTATTTGAACAGATAGTTTTCCGGCAGGTTGTGCAGATTAGCATTTTGCATGCAGAGCATGTCATCTATCGTAGCTCTTCGAATGGTAATTGGCATTATGTAGAATGTAAAGCGAGCGGTGATTCAAAGTTCCACAAATCCTTTGCCGATGAGCGTGTAGGACAATTGAGAAAGGTGTCAAAAGTAGTCAGGTTGTTCCGCGAATGCTGTAGTCCTGTATGTAATATGGTAATTTTTCATTAGCTCAGGTTGGTGGTCAGGTGGTGTGTCAAATGTCAAGTTTAACGTTCAGTGTGATTTTTGATACATACAGGTAGTATTCTGATCTACAGATTCGTAATTGTGTTGAAGAGAGCAGGCTAAGTGGTACATGTGGGTGTTTTATGGACCGGCTCAATACATGCTTGAATTGTCGTCCTTCTTCAGAACAAAACCGGTTTAGTCATTTCATACGGCTGTGTCGCGGAGGAGATTTGGAATTCTTGACTGGGAACGCAGCTTTTTCGATTTGAAGACTAATCTATTTATTCAGTATTAGAATAACTAAACTTTCATTTGAATGAAACGTCGTAAACGGCTTATCTTTCGTCTTTCCAGGTTCCAGCTAAAATGCTGGTCACGTGGCTGATCCTACATCTTCACTAGTTGGGCACTATCGATGGTTCTTCCACGACAATTCAAGCGATCCGAACCCTCAGTTACTTGCAGTCCCTTAATCCAAGAACCAACACTATTGCTGCCTTTCGCCCCACTCCCTCTACCACAACTTCATTGAACAACGTGACCCATAGTTAATAGCATGTCGGTCTACCCATTAAACAAACAAAAATCAGTAGTATACAACAAAACACTCCGATTGTTCTTTGAGCACGGTAAAAGCTTACGCTGAGTGGCCACAAGGATCAATACATTTTGTCACTTATCTATCGCATACTTCTTGTCTCTCCCCGTCTAACGCACCCCAAGTTAGCCCATCTTTTTCCATCACTGAAGGCTCTTTCAGCACTCTATTTCATTATTCCGGACTGCAAGCGCATACTGCACCCGCATTTCCCCACATTGAACAGCCCTTTTCATCTAAACGACATCTCCCACACTTCATGAAGCAGAAAATCATCAATCCGTCCACCTCTGTGAACACTGCAACGCATCCAGGTTCCACCGGATACGATTATACCATGGGTCCGCAACAAACACTGCCGGATTTGCCCGTTTCCTCCGGAACCATTGCTGCGTCTGGCACCAATGGGGGCTCGTCCACAGCTGCCTCAGCCCACACGTCTCTACCGTCCGTTTACAACGGCTCGCTCCATCCTCACGCCCACAATCAGCATGTGTCATTGGCAGCATTCGCTTTTCTGTTCCAAGAGCTTATTTCACAGGCTCGTAACGCAAGCAAATCCGTTTCTGAAATCGAAATGCGGCTTCATCGTAACGGCTACCATATCGGTATCAGACTGCTAGAATTACTGAATTTCAGAAGCAGCGTTTCGCCCGGATTCGGCTCGACTTCATCGTCCAGGGCATTTTTCTCCAAAACTTCTATCAACTCTTCTTCGAATACTCTAGCGCTTAACAACGCGCTCACAACTACCCAGGACGAACCGTCACTGGCCCAGGGAATCTCTCACATGAAACGCCGCGACTTGAAACCCGTAGAGATTCTCCAGTTTATACATAGCACCGTGTGGACTTACCTTTTCGGTCGTGTTAGCGACGACCTTGTCAAATCCTCGGAACGCGACAATGAATACATGCTCGTGGATTCTGCACCCATGCTGTCACAGTTTATTAGTTCTACCAACGTTCAGTGCGATTTTTTCGTGTGTGGTATAATTGAAGGCATCTTGGATTCAGCTAGTTTCCCTTGTAACGTTACCATTCATTCAGTTCCAGAACCCAACTTTCAACAAAGAGCCGTGTTTGTAGTTCGGTTTGAACAGCAGGTACTCGAACGAGAAGCGCTACGAGCATAGTTTGAATTGAGTATCCGATCAGAAGTGTGTCCGATTTGTCTAAAAACTTGGTGATCTTCCTGTCGACATGACACCTCAAAATACGCGTAAAAGATTCAAGTTGGATGATACACTGATGGATCAACCGTTGAGAAGCAAGCCCGTCAATGTTGTGGTGAAATCAAAAACTGTCAAGAGTCCCAATGTCCAAAAACGGCGCAAAGTGGATGGTCCCTATTCCAGTGTTTTCGATCACCAACACGTTGAGATCCGATTGGCAGACCAAAATTGGCGAATTAAAACTGCAGGTGCATCCTCAGACAATTCTCATGAACGTTCTAAATTGACCAAAGGAGTGTGTGGGAAAGACAAAAGTTCGGGAGCTCGGCGGCTAAAAATCAAAAAATCGCTCCAAGCAATAGACTTGCCACGGCCCTTTTTGGATGCGGATCGGTCCATCCAGCTTGACGATTTCGACCAACCGCCAGAATCTACATCAACGCCGATTATAGGTAGTCCAAGACCAGCTTCTAGCGATATTGGTCCATATGGGCGTTTGAAAAACGAATACGAGAACAGTATCAACGACCAGGACCTTGACCCCTGGGTTTTAGACGAACATTGGTCTGCAAGCTACTCACCACGGTATGAAGAGCCTTTTGCACCAGGCGTAAGCCCCGCTTGGCATCCGGGCTACATTTACGGTATTCCTTTAGCACCCAGCTCTCGCAACCGGAACAAATCTGGCGTATTGAGATCCCAACATACGCCTCTCAAGAACAGAGGATTCGAAAACTTCCCGCAACAGCTTGCTGGCGGTCCAACTGTTGAGACGTATCCTTGGTACACTGCGGGCACTACCTACAAGTCACGTAGAAACTTTTCAAGCGGCGAAAGACTAGATGTACGCAACACTAGTCGGAATAGCTACAAGTCCAGCGGTGGCGAGGCTACCCGCAGCTCTTAAGACAACGTTCTACAAACGATATCATTCAAGGCAGTCTATATAAGGCTTGTCACATAAGTCGCCCATAATCGATCACAGTTGCGGCTCCCGTGAGTTATTTGGCTATTGAAAGAGTGAATGTTATCCGAAATGCCGTTGGAAGCTTGACAGTTGCATTGAGTGTTCCTTCCCTCCGGGCGAAACTCAATACCATTTGCTTATAAACTTACGATATCTTAAAAGAATCTGGTGTGTACGTACAATTGTGTCGAACCATACGGTTCAGCCTGTGACAAGAAGAAGTCTACCACTATAAGGAGTGACCAACATTCCATTGGTATTGTGGATTCTGCCATTCTACCAGCCTCGTTTTACCAATCAGTGAAGCTTGTTCCCCTGTAAAGGGCAAAAATAACGACAACTGCAGGATTCGAACCTGCGCGGGCAGAGCCCAAAAGATTTCTAATCTTACGCCTTAACCACTCGGCCAAATTGCCTACCATTGGGATTTAACAAAAACAAATATACGTATCCCGTGTTCTAGATGGCACGCTTTTACTTATATAAGCGTTGTTGTGAAAAATCTATAAGGATAATGAGATTACTGTAGCATTTACGTAAATCATTTGCAGGGAACAAACACATTCCAAGTTCCAGAATAAACCCAGACAGAGACCAATTTTCAAGTTTAATGACCGTGGTGTCGAACTTGCGCAGTAGGCATTCTGATGGTAACAAAAACACGATGTCAACGGGCTCAAACGGTGCTCATTTGGGTACAGAAGGATCGGATTCACCTCAGGTCCTGTTCATGGATACGAGCGATGTCAGAAACAGAACAGGCCATGTACCGTCAAGTTACTATCAAGTAGCGACCCCCAAGTCTCCGCATGATCTTTCGCTGATGGATGAGGCCGAAGAAGTTCGCACAGGACCGTCCCATCACGATCACAGGGAAAGCGAAGAAAGCGAGCGTTTGAAGTACGAAACTGCTAAACATGAGATCATGGAGAACCTCAATTTGCATATCATGCTAAAAAATAATGAACACACAGAGCTGGAATCAGAACTGGGCCGTATCGAGGCCCAGATGCGTGTTTTAGAGTACATGCATCAAGATTCGCAGCTCATGAAGCATGTCGGAAAACGCCAGGAAGAGCTCTATACGCGGCATCGTGAGGAATTTACTCGGCGTAAAGAGCGAGAAGCGTTCAGAACGAGTTTGAATGGTGTGGATCCTCTTTCTGCAATTCCTTCGAGTCGCCCTGGCGCTGAAAGCGGTCATGGAGGGTATTTTTACCACACACGCAGCAAATCGGCTCACAACGTTAATATTGGACAATTGGATGCTAGTGGTAATGATACGCACTTAGAATCGCGGCTGCGACCGGCCAGTGGCAAATTCGAAGGGAAGGGCTTGCCTGAGGGGAAAACGCTTCGAGTGCATGACCAGCAGGCTGCTTTGGGCTCGGAACTGGATCCCGTACGCCCATCGCTACTGAACCAGCACCAGAAACGTAACTACAGCAGCTCATGTTTGACCAGTAAAAGTGGAGTCGTTGGATCAAACGAAAAAAACGAGCCTATATTTAAACGACCCGACGGTATTCTCGTCATCATTGCATGTTCGTTTTGCGAACGTAGCGGATTTACGTCGGCGCAGGGCATAGTCAATCATGTTCGGCTCAAGCACGCAACCAGCTATCCCAGCCAGCCACTTGCTGTTTTGAAAAACCAACAAGTATTGCCTGACAGTCGGCAGGCAACCGAGATAATAGCACAATTCAAAAGTCTTCATTTAGACCCGCAACACGACTATCTACCCCATGTCATAAACATCCAGACTAGTGTGAATGCTGTGGGCCACAAAGACCGCAGAGCAAGTTCCAGAGAGCTATCTCCACGGGCGATGTCTCTGAAAGTCGAGACTAGACCTGATGGCCCAAGGAAATCCACGAGACATTTGAGAAAGCTCTACCCCGATGAAGATTTCAAAGAGATTGTTCACTACGTTAACGACGCCCAGAAGGATCTCGACTGCATCCTCAAACAGCCTTCAGAGACCGAGGACTCGGGAGAGAGTGGGCCAGATGATGATGTCAAAGTTGAACGAAACCAATCTAGTCTAGTTACATCCAACAGTAACGGGAATATCCGGGGCTCAAAAGACAACAGGGAGAAAGAATCAAGTTCGGAAACGAGCCCAGATCACAAAAGGAGAAAGTCCTCCTCTCCTGAATTAGATACTGGCCGAAAACGCTATAGAGCGGCGGAGAAAAAGGTCAGACCTGACGCTATTGCATTAATGAAAATTCCTGAGCGAGACAAACGTTCTTCGCACTACAACCTAAGAGCCAAATCAAAGCTCAGAGGACACAATAGATACGATTAATAAATGACTACATATACCATTAGAGAAGAAAATTTCCAGGTTTCTTGTTTGACAATCTTTACTTTCCCTTCGAATGTGTCAATAATCTCATCATCTTGAAAGGAACCTTTAAGTCAAATATTTGTACTGTCCTCATACCTTCTTTCAAGGCACAAACGGTATTGATTACCATGTTTAAGAGGGTCTCGACGGTCCTGGTAAGGCGTTGTAATAGACTGATTTCCACAAAAGCTGAGGGATCCAATGTTATGTGGTACTATGCTACCGATGTACCTACGACTAAACCATTTGAGCCGAACTATTCCATCGGGGACAAACAACCCAGCAAATTCATGCCTTTTTCCAAGAGTGACTCGTCTAGACTGGAACGAATGTTCCAACTAGCCAGTTTCAGGGATTCCAATGAACCATCCCGGTTTAATACTGTTCCTGTGAATGAAGACTATTTATTCGAAGTGGACTTGCCCAAGCGAGAAATGCGACCAGCATACTGGGCAGGACCCACTTACGAAGTACGACGTGGATTATGGTTCAATTCTGAAGGTCTTCCCATCAAAGAAGATATGGCCTCAGAACTTGAGAAACATCGTCAAGAATATTTGGCAGATAGGGAAACCCAGGTACAATGTCAAGATTCAAAGCCAAAAGAGGGTATGAGGGATGTTTTCAGGCTATCTAAAAATCACAAGGAGGGAAACATGGTCCTTTATGCGGACCCCACGACCGCTTTTATCTTACCTGAACTTTACGGCGGCAAGCTTCAGCTAAACTGGTTGAGAAGTCATTTGGCTCAGGCCGTACAGTTTGGGGCATATAAAGCGGTCAGAGGTGTTGATACGAACTGTTCGTTGACGGACGCTGTTAAGAATAATGTTCAGGAAGAAATTCAAGACACAGGTAAAAGTCTCGGCAAAGTAACGGATCTCATCAATTGGCAGCTCTTGGGTCTCCTGACGGGCCTCAACCCATTGGCGTCTTCCAAAGATTCTAACAACAAAATCATGGAGAAAGAGGTTGGAGCGGACTACTCAACGGAGACATCAAACGGGGAACAAACGCACTCAAACCATAGAGACGTGGATCATCTAGTGTTCTGCATTCATGGAATAGGGCAGAACTTAGGTAAAAAATACCAGTATGTGAACTTTGTTCACACGGTCAATGTACTACGAGCCAACTTGAAGAAAATGTATGGGACGAGTGATCAACTTAAGGATTTAAACAAGAAAAAGGGCCATGCAGATTGGGAGCACAACTGTCGCGCTCAAGTATTACCCATAACATGGAGGCACAAAATAGGATTCAACACCGACGATTTACAAGTGAACTCAGAGGACGCGACATTGCCTACCCTTAGTGATATCACCGTTGATGGTGTGAGGCCACTACGCAAGATTTTGGGTGATGTAGTGCTTGATCTTCTGCTGTACGGTGAGTCTCATTACAAGCATCGAATCATGCAGGAAGTGACACAACAGCTGAACGAACTTTACAGTGTGTATCGGGCGCGAAACCCCAGTTTTGAAGGTAAAGTGCACATAGTGGGCCATTCACTCGGGGGTTTACTCATATTCGACATCCTTGCGAACCAGGATAGATATCCACTGGATTTTGAAGTAGATAACTTCTTTTCCGTGGGATCACCGACAGGCGTTTTTAAGCTGATCCAAAAAACGAAACTGAACCATCGCAAGACTCTATCGACCACAACCAAAACCGAAACGCCACAATGTCAAAACCTGTTTAATATTTTCCATGTGTGCGATCCTATCGCCTTCAGACTTGAGCCTTTGATCGACAGATCTTTCGCCAAACTGCAACCTGCATACGTCCCACACTGGACAAGTAACGATTTCACTTCCAAATTAGTCGAACTTGGTGGCTCCCTAATTACAACCGATCCCAAGAAAGAGGGCTCTACTATCACAATGACTGACCGAAGCATCCAAATGTTGAATAAACTAAATCATTCCGGTAGGGTCGACTACGCATTTTTACCGAATTTCCTCGAAGTTGACTTGATTTCTGCAATCAAAGCACACGTCAGCTACTTCGAGGAAATGGACTTGGCAGCGTTCATTCTCAAGCAAATGCTATCCAAAAGACGTAGGATTGACACTGGTCTGTTGGCCCAGAAGCGTAGCGACACAGGCGTCGAAAATGATTGAACAAAATTTCGTCAAGAAGCTCATCTCATGGCACTCTTGATGACAACTGCAACGGCCACATCCACAATAGACCACCACGGTGCTCTCTTTTTGTCTCTTAGGACAGTCTGTTGCAACAAGGTTTCGACTTTTCCACCATGAAATATATCATCGAGCATATGGAGCAGGGCTTCAGTGAATGGGTTGCCTTGGAATACGCTCAAATAATCAGAGACGTGGGAGCATCCAACCTCATCTTGTCGTCGTTGCCAGAGGGAACTGAGGAATCAGACATTCCTGAAGCATTGGTACGTATGGGATTGCAATGGACGACGAAACCATTGGTGGACATACATGAGGCGTTCCCCGATCTTCCCAAATTAAGAGAGAAAAGAGTGTGTCTCTTGGATCCTCGTGGAAAGGAGGATTTGAAGCCCCAGGATGCTTACGAGTACGACTATTTTGTTTTTGGAGGGATTTTGGGCGACCATCCTCCTAGAGACCGTACAAACGAGCTGTATAGGGCATACCCAGACCTTTTGGTGGGCAAAAGACTTGGGGCCAAGCAAATGACCACTGATACGGCGATTAGAACCACTCAGTTGATTGTCGAACGCCAGCTAGAGTTTGAGAACATCAAATTCATCGACTATCCGGAATTCAGGTTTAGCAAAAGCGAGGCCACGGAAATGCCGTTCAGATACGTTCTTGACGACCAAAATAGGCCCATCCTACCGGACGGAATGTTGGATCTAATCAAGAAGGACTCCGAGCAAAGTCTAGACGGTCTTCTATGAAAAGTGTAATTGGTGTTATATGAAAAGAATATTTGTACGTACTGCAAAATTCGTAGATATAAGGAAGGGAAGAGCATCTACTGTGCTTATTCCAAAAGTTTGGCATCATTTATTTCTTGTCAGCTTGTTGCAAGTAATTATCCAGAAGTTTTTCGATGTCCAGATCTCCAGATTCTTGAGATCCAGAGGATGCATTGGCCGGACTTGGGTTCAATGCAGTTTCAGGTGTCTTCGAAGGACCCGCAAGCTTGTACGTAGCACCGCCCACCGTGCCAACAATGGTGGCCAAAGCTAATACGTGGGGTTGGACGGTTCTACCTAGAATAGTGTAAGCAGCACCCATTGGATCGATAGTTGGTATGAGTTCTTGGGTGTTCGTTGCAGTTGTAGGTATACACTCGAGATTGGATTCGTCTTATGGGAAGTACTAATGTCAGTTTCGTGTGATGTGACATGTGTTTTACGTGATTGGGCATTCAACGCAGCTATGAAAGCAGATGGAAGATGTCTTTATTGCGTTAATGGTCACTTGAAAATGGTGTAGGTAGACTACAAATACTAGATATTTTGATGCTGATACCTCAACTTCAAAAACTAGTTTGTCATTATATACGAATCCATCAGGAAGCTTCAACACATTTGAAGCATTTCACCGCCTTTAAATATGGCTTTCGAGCTCGTCTGCTCGACTTTCAATATTCTGTTGTATCCTTTATATCTTGATTCGCTTTGTAAATCTTCTCTGTTATCACATATATCATTTAGTGTTTTCTACATTAACAGTGGCATTCGTTGTAACATTTGCAGAGTCCTGACAACAGTCAATTCAGCTACTGAAGTTTATAATAAGTACACTGCTATTATGAAATTACCTATTGGAAAACCTTACCTACACTTCTAAGAGCCCATAAAAGTATTCGGAGCCTAATTGCGAGAGAACATGTTTCACCTCACCCTTCGAACCACATTCCTTCATGAACCATCCACGAAAATTTGTTTCCTTGAGTTCACCGTCCCATGCGAGGACAACGCTCTCGTTGCGGCAATCAATTAGCTGACCGTTGTCGGGATCTATAAAATCTTCTGCCCAATGTAGCCGCTGCAGTACCAACTTAGAGTAAAATCGACAATTTTTTTCAGAGCCAATGACAATCAGAATACCTGGGCCATCATTGCCTACTCGCAAACATACTCCACGCATCTTGAGCTGCCGGCTATTAGCCGCCAGCTTGAATCTAATTTTTGGGTTCCGCAAGCTCGAAAATCGGAAAACTTTGCAATGCAAATCCGTGGTCGTAGATGGAGCGCTGCTGCCAGAGCCAGCTTCTCGTTTGTACTCTACGGCCTCAAGATGACGCCTAATGTTCGTTTCAACGTGAATGCGATTTCGTTCGTCGACCTGAGACCTCACAGTTTGTTCCCAGCTGGTCGGATCCGTGATATTTTCACTATTTTGATAAACGCTCATCATGTTGGCGAGTTTGACCTTTGGTTCCGGCTTGGACTCAAGCCCCAGACGTACCTTCTCCTCGTGCTCTTCCCGCAAGAGCTTTCGACGGTTCCGACGTACTTTCTTCTGCTCGCGTTTTGTCAGCCTAATTCGAGGCACTATTGATTCTTGTACCGAATTGGGTGGTTGTATAGGCACAGGATGCTGAACGTAGCCAATAGAGGGTGATTTTAATTCTGCGTTATCATTTTCGTCATCATCGTCGTCGTCGTCATCGTCGTCGTCATCTTCTGAAATGTTCAGGTTGTCTCCAGTGTATCTTTCCCTGATGCTCCATGTACTCAAATCTTCCAAATATGCTGCGTCCCACCATTCAACTTGCGGTACGTTTCCCACTAGATAATTTTGCTCTCCAATTGATATATCTGGCAATTCTCCCGCTCGTATTTTATCTCTTTCAATCTCTTCATGCTTTTTCTTAAGCTCCTTCTGTTGCACTGCAAAGGCTCTTTTCTCGTCCAATTCTTTCGACAAAGCACCTGGCTCATGAAATTTTAAACCCCTGCGATAACGCTTCATTACTTTCGAGTCTCCAGCACTCTTAGCCTGCCCCTGATGGGACAAATATGGATTCTCCCCATGTTTGATGAGATTCACATTTTCTGATAATAAAGCCCGGTGAATTCCCACGTTCAAACCGAGTCCAGATTTCTTGTTTGTTTCTGGAATCGAGTGAGCACCAAACCTCTTCAAAGGTTTGTTTCCAGACTCCATTCCGGTCTCATTAGCCATTTAAGAACTCATGATGCTTAGTTCAAGTTCCGTCGATGAGCTAGCTGAACGCTTTAATTTAAGGCTTGAGAAAGTCTCCTAGTACGAAGTGATGGTTAGCGTCTACTCGAACGTCGTCGTCACAGTTGTGGACGGCAGATCAGCGACATTCACTGTTGACATTGAATCTAATCCACTTTAAGTTTGTGCCCAGGCTAAACCCTTTCTCACTTCACGTTGAATTAACGTCTGTCCTCAAAACTGACTTATATGGTTGCTTGAAGATGGTAGTTCGATGAGACGACTGAGTGTACAAAACGGCATTCGCACCGGTAGTATTCAGAATACTAAAGTGTATGTTGAATATTTTTGCACCTGATTCCACAATTCGAGTTGACTTGACCATACGCAAATAATTGTGAATTTCAAATCCTTCTTTTCACTTCCGCAAACCAAAAAACCGCGATCGTTTCTTCTTTTTAGGCGTGTTCATCGTTACACCTGTCACCTCACTTCCACTACTGTTTCTCCTACTCGAAGACGGTGTGCTTGCAAGGCTATTTGAGCCGCTGTTTGCACCGCTGTCAGAACCTCCGAAAAACGAAAAAATGCCTTTACTCTTTTTTTTGATGTCTTGGCCCATAGTGGCCGATTTCGAGGGCTTTAAAATACTTGCGCTGCGAACTTTGCGCAAATCGGTTTCTCTGAGAGCGCTTTCCATGCTGTGGGAGAAGTGTGGCCTTAAAGTAGCGTCGTAAGATAGGGTTCTTTCAATTTCATCACGGTCGGTGGTGTTTCGCCCATCATTTCCCTTGACTTCAGGTGCGAACTTGATCTGAATCTTGGGTATCGACGTATTGCTATTCTTTTCAGCTGCATCTGGATCATTGGCTTGCGCTGACGGGAGGTGAAATTCAGCCTTGTCAGGCGTCTTCTTCCGTTGCCGGTGTGAGCTTGCAGACTTTGGTGAGCCGAGTACATCGAGCATAGACTTCCTGCCACGCGACGTATGATTCTTGCCCTCACCAGTGAAAACCCTCTTCAACTCAACAAGTGATTCGGTGCTTTGGTTCAACGCATCAAGGAGATCCGCAAATTTCAATGTAGCGTTCAGTATAGCATCGAAACCGGAGATCAGCCGCTGGTCCATTGGCAGCGAGTCATTCTTTTCTAGAGCCGAGATTTTGGCCTTGGTTTTTCTCCGCAAAACCACTAAATCATCCCTCAACTGTGTGTCCGCAGGTAAGGGATCTTTACTTGGTGAAGACAGCGAGGAATCCACAACTGAATCTTCACTCACCAAAGGCGAGGTTTCTCCTGATTCAGAAGCTGATGAATTGGTGATGGAGGGATCTGTAGTTGCCATATGGTCAAGCACCCCAGGTGCTGTGATCGCATGCTGCAACGGTACCATGTGTGCACTATCCTCAATTGCTTTAGCCTTGATCTGTTCGTCCAGGTCGTCTCTTACATCGCTTTCTAGTTCCAGCAGCTTTTTGACGGGTACTAGAACGATAGGGACAGGGAACGTTTGACAGGCCTTGTCTATCAGACATCTTGACTTCCACTTCACCATGCTTTCAATTTCACCAGACCGCACAGAACTGAGCACCAATAGATCCGGAAAGTAAACATTCATGCTATCCACAAGAATTTTCTTGGTGTTGCCGATAATGATTTCGACTGTAATTTTTACAGCTCGATTTCCCGGGAGAATACACACCACATAGTCCAATATGTTCTTCAGCACTTGCTTTATGTGGTCTGCATCGTATCCTGATGCCCATTCAAGCCACTCGTCATGTTGGTATCTGTTTTGCTCGTCGGTGGGTCCTGCAGAAAATGCTCTGTGCATAGTTTCAAAATTTCCAGAAACAGGTCGCGAAGGTGCTGCCGATCTGCTCCTTCTAGCTGCCGAACGAGACCTTGATCTGGATCGCGACCTGCTGTTGGACATTTTTGGAATATTAGCAATAATCACCAGATGATCAACATCTTGGGAGAAGCGCTTGAGAAGCCAGTCCAAAGCGGTCCAGGTATACTTTCTTCCACTGATATGACACACAATGGTTCGTGGTGAGTTGGGAAAGCCAACTTTTTTGGAGATGACGAGGGCTCGTCTACGTTCTTCCTTCGATAGCGGCGAGAATCCACCTGCACTTGTGATTTTGGCATTTGATTCTGCTGGTACTACAATGTCGGGAAACACAAAATGTGAGGAGGCAGATTGCAGCCTCAAATCGATTTGTGCCTTCCTGTCACGCCATAGCGACAACCAAGCCTTGTGAGCCCTATTCAGAACCAACGCATCGTTCACAATCGTTGGTCGAGTGGGATAATCTGTTCGTGTGATACGGCCATCCCTACCGATATGGAATCCATCCAACCCATCTCTCTTTGAATTAACCAAATTGTACTCGCTGCTATAGCCCAAATGCCTGGAATTATCGTAGGAAGCTTCGTTGTCGTAAAATTCGTCTTCTGTGTATTCCAATATGTGCTCATCGTGGTCAACATCTTTACATTCGCAGGCAATCCCAGCAAGTAACGGAACAGTGTCAAACGACACACTGGGTACATATCTCTCCTCATCACTATGCTCCAACGCTTCAACATATTTCTTACTCCTTTCGGATCTCATTCTGGCCGTGGTTAAGTTGTAAGTGCTTATACCTCGAGAAGCGTCTTCAAAAGTGACTCAAACCACCACAAATCGTTGTTGAACCTATTACAGTCGCCACTATTGACGCAGGTATAGCTTGGCGGCGTTCCGAGCACCCTTTGAAGCCTTTTTGTAAACGATAAACTCCGGGAACATGTAGTTTGATAGGTTAACTCTAAAAATTGTATCTGTTCTTGGCCTTAAAAGTACGCCAACGTGATTGATGGAAAGGAAAGTTTGAAAGAAGAGTTTGTGGCGACTGGTTACAGTTGAACTATCCAGTCGATAACGTCTTGAACGTAGTCTCCGTTCTTGCAACTTATAGTGAAAACTGCCAAGTCCCGGTCGAGATAGATTTGGGAGTTTGGTAAGTGAAGAATGCCGTTCTTGAGATCTAGACCCAGCTCTTTGGAGAGTATTTCCACGTTTCGAAGAACGTAGAGATTGGTTTCGTCGAGCTGATAGGTCGGTATATCGTCAAACTCGTAGTTTCGCAATAGGGGAGCCAGAAACTTCCAATTATCCAGGGTGTTCTGGTCTGGACCAGATTTCTTCGGCATGCGGCGGCCAGTAGATGTTGAGTTGGCTTCCAATTGGGACAGAAGATCGATCTTGTTACCCAAAATCAACATAGGAACATTGTCGTGGTTGGTGTCACATATAACTTCCTGAAGTTTTTGTTTGGCCTGCGACCAACTGCTTAGGTCTGAAAGGTCCAAAACGTAGATTACAAGGTCTGCGCGACACAAATAGCGGTGCCATAAATGATGGAACCGAGTTTGACCCGCCAGATCAAATATGTGTACTGTGTTTAGCCCCAGTGTGATGCGTTCTGTCTGCACACCCAGAGTTGGAATAGTATCGCGTTCAAACGGTTTCTGCACAAGTGCGCGAGTCAAAGACGTTTTACCTGAATTTTGTAGCCCTACAATCACAATATTTAGCTGTTTCCACGTATAAACGTTAGTAAAAGCAGTGTGAATATCACAGGCTAGCCTCTGGAGCTGCCATTCTTGGCAATAACGTTACGTACCTCTTTTCGGTAGAAAATCGACAACAAGTAACGCCAAAAAGACGTTAGCCACGATTCCAGGTATTCTGCACCAAGCATGATAGAAAACAATAGGTTTGGAGCAAGCAATTGGAACTCCTTTTGAGGATTTACACTAAGATGAGCTTGCTTTACATATTTCATCACCAGTAGCACTTTATATACAACTTTTGATGCTAATTTCAATACTAACGACAGAAACACAATAAATATCAATTGAGCTATTTCTAATGTTCCCGTCTTCTCGGCGATGGTTTGCAAAATGTCAGGTTTAGTTATGTAGAGTTTTATCTGGAGTCAAAGCGCCCCACCTCCTCGGCCTTTGGGTTTGGACCTCTAAACCGCAGTGTTGCATATATTATTAGAAACCAAGACTTCATGTATCGGAAGAGCAACTAATAATGTGTGTCTGTTCCTTCTATTCTATGAATGTTCATCTTATCATCATCGTTACCTTACTCCGAGTGAAGCGTTCTCTCTTTTGCCAATTGCTCGAACCTTCTAACCGCAGGATAGCCTTCGAGACACCCGAAAAAGTACCATTCAATAAGGAAGTCGGTGGGGACCCGGTAAAAGTCTAGTCGTGGCTTTAGATAGAAAACACACTCGCCAACGTGTATTATAAACGCAGCCAATTCAATACCGAGAAGCAAGCGGCCGTTATCGAAGTAAGACCCGACAAAAGGCACGTAGTTTAGCAACGGCCGGTAAAAATAGCACATCAACGGTAAAAACACTAGTGCGATGAATCCGTATCCTAAAAGTCCACTGGGTGGGCTCAACTCGTTAATTTGAACGTGTGAAAAACCACGCTTGGCGGCGGCGATTTTGGCCATTTCGACAAGTCGGGGACGAGATTCAGCCCAGTCCTGGAGTGGTGGGTCAAAAAGCACCACTTTTTCGATCTCAAACTCGACGTCAAAATGATTAAACGATAGCGTCATATGGGTCAGTTCGATCTTTTCGAGCCGCACATTTGCAATCTGGTCTGTGATCGGTACATCTCCATATGCATACAAGTAATCTTCAAGAGCCAGCTTGTGCGACTTGTTCATGTGGGCCACAATGCTTTCGGGCGACATCGGTAGCAGTGTGATGGGCAGTGGGTGTGGGAAACAAAAAATGACTAGATGCCGGGAGAACTGGAGCTCTTACAACCGTTGAAAAGGTAAAATAGCGCGTGCAAATATAATTGCAGAGCTAGTGCGTACCGAGAGTTGAAACGAACTAGTCCTGGAGGGCTTATAAGGTTGGTCGTCCTTTAAGTTCGATGATGACGTTTTTATACATCTATTAAATCGTTGGATTTGAAGGTCACTATGTACTATACTGACATTGAATGTTGGAGACCAACTTCTAAGCCTGTCATCTATATCAAAACTCTCCATAACGAAGACAAGAATAACACATAAAATTGGGCGTATGTATTTGCGTCTGTGAAGTCCACTAATCCGACCCTTTTCGTGGACTACGAATAAAATGACAATTAAAAACGAAATCCATCACACGTTACCCATGATATCGGCTGGAAACCGTGGCAAGAACAAACAGCAAGCAAACATTGATTACTTCTGAACTCTTTTAATCTCCCTTTGATGTATATTCTGTACCGTTCAGGTCGCCAAACCGCAACTAACCATCTTTCCACTTGTTATTCAATTATTTGACCCAAAAATGCTTGAAAAGCTCCCTTGAAAAAGCCTAACCATACAATTCTAAGTCGCAACTATTGAAAACATGCTTCAAAACTATGGAAATAAGCGTCTAAACCTGCTTTTCTCCAAACTATTTGAACTTGACGTCCAATTTAATCACCATATACGAATCATCTAAAGGGGCTCCAGAAATTCATTTCGGTACAGGCTATATACGCACTCTTTAGAACAAACCAACTTCTCCAAAAAGACACCAAAGTTGACATCAAACCCTCATCAAACTGCCCAATGTCAAGTCACACAGGTAGCCATGGGTCCCATCATCACCATCATCACCATGGTTCGCACGGACAGGAGCAACGTATTGGCAAATATCAAATAATCAAGACACTTGGGGAAGGCTCTTTTGGGAAAGTGAAGCTGGCGTACCACGTCACTACAGGCCAGAAAGTGGCTTTGAAGATCATCAACAAGAAGGTTTTGGCCAAGAGTGACATGCAAGGTCGCATCGAGCGAGAAATCTCGTATCTCCGGCTGCTCAGACATCCACATATCATCAAGCTTTACGATGTAATCAAGTCAAAAGACGAAATTGTGATGGTTATCGAATACGCTGGTAATGAACTGTTTGACTACATTGTGCAACGCGATAAGATGAGTGAGAATGAAGCACGTCGGTTCTTCCAACAGATTATCAGTGCTGTGGAATACTGTCATCGTCACAAGATCGTACACCGGGATCTGAAGCCCGAGAACTTGCTTCTAGACGAGCATCTCAACGTCAAGATCGCAGATTTTGGGTTGTCCAATATTATGACAGATGGTAATTTCCTAAGAACGTCGTGTGGGTCGCCCAATTACGCGGCTCCTGAAGTTATCAGCGGGAAACTATACGCAGGGCCCGAAGTCGACGTATGGTCGTCTGGGGTTATTCTGTACGTGATGTTGTGTCGTCGTCTGCCGTTCGACGACGAGAGCATCCCAGTGTTGTTCAAAAACATTAGCAACGGTATCTACACTTTGCCCAAGTTTTTGTCGCCAGGTGCCTCTAATTTGATCAAACGGATGCTGATCGTCAACCCACTCAACAGAATTACAATTCACGAGATAATGCAGGACGAATGGTTCCGGGTTGAAATGTCCGAGTATTTACTGCCCGCTGACTTACGATCAGAAGGTGACGCACATAACGAAGGCGATCATCACGGTCAAGGCGACGAAGAAGAAGTGGAAGAAGTGGATGATTCATTAGTGACCATGCTAACAAAAACGATGGGATACGATCGAGACGAAATTTACGAAGCATTAGAGTCAGAAGAGGATAATCCGGCACTCAAAGAAATTAGAGACGCTTACTCCTTGATAAAGGAAAACAAGTCCCTGATCGATGATTTGAAGAACAACAGAGACCAAAGCAACGAACTTGACACGTTCTTGTCTCAGTCACCCCCAACTTACGACCAAAAACCACAGCGGTCACCCGCGGGCCCCAATCCGTCGCATGGCTCACGAAACCACCGCCATGTGAAGAGAAGCCAACAGCGCACGTATCAGTCGCCGTTTGTGGATCAAGAGAAGGACGAGGACAGCACAATAGCCATTTTGCCCAGCTCGCTGCCTCAAATGCACCGCGCTAACATGTTGGCGGAAGGTTCTCCTGCTGCTACCAAGATTTCTCCGCTAAGCACAAAAAAGTCGAAAACCAGGTGGCATTTCGGGATCAGGTCTCGTTCTTATCCGCTGGACGTGATGGGCGAAATCTATATCGCATTGAAAAATCTGGGAGCGCAATGGGCCAAGCCTTCTGAGGATGACTTGTGGACCATTCGAGTGAGATGGAAATACGACACCAAACAGCCTGTTAATGAGAAGATACCGGATCTGATGAAAATGGTGATCCAGCTCTTCCAAATCGAAGCCAACAACTATTTGGTAGATTTCAAATTTGATGGTTGGGAGAACAGTTATGGTGAATCCACCCCGGCTGCTAACGAAGATGAAATGAGCACATTTTCTGCATATCCATTTTTGCATCTCACCACCAAACTCATCATGGAATTGGCCGTCAACAGTCAAGGTGGCTAGTGTGTGTCATTAAAAGGAACCCACAATACTGGTTGCGCTGGCCCAGATTCTTTGCTGGAAAAGGGACCGAAACACTAAAGATCTCGTCTTGTATCAATCCATCGTCACACTTATTCTCCCTCAGCTCTATAACGTTATACTGAACTAGATATTGTCTACTCAGCTTTCAAATTTCATAACTAATGTTGATTTTTCCTTATAGAGTAAAATATCATCATTACCAGCCAACCTTATAGATATATAGGAAAATGAGATCAAAAGTTAAAGAAACTTCTGATTCTTTCAAAAACCTTAGGGTACAAAGGCTCCTTGAGACCACCAATTGGGAGCTTTGTTTGATTTCAATTAGACGTCACAATAGTAGTGGGTTTTAAAATCGTGGGATGCCTAGTTTTGTTATGAGCCAGGAGTCATTTGACGAGAAGAGTGTCCCCATTGAGTTCAAGAAGAATGGATCAAAGTTTTTGGATGCTTTGCAAACTGATAAGCTAAGACATCTACCACTGTTTGAAGGCTGTGATTCAGATTTCGTACAATTACAGGCCATCAACAAACAGATTAACAGGGCTAGACGAGTTTTGGTGCTCACAGGTGCTGGAATTTCTTGTAATGCTGGGATCCCCGATTTTAGATCATCCAGTGGGCTGTATGAGCTGGTGAAGCGTCAATATCCCGATGCAAGCATAAGGTCGGGCCAGGAGATGTTTGACATATCGTTGTTCCGTGAAGAGAACAAGATTCCAGTGTTTGCCAGTTTCATGGAAAAACTGTACAGTAGTGCAAGAGTGGCACAACCGACCAAGACGCACCGTTTTATTGCACATTTGAAGAACAGGGGGAAGCTTTTACGATGCTACACGCAAAATATCGATGGTTTGGAAGAAACGTTGGGTCTAGAGGTATCGTCAGAACGCGATAACAGTTCAACAATGGCCAATCAATGGAAAAATTTAGACGTGGTGCAGCTGCATGGTGATCTGAATAAACTGAGCTGCACCCAGTGTTTCGCAACTTGTGACTGGAACAGAATGCTGTCTAGAACGCTACGAAGCGGTCAACTTCCCAATTGTCCACGCTGCCAGGATACTAACCATCAAAGATCGCTTCAAGGCAAGCGGAATACCGGGTCTATTGGACTTCTGAGACCCAATATTGTTCTTTACGGTGAAAATCATCCGAGTTGCGAGTTTATAACCCAGGGGCTCAACATAGACATCGCTAAAGGGCGGCCCGACTTGTTTTTCATCATGGGGACGAGTTTGAAAGTCGATGGAGTGAAAAAGCTGGTCAGAAACATAAGCAAACAAGTTCACGAACGTAACGGCCTTGTTATCCTCATCAACAAGACTAAAATCGGGGATTGCAATTGGCACGGAATCATAGACTATCAGATATTATCTGACTGCGACGATTGGGTCGACCATTTACAGGAGAGCATCCCAGACTTGTTCAAGACACAACAACAGATTGAAAAAGCCAAACAGCTGCGGAGAGAAAATAGCGAGATTCGCAAGCGCCAGAAACAGGAAAGAAAGCTCACACCGCCATCGTCACCCACTAAGCGCAAAAAACTTGTATCGTCAAAACCACTTGACGCTCCTCCAAGTCCACAAAGTACCTCATCCGAAACATCATCATCCTCAGTGCATTTAAAAACCGAAGCAAGCGAAATTGTTTTTAAGCTTGCTCTTGAAGAGGCCAGAGCACAGCCTTGCAGCATATCCGATATAAGGTCACTCCCGTCTTTGCAAAGAGAAGAAATCTTATCCAACGAGACCGACACGACACTGGAGGGTGAACTCACAGAAGTTGATGATGAGGATTTGAACCCACCATTGTACAGAACTTCCAAAGAAGCACCTCTTGCAGCAGCTAGATAAAATCAACGATACGAGGGAAACTTAACGTTGACGTAAACGAACTCTCACTCTTAACCATCTATATATATACTACAACGAGAGTTCTATTTTAAGGCCGTTACACGCAGCACCAACTTCTTCAAGTTAAAACATGTTACGTTATTTGAGGTTAACTTTCCGGAATGGAGGTCAGCGATTGAAGAGCGGAATGATTCCTCGGTAAGAACCACATTCTCTTGTTTATCGTTTATTAACGAAATCATCAGTGGGAAGTTGGCATCGGGCAGGCAACCCGTGAGCTTAGCGTGGCACAAACGATCCAGTTGCTGGTACGATTGAAGTTCTGAGGTAGCACATTTGGCAACATAGCACTCGTCATCATATACAAATTTCACCTTGATGTCCTTCTCCTCTCGATAAGGAACATCGAATCCGAATGTGGAGAGCGCAGGTGTGGCCGGCGCCGAATGAGGTTTCCTTTTCAACGTGGGCGACTCTAATGTCAATCTTTTCGCCGAGAAAGATAATGCTCTGCTTTTCATGCCAATAACGGGATTGAGGTGCTCGGCAAAGTTGTTTTGTGCATTATAAAACTTACCGGTAACAGCTTCCCAAGACTCACTACCTGAAGGCGAGGGCCATAGCTTGAATGTCGAGCCACGCGGCGTAATAACGACATCCCCAGGTTTAGGAGATAGCCAGTTGTTTTGAATGATGTCTATTCTAATATCTTCTGATATAACAGATGAACCAAGTAGCTCGCCAAAGTATTTGTTGAGCTCCTTGACTCTATTTTTGACCTGGCACGAAGTTATGGATCCGCAAGGGGATGGAAGCGTAGGAAGGAATTCTTGAATGTCGTTAATGTTCTCCCTTATCAACTGGTCTTTGATCAAAAGTTGCAGTGAATAGAAATCCTGATAAAATCTAGACAAGACACGATGATGACCGGTTTTCATTACGCATCTGATCTTGTACCACATTCGATTATCCCACAGATCGATGGCCTCTACCTGACAGCTTTTGATTTCTGGTAAGGACGCACCGAATGCGTCCTTACCAGAATTCGTTGACGAGAAAGGCAAATTAACAGCCGGGAGAGTGGTTGCTTTGTGAATTGGCGATTGTAATGTAGTCGGCGTTGTAGCGAAATCTGATGATATTGTGGGTGTCAGACTGCGGTTAACAGCCAAACATCTTATGGGGACTAGTCCTTGACCCACGCGGTTGACTAGACGCACCTCAACGAGATTATTGGGTGCAAAGTCAATAAGGTGAACGACATCACCCTTGTATACGTTCAGCAATGACTGGGCATCGCTCTTTTGTGATACTGTGTGGGATTTTTCTCGCGGGAGAAAATCCTGGAGCACATCGAAGAATATTACCGACTGCTCCACATTTATGGGACTGCCGAAACTCTTGGAGGTCATATTGGGTTTTGAAATTGTTTTTTTGGAGGGCCTTCGAGCGGTGTGTGTGGACGAATCGAATAATTCCAAGACTCCAACCAACCTGGACTTGGCAGATGCCATAATTTCTGACGGATTCGGCGTTCGGTAACCAGCGTTAAAAACCATATCACCAAGGCCCGTAAACGAAGTCTAATGATGATTAGAATGCTAAATCCTTGCGCTGGACCATATTCCTCCAATCGAGCTGCGCTGCGGATTCCTAGTACTCCGTTGATATATACATATTCGCCTCAAACGCGGGAGTCAACTCTGGCCACATCAGACTACCCACACACACAGACATAGACACGAATGATGGCAGAATATGTGAGATTTCTTGTCCATAGCTGTGTTTGGAGACGATTTGCACACCCGAAAATAAAGATGCGCTTGGTTGATGCACGATAATGCACGTATAGTACAGGCCGATCAAATCACCAGGACAACCACATTCAAATTACGTAGCAACCATTCTCGACATCACATGATCGGACCCGTCGCGTTGTTGTTGATTGCCATTGTTCCAAATCAGGCAAAAGCAGTGTTTACCCTTACGTAAGAGGGTTTACAGATGCGGAAAGCGTAAACAGCACTTTCTTGTTTTGTTATAGAGATCGTCGCGATGACGTCGGTAATGCACCACGTCGATCTCGAAGCCTGGGCAGTTTGGCACGGCCGGTCTTGAATAGGCGGTACGATATTATCCCTCCTTCGCCCCTGCTTTACTGCGGATCACGATGTTTAAACGACACACGACGCACGTCACAGTAGACCTACCACTTCAGACACAGTTTAGTATGCTACCCATGTGGGAGAGCTCCCTTGCCCTTGATGATCCAGCCATTTCATGAGTTTTCTGCGCTGCAAGACATAATTGCACATCTGAGGCCAACTTAGCGGATGTACTGTGTGAATAGTCATGCGACTTGGTTCCTCCACTATCGCTAGCGCCAATTACAGGCTTTCTCAAGTGTATTATTTACAATTAAAATAAGCTTCACATATGTGTCAGGCGGTGTCTACTGAATAAGGGTGATTGCAAATTTGAAATCTGCGTGTTACTTACATCGATTGTCGCCCCAAAGCGAACCGGACAACTCATGGAAAATTATTTATTATCAGTCGTCCGGATTATAAAGGGGCGCTACTTTTTCTACTTCCAGCCATTTGCGCCAGGTACACATTGGAACATTTTGTCGCGTCCCAGCTGGTATACCGGAAGAGTTTATAAAATATGTTGGTGTAGGAAACATATACAAAAGTGACACCCGCAAGCGAACAATTCAAACCACGACCTGATTTTTTTTTTATACTTGTGAAATAGATCACATGACGCGAGACAGGGTAAGTTTGAATGATTAGGATCAGGTCTTCCAAGGTCAAGGAAAGAGTCGCTAAGGACTACGTTGGAAACGAAAATAAGTAAATCGCCGGGTGTCATTAAGGTCCTGTAATCTACTTGATCGCTCTCAGTGCTACTACCTTCTCTATGTTTTGTTACTTAGATTCTTTTTCCATAAAATTCCTATAACTAATCTTAACTTGAAATCTTGTATAAAGCTTATGGAGCGTCGGTGCATTCCCAGTCAGTGGGCTCGTAAGCCTCTGGTTGATCCAGGAATTCCACCTGCTCCGGTGTAAGCTCAAAATCGTACGCCTCCAAATTGCCTGTGAGTCTGGCTACAGAACGTGATTTAGGCAGTGGAACGTATCCATGCTGGAGGGACCAACGAATCAACACTTGTCCAGCATCGTGGCCGGTTTCCTTGGCCACCTGGAGAACTTTTGGATCTTTGAGCTTGTACCCGTGAGTGAGCGGTGAAAACGCCTCCACGACCAAACCCTTGGCCTTGCAGTGGTCTGCAAGCTCCTGGCGCATGATCCAAGGCGAGATCTCTATCTGGTTGACGACGGGCTTGTGCTTGAGTTCTGGCCAAGCCAGTAGCTCATCCACATGGTGCGCACCGTAGTTGGACACTCCAATTGAACGCACAATTCCTTGATCAACCGCTTCCTGCATTGCCTTGTAAGTTTCTAGTCTCCCTCTGGAGCCACTTAGCGGTGAATGAATTAGTAGCAGATCGATGTAGCCTAAGGGTTCCACTTTGGCCAAACATTCCTTGATGGCACGCTTGGCATTGCTGTAACCGTTTTGCGAATTCCAAAGCTTTGTAGTGTAGAACACGTCGTTCCGTTTATTCTTACTAGGGTCTTCTTGCAACCACTTGTGAATACCTTGGCCAACTTCTTCCTCATTCCCATACAACACCGCAGTATCCAAGTGTCTGTATCCGGCTTTCAAAGCCTCGTACACCACTTCAGTGGTCTCCGCCCTTGGGATGTCATAGGTTCCCAAGCCCAATGAGGGTAGAAGATAGCCACTGGAGAGTTTGTAAGTTTTTGGAATAGAGGGCATTTTTGTCACAATATTTCGGTAACTTTGAATAGGTAACAAAAGCAAGACATCCTTGAGAGGGATTAGGTGGAATAACCTGGCTTTCTTATATACGATTTGCCCTCATGTCCAGATACTGTGATTGAATGCGACACTTTGCTATTGTTTTGATCATATGATGTGCTGATGACAATGGGTTATTCGACCGTTTACTTATATCGATTGTGTAAGCATCTTGCAAGGGCCATCGAAGCAGCGACGAATGATGGATTCATTACCATGGTTTGGACAGGTTACCCCATTTATCGTTAAGCGCCTCTTTCCAAGGGCAAATTAACGTCGGTATGATCAACTGACTTACAGAAAAAGGTGTAAAAATGCAGTGTGTTTTTATTTTTTGGAATATATTCGTACCATAACTCTCCCGTCTGTTCATAATCTCATGCTCTCATGCTTTCAAGTTGTTTCCGGATCAATTCGTACACGGTGAATGTCACGGCTTGTCCTGGAGCGACCCGCATCACACGCGGTGTGATACCTTTGTACAACGCTCGAAACCCTTCTTCTTGAATCAACTGACGCGTGATATTTGCAATCCTAGTGAAACTGGAAGCTTTTGAAGTAGATTTGTCCTTCTGTAGTCGAGTTTTGATGGTATCGAGCGGTGCGTTCGAAAACGGACCTACAGCACCGGAAATCAATCCAATGAGCGATGTTTCCCACGACGGGAGCATCTCAGTGTTGTGGTACCGTTGTAAACGCCGTTTGAGCGTGGAATATACGGTGAAATTGGCACCTTGGTTTGTTGCCTGCCGTGCAGCTGTCAACGACACACCACGGTACAAAGCCCGCGGGCCTTCTTCCTTGATTATAACGTAGGTTGCCTGAACAGCATTGCGGTACCGAGCTGTTGCCTTTACGTTTGCAGTTGCTGAATGGCCCGAATGGTATGCAACGCTGGAAAAACTGGCGGTGGATGGCCCGGTGGCACCACCGGCGCCTGTGGCTCCGGCCACTTCCGCCATCAGCGGCACGTAGTGAACGTGTTGTGCCTGTAGCCTAATTTTGACCACTTCCATAGGGTTTACTACCAAAACCGCTTCTGTGATGCCTGCTCCCACACCTGCAATGAAAGTATTGCCCGTAGAAACTTCGCCGGTGGCTTTATCTGCCAGCAGAGTGCGGTAGAACTCGTAAGACGTGAACCGAATGGCCATTTTTGGGATGATTCCGATCACAACGGCGCCCAAACCTTTGTAAAATGCCAGTAATCCTTCGTTATGTGCAATTTCCCGACCTGTGGCTAAAAACCCCACTGGTTTGCCGCCGCTGGACTTTCTGGAATGGATTTGCATGCGCACTTTGATGGTGTCCAACGGATGACAACATAAAGCTTCGAATAGTCCTGCGGTACCCCCGGCAATCAGGTTGATTGCCGGATGCGAAGACCGCGAATTGTTACCGCGATTCGACATCCAGGGCCACACTTGTTATATAAAGTAAAAAAGAAGATGCGAAATACACTATTAAAAATGCTATACTAATGGTGTCAATGAAATCAGCAAAGACACTTTACCACAATTCACCACACTTCACCACAATTTTGGGTCGAAATGGATGTTTTCGGAGTATTTATTCCTTAATTGTTTAGTTTTAGGGTATAACCTATTTTCAGAGGAGTAGTTAGAGGTTTAGTCCCTGGAAGGAAAAGTGTCTTTGGACTTATTTCGAGGCCTTTATATATAGTTTGAGTCCATGGCATTTTTGGTCCGGGTTTGGTTCAATGGAATGGTCTTGGTGGCTATATGGCCGAGATGCCCACGCGCTGACGCAATTTAGCCATTGATGCGAACGTTTGGGGAAAAGGCAATATAGTCCGGGGACGTCGGCGAGGGACAAAGTGACAAGGACAAGAGTGCACAAGAGGTGAGGGATTGAAGAGAGAACTATCAAGACTGTTTGAGGATGAGTCTTATGGAGACGGTAAGACAGAATGTTCGCAGAATATGAATATTGAGCGAGTATCACGTGACCTATCAGAATAGCACATTGAGCTATGAGTGGGGTACCAAAACCAGCTTTCCCTTTGCAGATTCTATGTGACAAGCCTAGACATTGTCCACTCGCCCTTCACTCTTTGTATGTCTAGTTTTAGGATTTGCATATCTTCTTTCTCGCTATGTATCATTGATATAAATGATAAATATTAGAGGACCCGGAAATATACCCACTGAAAAACTCCGGTGCCGGTAGTAGAGAGTGGTAAAGGTGGTTAACGAGGAGAAAGCAGGAGTAGGAACCAAAAACGCATACAATTTTTGAATTGGAAGATTGTGGGTGCATGGTGGATGACTTTTCCTACGCATAGCTCATCTCAGAGTGAAAAAAGGGTACTTCTGAGAGAGGTCACGTGATCAAGAACACGATTAGTGTTAACTGCGATCAAGGCCCCCGGCCCCCCACAAACCCTTTACCCCAGTCAGTCAAGGCAAAAACCAATACCCACCAGACCTGGTATCAACCTTGAAATACCTCCACCACTAATTTTTCCAGAATCGTGTCTAGCTTCATTATCACTATGAACGGGAAGCATCTCCTATTGCACAGATGATAGAACTTCCTCTTTGGAGTGCGTTGCCTCGAGTTCTTGTAGCTTCTTGGAGTGCCTCTTGAAGTCTGGGAATAATACACCAAGCATGAGTTTAGAGCCATTTCGTGACGCGTGTAGCCAGCTTCTTCCTGCGTATATAGTAAGTTGATACCTTTTGCGAATCACGTGATACATGCAACACAACGCTGTACAAAGAAACCCGCACTCAACCACCTCATTTTTGCTCTTTCCACCCAAACATAAACCTGGCGAAACACTCTTAAGCAGTCCGTTGTGTTCTTTCTTTCCCATACACCACCCGTTTAAATAAACACACCGTGTCACGTGTTAGACATTTAACCGTCTCATGGAAATCAAGTAATATGAGTCTCCTACTACACTTATAACACACGAATCGGTTAGCTGTGGACGCTACATCAAACTGCAGATCCAAAACCTATCGTTTTGGGCAATATTATCTTGCACAAAACCCATAAATATGACCTCTTCCAAGAGCCATCATCAGCTTGATGGTTTTACGTTCAAAAACCTCGGAGACGTCGAATTGTTGACTGGGGTCTTATAGCGCTAGACCTATCCGACTTAATAAGAGCTCGAGATATGTGGCAACGTATGTCCTCCAATGCGGCCACAACGACGTTTCGAGATCTTTACAGAATTCTTATACCACCAGCTTCCTCGTCCGTGCCGATAGTTTGACTCTCATGTAAAGTCCGGTACCGATGGGTTCGATGTTCCACTCTATTGGGACTAGGCGTGAAGACCAGATGTCACGTGGCGATGAGATAGAGTTCCATCAAAGTAAGGCCGGATAGTAAGATCCGTAACTTCGTCACTGAAACCACAAAGGCCTTAGATCAATGTTCTCCACCAGAGTATGATCGAAGATGGATGTGTCACCAGAGTGTGAACCGGAATCTCAGACCTTTATTGATTGAACATTTTCGTTTTACGGAAGATCAAAATACCAATGAAATGCTAACGTATGCTAATTGAGCCCTATAGACGTGCTCTACGCTTGGGGCTATAGCAATACACGGAACAACGGCCATGCTTCCCAGCTGTTTCCCATACCCAACACCAAACAACCCTGGACGTAATATGATAACTTTAATATCTAGATGCTACACATGGTACACACGTAAAACGCTTAGGCCTCAGCCATGTCTCTCAATCTTCTGATAGTAGATCTGACAGTGGCAGCGGCAGCGGTGGAGACGGTGTAAGCACCACCAGCAACGGTCTTCTTGCAGCTGGAGCAAGTCCAGATACCAGCAGCACCTCTGGTGACGGTCTTCTTACCGCAGAACGAACAGTCGTATCTGGCGTGTTGTTGGATTTCCAACTTCTTGACCTGTCTTCTCAAAGAAGAACCATAACGGACACCGTACTTACCGGTGATACCAACCTTCTTAGTTCTCTTAGCCCTGTAGAAGAGGATGTTAGTAAGCTGCTGAGGAAAAAGTTTTGGAAAAGCGATAGATGGAGCCACAAATAGGATGAGCACAGGGTACTATTCAGTGCTGTCGGTGCAGACCTGTATAACCAAAGACTGCAATCAGTATGTCAAGACCTTTTTGAACAATTAAGACTGCCACCTTGTAGCGACACATTGTCTAGTTTAATCTCTGCATCCACAGTAATCCGTTCCCGTTGAACTTGGTATCCTTAATACCCTGATTCTTCATAGCCAAACCCCATATGAGTCCAATCTAGTTTCTAATCGCATGTATCGTCACTATTCATACATTTTATTGTCCTTGAGTTGCTGGATTCTAGTCTATTTCAAGTATAGTGCAGTGTGTTAAAATCTTCAACTTCCATTCTATGGATTGAAAAATCCTAGGCTCTGGAGAACGAGTGCCCGCGTACGAAACGATATTCCACAGTGTAGCCGCAATTTCCAAAAAAGAGTCACCGTGAGAAGTGATGATAGCAATTTAAATTCATAAAATTTTAAAAACTCAAAAAATGTAAATAAAATAAAATATGTACGGATGTAAGAATGTATGGGTTTTAGAATAGCAGTCATAAGGTTAGTAGTACGTCCACAACGCATATAGGACTGCCATTTACCGGACAGAACCATTCGATGAGTGGTTAGGTGGTTTATCTTGTGTAGGACCTGTAGAGATCCAAAGTAGTGGCGTGGTTTTCGTTATTTTTGATGACGGAAAGGGCAAGTATTGGTGGTACGTGGCTCTCGATACCCACTTTTATTGAACTTGATAATTCATACCTGTAACCGGGATCAAAGTGTAAATCAGCTTTTTAAAAGATGTCCAGCAGACGGCGTTACTTCGGTTACTGCGCCTGAACGTGGTCTTGAAATACTTTTCTATGAGAATGTCTTGAAGGGGAGTGTTTTCGATCAGTACTGGTCTGCAATCAAGTAGCAGGAGATGTACATTGATTTTTGTTGCCAATGTTGCCGTACTTGCTCGAAAAACTGACACCGCAATATTTCGATCGTACTCGTTGTGGGGTTCAGATTGTGTGCCAGGAGTATTTTGACGCGAGAATCAGCTCCATATGCTTTGCAATGTTTTTCATTGTAAGTGAGTTAATGCTCTTACGGGTGGATAATAATACTATGCCATTTTACATGACTCGCAACATTTATCTTCCACCCACAATGGAAGCGCAAAGTGTAAGCCTAGACTGAGGTAGTATGACGGCAAACCGGTGGTATGAGAGGCTAATCACCTGGTAAGGGCATCAAGCACCCGGAAGTGTTGCAGTTCAGGTGCATTTATTCAGTTGATTCTGTCACTGTCACCTCATCACGTGCCTTTAATCGATTCTGACGCTAGTTATAGCAGGAGTCTCTGACAATTGTTGCATTATCAGAAGTAAGGTACGTGATGAGATCCAAATTTGCACCATCCTGCTCCTGGTGAGACTGCGAACAGATAATGGTAATTCTGTGCCTGGATATGCTTTAAATCAGAGCTTATCACTTTTTCCAACGTGGCATCTGGCGTGATCGTTATGTGCTTTGAATAATCAAGTCATTGACAGAGTTGATAGCAGAAGTTGAAAGACTTCGAGACTGAAATTTAAGACAAGACCTCACCACAGGTAAGGAAGATGAGCTGGAAAAAAATCTAGCTAAGTACCACCCAAGGTGATTGCGCGTTATCACATACATTTGGACTTATGTTGTTGATTGTAGGTCCAAGTCACGTGGCTTTTTTTATAATCAATTAGTCACAAGTGTGATTCTCCGTCCCACAGTACAGGACATTGCTGCTTTCAACTCTTCAACTGTTCTCTCTTTCTTATGATTGTCTGGTACTAGCGTCCGTGTTCTGAAATCTGGATTTACCCATTGACAGATGACGCTAACGTACACAGTGATGACAATTGTATGCAGAATATCTCATGTACCCAAAACGATACCCTTTTTCTGGATATCGCAGAGATGTTCACCCATTGTCCGCGAAAAGTTTACCTGAATGTACCGTTTTCGGCTTTTTCTCTCCAAGATGCCACTCTAAAACTTATCAAGTCCCACAAAATACTCCCACTGCTCTCCAGGAGCTTGTGAAAGCTTCAGCGACATCTTCTTTTCTTTCAGCTTACTATTGAGCATTTGTCTTCCCCCACCAAAGACTGTAGATGTCATGTTATGCATACAATATGCACCGGCGCCTTAGAAAACCACGCGTATCATGCACACATACCGACACATCCCGCATATTAGATATGTCACAATTCTTGAAAAATCCCATAGATCAAAATCTATATGAACTCATCGCTCTGAAGTCCATCCATTCCTTCTGCTTAATTCCTCTCAAAACCCAATCTGGATCTGGCCAGCCAGCTTAGACACTCAATACTATACGTGCACTTCGTAGCCGCCCACCTTTCATCAGTATACTCACAAGAAACAAGGCTGCTTCCCCGTTCTAACGACGCGAAAAAGTGCCAAAACGATACTTTGTTCAGAAAAGCGCGTCTGAGTCACCGGAAGAGACTCAATATACGCGTAAAACGATTGTCTTGGCGTTAGCCTTGTCTGCAGTTACACTCGGAGCGTTTTTCGGGTTCCAAAAATGCCAGTTTCAAGGCAATCACGCGTAAAGACAACCCGTAAAAATCACCGACCTTCCAAACGACACCATCGAAACTCACACAAGTCTTCTCAACGACAAAATGCCACGCGAGAAACAAATTTTACCCACAGCCGGGACTCCAACCTCGCGGTGCAACCCTCAAACGCTCCAGTCAACGCGTCAGTTAATGAATTGATAGATAGTGAGCCAGCTTTAACTTCATCACCAAACTTCTTGGACGATTTTTTGCACTGGGACGAGGCTGATAAAATGCCAGTCACCGCCTCTGTTGTTAGGGATCCTAATGCTAATGCCAATAGCTTGCTACTTGTGCATACTCAACCCGTACGTTCGATATCTGCCATATTGCTGCAAGATACATTGGACGAGCTAGAGTCCCGATCCTTGTCCCCAAATTTCTCAGCCTTTTCAGATCGACTTCTGGATTCACTGCCCGAACAAGTGGCCACAGATTCTTATGATGCAATGAAAGTGCCACGAAATCCACCGGTTACGCTTCGTAAACTTGCGGAGGCAGCCATGCAAATGGAACCGGAAACTAAGGCTTTGCAAACTATTGTAGAGCCTCGATCTTTGTCTCCGGAGGGCTCTTTTGTTCAATACCTGTCACACAAGCTTTCGCGGTACTGTGGATACGTGCCCAGCGACTCACGGCACTGTGACAAGATCCGTCTACAAGAAATTACATATAGACTCAGCAAAACGGCTTTTGAGCGCTGAAAACCAGATCCTAAAGGGCTTTTTAAGGATTTAAAGCGTGTGTCTGTGTGTGCTGTCGTTGTTCTTACCATAAGGACCGGTCGCCTGTAATCTTCAAAGCGTACGAAAAGTGACAAAAATTTCAGTCAACGATTCAATACCCAGTGAAACCACTCAGCATAAGAACCTACCGAATCTTTGTAGCCCATTTGCGTCATGAGCACTCCTCAACTCGACGAACTCCAATGGAAATCTCCTGAATGGATCCAATCGTTCGGGCTCAGAACAGATAACGTTCTCGACTATTTCGCAGAGTCGCCCTTCTTTGATCGTTCTTCCAACAATCAGGTCGCCAAAATGCAGCACCAATTCGCACAACCACGCCCTGAAGACTCAGCTCGAGAGGTGAGCAACCAAAACCTGGATCCTCACCGTCAGCGAATTTTATCGACTTATATGGTGCATGCATTGTGGGACGCAGAATTACGCAAGCTTAAGGGCGTAGAATACGTTTTGGCGTACGTACGGGAGCCTGATTTTTGGATCATTCGCAAACAACTTCGAACTACCCCTACAACAGCTACTCCACTGCAAGACTACTTCATAATTGGTGCCAACGTGTATCAGTCACCTTCAGTTTTCAAGATTTTGCAAAATAGAATTTTGTCCGCAAACCTACACTTATCACACGCCTTGTCTAATGTGCGACGTATGAGTCAGTTTGAGCCTTCGCAAGGTGGCCAGTTTGTCAAGGTGGCTCATCAATCGGCTCCCACCAGTTCTCATCCACAAAGCACTGTCGCAAGTACCACTAGCGGGCCCAATTCCGCTTCTAACACAGGTCCGGCCACTACAAGTGTGCAGTCTGTGCTCACCAATTCCACCACCGTCAATGACGCTCTTATGGACAAACTACTGGCCACCAGCATGAAGTCTACTCCAGTGTTCCTATAGTTAGAGGCGGCATGCACCTCTGTTGCTTGCTTCCACGTGGATCGCGATTGACTGATGTGGCCACCCGGACGACATGACAGCCCTTTACGAAAACATACTTATACATGAGTGTACCACAATTTTGAGATACCAATCGTGAGTGTGGCCTTTGTGAAAGCGCTTGAGATCTTACAACCTTGCAATGCTTTCCAGTTGGCTTTTGGTCGTCTTCTCGACTATTTTTGCGTGTGTTCATGCTGCTGCGGACGCTGTTGTGACCCATAAGGTTTTCTTGGACCTGTCTCACGGCGACAAGCCCGCTGGACGGATTGTGCTTGGACTGTTTGGGGAGGTGGCTCCCAAGACTGTCCAAAACTTCTACGAATTGGTCACTTCTGAGGATCCAACTATGGGATACATTAACTCTACTTTCCACCGTGTGATTCCCAATTTTATGATTCAAGGTGGTGACTTTACTGACCATTCAGGAATAGGTGGAAAATCGATCTATGGTTCTTCTTTCAAAGACGAATCGTTCGAATTGAAGCACGACAAACCTGGACGTCTGTCGATGGCCAACAGGGGCCCCAACACTAATGGTTCGCAGTTTTTCATCACAACTGTCCCCACTCCATGGTTAGATGGCAAACATGTTGTGTTCGGAGAAGTCCTAGAGGGCATGGATGTGGTCACATATGTGGAAAATGTTCCAACGGCTGCTGGGTCGCGGCCAAAACTTACTGTGCGTGTTGTCAGCTGTGGTGAGATCGAGACCATCCCTGTGAAAGAACAGCGCAAGGAAAGGAATCACGATGAATTGTAGTTGTGATCGAGTTTAATGTCTCGTTCCCCGTGAAACAAACTAAAAAAACCGGGGCGTATACCTTAAATACTTTTTGGAAACCCATTGAGAACCCCTACATTTATATATGCTTTAATAGTTTGTAGTGAATCGTCTTTTTCTGAAATAGCTGTGTTCTGGTTGGTTTAGGTTGGTGGATGGGATATTTAGTTAAAGATATCGAACTTGACGTTAAAACTAAAGAAAATCCTAAAGAAGTAGCATAGAAGTCTTTTACAAGGCTCCTTCGCCAATTTCAACAGCATCAGGTCACCTAACATGTCGATTGCTGCAATTCGTTGCCGGCTTTTTCAACCTCGATACTTCAATACCGTTTCGAAATTAACTACTACAAAACTTGCTTCTGGAGGAGGGCCTTTTTCCCAACTGCCAGAATTCACACCTCTCCAAGACAGCATTTTGGTATCGCTACCGTCATATTGCTCATTGCACACCCGTATTGACCAAGTTTGTGCGTTTTCGTTTGATGCCGATGATCAAATTCAACATCCTTTGCATTTTAAGAAAAGCTCGAAATCACCCCAGTTTTGCGAGCTATTGACTGCCGATGAACCAGTCAACGCTATGTTGGTGTCCAACACCCCAATGTCCAACGTTTTGATCCTCAACCTCGACAACTATCGTGAAGGCTGGCATCTCACTGACCCACACAATAGCATCTTGTGCTACAGCGGAAACTTGGAATTACAGCCGAATAACCATTTGCTGGGACGTGGGACCATTGCCATTTCAGGCGAAGGACCTGTCTATCAATTGCAGCTCGGCGACGAAGAATCAGCAGTCGTCAACCCAGGTGCCATACTGGGCTACAGTAACAAAGTTTCGGTCAACACGGTGGGCTTCTCATCTGAAACTTTCGTTCCAAAGCGGTTGAGAAAGTGGATCATGCGCTATGCCAGTCAATACCTCGAGAACTTGGACTTACTACGACATAAGCTTTTGAACCGGGGTGAAATGTACCACCAAGTCAAAGGCCCGGGCACTGTACTTCTGCAAACATCTTTCGCTCCAGGCTCTAATCGCTACCACTACTCCGATCAAGAGCTTTTGCAGGCGTTCAAATGAAAACTATACTGGGTGCATGGGGGTTATCCATATATGTATATATGGTATATGCAGGTACATAGGACTGATGAGAACTGATTTTGCAGACGATAACGACACGGAGAAGTTCACATTCAAGCTCTCAACGACATTTTTTTATTTTTTGGCTTTCTAAACGTAAGGTCCGATAGAGTAGCCCACGAAGGCACCCAAATAGGCTCCTACAACCAGTGGAGTGGGCCAGTTTTGCCAGTCACGGTCCCAATCCAAAGGAATGACAACGCAACTGATCCAGCAACCGATGGCCACGGCAATGAAGTATTTCTTGAAGATTCCCACTTTGAAATTGCACTTAAAGATCGAATAGACTGCGGGCAAAGTCAGAATGCAGCAGTGAGCTGCTAGCAACCACGTTTCTTTCAAAAGCATCGAGATAGGTGCGCCCAAAAGGATAATGATCAACATACAGGGCACTGTGAGCACAAGAGCTGCTGCAAAGCTAATTGGCAGCAGACTCCAACGCAATTTCGAAATCTTGTTACCATAAATCGTGTTCGCATTGAACTGCAATGCCACGTATATTAGTTGCAAAGGAATGAGCATGTAAAGTAGAGTTCTTGCGTCAAAATCTTGCGACAACTTGATGTAGTAGTACAGAAGTGCCAACAAGTGTAATGGAACTGTTTTGATGGTTGGTTTGACGTAGATCGGAGGACCATCATGACTTGCATTGCGTTTTTTGTCACCCATTTGTCGAGATCTAGTAGTTAGCGTCTCCTCATCGGAAAATGACACTGATTTCTTGGGTAACCTTCTCGTCTTGACTGGCATCTCCCTTGGCTCTTCCTCTAGTCCTCGGGCTCCCTTTCAGCTTATGGTTTAGTTGAACTCCAGTTGTGATGTCCTAATTTCAGTTTGTCTAAAGTCCATATGGGTTAACCATGATTTCAAGAACAAGAGAGCTAGCAAATCAAATCATCAAGCAAGAGGCTCAACAATTGTTCTAGCGGTGCTCAAAAATTACATCAGAATTCAAGGATGCGAATGGCTAACGAAAGAAGCTGGTGAAACGCTAGGGTTCAATTGAAAATCTGCACTGACGCTATAATCTCGAGATTTTAAAAAGAGCCAACTCCTGCGACACAGAAGCTAGGAACAAAGTTGGAAAATTCACAGTTAGGCATTCACAGAAATCATTTAGACTGCGAACAGGTTCTGGAGTCCTAAGAACATCTTCATCGAATGGTTTTCTGAACTTGTTATATATCTTTTCTGAATGTCATTTTCTGTCATCGTAATGTTAATATATAAATCAGAGCTCTTCGTAAGGCCCTGCCTATGTCATTGTTCTAGAGAGTATTGTTTCAATCCTGGGAAAAGAACCACGAGTGTGTCACGGTAGCCACTTAGAAAATTCCACACTCAGTAGCACAGAGATCTGGTGGAATATTCCACATTTATCAGGTCTCTCCATATTTCAAAGTCTGCTTGACGACCAGCTTTCGCAGCCACCTGTTTTCTTCTACTAATGGGCAGTGAACAGTAGCTCTTGATTATCGTGAAATCCAGCATGGGTCTTAAAGCATGTCCCAGAGAGTAGAAATTGTTTTGCAGACGCTCCATTTTCGGGTTCAAACCGCAGGTATGCAGTTCTTTCTCCACCAGATGTTGCTGCACCACGTATAACCTCCTGTAACTACTTTCAGTTAGAGGAACAACCTTGATAATCGAACCGTCAACCTGAGCTCCAAGAACTTGGTACTCCGAGACACCGGACTGTGTCGCAAACTCGTTGTTCTTGAGCAGCAGCTTCATACACGTGTTGGTGCTGTGCAGGTTGAAGCTGGTGCAATGCACTAACTTCTGACCCGAGAGCGAGTTGGGCTCGTCCGGGGCGTACTTCAAAACGTGTAGAATGTTGTTTCGATCCGACGCAAGAAAGTACACGTCGCCGTTGTTCACCAAAAACTCTAGGCTCATGGTTGCAAGCCTCGACACGCTCTTGCCCAGAGGTATCATTCGGTAAGGTTCGGCATCAAAGCCCACGAATTGGAACTCTTGCGATGCGTCACCAATGATAAGCAAGTTGCCGTAGCTCTTAATATCGGAAACAAATACCGGGACATCCAAAAAGGCCACCGGCACCACAGAATTGTCTTCTTGCACATCGCGCACCAAGACTTTTTGACCTTGGCTAATGAGAAATCTACCACTGATTTCGCAAACGCTTGATACTGCACCTCTGAATACTTCGTGGAAAATCTCCTTCAACTTAAAGTTGGTATCGGGCTTTCCAGGCTCAGGAACTACTTCTGTAACGTCATATAGGTAAAAGGATCCCATGGTTCCGTAGTCTTCATCCCTCAGAAATGTGTTTCCCACCACCAAGTATTCCCTTTTGCGCCGCATTCTAGAGTTTGTTTGAATTAACATCGTCTTCATATCAGTGATATGAGAGTTCTTTTCCAAGTCAATCACATCGATTATATGCCATGTCCTAGGATTCAGCAACAGAAGACCAGATTGGAACCCGCGGGCATGCACAGCATTTTCGTCGAAACCAACCATTTTTTGCCCGTCTTCGCTGATAGCCTCATATGGAATCTCTCTGTTATAAGAAACAATGTACATTCCCGTGCGCTCATGGAATGCAACGTTATTCAAGCTGCCGTAACTGTTGAGAGCGTCCTCAACGTTGATTCTCTTTACCGCTAACCGATTGGCATAAGAAAACGTCGGATCTAACGTTGCAATTCTTGCATTTTTGATATCGTCAACACATAGCACCGACTCTGCTCCCCAAGAGGCCAATGAAACCAATGGTATGTTGCCAAATTTTAGAATCTTCGGCGTAGAGCTGTCTTCTTTTATAATGATATAGGGAACGCGTCCAGTTATCAGAATCACCGAGTATCCGTTAAAATATTTCACATAATGTGCAATCCTTTCTATGGAGCTCACGCCCTTCGCGTATGCGTTTCCTGGCGCTCCCGTAATCTGCATATCATTACAGTGCATCGCCTTGTAAAACCTCTTTCCAATCCTTTTATAAAGATATACTTCACCACCAAACGTCAGAATGGTAAGGTACTCTTCTTTATTGTCCTTTCCTAACCGGTTGATCATAACTTGCTTGATTGATGGATCTGGGATAACTTCTTCAGGTAGCTGATAAGTGCTGAAATACAGCATATCATTTAGGTTGTCGACACCATTCAGTTGATAAATACGATCATGGTGCTGCTTGGGGAAAAATATGATTTGGTTGTCCGCGGCCACAAAAGTAAACAGAAGCTGCTCTTTCTCTTTCTCAAGATCATCCAAATCGGTGAAAAATTCATTGCATATGTTACTTTTCAGTATGACACCAGATGTGATAATCATTTCCTCAAGTGCAGCGGGTAGTCTAACTTTCGAAAGCTTATTTCTATGTTTGCTGTCAAGCTCATAGATCTTGATTTCACCTTTGGAGTTTGTAAGCAGTATGAAAGGATCTAGAATCGATACATGCACAACCTCAAAATCAAAACTGATTGTCATCAACTTTTTGAACCCTAGGTTGAAGAGGAATATCGCTTTTGTTGTTACGTGAACAATACGCTTTCCGCTTCCTATCACGACAATTTCAACAGTCGTGACATTTCTTTTAAAATGCTTTGGTTTGATGGCAGAGATTTTCTGCCCTATTTCGTAGAGCTCACTTTTTTCGGCTCCTGAGTCTGTTGTAATCAAGTACTTATCCTTTTTCCTGATTTTGAGATTCCAAATTTTGGTCACTGATGTGAACTTCAAGGCCTGTTCGACCAATGGACGCATACTATGTTCCATTATGTTGAGCGACGTCGTGTTTCCCACGCCCGATGTCGTCACAATTGCCAATTCGTTTCTATTCGGATTAGGAAGTCCTTGGATTGTGTTTTCGATGGAAGAGACCTTTCCTACAGCCATGCTTGTGATAGGTCCAACATTTATGAGCTTGTCCATGACCTCAGCTTCCAATGGCTGTACTGTGTCAACCAGTACCTTACTGTCTGATGATGGCCTCACTGGCCCTTCATCGTCGCCGTATAGTGATGCATAGTCATCGTCTTCGTCAGGTTGCAGTTCGATTTCGTGGGTTTCCCTCGATTCGAAGGCTGATCGCAGATTGCTGAACTTGAGGATCAAAGCGTCTCCAGAGGAAAATCCTATAAACAATTGGCAAGACTTGAGATTCAGACCACCTGTCAAAGGTGTGACACAAGTCGGTAGATGGTGAGATTTGAAAAGGTCATTTGCGATGGGGAGTTTGACCAGCGTGAAATCCAATAGTAGCCTGCCTTCTGTCTCGAGATTTATGGAATACATCACAGCATTCTGGTCCATCAAAAGCAGGATCTCAGTATTCTTACTCACCATGGCGGAAGTCCAAACGACGGGTGCATTGAGCATAATATCAAGCGATTTTTTATCAACTTGCTTTCCGCCTTGGAGAGCCGAGGCAAAATGATTGATTTGAATACTGGATTGGACAGCACCTGTGTTATCCACGCTGATTATTTGATTCACACCAACAAGCACACACGAATTGTTGAGAGGCAAGATGGAATGAACGTCATGAGGAAGCTTTTGAACCTGATATATGGCTGTGCTCTTTTTTTCGCTTAGCGTAATGGCCATAAGCTTTAGTGAAGTCTTGGAAACATATTTTTCGTTCCCACACCAGGCAAGACGCGGTTGGTACAGCACTGCAACAGTAGGCTTATTGAAAGAATTTAAAAATTGGATGTCGACAACATTCTTTATCTCCCTACTAAGCTCAGAAACACGCATTATAATACTTGGTCCCGTCAACGGCGTTGAGACAGGCCCATTTTGTATTTTGCGTTTTTTCTCGAGTGGCTGATACATGTCATCTGCCTCATCATCGTCCTCTTCTTCTCCTTCTTCTTCTTCGAGACTAGCTTTTAGCGGCAAGATCGCCAGCACATCGTTGTTGCATAGAAATATACACCTGCTTTCGGGGTCTACACGCAACTTCGATTCCTGCGCAAGGTCTAGCAAACTTCGTTTCGAGAATTCGTCCTCGTAATAATGCAATTCCAGAGTTTCCAGGCCCATTGGCCTTAATGGATCAAATCGAACTATGGACAACTTGGCTATTCCTGTGCTTACAAGGAGGCACTGCAGAGTGCTTCCTTTTTGCGGGATCAAGGCAATCCCTGTGATGCGGCCACTCAGCTTAAACTCGTTGCACAAAACCAGTTTCTCGTGTTCCGTCTGGTAAACCGAAAGTATATTCGTTTTCGCCAAAACCAATTGATCGACCTTTTCTGAGGTGAAGCGGCCTAGTACCGAGTGCGACACTCGTGTCGCATCAAAAATCTCATCGTAAACGTTCATGATACAACGCTATAACGGCCACGAGCCAGCGTAACAGTGGTCCAGTTTCACTTACAGTTCGCATACGTTAAACAGCTTTCTGAGCTTAAAGCTGTACCAATTTATTATATAGTGTTCAAATTTCGTGACACTTTTGACGATAAAATTGACTAAAGTCAAAACAAGAAGGCAGTGGTATTGGAATTGGGGCTTGAACCGACAAGAATCGATCGCTGAAGAACTAACAATTGAAACTACACTTTCTCCGATATCGATTGCTTGTTGTATCGTAAAGTTACAATAGATCACTATATACGAACAATCCACCTTCTCAAATCACCTCTATTTGGTCTTATTTCGATGCTGAAAGTGTTGCATTTGCTACTTTCCAGCTGTTGAACAGTGAGTCTCACTATAAGGCGTAGCTGCTACAGTTCTAGCTCTTAACTGTCTGTTCTGCTCTATCTCTACAGCCTAAATTTTTAAGTATGACTGTATATATAAGGAAAAGGTATTAAATCTTGAAAGATTTAGCTCATCGCCAGGCTTGAAGTTGAAAAAGATCAGCGATCTAGCGATGTCCAGAACCTTTACTATCGTTATCAAGCTAGGATCATCTTCTTTGGTCGATGAGAAGACGAAAGAGCCCCAATTGTCCATAATGTCGATGGTTGTAGAGACCGTGGTACGGCTACGTCGTTTGGGCCATCGAGTTGTACTGGTATCGAGCGGGGGAATTGCAGTTGGGATGAAGACTTTAAACCTGGAGAGCAGGCCCAAGCATTTGGCCCGTGTGCAAGCTATCGCGGCCGTTGGACAAGGCAGACTCATTGGACGGTGGGATAATCTGTTCTCACAGTTCGGCCAAAGAATCGCTCAAATTTTGATCACCAGAAATGACATCACAGACTGGACACAGTACAAAAATGCTCAGAATACGATTTCGGAGCTGTTACAAATGGACGTTGTGCCAATTGTGAACGAAAACGATACTTTATCCGTTAGTGAAATCAAGTTTGGTGACAACGACACTTTATCTGCTATAACGGCAGCTTTGTGCGGCGCAGATTATCTATTTTTGCTTACAGACGTCGATTGTCTGTACACAGACAATCCCAGAACCAACCCCAATGCAACCCCAATCTTGGTGGTTCCTGACATGGCGCAAGGTTTGCCAGGCGTGAAAACTGACAGTGGATCGGGCTCTGACGTGGGCACCGGTGGTATGGCCACGAAACTGATTGCTGCTGAGCTTGCGACCAATGCCGGCGTGAATACAATCATAATGAAGAGCTCTGAGCCGCACAATATTTCAAAAGTAGTCAACTACGTTCAAAGTCTCGAGACCCCTAGTACATCAGTGGAGAATCTGGTACAATTACAGCAGCTTGAACAACAAAAACTTCAAATGCATGGGGTTCCTTTCCACACACGATTTGTCGCCGACAAAACTGGTATGCATTTGAAGAACAGGGAGTTTTGGATGTTGCACGGTTTAGTGAGCCACGGTGCTGTTATAATAGATCAAGGTGCCTCTGATGCACTTACAAGGAAGGAAAAAGCTGGTCTTTTGCCCGCTGGAGTCATAGATGTCGAGGGACATTTTCACGAACTAGAATGCGTGGATCTTAAACTGGGCTCCAGGCTCGCCTCTGGCGAATTGGACACGACGGCGCCCCTTGTCAAGATCGGCCGCGCCCGCTGCAATTATACCAGTCTAGAGCTAACTAAGATCAAAGGTCTGCAAAGCGACCAGATTGAAAATGTCCTCGGCTACGCTGACAGTGAATACGTCGCGGTGCGTACTAACTTGGCATTCCCTCCACACTGAGAAATCAATTCCAATATATACGTTTGACCAGTTAAGCAATGAATTTTATAGAACTGATATTAACATAACCGCGCTTCATTCTTGGAAGGTTCACAACAAAATTGTAAGAGTATGGTTATCTCGATCGAAAGAAGTGACCATGTTGGCTGCAGAAGTCTTAGTAACTAGGGGAAGGGGTATCTGCAGCTCTTGAGGTGAATATGTGTGATGGTCAGGTGAAGTCATTATGTGCAGAGAGTTGTCTTGTGAGTTGTAAGATATTTGATAGTCCTGTTGTCTCGCTAGTTCAGATCTTACTTGAACTTTCAAATTAGCCCAATGCTCCGAGGGTGCGGGGCCCATGCGAACATCCAAATTAAGCGGTGTTTTCGTAGGTGGACTTGAAATTCCCATTTCTTTAGATGGTGACAGTGGGTTGAACTCAATCTCTTCAATAAGTACCTTTTTACTCTCTGTTTGAGCTTTTGGAAAAAGAGGTGGAAGCTTCCCATCCGGATCGAGATCTGCTTCGTCATCCAGAAGGTCTCTCCTCATTTCTAAGAAAGCCTGTGGATCATTACCAGCGCGGTTTTGGTCCGCGCCTAATATATCCCGTTGCGGGTCTGCGTTCAAATCTTCTTTTAGTACCTCTAATACAGGAATGCTATCGCCTTTACAGCGAAGTTTGGGGAAAGCCAGTTTCGTGCGACTAAGTTCGATTTCTTGTCGCAGTTCACAGGACTCAAGGCACCACTCGACTAAAATTTCCTTGAGTTGCGGGTTGCGTCGAGCCCATTCCAGACACTCTGTGTTCACACAGCAGTCACTAACGTAGCAAGTCGAGCCCTTTTTGTCCACATCGGAGCGTGCTGCTGATGTCACTATTGGAATTTCCCAACGGTTGGCCATAATTAGCGGGAACACTATACTGGGGTCAAACGGAATATCCGGAGCTGGTACTTGCGATGCATGACATACGTTGATGAAGTATTTAACACCGGGTTCCAATTCGCTATGAGAAGTGCTTTCAACAGCCGTCTTAATTGCAAAACCGGCCTGAGGCTCCACCGACAGAACCCGTTCCCTTTCCACTTTGGCATCACCTAGAGCTCGAAGCATGAACGTCATTGTATCATGTAATAGCAGGTGATATCCCTTGTGCTAGACAAGTCTGGCAATATTGTCGAAACCTGTCGAATTTCAATATTTGAATCAAATCTACAATTGCAAGGCCCAATAACCACGAATGTGCCAGATTTTTTGGTGAGATCAAATCTGTTTTGATGAAAAATTCCTTGAGGCCTGTGCAAAAGTCTTCGAGAGCGCTCAATTGCCTGCTGTCTGTCTTGTTTTTTGTCATATTCTTCTGACAAGTTATCGCGATGAGCTCTGGAATATGATGTATAAATTAACATGTACTGCTCGAACAAGTAGCGAATATCACGCTTCTTCAAAAAGCCGGTACCAAGAGCGATCAAATTGATCACTATCAGTGATGTATCTGAGCAGCCGCCAATGCTTTATCTAGAAACGTCGAAAGTTGCTTCCTAAAATTCTTCTTGGAGGAGATAAAGACGACGTCACAGTGTCATTTTTGACATATTTTCACTTTATTCTCAAATGACTGCGAAAATACAGGAAAATACACTTTTTTAGTAGCAAGGAACTCGAGTTTCAGAGCCTTGAATCAAGTTTAGAGTTGTTTCTTGACTAAAAGACGATGATGACAGGTTTACGGAGGATATCTAAAAACGGCGACAGATTAGGTAAAAGTGATATGCTCGAGAAACACTGTCGAATTGTGCGAGAATCCAGCAAAAGAGAATCTTCGCTACTGAAAATGTGTAGCCTGGGTCTACTATTGAGATTTCAGGAATAAGTCTTTCAGCGTCTGTCTTCTTGTACTTGTTTTCGTTATCACTCATCGAGCTGAGCTCGAAGCGACGTTGAGTATATTACAGCTCTTATCTGAAAAATAATGGTGAAGGCATCGCATCGCGGGAACCGATAGAACAAAGTGCGTCGAGAATCGAACATAAGGAAGGTCTGCAAGTTGATTTCGTGCTTTATTAAAAGCTAGGTAAACTCGCTCGAGAAAGTGCTTTTTTCACACTAACTTTTGAGCCACTCTTGGGCTTACAGCTCATCTTGAAAGATAATTTGGCAAAATGGAAAGAACCCCGTTGTTGAACGCCAAGAAACAAGGCACCGAGACTTATGGTGGCTATGTAAGTGATGGGAGGTCTGTGGAATCGGACGAAGTTTGTTTTAGCCGATTCCGGGAGATGAGTCCCGATCTGGAAGAGTCAGAAATTGCAGATCTGGCTATCCTAAAAGATTCATCGCATCTTAGAGTTGACACTACTTCTGTGGGTTACGAGGCCCGTGTAATATTGAAACAAGCTATACCGCTTACGTTAACGTTCTTCATGGAATACTCGCTGGCGGTGACATCCATGATCGTAATCGGGCACTATGGCACATCTGAAAATCTGGCATCGGCGTCATTGGCAGTCATGACTTTCAACATCACAGGTCTTGCTGTAATCGAAGGATTGTCCACCTCTCTTGATACATTCTGTGCCCAGGCGTATGGTGCTCAAAAATATCATAAAGTAGGGCTTTATTTTCTGCGCTGCACGGCCATGATGATGGTCGCAGCAGTTCCAGTAATTTTATTTTGGTGCAGCAGTGCATTTTGGCTGAAATTTGTAATTCCAGAACATCAATTACTCGCAGATGCGCAAACGTTTCTGCGAATTTCAGCGCTAGGCCTGCCCGGTCTCATATGGTTCGAAACGGGCAAACGGTTTGCTCAAGCTCAAGGTGTTTACGACGCGGGAACGTGGGTCCTATTGATCACTATCCCTACAAACGTATTGCTCAGTATAGTTCTGACCAAGAATTTTGGTATAGTTGGGGCTCCCATTGCTACGGCCATCAGCGATTGGCTTTCGGCATTGGCACTACTCATTTACTGTCGATATTTCGAGCCCAGGGTTGGCGACTGCTGGTATCCTTTCAATACCAGCTGGCACCACTTCAAGCGCCTATTTCAGCATTGGGGAGCTATGTGGAGCTTGGCATTTCCGGGACTAGTGATGGTCGAATCAGAATATTTGTCATTTGAAATTCTCACAATAATGACATCACGCTTTGGCGTCGAAGCGATCGCCGCTCAAGCAGTGGTAGCCAATGTGGGTTCTCTAGCGTACCAGATACCGCTTTCTATAGCTTGCGTAGTCTCCACACGCATAGCAGGCTACATTGGGACAGAAAACATCAAGAATGCAAAAATAGTCGTGCGCGCATCATATGCAGTTTCTGCAGGTGTCGGTTTATTTACTTGTTTGATTTTAGTCTTTGGAAGGAAATACTTGGCTCAGATTTTCACGAAAAATGATCAGGTAGTCACTGTCGCATTCCATTTAATGCCAATTTTGGCCATCAATCAACTTTATGACTCGGTGGCCATTTTCAGTGCAGCAGTTTTGAGATCTCAAGGAAGACAGGGCATCGGTGGTTTATTAAATGTGCTTGGTTACTATGTCATAGGAATTCCGCTTGGCGGATGGTTGGCTTTTGGTCCTTTAGATCTAGAATTGAAAGGATTATGGTATGGCTGTGGCACAGGTATTTTCACGCTGGCTATTTCCTTGACTTATTATGTGTTAAGAAGTAACTGGACTGAAATCTATGACGAATTCTTAGCCCGAGAGAGCGAAGACGCAGAGATAGACGGATTGGATGTAATAACGAGTTGCAGCTCATCACATTTGTAGAGATAGATCGTGCTTATAGTATGAGAGTCTGTATACTTAGTTTGGCATTTCTCAATATAACTATCCAAAAATTTGAATACCTGTGGTGTCCAGGTCAGCTGGTTGTTCGTGTTCTTCCTGGGACTCATACTCTTCATTGAAGTCTATGCGCTGCCCTAGCAGGCCGGCACAGAACTCATCTATTTGTTCGTCCGACCATTTGAACCCTCTATTTATTGGAGCTTCGTAATTTGCAATTGGTTCTTGAATGGTGAAGTTAAGTTTCCTGCCCTTCGAGGCCTTCGTATCAACGTTCTTTTTAATCTTATTATTGGACCGAGACGTCATGGCAATGGTAACGCCACTGCTTTCATTTTGTGCACTAGCAATCTTCTTGTCGACAAGATCATTCAGCAGTACACGATAGAAGTCTTCATCGTCAAAAATATAAGGATTATCACTAGTGTCCATGATTTTATTGTTCCTTTTCCTTGGATCGTAATTCTTGGGAATATCGAGATCTTCGTCGGAAGAATTCTCTGCTTCTGAGTCAACCACCGGTTTGAGCTCTTCGAGGTCACCCTTTTCTAGATCTTCCTCGAATCCAAGAGCAGCGACATTCCTTCTGTTGAGTCTAGTACGTTTTAAAAGTCTTGAGGTATCGGCGAGTTGATTTTCCACTTGAACGTCTGCCGGCTGGTGGATGGCTTTGAACTTGGATGAAGACATGATAGACTTTCCAGATGCCGATGCAACTTTCTGAGACCACTTGTGGAGAACGGCGTTACGATATTCCTTCAATTGAGCGTCAAGGTTATGCGATTGATCGCATAGCTCTGTAAAACTTCTCTTGTGCACTGTAGAAGATGTCTTCGAACCATCTCCGGTGGAGGATATCTTTTCGTTGACTTGAAACTCGCCACGAAAGTCAACCAATTGACCCATAACTTTCTCCAGCAACTTCATCGTCTTGGAAATGAGCTTTTCGTTTTTGGAAGACTCTTGCAAATATTTCTCGTACGATAGGTTTGTGAGTGGAAGCTCGTTGGCAGCATTGACAGCTTTCTGCAGCTTGATTCGGGCATCTAGAATATGGTCAAAAATGCAGTATTGTTCCAGGATGGCGAAACCCTTGACTGCATCTTTATGCGTTGTTTCTGAAAGCTTGTTTGCGGCAGAGCGGGCTTCTTGCCGTACAATCTCTGCCAGTCTTTGACGTTTCAACTCTGTATCCTCATCATCTTCGACAGCCCCTAAGTTGCTTTCTTCTTCGCTTGCCTCCCCCTCTTCTTCTATTTCCTCGTCTTCTGAATCTGTACGCATAGAGACACCACTATCGTCCGCTGACACTTCGCTTTCGGACTGTTCTCCATCATTTTCCGAATCTTGCGAACCCTCCCCTGAACTTTCCAACGTAGGTGCCTCATAGGCATTATTTCTGGATCCCTTTGTTCCTTGATATTTCTCGTCTCTTAGTGCGATGCCTTGGTCTCTTATATCCGATTTTCCAACGTTCACATAGTGAGATTTGGCCAATTGTCCGTCTTCGGATTCGGCCTCAGACTCATCGTCACCATTATGATCCTGGTGCTCAAAAACCGCTCTTTCGTTATCTTCTATATCGTAGTCTTGCACCGCTGGTTTATTGGCAAGAGCGGCAATCTGCTCGGACAATGATTTTGCCATTGTTTGGAAGTCCAAAATACGAATTTCGCTGCTGTTAGAAAAGCACAGTAATTCAGAAGCTCTCGGGAGTTTACGAAAGAGGTTAGTACTGTCTTACAGAGATAAACGGGCTGTCTAATTGTCGTAAATACAAGAGTTAGTTTAAGCTCATCTCATCTCATCGCCTGTAGTTTTTAGCCCATTGCCTTGTAATTTACCAAAAATTTTCATCTTCTAGTCGATCGAGTAGAGGGGTGGATAGAGAAACGGAGGGATGGCGCCGCGAGAATAAAACTGACAAAGGTATCCACCGCCTTTGAGCGGTCAGTTTGAATGTCTAGTATGTTGCAGTTAGCCTGCTCGATGGCTATACCTGTTTAAACATATTATGATATTCAGACTGAGTCTCTGGAGTTTCTTGGGACGATAGCCGTTCCATATCTTTGGATATGTCTTGTGTGCTTAGACACACAGCTGAAAAGCTTATCGTTAGGTACAAAAGAACGAAATGTGGATGGAAAATGAGATGCCATCTTACATGAATTCTAGATATCAATCTTTTACCATCAATGAAAGTGAAGAGCTCTCACATGGCTTTAAGTGCAAATGGAGAATATCCGAGGTAGAACCATTCGTGATAATACTCAATGATATCGGCCTCATAGACGTTAGAGAATCAGTAACTTGTAGTTGTTCAAGTAACTTGGATCATTGTCATCTCGTCACGTGATCACGGTACCGAGCCCAAGAAAAGAGACCACGTGACAAAAATCTCAATTTCAACTTTTTAGTCTCCAAGAAACAGCGTCTTTTCACACCTCAACGCGGAATTGAGAGAAGTAACGCCGTTACCATCCAATCAATGCGTCATATATACGTTTATCAATGCGCTTCTTGTGTCTTCTCTCCTAAACAATTGTCACTTCAACTTCAACAGTCACGTGACACGTGTCCAATGATAGCTCGAGTAGCAGAGTTTTATTATATACAGGTCTACTCGTCAATTTTATTCCATTCTGAACACTACTTTCTTCAAGATTTGAACTAAAAACCTTCAAACCAGTCCCTAGAAGACGATCAACCAGACCGAAATCACCCCTCCTGAATCGGGTTACGTGTCCTGCTACTGTTTTTCCGTTTGTCACCTTCCGTTATTCTGACAAAAATGTTCAACAAAACTGTATTTTTCCGTACTCTAGCCACTACTGCCAAATCCGTGAAACCTCCAATCCAATTATTTGGATTGGACGGCACTTACGCCACTGCTCTATTCACGGCAGCTGCGAAAACCACATCGGTCGAAAGTGCGTCGAAATCGCTAAACCAATTGGGACAGACCGTGGCCAAAGACCCAAAATTGAGCTCCATTTTGCACAACCCAGCCCTTTCCGCTCAGGACAGAGCTGTGGTGGTGGAAACTTTGAGCAAATCGCAATCTGATCTAGACGCCTCTGTTGCCAACTTGTTGAAAGTTTTGGGCGAAAACAACAGATTGGGCCTGTTCAACGACGTCAACGCTCAATTCTCCAAGTTGACTGACGCCTACAATGGTCTGGTGCAGGCTACCGTCACCACCGCACAGCCATTGGACTCTAAGCTCTTCAAGAGAGTCGAGAAGGCGCTAAGTGGATCCAGTCTTGTTGGCCAGGGTAAAACTTTGAAACTTGAAAATGTGGTTGACCCAGAGATTCAAGGTGGTCTAGTTGTCGAACTTGCCGACAGAACTGTGGACTTGTCCATCTCTTCCAAGATTCAAAAACTCAACCAGCTTTTGAAAGAGGCTATCTAAATGCAGAGTGAGGCAAAACGATAGATTGATAACATTACGAGCATCTGCAGTGCAGTAAAGACACACTACCATTCCGTACCCTGAGGAAACGAAAAAGATTCTTAAAAAAAAAAACAACGCACATAAATTTTTATGTCTTTATATTCATTAACGACTTGAACCAAGGAACTATACTCGTTTTCACGCCTAACCTATTGTTCGGCAGCTTTTTTTCCCTACAACTTTTGTGTTTAATTTTCCTTCTTGTTTCCGAAACCAGCCTTCATTTTGGCCTGCTTATCGGCTTCCCTTTGGCTCAAGAACTCCTTGTACTTGTCGATTGTAATACGACGCTGAGCATGCTCGTATTTTTCCAAATCGTGAAATTTCGTGCCACAGACTTGATCCCAGATAGTGAAGAAAGGTTGCGCATAATTCGTCTTGATGCCAAACTGTTGGTGGTGGATATCGTGGTAAACCGCGTTATTGGGGAAAATCCATTGAAATGGGTCCCAGGGAAGTGCATACCCGCAGTGGTCATCTACAGTTTTGAGGGTTGCAAAAGTGAACAAAATCACTTGTTCGCGGTGGGTGAGACGTGTTAGAATCGCCGCAATACCGGTTCCCAGCGTGTCGAGCAAAAAACCTTCCAATGGCGAGTTGTACAGCGCGCCGTAGGCGTAAGGGACATACAGCCGATGGTGTCTGGAATGGTACAGCCGATACAGCGTTTTGTTGGTGTGCATCAGACGATGCAGCCAGTATTGCCACGAATCGATGATGCAGAAGCCGACGAAAACTTTGGCCAGCGAAATCCCGTACGTGTAGCCCACGTAGATCGCCCTATTGGGCACCCAGCTGGGTGCTAGCTGTCTCAACTCCCACATCGCCCGTTGCTCGAACCCGGTGCTGGGAGCTGGATCCATATACAACATTGCGAGACCAGTGACGGACTGAATCATGTGCTGCAAAAGCACTTCCCCCAGCACTTCTTTCCGGCTGGCTTTATTCCGTTTCTGCACTTCCTCTGGTGGATGAATTCTGAAACGTTCTGCCAGCTCGAACGTATCGATGACGTGGAAAAACATCGAAAACGACCAGTACGCAACTACTGGCAAAACCAAAGAAAGTTGTCCATCTGTCAGCCAAGAAATCAAAGATTTTTGTTCTTGCACTTGCTCTAAAGGAGCCACGGCAGAGTCCAAAAACGAGTAGGTATTCTTCTCCAACCACTTAGTATTTACCAAGTTCATTTTCCCTTTTCCGCTTGCTAGACTCGGACTTAGAGTTCTTTAAGTTGCAATGGTATCTTCGATGCGATGAGTTGAAAGTTTACTCTTATTGAGTTGAATTTCAACCTATCTGAGCGAAACCGGGTGATCTTTGGCTTTTTGAACTGTAGCCGTCGTCTTTGGTGACCGTGAATTTCGGTTCGCTTTCTGGGTAGAACTTGGAACACTGACGCTCCACATCTCAGTCCAGAGACACCTTGAAATGTTTGGTGGGAATTGGTGCTGATATAGAATGGGATTGGAATAATTCGGGACGGAGTCCTTAGACTCCAGTAGCGTGTTTTTTTTTTCGCGTAGAATGGTGTGACAGAAAATAATTTCTTAGCGTCGTGTGACATAATTGTGGACCGTAGTGGTGGTTGGGTGGTGGTGGGTGGTAGTTTGTACTCGGGAAATTTCACAGCTCATAGCGGGGCCATTGTGGAGAGATTCTTTTGATAGCGCAGCCGTGCGGAAGAGATGAAAGTGAGATAAAGTCGTCAGTGAATGTAACGGTGAGTTTTTTCGCGATGTAAAAAAAAAAGGACTTATTTCCCGGTATGTGCAGACCGTTTGGGGGTATTTACAAGTTGGATGTGAGATGCGGGATGTGGGATGCACTGGGAATGAGTCGAGATTGCTTACAAAATGGCCTTGTCCGCTGAAGCACGCTCCGCAAATGCCAACTTGGCACGTTCACCCAAAGCACGAAGAATCGCAGATTGTTCCCTGGCGAAATTGCCCGTCCGCGGAATCACGGCGTGTTTGACGTGCGGCAGCACCGGGTTCCAGTGTTTACCCACGTCTCCCATCCGCCATTCGTCTTCCCAATGGATCTGACCCATGATCGTGGCTGTCTTGGCCAACGCTTCTCTCAGGTCCGCCACCGCTTCTTGGCCGTACGTGGGACGGTACTGTGCACTATACCACACATGGCCGTCCTCGTTTTTCTTACGTAGAGAGTCCGTTTTCTTGGTTTCCCGAACGTCTCTCAGATAACGCAATCGACACAAGTCTTGGTATAATTGCACGCCCTGGTCGTATGTGGGCAGATCCACGACCGCCATGCATCTCCAAACGTCTCTTCTCGTCGAGGGCTTTTTGTTGGACCAATCTGGACGCTTGAACTGCATATCGATCTGATGCTGCGCGAACACAGGCATTTGCGAGTATATTACCTGGCCGCTCTCTAAATTGCGGAACAGAAAGACTTGTGGTGCAAAACCAGCTTTTTGCAGCCATTGTGCAGTGCGGAAACGAGAAGCTGCTACCATTGGAATGGAAATTGGGGAGTATGGATGGTTTCTGGAGCAGTTGATGTTCTAGCAGAACCCAATGAGTTTAATGCTCTTCTCGTCTCATCAAGTTATTGCAGGAACACTTTCCTAAAATTTTCAGTCACGAGACTTGTACAGCTTAGGTAATTTGTCAACTACACGTGAGAAACACGTGGCATCTTAGAAATTCGTTACCACCGCTCAGCTCCGAGACGCAGATCCGAGACGCGGAGAGAGACACTCCATTCCCCTCATGTTTGTTGATTTTGACAACTAATGCTTTCTGGGCTTATCGTTAAATGCAGGTTTTTCGAGGAGTCCAGGTGAGGGTTCTCAGCTGAAATTTTTAACCCGATAGCGTGGGGGCCAAATAAATTGTGAACTCGAATCGCTGGATCTTTCTGTGCTAATTCCAGTAAGGGTTCTTTTGACGTCTTATCTGGGAGTTTGATCAAATTTGGTTAATCATAATGAGAGTTTTCAAGTCCAAGGCCTATAGAATGACATGGGCAGTGTCGAAAAGAATGTCGCCAGGATCGTCCCCTCAGAAACCTTAACGATTGCAAAAAAGGCCTTTTCCAAAAGAAGGCTTTCCTTACAAAAAGCTTCTCCTCAAAATACAACAGTCAGTTTCCAATTCCAGGAAGAAAGTAAGGTAAACCTTCTTTTCAGTTTTGAGGCCATAAAGATCTCAAATTCAGCGGATTTTAGGCCCCATTCGACGCCAGTGGCCATAAATTTACTGTGTAAACTACCGCATAGACCAATCACAGATCATGAGCGTTCAATTGATGATTCATAGCCGGAAGTTGGCGTGGGCTGAAATTCGTGTGGGGTTCATATCATTTATATCAATATTTACTCGATGACAGATCACTTTGTACCTTCGTGACATTTCAAGTCCCTGCAATTGCCTATACCTAACGCAAGCAGATAACAACCGTCGAATAACGATGAGGAAACTATTTTGTGATAGTGTTTGTGTTTCTGTGATCTTTTCTGGCTGCCTTGTTTCAACAACATCTCGAGAACGATCTGGCTCGATTCTCGAGATTTAGTCCTCTATCTCAAAAAATGACCTCAAGACGCCATGACTTTTGATATTCTCGCCCTTCTCAGTTACAATGTCAGATTCGCAGGAACTGTCATCACCCACTCCAGCTGCTGCTACGCATCCCAAAACAGTCTAAGCTTTGATAAAACGGGCCAAAAAAAAAAAAACCAGAAGCTATGTACCGTACAGCACATACGGTCTTGCAGCTTGTAATGGAGGATTCAGCTTCCATATGCTAGTGTATTGATAGCTAAACTGACGCTCGAATACCTTAATGACTTCTTGATTTCACCATCACCGTCTAAGAAGATCGGTACTTTGATAGTTTATTTGATGGACTGCCTCATCACATTCAAATAACCCATAAGCCTGCAATAAGGCTGAGCTCTGTGGTTTCAGCGATTCTATATCATCGGGCCACTACCTCTGGTTCAGTTCCAGTCAATTGCAGCCATAAATTCTCGAGCATTACATCCTTCGCCCGCTTTACTGCGAATTTACCGAGCTGTAGTTCTGGACAAGGGTGAAGGGCGTGGAAACAAAGACAAACTCAGACATTTTACCATCTTCACATTCACTACTGAAGCATCATGCTAGAGGCAGCTTTTACGGTGCTGCCAACGACCAGACTCGAAGCTGAATTGCAGATGCCATACCTGCACGAGCCGGGACATGTAGATATGCTGTATGAGGTTAACGGCTTGGTTCAAGATTCTAAGCTGCGGAAACTGTTTCAAAAATGCGAATCGTGTGGTGCGGGAATCATGGATAAATGCGTGATGCATCAAGACCAGTGGGTCTGTGCTTTTTGCAACAAGTTTAATCCGATTATAGAAAAGGCACCGGCAACTCCTTACGAGGTAGAAGTCGCAGAGACACCATCAAACATGGAACCTTCAACTTTTGACAACGTTTTGATAATTGACTTGTTATTTAATACACCAGAAGAACTGCAATCGATAAAAGATCTGGTGGTTACCAGAATCCAAACCGGAAGACCAGACGCTAGATATGGACTGATAACTCTATTCAATGGAGGCGTCAATTTACACACTGCTATGACACAGCATGCTTTTTCTGTTGATGATAGCAGTATCTCAGCAAAGGCTAAGTCCCTTGATACTGAACACTTTATTCAAAAACTACGGCCAGTCGATAGTCTGTCACTAACAACTGATCAACTGATACATGCCTTGAACAGTTTGGCACCCCTGAGTTTTGACAGTAAAGACCAAAGGCCCAAACGAGCTACTGGTCTGGCTTTTTTTCTGGCAAATATCTACTCTCACAGACAAGCAGCTGTATGTCCAGTTTCAGTAACCGCCTTCATCAATGGACCTTGCACCGTGGGACCAGGGAAAGTCATCCCAAAAAGCAAAAAATACCACATGAGACAGCATCATGAGTTAGACGCACGTCGGGACAAATATTTCAATCCCGCCAGGGCCTTTTATCAGCAGCTTACCGAGGAAATTGAGGTACGGCTTTTCATCTCTAATTTGGACCAGATTGGGGTTGTCGAGATGATGCCGGTTTGTGTGGAAGTGGAGCAATTTGATTCTTTTACCGATTATCGCTTCATGAATTTAGCACTGAAATGGTGGCCTGATGAAGTTATCAGCAATGAAATAACGGTTTTTGTTCCCAAGAATTTAAGTATCGACGGTTGCTTTGGACTTGTTTCTAAGCTCAAACCTTCACAAAGAACCTACAGTGATACCCCTTGTGGGATATCTGGAACAAACAGATGGCGATCATGGTTATCAAGACCCTCTTTAGCCTTCTCTTTCCAGATAGGTACACAGGCAACGAAAGACGAGTCATTTGACGTGGCACCCGTCCACTCAATCGTTCAAGTGCAGTACAGCTATGTACGAAATGGTAAGAGATACATCAAGGTTGATGCGCTGATGATAACAACGACAAACGCCCACATGTCTGGCTCTTGGTCAGTTGCCAAAAGTCTTAATATTTCAGTGGCACTTACGTGCCTCATGAAGCAAATTGCATACAGCCAACTTGTGAAAGGGAGAACGCACGCGCTTCACCTACAGGAGTGGCAAACACGGATAGACAAGCTTGCCGCGAGGCATTTCAAAACTTTCTCCAAAAACTACTCTAAGTTTCTGGAGTATTTGTATTATCTTAAGTGGACCACACTTCTTCAAAAGCGTAACACTTCACCGGATGAAGCTGCCCTATACCAGCACACAATTTTGACCCAGAACAGGGAGATATCAGAACTTTTATGCAAGCCCCGAGTGACATTATTCACCAATGACGCAAAGTCTGAGATTTTAAGCTTAAATGCGCAACTCATGCATCAAAACCAGGCCATGTGTGTGGATTTCGGCATTCTTGTTCTTATAAGATACTCTGAGGACAATGCCTTGCCCTTGAAACGGGCTCAAGAGCTGGCCGATGAATTGATCGCCACAAGGTATCTACCAGCAAGAGTCGAGAAAACGGCCGTAAATGGTAGCCAAGATCGCTACTTCATCTCTAGGTTGGTACCAGACAACAACTCTAACACAGAGGCTCTCTCTTTAGGAGAATTTAGCGGACTAGTACGCAAACTAGCTATGTGCGTTTGAGAGGAGTGTTTGGGAAGTCTATAGGGATCAAAGATTTGAGAAGGACATTTCATAAGACTCGGAACTCTACGACTTGTGTTAAGCTTTGCAGCAGGTTTTTTTTGCATGTCTTTGAGACAACGATGGCTCGAGTCTTGGATTGGGGTTCTCAGCGGCTAATGTCACCATTTATTTCAACACGAGATTCATTACTTTCTCAAAAACATCATCGATCTGATCTCTAAGAATTGGTCTTTCCGGGGACACAGGTTTCTTCCTTAATATCAAGTTGGCAAGACCTAATATATTCAGCAAACATGAACTTTTCAGTTCGATTGAAAGAGAGTCATGCAACAAACAGAAATGAGGCAGCCTTTTCGAGCTACTTCGACGCTTCCGGTGCACTCAAGGACTCAATGCTCAATTGTGCTAGTCTCACCGCAGTATTTCTTGAGTTTGATACAGTGAAGTTTGAAAACATGTTGTGTATTTGAGAGGTATTCTCCTTCACCATGATTCCGGTGCGTGCGAGGACGACGACATCGTCATTTTGTTCAGATCTGCCATTCCATGAGTTTTTTGCCCGTAAATTTGTCAACTCGTTTCTATACTTATCGCCAGTGACTAACCCGACAAAGGCTAATCATAGTATCATCTTCTTCGGCAACTCAACATGAATTGTACTGACCTACACGTTACTTACTCCAAGTACACATAGTACACTCACTGACAGTTAGAATCGGCTATATGAGTACCTCATAAGAATACCATTTTTTCCCGTCTCTTGCGTCGTATGATCCTTAAGCAGCCAGAACGAACTCACCGCACCTAAAGCCAACACTCGACCCCGAAACTATCTCAACATTTGTACCAAACTCAAATCTAAACGGACGGAATCTTTACATGCTCGACCATGCTCATATTTCACCACCCAGGGAAACATGATGAGGCATTCTCTCAAGTTTGAACAAAGCAACGAAAAACTGTCCTTCCATCAGAAACAATGTATATTATACAAACAAGTGTCTCGGAATTTAGTCATAACCATTAAAGTACTACCTTGAGGTACTCTTTCCCTATTTTCCTGACATTGAGATTTGTATACTTGTCCGTCGCTCCACATAACGTGATAGTTCCTGCAAGTATTGGATCTATAGAAGTTGGTAAAATTCAAGAACCGCTTGCGTCAAAATCGAGCTCCAAACCAGATAATTGGAACCATTAGAGACCTGTATTGCCATTCCTTTGATTGCAATAATTACTAGCTACCCACAACTAAAAAGCTGACACTTTTTTGCTGCAAATTCGGCTGAGTTTTGAATTAGATTCATGAGCAGCATCACCACCAGCCAAAATGCCAGTTTTTGCATACCAGTTGGGCTTACAAGTCTTCAGAAAGACCTAATCGAGATACTCATCTCAACGCATGCCAAATCGCTATTACAGTTGTGCAATAAACAAGATCCCATAAAAACACTTGAGGATGGTGAAAACGGTGCTAAATTGACGCTGCCTGCATTATCGCCCGAACAATTAACGTCACTGTTGTCCACAAATATTCGGGCTATCGCAAATCATCCTTGTCTTTTGGTGGAACACTATATGCCTCGAAAATTGTTACTGATGGAACCTGGGGATAGACTGATAGATACAAGTGATAAATTTCAAAAAATGGCTGCACTTCTCGACTCACTGCGTTACAGAGACCGCAAAAGATTTCCAAACGCCCTGCAAATTGCAGTGATATCGCATAGTGTGAAAGAGTTGGATCTTATCGAGGGTTACCTTTTGGGAAAGTCCGTTAAGCTCAAGCGGCTTTCTGGAACGAGTTTATTCGACGAAAAGCATCTTTATGGAGAGCCTGAAACGGATTCCAGCACACCAGTACGGTCCACAGGTAATTCCAAAGAAGACTACGATTATGGAAAACGCAAGAGCAGAACCTCAAAAGGTGACTTTCGTGATTGGCTGTTTGTGGCCACGTCTACGCACTTGGCTCGAGCTCCAGATCTGTTAGATGGCTATAGTATAGATCTCGTCATAGGGTTTGATCCATTGATAGATGAGAACCTCGAATGTTTTGCAAGGATGAGAAGCGCCGGCAAAAAAGTTCCTCTTGTGAAACTACTGGTGAAAGATTCACCAGATCATTACTCTATGGTTCATCGTCATGCGAAGAGCGTGGATGATCTTTTTATGGACTCACTTCTACATTTTGTGAAACATAGACAGACGATCACACATGATGATGGGACTGGTTGGCTGCGCCAATTTGCAGAGGAGCTTTTGAAAGAGACTGTTCCCGACCCAGCTTTAATACCGACATGCAGCCTCGCAAATAAATACTCCCAAATGGACCTTCTGGAATCGGTGACCAAATTCCAGTCCCTTTCACCACTCTCTACGATAGATTTCAAACTTGAGCCCGTGAATCAAGATCTTGATATCAAGACATATCAGAGTGTTCTGATGGATCGCATTGTTCAGAGGCTCACTGCTTGTGATGCAGAATATTTCGCCCGCGAAAAAGAGATACTCGACAAGAGAGTTCAAGAGACGATACGTCAAAATAAGCTGGACGAACTAAAAGTAGATGCGGCTACTATATTCAAGCAAAGCAGGGAGGACGAAGGCCCCGCCCTCGAGTCAGCCAAAAAATTAAGCAAAGCACAGGCAGACGATTTGAAACTGCGAGAGCGCTTGAAATTCCTTTCTGAGCAAAAGGCATCTTTTGAAGGCAGATTAGGTGACGACACAACACCGCTTTCGTCCCAAATCAGCGCACTATCCGCTGATTTAGAAGTTTTGAAGGGAGAAAGAGATACTGAAAAACAAGCTAACGTTCAAAGATCTATGGAAAACGACGAACTTCGAGCCCGTTACCAATCTGAGTCATCGAACGCTGCCAGTAAATCTATGGTTCTACAACAATTGCGAGAACGTCGTGACGAACTCAAAGCCAGGCTTTCAGGACCAGCGGTCAGTCTGTTTTCCAGAAGCGCACTGGAACACGAAACAGCGCTGAAGGAGCAATTAATACAAATAGTCCGGCAGTCTCAGTTCACCCAAGGTTATGTTAAGAAAATACAGAAACAATACTTTCTCAACGGCTCTCAAAGCTCAACTAAAGGTGGCGGTACATCCCGTTCGCGTCGTCAAAGGAACTGAAGTATATTAGATGAAGTGCCTGCCACTCTAAGTAGCATCAACTAGTCTACTCTCACAACAATGCAGATCCACATGAATGTCAAATCCGTTTTCTATAAAGACTTTTAATGTACAACGAGTCGAACCAGAGGAGCGGAACCCCGGGGCACGAGGGGGAAACAGATTGTTGAGGGCAATCTGTTAGTGTGTGCTATATCTCGAGTTTAAAGAGTTTCCACAAATAAGCAGCTGCATTATAGCCGTCATTGGTAGACGCGAAGGATTCATGCTCCAGTTTTTTTACTTCGGCATCCTCCAGTAGTTTGCGGGTCCCCATTGTTCGAAGAATTGACACCACAACGTCTGTAACGAACTCGGGATGGCCCTGCAAGGTGAATAGTTTATTCTTTCTATAAAGTCCCTGGATAGCGCACTTGGACGAATACCCGAGATTGGTATATCCCGATGGTACATCGTAGACTATATCGTTATGGATCTCTGCAATCTGTATGGAATCCACAGGGTTATCGCCCGGTTTCTGGAGCAAACCGAGTTTCTTTGCTTCTGGTGTTAACTGAACGGAGACAATCCCACCCTCAAACCCTTTGACATTTCTGTTCACCGTGCATCCTAAGCTGGAAGCCACAATTTGATGCCCAAAACATACACCGGCTACCGGTGGAAACCCTTCTGTCGTTAAAACCGTTGAAAGTAATTCTCTCAATCGGACGATCCAGCCAGTGCTGGTGTCAAATGCATCAAACTGGGACCCAGTGATATAGATACCATCAAAATTCCGGAGCTGCTCAAGTGAAGGAAAATGATCTTTATGAACATTGAAAGTGACGTATTCTGCTTCGTCCCTTGCAGCTCGTGTCTGTTCTAACATAGTCACAGCCATATCAGCAAAGTCACCATACTTTGCCAGATTCTCTTTGGCAAAATCGGCATTGATGATGGCAATCTTCATGTCCGAACGTTCTATTGAAAAGTGTGGGACTGATGGCTAGTATCAGTGTCAAACACCAGTAGCTCTGGAAATTTTTAGTTGGCCACAGGGATGAATCAATCAAATGCGATCGCTGGTGGATATAGTCCAGAGTGTCCAACTCAGATCATCAAGATCTGTGATCGATCAGCTTATCTTGAAAGAGGGCTTCTTGTTTATGTAGGAGTGTTTATCTGAGTATACATTGAACGACAGAATGATGAATAGTGATAATAGTAGTCGAAATCCACAATGCTAACAGCGGGAAACTCCATGCAATGTTGAGCGACTTTGTTAACCAGGTATGACAATGCACCGCCAGTTTCTCTGGTCATGAGCTTTTTTTTTTGTTCTCGTTTCTCTCTTACATGACAGCTTTTCCTATTATAAAAAGTTGATTTTGATGAAAGTAATGGTCTCAATGGGCATATCCTAACGCTAATCTCACCAATATTTGACGTAATCCTTTCATGTCCTGTACGAGTCCCTTCTGTCCTTAGCTTTTGGCTCGAGTATTCGATAGACAATTATTCACTGAAAATGCAGATTTGTATTAGCTCTTCGTTAGCCACACCTGGTATCGTGTTTCGATGTGTGGATCTCACACTAGATTTTGAGAATCTATATGCAAATTTATCGCAACATTTTTCTGTCACTGTCCGTAAGCATGTGCGAACCCCTTCTCTTGTCACCACGCTTTTCGGGCTGGGAGCTACCATAATAACTCTTCGCTCTTGCAAACCCGAGAATGAAGTTCGAGCTAAAGCACCAGATAGCTAGCCCCGAAAGAACAACGCACAGCGTTTTCCAACCCAACGGTTCCACGAAGGAGTTTACGACGTCACCTATTAGTTTGGCACTGATGGCGGTCCTAGCACGAAAGAATACATCATTATTTCGAGACATGCACTTATGCCACGCAGTGCATTGTTCTTCCAAGGCCTCTACTCTTGTACTCTGATCGCAATGATTCAGATCGTAGTTTCTCAGGCACTGGATCGATTCGTGCTTTAGTTCTAATTTGGCCACCTCCCATGCAGATCTCAAGTCTGCTTTTAAAGACCTCATGAAGATCAATGCAAGAGAGAAAAGTAGCAATGCTGTCAGTGCGTTCAGGAAAATTTGAAGGTACGACGTGACCAGATAAGAAGTTCGCGAAGCAGGATGAGAATAAGAAGACCACGGATTCGGCAATTGAAGTGAATTAGGCTTCTCAAATGTCGCGTTTTCACTTCGTGAATACATCTCTGGATGCGGATAGTAGAAATGATTATTGTTGATTGAGATTTGTATGGGCTGTTGTTTGGATCTGTGCCGCAGTTCAGAGAGATCTTCTGGACTCAAGTCTAGGCCCGTAGGACTCTTGGAATACCTTGTTTCGAATGCTTGGTTATCGGCTCTTTCTTGCTGCTCTCCACAATCGTCCACCTCATCGTCATGCAATTGATCCAATTTTGTTGCGGCAGCAACACCTAGGCTTGTGGGTGACAAAAGTGCTTTTATTACCGCTTTACTACTTGGTCCTGTCGAACTAGAACTTTCATCAGTGACGGATTCTGATTCATCCAAAAGGTCGTTTTCGACAACGGAATCATCGTTGTCGTTATCATCATTATCATTATCATCAACAACAGAATCCACATCCATCTCGTCGCTGTAATCACACTCAAATGTAGACTGTCGCAGTGGTGATGGACTTGACGGTACATGAGGCATGATTCTGTCCATCAATTTCTGCGATAGTTGTTGTTTTTGATTCTCGATTCCAGGCTCATTCTCGCATATTTTCAATTCCAGGATGGCCTCCAAATCCCTCTCATTCACTACCGATTCTTTATCGACTATCGTCAGGTTACTGAACTCATCCATGACAGTAGGCAGGCAAGAGGAATTGTACCAATTCGTGGTGTTCTCATCACTTTTGATCATCGACTGTTTAATTTCAATGTTGATGCGATGCTCATCGATCACTTTGTCTTACTGAGACACTTTAGTCGAGCTAACAACGGTCGACGTTATAAAGCAGTTCATGGTTCTAAAAATCGACTCTGTTCATCGTGTTGGTTTAGCTATAACTACTCATGTTTACATGTGGAAGTTTGACCGTTTTCAAAATCGCGATCCGTCTTGTAGAGCGTATCCAAAAAGCCAACAAGTAATCGATCGACAATCCCTCTGGTTTGTATGCTACCTGCAACCCCATATAGAGCACTGGTTCCGTCAGAAGCTGGTCCTTGCTTGGTTGTAGCACTCAATTCGTTAACACACCCATGCAGTATGCGTGTAAGGTCATCGATAGCGGATCTCGTGAGCCAGGTAACAGCTAAATGAAGAGCTGGGGGATCTTGTAGCGTGCTCAAATGCCAGCCCTTACTGGTCAATTTGTCGGCAAGGTCATATATGTTAATCTCAGAGGATTTGACAGCAATGACAGAACAGACTGGGTCCCCTACAATTTGAAGTTGGGGAATTTGGTCTTGGACATATTTCTTCAATTTTCTGGTTGTGCCAATAATTTCTTTACAGGAATCGATGTAGCCCTGTTGACCCATGTGTATCATTGTTGCCCAGCAGCCCACGACAAGTGCGCCTGGCCGACTTCCTGCGAGAGTCGGCGAACCGTATAGTCCACCGCACCAATCTGTTGATAAATAATATTGATACTTCCTCAACTCACGGTTTCTGTACATTATGATGGAAGAGCCCTTAGGAGCAAACCCGTATTTGTGGGTGTCGCACGATATTGAAGTGACGCCGTTAACTCTGAAGTCAAAAGGTGGTATATCTTTGAAGCCCGCGTGTTCCATGTGTGCAATGACAAAAGATCCCAAGCAGCAGTCTACGTGCAGCGGAATCTTGTATTTTTGTGCCAGATTTCCTAGGCCTTCAATGTCGTCGACGATTCCGTGTGGGAAGTTTGGAGCAGAACCCACAAGCAATACGGTATTTTTGTTTATAAGTCTTTTCACTCTTTTGAGATCAACTTTGAAGGTCTTGGGGTCTAACGGGGCACTTCTCAAGGTCATACCAAAATAATACGCGGCTTTGGCAAAAGCTGCATGGGCTGTAACGGGTGCAATGATTTCTGGGTTTTGACAGCCTTTGCGATGTAATCCGTACATTTTGGCACTCAAACACGCTAGTAAGAGCGACTCGGTTCCTCCCGAAGTAGTGGTGCCACACCCAGTAGTCTTAGGAGCATGGAACATTTCGAGTACCATGGACACCACTTCAGATTCCATCTTTCTTACAGCAGGAAACACATCTGGATGCAGCTGGTTGGAAACACAGTACTTTTCGTAGGCCTGACTTTGCAGATGTATCAAATCCTCACCACCATGATATACGGCGCCCGATACTTTGCCTGCTTCCCAGTCCGCATGGGTCAGGACCTTTTGGGATAGGTCCAATTCTTCGAGTACTTGATCGTCGCTCCAGCCCTTGGAGGGAAGAGTATTGAAATTTGTCAAAAGATCATTCTGCTGCATAAGACTGTTTTCCAGGCCAGCCAACGATTTGTCAACCTCCTTGTCGATCTTGGATCTCAATAAGAACGATCCACTCAAATACTGGAATACTGGTCCCAGTGTATGAGCCTTGAGCATTTTGACGGACTGTTTGAGCCCAAATCCACCCACATAGTACCAGACCCATTTGAATGCCTTGTACAATAGTGCTGCCACGATAAGGAGCTTGCAAAAACCAAGATCTAATTCGTAAACCGCATCGAATGAGAGTTGCGGATAGGATATATGCAGTCTGGCCATTTTGGACAATATCAAAGTAGAGACTTCTGCAGCTCAGACAAGTCAGGTTCTACTAAACCTTCAATTTGGTGCTGGTTCAAGACAGCTGTGAAGTTTACAGAACTCCGGACCTGAGCGTTTTTCTTTTTGAAGCAGCAAATGGAGAAACACCGTGTGAAGAAAGACGAAAGGTGAAAAAACGACAGAATTCAAGTCGCTGAATGGCTTCCTTTTGACGGTTGCGGCGTACGGGGAAAACCTTACCTGGAACGTAGTATTTGTGCTTGCTTGCAAATGGTTTTCCACTGTTTTTTAAGCATGTTTAGAGGGGGGGGCAATATACTTTAACTGAGAGCCGGTAAGGCACTTTTACTATGGAGTAAACTTGAAGAGCAGAAGCAAGAAAGGTAGGACAAGTGGTGTCAGAAGATCAAGAATCCGTGGCAAGCTAAGAAATGACGGGATTATACAGCGTTGGGTCGATGCATGTTGACTAGCATCGTCACCAAGTTTAGTTTTTGTATGTATGTGCGGATGGGAGCTCAATATTGCAGTACACATATATAGGTACTTTTTCGTATGTTGTGCTGAAAACTGACGTGAGACGAATGGGTAACTTTTAAAAGGTTTCTGATACAAAGACAGCGGGAACGCATAATTGGGATCTTTGATGACTCCCAGAGACTACAACACTTCACGAAAGGGTTGAATCTCTCTTTCTCTTTGTTTGTTTTCAAGTGACAGGGACGTACAAAACGATATTCTTCGTCTTTCATCCCTCCCAAGAGTTTTCCTCGTCAAGCTACTCAAGGTCCATCTAACAGCTATCATAAAAGGAATCGCATTGTACATTTCACCACTTTCAACCACTTATACCCATCTTTTCTTCCAATCCTCGGACTTGGCTTCCCGATAATCTTTTAATTTTTTCCAATTATTGCGTCACGTGACCCTTTTTTTCTTAACGATAGCGGTATAGTGCCAACAACTCAGACCCGACAAGGTCTGCAAACCACAGGAAACTGGCAACGATCAGTTAGAAGCGATTAAAAGATCTCAAAAGACTCATCACAAGAAATATTTTCCCGGAATATAAAAGGACCACATCACTGGGCTTTGTCGCAAAACCTTTTATCCATTTACGCCTTGGTTTCTATCTTTCCAGATCGAATAAGGTTAGATCGCTGTCTATATTACCTTTAGAGAAAAGAGTAAAAATTATTCTACACTGGTGTTTGGTTTGGATTCAGTAAAAAGTTAGCCCAAAATAAGGTCCAAAACCGTGCTACGAACGTCACATCTGAGCCCCTGAGAACTACATTCCCGCGGTTTTATACTTCCACTTTTCACCCCATGTTGTCCCGTTCTGTCTTGTTCAGACAATCTAGACGTTGCGTTTCGCAACTTTCGCACATTAAACCGCCAAAAGAGATCACAAATGAGCCTGTCAAGTCTTTTGACAGCACTGCAACGCTCGACTGGGACCTTTTGCGCGCCTCAGTGTCAAAATTCAATAACGCATCCTTGGATGTGCCTCTCGTGATCAACGGAAAACGTATCTTTTACAACGAGGGCAACAGAAGCTTTCACCAGCAGGTAAACCCGGCCAAACACTCCCAGGTGCTGGCCAACGTCACCCAAGCGTCTAAGGAAGACGTGGCGGCTGCCATTGAGGCCTCCAAGACCGCAAAGGCAAAATGGCTGAAGATGCCGTTCTACGACCGTGCAGCGGTCTTCCTCAAGGCCGCAGACCTCATCTCTACCAAGTATCGCTACGATATGCTGGCGGCAACCATGCTGGGCCAGGGTAAAAACGTTTTCCAAGCGGAAATTGACTGTATCACCGAGCTGGCCGATTTTTTCAGATTCAACGTCAAGTACGCTGCAGAACTGTACGCGCAGCAGCCTTGTGAGTCCAGTCCGGGCGTGTGGAACAAAGCCGAGTACAGACCCTTGGAGGGTTTCGTGTACGCTGTCACACCTTTCAACTTCACTGCCATTGCCGGAAACTTGATTGGCGCACCTGCCTTGATGGGTAACACCGTGGTTTGGAAGCCATCGCAGGCTGCCAGTTTATCAAACTACTTGCTACTAACAGTCCTTGAGGAAGCCGGTCTGCCTCATGGCGTAGTGAATTTTGTCCCTGGTAACCCCGTTGAAGTGACTAGCCAGGTCTTGGCAGACAAAGAGTTTGCTGCCTTACATTTCACTGGATCCACCGCTGTTTTCAAGCAGTTGTATGGACAAATCCAACAAGGTGTGGTTACCGACCGTTACAGAGACTACCCCCGCATTGTAGGTGAGACGGGTGGTAAAAACTTCCATCTGATTCACCCCAGTGCCAACCTGCCTCACGCGGTTCTCAGCACTTTGAGAGGTGCATTTGAGTTCCAAGGCCAGAAATGCTCCGCGACCTCAAGGGTTTACCTACCACAATCCAAGAGCGCCGAGTTCTTGGCTGACCTTGTGGGCTCTTTGCGTTCGGTACGCACTGTCAACACATCTGCTTCCAAGATCAACGGCGGTGACTTACACGGCTTTATGGGACCTGTCATCCACGAACAAAGTTTCGACAAATTGGCCGGTGTGATCGACGAGGCGAAGAACGACCCGGAGCTTGAAATCATCGCAGGGGGCGAGTACGACAAGACCAACGGATTTTTCATCGAGCCCACTGTTATCAAGACCACCAACCCTAATCACAAGTTCTTGTCGACCGAGTTTTTCGGACCAGTGTTGACTGTGTACGAATATCCAGACGCCGAGTTTGCCCAGATCTGCGAAATCATCGACAAAACCACCGCTTACGGACTAACCGGTTCCATTTTCGCCCGTGACAGAGATGTCATCAACACGGCCGACGAACTTTTGAAATACAGCGCCGGTAACTTTTACATCAACGACAAGTGCACTGGTGCCGTGGTTGGCCAGCAGTGGTTTGGCGGTGCCAGAATGAGTGGTACCGACGACAAGGCCGGTAGTGGAAACATCTTGTCCCGGTTCGTGAGCATTCGTAACGTGAAGGAGAATTTCTACGAGTTGACCGACTTCAGATACCCTTCCAACTACGAATAGAAACCGAACAAAGCGAACAAAGCGAACAAAGCTACTCTGAACGCCACGCAAGTTTGCTTACGTTTGAACATCTAAGACTTTTTCGCTGTTGTAGAACTAAATGTACATAAAAAAGAGCGGTTTTTTTTTTAGGTTTTTTGGATCTTCCAGTATAGCGAAAAGTTCAGCAATTGGTATCAAAAGGAACGACGGAATTCGCTGATCACACTCTGATATACTTTACTAAGTTCGGTCGTTTCACTTCTCGTCCAGCTCTGTTTTCTCTTTTCTCAAAACCGGGCTTTGTTAATCCACTACAGAAATCAGTCGTCTCTCGAATTGAAGTGTTCTAGACCGCTTACATAATCTTCCAAAGCTCAAATATCATGTGACCAAAATCAAGAAATCAAAATTGCAACCATCACTATGAACGGAGACTTTTTAAATGAAAAGCTCTCTATATGGGTTTCTAAAAAAAAAAATGTTATCCAGCTCTCCTATTGGAACGACCCCGAATAGTTCTGCTCTGTAAGGGACACAAGGGACTGCTATTCACTCATTATTATTGAACGCCCGCTGTAGTCACTTATCTGAACTTCAGAATCCGGGTCGCGGTGTTTTTTTTGAGACCAAATTCGTGTTTTTAGGAGCGTTGCAAGCTGAACGTGTTGCGTTGTTTCCAAATAGTGCACTTTTAGGGATCAAAGGTTGAAGAAACTTGTTTTTAAGCATCGATTGGGATTGAAACGGGAGCGTTAACTAGTGGTGATCAACAACTGAAATAGCATTACAGGTACCAGCATTTTCATCACCTTGGGAACAGGATTTCAAGCGGTTTTGGTCGTTTTGTTAAGTAAAGAAAAAAAAAAATGAACCCGTCCGATAGAGGTCACAACAGTTCCGGTGGTGACAGATTCGTTGCCACGACCGGGGGTCGAAACATCCCCAAACAGATCCATATCGCCCACAGAAGGTCAGCCAGCGAGCTGACAAACCTCATGATAGAGCAGTTCACACTCCAAAGACAACTGGAAATTGTGCAGGCCCAACAGCAGCAATTGATTGCACAGCAGCAACAGATGGCTCAGCAATCGGGCCAGTATCCTGGATCCGGGTTTCCACCCCCAAATCAAAGTTCTGGAGGCGGTCCAGGAAGCCACGTCAACTCCTTTGTTCCACAGCCACCCCACCCTATGTACAGCAACACGGCCACTCCATCATCGTCAAACCATAACAGCAGAAGCAGATCGCATTCCAGAAACAATTCAGGCTACTACAACAACAGCAACCCACAGGGAAACGGTAACAACAATGATGCTGGTGCGGCTTTCGGAGGTCATCGTAAGACGGGATCTCAGTCAAGCGTGTATGGCCATAATAGAAGACACTCACTGGGACTTAGCGAAGCCAAGAAAGCAGCTGCTGAGGAACAGGCGAAAAGGGCCAGTAGTGGTGTTTCCATCAAGGTGGATGACGCAGATGCGTTCGAACCGGTTGGAAATGCTGGTTCAGAAACTGCGGAACAATCCGGATTCAAGTTTCCTCCATCTCCCGTAGAATCGTCAAGAGGTGGCGCTACACCTCACCAACTAAGGAATTCAAGCACGTCTCCACAGAAGAATTTTGAGTTCCCTGCAAGCAAGGAGAACCGGGATGAATTCACGCCTAGCAACACTCCTCTCAGAAGCACTCATAACAGAGGCAAAGAAAGTTCTGGAATTAATGCCAACTGGCGCTCGCAGCAACAAACTTCCAATACTCCTGGCAATCAATCTACACAGCAGCTACAGCCCCAACAATTGCAACAGCAACACCCAAATTTTCCGCACAAGAAAACTCAATCAAGAGAGTTTACAGGGTTCGGTGCTTTGGAGCCTCCTGCAGTTTTTCAACCCGGCCATCGTTCGCGCAACTCTAACTTGTCGTCTCACAGTTTCGGATCAAACAATAACGGTGGTAACCAAAACGGTAGGAAATCACTGTTTGCTCCTTACCTGCCACAGGCCAATATACCAGAATTAATCACAGAAGGTAGACTGGTTTGTGGAATTCTTAGAGTCAACAAGAAAAATAGATCAGATGCTTGGGTCTCCACTGATGGTGTCCTTGATGCTGATGTGTACATTTGCGGTTCTAAAGACCGTAATAGAGCGCTAGAAGGAGATCTTGTAGCCGTTGAATTGTTAATGGTTGACGATGTTTGGGGTTCAAAGAAAGAAAAAGAGGAAAAAAAGAGAAGAAAAGACGCCAGCAGCCAACAGGATATCCCGCTCAACAGTAATGATGACTATCACAATGATGCCTCTTCTCGCACAATGCCCGCATCGACTTCTTCCACTTCTATCAACTCTGGGGAAAAAACTGATCAATCTTCACCGTCCAAGTCTGGCAGCATCAAGAGGAAAGGATCTTTGAAACAGCGTCCTACTCAAAAGAAAAATGACGACGTTGAAGTCGAAGGTCAGTCTTTATTGCTTGTTGAAGAGGAAGAGATCAGCGATAGCTATAAGCCTTTATACGCTGGTCATGTCGTTGCAGTGCTTGATCGCATTCCTGGTCAGCTTTTCAGTGGTACCCTTGGTCTGTTGAGACCCTCCCAGCAAGCCAACAGCGATGCAAACAAGCCCAACAAACCGAAGATCGTTTGGTTCAAACCAACTGACAAAAAAGTTCCATTGATCGCCATTCCAACGGAGCAAGCACCAAAAGACTTTGTCGAAAGTGCCGATAAGTACTCCAACAAGCTATTTGTTGCCTCCATTAAACGTTGGCCGATCACTTCGCTGCATCCCTTTGGTACCTTGGTTTCACAGCTTGGAGAAATTAATGAACCCGAGACCGAGATAGATGCCATTCTTCGTGACAACAACTTTTTATCTGATGAGTATTTGGATCCTCAAGATCGCTCGAAAGAAAGAACGACTTTTCAACCTTCTTCCTTATCGGAAGAAAATATCAGCGCCAGAAAAGTTTTTGATGACGCAGTTGCCGTCTACGAGACCGGCTCGCTGTCAGACCTAGCGATTCATCTGCGAACATTCAAAGATGGATCATTTGAGGTCGGCTGTCACATTCTTGATGTAACGGCGCATATTGAAGAAGGCTCGTCTTTAGATAGAAGAGCAAGAAAGCGGTCTTCGAGTGTTTTTATACCTCAAAAAGTTGTTAACCTGCTGCCACAAACCCTTAACGATGCGCTAACGCTAAAGGCTGGGAGATCTTCAGCGACTATTTCGGTCATTTATGGCTTCGACAGGAACTACAGTATTACTTCTACATGGGTTGGCGAAAGCATCATTACTCCGGTATCTAACATTACGTTTGAGGAACTCAACACTCAACTTGACTCGAGCTCACCATCAGTATTCGCGTCGACCATTCAGAAGGTAGCAACAGCTTTTTGTCGTAAGCGCCTAGATTCACAAACTGCACTTTTGAGACCCGAGCTTTGCTTGCTGGAAAGTCTTGATGATGAAAAGGTGAAGGCCGACATCAACATTTTCCACGCGGACATGGCTACGTCAGTTATTACAGAGATTGAGCGTCAAGTGAATGGCACTGTTGCACAAACGGTTTATGAGAGGCTTGGAGACCTTGCCTTTTTGAGAAGACAATCTAAGCCCATAGCAACAAAGCTGAATTCTTTTCAAAAGAAGGCCGAACGGCTCGGATATGAAATTGATGTTACCAACTCTCAAACTATTTTGAATTCGATCATTGCGATAAAGGATGAAAACGCCAGAATTGGTGTCGAAGTACTTTTATACAAGTGCTTGGGACGTGCAAAATATTTTGTTGCAGGAAAAGTCGACTCTGATCAATTTGACCATTTCGCTTTGAACTCACAACTGTATACCCATTTCACCGCTCCTTTGAGAAGATATGCCGATCATGTTGTTCATCGTCAACTAAAATGCGTCTTAGCAGGGCTTCCGTACAATGAAGATGATGATTCTTTGAAAATTACCTCAGAGTATTGCAATTTTAAGAAGGACTGTGCTCATCACGCTCAAGAACAAGCCATCCATCTACTCTTGTGCAAAACCATTAATGACATGGGGAATTCAACGGGACAAATTTTGACTATGGCGACTGTGCTGCAAGTGTACGAATCAGCGTTCGATGTTCTGATTCCCGAATTTGGAATCGAAAAGCGAGTTCATGGTGATCAATTACCGTTGACCAAGGCAGAATACGATGGCAACGAGCGTGTTCTTGAACTCTATTGGCAAGCTGGCGTTGACAGTGCCACATTTGTTCCAGCTGACGAAAAAAATCCTAAGTCGTACCGTAATTCAATCAGAAACAAGTTCAAGTCTGCTTCTAACGAGATAGCAACCGTGCAATACCAGAAGGACCAAGAGAAACAAGGTCTGCTTACCGAAGACTTTGCCAGGCAACTCAGCAACCTACACATTGATCCACCATCCTTAAAGCTTCCTGTGAACGATCAGGTCGACGAGCCACTTTTGGGATTTTTGTCCGAAGTTATCACCAGACAAGCAAATGACAACAACATCCAGGAGATCAGAGAACTGCACCGTGTTCCCGTTTTATTACGGGCAGAAGTGGGAATGGCCTTACCATGCCTAACGGTACGTGTACTGAACCCTTTTCAATCGCGTAAAGGTTGAACCATTACGCCCTTCTGAAGGTCAACACCAACTAATATCATCATTAGAACCAACTTTGCATTCATTCAATATATCGAGCCAACTGATATGTAAACTATTCAATCGTCTTAGAGATTTCTTTACTAGAGTTGTTCTACATGCTACCAAGCAGCGATCATTTTTATTGCAAAGTGACGTTGGATTCAGGTCTAGGTTGATCTTTTTGAACTAATTGAAGGCTCAAATACCTAAACACCGCATCCTGTCAGCGGAAGGCGTTCATTTGGTCACCTCACAATGCTGATCAATTGCTTGAACAGGGGTGTGCACACTGGTCTCTTTGTCCAAACCAGGAATCTTCATTGTGTCACTACACTGGCAAAGAAGGCCGTTAAAAAACCTGGCAAGGGCAAGAAAGTCGAGGAAGATGAGGTCGTCGAGATTGTGGATCTTAACAGCTATATCCAACGCGCTACTGCTGCATTCGAGAAAAGTACTGAACTTCACAAGAAAAGGCTGAACGAATTGAAAGCCGGAACGTCGAATCCCACCATTTTTGACAAGCTGAAAGTTGGAAAAGAAAACTTCAAATTTACAGATGTCGCCACAACGTCCATGAAAGGCAGAAATAATCTTCTTGTCACTGTGTTTGATCCAAAGGACACCAAGTCTGTCATAAGTACCATTTTAGCAGCAGGATTGAATTTGAACCCAGAAAGAATACCTAACAATGTGCAGCAACTCAAGGTGGCCCTTCCGCCACCCACTACAGAGACCCGAAAGCAGAGTTGCAAATTGCTGAAGGATGTTTTTGAGGAGTACAAAAATTCTGCCAACAAGAACTCGTTGGGCCATATCCGTGCTGAAGTACTGAAGGAATTGAAGACAATTGACAAGAAGAATGATTCCGTGAAGAAGGTCATCCAGGACCTCGAGAAGATACATAAGGACTACACTTCGAAGCTTCAAGAAGCTCTTAAACAGGCCGAGAAAAGTGTTTTGGGCTAATTGTGTCTATCATCAAAATATATAAAACCTGTAACTGGTCGTTGTTCTTTCGCAAGTGATTTTAGTTGGCATTTTTGGCCAGAGATAGTAAAGATCTGATCCTTACCCATAGAGATCGAGTATAAGAGCCTGTGTTGAAGTTCTTGACAAATTTCCACGCTGCACGGTTGCTCCTGATCGGGTAGTCCAAGGGTTTCGGAATTTGAGTTGAAATAAAAGGCAGTTTGTCGTAACAAACACTCTTCGCATTACAAAGACCCGTTAGACCTTCTTCACCACCAAACTTACCATATCCAGAGCCGTTGATACCGCCAAAAGGGAGTTGACAGACGTAAAAAGTGGCAAAATCATTGATGGCAACATTACCACTGTGTAGTTGGTCAGCAACATAATTGCATTCCGTGTAGTCGTTTCCAAAAACAGATCCACCAAGTCCAAAGGGAGCGGAGTTGGCCAAGCGAATACAGTCCTCGGTGTTTTGCCCACGCATCATGGTTAGCACTGGCCCAAATACCTCATTTTGAGCAATATCCATCTCAGGAGTTACGTCGACTAGTAGAGTGGGCTGGAAATAGTGTCCCTGTGGGTAATTAGGATGCTTATAGCGTGTCCCTCCGTGTAGCAATCTTGCACCTTGCTTTACGGCATTTTCGATCAAGGCCTCTATTTGTGAAAACCTATTGTCTGATATCATGGCTCCCATATCCACATCTTCCAAATTGTCAATATCTGAGCCTAATCTGAGTTTGCTAATCCTCTTCTCTAATATAGATACCATTTTGTCGTAATTTTTGGCACTTACGATTACTCTCTCAATACCAATACAGTTTTGCCCAGAGGATTGAAACGTACCACGCATGATGATCGATGATAACGCATTTAAGTCTTTGACAGAGTCTAAACAAATGAAAGCGTCCTTACCCCCAAGCTCGACACAGACTGGCGTGAGGCTTTTGGAAGCTTCTGCAAGAACATGATGCGCCACTGGTTGACTACCAATAAATGTCAAGTGTTTGAGCTGCGGATGAGACGAAAAATGGTTAGCAGTATTGTCAGTTGCGGTTGGTGGATTACTGTAGCATAGTTGTACTAGATCTGGATTTTGGCCGCAAGATTCTAAGCATTTTTTACAAATGCTGACGAAATACTCTGAGGACCATACCACTTGCTCAGAGCACTTAACGACTATTGCGTTACCTGCGAAAACAGCTGCAATTATAGGGCCAAGTAAATTATGGAAGGGATAGTTCCACGAAACTAGTGCCCCAACAACTCCCAAAGGTTCGTATCTCACCTCGGCCCCTTTGTACCATTTCATGAAGAAGTTGGTAGGACCTGGGCGTTTGGAAGGTTGCAAAGCTTTTTTTCCGTGTTGTATAATCCATTGAACTTTTTCCAGAGTAACCAAAATTTCACCCATCGATGCGTCCAGCATCGTTTTTCCAGAATCCCTGCACGCAACACGGGCGATAGCGTCTTGGTTGGCTAAAATATAGTCTTGTAAAGATACCAAAAATTGGATACGTTCTTCGAAAGACGTTTTGCGCCATTCTTTTTGAGCCTGGGCAGCTTTGGATACCAATACGTCGATATCTTTCTCTGTCATCGAAGAAAAAGAGCCCAAAACCTGTCCAGTTGCGGGACAATGACATGGAATCCGCTGAGAGTCATCTGAGGAGCCATTGGTAGAGTTGCCAGACACTGAATGCATTCTTTTTCCCTTCCAGTGTTTTTGGGCTGCTTCTGGCAGTGGAATCTCGAACTTCACAGGTTTAGACGTTGGTGTTTGCATTGCGGGGAAAAGCCAGCGATACAGTATATATGCAGCAACAATAGTGATGAGAAAAGTAGTTGAATTGGTTTTCATAGTCGTGGAATCGGTAACAAGCTTAGTGTTGTTAAAATGAAGCGTTTGAGATCTCATCCAATCTGACACGTACTCTTGAACCGTGTGGTTCAACTGTTGGAGCATGGTTGAGTTTAAATAGATGTGGGACATTTCAATACTGGCACACCCAGCTCAATGCTTCAAGAAAGTAGCTTTGATCGCTGAAGTTGGAAAGGTATAAAGGATGTTGTCTTCGCTTAGAGAGGGCTTCCCGTTTACTTTATATTTCGGTAAATGTATGTCATGAGTCCTATATTAGAAGTACTCGTGTGCTTATGGTAGCTTTGAGGTATTCTCACGACAAAAGCATGAATTTTTGAGCGCTATGTATCGACTATATCAGGACGTCTGGCGTCCCTCGGGTTGGTCCCTAAACTGAATTTCGTTTTGTCTTTGATTCTGGGTTGTTTAAGTAGACAGACCGGCAAAGAAAAAGTGCATGGTGTTGATAAACCCTTGAACTCTGTCTAAGCTTCTAATACTGGACTTAAGCAGCATTGACGTGAACTTCGGTCACTGGGGTCGTCACTGCATCGATCAAGAGCTTCACAATGGCATCTTTCTTTTGTTTGCCAGTTTTTTCAAGAGTGCTGATTTCGCTTTGGACCTGGTCTTCGGCATCCTTTTCTAGACCACCGACACCTCCAGCGTTCTTGGCTTCAAAGTCCTTGAGTTCCTGCTCCTTTTTCTGCTTGTAGACATTAATTTCTTCGGCAGCATCGGTCTTGGCCTGCTTGACTTTGTCCTGACGGTACTGTCTGGCCTGAGAGACAATTTCGTGGGCCTCCTTTTCGGCTTTCAAAAGCGTGGCGATTCCGTTTGGTTGAGACTGCAATCGGAAGAGTTAGTAAAAAACAACTGAGAGATTGAATTTCTTAGAGAAGGTTAGCTGAAGTCAAAACGACGACGACGACGACCAAATTGGCGTGGTCCGGTTCCATGTCTAAGCCCAGTCCCATTCACTTACACCACCCACTGTGGACACTTTAGACACTTTGGAAGTCTTTTCGGACTTTTTTCATCTCAGAGTTGTATACCTGTATGCCGTTTTTCGACCAAAATCAGCACCTCTACGAAAACACCCCTATTAGTGGGAAAAGGGGGAAAAGTTAGACATACCATAGTGTTGTTTATCCTGTGGCTAGCGTTACCAGGAACTGCGATTGATATATCCAGAGCTAGTACACCGAAACTATCAAGTTAATCGAGGAATGTATCGAACTTAAAGGTATCTTTCAGGATTTTGAACTTTCATATCATTTTATTAAATTAGTTTTTTATATGACGGTCAGGATACGAATTAGAGAAGTGATGACGACTATAACGTTGATCAGAGGAAATTGTGGAGTATGAACTGGTTATGTAAATGAATGTATTGGAAATATAGATTGTGCTTGAATTTAGGAACTTACAGCTTGAATCGTAGCCATTTTCTGGAAATTTTTGACTATCTTATATTATTTTGGTTTTGTTGCTGCAGGAAAGAGTACACTGGGGCGTATATTCTGAAATTTATATTATAATTTGATTTGATGTTGTTGAAAGGGGTAGAGTTGGGCATTTACTTACAATTTGCCTCAAACTTTGACTTTCACGACCCTTTTGACTTCGTTCCTGAAGCTATTTTTCTCATAACTGTGAGATGGACGTGACAGGTAGTTTTCGCTAGATACTTCGATTAGTGGTAGAGTTGCTATACAAAATCTTGATTCAATTGAGATCAACACTATTTGTCTCTGCACAAGGCACCTCTAACCACAGTTTCTTAGTTCAAATGGTTTACGTAGTATATACAACTGACGTCATCTAACCATTCATCTACTCGAGCCTTGAGTCGGTAAATCACTATTACGACCTCTGGACGCCTTTCAAAATCTGAAAATTATGCTCATCGCGATGTGAATTCTAGCTCATCGCCTGAAAGTTAATCCAGCATAGAGCTCTCGGAGTATGATCCCCATGAGCTGCTCAGTATGTCTCGTCGAACCAGCCCGATATACTTGTCCTAAGTGTCAGAAAAAAACCTGCTCTTTAGCATGTGTCAAGATGCACAAAGTCCAAGACAATTGTTCTGGAACGGCCAGTGCAACCGCGAGTTATTTGGCTCGTGAAGAGCTAAAAGCTGCAGATACTCCCGATGGAAGTAACCTGCTGGTTCAAAGAGACTACAACTTTCTTTTGGGCATGAACAGGCAGTTGGAACTAATGAAACGAGATGGAAAACAGAAAAACAAACGGACCCTGGCACCCACGCATAGCTATAACAATCAGACACATAACAGGAAACAGCAGCGATCAGATTCACAGCCTCATGTGATAAGACGAGGTGTTAGATGCGCTTTACTTCCAAAGGGAATGCAAAGAGCGGTTCAAAATAAGAGCAGATGGGACAAAAATCTCGATCTATTTGTATGGTCAATTGAATGGTGCATTTTATCGCCGGAAGGAACTATCGAATTATACCACACAAGCCATAGAAATAAGGAAACTGATTCTTTGGCGGAATGTGTGGGCAAAATTGTTCAGGGAAAATGTAACGAACTTTTTGACTCATCACCATCACCAGAGGGACGGGATCTCAGCGTAGATCAAGCACCTCAAAATTGCATTACGACTAGAGATAATAGCGATGCTATTCCTGTACAAGAGTCCCAAGATATTGGCACCCAGACTGACCTGAGCATAACGAACACACCGACTGGGCCACAGCAGCAGGAAACAATCAAACAAGTAAAACTGGATTGGATTTTATCGCTTCACCTGCAATTCTACATCAAATGGTATTCAAGAGACTTTGAAATCTTCGGAGATTCAAAAAAACTTATCCAACTTGACCCCACGATAAGCATAGGCGAATTATTCAGAGATAAAGTTGTCGTAGAATACCCAACGATTTACATTTCCCAAGAAGGAAGTCCCTTGTGCAATGGGTTTTCATTGATAGATCAGAAACACCGCATGAAACCTCAGGCTACGTCTTCTGGTGAATCTTCTCCAACAAGTTCAGAAGATAACTCATGTAATAGTAGCTCGTCTAGCGACTCCGATGAGGAGCCACAGGAAGTTTCGAGTAAAACTGTTTCTGTGCCTAGAAACGATTCCTCACTACCTTCTACTAATAACGCTCCGGTTGAACCCAACCAAGCTAGTGGCAATGAAGTCAATAGCGACGACGATGATGACGAAGACGATTACACGCCCGGCATTTCTCTGGACTTTCTCGCTGATTAGCACCAAAAATAGCGTTTCTAACCCCCGCAATTGCATAACTTAAATAATAGACTTAAAATCAAATAGTGAGTAACAGATAAATTGGAAATGACACATTAGGCGGCACCCGCGGCATAATGGTTCTTATTCGTGAATGTGACCTGCTGCTTGTTTCGAACAATTTCGCGTCCCTTAGAGTCGCTCTTCAAATTATTACTTTCAAGCAGATGCTTCTCCCAAACGGTACGTTCAACACCCATGCGACTGCGCCCGAGTACCGCAATTCTCATTGTGCTGAGCAGATTTCTGGCCGCTTGGGTATGTAAGTAAACTGCACCATTGAAAGCTTGCGTGGCGTCTTTGCCCACACTTGCTTCGACAAGTGCCACTCCACCAGGGTGATCATTGATAAAAGGTGTAACGTCGTGCACAACGTCTTCTATGGCCACAAGTGCTCGCCTTTTGGTTTCAAACTCGTGCTTTGCCAGTAAGACAAATTTTTCCGGCTGGATGATGGGTAACTTGTCTAAGGGAACTCCCCATTGTAGCTTGGCTCTTTCTTCGTCCAGAAGCTTCTGCTGCTGCTGTAATAGGCATTTATCTATTTGCTCCTGAGAAGTGTAGTGAAGATTGCCTGCAAGTCCAAGGTAAGACAGTGCAAGAATTGCTAGTCTGCAAGGGTCCCACCGGAATTTTCCTAAGCCGTTTCTGTAATCACCCGGAAATTCATGATGGAAGTTATGATTTGATTCTCCGAAGGTGATTAGGTCTGCTAGGAAACTGAGAGGTAGGTTTATTGCTGTCCTGGAATCGTCAAATGGTTGCTTTGACAGAGGAAAGTGTTTCGTGTGACAGAGAGCGCCAATAATCAGCCACTGTTGCTGAATCAAAGACATCCTCACCAACCCCAGATAAAATATTCCGCTGAAAAAAGGTAAGCCACAGAGTTTAGATAGAATGCATGGTATGAGTAGCAAAGTTAGCACTAGAATTTCACCATAATTTTCATGCTGCCAGCGCAAAAGTGCGAAGCTTGGTGTTGTGACGAAGCTTTTCCGTTTCTCACCACAAATGTTGCGAGCAGCCGACTCTAGAGTTGCCCTGCAATCTTGCACAGCTCTGGCAGACTTCCGATTTCCTTTGAACAGTTTGTGACCCCATACAGCGAAGAGTGAACCATTGACTGCATTAGAAAGCGGATCTCTTTCAGTGTCTATGTAACGATGATGAGCGAGATGTTGGCTTGAAAAATCGAGGATTGATCCTAACCCACAAGATCCGCCCAAAATCGCGAATACGGATTGTACTCTCAGGTCACATTGGAACGACGTATGTGTGAAGAAACGATGATAACCAGCACCCAGACTGATTTGTGAAATGAACATATACACAGCAAGACATTTTAAAAGTTTGTCATTGTACTCTGGTTTACTGATTATCAGCTTGAATAACGAAAAAAGAGGTAGAATCACGGAAAGTAAAGTTGTCTGGATACTGACTTTTTTTAACAAATGAACGACTTGTGGGTCCCGTTTTCGCTTCTTCACCGCATTTCTGCTTTCTGTTGTGAAAAATGGGGCATTTGGGGCGGAAAGCCCTACATTCTGTGGTTCATCGTGAGATGCGTTCGAGGCCTTGGCAGCGTCATTGGACTTTATAATGTCCGAGAAATCAAATTCAGGAATCGAACCATCATCCATTTCTGATGTAAGGTATTGCACGCACTGTTCACCGACTGATCAAGTGATTCAACGGTTTCGTGGGTGAACAGATTGGGATATGGACGGGAGAGAATGAGTTGATGGGCCTGTTGGGATTTACTTGTATGGTTATTTACGAAGTCGTTCGACGTGATGAATGTTAATATATCTGCCTACTGTTAACGAGATGAACTACAAACGGGAGTTTTGAGCATTGTGCTCGATCACAGTTAGCATGAAATGGATAGCACATTGTATTAGTCTCGAGGAATCTAAATCCAGGCCTTTACTGGGCAGTTTATTTTTTATTTGTTCACTGTTTTTTTTTTCTGTTTTGTCAATGCTGTCACTGTCGAGCAAACCATTGAATTGAGAGACCCTGTTATCTTGTTTTACATTTCAACGAGAGCGAGAGATCTATACCTCAGTATCTTCTCTGGAATCTTGCAAAAATTGGCTCTATGGAGTTGTTGGAATTAAAATCTGTGTTTTCTTCACGCCGAAAAGATGCGACGCATAAAACAAATGAATGCATCCACGAATGACATGGACCTCAATAAGTTGCTTGGTCGACTGGGACTTTCGGAATTCTGTGTGCTTTGGGCGTGTAGTCGTATTTCGTCGCCATAGCTGGCTCAAATCACTTCGTACCATAACGACATCAATTTAAATATGTCGCCATGTTTCGGTGCAGAAGATGACAGGTGAAACGAAGCCGCGATCAAGGTCAACTAGCGCTGTCAAAGTGTTGGGATCCTGGTATACTTTTGGGGTTTTAGTTACTTGTGGTTTCTGTGATTTTTGAGGCTCTCTGAAAGTGATCTGAGTCCCAGATATTTTTTCAAAGAAAACACGCAGCCGTCATTCCATTTTCAAGACAATTAGAAAGAGAGTGAACATTCCATGAAGTTAGCTATTCCATGCATCCAAAATACATCCCATTCAGAGTATTCCCCGTCGTTAAGATGTAGGAATCACCGTCACGTGACATTTTTCAACGACTACTCTTACCAGGCCCAACAAGCTCTAATCGATTGTAGCTAATTTTAGGACAACATAGAAACTTGAAAATTCGCTGCTCTAATTCAAATATGGTTGATACCTCATCAATGTCATACTTTCGAAGCCAGGCTTCCGCACTTGTTTAAGCACCACGTCAAAAGTGACATAGTTTTCAATATCGTCGTAGCCTTGAACAACTCTCACATCAATCAACCCATTTCGACATACACGAACATCCTAAAAAAGCCCCAAAGCACCACCGTGTTAGCTCTTTGATCACAATGATTGATCAATTTGTTGTCTTTACTCCTTCAGGACAGGTGTTGTACAATTTCAGCCCTCAAGGAAAGCGATTGGCTGAGATACAGGTGAATAAAGTGGTGTCTGAACTAATCACCAACGGTGCCAGAAGAGATGAGAGTTCGCATAAGTACACCATTTTGAAACTCGACCAATTCGCTGGTATGTGCAATATTTCCAAACATCCACCCCTTGTGTTTCTTTGTACATATGCTGCTCAGGAACTAGAACAGATTCGTGAAGCTGAGCAAATCCTGGACTTGGGAATCAATCTTTGGGAATCACTAGAACTTTATCAGGTCATGGAACGTAACACAAGTCGACAAGGTGGCCCCAAAAACCACCACAATTTTACGTGGGTACTACAGGACTGCGACGAACAGATGTCTAAGTTTGACGAGTACTTCAAGTTGAAGCTTACCGATGTGAAAGCAGCAAAAACCAAGATTAGGGAACCACCTATCAAGGCAAATCCACAAACTTTGAAAGCACCATCGAAAAAATCAGCAATCAATGTGAAATCACGGAAATGGGGCCGAGATGGTATCATGGAAGATAGTTCCACTCAAGGTGATTTGTCTTCACTTGATTTTTCTGCAGAAGGTACACCAGAAGTTACACCAAGTGCAGTTTCGGAAGTGAATGAAAAGGCTTTTGGAACCAGAACAGAAAATGGCGAGTTTCTCATCAAAGAGATCGACGAACTCTTAAGTAAAAACAAGCGCGGTTCCGCCGAGAAACCCACTGCAAGCACTGGGGCTTTCAGTTTCCTGCAAAAACATTTGCTTGGTAACAAATCAATATCTCAAAGCGACCTTACAACTGTCTTGGAAAAGCTGAAGCAAAAGCTCATTACCAAGAACGTTGCACCTGAGGCTGCTGACCATCTCGCATCCAGGGTGTCCCAAAATTTAATTGGTACCACTACAGCAAACTGGACATCGGTAGAGACAACAGCAAAAGACTCTTTACAGCAGGCTTTGACCGAGTTGTTAACACCTGGTGTTTCGGTTGACTTACTACGGGAAATACAGCAAAGGATCGGCGATACCGGTAAAAAAGCACCATATGTTTTCTCAATTGTCGGGGTAAATGGTGTAGGAAAGTCGACAAATCTTTCCAAACTCGCATTTTGGCTATTGCAGAACAATTTTAGAGTTTTGATTGTTGCTTGCGACACTTTTAGATCTGGCGCAGTTGAGCAACTTCGAGTTCACGTTGAGAACTTGGCTCAATTGACGGACGAGACACATTTACGCGGTTCAAAAAACAGAAGAGGCAAGACTGGTAACGATTTTGTGGAACTCTTTGAAGCTGGTTATGGAGGTTCAGATTTGGTAACCAAAATTGCAAAGCAAGCAATTAAATACGCAAGCGATCAAAGTTTTGACATTGTTCTAATGGACACAGCTGGTAGAAGACATAATGATCCTACGCTTATGTCACCCCTCAAACCTTTTGCCGATCAAGCCAAACCAGACAAGATTATTATGGTTGGTGAGGCTCTGGTAGGGACTGATTCGGTTCAACAAGCTCAAAACTTCAATTCTGCCTTTGGCAAGGAAAGAAATCTAGATTTTTTCATTATTTCTAAGTGTGATACCGTCGGTGACATGTTGGGAGCAATGGTTAACATGGTCTATGCGACAGGAATACCCATCCTCTTCGTTGGAGTCGGCCAAACCTACACGGACCTGAGAACGCTGAGCGTCGGATGGGCCGTTGATACTTTAATGTCATAGTTGATTTCCAATAGAATAATATTAGTGTAATTGCATATCATAATTCAATCTAATCCTGTTTTTACTATTATCCTTTCTTATTCTTCCTCAGTCGGTATTGACTCTTCCTTTACCTTTATAGAACTAGCTGATTCTTTGCTGGTCCTTACATCTATAATTTGCAAGTCTTGGGAGAACTTAACATGCCCTGTTGCTGGTACAATAGTCTCGATTTTGATTTCTGGTAAGTTGGGTTCCGGCCCTTCTTTGATGTCATCGATGAAGCTTGATGGTGTGTGACCCAATATACAGTGGAGTATAATCAATGATGCCGGTTTTGATAGTACCAGACTGTTCTCTTTACAAAATGCTGCAGCCACACAATCGGGGCATCCATTTTCACAAGGACATTCCTGAACTCTTTTCAACGCACCCTCTAAAATAACGTCTATGTGTTCAAACGCTTTTATAGAAAGCCCAGATCCGTGCTTTCCCCCTTTTGAGTCGTAGAAAATAAGGCGCGCAGGGCGTTTACGTTGAGTCTGCCGCTCCGCAAACTCTTTCTCAGGTGCCTTACATTCAGTTTGAATTTCATCGACGCCGGCAACGATGAAAGCTGGCAAAAGACTCATTAATGTGTGTTGTGCCGCATGTATCCCACCTGCAATGTTCAAAGACTTTTCTCTGCATAGGTCAAGTGCAATTGGAGGAATATCTATCCATAATCCTTTGGATTGGATTATTACAGGAGGGTTGTATGTTTCCACCGCATCAATGATGCGCTTGTACTTATCCATCTTGAAGAAACCGAATACAACAATTGTGGTCACAATTTTTCCAAAAAATACGGGAACATCACTTTCTTTAAGTGACCTAAGCAGCTCTGTTTCTTTAGGATCCACGTCGGTGAAATCTCTTTGACTTGTAGTCCAGTCTACATCAACTCTTTGAACTTTTGCGTAATGTTCATCGGGATTGAATTCTTTGACAAGGTAAGGATATCCTTGATGGACGAAGATACCACCATCGTAGAGAGTGAAACTTGTTCTAGAGGCCTCAACTTCTTCGATGACTATATTTCTTCCATTCGTTATGTCTACTACCGCAAACTGATCTTCTTCAGATCCCCTTAAACTAACCAGCTTTGCCGGCCACGGTAAAAACCTATTATGAGTGTGGTAGCCGTTAGCGTCATGATGCAGTCTCTCTTCGCAGGTTTTAGTTAAGATGTCCTTACCAAAGTATGCCTGGTCTCTTTCTATAACAATTGGCAACTCAAACGCAGCACATTGAATATGACCTTCGAGAACTAAGACGTTCTCGAAATCCAAGATAAGCTCTTGGAATGATTCTGTGCCTCCATCCTTTAGGAGTTCAGGGTGTGCAACGTAATGCTGATCAACAGGCGAGTCACCTGCTACCACAAGAGTTAAAGAATCTCTGTTTCTTCTACCAGCTCTCCCACTCTGCTGGTGAAAATTTGCCAAGGACAGAGGGAAGCCACACATTAGCACCGCATCCAACCCACCAATATCAATACCTAATTCCAATGCATTTGTTGAGATCACAGCTCTCAGGTTTCCGTGAAACATTTCTCGCTCGATTTTACGTCTATCGGAAGGAGAGTATCCACCACGGTAGGACATGACATCATTCAGCAGATCTAACCTGTTCATTTCTCGAAAAATGGTTCGAACTTCTTTCATTAATAGTTCACAAACTCGACGAACATAACAAAATGCGATAGTTCTCACATTTTCTAAAATCAGTTGTACCAGAATCTTGGCACTTTCATGTATGAAATTCTCTCTTCTGCGAACATGCTGGGCAAGAACGGGAGGATTCCAAACTACTAAATGTTTCTCGCCTCTTGGGGAACCATCATCCTCGATAAGGGTGACTTGTTCCGTGCCAAAAATGCCTCTCATATGCTCAAGAGGCCGCTTCAAAGTGGCCGAACAAGATATAAATTTGACCGCATGGTTGTCATAAAATCCGTTCACCAGTCGTGCGAGCCGCCGCAGCACCAAAGCAACATGGGATCCAAAGAGTCCCTTGTACATGTGAAGCTCGTCAACGACAACAAGTTTCAGATGCATCAAGAAATGGCGCCAGTTGGGATGGTTTGGTAATATGCTGACGTGAATCATGTCCGGATTGGTGAAAATTACTCTTGCATTCTTGCGAATATATCCACGTTTATCCTCTTCTGTATCTCCGTCATAGTTGTCAACAATTACGTGAGATAGTTGCGGTATTCTTGACAGTAGAACTTGGAAAGCTCTTTTTTGATCCTGCGCCAAGGCCTTTGTTGGAAACACGTACATGAAAGTACATTGTGGGTCCTTGAGTAGCTGGTCGATGGCCGACATTTGGTATATCAACGACTTACCTGACGAGGTGGATGTGGTGATGATGACGTTTTCACCTGCATGTATCGCGTTCAGAGCATGCGCTTGATGCGAATAAAAAGTCTTGTGTTCAAATGCATCGAGTGCGCCAGGTGCCAGCTCAAAGTCTAGTTTAGCAAGCTTGGCACATCGTTCTTCCAGCACCATGTGGCTTACAATCTGATTATTATAGAGCTCCGACATTTCCAATTTTTTCAAGAGTATCGGCATGGTCAGTCTTGTGGAATTGTTTTCTGCATCAACCAGCACCCGGGCTTGGTCCTTGCCACCTCTTGCCTCTACCATGGCTTCTATAGGGTCATTATATTCCTTTTTCTGCGGTACCAGCGTTAATGCTTCTGAGTCCAGAACCATCCAAGGATTTTCGGCAGTCTTCCGAAAACGACGTAAAAACTTCATCAGACTAGTTTTGAAGATAGCGTTTCTGCGTGTGATCATTTTCCGCATTGCTTCCGGTGAGAATTCCGGCATTTTTACCTGTGTCTTGAATTCCGCTCGCGACAGTTTTCGAGACATATCTCCATCGACAAATTCGAAAACCAAGACCTGGTCATCGCTGGTATCACTTCCGTCCTCAAATTCGTTGACTTCCGGTTTCAGCTCGAATATATCGCCACCTTTCTGTTGATGGCCACCATTGTTGAAGTCAAATTGTTTGGTCTCAGTGTGAAATTGGTTAACATCCACGTACTTGAACACCACATCTCTGGGCAGCAAATAAGCAATTTTGGCCAAGTCCAAAGGCTCGAGTTCACGCTTGATGTCTTTTTCAATCGGTTTGCGTAAAGTATCAAAGGTACTGACGACATGTTTGCGAGCCATTAGAAATGTGTAGAAAGTGTTTAATCTGAAAAAAATCGTCCTTAGTTCCTTGAACCGCGGGTCGTCCTCCCAATTAGTCTCCGTTCCAGACGTATCATTTGTATCCAGGGTTTTACCATCCTCTAGACCCATCTCCGGTCTTATGGTTGTGGTCTTTGGTCATTGAGTTCCTAAGCTTTTGGTTAGGTGATGATGAGATGAGATAGATGAGTTTATAGTGGTATTACATCTAGTCAAACTAGTGAACTTGAACCATTTGAACAAACCAGTTCTAGACTCTTCAAGCAACTGAAAGTAGACCGTTGAACAGTTAGTCTTAGTGTGTTCAAAAATGAGCTTTTCAGAGGATCGATTGGTGACGAAATTGAACGGGTTGGATGAGACTCAGGATTCGATTGTGGGAGCTTCTCGATGGGTGCTTGGACAACATAAGAATATCAAAGAAATAGCGGCCTCTTGGGACACATTTGTGAGCAAACCGACCATTAATACTCGCAGAAAGCTGCTCGCGATATATCTGGCCAACGACGTGGTCCAACAGGCCAAACACAAGCGTGTTAGCGAAGTGGGTGTTGCATTTGGAGAAATCATGCCTGGAGCTTTGAGTCGTGTATATCCAGAATTAAGCTCAGAAATGCGGCAAAAGGTACGCCGTGTGGTGGATATTTGGAAACAAAGACAGGTTTTTTCGGATTCAGTGCTGAAGAAAATATATGCACAGTTGAAGAACGCTGCACCCCATCACTCGTCGTCTTCGTCGTTAACGTCGTCGTCATCTGCAGCATTAACACCTGAACTTCAAAGGGTAGTGGAGACTTTTGATCAGCTCACCAGATCACAAGCGGATGTCAACTCCAGCAAAACTCGATTCGACTCATCAGTGGAGGCTTTGGACCCAACCAGTGCTGTGTACACCGACAATTACAAAACGATCCAAAAAATCGGCCAAACAGCCAAAGATGCGTTGCAATTGTCGGTAGCAAATCGAGAAAAGGCCATAAAAGAGCTCCAGGTATTGCTAGACTTTCAAAATGAACAATTGCAGCAAGACCAGAATTTGATCAGTGAAATCAACGCCATAATTGCAGCGAAAGACCCTCTAAGCTTACAATCCGCGCCAGTAGAAGACGAGGTTCTGCCTGTTTACGAGCCCAGCGACGGAAGCGACAGTGATACAGACAAGAGTGATGTAGACGAGCAGGACACTGCGGGAAGAAGAAGGCGTAAGTCATCCACGCAGTCAATCGAAGATAAAGACGATGCCAAAAGACTGAAAACCGTGGCAGTGGAGGCTCAATCTGGCTTGGAAGAAGGATCAGAATCCGCAGATCCTGCTACTTACGAGCCTACACCAGCTGAAGTGGCAGTCAACTCGCCCATGGCTGTAACTTCTAGTATCCAGGATTTACTGAGTAAATTGGCAAGCTAGTACTAGTTGTGTTGTATCTCTACTAGGGTTATAAACATATAATGAAACGTTAAAATTCTAAAACCTTGACATATTGAAACGCCAAATTGCATGCATAGTTTTTCATCAACGGATCTATAGAGTCACCGCATATCTTGTAGTCCTCTATGCCCATTTCCTTCAAGTAATTTCGTATTTTCGCTACCCTTTGCTCAAAGTCAGTGTCTTGGACATTTTCTTCACATTCCAGTTCGATAAGCAGTCCCTTGAAACCACCATATGAGAACACATTTGTTGCTCTTATAATCAGCTCGGCCGTTTGATAAGTACTACCGAAATCACCTTTAATGCTCTGCCTTTGGGTCCACAGATTCGAAAGTTTTGACGTGAGAAGGTGGTCAAATGGTTCACTTGAACGCGAAGAACATCCATTCAGAATAAGCGATGTAGGAATGTCTCCGGGATTTGTCGATGTCACTACTGCTGACTTATTTTTGATAGTTACGGTCTTATTTCCGTGATGGCTAAAAGTTATGGAATGCATGAGCCTTGGACTGTCTGGTGGTAGATTCTTCACCGTAAAACGAAAAGTTTTGAATTCAAACGACCACTTTTCCTTAACCGAGATCAAGTCATTGGCCAGAACGTCGTAGAAGTCGGTGATGGTCGCTGGAGCTGATCGCTCGATGAATATTACGCTAAATCAAAAATTGGAAAGCTGGTTAGTAGCGATCGATGGAATAGACCTGTTATTAACTCTAATGAGTGTGGACTTACGTTGAATTCATGTTGTTCTATCTCTATATAGCTTAGTTTATGATGTAGTGAAGATCATCACCTAAGAAGACGCTTTACTTTAAGAGTAGTGCACTAGACTTCTGCACATGACACGGTGAAATAGAAATACTCGGCAACTTGAGAAAACATCTGGAAACGAACTGCTGCCCAGCAACAGCTCTGCACATCCTTGAAAAGATTTAGGAACTTTTGTGGTCTTGAAGATTAGCGTTGTAGATCAACGACGCAGGACTTGCCTGTCTTATTGCAATGAACGATTGCCCATTTCCCACCTTTCGATGCTTCTTTAGACAAACTATTGTAGATGCTTGTGGCGAAACTACGCGGAGCAGAGTTTTGGCCAGCACCAAAAACCTTGCGAAGCCATTCGTCTTTCTGGGCTAATGAAGTCACTGAAATAATTTCAAGTGTTTCTTCCCTGATGGCATCAACGGAGAAAATGGGCGCCGTCGACAAACTGGAAATGATAGAACGCGATGCAATCCTAGCAGAGTCTTCATAGACCCACTTGTCTTTTTTGTTGGACTTCTTGGCACGCGTAGCCATGTTCGGGATGTAGACCACTTTTTGTTGAGCATGTCCTTGAAAAGAAGCATTACTGCTGCCGTCAAGACTTCCTTCAATGCTCTCAGGCTCCTCCCATCTTTTTTCCTCCGACAAGGTCGAGCCCCCGTCATGCAGCTGCAGAGGCTCATAGGAATTGGATTTTGGGCCAGTTTCTTGTTGATAAAGAGATAGAAATTCATCAAAATCAAGGTCAACGTCGAGTTCTGCGTCTAACTTTTTGACCTTGAGAGGTTTGTATTTGCGCTTGTGCGCGGAAGTTGAGTACATCTGCTGTTTGATGAAAATAATCCAATCAACACCATCTCGTTGAGCTATCGATACAACATCGTCGACTGTGTAGCAGTTGCGCACAAAATCTGCGCTGATGTTTGCCTTCCATAATTGATTGAGGATCTCCACCCCTATGGTATCAAGAATATGGCTGGAAAAACTAGACACCATAACATTACAGCGTTTAGGTTTCCAGTCTAGATCTGAATCTTTCAAAAATGAGCTTCTTTTCTTGATTTTCTTTCCAGCAGCCAACTTGAAATAATTCTGAGCAACCATCAGAATTGTTTCCCACGCTAAATTGAATCCAACAGCTCTTTGCACACTATTGATGTTACCACCAGAGGGTCTAGCAATGATTGATATCAATTTGTCATATCTACCCCCAGCAGCAATCAAGCTTCTGCTTCTTTCATCATCATACACTGCTTGAAACATGATGTTTCCCCTGTAGAACGACCAATTGTAGTTGCTCAAGGGACATAGCAATGTGTTTCTTGTCACCTTCAGCGGCTTGAAAAAACTTAGCACCCTTGATATATACTGCAGGGATTCGTCCACTTTTGTCAGGTAGGAGCTATCCACCATAATTTTGTGCAACCTTTTCTTGGCACTTTCGAAGTCCAACCTAAAATCAAAAAGCTCTAAGTCATTCAGAGACGTGGATGAAAGGTTCAATACCGATTTCAACTCGTTTTTCACATCTTTGAAAGATTTTGCAAAGCCTACTTGAGAGAGCATGTGTGAGACCAGTGAATGCTGTGCCTTGTCTATACCACAGAAGCCAAAAATGCTTTCCAAGATGTCAGCGTGATTGACGCTGAATACTGTGTTGACCTTTCCAAAAATAGGAAGTCGCTTGATGATTTCATCCACAACTTTTATGCTTTCAGCATCATGAAACGGTGTTTCTGCTGAAGACTGCGATACTATATCGAAGTCAACCTCCACAAATCTACGTGGTTCGGCACTTGTGTGCGTCTGTAGTGGTGGGCGATAAACATGTTGCACACGGTACTGCTTGCTGACACAATTAGGTCCCTTTGCAATGAATCTTGCCATGGGATAAGTCAAGTCGTACTGCAGCTGGAGAACAGAACCACCTTTATCAAGAACTTCATACACATTCTGAGTCGAATAAATTGGCGCTTTGGGAAATATCACGGAAGTCTCGCTATTTTCTATCGCACCGTGTCTTTTGAATATTTTGATTATCTCCTCCATGATTTGTGACTTCAGAAGCTGGTTAAAAGGAGTGGACGTTGGCTTACCGTTGTCAAAGAGTATATCATTTGTGACACTGTAGGGCTGAGCAAATAGATTTTCTCGGACTTGTTGTTGCCAGGGAGATGACGGGTCTGCTAAATTTCTCAATGCGTCCCGCATGACATCATCATGATGTTTAACAGGAAGTAGCCCACTACGGAGTAGCTTTTGAGCATTTGGCCTCTTGCTGGGATCATGGTCTAGTAACTCCCTAATTATTTTCTTTTCGACTGCCAGCTTATTTCCATCAAAATCAGCGGGGAATACAACTTCGGGTGTTCGCAGCATCTTGAGTACATTCACTCTTTCCATTCCAGTACCAAAAGGATAAATCATCTCAAAGAAAATAATACCAAGGGAGTACATATCGATTTTTTCGTTGTAGTCCCCTTTCCCACTAAGAACCTCGGTGGCGACATACAGAGCTGTTCCGATGGCAGAAGTAAGGTCATCAGTACTTCCTGCACTTATTTGTGCATCGGCACGTAGGAGGTCCACAGATCTGTGAACGTTTTTAGCCAAACCAAAATCACCGATTTTGATGTTCTTCGATTCATCTATGAAAATGTTCATGGGCTTGAGGTCCCGGTGAATAATGCCCATGGAGTGGATATAGCCAAGCGCGTCTAATATCTCGCGGAAAAGTCGCCAATATTCTGACTTTTGAGAGCTCAGATTCTCGGTATGTATAAGGTCAAAAAGTGTGCGATTTTCACAGTACTCCATTTGAATAAAGAGAGTACTTCGAACTTTTTTTCCAGCATTGACGCTGGCTGTTCTAGTACGGTGCCTTTTGCTGGAAAGATCTTTCTGTGAGCTGACAGAAAAACTCGGTTGACGGCCCTTCCCTCCTTCTTTCGTCGTAAAGCCAATGCTGTTGTTGTTAGATTCGTCAGTGACACAACTTTCAGATGATGATTCTCCCGTCTCCTCATCCGAACTTTCCTCTGTGTCGCTAGACTCATTGGCAAAAACAATTTCTGGATAATTCGAATTCTGAAATGAATTTGAGAAGAAATCCCATCCATCATTTGCGTTTCCAGATTGACCCAGTGTATTACTTTTGAAGGCACTTGACGAAGATTGAGCTTCTAGTTTGGAATCAGAGCATTCTGAATCGTAGTCTTCATCACTTGAAACAATAACTTCTTCCACATTCGGTTCTTCCTCAAGCCAGGCTGCATAATATCGAACAACATATTGATGATTGAGACTAGCCAGAAGCATAACTTCACTTAAGATCGATGACAGCTTTTCTTCTGTGTGTCTTATTTTCTTTATCGCGTAGTATCGGCTGTCCAAAGCATTTCGCGCTTTGACGACCTGACCAAATGCACCTTTGCCCAGTAAAGCAACTTCCTCAAAGTCAGTGGCATACCTTGAGCTGTATGCGGGGTTTGTAGAAAGATATCGAGATTTGACATTGAAGCTTCGCCTTCTAACTCCTTCAGTGAGGTATTGTAGAGAAGTGCTTGAACGTGAATTTCTTCTACCGGCCAAAGCAAGAGAGGTATTTGAGCCTTGATTGGAGGAGCCTAACTTGTTGATTGAAGGATCCAAGTTAGTTCGGAGAAATCTGATGGGCATTAATTCCAGCGGGCCGCATCTCTTCTTGGTATCGGGCTCCAGAAGCTTTTCGAGAAAATCCGCAAGACTGTCATTCATCTGCGTACTGTGCAAAAAGTCTTGCGGAGAATTGAAATTTCCAACTGTATCCATTCCGTTGATAATTTGGACAAACAGAACACCAAGTTGCCATATATCGGTCTTTCGCTGGGGTTTACTGTTATTGAATTTGACCAGCTCGGGCGCCTTCCAGGGTTGTTCCACGAAATCGAGCTTGGGTCCATTTTTATTGGGGTGGGTGGAAAGAAGACTAACAATCGTAAATCCATAGCCGGCATGCATTAGCTTAGGAACCGTTGTTCCGAAATCCGCGTCCTTGGCCAAATTTATTGTTCTGGGAGAAATACATTTGTGCACCACACCATGCTTGTGAAGACTTTCTAATCCTTCAATAATTCTGAGCACCCAACCGCGAGCCGTAGCTAAATTAACGAAACCAACGGATTCGACAATTTCACCAACTAGGAGCATAGGGGAGTACTCGCTTAATATTCTGATTTTCCAAGCATAACTGCCGCTACTTCTTCCTACCCTTTCAACAGCGAAAGCGAAGAGTCTGTTGACATTATCATGTGTGACTCGCGTCAGGGATTCTAACTCTTTTTCCAAGTTAGATATATCACGCTTCCCATTGCTTGTGTTGAAGTAAGGATTATCTAGCGTAACCTCTGTTAACAAGTAAAAGAAGTTGACCATCATGTCAGAGGATGTCAGGGCATTGGCTAATGGCGAGTCTGGTGGAATATAGGGCTTGACAAGTGCATGTCGTGCGAATCCTAAAAGGTCTGCTCCTAGGTCTATTTCCTTTGGGTTTACGACAGCTTTGAATTTATAAAATGAATTGTTCGGGAGTTTTGCCCTCACAACTTTGGGAAAAATGTAGGCCTCGCCAGATGTGACCCAGTCTGTCGGTGGATTTAGATCGATAATACTTTCATGATGGAAAGTAGAGTCGTCATCGTGCCTTTTTGCTATTTCTTTTTGAACGATCTCATCGATCAGTTTTTGTTCCTTCAACCTCTCTTCTTCTACGTCTTCTTGATGCTTCATTTCTTCTTCCTCCAATCGTTTCCGCTCCTCGTCAATACGTTGTAATCTGTCATCCTCGAGCGATTGCATATTTGCCTTAGCCTGTACCTCGTCCAGTTTTTCCTGCGCCAGCGATGTGATCTCAAATATGATCTCTTCTCTGCCCTTTGAACGCTGGTGTATTATCCGAATATCGTCCTGAAGTGATGTCAAATAGCTACCGAGAACATTCTTCACATTTATGAACTTGATAATGGGAGCTTGTTGAGGGTAGTTAGCTGGTAATGTTACATCCAAAGTCAGCGACGATTCAGCGGGTTCTTGATTTGTGGACCTCAACGAGATCTGAAATTCAATTAGAGGTCTCTTATCCCAAGAAGATTTCACAGTTGTCTTGTCAACAAAATCGTCCATGTAAATGCATCTGATTGCCTCCAATTCGTTCTTCTGTATCTCATAGTCTTGATCTAAACTCAGGTTTCCGCTTGGCATTGTAGTAGGGCTTGCTAGTATTGTGCGAATCCATTAAAATCGCCCGAGACGCAGCACACAAGGCACTTATCAAAGTTCTGCCGGCTCTTTGGTGGGCTCACAGGCGCGATAATCGACAAATAAATAGCTTATTTCTTTGTTTTGGATGGATGAGAGCTCTCTTGAACACTCGTTAAAGCATTGAAGGCCCTTTGCCAGAAATGGGTAGTGTCTTACGAAACATACATGTATCGGTTACGCATACGATATTTAGAGACCAGCAGCTATGTAGGACCGCTTAGGTTGCCGTGAGTGGTGCTGTTTCCTCATCTGCAACTCTTTCGAGAATAGCTGATGATAGCTGAACATCGCTGTCGTCCAAAAGAGGCTTGAAAGAAAGCTCGTTGGACAAAGATGGGAAACTGGCAAAGTATACCTTGTAGGCAATGTAAAACCCAATGACACTACCTAGTACAACGTCGATGAAATGGTGTCTGTAGTCCTCGGTTCTAGAGATGGCAATGGTTGCAGCGCCAATTGCGGGTAGGGTAGCGAGAGTTCTTCTGATGTGGCTGACGCCTGGATTTTCGACCAATAACTGGCCTGCAAGCCACAATGAGAGGAACCCAAGACCGGCGAAACTCTCACTGGAGTGGCCACTAGGCGTGGAGCGAAACCCATCCCTCAAACGGCCCAAATTGAGCGTGGTACACACTTCAGAGGCGGTCACCAACGTGTTAAGCGGAGTGCCCTCTTTGGGCACACAGCGAGCCAAAAAGTCCGGACGAGGCCTTCCAATCCAGTTTTTCAAAAAGTCTGTAAGCAGGTTGGTAGCTGTCCACGACAAAAAGAGCCCCAGTAATGAGATATACGTCAAATACGTTCTATGTTTGGCATCCCCCAAAAGCAGTGATACCACCACAATGGTGACTGCTGGCACCACCAAACTATACACAAGCAACGCCGTATTACCCACTCTCTGTGTACCTGCATGTGGGTGCGATATAGTCGGATCTCCTAAATAGAATTGGCGTTCAAATGGCTTGCCATACGCAATTGATAAATTGATAATGTAAAACACCACAGCAAGCGCTACATCTGCGACTTTCCATTTCTTGAAGACGCTGTATTTGGAAGCACGATCCAAGCCCATTGTTAGGCGATCGATAGCCATCTTTTCAGAACGATGTATGTATCTTTACCGTTTGGTCAAGCTACCTGGTTTTTTTTATGCTATATGTATGTTTAAGGTGAATTATATCATTAATTTAGATTTACCGTGGTTTGCACCACTTTGTTGACCAGCAAGGTACGTAAACGTGAAAAGAGAGTTTAAAGCGACTGTTTTGAGAGCAATCAGGTTGAATACGGTAATAAGTTTTTATCGTGTGTTATCTTGTTTATTATTACCTAGTTTTGTACACTTTAGATAAGTTTTGGTGACCATTTTAGCCATTTTACGAGCGGGAACGGCGGCTAATAACATTGGTTTTGCAAATCGGGCTTAAAGACTGGCACAAATCCACGTATCTGGGGCGCGGATCGGATCGTCAAGATGTCTAATTTGTTTCGTGATAATGCTCGTAGTTTCAAGCCACGATCGAATATATTCACAAAACTTCGATATAGGGATTCCGGCCAGGACAGCGATGCTAGTTCTGATAATGCGTCTACTGTTGATTGGAGTGGGGTAGCTCAAAACCGTTCGAAGCTTGATATGCAGGACTCCCGGTTTCTAACCACTGATACGTATGTGTCCGTCCTGAACGAAAGCACCCCGTTATCAAAGAACCGGGTTCAGAAAGAAGATTTGAGAACCAGAAATGTTAGAGATATAGTTGAAAAGGGAACGAGCGTTAAAGATTCGACAGGCTTCAATGCGACAACTTCTTCAAACGATGTGCTTTTGGAAGCATTCACAAACACGCAAAAAATCTGTTCCAGCTTAAAACTTGAACTTCAACGTGTCAAATCGGAGAATCAGCATCAGAGTGACACCATCGGCGTTTATCAAAACGAAGTTGACAAGCTCAGAGGCAAAATGACAGAGCACATGAACCTGCTTCTAGCGCTCGAGACAAAGTCATCTGAGCTGCAAGCCAGGAAAACGACGACCGAAGAACAGCTTGCTGTTTTGAGAAGTGACTACGGTCGCCTTGTCGAACGCGTACGCCATCACAGAGAAGATAGTGACCTTGTCAAAGTGCAGCTGGACGATATTCGTCAACAGCACGAACTGTGTGGCTCAGCTATGTCCGAACAAATGGAAGAGCTGGAGCGCTGGAAAAAAGAATGCGGAGCTGAGCAATTGAGAAATCAAAACCTCACGCAAGAGCTTAAGGCATCCAGAGAGAATTCTTCGCGGATTATGGAAGATGTCTTCCGACAAATGGATTCCAACATTAACAAAGTCTTAACTACACTCGAGGGCTCAATCAAAACAGAAGCTGAAAACAATGGGTACTTGGTGCCGAATTTCGAACAGTTTTGCAACACGTTGCAATCTGCTGTAACGCAACAGCTCAAAGAGTATTATCTTGGGATCCCCGCGAACACCCTTACAAGTTTGGTCCTTATTTGCAGTAGTATGCTAACAAAGATTTCGCAGGGAAAGCAGAAGTGTCGGTGAGGAGGTCCAATTCTGCTTGAAAAAAGAGTTTAACAATTTGGAAGGCACAATGAAGAATCAAATTGAGGTTAATTTAGCCGAGCTCCTGCCACCGCTTGACGTAAGTCTTATCGGAGACGGTATCGTCAAAATTACCGGGGAGTTGCAGAAACTTATGAGTTCCGAATCAAGCCACTGCTCCAAGGAGTTGGCTGTGGCGCTTCACGACTCGGTGAAGGACGTCAAAGTTTCCTTATCGGGCATTCAGAGCAAGCTTCAGGACTACAACAATAATGTAAATCATGCTGGAACTTACGAGCGTAAGGTAGATGGTCTTCATGAGCGCTTGCAAGCTATTGCGCTGCAAAAGAGCGAAGCGGTGTCGCTAATAAAAACGAGAGATACGGAAATCGAAGATCTCAACAATCAAATCCTTGAAAAGAGTAACTGTATTGGTAAACTGGAAGATGAAGAGAAACAGTTGAGGGCAACTATTGCGCACAATGAGCAGCTCCTGGAAGTGAAAGACCAGGAATCTTCAAGAGTGACAGAAGAGCTTCATATGAGCAGAGCTAATTGCGAAAATAAGTTATCCGCTCAGAATGAGGTTCTTGAATTGATGAAAATCCAATGTGATAGTTTGCGAAGTGACATCGATGCGTGCAACATCGCCAGAAGTGATGCTGAAAGAGAAAACATGGAAACTAAGGAGCATTCGAAAAAGATCAATGAGCAGGTCCATGACCTCAATGTCGAAATCATACAATTGAAAGCCAGGGAGCTGGAATTCGATGAAGAGAATAAAAAACTGAAAACCACAGTCGAACAGTTCAATTTGGACGCTCGCGAGAACAGCAATCAAGTTCGTGAATATAAACGGCGCGTTATGGAGCTGGAAAGCGAGAATACCTCGAGGGCCAGCGATGTGCTGGAGAATCAAGATCTAATAGCAGTTCTGGAACAGCAATTGAAAAGCGCGCGAAAAGCGATTGGCATTCTTGAAGAGGAAAAGAGCGCACTCATGCGTTCTGGTGAAATCGAGGGGAAAGATTCGCATCAGAAGAAACAGCAGCAACAGCGGCGAAAGCGAGGGCTCGACAATAAAGTCCCTCAAAGACCTTCGGTGTCACTAGTTGCTGCGGAGCTGCCTGCCGACCAGCACAAGCTCCTACAAGACGACATTTTTGAGCTTTCGTCCTCTTCGAACGGCGGTCTCGAGATGACTTATCCGTCACCGATTGCAGCCAAGGCACTTCCCAAGCCGCGCAAAGTGCTTTTGGCAGAGGAGTCCGATCCTTCCGAAACAGGGTCCCGCAGCCGGAAAAAACGTAGAGTCAAAAATTGATAAGGCACCATAATATCACTTTAGACTCTCAATCTTTTGCTCAACCTGGTGGAGCTCGAGTCTGTGGAAGATCTTCGAGACCGTTTCGGGATCGTTTATGTTCTCTAGATGCAGTACAGGAACGTCCATGCAGTACTTGTTCCACCACCTTTTGTTGTTTGGCTCGTCTATGTCAACGACGTGGATTTGCAAACCTGCAAATCGCTGTTTATTGTCCACGACCTTTTTGGTGACCTCTTTGGCCTTATCGCATAGTCCGCAATTGGCTTTTGAGAAGAGTGTTAGGCGTATATTTGAGAAATTGGCCAACATTGCCGCCGAATGGAATTGTCGTATCATATATACGTATTCAAGTGTCTAGTCTGCCGCTAAGTAGCTTGGCCCAGACATAGAATAGTATATAAGCATAGCTTAACTATCAAGAGCGCTTAAGGATGACATTTTTTCATAATACTTGACACATGACCATTATTGCTCCTTATATACTCAGCGTGCAATTCAAATTTCAACCATTTCAGGTTGTATAGTGTAGTGGTTATCACTCTCGGTTTTGATCCGAGCAACCCCAGTTCGAATCCGGGTACGACCTATTTTTTAAAAAAAAACGAATTATTTTTGGCGCATCCTGCGCCAAATGGGAACTGACTCATACGATAGACCATTTATCGCCAATGTCTAAAATTCCACGACGTTTACCTGTCTTGAAACTCTGTCGTCTTGTTCTTAACGCTAATGCGTCACTATTCACGAAGTCTTTCTACGATTCAATTAGTCGTGGTTTTTGCTATATAACCCAAATCGAAAAAATCCAGGGTATATAAAGGGCGATCAAATTGAACCACTTCTAGTTGTGCCCTCAGGTTCCACCAAATATCGAACTTCAGCTCTGCTTTGAGGATCATTTCAGATCTCTAGACGAAAACAAACCTGTTTGTTACGTTTACAGCAAGCTTAGCGTTTTTCTGAGCCGCTAACTGTACTTTTACCATATTGGAACCCTTTACAGACATCGATAGTGAGAAAGATAGACTTAAAAATGGCATTGACCAAAGAACAATTGAAAGAAATCGAAACCAACTTGGTTGAGGTGGCCTCCAAGCAGGTGGGACCCATAATCAAGGAAAAAACTGGCACGCATTTCGAGTCGTTTGACGACAAGGCCAACCAGGTGGATCTTGTCACCGCCGTCGACAAAAAGATCGAGTCTATCATCAAGGACGCGCTTTCAAAGCTGTATCCAGACTTTAGATTCGTAGGAGAGGAAACTTATAAACCGGGAGACACAGAAATTGGGGCTGAACCCACGTTTATCGTGGATCCTATCGACGGAACCACGAATTTCATCCATGGATACCCATACAGTTGCACATCGCTGGGACTGGTGGAAAACGGGAAACCGGTCGTCGGGGTCGTTTTCAACCCGCATCTAAACCAGATGTACCACGCTTCTGCTGGAAACGGTGCGTTTTTGAACGGCAAGCCCATCAAAGTGGCAGAACGCGATTTGAAGCTTCAAAAATCGATCATCGCCCTAGAGGCCGGTTCGGAGCGCTCTTCGGGCTCCTCCGGTGACGATAACTTTGACATCAAGCAGGCTACTTACAAAAACCTATTGAGTGACCAGGGAGCTTACATCCACGGCAGCAGAAGCTGTGGAAGTGCAGCCATGAACATGTGTATGGTGGCCACGGGAACCCTCGACGCCTACTGGGAAGGTGGTTGCTGGGCCTGGGATGTATGTGCCGGATGGAGCATCTTGACGGAAGCCGGTGGCATTGTTGTGGGCGGAAACCCTAACGAATGGGAAGTCCCTGTCGACGACAGATGCTATCTAGCCGTTAGAGGCGGAAGTACTTACCCTTCGCAAAAAACGTTTGTGGAAGGATTCTGGTCTCATGTTGCTGGCAAACTAAAGTACCACTGGTGAGCGTGTCTGGTTGGGGTGGAATCATCTATGACCCATATATCTCCGGCTTTATAGCTCATGTAATTCTAACGATGGTAAAGATATTATGAAAGTGCTAAGAACGCAGTACAAGAGAGAGAAAGTGAAGAGTTGAAGGAAAACAAACGCATATTGAAATTGAAATCATCTAGAGATCAGGAATCTCGATAAATGGAGAGATGCTAGTGAATGGTGTTAAAAAGAGGTTTCTGACACTTTTGAATTCGTAGCTAACGACCTCTATTTCAGATTCATCACCACCATATATGAAAGATACTCATGCTTCAACAGCTCATCGCTTCAACTAAAGCTGAGACCCATTGGCGTTTGTTAATGAGCCAGGATCCTGGACAATACGAGCGTGATAGTGACTCGGGGCTTCAGGCTGTTTCTCGCGGCGTTGTACGCCACATATTGGCACTATGTGAAAACGAGTCTGATGTGATCAGTCGAGCCAAACTGACGACCCTGATACGGGATGTTTCGAAAAATCAGACCACACGTAAGTTCCGGTTTTCTGATGTGTTCTGGAGTGTGGATAGAATGTTGCAGGACACCTTTGGCTACGAATTGGTAGGTTTACGTGCGAAAAGTGCGGATTCTGACGGAACCAAGGACAAGGCCCAGACTTTCACTTTAGTGACCACATTGCATGCTTTACCTGCCGAATTTGCAGCTCTTTTAATTCGGGAAGGCCGTTCTATGTATGGATCGCGCGTTGTGGGCGACCAGTACGTTGGTGACGATCCGATGGTGTTGTCCGAAACAGCCGTCAGAGAATCCGTTTCTACGGACTCAGATTTGGTCGCACAGGGGCTCACGCTAGTGATTTTGACCATAGTTTTGCTTTCCAAGAATAATTTGCTGCTGGACGAGTTGGTGGAGAGTCTGGAGTCTTTTGGTGTCTTCAACGATGGTCGCCAAATCCCGGGACTCGGTATCACACTCGAAGCGTTTCTCAAACGGCTGGTGAAACGAGAATATATTTACCGCAAAGAAGAGCGCACAACTGATGGTGCTACTGAAGTTGTCTCTTTCAGAATAGGCCGCAAAGCCCAGCTGGAGTTCCCCAAATCAGCACTCATCGAAGCTTGTCGAGAAATTATGCAACTTCCGGTCGAACAAATCGAGCGATTAACATTATCGATCGATCTCAGTGTCGGCGATGCCTACGATTCCATACCATAACGGCCCAGAGCACTGGGTTTCAATGAGAACTTGACGCCTTGGAAGCTTTTGCTCACGTGAGCAACTGTCACGTGACCATCGGGCCTCTTCCGATTTATTTTTTTTTTGTCCACCCAGTTCAATTTCTCATTGTTCGTTCGTTTACGGTTTAGATTGAGAACCTGACCTGATTCCGAGAAACTTCATCGAATTGGTATAAAAACCATTGAAATCAATCGAAGAGATCCAAAAGTGACCAATTTTGGCGCCATTTCTATTCCAATTCCTCTCTTGAAGGTGTTAAAGTTGGACCAGTACTGCGTTCTGGACGATTTTCCCAAAAAAAACGGTCAAAAACGGTCAAAAACGACCAGCTTTGAAGATCAATTTTACTCGTTGCAAGCAGGCAAGTAAGCATCCATTGAAGCAGAGTTTGTCCTGCTACTGATTACTCGGATACTTGTCACTTGAAGATTGCCCTTGATAAAAAGAAACATGCCGTTGGGTTTGGATACTCTGGACTTTGCCGTTCTTTGTGGACTGGCTTTGGCCGTTGCGGCCTACACCAGTAGAGAAAAACTGAAAAGTGTTCTTTCACCGGGTTCAGACAGTACCCGTGTGAAAAGTATGTCGCGGGATATTGTGGAAACCCTTCGTGACAATGACAAAAACTATTTGGTGCTGTACGGTTCCCAAACCGGCACAGCTGAGGACTATGCCAAGAAATTCGCCAAAGAGCTGGTCTCCAAGTTTTCGCTGCGCGTTATGTGCGCGGATGTCGAAGCTTACGACCTAGAAAATTTGCACAATGTGCCCAAAGACATCGTGGTGTCAATCTTTCTGTCAACGTATGGCGAAGGTGATTTCCCCGACGCGGCCGTGCCTTTCGAAGACTATTTGAGTGGTTTGAACAGTGGTGACCTCGAAAACGTGCGCTACTCGATTTTCGGCCTCGGAAATTCCACCTACGAGTTTTTCAACGGTGCTGCCAAAAAGGCTAATAAGCTCCTCTCCGAAGGCGGCGCCAAACTTTTGGGTAAGTGTGGCGAAGCCGACGATGGTGCTGGCACCACCGACGAGGATTACATGGCTTGGAAGGAGCAGTTTATGGACCTGCTGAAGTCAGAACTCGCCCTCGACGAACACGAACAGAAATTCGAGCCCAATTTTGAGTACTCGGTTCTCGAAGCCACTAAAAATGACAACACCGTTTCACTGGGTGAGCCAACTTCCCAATATTTGCCAAGTCAAAAGCTGACGTATAGTCCAGAAGGGAAACAAACAGGTCCATTCGATGCCACGCACCCATATATCGCACCCATAGTCAGGTCGAAAGAACTTTTCCGCTGTGGTGAACGTAACTGCATCCATGCCGAATTCGACGTGTCAGGTTCGAATTTGAAGTATTCTACGGGTGACCATTTGGCCGTGTGGCCTTCCAACTCTGACGAGAAAGTGGAACAGTTTTTGAACTGTTTCGGTTTGGATCCTGAGGTGGTCTTTTCGCTCAAGCCTATTGACAACACCGTCAAGAGCCCCTTCCCACTGCCTACTACGATCGGTGCTGCTGTGAGGCATTATTTGGAAATTACAGGACCTATCTCAAGACAACTGTTTAGCTCTATCATGCAATTTGCACCCAATGATACATTAAAAGAGAAATTGAACGAGCTCTCCAAAGATAAGGACCAGTTTGCGAAAGAAATTCATGTCAAATACTTAAATTTGGCGGATGCACTTCTGTATCTTTCTGGTGGTGCGAAGTGGGATACTGTGCCCTGGAACTTTTTGGTAGAATCTGTTCCTCACCTACAACCTCGTTACTACTCTATTTCGTCTTCGTCTTTGAGCGAAAAACAAAGCATTTCCATCACTGCGATTGTTGAAAACATGCCTAATCCAACGTCTGAAAAAGCCCCGCATGTCACTGGTGTTGCAACAAACCTTTTGAGAAACATTCAGTTGGCCCAGAACAACGAATCGACTTCTGTCCTGCCGGTTCATTACGACTTGGCTGGACCTCGCAACTTGTTTAGCACTTTCCAGCTACCTGTTCATGTTAGACGCTCTACATTCCGCTTGCCCACTAACCCCGCTACCCCTGTCATTATGGTGGGTCCAGGTACAGGTGTTGCGCCATTCCGTGGTTTCATCAGAGACCGTACCAAGTTCATTGAGCAGCAACCGTCCATCGCTTTGGGTAAGCATCTGTTATTTTATGGTTCTCGCGATGAAAGAGATTTCCTTTACCAGGAGGAATGGCCTGAATACAGTAAAAAACTCGGTGAGTCTTTTGAGCTGGTTGTTGCACACTCACGTTTGCCCAATCAGCCGCGTTCTTACGTTCAAGACAAGCTAATTGAAAGAGAAGATGAGCTTTTCGATCTCATTGCGAATGAAGGTGCTTTTATCTATGTCTGTGGTGACGCCAAAGGCATGGCCCAAGGAGTTCACGCTGCTTTTCTGAAAATCGTGAGTAGAGGTAAGAAGTGTTCTGAACAGGACGCTGCTGAAATTCTCAAGGTTTTCAAGTCGAGTGGTAAGTACCAAGAAGACGTCTGGTAAATTTGCACCAAATCTATACACATATAATCGAACTCGTTTCTAGAATTCGTACCATCTCACTTTGGCCCATACCTACAAAGTATATCCTTTTGTAAATAACGGGTTAGTGCATTCATAGATCTTAAACTAACTTGGAATATTGAAGTCGACTTGGTTGCTCTAGTTATCATGTCAAAATTGTTGATTTCAGGTGCGCTATTGAGCCTGAGATGCTCCAAAAGGCATCTAAATGCCAGGCAACTCAAACGTTGCTGGTCATCGAGCGTTTCCTCCTTTCAAATTGGCCAAACTTCCGCCGGCAACGTATTATATCCAAGGCAGGCGAAGAGTTTGAAAACCTTGCTCAACTCAGAGAAGAACTTGAGGAGAGGCTCTAGTGTTTTGAAAACAAGTTTGAGTGATGGGAAACTCAAGCTTTCTGATGGGATTTTGAGCACCAAAGAATGCACCACTACAACTACAAGCGAATACTATGATTTGGACAAAACGATTGGTTTACTAGGCAGCTCTGGGTATCATCCGGTGAGCTTAGTTCCAGACGAAATTGTTACTTTCAAGTATCTGTATAACGGGATCAGGTCCGATATCATGGTCCTGGGGAACTGTGGGACGGTTGTGTCGTGGGGACTTGAAGAAACGGTGGTAATGAAGCATATTTTACCCTTGATACAAGACGCTACAATCAATGCTCTGCCACAGGCTCATTTCGAAACCGAAGATCTGGACTACATCGAGATTGAGTCCCTTCAAGATCTGGAGAAAGTCCAAAGCCTTACAAATAAGTCTGGCGAGGAAAGCTTTATCGAGGGCGATCTGATAATTGTCAACAACCTTGATCCAGCTATGGGTCTTCTCGATAAAGCAGCATTTTCAAGTGGTATGTCGCGAAGCACCAGACTGGCCGTTTTGGAAGAACTTTTGAAGACTCACATCGAAAAGTCTAGGAAGTTCACGGAACTTTTGTCAAAGGGCAAGAAACTAAATCTCAAAGAACCGGATGTACTCAAGTCTACTGGTAGTTTATTTCTGATCAGAGGGAAACTTAACCTGTATTCTGAGCTCATCGAGACGCCCGATTTGTACTGGAGCGAGCCGCGACTAGAAAGAATCTACAAACAAATGTCTAAGAGTCTGGATATCCAGCCAAGAATCACCATCTTGAATTCCAAGCTCGATTTTGCAGCTGAGGAGTCAAGAGCATTCATGGCAGTTCTCAATGAAAAGAAAAGCACCTATCTAGAATGGATTATAATATACCTGATTACTGTCGAGGTCTGTTTTGAACTACACCACTATTATGAGCGCTACTGGCTCGATAGACATTTGGAAAGCCCGCAAAATAGGTCATAAACTCAAGCAGTGTGATGGAATTAAGATTTGTCGTCATTATCTAGACAAGCGGCCTGTGATTTCCAGCTTGAGGCCTGTGGCACTTCTCTCGATTACTCGCACCCCAGTCAAATCCGGAACCACATAGTCTGCACCTGCTTCGAAAAGAGTATTTTCACTGTACGATGAGGTGATGCCCACCACGACGGCTCCGATTCGTTTCCCAGCAATTACACCAACTGGAGCGTCTTCAAATACCACATTTCTCACCGTTTTGGGATCTTTCCGCCAGATTACAGACAGTCTTTGGGACGCTAAAGCATAGCCCTGTGGGTCAGGTTTTCCTTTGGCAACATCGAATCCGGTGATAAAAACAGGGGGTGGACCAATGTCCTTCAAGATGTTATCGAACCATGTCCGAGCTAGGTACGCTCCGGACGTCACAATCGCCCAGATCCGTTCCTTGCCCACATTTTCTTGTGATGATTGGTCCAACGCTTGTAGCAGTTTTGCTGCCCCAGGTATCAAACTCACCGATTCAGGATAATCATTCCCAATTGACAATTCCATCTGCTCAACAGCACGATCCAAATCACCTCCCAATTGTGGGAAGAACCGTTGGATTACTTCCTGTGTTCTTGTTCCGTGAGAGTGCTTGAACAACTCTTCGGGGTCAACACCATGCTCCAGACACAGTTTTGTCCATGCTTTCTCTACCGCTTCTGTAGTTTTGATAATCGTCCCGTCCAAATCGAACAGGCAGAAATCGACGTCTATAAACACTTGACCCTTTGAAGGCATCTCTATGGCTCGATAATCGTCTATATACCCCTTTTTACACACCGTTACGATACCTTGTAGTATTAATGAGCTATTTGATCTCTACTTTGAACAACACCTACTACAAGGTGGGTGTCCTTTACCACAACTGGTAACAGCCGTTTCTCAAGCAAAGTCGTCACGGTACTCGAAATGACAATCAAGACATCTAGTGCTGTCCGACGACTAACAAATGTTGCCCAACAGGATGATACTCTGTAGGTCCTCGATATAACAATTACAGACAGGTGTTGACAATCGTTGGACGGCCTTTCGTTAGCCTTAGATGGCCTTCCCAGCTTTTTATATAACATCGTACACTGATGTAGAGCCGTAAGTTTGAAAAAGCGGCAATCGATATCCTAACTCTGGGCCAAATCTCCTATTATCGATGCAGTGGGCTTTTGGAATAACACGATTGAAGATCTTGCATTTGAATGCTGGGCTTGTTGAGAGTTCAGCTATAAATACAGCATTTTGACATCAATACTCAACTCTTTCATGAGACTCTGGTGTTTTCGGAGCTGAGCATCGCAGCATATTGGTTTCTTGCCTCGAAATCCTGCTTGAGCTTAGCTGTTATTTGATCTGTCAACGTCTCGGTGATGTTGAATGCCTTGTGACAGCAGTCCATTAATGTGAGAGCATCCATAGGAAGCCCTCCCGCTTTCGAAACCTGCACAACTTCACGGTTCTTGTTGAGCGTCACAGTTAGTGTACCGTCCCTCAGTAGCTCTTCTTTGAGCGTGGCATCTATAATGCAGATCTCTTTGTTCGACTCGCCTTTGATATTCTCTTCAGCGTCCTCCGGATTAAAGAACGAAAATGTAACACAGATGGGAATATGTAGCACCCCAAGAGGCACTGGTTCGCGTTCGTCCATGGAATGAACTGTGATATGTTCGCCAGCAACCGTCACATCAGGTTTCCGGAAATGTAAAAGACCACACATCACAGCTATGCAACTGACGTCTATAAATCCACCATCACAGTCCAAAAAATGGACGTCCGCTCTCACAGCCCAGCATTTGCTTCCAGCTACGATGCACAGACCTTCAACGTCCAATGCACCAGATCTCCGTACAGCCTTTTCTATTATTCTCGAGCATAGAACTTCGTCTTCGCCCGTATTGTTACCGTTCTCGAACTGTGCGCCAGCCATTGGCGAAGTTTCCGTGGATATGTAAAAAAGTCCTTCAAAAGGACGATCCTCATAAGGTTGTGCAATACTGCAGCTAATGCGACAGTGAACCTTGGTTTTCCCCATTGTAACCGTCACATCTCCATAATCTTTGCCAAACTCGATGCCCACTTCTCGAATTTCTTCAAATTTTCTCAAATCTTGACGTAATCCTTGTCTGAGAGTCTCTATCAGAAACTTGGACTCTGAGGTCGATATTTCGATATCCTTAGCCATCTGGAAGAGATTGAAATGGTCCCGTAGTTGCGTTTATCGGTGCTGATCTTGTTCAATCGTTATGGGCAGCGCTGCGTATAAAGCTAGCCCATACTAAATTTTGCACTGCTCGTTGATAGTGAGATGTTGGGTTCAAGCAGTGTAGTATGGATATTTTGGCGCTCCAGAAGCCCAAAATCCTCTAGTTTAGTGTCCGGTAGTATTGGTCTCCAGATTCTTTACTTCAGGTCGTCCCTTTCCTTTTAAAGAATCCGTCAATTGCTCCTTTTCCTGTTTTGATTTTATTGGTTTTGACCACTTTGGTAACTTTCTTGGCAACGGGGTTCTTGGTTGACCCTTTGGTTAAACCCACCTTTATCGCAGACTCGATCAGCAGCTCTTGTTCCTTTCTGAGCCTTACTTCATTATCTTGGAATATTTTGTACTGCCGGAAGGCTTCAGCAAGGTTCAGATCTTGGTCTTCATACCGAATAAGGTCGTGATAGGCTCGATGTGGCACCAGAGAGATTAGCAAATTACAGGCGAAAACCGCTTTGCAATGTGTCTCAATTTCGCAGGGAATATTTCTTGGCAAGGGCACACTTTTGGGAAACGATTCGATGATCTTCTTGACCTTAGCTGCGAGCCACTGTGTGATCTTGGCAGAGCTCATTTTGTAGTAAACGTCACCGGCCTCTTCCACATACTCGCACAGACGCTTTAAAGAACTTTCAAGGCATTCAATTGGTACGTAAGTCCAATTGGGACTGTGCTGGTCCACTAAACTACCAAGAAAATCTCGTGTCATGAGAAATCTATTCTCGATGGAAGCCGCAGTAGTCCCAGCAACCTCAGATTGCTGGTACTGGTTTTCATCTTTGCTTATAGTATCCCGGTAGAAGGCACCACATAAGCTGAAACCAAGATCGTATGCGGTGGAAAACTCGAATGATCCGTCACTCAGTAGCCATCCATCTTGACGCTGCGCGTTATTCACCAAAATACCAGATTTTATGGGTTCAGCGCATGAATTGTAATGGTAACTTTCGTTAGCAGAGTCACGGGCCCTGTTGAACTCACAACCTCGACTAAATTCCTTTTTTTTTAGCTGGAACACTTTCCCATTGCTGATGAACACTTTAATGGGACGTTTAGACGCGATATTGGAAGGATTTGGCAGCTCAAAAAGCTCTAACTTTCCCATTGAGCAACCATTGGTCAATACAACAATTCTATGGGGCACTGGCTTATCTGCAGTCATTCTTATGGGTGATTGATCCTTTTACCACCAACAATGAGTTCGAGTTTATGGACTGGACGCGAATTAATGATTATATTCAAACTTCAACTGGTGAAGTTCTCAGACATTTTAGTAAACAGACACCATTTTGAGAGCTCGGAGCTTACCTCTAAGTATCTAAAAGGAGTCTCAAGCATTTCGGGGACCTATTGGCTCGAGCGTTTTACTTCAACACTTCTCTCTGTCTCAATCGGACCATTATATGTCAGTGATCGTTTAGAGGAAGATAGTGCTTGAAAGAACAAAAAGATACACAAGAATCGCAACTCCTTTTCGTACATCAAACCTCAGACCAAAGCTGATTTCGAAGATGTTATTTCCATCTTACAAAGTGCTATTCACTGCGATAGCTTTACTCTTGGTGACATTGTTCATCGCTATAAAGTTCATCTTGGAAACTAAAAAAGATCTACATCCTATCGCTTTGGCTGAACAAGCTAATGTTGCATCTACCCGGAAAGAAACGGAAACTGCCGTGTACCGAAACTTTACTGTTCCACCAGGTTTTCCCTTGACCACGGGAATGGGTCTGAGTTTAGGTTACAGGCTCAGAAATGGAAATTTTGGGGACTTATGGTCCAGTATCATGGAACTAAGCGGAAGCAACTACATTGAGCTCAATGGTAGCAAGAATTCTCTCTCCACTTTGAATGGAGAAGCGAAGCACATCTTGAAATGGATCCAGCATGATGCAATAGAAACAAAACGCATTGGTGTTTGCATCCCTCCAACTGAACATGCTGGATTTGCTCTAGCGATTACTGGGCTCATGGGCTCTCTTCAGAATGTGGTTCCAGTCTTTATGCCCAGTGTACCGCGCTCTAGGCAGGATTTGCACATAATAGCAGTGGATTCGTGGGAAACTTTGCGTCAGATGGGTGACAGTTGTCAGTGGTATGAAAGAGTGATTGTGTGCGATACTAAGAAAGCCGAACCTACCAGCTCCAAGCCAACCAACGTTGTGAGCTGGGAGCAACTGCTGGACGGATGTTTTGATGATGGCGAGTTCAAATACGCTCCTCCCCAAGATAATAGTGACGACATGAAAGTGATGGCTGTGAACAAGTCATCTTTCGGTAGTGCTACTACTTTTACTCATATGGCCCTTGTAAGTAGTGTTGCGGCTTTCATCAAGTCCTTTCCCTTGCACCATGAGCTGAGCTCCCATGACCATATCAGCATTCTTCTAGACAATAGATCTACTGCCCAAGATCCCATTCAAATATTTCCCAAATTGCTCGCAACCTTACTACATGGTGGATCAGTCTCTATTCAATCTCTACCCGTTTCAGGAACTCTCGAACACTGCTTAAACAGGAACACGACACTTCTACAGATTGCGGAAGACAGCGCGCTTCTTGATTCACAGCTAAAGCAACGCTTATCGACGCTACAAAAAATAAAATCTGCGGTGGCATCTAACTTTCTTAGTGAAGGTGTATTCACCTCTTCTGCACTATCTTCAGTGGCCTTCAAAAGCCTGAGATGTATTTTCCTCTACAGCTCGGTTAAGGATGGGAAGACCGCTGCGCTCATGGCGCTTGTTGCCGCAAAGCCAGTGTATGACATCACTAAAAAAACTCGGTCAACAAACCACTTGAATCGTATGCGTGCTTTGTTAGGCACCAGGGTTATTGTTGAGCTGTACTGTCCGTTTCTGGTTTTGGGGCCAATTGCGGCTACAAACTTCTTCGACTACAGGGTACTCCCACCACAGGTTGACAACAAAGTCACCAATTATGGGCCCATTTGCACATCGCTCGAAGCAAAGCTGGTGGAAGATGAAAGCAATCCAAATCTCGACATTTCAAAGCGCCAAGGATTGCTATGTATCAGAGGATTCACGATTGGGACCCCGATGGCACTAGAATTGGCAAAGAAATTCGACGGCGGAGAAGGTTGGATGCCACTGCCGGGCGTATTCTGCTTGTGGGGCCAAGACGGATGTTTATATGAATACAAATAGCACCAAAATCAGTTCGCAAAATCAAACATCAGATCTATCCATATATGTATTCGTTCTTGTCCTTTTATAAACTTTTATCTCATTACTTATAATCCAGACGACCTTCTACGCACTTCCAAAAGTCTCTGATATACTGTTCCTGCTCTTGAGGATTTTCACAACCGCGAACGGCGAGGTAGGTTCTATTGTCAACCGCTACGGCCCACTCTCCAGCGTTAGCACCGACGACTCTTCCGCCCGTTTCTTTGAGAATGCACCATCCCGCACAAACATCCCAGGCATAGCAGCCACCGTCCCAGTAGCTATCGAGATACCCCAGACAGATATAGGCCATTGTCATTGCACTGGATCCCAGATTGCGGAATCCGTGGACAAATCCCCCATCACACGACAATAAATTCTCATATGTCCGTATTTTGGTCTTAAAGTTTGGCCCTTCGCGCGCTGAGCCAGGTTGAAGAGCAACTACGGACTTGGATAATTTTAACGGTCCCATGGACTGTATTTTTGCCTTGAAGTCGAAATCAATTCCGTTTACTCGAACACCATTGTTTTCCGAAGCAGATATCAAAAGATCCAGATGTGGATTGTAAATAACGCCAACGACAGGCACTTTGTTAATTGTTAGTCCCAACGAAGTGCAACTGAAGGGAAAGTCATGAACAAAATTTGTCGTTCCGTCAATTGGATCTATAATAAAGGTTGGATCGTCTGTGATAGCCGTTTTCCCAGGAACATAGCTTTCTTCGCCTACAAACTTAAAGGTTGGATATTTTTCCTTTACAGCAGTCCAGATTAGTTTCTCAACTTGTTTATCGATCTCAGTAACGATGTCTACAGCTCTTGCTCCACTTTTAGCATCATAAGAGTGTTGAGTTCCGGACTTGGACTTGATGATAGGGCCAACTTGGTCCCGAGCCAAAGTACTTAAAAATTGTTCAATAGACAGCAGCTCTGCTTGATTGATGGTCATTGATCGTTTATGATGGTGGTCTTGGTTGAAGTTCTTCAAGTTTCTCGCTATAATGAACATATAGACAGACCTTTTAATATCATCAAATGTTATACATAAATGATGGCTCAAGATACTTTGAATACAAACATAACAGGTGGCCCGAGCATGCGAGATAAGTGAGACGAACGTTTCACAATTGCTATTATTTGGTACAGTAAGATTACTTTGTTTTCTTTTTTGGTTGAGTTTTGCTGGTTCAACACTTACGCAGACTTTCCGCAACCATTGTCTTTCAGATACTTGGAAACTATGTCGCGGTCTCTTTGAACCCACTGAGCTTTAGAAGTGGCGGTGTCCAAAGCTTGTGCTAGACCCTGGTCGAAACCTTTGGTGGACTTTCCGCTGAAAAACTTCTTAACTTCTTCAATCGACTCAAAAGACGTAAAACCGGAAGTTCCGAGTGCGACAACAGACCCTAGCATTGTTAGCCCAGGGGGAAGTTTTTTGATGAGCTCGTCCCAATTCTCAGTAACCCACTTCCATAGAGCATTGATACCAGCAACATGCATGCGCAGACCTTGCATGGGGATGTAGATATCTTGCAGCAGAACAGTGCCATCAAACAAGAAACCCAGAGTTCTTTGTATGAGCTCTGCGTCTTCGAACCTTCCCAAACTCCGAAGAGCTGCTAGCTTCTCGTCTGTGTTGAAAGGGTTCTTGTAGATGGAGAACAACTTGTTATAGTAATCTTCGCCGCCCTTCTTGGCCACAGTGCTGAAGACAGATGGCTTCAATTGAGCAGGGATGGCGCTCTTGTCACCGTCAACAAATTTGTCAAACATCTCCAACGAAGCGGACACCACAGATGGAATCTTTGCGGCGCTAGCAGTGGAGAACATCTCGACTTTCATGCGCTGAATGGCGTACGAATCTGTTTTTTCAATCGACCAACCCAGCTTTTTGACCTTCTCGGAGACTAGCTGTCTTGTGAACTCGTTCAAGGCATCGTTCACTTCCTGAGACTCAAACAACCAGGAAGCTCTCAAAGAGTACAGACTGTTGATCATCTGCTCCCACACGACAAAAGACTCTTCAGATTTCCAGTGAGAAATGATTTCCAAAAAGTTGGTGGTTGATGTGTAACCTGAGGTCGAAAGAGCCTTGGCATCGGCAACAAGGCCGGTTCTGTCTTCTACCGAGAGTTTGTCGGCTTGTTGAGCTAACTTGGCCCATCTGTCGTCGGAGTAAGAGGTGATGAAAATACCGGCTTGATCAGCATTCACTTTGAAAAATTCAGCGTCTTTCAATGTCACGGTCTTTGATCTCTCGTTAAGAACCAGAGAATGATCGATCTCTTTGCCATTTCTGAGAGCCAGGAAAACTGGGTACAACGTTTCATCTTCTTCAGGTTTGACGTCTTTGGTAGTCAAGTACCTATTCTGAGTGAATTTAATTTTATTACCACTCTCTTCGACGGTAACGACAGGAAAGCCGACTTTTTTGGTCCAAATTTCCATGACCTTACGCACGTCCTTACCAGAAGCCTTAGAAAGTGCATCCCATAGGTCTTCTGTCTTAGCGTTGCCGTACTTGAACTTGGTCAAGTAGTTAGAAACACCTTTGATAAAGACATCCTCTCCTAACCAAACGGAGATCATTCTCAACAAAGAAGAACCTTTGGAATATGAGATGGCATCAAAGATCTGGTTGATTTCGTCAGCTTTCTTAACTGGTACTTCAATTGGGTGAGACGACCTAAGAGCGTCTAAGGCCAGCGCGGATTGCAAACTGTCCGAGACGTACTGTTCCCACACTTTCCATTCGGGCTCGAATTCGTTGCAAGAATACCAAGACATCCAAGTGGCAAATCCTTCGTTCAACCAAAGACCTTCCCACCAGTCCATTGTGACTAGATTTCCAAACCATTGGTGGGCAAGTTCATGTTGAACAACTTCTGCGACCCTTTGGACACGCTGCAAAGTTGAGTTTTCGCGGTCCAAAAGTAGGTCGACGACTCTGTATGTGATCAGCCCCCAGTTTTCCATAGCACCCGCACTGAACTCATGTACAGCAACGTTGTCTAGTTTGGGAAGTGGGTACTCAATGCCGAAGGTGCGCTCGAAAAATGCCAACGTCTTAGCCGTTAGGTCGGCGGCGAACTGACCGTCGTGTTCCTCACCTGGAGTAGCATACACACGAACTGGAATACGGAAATTCTTGCTTTCCACGTACTTCAATTCCGCAACGATAAACGCGACCAAGTAGGTGGACATTTTTGGGGTAGTGTTGAATGAGGTGAATTTTCTGTCGCCCTTCAAGCATTCGGATTTGACGTCCATGTTTGACAAATGCGTCAAGTGCTGGCTGGAGACCAAAGTGATTGCAAAAGTGGCTTTGAGGTTGGGCTCGTCGAAACATGGGAACGCTCTTCTGGCATCGGTAGCCTCCATCTGAGTTGTGGCCATGTACTTCGTAGCCCCAGTCTTTTTGTCGATGTATTTGGCACGGTAAAAGCCGGCCATGTTGTCGTTAAGAATACCTGTGAAAGTAAGATCCAAAGTGACAGTTTTCTGGTTTTTGAAGAAGCCCTTGGGGAACTCAAACGTGGCCACCTGATTCTCAGTGTCAATATCCCATTTCACAGCCTTTTGATCTCCAATTTGGGCAGAATGAATCTCGGTTTCCAGAGTGTTCAATTGAATGGTGTCTTTGCTGGAATCGTTGACTTGAAGGTCGATTTTGACGCTTCCATCAAACTTGAAAGTGTCGAAATTGGGTTCCACGCACAAATCGTAGTGGAGCGGACTCACGTTGGTGGGCAAGACTTCGCGATTGGGATTTTCACTGGTCATATCCCAGTTTTCGGTTAGTATAAGTCTCAACTTGGTGTTGCAAAAAAGAACAGGTTTAGGGGAAAGAACGCAAGGGTCCGAGTTTTTGACCTTCTGGCTCTTTTGATCCTGGAACAAGCAAGAAGTCTTGATGTAGTGCTTGATTGATTTAAAAGTTGAAGCCTTAAACGCCTCTTCTTTTATAGTTTCGTTGATTTTGTGAGCTTAAAACTCAGTACTTTCACCTAGTATTTTCACCAAAAGGGTCAAATACAGAGGAAAGTGCCTTATATACGTGAGGCAAAATCGTAGAGATAGTTCCTCCTCGTATTCAACGATACCGTGGGCCCGCTGTTAGGAACATATCTGTCTGGAAGTATACTTGGCTCGCTTCAGAGGGCAATTGATGGTATCATTTTAAGCGTTTCAATGTGTCTTCTACCACTTTGGTAGTTGGTGTAGATTTGACGAGCTTTCCACACTTTTTTTCTGGGATTCATACATACGTTTTTGAAGCCACATGCGACTTTATGCGCTCGCATTTGGAACATGGGGGCCTTGTAGAGGTAATTAGATTTCTGGAAAATTGAAAAAGGGGACCTTTTAGCTGCGCGGTGCGTAATTGGAGTTGGCTGGGCCGTATTGAAGTGGCAGCTGCTCTTCCAATGGGTATGAGAGTTTGGGAAAAGAGTCTCAGGAGAGCCATTGTGAATGCATATATAGTGATGGAACGTGCAAGTGAGGAGAGTCTTGCCGCTAGCGATTGGCCCACAGAGTTTCTGATCGAGAATCCATTGATGGCTCGATGCGCTTGTTATATATTGTCATTTGAAGATATTGAGTAAAGATATGTGCTAACGATCACGTGTGTGGGAAGTAGTTTAAAAGAATATTTCAGTTTATACTGATGATGAGCTGTTCAGAACTCTAGATTTGCATCACAAATCTATTGGTAGGGTATTTGAAGGTCGAGAAAGGGACGTTTTTCTCAGTGGAAAAGGACCAATTGCATATGCGGGATTGGTCACGTGACACAGACTTAAATGACATGTTTGTTCCCTTTTATTCCCATGTTTCAACCAATCGAACAAGAAGCTTATTATCTGACTTAATAGAGCTGTTTTTCTTATACACCCTAAAACCTTCGGTTCCATTTTGTGGACTTCTGTTTTCCCATTGGTAAAGTGCATTCTCGAGCGACAGACGTCATATAAGTACAAAGTGATCTTACCCACTAAATGTGATCCAGGGCTGGGGAAGAGTAGACCCGTGCAGATCCGTATGATGTGGCTGTTTTGATACGGTGCGTGACACGAGACACTTACTAAAAGTATCAGTCATATAGCGTCGAAAAGAGGCTCCACTCATTAATTACTACTCAGTTGAAGTGATGTAAGTAATATAAGCCAGGGTCGTGCACGATTGGGTACTGGCTTCAGCGGCCACTTTGTCAAGGCATTTCATCTTTATATTGGAATTAGGTAGACGATAAAATCGGAGCACCTACCAAGTTACTTTGGATACATGCCAGGAGGTGAAGAGTTGTCTTCATCTTACCGCTGGAAGAGAATATTGACCTCATCATTCAACACGACTACATGCGATTTTACTCGTACTTGCACCCGATCCTGGGAACGACGGCTACTGTCCCTCGGACGACGCGAACAGAATGACTAGTAAATTCACGATCACGCATGGCAATCCTAAAAATCAAAAGTGCATCTCAAATGAATTGTTTCGCGGCTTTTAAACCCGAGCTCGATTCTGGATGCAGAAGAATGCTGAACCGGGCGTGTCCCCGAGTCTAACGACTTCACGCATTCCGAAGCTACATTTCGTCTCCCAACACAACAGCTTGGGTCTTTTTGAATACCGCTTTCAAAGGGTTTTCGATGCACTGAGGAAGGCTGGAGGCCACAGCTACGTATAACACGACATCTTCGTGCTTGACTCACAAACCCAAGTTCGTGGCTGTTAAACTCGGACCTCCCAAATTCGTCTTAGATACAGCTTAACTAGGAAAGTCCTATACCCACCCAATTTGTGGCATCACCATCGGCCACTACTAGTTCCATCCACGCAGCTTTCGCCGACATCACTTTATACCACGCTGTCGTGCCAAGACAATATATTTCCATTTTTCAACGGTTAGGACAAGAACAGAAAAGAACTCGAAAACATGCACTCACCATGGCAACTTCTGTGTTCCATGATATGGACCCTACACCGCACCACTTCCTCAATCATTTCTGTTCTACAGCAGTTTGCGTGACCGACTTTTGTTACAAATAAGAATATCATTATCATTTGTCACAGCCAGGAATACTGTCACATCGACAACTAAGCACCGCTTAATTGCGTCTCTCTTGTCCTTCACTTCAACTGTTTCGTCGCAGTCATTTTGGCTTTCTAATCTTCTCTTCTGTTAGCCCGCTTTCCTCGGCCGCCTATTACCGCATCGGTGGTGCGCGAGCTTACCATACTCGTAATAACTAATAAAATTACGACCGATGAGCTTGACACACGGACAAAAAGCGCAGAAATGTTACTACAGACAGCGGGATTTGATGGCTACACAAGCTATAGGTCATTCACTAGTAGTTCTAGTTAAGATCAATTATAAAAGAGCTACAGTTGGACCTCTTGAAGGTCCTTTTCTGTTTATTTTTGGTTTATTAGTCATTTCTCGAGGTCGGTAGCTGTATTCATAATACAAGGACAGAGCCCGCAAGCGATTGAACAGCGTCGGTGATCTAAAACAATAAAAAAGACTAGGTTTGCGAGATATTATCAAACAATGAGCTTCGTAGATTTGGAGAATTCAACAACGGTTTCTCAAGATCCAGATGCCGTGGAAGAACCCAAGGTGTCTGAAAAAGCAGACTCTTACGAAGTGACGCTTGAGGAAAATGACCCGGAAAACGTATTAACACAGATGTCACTGCCACGGAAGTGGTTCGTGGCTTTGCTGGTGACTTTCACCGCAGCAGACATCACCATGACGTCCAGTTGCTGGTCTTTGGCCCAGGCCGATATTCGGCGCAGATTCAACATGTCCGAAGAAGTGTCAGTGCTGGGGTTGTCACTGTATCTGCTGGGAATGGGATGCGGTCCGCTACTTTTGAGTCCTCTCAGCGAGCTCTACGGCCGGAAACCTACCTTTATCGGTTCTCTGAGCATCAGCATGTGTTTTTTGTTCCTCACAACCTGGGGACGCAACATCCCAGCGTTACTCATTGGACGTTTTCTGTCTGGGTTTTTTGGCAGCTCTTTTCTAAGCGTTGCAGGAGGTGTGATTAGCGACATTTTTTCAAAACAGCAAATCGGTGTGCCCATGACCATCTACACCACAGCCACGTTCTTGGGGCCAGCATTGGGGCCTTTGATTAGCGGTGCGCTTTCTCATGTCTCCTACAGATGGACTTTTGTCGTTATGATTATTGAGTCTGGCGTCTACGTGGTTTTACTCCTGTTCACCTTCAAAGAAACCTACACACCAGTGCTGCTAGTGACCAAAGCTCGTCGATTGCGCAAGGAAACAGGTGACGATCGTTATTTTGCGCCGCTTGAGGTGATCCGTCGCGAGTTTTCCCTCTTGCAGGCCATTGGGTTATCCGTGGGACGGCCATTTGGCTTGCTCACCCGCGATCCGATGATGGGTGTACTTTGTTTTTATACAGGACTCATCCTGGCCATCGTATACATGTTTTTCGTGGCATTTCCCTACGTTTTCACAAAGCTATACCACTTCACTGATGTCGAAGTTGGTGTGACCTACATGGGCCTGTTGGTGGGTATATTACTGGTAGCGCCCACGAGTGTGATTTTCCAAAAGAGGTACGAACGCAAAGTCGAGAGAAACAATGGCGAACGTATTCCCGAGTTTAGGTTCGAGGCTTTGTTTTACGGAGCTTTTTTGGCACCCATGGGACTAATGATCTTTGCTTGGACCAGTTACAGCCATGTGCATTGGATCGCGCCCATCATTGGCACCAGCGTGTTTGGAGCTGGCGTTTTCTTCATCTTCACAGGAATCTTTGGATATACCGTGGATGCTTTCCGCTTATACACAGCATCTGCCATGGCCTGTAACTCGTTCGTGAGATCGATGATGGGCGGTACCTTCCCATTGTTCACTCTGCAAATGTATCGTCGTATGGGCATAAACTGGGCAAGTTTTCTCCTGGCTATGATATCACTGGCGATGGTTCCCGTACCATTCCTGTTTACGAAATATGGTGCGTATTTGAGGTCGAAGAGTCCTTATGCATGGGATTAGAGCAAGTTCATTGACGCCTTTTGCTGACACTATAATTGGTCTTAATGCGACCATAATTTTCTAACGACAAGCAAGATGGAGTGCATTTCATGAACTGTATATGAACGAGTGGCTAACATCAGACATAAAGAAAAGCATAGGGAAACAGGGTGGACAAGCCGCCACGATGTTCCTCAGTACATAAATTCTACAATTTTTGTCACTATATCGTACCCCCGCACCATCGAGGGAAGGTTTGAATAGGATTGAGACACAAAATTACTGAGACTCGCAAAGTTCACATTTGAGAACAATGAAGCGGGGCAGGCAAAATTTGGTTGTCAGATCAGCTAGTTTAACCATTTTTCGGTTAGAACTGTATTCGCACGGTGTAGGGTACTCATGGATCGACCGAAAAATGCTCGGTGTTAAGAACCAGGCACATGCAAAATACGTAACTGGAATATAGAAGAGATATAAAGCCTTAACGAAGCGGCAAGAGAGTAAACGCAGAACTTTTTAGTTTCTCTACCAAAAACAAGTCTACAATAATCCGCAATCAAGTATGTCTGCACCCAAGCTGCTGTTTTTACATGGATTCTTTCAAAATGCCAAGGTGTTCTCTGAAAAGTCCTCTGGCATTAGAAAACTGCTGAAAAAGGCCAATGTTCAATGCGATTACTTGGAAGGACCTACCGTTTTGGAGAGAAAAGATCTGCCTTTTGAGCTTGATGACGAAAAATGGCAGGCTGCAGTAGATGCACAAGTCAACAGATCGTGGTTCTACCATTCCGAAATTTCCAAAGATCTGGACTTAACCCAGGCAATCAAAGCTGTGTCTGAAAAAATCAAGGCTGAGGGTCCATATGACGGCATTGTAGGTTTCTCGCAAGGTGCTGCTGTGGCGGCCATTGTCACAAATAAGATAACAGAGTTGGTTCCTGACCATCCACCATTCAAAGTGAGTCTAATATTTTCGGGCTATTCGTTCACGGAACCAGATCCGCAAAACGAAGGTCAGCTACGCATCACGGAGAAATTTCAGGACAGTTTTACCCCAAGACCAGAGAATCACACCAAGATGTTGTTTGTTTGGGGAGCCAGTGATGTGGCCGTTCCAGCTACGAGATCCAAGTATCTTCGCGATAAATATACTGGAGGCTCGGAGTCCAGCGATCTTGTAAAAAGCTATGAACACCCAGGTGGGCACATGGTGCCAAACAAGAAAGACATCCTGAGACCTATCGTGGACGAAATCAACTCCGCCGTCGAAGCAAAATAATCACTTATAGAGGATAGAAGACAGCACAAGTGTCAGTACTGTGCAAAAAATTGATATCATAGAGATATATACGAAAAGTACGGATCCAGGATCGAAGTTTTGATGAAGCTCGAATGCCCCGTCTGCCATCGCTTATTGGTAAGTAAGCATGTACATAATCAGAAACAGATAGTTCTTTCGTAGGTTCGAAATTGTTTCATCAAATACCTTGATAGTGCATCTTATTACGGTAAATAGCATTTTAATTCACTGTCATCGCACCAAAAGGGCCTTCAAGACGAGAAAGAGAACTGAACCTAACGCAAGACATGAGCTTTCTGGTCAATTGAAGTAGAGCTGTTACTTATATTCGAGTCTTGGTTGCTTTGAGTAGCAGGAAGCAACATATAACTAGAGTACAGACATAAGTCTCAATTTACATGATGAAGTAGGAAAACAGCGACCGAACCGGGTTTGTTCACAAGCGAGATGAAAGAACTGTACTGCATTGTTCCAAGCCGTCAAAGTTCAAATGCTGATCGCTGAAACCTTCGACTTTCAAAGCCAACTGATGACACAACTTGTTAATTCGCTTGGTTTTCTATGCTAATTAATGTCTATTAATCGAAAGGACATTTTTAATTCACACCGGTGGATCGTGTCGTAAAACACCAAAGACACTACCAACCGCTTATCTGATCGTCTCCATTGATCTCTCAACTGGTCAAAGGCTATTCAAGTGTGCAGACAACCTGCAAAGTTCGTTTGTACAGTAAAGTCTTTCGCAATCTGTACATTCATAGTAAGATCAAAAAATCATAGCTATCGTCATATCTCATTGTCTAATCAAAAGAATCGGCACACCCCAGTGAAATAAGAGTAGCTCTCACCAAGACCTGACAACTGATTCCTGCTTGCCACGTACGCTAAGCTGAGCATCAGTTATGTCGCTTCGGACGGATGTGTCGTCGCTTATTCAGTTGATGAGCTAGCTCTTCGGCTAAACCACACATCTTCAACTGGACAAAGGTGTGTCCTATACAATACCACAGAGGCTAAGCGATGGCAGTTGAAACATGGAAGAAAAAGCCAGCACCTGTTCAGGTGCTTGAAAAAGATCTGCCGTCTTCAATTCCTCCTCAAACGGGGCTGACATTCAATGTGTGGTATAACAAATGGTCACAAGGTAGCAGCGGTCGAAATCGATTTGTGAGCCCCTTCAAGTTCAATCCAGACTCCGATCAAGGCTACACGAAAGGTGACAAAACGAAAAAAACCTTTTTTTGCCTCTACTTTACGAAGGGAATGTGCTGTCTAGGCAAGAAATGCGAATATCTGCATCATGTCCCAAATACTGAAGATGTCGCCAGGCTTTCGCTACAGTCGGACGTAATTGATTGTTTCGGACGTGAAAAACACGGCAGCTATAGGGAAGACATGGGTGGAGTAGGATCTTTTCGCAAGAGGAACAGAACTTTATACGTTGGGGGCATCACTGGCGCATTAAACGATATAAGTCTAAAGCCGGGACAGGTAGAGAACCGCATACGATTCTCGTTCGGAAAACTTGGTCCCTTGGAGAGAATACGATACGTGGAGGCGAAGAATTGTGCGTTTGTCAAATACAAACATGAAACGCATGCCGAATTCGCTAAAGAAGCTATGAGCAACCAAACTTTGTTGATTCCGTCTGATAAAGAGTGGGCAGATCGTCGCGACGGGACCGGGCTTTTGGTCAAATGGGCTAATGATGATCCCAATCCTGAAGCGCAACGACGGGAGAAAGAACAACAAGAACAAGAGTCACTTAAAGTTATGCTGGATATACTGAAAAAAAGTGAAACCGCCGAGCCGCTAGCAAGCGAGATTGATACCAAATCTGACACACTGACAAATAAGCGACTTTTAGAAAGTGCTGATGCAGATACTGAATCGTTTGAGAGCTCTATATTCGGTAGCCTTTCCAAGAACAAGCTGAGCGGGCTAAAGAAGCTGAAAGTGGCAAAGCCAACTGAGCAAACCATGGAGAATACACTCCCGACGAGTATGGTCGACTATCCTTCGTCAGATGATGATTAGGTTTTGCATTACTAGATAGTTTTGCGCGCTGCATATCAAGTGGGTTAATAAAGAATTGGCTTCAAATGATTATCGCTAAAGTTGAACTTTTTGCGCACAGAAGACTTCAGTTCGTTTATGTTGTTGACGTTTGTGTCTTTGATATACTTCCAAAGCTCTTCAACAACTTTGGGGTCGTCGTTTTCGCCGAGAAAAGTTATGGAGCTTCCACTTTTTCCTGCTCTACCTGTTCTACCTATGCGGTGGATGTAGTTCTCGAAGGCCTTGGACATTTGAAAATTCACAACCAGCGACACGTTTGGAATATCGATACCTCTCCCGGCCACGTCAGTTGCAATCATTATATCGGCCTTACCACTTCGGAGTAAGCTCAGGGAGTGCTCTCTTTGATCTTGAGATTTTGAGCCGTGCAATGTTGTTACTCTGTACTTTGTTTCGGAGGCAAACTTATTTGCCAGCCAATCCGCAGTTCGTTTGTAATTGATGAAGATCATAATTGGTGCGTTGAACGCGGGAAGAATGTCTTTCGAAAGTTTTATGAACCTTTGCTCCTCACTGGGGATGAAATCCACCACCTGTTTAACGAGTCCCCCAGTGTCCTGAGCCCCAACCCGCACATGAGCCGGTTTATTTAAATAGCCATTAGCTATCCGCTCGATCGAATTTGACATGGTGGCCGTGAACATCAAAGTCTGTCTTTTTTTACCGCTACAGTCTGCTCTCGATAAGATGGTTGTTACTTGATCCTCGAGACCAAGATCTATCATTCGGTCAGCTTCATCCAGAATTAGTGTTTGAACGTTTGTCAGCACCAGCATATGTGACTCCAAACAGTCTATTAGTCGACCCGGAGTGGCAACCAGAATGTCGCAGCCATTTTGGAGCGAATGCGATATTTCTTCAATGGAATGACCTCCAACGATACTAACCACTTTTGATGGTCGAGACCAATGCTTCAAGATTTTTTGAGCCTCTTCCTCAATCTGCTGAGCAAGCTCTCGAGTGGGCGCCAAAACCAATACGGACGGGCCGTCAAGCTTCGTGATATCATTGAGTGGAGGCATGTTGCTGAGCTGGCACAGTGATGGAATTAGAAAAGCCAAAGTTTTACCAGAACCGGTGACTGCTACACCTAAGAAATCGCGACCATCTATGGTGTTTGGAATCGTGATTCTTTGAATAGGCGTGGGTTCGACGTAATTCAGCGTACCCTCTATTACCTGCAATAGATCTGGCGGAATTAAGCCAGTTTCGCTCCAATTTCTGAGAGGGTGTCTTATGGATCCTCCTTTTGTTTCAATGTGAAAGTCTTCCCGTAAAATCCTCCAGTCACGATCGGTCATGTCTTGGAGCGATTTTTCAGTCCAATGCTTGCCCATGTACATTTCTTCTGTTTCCAAAGAGCCTGACTTTAGAAGCTTAGATGCTTTCAAATTTACCAGTGGATCAGAACCCAGCGTTGTGTCATCTTCATGCTTCCAGTCAAAATTGAATCGTCTTCGAGAGTTCCGTTCTGTTTGATTTTTAAGACCTCCCGAACCGCTCTTTATCGGCCAATTCGACTCCTCCACAAACTCAGACCCATTTTTACGCCAGGTGAGTCGTTTGACGTCCTCAGAATCTTGATTTGTGCTTGTCTTACGGCGTCCTTCTGCTGCTGCTTCAGCCCGTCTTTTCTTGGTTAAAAACGTGGGGGTTTCTCCATTTGAATTACTCTTACCATCGGGTTTCAATCCCAGCAAATCATTGATGTCAACTGGTCGTTTCATGCTTTCGCTGTGTCCATGGCTGGTGCTGTCGCGCAAGCCTTTTGAAGGGCATCGACATCCTGATGAGATGTCATATGGCTTTTCTACTAAATGACGACACAATCGTTGTAAATGATACATTATACGTGCTAAAACCGAATCCCTTGAACGGAAAGAAGAGTGCGCAGGATAGACCAGGTATGAACCAGCACTTGTGCGTCTACTGGAGCCATTATAAGCCGGAAGCTCACTCAAGTAGAGAAATTTGGACTTCTCTATTCGGTCTCGTCCCATTAATCCTTGTGGTCATTTACGCATGAAACGGTCCAGGCTGAACATCACAAACTAGTCACAAATACGTTATTTGAGACGGCCCACAACGACTAGAATCAATTTGGAAATGGGTCATATACAAGCGATTCATTCTTTTTTCTTTCGCTGTTCAGTCATGTCATTAATTTCAAGAGATTTATTATGTGACGTTTATGATAGCGACACTTCCGGAAAATGACATGAAAAATGAGTTCCAGTAAAGACACTTTTACACAGACTGTCGTTACTACACATCACAAGAAGGCAATTCTGTTCGTTGGGGTGTGTTAGAGGGTTAAATTCTGAGCACCCCAACTATGTGGACCCTACTGATCAGCTTTGCGGCGGAGATTTTCGGAGGTAGGCAATCTTTGCTTTAGGACGTACGGCAATCACATTTTGGATACTTTAACGCATCAGAAGACATTAGACGCATTCAATTGAATGTATCGGCCGTCTCAAATTTTTTCTTCTCCTGATTTTCCGATGACAAGGACCCTTTCTGCGCGTGTCGGGTATAAATGTACGAACTCCGACTAACCCCGAAGGAACATTGACGCAGACCTAACGTCCATTGCCATCAAGAAGGTATTTTGTCGAACTTGAATTAAAACTATAAGAGGTCTTCTTATACTCAACTTGATTGAAATTTGTTCACTGGCCAAGTCTGATGTTACCGAACATTCATGTCTGCGTCAAGTGTGATTGTCAGTAAAGCTTCGAATGAAGACGAAAAAGAAGCACTAAATAAAGTCCCACCACATCAAAATTCTGAAGTTCCAGACGGAGGCTTTGGCTGGTTCGTGGTCGTGGCATGCTTCATTTACAACTTTTCAAGCTGGGGCGCCAATTCAAGTTATGCTATCTTTATAGAGCATTATATCAGTGATGACACGTTCAAGGATGGCAGCAGCTTAAACTTTGCAGCCATAGGCGGGCTAACTTTCGGTACCGGATTTATGTTCGCTCCCATTATTACATGGATTCACCGGCGTTTTGGACCGCAGATCGTCATAGGCATGGGTATAATCTTTCAAGGTACTGCATTTATGCTGGCTGCATATTCAAAGTATATTTGGCAATTGTATCTCACGCAGGGTGTTCTCCTCTCCTTTGGATTGGCTTCTCTGTTCATACCCAGTATCACATTGATTCCGTTCTGGTTTCTTCGGAAACGGGCACTTGCAATGGGTTTAGCCACCAGCGGAAGTGGAATTGGCGGTATTATTTTCAATCTGGCTACTGAGAAAATCATTCAAGTTCGCAGTGTCAAATGGGCCCTAATCATTCAATTTATCATATGCTTGGTCCTCAATTCGATTGCATTAATGTTAACCAGAACACCAGGAAGTACCGGTTCTAAGAAGACGAAAGCAAGCATTCAACTATTCGACAAGCAGTTATTTTCCACAGTGGGGTTCTGGCTTTTACTAGGTTGGGTTTCCTTCACAATGTTCGGTTATGTTATTGTACTATTTTCACTCTCAGATTTTACGGTAAGCCTTGGTTACTCCTCAAGACAAGGCTCATATGTGACCTGTATGATAAGTGTAGGATGGACTGTTGGGAGGCCGATTATCGGATACCTATCAGATAGATTTGGGGCTTTAACTGTTGGATTCCTGGTACATTTGATTTTGGCCATCCTATGCTGGGCCATGTGGATTCCGTGCCAGAACTTGGCCACCGCAATCGCATTTGCTCTACTTCAAGGATTGCTGATGGGCACCATATGGACAACTTTAGGATCTGTCACTGCCAGAGTGGTAGGTTTACAAAAAATGAGTATTGCTTTTGGAACAGTGTGGATGTTTATGGCCGCTTTTGGGATATCCGCGCCAATCATTGGTCTTGAACTAGTTCCATCTGAAAACAGCCCCCAAGGTCCTAGCTATACAAAAACAGCGATATTCAGTGGGTTTGGTTACTTCGGAGCAGCGTTGTGTCTGTGGATACTGAGAGGCTACATAGCGGCACGTGACACTGTTGCCAAGTCGTCAAAGGAGGATGCTAACGAGTTGAGTTATCGAGCAGAACCCTTAAAGGTCATAAATGGAATGTTTCAATTCAGAAACCTGCCCAAAAAGATCTAGGTCAATGTACAGCGTCTTACACTAGCTTTTGTATCGGTGAGACTTTACTGTCATTAAGCGCAGTAATCGTAGTTTACGAGTGTGACGCCGCCCCAGTCTAATTAAATACTTAAGACCCACCTTGAACTAAAACCAGAGCTCGAATAGAGATAGATACCTTTGAAGACCTGAAGACCGACTAGGTTTGGTTTCGGACATGGCTTGATGACTTCCCAAAACTTGTTTTCAACACCCGAGGCGAAGTATAGCGCTGTTAGGGACCGAAACCCTTCTGCAGAAGGATCTTTCGTGTACGCCGTAAAGACTACCGGAATTGTGTGTAGGCCAACATGTTCCGCAAGATTAGCTCTGTTTAAGCATGTCACTTTCTTTGAATCAATGCAGCAGGCTATAAATGCTGGCTTCCGTCCATGTCGGAAATGTAAACCAGAAATACAGCTGCATTGGAACAGACATCGGAAACTGGTCATCGCTTTGATAGCTCATTTCCATGGGTTGCAAGCTGCTGGAATGACTGCTGGTGATTTCAGACTCGCAGACCTTGCTGGAAAGTCACAGATTTCAAAATGGCAGCTCATAAAGATTTTTAAGAGATACACAGGTACTACGCCAATGAGGTACTACGAAGAGCTACTTAAGGGGAGCAATGCCATTAGCGAACAAGATATTCCCCTGGTCGTGACCAAAAAACGTCAAATGAAGAAGGAGAAATTGGGTTCAATGAGTGAAATTGAGTGCACTAGCCCCCATGCAACGGAAACTGAGAAGGTTGCGGAATTTTCCGCACATCCACATGGTGCTCAGAATGATGACTGGATTGCTGAGTTTTTGAGAGTCTAAATCAAACCATGCTTAAAAATTTCAGGATTTAGTATCATCTACGTTTCCAAAACGATTTCGAAGGCTAGTAATGTTCTAAAAACTACATCTGGATACGCCATTTCAAGAGAGAAGTTCAGAGCATCAGCTTACATGTATCACTACAAACTTACTGCACCAACCCGGTATTTATTGAATTAGCTCAACCTGTCTGTGGGCCCATATCTCCTGCTCAGAAGCGTCTATGTCACTGCAACTTTTTCACCCTGAAAAAGCCCCAGCAATGGCCAGAATAGATCCATAACAAAGTTGGCCCCTCAATATCTTTTAGTGTATATACTGCACCCCAGAGTTGATCCTCTTTTAGAGGTTCTGATCAATGTCAGTGAATTCCTTCTGGAAATCTGATTTGACTACTCCGATACGAACTGAATTTAAAATTATATGTAAGTGTTCACAGTGTCACACCTTCTGCATCACACTCAACAGCTGCAAGTAGATACCTTGTAGACCCAATACCACATCAATTATGAGTGCTGATTGCTCTACTGGAAGTAATCCATTAGCCAGCCTGACCAAACATGCTCAACAAGACCGAAGTTTGCATCATAATGGGTATCTTGGCTTGAATCAAGGTACTCAGAACCAGTTCAAAATGCAAGATAACAGTATGAGTGAGGCCAGTAAGATGCATATGGAAGCCTTTGTCGGCAAGGACAGAATGGAAAACAACATGGCGCTGAGAAATGGACGTCCTTTATTGCCACCAAGTATCTCAGAAGCGTCTCTAGAGCGTCATAGGCCGCAACATCAATTTCAAGGGCCATCTCAAGACGGATGGAGCCAGCAGTTCCAACGCCGCTCCGCTGAATTTAGGGCAGATGAAGGCCAAAGCTCTCTTGCTGGGGCTAGATCAGCTCAGGTGACTCACACACCGCAAACCTCATCGCAAGACAGAATGCATGCTATGAGAACACCTACGGCAATGGGCACTTTTGGCCCACGATTGGCGTCTGGTATGTTTAGTCCAATGGCCAGAAATATGCAGCCACAACATGTCCCTCTTAATCCACAAGCTTTTGAAAGCATGGATCAGGAAAACTGGGACGAGCAATTCAGGGAGCTGGAAAAAGAAGTAGCAGAGAAGCTGGCTCTTCGAGAAGAAGAGGTCGCCAAGAATGAAGTAGAGACCGTCGATGGTAAGGAATCGTTGATCAACGACCAGTATCAAGCAGAATTTCAAGAGGTTTGGGACAGCTTGCGTGAAGAGGCTCTCGAAGACACGGCATCGAATTGGAAAAAAGATTACCAGCAGTATATGTCTGGAAGACCCACCACTAGTATACCGTACAAGTTTGAAACGGAGAATCAATACATGCATAACTCGAACGCATACGAAATTGGATGCATTTTGATGGAAAATGGGGCCAAACTTAGTGAAGCCGCGTTAGCGTTTGAAGCGGCAGTTCAGGAGGACCCTCAGCACGTAGATGCGTGGCTGAAGTTGGGAATGGTACATACGCAAAACGAAATGGAAATCAGCGGTATCAGTGCATTGGAAGAGTGTCTGCGACTTGACCCTAATAACCTGGACGGCATGGTAACACTGGCTATCAGTTACATTAACGAGGGTTACGATGTTAGTGCATTCAAAATGCTCAATAAATGGCTTGAATCCAAGTATCCGGATTTGGTGGTGCCGGACAATGCGATATCTTCTAGTGGCGATCGCTATAGTATGAGCCAAGCTTTGACACTTCGGTTTTTACAGGTGGTAAACAAGCTTTCAGAGGTAGATGCAAGCCTGCAGCTCGGACTGGGCATACTTTTCTATTCGAATGATGACTATGACAAAACGGTGGACTGCTTTAAAGCTGCTCTTGCAGTAGCTCCTAATGACGAGCTGATGTGGAACAGGCTAGGTGCATCGCTGGCAAATTCAAATCGATCTGAAGAGGCAGTACAGGCTTACCGACGGGCATTACAGCTTAAACCCACATTCGTCAGGGCCCGCTGTAACCTGGCAGTGTCGTGCATGAACATGGGATGCTGCAAAGAGGCTGCAGAGTACTTGCTTACCGCGCTGTCCATGCACGAGGTTGAAGGACTTCTGCCCTCAGAGGCCGCTGCGAGCCAAAATCTTTTGGAAACACTGAAACGTGCGTTTATCGGCATGGAACGTCGCGACTTGCTGGAAAAAGTACGTCCCAACATGGATTTAAATGGCTTTAGATCCGAATTCAATTTCTGAATAAGAAAGGGAACTTCTACAGGCACTTCCTAACAGCGGATCACCAATTTTGAAGCATCAGTGCGGCATCTCTGCGACACTAAGACTCCATATTCATCCGCTCCAGGTATTCACCATTGTCATCTGCTTTTGGCTATGCGTCGTTCTCGACTCTTATCACTATGCACCATACTCACGCTGACATTTGGAATATCACTTTATCATCTTTTGACACCGTATTTGCGCAGGGTAATCCAATAAATCTGAAAAATTAGGATAATGGATTGATCAACGCACTCGATCTTGATCATTCTACCAATTGAAACCCTCACCAACTCATCGATCCAATGAGCTATAGCATGCCGTTCAATGCTGTATATGAGGACGAGAAAAAAAGGCAGCTTGATTATAAGCGTCGGTCGCCGCTGGACAGGATTGGTTCGGCAATTGCCCGGCATAGAAAGATAGCCTTGGGCGTGTTTTGTACGCTGTTTGTGGTGTTTTGGTTTGGTTTCTCGCAGTTTACACTGTTTGCACGTAATCCCAAGATTGTTCTCATATTGGCAGTGAATGACGGAGGCGGTGTACACAAATGGAAGGGCGAACAAGACTGGGCTATTGAACGGATATCGATTCAGAACAAGCGCGGATACGCGAAAAGACATGGTTATGGATTAACAATTAAAGACATGCGTACTGCCAAACGGTATTCTCACGAATACCGTGAAGGATGGCAGAAAGTGGAAGTTTTGCGCCAAACAATGCGGGAATTCCCGGAGGCAGAGTGGTTTTGGTGGCTGGACCCAGAAACTCTAATTATGGAGCCGCAACTGTCATTGGAAGATCATTTGTTCAAGCGTATGGACGCACTGTCCTACCGGGCTCTGGACGACTTCAATCCGTTGCAACTGCCGTCAGACATTCCGTACGTGGATTATTCCGAGCAGCCAGAACTCTTTATCACACAGGATTGTGGAGGGTTCAACCTTGGCTCGTTTTTGATCAAAAATTCGGATTGGAGCAAACTACTTTTGGACGTGTGGTGGGATCCTGTGTGCTACGAACAGAAGCACATGATGTGGGAACATCGCGAGCAAGACGCGCTAGAAGCATTGTATGCACGTGAGCCCTGGATTCGCGAGAAGACGGCATTTTTACCGCTACGGAGCATCAATGCATTCCCACCAGGCGCATGTTCTGAGTTTTCTGATGATACTCGTTATTTCTATAGTGAAGAGGAACGCGATTTTGTCGTAAACATGGCAGGTTGTAGTTTTGGTCGTGATTGCTGGGCCGAAATGCAACGTTACGGAACTCTCTTAGAGACTCACAACCGTAAGTGGTGGCGGAGCTTCTTTTGAGGTGTGATTTTGCGAGGATAGAAAAGTGTCAAGACGGCTACACTCACTGTGAGATCCGGGTGGAATTTATCTCAATCGAGCGCACGGGCGCCAGGTCCCGTAAAGCGGATTTGCACTTGGTTGTATGTCCACAATTTGTTTTTGATCGTCATCCATTTCTAGGCTTGATGAAATACCCATTATTTTCAATCTTCATTCTCCTCTAGATATTTCCCGCTCAACAAGTCTTCTAGCAAAAAGGATCACTAGCCAAAGCGACCACTAACGTTGATGCGTCCACCCTGCGCTTTCCGTTGACTCTACTCTGTATTTGGACTCAACGACAGACACTGGTCTCAACTGTCACATGTTTTATATCAAAATGATCACAACTCTGTCAGCAACGTCGTGGAACCCATAAAACAAACCAAAAAATGAAACTCAACCACTCAAAGGGCATTGATACGTTCAAACATTCGAAAAATCATCAGTCTTAAAGGCTCATCAGCTTAAGAAGAAACTTGTCTTTCTTAATGCCGTCATGTGACGTGATGGCCATTTTGGCTTTTAAATTTTAGTAGTGTAATTTCAATAACTTAACAACAATAACCATAATTGTATACCAAGACTACAACTAAAATCAGTTGTTACACCAAAAACCAAGACCATTGCGGTCTATAAGAGGCTGGTAAGATGGACGAACAATTTGGTGGGGGAATTGGAAACTCGGAACAGAACGAATTTCTCAGTTTTCTCGATTCTAGGCCGCTACAGGAGGCTCCAAGCGCTGCGATAACTCCACAGGCGATTTTGGCGCGTTCCAGCATGCACACGTCGAATACGAACCTACAATCGGTTTCTCCTGCTTCAGTGATGTCTCCTTTGATACAGTCGCAGGGTTTGCCCTCAGCCACTACCCCGCAGCAGGTTTTAACGCAGTCAATTGTGCCACAACAGCAGCAACAGCAGCAACAGCAACAGCAGCATGGCCCGGGGCATGGTCAAACACCTGTGGTGAGCACGTCACAGGTGCCTTCACGAGCAACTTCACAGGCTCCCACTCAAGCTCCCACTCCTCAGGCAATCTTGAGCAACACAAATAGCCTACAAGATGCCAAATCCCAAACTGCTAGTGCAAGGAACTCTTCCGGCTTCACAGATAGAGCAGCAATGTTTGCAGCGCTGCAGCAGCGACAAAAACTTCAAATGATGCAACAGGCTGTCTCCGCAACAGGCTCTCCCCAGGAAGCAGGGCTAGTAAGACCATCTATGGAGCCGCAATCACAAGCATCGTCTGCCGGACAGGTACCACAGACACAGCCAGCATTTGCAGCCAACAATAATGCACCTCCTGCTCAGCAGCGACAGGCCATTCAGAATTTGGATCCCGAGATTCAGCGACGCGTAAGCACGGAATTGAACAATAAGCAGTTTGAACTATTCATGAAATCACTGGTGGAGAGTTGCAAACGGCGAAACGCACCGTTGCATTCTTTCCCTGAAATTCAAGGTCGAAGAATCAACCTTTTCGTTCTATATTCAATGGTACAGAAGCTCGGAGGTAGCGACAGTGTGAGCCGTCTACAACAATGGTCGATGCTTGCTCAAAAACTACAGCTTCCTGAAGATGCTGCGAGACCGCTAGCTGCCCTTTATTACCACCTTTTGGTTCCCTACGAGCAGTATCTGGCGTCCCCAGAGGGAGTAAAAGAAACTCAGTCTAAAAGGCTGTTCTTACAACAGTTTCTGCAAGAGTTGCTAAACAAATTCACGACATCCTATCCAAGTGCCACCCCTAACGATATAGGAGTGGGAGGTCTCACTCCCGATACTAGAAACGAAGGTCTTGATGCAGCCAAGGTAAAGAAGCCACGGAAACCCAAGAACCCAACCAAAAAGAAGTCGAAAAAGGATCTCGAAAAGGAAATGAGATATCAACAAGAACAACTTCAGAAACAGCATGAACTTCAACAAGAACAACAAAGCAAGCTTTTGCAGGAACAAAGAGCTAAGCAGCAGCATGAACAGATGCGACTGCGACAACAGATGGCTGTTCAACAGAGCATCGAATACCAGAAACTTCCCAAAGTTTACAAGCGGTCATTTGCCAGGAATTATGTGCCATCTAGTAGAGCTATTGAAACTTCCAATGGGTACGATATGAGAGCTGTTTCACAAATAGGCGAGAAAATCGATGCTAACAAACCTGTTTTCTTGTTTGCGCCCGAACTCGGTACTATTAATCTACACTCTCTGTCATTATCGCTCTTATCTGATTGTGTATCAGAAGTAAATGTGGCCTTGAACACTTTATTGGTCACCAGTGCAGACTCGATCCTCGATATACCCCTGAGTCGTTCTCAAAGTTTGTTAGATTCACTGTGCATTTTGGGGTGTCAGCTTTTAAACAAACTGTGTACATCAGAGACCCCCATGCAACAAATGAAAGGAAACTACCTTGACAAAATCGATGTGAAGGGCGCACTTAACGAAGCTTCAAAGTATTCAAGAGCAACTGGTATGTTAGATGAAGTTTTCAGTGCTAATAGCAAGGATCTCTTCGACGAAGAAGTTGTGATTAAAGTTGATTCCTTAACAGGCGTGGACTTGGAACAATCAGTTCCTACCCCAGAGCATACTCCCATAACCTCATTCGAGATTGAAGACGATGATAGTGCTGTAACAGAAAAGAATAACACGCACGAAGAAGATTGGCATTACTTACCAGAGGCACTTTGGCTTGCAGATGACATTGACAAATGCAGATTTGATCTTCCATGCTATTTAGAGTCTCTAAGAGACGTGCGCGACGAGGTTGATAGTCTTTTCACGAATGCCAATACTCGAGGGGCTGAGAACTATCAATTAATGGTGGTAGATCAGTTATCGACCATTTCGATGATTATACGAAATGTCTCATTCAATGAAGCGAACACAACTCCCATTGCCACGAACCTTTCGTTTAAAAGGTTTCTCAGCGATTTGCTTTGGGCCCTTTTTCTACGTGCTGATCGATTTGTATTCCATCGGAAATCTTTGAATTTCAAAAAAGACCTTATCATTACACTAACAAATGTATCGCATTTGCTAGAAATCGATGATCATGTTACCGCATGCTTACTTGTGTTTCTGATCTTAAGTTTTTCGGAGGAAAGAGCTACGATGGACGGAACGGAATCTCTCGAGGTTTCAGAGTACCCCGTCAAGTTAAGCAATTATCAGAACTATGGAGCTGACGTATTGGCTAAATTACTATCATTAGGATATCCCAACCGACTGTTGTTGAGAGCTACTTTCTTACAACAGTTCGATAGCGATTCTCAATCACAAGATGTCATGACTTGCAAAAAACTCATATCGCTCTATGAATCGTCATATTCCACCCGCAAATTTCAAGGTTTCTCGCTTTTACATGGAACGTTTACATCTCTTCTATCAATGATTCCATTTCAGCAGCTTAACACTACCCCAAACCTAATTGAAGAAGTTGGCCCCATTATTTCGCAAAGTCTCACAGCTCTCCTTTCATTGGCACGGTTTTGTCGAAAAGAAAACACCCCAAGATGTGGCCCAAATCTACCCTTGGTCTGGTTAACAATCGACGAGAATTTAGGTTGCAGCCTGCGCCGTCTAAGCGAGGCTCTATCCAACCTGGGTATCCACACTAATCAAAATTTGAACCATCTCAAGCATCTTTTCAATGCAATAAGCGCCAAGTGTCTTCAATTAGTTACTCTATTGATCGAGAGGGCACTGGATATAGCGGATGAACGTGGGTCGGGAACTGATGAGAAATACCAGAAGGCGCTCGAAAATCTGAATGCTACACCTAGTCTTTTACCCTCAGAGCAAAGCTTGATCACTTTTTTGACCAATCCATTGGCTGATTATATGGTTGCCAGAGAAATGGGTGAGTTACATCGTTTGAGAAGCCGAATTATGGCAGATAGCAAGAACTTAAATGTCACAAGACAAGAAGTCGCAGGTGCAGATGCTAATGACTAAATTATGTACAACAAGTTACGTGTAAAGCTCCATATATAAGAATGGCAAGATGTTAACAGCGTTTTTTTTTGTTTTTTTTTTTTTTTTTGGATTTCTCAAGTCAGGATACCTGGATCTTCCTCGATTTCCATTGCAACGTAGTTAAGAATTCTATCAGCAAGGTCTTCATCATTTACCAAATCAGTAAGCTGCACTTTGTTTAGCTTTCTCAGTGTCTTGAAATTCTTGACACGTTTTGTGACATTATAGTAGTCAATATTCGAAAAGCCTGGTATTCCGAGAAGCTCTTTCAATTTGAGACTTGAGTCTTCTGTAACCCTCTCCTTGCTTGCCTTAGTTTTCAAGCCAATATTCACCGAAGTAGTTGGATCAGGCTGTTCCCTACCTTGCTTCAAATCCAAGATGAGATTTACGGTCTGAAGTGGTGAAGAAGACCATAAAATTCTCAGCGAAGGAAACTTGAGCACAAGCTGGGCCAATTGCATTTGGATTTCATCTTGCATCAACTTGCCTCCAATAGGATGAGCAGTTGAGGAAATTGATCCGAATTTTCTTTCGCTGAAAGGCTCCAAGGAAAACGAGTCAATGTCATCGAATTCTATGAGTAAGGTGGGATATTCGTAATGTTTTGACATGTTTTTGCATTGTTCGTCGAGTCGGCCATTTTTAAAACTCCCGATCAAGTCGGGAACGGACTTCCGCTCCAAGCAGATTTGTGGTGATATGATGTAATCGCCTACCGTCAACATACAAGGGATAACTCTAACACCATAACGGTATAGTAAGCCAGGAAGAGGTGCCCGGAATTCTCGCATGTCAACAATGACGACGTCATTGGTTAAAGCCTCGAAAGCTTTTTGTCCTCCTGCCATTCTTGAGTTTCGAAGTTGTTGCGATAAAAGCAGTTTTCTTTGCGTCAGGTTCTTATATCTCGAAAGATCTTCATCTACTTCGAAATGTTCAGCCAAGTTCGTATGCTCTCTAATCATTTTAGTGAAAGCGTCTTTTTCTTTCTTGATGGCAGCCAAATGGCTCTGCTCCTCAACACTGTCGCCGTAGTACATGAAATAGATTTTTAAGGGCAGATCTTTGTGCAACGCTTTAAACATCTCCACCCTCCGAATGAAAGACAAGTCTGGCTCGTACATTACAATATGTGACGGCATTATTTCTTGCAAAAGAAGATCGTTCGTCCTATTATAAAACTTTTCGATCACAATCTGGTCATTCCTTTCTATGTATTCGAATAGCGCATCATCATAAGACCAAATATTTTCAGTATTAGGCATACCAGAAACTTGAGGCGGACGTATTTCATCCGGTTCTTCTGTCAAAATATGGTCCTCATATTTTTCGTCGTCCAGGTCAAGAACTTCGTCAAGGTCAATTCCCTCCGCCATTTGATCCTCTGTACTGTCTGCCAACTTGGTTAGATGCTCTTCTATTTCACCGATGTTCATGAGGCTACCAATTTCTTCACCTCTACCGTTCGATGCTGTCTTCAGCCGTGTAACAGCAGCTACAGCAGCAGCACCTCTTGTCCTTCGGCGGTTTGAATTAATTTCTTCCTTCGCAAATGTTTTCGATACAGCCAGCTGTCCGGGGTCACCTTCCTTTTGAGAGTATTCACTCGCATCCTTTGCTGTCTTTTTTAAAGCCTCTCGTCTGTCCATGTAACCCCGTAGCTTTCGGAGTAAAAATTTCCGTGAACCTTCCTTCCGATCAGAATAAGATATGATTTTTCTTAACTGGCGGCATGTCCGGTCTTCCGAGCATATAATCAAGGTGGGCCCACCGGGGGCAGCTGAATTAGCTTGTTCCAGATCAATATCCTCTAATATCGCCGTGAGCTGCTCCCACTTAGGTAACTCCTCGAGCTCATAATTACCTTCCTGGAATACACGTTTCTTGGCATATGAAATAACAGCCTGAGATTCCTCAGCCATTAGCCATGGTGATTCAGAATACTTTCTTGTAACCGAAGGTTTGTTAGCGTCTAAAATCATTTGGATGATTTCGTAGAAGTCAACGGCATCATAGCTAATCAGGGCATGTAAAAGCTTTTTCAAGGTTCCAATATCCTTTACAAGCTGTTTCGACTCGAAAGAGATACGATGCCAATTGGGCGACAAAACTGCGTGAATTGATCGAAGAAAATTTGGGTTCAAGCAATTATCAGCATTCCATGATTCTAGAGCTAGACTTGAATTCTTTCTGTTCAATTCTTCAATACATTTCTTGAGACATTCAAAAAGTCCAAATTGGATTTGTGACATCGAGTTGGTAAGGGACACTTTCACCTCTATAACTTTGTTGTCCCTTTTTAAGTTTAAACTAGAAGAGATGTCGACGTGAAAACGAGGCCAAATTAAAGTTCTTTTCAAGTGGAGATCTCTTAGCTTCCGTTTCAATGGTGAGAATTCGGTCATAAACGCCTCGGGCTGATCTGAAACCGCTTTGATAAACCCCCACTTATTGGTCGCCCTGTACATGTCGGTGATGAAAGATTCATTCGAAAAGTTATTAAGGCTCTCCACATGTAGGATTAAGAGGCCGGTTATGTTGTTTGGGTGAATAACGCCGGACAACAGATCGACGATTAAAATACGAGAGGTGACTGACACGATTCCGCCGCGCAAATAGAGTTGACGTCTTCTTTCCACAGTGAGAGTTTCTGCCGTGACCACACTGAACGGCCGTTGGCCATTTTTGAGCTTTGTTTGTTCTGCGTCAGAACTCTCGGTATTAGTATCTGCATTTTTTGGCATGTCTTCTTCATCTTCAACTGACCATGACAGCTCCAAGAGCTCTTCTTGAATTTTGTCATTGTCCTCTTCGCTGGCATTCAAAACAAGTACCAGAGAGCGCTTATTTTGGCCATCGATAACCGTCGGTGTGGCCAGAATATGAAGCAGGTTGGCGACAATTGGCTCTAGACCAAGTCCCTGACCTAGAATTAGCAGACAGTCTTCCGACACAAGCAGATCTTCTACGATTCGGTGCTGGAAAGGCAAAGGAAGCAGTAGTTGCAGGTCCACGGGCCTTATTTCTTCAATGTTTGGTTTCATATTATCATAATTGTCATTCAGAATTAATGGATACAAGGCGTCTTCCTGATCCTGAAGGGTATTCCTATTTTCATCCAGGGAAGGTCTTTCATGACCTTGATTAGACAGCTCCAAAACCAGATCATCGTCATCCGATTCATCTCGAATAAAGAGGGACATAATCAATGCTCAGACATTCCTCTAGATGTTGTGTAATTCAAATATCAAACTGGAGTCATCAAGGTTCGTTCACATTGCATGCAATTTAAAGCTGATGAAGCCTTGGCTATTAAGCTAGCAGAATCACCTTGTACGCCATTGAATCCTGTCATTTGGGCTAAACCAGCCGGCGCCCGCTGGAGAGGCTAGATCAGGCCAGACATGACGTGGAATCGACGAATTCTAGTTCTTGTCTAGACTTGGCTTTATCTTAAGCCATTTCAACTTCAGAAAATTTCATTTTCAACAGAAATGGGATCTGGTCGATTGCATCTGATTGAAAAAGTGTTTTGAATTGAAACTTAGAATTGTCAAATAGTGTATCCCCAGTTAGCAGCAGAATGGGAAAGTGCTTAGTATTTGACCAAAGCTGAGACCTTACAATCCGTAGTGATGAACATGAGCGTCGTTTCACGAAAGAAGATGGCGAAGCTTGAAAACGATATATCTGGATGTTTTCCGGTGCCCCGAATCCATCGTTTCAATTCAGGTTCTGAGATGTGGGAAATACACCATTTTCAAGAAAGGTGGACGACAAGGATAACTCTGAAACTTGATATTCTTCAAGGCCTGAGGGTCAGCCACACGTCAACAGGATTTCTAGATTTCATATCCTTGGAAAGTAATTTGTAAAGTGAGACTAATCATTCTGAATGATGTGTCACTAGGTGCACAGTGTTAACAGCCCTTTCTTTGCGACGTGAACAAGAATCATACCTGCGGAACTACAGTAGATGACAGTTCCGTTAAAGCATTAGCCAAGTTTTAGGGCTGGAATACGATGCAGATAGAAATTAAGTCACGTGCAAACATGAAGATTATATAATCAGTCACATGAGCAGGACTTCACGTGATGTATCCCTAAATGTCCTGTCATCTGATTGTCATATGACCGATTACTTAATCTTAACATTAATATCACCAAATTGAACTTACTCGATATTCATTCGATAATCTCTACATCCATATTACCAACTGAATATGTTTATAAATCACATCACCAGCTCAGAAAACACCGAAACAGGGACTTGTTTGGACAATTCAACGTTGGAATCAAGCTTCCTAGCATTTTAGCTCTCCATAGATACCAACCTACCCCAGGTTTTTGCGAAAAATTGACAAGTTTTGCTGCTAAACCGTTTACTTTTGAGAAAACTGTTTTCCATCATACACACACAACATTAATACCAAATGGGAAACTTCTTCAGCTCGATGTTTGACCGTCTTTGGGGCGTCAACAAGGAAATGCGTATCCTGATTCTGGGGCTCGACGGTGCTGGCAAAACCACTATTCTGTATAGACTGCAGATCGGTGAAGTGGTCACGACAAAGCCTACGATCGGATTCAACGTGGAGACTCTGGTTTACAAGAACCTCAAGCTCAACGTGTGGGACTTGGGAGGACAGACTAGTATCCGGCCCTACTGGCGATGCTACTACTCGAATACAGCTGCAGTGATCTTCGTGGTCGATTCCACGGACAAAGATCGTATGGCCACCGCTTCAAAGGAACTACACATGATGTTACAGGAAGAGGAGCTGCAAGATGCCGCACTGCTGGTATTTGCCAACAAACAAGATCAGCCTGGCGCCCTAAGTGCCTCCGAAGTGTCCAAACAGCTCAGTCTTGTCGAGCTCAAGGATCGTAGCTGGAGTATTGTCGCTTCCAGCGCTATCAAGGGCGAGGGAATTTCCGAGGGACTCGACTGGCTAATAGACGTGGTCCGTGAGGAACAATTGTAGTCAACCCAGCATATAAAACATGAGGGCATCCCCTCCACATCGTGCATAGCGACTCGCCGGGGTCCTCGCTTCTATTTGCAATATTATAAGCATAATCGGAAACACCGGGCATCTCTATATCCTTTTGACACCATCTATTCAAATTCAAGGCCCAGTCTGTCGACATTCCAAGCAGCAACGGCTCCTGATGAGGTGGTTTTTACGTTTCAGTGCGGCTCCTGCAACCGCGACTTTCAGGTCAGGATTTCGAAATGCTCGTTGGGTGCGCTCGAATGCGATGTTTCGTCCAAGAATCGGTCTTTTGACGGGCCATTCGCTTGTAGGTATATCCATTCTCACATTGACGGCTACTTTGGTACCGCACAAAAGTTTACAGCTTCATAACGAAACTTTAGAACCAGATCCCGAAGGAGATACCTTCGAAATGGGACTTTACATGACATCGCAGAAGGAACTTGCGGCCCACATAAGACAGAAAAGAGAACGATCATTGGCACGTTGCCGTTCGAAATTGACTCAATGGCTGACGCGAGCTTGGTTTCGCTTTAAAGACACAGTTTTGGAACCGGTACTAACGACGTGGCGATTTGTAGAGCTTTCATTTCTGTTCGTACCGGTGCTGCTTGCTTACCCAATTACATATTTCGGTCATATGGTGGAAGTTACTGACTCTACCAAGAGCGCTAAAGCCTCGTATGGTGCATTGTTGTGGTACAGACTTCTTAGACATGTCTTGGAAATTGCAGGCCCCAGCTTTATCAAATTAGGACAATGGGCAGGGTCCAGAACTGACATTTTCTCACATGGACTGTGCGTGGAGCTCTCAAAACTTCACAGCAATGCGAAAAAACACTCGCTGAAGTACACGATCGATTCGTTGCGCGAAGCTCTGGGGGTCTCTAATCTAGATGACGTGTTTGAAGAATTTCAGGAAAAGCCGCTGGGGGTGGGTGCCATAGCACAGGTATATGTGGGTAAGCTTTCCAAGGCTTTTGTAGGAAGACGTCATTTACAGTTGAATCCGGAGGAAAATAGATGGTGTGCTATAAAAGTCATCCATCCGCACGCAGCGCGCAATATAAGTCGTGATCTTAAAATAATGCGATTTTTTGCAGAGGCCATTGATATGATACCTACTATGGAGTGGCTGTCACTTCCGAATGAGGTGCAGCAATTTTCAATTCTGATGCGATTACAACTGGACCTTCGAATCGAATGTTTGAACCTTCACAGATTCAACGAGAACTTCAAGGATTCGTTACAAGTGAAATTCCCGACCGGATTTCAGGAGCTCACCAGTCGCCAAGTTTTGTTCGAAGAGTATTTATACGGCTTTCCCATGGAAGATTTCTTGCGGGCCAAGGATGACCTGAAGAATCCCGCGCTCAGCAAAAAAGTGAGCGACCCATTCATTGATGCATTTTTACAAATGTTGATTTTGGACGACTTCATCCATGCTGATCTACATCCTGGAAATGTTATGGTCCGTTTTATCAAGACGGACAGATATGACAGCAAATGTGTATCGACGGAAGAAGACTGCTACAACCTAATACACAGCTTGAAGACGAAGCTCAAAAACAAAGACGATTCTTTTGTCGAGGAACTAAGCAAGGTAGTCAGTCATTACACTCCTCAGATATGTTTCATCGACGTTGGGCTCGTTACGGAGCTCAACACCCGCAACAGGACTAACTTCATTGCTCTTTTTGACGCTTTGGCGAGATTCGATGGGTACCGCGCGGGTGAGCTTATGATCGAACGATCAAGAACACCTGAGACGGCAGTCGACAAGGACCTGTTTGCTTTCAAAGTTGAACGGCTTGTTAAAAAGGTCAAGAAACGCACGTTCACGTTGGGCACCGTTTCCATCGGAGACCTACTGGACCAAATGCTCAGCATGGTGAGAGGCCACCACGTTCGCATGGAAGGTGATTTTGTCTCTGTTGTGGTGGCGATCCTGCTTTTGGAAGGAATAGGAAGACAACTTGACCCAGACTTGGATTTGTTTGCAAGGTTCGTATACTACGCCGTGATCAACGGTTTTGAACGTTCATGAAAAGATTATCAATTACTAACTTTTATCAATCTTTTTACAGCTCGCTTCCAATCTTAAGAGAGTTTGGAATGAAACGCGAGGGCCGCAGCATTCTACAAGATGTCGATATGTTGTCGATGTGGAAGATATGGCTTGGACTCGAACTCCGGCAGTTCATGAATTTGTCGGTTAAACAAGTATGTTTAGTTCCCATTTTGGGCTTTTCACACAGAATCTTAGACTCAAATACTAACAACGCTATCATCCAGATGCACGACCTAGTGAAGACAGACCAATTGTGTCCAAACTATTGATGGAGCACGGTTTTTCAATTTCCACGTGTGTAATAAAATCATTGTGATCCGCTGGTGTTTAACGTCTTGATATATAAAAAGGTCCCTAATTGGTGAAATATGTGAACTACAACCGTGGTTGTGGCTAGCACTACTACTTCATCTTCGGTTTGAAAGTGGGAAGTGGTCAACAGGAAACACATTGATACCAAAATGAAGTTCGGTAAGACATTCCCGAACCATCAGATACCTGAGTGGTCACATCAATATGTCAACTATAAGAGCTTGAAAAAACATATCAAGGAGATAACTGTGGCCAAAGAAGAACAGCGCAAGCAATATCTAAGAGACGCTGGCATTAATGGTGACAGATCAGAAGAGCTTTTGGAGGAGCCGGATGTGAAAAAACGGCTAGCAACTTTCTTTTTCGCCCTGGATAAGGACATCGAAAAGGTCAATGAGTTTTACAACAAGCAGTTTCTGGAATATGACCGTAGACTCAGAAGGCTTTTATCGTCTGCACAAGTCACGAATTTGAGTGCGATTGCCACTGCTGAAAAAAGCGTCCAAAGTCATTCCGAAATTACGGGTGAAACCATCTCATCGGATATCACAGAAGATTTTGGGGAAATTCTGGGCATCCTGGTAGAGTTACGTTCAGATTTTCGTAACTTGAAATGGTATGCAGAGCTGAACAAGCGCGCATTAACGAAAATTCTAAAAAAGCTGGACAAAAAAGTCGGAACAAGTCATCAGGAAAATTACATGCAGAATCGGGTTCTTCCGCTTGGAATCTCAAATGATGCAGAAATAGGCAAAGAATTGGCTCTCATTAACGACACTTTGGATGTCATCTCTCCTTCTATGCTGGGGCGCCAGGAGTCCGATAGCGACGACGACACACAATTCATTTCTCAGGACAAATCATCTCCAGTCAATGTGGTCGCACAATTGATTGCCAAAGATGATGGGAAAAGCCTTGTTGCCGAGTTGGCCTCGATGTACAGATCGGTTGTTCTTATTCCCAAAAGAACGCTGATTGTCCTTCTTAACAAAGCCGCATTGTCACAATCGTTCAGATGTATAGACGAGATTCTAAAGATCATCCCAACTTTAGGCGATCATTCAGATGTCAGCGGTCGCAACTTTTTCCATCACCACGTCATAGCACTAGGAAGAGGTTCCAAGCAACAGAAGGCCAGAGACTCGACCCTCCACCCTTCGTCTAAGTCAACTACCATGAACCGTAGTGCCTCCAATGTCGACTTGGCAGTTTTACCAGAAAATAGATCACGGCTTGTACACGCCTATGGGCCTGACGGGCTGAATTCAAACGACTCCCCTGTATCTTTGTCTCATATTTTAAAGCGGCTCCCACCACATTTGAGATCTAGTCTGTTACAAAAAGATACTTACAAAAGAACCCCATTGCATTATTCTGCACAGTACGGCTTGTTTGAAGTTTCAAAGCTGATCATCGAAAGCTTAAGAGAATGGGGGGCATGGGATCCTGCAGTCTCGATTGACAATAAAGAGACTTGGGGAGACAGCGAAGGCTTTACTCCTCTGCATTTGGCTGTCATCGGTTTGCATCCTCGCACGGTAAAATCGCTAACCAGCTACGGAAACTCTTCGACTAAAGTTGAGTCTCAGAGATTACTTCATCTAGCCACTAAATTAAATGCGCCACAGCTTCTGGAAGCGCTACTTTCCGTCGTCGGGTTCTCTGTGGATTATGCAGACCCGGAGACATACGAAACTGCGCTCCATATAGCAGCCAAGCTGAACCTGACCAAAGCTATGGAGTTTCTTCTGAAGGCGGGTGCGAACACTGAGATCGGCGAGCGTAATTTCGGCTGGACGCCGATTTTTCTGGCAGCCACTGAAGGTTTCTACGATGTGGTCAAAATGCTTGTAGATTATGGCGCCGAATGCTCAAAGTTCGACGAAAGTGGATGGACACCTATGGAGCACGCAGTACTTAGAGGTCATCTCGATGTAGCCAGCATCCTGACTATTGATGATCCGATTGTTAACAGACCTAAACTGCCATCCGAGTTCACTCAAAGTGATGAAGATACGTCCAAAAACCTCTCAGCCCAGAAAATAGCGGCCAAAGCAAGACCTTCTCTTGAAGCCCTCTCTCAAGGCTTTTATAAGCAGTCCTCTGGTTCTGAGAGCTTCATAGCGGGAGGTTCAGATGTCAATCTGAAGAACTCAAGCAGACATAACCTGCTAAAACACTCCGTAAATGGGGTGCCAAAGCCTGCGGGGACCAAAAGTCTGCTAAAAACTACATCAAACATCAAACCGCTTGGGCAAACGCATCTACAAGAAGGCCAATCAATTCTATTAGTATCACTGGGTTCGAAAGGCAGCGCTATTCCAATCTCATTCAACAAAGTACCGCTTTCAAAGGTGTCATCTACCGAGCTAGATACAGCACTCTCTCTGGTTATAACTTGTCTCGAGGACTTGAACGCTGCACCTGTTGTACTTGACCTACCCCTTGACGACACACTCGATCCTGTTCATTTCACAATTCCATATAAAGAAGACTCTTCCCACACATTATTCTTCGACATTGTTCCAACCTATGACTATCACACCAGCTCTATGAATTCCTCCCCTGACATCAAAGCCAATTCATCATCATTTGACATGACGTCGAGTTTTTCTGATGAAGGAGCGGGCCAAAGATCGCACTCTAATGGTGGGACGAGAAAAGTCGAGAGGCGGCGTACAAAAGTCTTGGGACGAGCCGTTGCATTGCTTGACGAAAGTGTGATGTCAGTGGGTCCAAACCGGACCTCCTTGTCTGACACCAGGACGGCCCCTATCATTGAGAGTGAAACACTGGAAGTTTTAGGTACTATAAAGTATGAGTTCATGATTGTGAAACCCTTCATTCATCCGAATGTGACACTGAACAGGGGCGAAACGTTCTGGAAGTCTTTAGTCTCGACGAGAGTAATTGGTCATCGTGGTCTAGGTAAGAATATGAATACCAATCGTTCTTTGCAGTTAGGCGAAAACACTGTGGAGTCTTTTATCGCAGCAGCTTCGCTGGGAGCATCTTATATTGAGTTTGACGTGCAATTGACGAAGGATGACGTCCCTGTGATTTATCACGATTTTATCGTGGCAGAATCTGGGGTCGATATTCCGATGCATGAACTAACGCTTGAACAATTCTTGGACCTTAACAACGCTGATAGACATCGCAAAAACCTCAACGCCAACTTGAACGGCCGGTCAATGGACGATACAGATGCGGCACTGGTACAAAGAGCCTATAGTGTGAGAGGGGAAACCACTCTAGTCGATCAGTTGCCCTTGGCAAAAATCTTCGAGGATAGAATGCGTCTCACCAAAACCTTCAAGAAAAACAGCTTCAAAGGGAATGCTCGCGGGCATTCAATTGCGGGTTCTTTTGTTACTTTGAAGGAATTATTTAAAAAGATCCCTTCGAATGTGGGCTTCAACGTTGAGTGTAAATATCCTATGTTGGACGAGGCCATTGACGACGACATTGGTTACGTTTCAGTGGAACTCAATCACTGGTGTGACACGGTGCTGGACACCATCTACGATAATGTGAATGGGCGTGACATTATATTTTCGTCGTTCCATCCTGACGTATGCATCATGCTTTCGTTGAAGCAGCCATCGTTCCCGATTCTGTATTTGACTGAAGGTGGTACCAAAAAAACAGTAGATGCTCGCGCTGCGTCACTTCAAAATGCTATTAGGTTTGCCAAGACCTGGGATTTGCTTGGCATTGTTTCTGCAGCCAAGCCTATTATCAAAGCGCCTCGTCTCGCACAGGTAATCAAATCCAATGGATTGGTATGCGTGACATATGGTGTCGACAACAATGATCCTGATGTGGCTAAAATCGAAATGGATGCCGGTGTTGACGCTGTCATTGTCGACAGTGTCTTGGCGGTTCGTCGTGGACTCACTAAATCTGCAGCTTTGTCTCTCGAAAACTAGATTCCTTTGCAAAAGAAAATACGGGTGAATTGAGTGCATAAGATACATAGAATTGGATCAAATTGGGACTCCAAATGCAAAATTGTGTCAAATAAAGCTTACCTGGTCATCAGATCATTGTGACGCTAATACGGCGTCCTGTTGGGCGCACCTCTGTATTGGGTGCGTCTCCTGCAACCCACGAATCTAGTTCTGTAACGGTTCTAGGAACCTGGGCGCTGGGATTAGACGTGCCGTGGAACAATTGTTGAGCGCGTTCTAAATCCTGCTCCACGTTGGGACCCTGGAACAGCGTGTTGGCCGATTGGGCCTCAGATTCGGTTGCAAAAAACACCTGCATGGTCTTGGTGCCGTTGTTATCATTGATGTAGTGGTACTGATCCGGGAAAGGCTGCATGTGGACCACATCAGCACTGCCGGTCATTTCTCTGATGTATCGAATCACGGAGCCGTCACTGACAGTTTCTGGCACATTTGACACGATGATTGAGTGGCTCATCTTCACGATAACGAGTTTAGCACCAAGGCGATAGGTCCAAGGTAAATGAACTAACTACACTATAAAATTAAACTTAAATAACCAAAACTCACCGATATGATGATGATAATGATGATGATGAGTCGAAAACGCCAAGAGGTAATAGAGACTCAATGGTGTTGATTTTTTCCGGGGAATTATTATCTGTCTTTACCGTTTTTTATCGACACTATAGGAGCGATATCGATGTAATTCACCATTTAGAGTACAAACTTTTGTGAAGTCTTCAAACCGTTGAAACTCGATGCTTTATATACAAGAGTTTTTTGGGTTGGTCCATACACATTAGCCTTTTAGGGGAGAGAGAACACAAAAGTGCTTATCGCTTCTTTCCATTGATCCTATCCTGTCTGTCCGTTCATATAAGCTTACACACTCAGCTTTAACGCTATCTAATTAAGGTACACAGCAGCAGGCCCATACCTTTAAATTACGTAGTTGAACACAACTTTGGGGGCAAGGACCATTAGTGTACAACAATACTTTAGGACGAGAAAGCAAGGCATTTGCCCGACATCAGGTTAACCCAAAAGTCTTACTTTCCTTTTGACGATAACACAACTACTTGAACATTTACGTCCGGGCGAAACGTTGGTTACTAAAGGGGACATCATCCAGGACTGAGTACGTACTCGTAGTGGAAAGAGATGTTTTCGAGTGCGGGGTAGTGAAACAACAGTTTACCCAGCCCAAACGGCTTTTCAAGACTGGACGTACAGTCGCTGTAAGGATCACGGTTGCCATGATATGTATTTTACGTATTGATTGAAATAAGGGTCGGTTTGGTCGTTAGGGCAAGAAGTCAAAGCGGGGAAACGACGGGAATGATTTGTTGGCTGGAAACTTGTTCCAGAGCAGGAATGGCGATAAGTTTTGGGAATTCGAAGACTTGGGGACTAGGTCTCCATGAATTTTAAATGGTTTAGTGACTAGCGGTGAGAGTCGGGAATTACATGATTTGGAAATTAGGTCTCGAGGAATTTTGGATGTTGTTCAGATTTAGGATTCGGATTGTTCTATTCTTGATGGTGGTGGGGTGGGACATATGTAAAGTGTAAACAGTCTATAGAGTTTGCAGAGTCGCTGAAGTTTGTTTGAACTTAGCGAACTGGAGGACTCGGACTGGTGTTACGCATTGTGGGCCGTTGCTGCAGGCTGTTCTGTGGCGACGGTGACGTGCGAAAGGACGAATAACGAACAGCATCTCATATTTGTCAAAGAGATTGTATGGAGACACGCAGAATGGTGTACCGAAACGAAGTTTGAACAGGTTAAGCATCATTCTTCACACGAGGTACCAGTCCCATGAGTTATTGTGTGGTTTCCATATATTCCGTGCATAATTATCTCGTGAATTTTACAGGAATTCAGCTTGGATAAACACAAATCTGGGAGAATACTCATCTCGATTGTTGGGGACCACACACATGTTCAAATATGGTGGATTCTTGCACCTTCTTTGTGCAAAAATACCTAGCTCGTTTCACAAACACACAACTAGATCTCAGCTTTATATCGTGATGCACGAAATTCTTGTTATATGGCGCTATAAGAATCATTTCATATCCAAACAGACACATCTTTGCATTCATCTCACTAACACAAACATAGCTTCGTTTTAGAACGTGCCTGTACCATCAACTATTGCTGATGGTGGGGCAGTACCCTCCGTGTTTCCGTCCCTTTAGGTTTGTGCCAATCAAACGGCAGTCGTCACGCATTATTAGCCGCTGATGTTTTTACGCGTGCAAACAAAAAGGTTCCTCATACTGTAAGAACAGCAATACGAATTTCAAGTCTATTCTCCCGCTGCTAGATAAGTTGAGACCTATTCGGTTTCAGGTGTGTGGTGTGCTACCCACCCCCCGCCTCACCCCTTCCATCACAAACTTACAAGGTTAATGTCATTGCAAGATTGCCAGAATTACCTGGTGTCTCAGAAAACGATGCAAAGCCACATCAGGTCCCTATTTCAGAACCATCGGTACATCCAGCTTGAACATGAATTTGCCGTCAAGAAAGCTCACATCCGTTCGTAAACACAAAACCTGCATAATACTATACTGAGTTATCCAGAGCTATGTCCAGAAAACACTCTCGTCCGAAACTTCCGCTAGCATCTCCCGGTGTAACCACAACTACCTTCAACACCCATCTATTGCATTCCAAATCCTCAAGCATGCCCTCGTCGTTTCTAAGCTTTAATCACGTGTACAACCTTTGCCAAGTCCTCCCATCACTTTTTGCAATTGCCCAACAGACTTATACGTGTTTCCCAGCTGATCATCAGACTGTCCTTGCTGCGTATATGGAGAAAAAAAAACACATTATATTAATAACTGTAAGGACGGCAGAGGAAACTTGCCTTCCAGAATACCTACCATCGTTTTTAAACAAAAAGCAGGTTCTATTTCAAATTTGAGTTACAGAAGTTTCGCTCTCCATTGGAAAAGTATAAATTTACCAAGCAAAACCTGCTCACCTCAAGGAACTTTGCAGAGTCTAAAGTTTTTGTCTCTTAATTGAACGTGCGTGTGCCCTTTTCTCTCCCGAAACTTTCGGTCACATCCATCGTTAAAACTCTCGATAGTGAACTTGGACGTTACAACTTGCATCTACTTGATACAAAAATAACATCTTCTTCAAACTGATTTTTGGTCTTGCAATCACCCCTCCTCATTGATATTTGCCTCCAATTCAATGGCATACACTGTTGAAGTTGGCAAGGCTGCCAACGAGCACGAAACAGCTCCAAGAAGAAATGCAAAGGCTAAGAATGCTGCCGTAACTCGTCCCACGCAGTCTAAGGCCACCACCGTGTACGACTTCATCCAAGAGTGTGTTCAGCGTGGTGGAAACCACAAGGCCATGGGATGGCGTGAAATTGTCGAGGTTCATGAAGAAAAGAAGCAAATCACCAAAAAGATTGATGGCAAGGAACAGAAAATCGACAAGACGTGGCTTTACTTTGAGTTGGGTTCTTACAAATACAACACCTACAAAGAGTTGGGCCAGATTTTAGAAGAATTTGGTCGTGGTCTTGTCGATATTGGTTTGAAACCGGGAAACACGGACAGACTTCATATTTTCGCTGCCACGTCGCACAAATGGATGAAAGCGTTTCTAGGTGCACAGTCACAGGCAATTCCGGTGGTTACAGCTTACGACACTCTGGGTGAGAAGGGTCTAATCCACTCCATGGTGCAAACTGGTACCAAAGCGGTTTTCACAGACAATGCACTTTTGCATCGCTTAATCAATCCTGTTCAAGAGGCCAAGGAGTTGAAGTACATCATTCACGGCGACATTTTGGATTCTTCAGACAAGCGCAACAATGGTAAGTTTTACCAGGAAGCCCACTCAGCTTTGGAAAAGATACGCGAGCTACGCCCTGACTTGAAGATTTATTCCATGGACGAAATCGTAGAGAAAGGTCAAAAGGCTGGTTCTACCATTGAGAGTAATGCTCCAAAGCCTGATGATTTGTCGTGTATTATGTACACTTCGGGATCTACAGGTGACCCTAAGGGTGTTGTTCTCAAACACTCCAATATCATAGCTGGTCTGGGTGGTGTTTCGGTGATTGTGGATAGAGGATACATCAATGATAGTGATCGTGTCATTGCTTTCTTGCCGCTTGCTCACATTTTCGAGTTGGCGTTCGAGCTCATTACTTTCTACTGGGGTGCGACACTCGGTTACGCAAACGTCAAGACTTTGTCTGATACCTCTGTTCGTAAGTGCCAGGGTGACATTAAAGAATTTAAGCCCACTGTAATGGTCGGTGTTGGTGCGGTGTGGGAATCCATCCGTAAAGGTATTATGGGCCAAGTCGATCATTTGCCCTCATTGACACAAAAAGTTTTCTGGGGTGCCTATTATATGAAGCTGAAGATGAAGAGGTTTCACATTCCTGGTGGAGACACTCTGGGTAACATCATTTTCAAAAAAATCCGTCAGGCCACTGGTGGTTGCTTGAAGATTGTATTGAATGGCGGTGGGCCTATCAGCAGAGACACGCAAGAGTTTATCACTACCTTGTTATGTCCTATGTTGATCGGCTACGGTCTGACGGAAACAATGGCCAACACATGTATCGTGTCTCCTGACCACTTTGAATATCAAGTTCAAGGTGAATTGACTGGTGCCGTAACAGTCAAGCTTGTTGACGTTGAAGAACTTGGCTACTTGGCCAAGAACAACCAAGGTGAAGTCTGGATTCAGGGTGCCAGCGTCATGCCCGAGTATTATAAAAATGATGAAGAAACTAAGGGAGCCTTCGAGGATGGCTGGTTTAAGACTGGTGACATTGCCGAATGGACTCCCAAGGGCCAACTAAGAATTGTGGACCGTAAAAAGAATCTAGTGAAGACGTTGAACGGTGAATACATCGCACTAGAGAAATTGGAAAGTGTTTACAGATCTAACCCTCTCGTCCAAAACATCTGTGTCTACGCCGATGACTCTAAAGTCAAGCCAGTTGCTATTGTTGTACCCAACGAAGCGCCACTTGGTAAATTGGCCGTTGAAAAGGGAATTGTCAAGGATGCTGGTGATGTCGACCAAGTCTTGCACGACAAAAAGTTGAGAAAAGCTGTTTTGGACGAGCTTCTCAAGACCGGTAAGTCGCAAGGTCTTTCGGGTATTGAGTTCCTACTGGGTGTCGCCATGTTCGACGAGGAATGGACGCCTCAGAATGGCTTTGTGACGTCCGCTCAGAAACTGCAAAGAAAGAAAATCTTGAAGGCTGTTCAAGGCCAAGTCGACGAAATCTATTCTAACCAGTAGTGTGCCTGATTCTCAGGTCTAAAGAAACTGGCACGAAGACAACCCACGCTTGTTTTTAATCCGGAATGAAATAAAAACTTAACAAGCAGCTTTACAACAAAGTATATAATGTGTGTCACATGCATCATTAGATCTAATCAAAAAGTGTATGTATCTTGATACTGACGTCTTGAGCAAACAGGGTACGAGGCTAAAATTCATTTTCCTAATCCACATTTTACTTCGGAGCAGGCTCAAAATGTTTGAGTAATTTTGGACTATGTCAGCGAAGAGGCCGGCCGTTCGAAGTTGTGCTTAGTGGGTAGATCTACATGTATTCTTTGTATTGGCAATAGATGACCAGTCAGTATTCAGGCCGAAGAGGGCTTCTCGGGGTGATAGGTTAAAAAAACTCCCGATCAGTCTGTAAATTGTCGAAGCTGATATAGATAGACAGTCCAAGTTTAGTATCTCATGTGCATTTTTGGAATGAAACTTTTGAAAAATCGCTTCAGATTCACTTGTCGCTGTCGTCGAAATAACCAAGTTTCGCCCATGAAGCGAAACGAAAAACCTGGTCTTCAAAAAGATATAAAAGCTGCGATGACTGGTTCAATATCTGAACTTAGTTTTAGTTTCCATTGTCGAAATTATCTGCATTTGAGCTCAATATTCTCGAACGACACACAAGCTTACTCTATACTAGCATCTAAATATGAGATCCGGACAATTTTGGACGTTTGGAATCTTGGCAGCGCTGATCGCTGGAGCAACAAACGCTATACCTATAGAAATTCAAGGGAACACTCAGGATATAAAATGGAATGCGTTTCAGGTTTTACTTCAAATAGGCGGTATCATTGCAACGTGTTTCCCTTTGTCGGGTTTAGCAGGCATCGGAATACCTCTGTGTGCGCTAACAACGCTAGCTGCCTTTTCCACTATGGTGGGATTGATTTTGAAAATATTTGACGGCCTGATTGCGAAGGACGGTCAGTTGCTACCACAGGTTATTATGTTTCTGCAGAGCATTGGCGTGCGTGTGCTTGGACAGGAAAATTCTATCACAACAATGGATGCACCTAAGACGTTGGAGTGGTCAAATTGGGCCAATTCCACCACTGCTGCTGAGCTGCGTGACATCGGAGCCTCCATTGAATTCACGCCGATGAATGTCACAAACTCGCTGGGAGAAGCACGTCTCAACTACTGTTTTTCGTTTACGGTTGACGAAGCTGCCGGCTCACATCCTCTCGAACCTTACCGTTCTTCAATATGTGCATCTGAATTTGCCATCTCTAATATGGTCGATACCAAATTCGACAAGGCACCTTCAAAAGTGATGGCCCTAGCTATGCGTCCTCTCAAAAAATTCAAAATATATGAGGACTACGTTCAAGCTTACGATTTGGTTCAGAGTCTCCATTTTGTTTTCGGTTGCCACACCGAGGAGTTCCTGACCAAGTCTTTGGATCTTGTTCAAAATCTGAACCAAGGTTATCCAGATCAGCGCGAATATGGATTCGAGATTATCCATCAGATTGATGGGCGACAAGAACCTTTCTTTCAGATTGAAATCGCGAAAAGAAACCTTCTATAAATTATCCTCAACTTCAAACTACAAAGCTAAACTACGAAGATGGGAGTAAACTCATGAAGAAGTAAAGTTCAAGCGTTTGATAGCTGTTGACAATCGTGTCGTCCAGCTAGTCAAATCGCCTAGCAGTTTCGAAAACTGACACCAGATAATTAGAAAGTCATGTGATACATTTAGTCACATGACTTTAGTTTGATATGACCTCGGCTCTAAAATATCAAGTTGAATTATTTATGAATGCGTATTATAGATGTATGATACTATAACGCTCAAAGACAGTTGCTCCAATTGTACCAAAACCGTTAACTGAGCCTGCCAAGTCTTTTGAAACACTTGACTTCTACAATTACCTTCTGTGGGAACTCGACTAATGTCTTTTGGACTTATTTCCGACTGGGGCCTTGGAAATAATGGAGTGAAAATCTCCATAAATTATTTCGATGGAATCGTAGAGCAAAGTCTCTCTAGCGCGCTAGGATCTTCAGAGTTGCAACTTATTTTCAAGTCGCTTCTAAAGCGCGATGAGACGACCAAGGAAAAGGCTCTCAGTGACCTACTCAACATGATGGGTGACTTGGAGCATAATAGACATCTCTTCGAAGACGAAAGTTTTGCGCTTTGCTGGTCCCAAGTCTATGCGAAATTGATAACAAACGAGTCCAGAAATGTTCGGATCTCAGCACACACCATTACAGCGGACTATATCAGACTCCTGGGCAAAAAAAGTGGAAAATTTTTGCCAGATTTCGTACCTTTCTTGCTTTCCGGTATTTACGATTGTGATTCCTTCGTATCAAAATCGTGTTCCCAGGATGTTTTGAAATGCTTTGGGGGCGATGCGAGCAAAATGACTGCTCTATGGAGACTATTCCAATCGCAGACTTTACGTTTCGTAAAAGAAGTGTTGCTCGTGGAAACAGCAACTTCCTTGAGCGACGAACGCTACATCTCGAAAGAAGATTCTCAATTGAAATATATGCGGATCGCTACGACTGCAGTATCTATGTTGAATCGCTTGGCACTAGAAAACTCAGATCATTTCAACCCGGAAAACGAGAGATATTACGAAGTTTTGTCGAGCGAAAACCTGTGGCGTTTACTGTCTTTCAAAGATATTCATAGTCTTAAACCAAGCGAGGCATTGATAACCCTTGTAGAAACGATGTGGGAGTCTGGTTTTTTAATCAGGTGTAAGCAAGTCCTCAAGCTCATTTCCAAACGGCTCCTGAAATGCTTGGGCCAGTTATCGACTAAAACTTTGATGAGTGTTTCCCTCTTGTTTCCTAAAATCATACAAGTTTTGTCACACTTGCTCGAATACAAGGATGGCAAAGTACTTTCCTGGGATAAAGGTTCTCAAGAAAAGGTGAAAAAGTTACTTCTTTTGGGACCCGGAAATGCAGATCCTGGTTATTACACTGCCCTATTATCATTTTTTCAAAACAGCAACTCTGTTTTGGGATTCGATTACAGCTCGGACTGGTTAGAAATTTGGCACCGAGATCTCAAGTATGAGAGCCAGAGGCGCGGTTTACCAGCTAAATGTCAAGCCATGACAGATAAACTGTGGGAAAACTATCTCACTTTCATATCCCTTGCACCGGAATCTCTTCGGGACAATGCCAAAGAAGCTTCTAAGCGAGAAATTCTAACAGCTCTCGACGAAAAAACTCTAACGAGCCATAGCACCACGGTCACACTATTTGCCGAAGAACTTTCCTTTGATTCTCTGGAGACAGAGGTCTCACGCCTTCTGCCTTCTGGAGTCGGTGGTAAGCATAAAGACACGCGTTACATGGACAATTTGGCTGTTGTTGCATTTTCAAAAAAAGATTCATACTCTTTTCTCAATCACCTTTCAGATCTTATGATTGAGTCTCTGCGAACGCATAAATTTGATAGCTCCCATTACTGCTACTTTTTCTACATGAGACTGCTGAAATCGAGTGTTCCCGCCTTGTTAGAGAAAGTTGCTGACTTGCTGCAGTTACTTTCAGAAAACCTAGATACAGAGAATTACGCTGCGTCCTCTGAAATTTTCACAGCTTTTTCACGTAAAATCTCTGTTGATCACTTGAAGAACAGTCGTACTTCAAAAACTTTCATTACGTTTTTAGACTCATTCCTAGACTTAGACATTTCTGCGGCAAAAAAACTCGAAGTCACGAACACTCTAAACACAAGTTATCTTCAGCAGATCGCAAAACACTCACATCGATACCAAGACTTTCAAAGTGCTACACTGGACAACTTCAGCTTCTCGGATGCCCAACTTTACAAGAGCCAGGTAATAAATGAGGAAACGATTTGCGAGCTTTACCGGAAGGCTTCAAATCACTCACAGATGCGTTCTCTTAATTCTAACTGTAAGACTTTTAGACCAGACCTGTATGAGCACCTACTGCTCAACACTGACATCATAATTGACATTTTGTTCGAAGACTTAGGGCCTGTCACATCAGATATGAAGGCCACAGTATTGCGGCTCTCTGAAGTTCACGATGAAGTGGCCGTCAAAGCGGCCCTAGCGGCTATCTCAAGCTTGAAAAATTCATCCAGTGCGGACATCCCGGAGATGAAGGAGTATGTTGTCAACCTTATTGCTGTAAATGATAAAGTTTTGAGCACTCTACTACCGTACAACATATACGAAACGCTTGACGAGGCGGTTCCTTTCGTCAGTCACCAGCTCGCGACCAGTAGCTCTCTGGGACTAAACGTGTTTGTACTGCCAGTCAGTAACCAGGAACTGGATCTGCTTCTTGTTGAACCCGCCATCAAAGTGGCCCAATTTTTGGATGGTATTTTAGCGCAATTCCCCAAATATTTGACGGATGAGGTTTCGTTATATCTAGCGATCATGAGTGAGCTTGCAGCTGACTATAACTTTTACAGTTCAGAGCCATCGGAGGATTATCAAAACTTCAAATGCTCATTGTTTAAAGAGCGCCGATACCAATACGACGTCAAAGAGATTCTAGAAGCCATAATCTCGCCTGGCGGGTCAAGTTCCAAGCTCCTGAACCTAGTTTCGAGTACTGATGGGAAGACTGCCACTGGCACTCTGTTCAATTGCCGCATTCTAAGGAAGCTTTTAACAAACGCTATCGATTATGCATCATCGTCAATCTTTGACGATAAAACTCTAGAGTCTTTCATTTTGAGTACACTCAGAGACCAGGCAGCTCCAAGTAGTAGAGTTCTTCAGGGTGCTACAATTCTTTCTTCCATTACCAAATTTAGCACATCTGATGCTTTAACAAGAACGAGGACATACCTTGCTTCAGAAATTATCGGCGCGAAGGATCCTGCCGTTGCAGAAAGAACGGCCACTTTGATGATTTTCCTGAGTAATCTTCTCAAGGTTGATGACTTTTCAGTGCTTGACCCAGATTACCAGCCTATTGCACCTCAGCGGCTCAGGATGATCTTGATCGAAATAGGCAAATGGTTTGACAGCGATATGTGGTATGATGATGTATTTTCAACCTTAAGGCTTGCTCTGTGCGAGTTTCTCGGACTACTGCTGAACATTCCATCTTCCTATGCTTTTGGTCAATCAATTTGCGACCATTCTCATCGAGTTGTAAGGGACTGCATTGATTTGGTGAGTGCTGGCGACGTTCCGTTTGTTTCTGAATTCAAAATCCTCTCTGTTAGTCTCTATGGTCGATTGACGAGTAAAAAAACGATGTCCATTATGGAAGTAAGAAGTCAGAGAACTGAAGATATGCTGGAATTGTCTGATGTTCTAATCGATGCATTTCTTCTGCAAGGCGACTTTACGAAGCCGAATCATTTCTCATATGTTTTGTACAAGTCTCTAGCAGAAGTCCTGCGTAGTTCGGATACTTCGAGCTTTTCACCATACTCGGAAAGTTTGATGGAGAATATCGTGCACTCGTTGGACTTGAACATTGATCAGACAAGACTGATGGTCAAAATCGCTAGAGAATCAATTCTTGCGGAACAACAGACGCTATTGGTTGAGTTTGAACTCGATGGCAACGCCAAGGGTGACGCAGATGCAACTACTCAGAAATACCAGCTTCCACCGGGACTACTCGATAAGCTGGAACACGATGCACCTCATGAATACCTTGAGAACGAAAACGTATACCAATTCTTGAAATATCTCTTCGATTGTTATTTGACGCTGACCTATTTCACGGATATTTCATACAATTTGAGACAATTTTACGTCGCGCAACTAAGAGAACGGGGTCTTATTTTCAAACTTTTCGATTTCATCGCAGACCAACTGGACCCTGATGACAAGTCATGGATTCCAACGGAAGACTTCTCAGTTCCAGCATACAACATCGATGGACCCGGGTTTTCTTCATCGCGAGAAACCATCCTTCAAGAATGTAAACACCTACTGTTGCATTTGTTGTACGTGCTTTTCAAGGACATGGGCGCCATCACCAGCTCGTGGTGGTTGAATCTTAAAGACAGGGCCTTGCAAACGAAAATTGAGAAATTCATCACCGCTCACATTTCCCCGATTTTGGTGAAGCAAGAACTAGAGGATGTCGCCAAGAGAGCGAAAAAGCTTACAGATCAAGACGAAAGTTTGACGGTTAAAGTCAATAACGTCACCAACGAAATCAAAGCTGGATACCTAGTGGATGAGCAAAAGCTGGAGATTGCTTTAAAACTGCCTGCTAATTATCCGCTCAACAATATCGAGGTCCATGGAGTCTCAAAGGTGGGCATCAGTGAACAGAAATGGAAATCGTGGATTTTGTCCGCGCAGCGGGTCATGGTCGGTATGAATGGTTCCGTCATGGATTCCCTCGAGTTGTTCACCAAAAATGTGAATCTGCATTTTGCCGGTTTCGAAGAGTGTGCTATCTGCTACTCTATTTTGCATGCTGTTGACCGTAAGCTACCGACCAAAGTGTGCCCCACCTGCAAGAACCGGTTCCATGGTGCCTGTCTCTACAAATGGTTCCGTTCTTCTGGCAACAACACCTGTCCTTTGTGTCGTAGTGAGATTCCGTTTAGAAGGTGAAAGAACCGTGCTTCAATACCTACAAGACGTACATTGAAAGGTGTCACACAACGGTCAAAACCGTTGAAATACAGCTAATATATAAACTTTAACGTTTACGTACCTTTCTTGAAGCCCCATAACACAACTTCAATCCACCAACACTTGGTGCGATTCTTGCATCGCAACATGGCAGTCAAAATACCAATGAGTTGCTAGTTTACCCGATTTTAATCATCTTCTTAAAAGAACTTATATATAATGGTGATGATCTGTTGATTCGTCATAATTCACAAATGCCCATCAGCCGGGAAAGTTTAAACACTCAAGAAGCAGTCGCTGGCTTTTTAGCAGGTTGATTTAACGACACCTCTTGAAGTTAACTTCCTTGTTGCGCTTCAGCTAATCGAAGATGCCCTTTCTCTCCAAGAGAAGACTCAGAATAGTGTTGCTAGTGGTCGGGATAGTGATACTCACATCGATTACAGCACGAATAGTAGTTCAATTCCAACTGGGAAAAGAGATCGATCACTATAGGACGTTTTTCAAGAAGAACAAGGACACGCTTCACGATGTTTACGATCCGTTGAGCATCAAGCAAATCCCATACGAGACTCTCAGCGCATTGCAAGAAGCACGGTTGGCAGAAGAAACCGGTAACCCACAGAAAGCAGTTAAATGGGAAAGCTATGCATATGTCAACTACGCTACGGAGCTAGAATACTTGTGTAACACACTGGTGCTGTTTAAACGATTGAGAAGTTTGAATACCAAAGCGAAACTGGTCGCATTAGTGTCTAGAGACCTGGTAGAATCAGAAAATAGTGAGAAACAGCGAAGTTCAAAATTGCTGCTGGAAAAATTAGTTCAGGTCTCACCCGAGCAAGTTGTCGTGAAAATCGTAGACAGCATTGTCAAGCCCGGAGATCTGACACAATGGAGCAAAAGTTTGACAAAGCTGCTGGTCTTTGATCAGACCGAATATGAGCGTGTTGTGTATCTGGACAGTGACGCCGAAGTCTCCAACAGTATGGATGAGTTGTTCTTTCTACCACCGTATGTGACTTTTGCCGCACCGTTGACCTACTGGTCCTTGTCAAAAGAGGACCTTCAAGCAGCCAACGAGGAAATACATGCGTTTGAGCAAAAGAACGCTAAGCTGGAAAACGTTCTCAGTGTCCTTAACTCGAGAGTGAAAAAGAAACAACCAATCTACAACCATCTGCCTAGTGTCCCAAATTCGCTTTGCTTTCACACTGCTAATATCGCTAAGGAAATTCTGGACACTAGGTCCTCCGCATCACCTGTCTTCAATTTTGGGCCTCGGGAGGGTATAGCCAAGATAGCTTTTAGTCCTAATCTGATGGTGATAAAACCAAGCGCTGAGAGATTCCAGTATATTAAAGAGTATCTTCTTCCCAAGATAATCAAACAAAAGGGACGGTATGACACTGATTTAATCAATGCGGAGCTGTACAACTTAAAGCAGGTGATTCACTCACAGTTCATGCTATTTCGGAAGTTAAAAACCGCATTTGTTCCAGAGGTAATGGTACTGCCATTTGGTGAATATGGTCTTCTCACGGGCTCGATCCGCAACGACTTTCATCGGGAGCTTCTCAGCCAGGAAATTTTAGGGTATAAGGCCCTGCGCACGCCTGAGCAGCAAACATTGAAATTTCTGATAGGTAAATCAAAGTTCATCCATTATACTGACTCGGCGATCAGTAAACCGTGGTACTATAGCAATTTCGAACAATTGCAGTGTCAAGCTAAAGGAGACGATGCGGATGACGTGGAAAAATGTAGAATCTGGAACTCCGTGTACCAGAACTTCTGGGAATCTAAAAAAGTGTGCGAACAGTAGTGCGCAAATACAACCACTTGCCACACCGTTCAGGCCGGCAAACTGGATCTGTTTTTGGCTGCCTCTGCATCAAGTAGCCTTTCTACTTCGTCGCCATGTTTCTCATTTCTGCTGCCTTCTTTCAAGGCGTAATCCACGCTGATAACTTTGTTCATGACCATCTGGTTATTCAGTTTGGCAAGTGCCCTGTCTGAATGTTCAAAAGTGGTGAAATATACAAAGGCGCATCGCAGCTGGTTCTGCTTCAAATTGAAGATCTCCGGCGAGGTAGCCAGAGGCCCAAACTTGCCAAAAATCTTCCCCAAAGTTTGTGCATCCACGAGCTCATCGATATTTTTTACAAACAGTTTGGCTCCTCCGCTTCTAGCGTCCAGCTGGTTTACACCGTCTGCTGCACCAGAAGTGCCAGACGTCCAGTTCGCTTTGCGCACTTTTAAAGTCCGGCCATACAGCTTCACCGCGTTGTTCAGACATTTACACGCGAATTCAACGTCTTCTGCACTATTAAACTCTACAAACGCAAATCCTTGGTTAGTGTCTAAAACTCTGTCCCTGGGATACCGAATACTTTTGACAGGACTAACTTGCAGAAAGAGTTCATAAATCAGCTCTTTGGGCACTTCGGGTGATATGTTACCCACATACGCCGTGTGTTCCTGAATTGCAGCAGAGCTAGCCATCAGATTCCCTTGGAAACTCTGGATGATGTCTGGCTGGAGTTCACAGAGCCCTAGTTTATATAGTTCGAGTGCTCATTGAAAAGTACTGAACACTTCGTACGGATTTGAAAAATTGTATATAAAGTTGAACAATATTACCAAAAGATCTCTCAAGACCTGCCTTATAACATTTCTAATGGTTTTTCTTATGAAACCATTGATCGCTGGTCGATTTTGGCGGTCTAGTAGGAGTAGATTTTATGGGTTTATCGATAGAGGATTTGTTGATGTTATTGGTCTTTTTGGCGAGGTGTTAAACGTTTTGATGTGGAATTTTTGAGCATGAATTCTCTCAAGTGCGTTTCATAGCTTTAGCTATCAAACACCGAGAAGTCGGGGGTTTTTTGGTTGAAATACGTGAGGTTAATTGAAGACTGCGCGTGAAGTGGGTTGATTATTGTGGTTTTGTCGTGGCCTGTCATGAAGGAAGTGCGGGATGTTGCGCGAAGGTGATGATGGACGGAAAAAGATATGGTGGAAAGAATTGGCCTCTTTTTTGCTGGTGGCTTTGGTTGCTGTGCTCAGTTTCGAATCATTCGAGGACCTTGAGCCACATATACATGCTCAACTGACGAGTATTTCGTCGCCGGGTGGTTTGAGCGTCGTCGCCGCTTTCATACGTTTCACTTCCATACAGTATGGCGGCAGCGTTGCTCAGATCGTATATTTGTCGAATGGTCCACGTTCTTTTCAACAACAGAGTGCTTTTTAATCGTTGACTCTTGTGAAAGTGGCCTTTTCTACTAATTTTGCCGTACTTGTCCGTTCCACCAATATCGTCCGTAATTCTTCTGTGCTTCCTGAGCAACGAGAGAGCATGACGGTGTTCACCGGACCACGCAAATGATCGACCCTGCGTTTTCTTCAGTTCTCCGCATTTTTTTTTCTTCTTTTGAACCGTCACCGGTTTCTCAAGTGGGCTATTTGTTGTGGTTCCATGCTACAATTGCACCGCTTCAATGTTAGTTTGATTATCTTTGCCTTAAAATCCATCTACTGAGAATCCTCTGTCTAGACTCCATCTAATTTCTCTTTGCTAGATTTTTCCGCTATTCACCGATCGAATCATATACTGAATTCCCCGTCTAATCGCTCATCTATTAGAAATTACCGTGATAGCTTGCAGTTTCATACTCGGGGGACATCTTTCTAAATGGCTTGATTTCTCACATAAGGGAAAAATCTACCTTCATATTTCTTGTAACTAAACGTAATCTTGTTATCAGAGCATCATCATGATCAGCAATCGCTTTATTCTTAGTTGTATAACGCTGTCTACAGGATAAGTAAAAAAGAGTTATACAGTAACACAAATACAGTCCAATATTATCGCAGTTTGAACATTCTAAGTGCACCAATTGCTCTATTTACGGTTTTTGATTGTCGCTGTGAATTGTGTGTCGTCGATGATTTCATCAAGTCTTCCACTTTATCGATGATCACGGAGGAAAAAAAAATTGATCAGAGAACAACGTCTCATCTCATCTCATCGCATCTCATCAAAGATTCAAAAAGCTAGTCATTGCAGATATACAAGGCAATTAAAACCACCAAGCCAATTGGTTAAGAAAGAACTTAGTTTCGCATCAGCTCGTTTTAACTTCCAGCTGCTTGATCGCAACACTTTTCAAACTACACTTCCAGCACTTTTGTCGCAGTTAAACAAGTTTTATTTCAAGAGCAACCCCTTTATGCCAGGAGAGGACGTATCATTCCTCTACAACAGACCAGCCAAACCACGATAACATCTCTCAGCGGTTAAGAAAACTTTATTCCCAGTTGATTTTTGGAAAACAACTAAACTACTGAAAAAGCCCCAAACCAAAACCAGAAAACCTTAAAAAAAAAAACTACTATTCCTCCATATATTCTCCCATTGCATTTGTCCTACCAGGATTTTTTTTTTCATTTGACTCATGACAGTATCGCTTGGTGAGGTTGCAAACCATTCTTACGTCGATCGCGAACTTTCTGCGACCCTGGACTCCACCGACGCTTTCGAGGGCCCTGAAAAGCTTTTGGAAATCTGGTTCTACAAAACTGCAAGTTCCGTTCCTGACAAGAACAAGACTTTGCGCTCCCTTGATTTCAACACTTGGGTTAACTTGTTGAAATTGGTGAAATGCCAGGTCCTGTCTATCAAGCAGACCGACAAAATGAATGCGTTTTTGCTAAGTGAGTCGTCTCTATTTGTCTTTGATCACAAACTGACCCTCAAGACGTGTGGTACTACGACTACACTTTTGTGTTTGGAGGAGCTTTTCAGTGCTGTGCGGGAGCGTATTGGCTGGAATTTCTCATTGAAGCATAAGGTGAACCCTTACAAAGTGTTCTACTCGAGACGCTGCTTCATGTTTCCAAAGAGGCAGCAAGGTATTCACCGGAACTGGGACGATGAAACTCAGTACCTGGACCGATTTTTTGCCAATGGAAAGAGCTACTTGGTGGGCCGTATGGGCCAAGCAAGCCACTGGAATTTGTACGTGACCGAAACGAATCAGGAGCTAGGAAAAGGAAATGAGGATCAAGACGACGACGAAGATGACGAAACTATGGAAATGCTCATGACCGGGCTGCGCCCTACCAACGCTTCACAGTTTGTGACCTCTCGAGAGCCAGGCCATTTCGTGAAAGGCGATGGAGAGGACGAAGGACATGTTTTGGGCGCGAAAGTTACGCGGTCTACGGGGCTGGACCGAGTTTACGATAACATTCAAAATTCAGATTTCCAGCAGGATGCATTTGCGTTTACACCGTGTGGCTACTCTGCAAACATCACCTTGGATCACGAATACTACTATACGTTGCACGTGACCCCGGAGGACGGCTGGTCCTACGCGTCTTTTGAGAGTAACGTTCCGGTGCGTCAGATCTCTCAAAATTCGCAGGACAATGTTGCCGTCATGCAGCGTGTATTGGCCATTTTCCAACCTTCCGATTTTTGTTTGACCTTCTTTTCTCGCCACGTACAAAACGACAACTTTGTCAAACTTGGCAAACTCACCGGTATGCTAGCCAACTATGTTTGTCAAGACAAGATCGTTTACGAGTTGGACGATTACCATCTTCTGTATTTGAGATTTGAGCGTCTCAATTGAAGAAACCTACTAGGTGTTTGCTACGTCTTCTTTTTCTATTAGTTCGTAATTTTTTCACTTGAGGTCACACTTCACGAAAGTGCCTTCTCGTAATATCTCGGATCTTTAATTACCCTAAAATTAACCCAGTGTGAACCTTTTGATCAAACATGTAGTATTGCTACTACCAGTATCCGGAAACGGGTGCGACGGCTATTGTTAGGAATACAAAGACGGAGTTTATAAGTATATAAGAGGGTCAAAATCCTGGTCTTAGATTTTATCTTTCTCGTACACCTTTTTTCTTTTGAAGAGCTGACGCATTGCTACATATATCTTTAGATATAGTAGATCCAAAAGTCTTGGCATTTTTTGATCATCGTCAGGATGCTACATAAACACAATTTGCAAACCACTGGTGGAGCCCACAAGAGTCGTGGAGGCGGCAGCAGCAGCAGCAAAAGCTCCATCTCAAATAGCTACAAACTTTTGCCGGACGATTTGCAGAAAGTGGCATTAGATGGCGATCTTACGGGCCCCAATAGTCACAGCATTTTACACAACCATTATACGATCCCACAATCGGGAGTTCCATCGGAAACGGTGTACGAATTGGTGCATAACGAATTGACTCTGGACGGAAACCCACATTTGAATCTTGCCAGTTTTGTTAACACTTCAACAAGCGACGTGGCTCGTAGATTGATCCAGGAAAACGTGGCGAAAAACTTGGCAGACAACGATGAGTATCCGCAGCTAGTTGAAATCACACAGCGGTGCATTTCGATGTTGTCGCAATTGTGGAAGGCAGATCCGGCAAAAGAGCCCCTAGGATGTGCCACAACCGGGTCCAGTGAGGCGATCATGCTGGGCGGATTGGCCATGAAAAGACAATGGGAACAGCGCATGAAAAAGGCCGGCAAATCCACCGAAAAACCCAACATCATCATGTCAACGGCCGCTCAAGTGGCCCTCGAGAAATTTGCACGTTACTTTGATGTGGAATGCCGGTTAGTCCCCGTCTCTCAAGAATCGGGCTACCATTTGGACCCCAAAAAACTGTGGGACCATGTGGACGAGAACACCATTGGTGTCTTTGTGATTTTGGGTACAACCTTCACGGGCCATTTGGAAAACGTTGAGGAAGTTGCGGACTGCTTGACGCAGATCGAGAAGCAGAACCCGGAATGGAGTAACGTCAGCATTCCTATTCACGTTGACGGAGCTTCCGGTGGTTTTGTGGTCCCATTTGCATTCACCGAAGAGCAGATGAAGAACTATAACCTAGGCCGTTGGGGCTTTAATCATCCTCGTGTGGTTAGTATCAACACTTCAGGTCACAAGTTTGGTCTCACGACTGCAGGATTGGGGTGGATCTTGTGGAAGGAGAACGAATATTTGCTGCCCGAACTAAGGTTCAAGTTGGCTTATTTGGGAGGAGTTGAAGAGACCTTCAACTTGAATTTTTCAAGACCGGGATTCCAGGTTATTCACCAGTACTACAATTTTCTGAACCTCGGTATGAAAGGCTACAAAAAGCTATTTGACACTTCACTTTTTGCCGCAAGATTATTTAGTTTGACACTTTTGGAAAGTGAGGAGTTCAAGGGCAACTTTGAAATCGTTAGCAACATTCACGAGAGATTGGATGGAGGCAAACCCACTTTGGCAGATTTCTCGAAAAGTCCGGAACTCTTCAAACCAGGTGTTCCGCTTACCGCTTTCAAACTGTCGAAGCAATTTCACGAAAAATACCCAGAAATCCCACAAGCAATGCTATCCTCTCTACTGAGAGCTAAGGGCTGGATAGTGCCAAATTATCCTTTACCAGCTGCTACTGATGGGACTGACAAGTGGGAAGTATTGAGAGTGGTTTTCAGATCAGAAATGAGTCTTGATTTGGTTCAGCTTTTCATCCATCACATTTATCTGGCTTTGGAGAAGCTCATTACGTGTTACGAGAGCATTCCAGAGACCCGCTCCGCAGACGAGAAGAAAGATACGATTTACAATATGCTGTTGGCGTTGGCGGCTCCAGAGAGTTCTGAAGAGGAGCAAGCTCATAACGAGGAGAAGAAGAGAAAGAATTACAGAGGTACGTGTTAAAGCGTTCGGATGAGTGATGAATTTTGTTTTTATTTTCGGGTTCATAGTTTATGATTTTGTACTGTAAATGTCAAGAAGGGGACGCGATATGTAAAGTTATGAAGTGAGTCGCGTTAGTCGTGAGCCAAATCTGATGGATATGGGTTATATCTGGCGTCAGTTCACAATACCAAATGAAGCTATGTGCACGTGATACGGTGACAGAACCGGTAAAACGACCAGGTTTTTTCGCTAGGTGGTTAATAGAGCTTAGTGCAGACATGTGGAATGAGTAACTCGAGTCAGTGATGCTGTTTACTCGGTAGTCATGAGTAAGTAATAGGTAGCGTAAATTTAAAGCTTTCGTCTGAAGGCCTATCATCAAGAGTAGCCCGCAGATTGCATCATGGGACACTTGTACAGACATGCGCAATGGGTAACAAGACTGTCAAAACTCCAAAAGTATACAGGACCTTGAAAAACCGTCAACAAGCTCAACTCTTCCATTCACGAAAGAAACAAATGCTACCTGTCTAGCTAAACCAAATAGTGTACATACTGGTACTTGAAATCTTGGCGCTGGCGTGGGTACCGAATAAATCACATCAAACAACGCTCAAGGGTTGCCGTGCAGTACAAAGTCATTTACCTCTTGCATGTTCGAATTTTCGATCTTGGTTACTTACTCGAGTTACCGATTGTGCATGTAAGTGTCGCCTGTATGAATGGTTCGTACAGGATGATCTGCCCTTCAGTGTTACGATTCGTAACTTACGAATATAGTATATACGAGGGTCTTACATACACGCACTGTGTGTAGTATTTGTATAACATAGGGTAGCGCGTTCGAACTACGGCTTTTGTCTTCACAAACCGATATAGATACAATACTAAGAACCACACTACATTTCAAAATAACGCATTCCAGGGCGTTTGCTCTGGCTCTGGTACACCACCGACGTGATGGAAAGTCCGAAAAGTCTGGTCTCGTAATTCTCAATGTTAGTGTGTGCATTGCATATGTCATGTTGTTGTTGTCTGCACTGCACGTTGAAAGACCCGTTGTTTAGTGTTCTATCTCGCTATTTCCTTCCCTTTTTGGTCTCAAGGCGAAAGAGAGAAACTTTCACATACACAAACACCTGACCACGTGACCTCCATGTCCTGTTTTTCCCCCGCTTCTCCTTCGGATGACGTCATTTACCCTTTTAGGGCAAACTGCCCACACCCAGCCCACACACTAATACGTCTTTATGACGAACGGCATACGATACACCAACAAAAGCCCTTGTTTCTTTTTACTATACAAAATGTCCAACTCTTGCTACACACCATGACGCGTTTATCCGTGTCTTTACGCGTAAACCACCATCACAGGTCTTTTTTCTACATTCATCATCCATTGCTGTTGACACCCATACTACTACTGCCTCTACTACTACTACTGCCACTACCACTACCACTACCACTACTACTACGTCAATACGCCTATGCTTTCGCCCCTAAGCCAAATTCGCTATCACCCTTCCCTTTGCGGTAGTTTGTTGCCTCTATATGGTTAAAGAGGAGAGAAAAAAGACCAGAACCGCTTTTTACGCGCCGGTTTCTGAGATTTGCGGCTGGGTGTCCGGGTGGACGGGAGGCTGTGGGCTGGGCTCTAAGCATTGGGCTATTTTTTGCCGAAGTCCTACGTTTATTTCTATGCCTTGGCGATTTTATTCAACCTTATGTCTTTTGTTTTTGCGGGTGGCCCCGATGGCCTATTATGGGGCTAGGCTTTTTTTCTTATGGTTCGGTCGGGTTTACAGAGAACCGATGTAATACACGGGGTTTGTGCGGGCGTTTCTGAGTATGTGCTCTCGCCTTTTTTTAGCAATAAAGGGGCGGCGGTGTCCGGGAGAAGAGAGGCGCAGATATTACCAGACCGGAACATAGGAGAAATTTTTGGAGTATAAAAAGGGGGCGCTCTTGTGACGGGATGGATTGTACTTGTTCGTAAGGGTTTTGTTGCAAGAAAGAGAAGTATCGATTAAGTACTACTTAAACCTACGCCTAAAACCAAAAATGAAGTTCTCCACTGTTATTGCCGCTGCCTCTGCTTTCGTCGCTGTTAACGCCGCCAACTCTTCCAACGGCTCTTCGTCTAACGCTGCCCCAGCTGCCGGTGCCAACGCTGTTGGCTACACCGCCGCTGGTGCCGCTGTTGCCGGTGCCATCGCGTTGTTGATGTAAACTGGGCAATGAAGGCTCAAGGTGTGAAAGAAGGAAAAATTGTTATTTTTTTCAAGGCACCCGGATGTTTTTGTACCCAATTTACTCGAACTAATAATTAGGAAAAAAGCGCTAGCGCATGTATTTTGTATATGACAGTAATACGATGTAATATGAGAAAGTGATGAGCAACGAAGGACTGAGCGATGTGGGTGATATGTGGGTGAGAATGGGTGAGATGCAGGCTAATTGGTTTAAACAACTGAGCCATCGGAGAAGTCGGAGTTGTAGGTCGATTTAATCGAACTATTAAGCAACTGCGCCGAATAATTAAGCCATCGGCGAAGTTGTGAGATGCGGGCTCATTCTTTCCAATAAGTCTTTGGCGAGGATGTGAGTTGTGAGTTGTGAGTTGCAGGCTGAGCAACTCCATTGGAAAATTATGCCATCGGGTTGTGAAATGCGGGTCAGTTTAATTGAAGAATTGAGTACCAGATATCGCAGAGTTGAGCCATTGGCGAATTTCTTCAACAAAGCCTAATAGTTTTTGAAAAACTAAGTCAACTTCATCGAACAATCGCACCCAGCAACTAAAAGCTAGCGAAGCTGTGAGTTTTAGCCCAATCTTATTTTAGCACTGAGCATCAGCAAAGCTATCAGTTGCAAGCCACCTTCATCGAGCAATCGCACCCAGCAACTAAAAGCCAGCAAAGCTGTGAGTTTTAGCCCAATCTTATTTTAGCACTGAGCATCAGCAAAGCTGTGAGTTGCAAGCCAACTTTTTCAAACATACAAGCACCCGCAAAGTCGTAAAAAATGGAAACCAAAATTATGAGATGCGCCCTCAAACTTGTCACTGTCAATCACCGGCTTTTAGCAACCTTACCGTGTACTACATGACTCAAGAACCCTACGTTTGCACACCATAACGAGCATTGCACACATGATCAAGTCGTTTGGTTGGCTTTGTCATGCATAAGTGAAAATTCAATTTCAAGAGCCGAATGGGGGTGACACGAGTTACGAGAAAGTACGTTATTCTACCGCTCTAGTATGAGCCCTTACGTTGTTACAATGCTCTAGAGTGTGAGTCACCAGCCAGTACGTTTTTTCAATGTTCTACCTCGAAACCCAAGAACCCAAGTGTAAAGCGATATGTAATTCTTCAGGAAGATCAGTTGAAATTGGGCAGAGCTCAGTTCACCCTAGACATTCTGGCCCTTGTGAACTTGAATTTCATTTCTAGCCACCGACGATCGCCCTGCCAATAGTAGCTTTAAAGGGCGTACTTTTTAATAAATTCTCGTTAGCGTTAATAGTTCAGGAGTCGGGAGACTTCCACTATTGATGCTGACGCACATCAAAAATGCTCTCCTACCATATCAACAACTCGAAGCACCCGGGAGGCCATGACTCGAATACAGTAAGCGATGCAAGAATCAAGCGCTGTATAAAAGTCTAAAACCCATGGCAAAAAAACCATATTCGTGCTGGTGGTGAGCCCATATCATGTTAACAACTCAAGAGCATTGAGTTACACACGTACGATCCTAAGGCCATCTACATGAACTAGACATCGAAACGACATCAAAAGATGTCAAATGTGACACATACTAGATTAAATTTCGAGCTGACAAGACCATATGTAATGTTCATTAAACTCGTTCCTGACCTCCCACAGATTACTCTACGCAATAAAATCTGGTGAACCCCGGAAAACAAAATTTTCCGTCCGCCTATTGCAGTAGGACCCGTCCAAAAGTGTACATACACAGTATCTCTGAACTCCAGGACTCAAGAGTCCTTCTCCAAAGTTTACATACCTAAGAATCCTTCTCTACGTGTATTCACGACTCTGTCTCGTGCATTGTCTTGAACAATGTCATTATACAACATGTCCGGCCTAAAATCTCAAGTAAGGATTTGCCGAAAGCGTCAGTACAACGTCTAAACTTCTGTCAACTCATAATCTGCGCGTCCTTTGATAGGATGAAATTGGTTGTTTCTAGATTCGGCTAATTTTGGAAGCACAAGAGACACTCGAGACATTTCTTGTTTAAGAAGAGTCTAAGCCAATGTAAACAATAATACGCAACAGTAGCTAGCAGGGTCTTTCGTTATGGCGCGTTCAGCTGGCATCTTAACGGGGTGATGAGCATCGATAGCGTTTGTACCAAGCATTAAGAAAAAAGTATTAGTGCGAGTGTATCAAAAACAAGGTATTGATACATGTTTTGCGTTGTTGTGTATAACTGATTCAGAGAAAACGTAAGCTTGTAGCACTGTTTCCGGTTCCAGCTTGGTGAGCACGGTTACTCGCTTGTTAATGACCATGGTTACTCACTTGTTCACTTGTTTGTTAGTAGGATGCTCGAGCCGTGGCATCGAGCCTGCATGAGTACATATGTACTCGTGCTGTTGAACCCACCGCCATAGCTCACCCAACACACGCAATTTGTCAAGAGTGAAGGGTGAAGCGCTACAAAAAGTACCACCTTTCTCAGTTTAGCATCAGCATCATCAGTCAGCCACTTTGGCAAGGAAACATTCGTTGTCTTTAAGCGGAGGGGTCGAGTCCACGTGACCATTTCGCCAAGCAGACGATTTATTCGCGACGAAAATGAACCATCTGATTGTAGAATATCCTTCGAATCCCCAATTTTCCTGTTTCGTAGCTAACCGCCTGCCTCGTAGGCTCCTGCATTCGAAGCGCTTCTTTTCTTCCGCAAAGGAATGTTTTGAACGGACAATTGATATACAAGACGGTCCGTAACCTAGACACGCACGTGACCATAAATCAATTTGTGTTTTTACGAGACACAAAGCACGACTAAAACGTCTCGATACTTACAAACACACATACGTCTCCGATTTGACCATGAATTTCCTTCAAACACCTTGGTATGTCTCTCAACAATCCAGTAAACCCTGAAAACCACAAACTCATCACGTGCCTGTACTCACGCTCCTTCTCCCACTCGTACTCGCCGCTTCCTATTTGGGAAACTGCCAATTTCGTCTTATTTCGATCCAATTGTAAACACCAATCGCAAGCCACGGCGCCCGAAAATTTTTTTTCGCTCCGAGCCGAACGGGTATTTAAAGATGCGAAATGAACTGATATCCTCGATCCACAAAACTAAACCCCACAGAAGCCTAGCGAAGCGTATAAATTTGAAGGTAATTTCGAACCTAGCGGTCCTTTTTCCTCTTATATCACTCTAGCTCTCGCCCTTCCAGCATTCAAATTCCTACTTGGTACATTCACTCGCTATGCAATTAAGCTCAGCTCTCGTCTCTGGTGCACTATTGAGTGCATCAGCTATGGCAGCCAGTATGTCACGTGACAATTTTTTTGTGATGGGACACCCAGACACCACCGCCAATATTGGTAAAAAACAACCACTCTTACTAACTCTAACTTGTTTCTTTAAGACTCCACTTCCAGCGTTCCATCTTCGTGTTCCATCAAGACTGGCGCCTCCGTCACTGCCCAAGCCGACTTGGACCAGTATGCCGGGTGCCAAACGTTGGTCGGTGACCTAACCATCAGCGGACAATCGCTTACCGGTTCCGCTGCCCTTGCTAACGTGCAAGAGATCGACGGGTCGCTCTCCGTGAACAACGCCACCAAGTTGCAATCGTTCTCCGCTGACAAGCTCAGCAAGATTTCAGGATCGCTAGAGATGAAATACTTGACTTTGCTCGAGTCTGCGTCGTTTGGTGCCTTGCAAGAAGTCGACTCCATCGAGTTTTTGACTTTGCCAGCTATCAGCTCTATTTCCACTAACTTGAAGACCGTCAACCAACTGCTCGTGTCTGACACCAACTTGGAATCTATCGACGGTTTCAACAACCTTGAAAAAGTGAGCGTGTTCAACGTTAACAACAACAGAGGTTTGTCTCAAATCAACTCCCAATTGCAATCCGTTGCCGAGGCTTTGCAAGTCGGTTACAACGGTAACGACGCTAACGTCAAATTCGATAGCTTGTTGTGGGCCAACAACATCACCGTGAGCAACGTCAGCTCCATTTCTCTTGGAAAGTTGCAATCCGTCAACGCTTCTTTGGGATTCATTGAAAACTCTATCGAGGGTCTAAACCTATCTACTTTGGGCTCCGTCGGTGGTTCTTTGAGTATTATCGGTAACGACGATTTGACCGATGCCGACTTCTCCAACTTGACCGAGATTGGTGGTGCTTTGCTAATTGCCAACAACACCAAATTGGCTCAAATTGATGGTTTCAGCAACTTGAAGACTGTTGGTTCCGCTTTGAACGTTATCGGTAACTTTTCCGATTTGGACTTGAGCTCTTTGAAGTCTGTCAAGGGTGGTAGTGACGTCGAAACCAAATCTTCCAACTACACCTGTGACGCTTTGAAGAAGTTGCAGAAGAACGGTGGTATCCAGGGTGATGCTTTCGTTTGCAAGAACGGTGCTACTTCTACCTCTATCAAGTTGTCGTCTACTTCCGGCTCCGGTTCTTCTACTGCTTCTGACAGCAGTGCCTCTGGTTCTTCCGGTAGCTCTTCTGCTACTGCTACCAAGTCTTCCAGCTCTTCCAAATCCAAGGGTGCTGCTGCTGGTCAAGTTGTTCCTGCCTCCTCTTTCATGGGTGCAGTTGCTGCTGTTGCCGTTGCCCTATTGTAAACATAAAGACAATGAATGATACAACTCGGTATAACCGAAAAAGAGCATCGATCAAGACCAATAAACAAACCTTCCGAGAAAGAATAAAAGTTACTACAATAAAAAAGAAACATTCTACCGTTCTTCTCTAGTACTCAATGCATGTTTCACAGCTCAGCATCACCATCATGAGTTAAAATTTGAAACACCCGCAGTGATCATTCAGCTGGTTTTGAACTGTACTTAATTTTTTTTTCCCCTCTATCCATTTCAACGTTATTGTTCAACCGTTCCAAACAAGAACGGTATATTCTTTCAGTTTCTCATGACAATTCTGGAGCCAAAATTTGTGCTCCATGCAACCAACCACCTTACAACCACGGATTTACATCTTTCATTAGCAGCGAGATTCGCGGCCTGGTGCTTTCTAAACAATTTAAGCGTGGAGGAATTGTTGAATCTTGTGTTGTAAGGATTTCCATTTTTAATAAATTTCTAGTTAATTAACTTTTTAAACCGTTTGTGTGATAAAACTGAAGTGAGATATGAACTAGTTCGATCGCTTACATCGCGATCCAAGTTCGTATTTTCTCGAGACGAGTTGACTGACGTCTTGTTATTTCGTCTTTCGTAGGGTTCTGGCCAGAACATTGAATCAAGTTCACGAAAAATATATTATTCCAGCCCATTAATTATAGGTCTGAGAGATCACGAGACCATATCTAACTCTATAAATCTTTACAAGCTGTGCCCAAGAAGTCCAGTAAGATAGCCACGATCTTCTCCAAAGCTGTCAGCCAGGCCAACAATTGTTTGTGGACTTTTTCTTGGTCTGCTCCCAATTTTGCAAAAAAATCTTTTCTGTAGGGACAAGCTTTCATGGCAAGCTTGAAAACCGGTCTTATAAGCATACCATGGTATTTGGTCAAAGTTTTGCTGTAAGCGTCTGTAAAAGTCTTGGTCAATTCCAATTCGGGATGGTCCACGGTCTCACGTAACGCCTGCGCCGTGAATTGCAACCCTCTGTTCAACCACAACAATCCTTCAGATGCACTTTTATGGCCCGAACCACGCTCGTTTTGGACCAAATCTTGTAGAGTGGCCGATTCCGTTGTAGCAGCGGTGTATCTCTTGCGAATTTTGGTAATGTTTCCCGTCAAATCCTTTTGCACCACTGTGAAAGCCGAATTACCCAAAAGATCGAACAACTTCACGAGCGATTCAGATGCTTCCAAAAAAGCTGTCGTGTCGATCTTTTTGGAAGCGTCGTCCACAGGGACGTCTTCGAAAGAAGCTTTCATTTCATCGAAAAAGGTGCTCATTGTGGTGAAGTAGGTGTAGTAAGCTTTGGGAAGTTCTTGAAGCGCTTGGCCAGTTAACGCTGCTTCTGCTGCTATTGTTGTTCTTTGAGAATATGGTAAATATACGAGTGTAATGTGAAGTTTAGAAATTTGGTGATTTTCTTCTGGGGATTAGAGGCGCATTAAATCACGTGATAAAATGTAACATTCACGTTTTGAAGAGATCACGTGCTTAGTCGCTATTAACGTTTCAAAAGATTATGTAATTACATCACATGGTTTTCGTATATAGTGCTCTTTATTATGTAAGAAACAAAGTGGGCGGTAATTGAAAGCATGTGACCAAATCGTCGTCAACTGCTGGCAATTATGAATGTCCAAAAAGGCCTCCTACCAAACCTTTATGCTCCGGATTTCCGAATCAGCGCTTTTCTTATTTAATCACTTAATTTCCTGGATTGTCTGTGACAAGTTCTATACTTTAGTCTTTTTCTTTTATTTTACATTCACTATGTAGTATGCTCCCGCACCCAGAGTTTTCATCTCTGAGCTCTCTTCAATCTCATCTTCTCTGCGAACGATAACTCTTTGCCCTCGACTGGAGGCTGGCTAGACGCAGGTGCAATTGGCGCTGGTGCTCTGGCAATTGGTGCTGGTGCTGGTGCTGGTGCTGGTGTCCTAGCAGCAGGAGCATCCTCAGGCACAGGGACACCCTGTCTTCTCAACCTCATCTTCTCGGCAAATGATAGAGATGCAGTTGACGCGGCGGCCTCTGGAGCCGGTGCTGCTGCACCAGCGTTCTTGGTTTGGAGTTGTCTCTCAATGGCTTCTTCTCTTTCTCTTTGCTTGGCGTACAATTCGTCCTTCTCTTTGTTTATCCGGGCACGTTCTTCGCGCTCCTTCTCGATACGCTCAGCATCTTCCTTGACTTTGAGTTCCGCTGCTCTCTCAGCAACCAATTCGTCGTAACGCTGTTTGCGGACCTTTTCAATACGGGCCTTCTTGGCAGCTTCGAACTTGGCAGCTTTCTCAACACGCGCCTTCTCAAGTTCCTCACCTCTCGTGGACAAAAGATCAGTCTTGAACTTTTGATAGTCGGCATTGATTTTCTGTAGACGTTCGTGAAGCTTAACGTTCTCTACATGCTCCTTCTTTGCAGCATCTGTGAGCTTGGACTTCATCTTTTCGTAGTTCTCCAAATCTCTAGATTCTTGGTTACCTGCGTCCTTTTCCAATGCAGGTAATTCGACCTTTCTTAGGGCTCTTTCGGTGTGGTCGATTCTCTTGAACGCATAATTCATGCGCTCTTCCAAATCCTTCTTATCCTTCGAAAGTTGTTCGATCGTCATTCTTCTCACGTCCTCGGCTGTTAAAGTCTTGGCTTCCTTGAGGTCAATATGAATAATGCCCTTTGCATTGACTTCTTCAATCAATTTGATCATTTCAGCTTCTCTGACCAAAGCCTTTTCACGCTCCAACTTTTCTTCCGCACGACGCTTCATTTCACTTTCCATTCTGGTGTCTGCAGCAGCCTTTTCTTCAGCCATACGTCTCAAACGTTCTTCAGTGGCCTGCTCGGCAGTGAGATGTCTACCAGATTCAGCCTTCTTTCTTTCTTCAACCTGCTTAGCTCTTTCCTCTGCAGCCTTACGCTCACGACCAATAGTATCGTTGGACTGTTGAATCAAGTTCTCACGAGCAACCTTGACCTTGAACATATAAGAACCATTAGCAAAGCCCTCAACATCCTTTAGAAGCTTTGCAAGATCACTCAAGTGAGCTCTGATAGCAGCGTTACGAGTGACCACGGGTTCACGCTCATTGTCTGCTTCATTGTCGCCTTCGTTTTCTTCACCCTCTAGAGTGCTGGCATTTTCTTCCAACTCTTCTTGATCATCTTCTTCCGCGGCAGGAGTGGCGCCAGTACTGGAAACGGCAGTCAAAGCCTCAAATGGGTCTTTAGTGAATGAGACGGTACCGGTTTCGTGGTCGATGGTGAAAGTGACATAATCTTCCATAGCAGCCTGCATCAAAAACTTTTCGATTTGCAGCTTCGTCAGTTCGAATGGACCAGGCAATGTAGTCAAAGAAACCAATTCGTCAAATTGAATAGACTCGTAAGACTCAGAAATGCCGATAAACAATTTCTTCATGATGACATCTCTCAATGGTGTGACGTAAGAAGAAAAGTAGGACTTACTTTCCAGAGATGGCAACAATCTGGTCAATTCGTCCTTCACAGTGTTGATGTCAAACTTTTCGCCTAGAAGGGAGTAGAGCTGCTTGACTTCTTCCTCAACCTCAGAGAAGACGGACTCTTCAGTAGCGGCAAGTATCAATTGCTGTCTAGTTGGTTTTGACTCCAAACTCAACAAGTTGCACAAACGAATCAATGGGTCGTATCCGACCACAGGCAGATCGTCAGCTGGAATTGCCAAACTGGAAAGCAGGAAGGTTGAGGAGTAGTGCTGGAAGTCAGCTTTCGTGGCCTTGGGGTTGCTCAAATACAGCTTGTAAAATTTCTCCCACGCAGCAGCATTGAGAAGATAGTTTCCAGACACGAAAAAGATCTTAGCCAAATTCTCGTAATAGTTGGCCAACACTGGAGGCTTGGGGGCACGTTTGGAGATAGCCATCAAATGGTGAACGTCCTCGATCGATCTGAAGGCCTCATGCCACAATTCCAGCTTGACTGAAACGTTGACCTGTTGGAAACGCTGTTCTAGATATCTTTGCAGGGTGCTGGCATCAGACAGGTCCACGGTGTAGTTGTTGTTGTTGTTGTATCTCTGCTGGTACCCGGATGGCTTGTGTTGGTAGTTGGCAGAGTCCAAATGTTGACGCAACATTTCGGCCAATCTCTTGAATTCGTTTTTACGATTGTATTTCAAGCAAAAATTCATAGTTCTGTTGACAACACCGGAGTACGTTAATTCCAACTGCGAGTTGTTTCTGACCAAATCCAAAACGGCACGGTACGACTCCCAGGTGAATCTGAGCCACGAAATGATTGCTTCGTCATTGAAACCGGCAACCGATTGTTCTTCTTCAGCTGCAGAAATGAGCAAGTTTTCTGGCGTTACGCCACCTTCCAAATCTTCGTCTGCTTCGTTCTGTTCCAGTTCGTCGGCCTTGGCCTGTTCTTCAGCCATCTTGGCTTCGATCAAGTCGATAAACTTACGTGATACAGCACCCACCGAGTTCAAACCCTCGGGTGTCACTTGCATATTTTTCTTGTACTGATGCAAACCATCCTTGATGATCTTACCTCTCTTCAAGTTCACACCAAGTTCCAAAAACTTGAACACAATTGGCTCCAAAGACTGAGGCTCCGCAAACCGGATTCTTCTCATCGACAGATATGAATACAGCGACTGCAAAGCAGCGAGCGGTTCACCCACAGTGATCAGCTCTTCGGCTCTTTTCAGAGCATTCTCTGGGCGCAACGCTGGAGGGGCCATGGTTGCGTAATAAGCTCGATAGGTAGTCTAAACTAGAGTTTAAATTTCGATAATAGTGGTGTAGATGGCTAGCTGCTCAGTTAAAATTTTCAGACTTTCTTGAAGAGACACTTTTCAATATAGCTACCCACGAATATTGAAATCAAAAAAGCCGGAAAACAAACTGGCGTTCGAAATTCTGGTGAGGTATATTTTCTTATAAAATTGAACTATGGAAGATGTATGATGCGATTTAAACGGACTGTGCCATCAATTCTATGATTTCGCTTTCGGGGTCATCATCGAACCTTGCGGTCTCAATATTTGTAAGAGCTTTCTTGACACCCACGTTGAACTGTATGTTGAGCCTTGCGAGCTCGTTGATGACTTTGACCCTCCCAGCATCGTCCAAAAATTCCGATTCTATCATGACGTTGTTGAACTCGTCTAGGTTGGTGATGTTGGGAACGGCAATCTCATTGTCAAAACAGCTTAGCACGTCCATCTGCTGAAGAACAGAATACGCAGACGTGGTGGATATGATTAGCAGTCTGCGGTCGCTGGGTGGCTTCCGCTTCAAGTAGACTTTCAAAGTTTGCAAAATGTTGTTCGAGAAACGGGCGCCAATCGGGACCCAATCTACGAGCGTCTCCAGAGAGTCAACAACAAGAATATTCAAACGCGACTTGTAGGCGTCCCTAAACGTGTTGTCAATGTACGCTATTTTAGCGCTTTCAGACATGCCAACCATTTCATCTGCAGAAATCAATCGAATGAAAGGAAATTCAGACCTAAGGGCGATGGCAGCAGAAAGAGCGGTCTTCCCCGAACCAGCCGGGCCGTGCACCAGCAGAGATACCAGTCTGGATTTGTCACTATCCCGAACTTGACGAACGTATCTCGCACCGTTTTTCAAAATCTCATCAACCCTTGGCGAATACCGGAAAACACCACCTTCAACGCACGTTTTCAAGTCCTCCTCGTTTATACCAAACGCAGGAGTCACATCTTCTAGCGCACTCAAAAATTCTTGCATCGTGACCTTCATTGCTGCAATCTCTTTAGGATTGAGCTTCGTATTGCCCTTCCCGATATTCACAGTCTTGTTAATGGCGAATGAACTTGCACTCTTGACCAACCCTTCGATTTCAGCACCGGAAAAGTTCTTTGTTAATGCCGCGAGCTGCTTCAAGTCCACATCTGGAGCCATCATGTTGTTTTCCCGCATTTTCTTGGTCTGAATTTCTAAAATTTGCAGTCTTCCTTGCTCGTCCGGCAATTGAATCTCGACCTGTACTTCAAAACGCCCAGGACGCAGTAATGCCGAGTCAATCAGATCGCGACGATTCGTCATACCAATGACGAGAATGTTATTTAGTTGATCAACACCGTCCATCTTGGCCAGCAGCTGGTTGACAACGTTGTCGCCGACTCCTGTTCCATCACCACGAGATCCTCTTTGCTTGAAGACAGAGTCCAGCTCATCAAAAATAATGATATGCAGCGACGACTCCTCACCTTTGGCTTTGTATTCGGCTTCAGCATCTTTAAACAAATTACGGATATTCTCTTCCGAGGACCCCACATATTTGCTAAGAATTTCAGGCCCATTGACGATCTTTGGCTCTCTTGCATTGAGCATAGTTCCGATTTTTCTCGCAATCAGCGTTTTACCAGTACCTGGAGGTCCGTGAAGTAACAGTCCTTTGACATGCGAGATACCGAGCTTCTCTATGACAGAAGGTGGGAAAATTCTACTGGCAAATGCCCGCCTGAAAATTTTGGTGAATTCTTTATCAAGACCACCAACTCCCAAATCTTCAAATTTGAAGTCGGGCCTTATGACTGCATCGGATCTAGGTCTGAGTGAGTTACTAGACTTCAAATTCACCAGACCGTCTCTTCCCTTGTAAAAGTTGATCTGTGTTTGCTTTATCAGTATGCCTTTAGTCTGGATATTGGACGAGACCGGGGTCACCATCTCAACATCGCCCAGGTCGATTGTTTGAATACTCTTGACCTTGAGATCGAAGATATGGCCCTTGAACTCGAAGATAAGACACTGTGTAGGGGACAGGATTTGCGATTCGAAATTTTTCAAAAATTGTTTTGCAAGGTCATCCTGGTCAAATTGAGTATCCACAGCTTTGCCTCTGGACCGGAAATTGATCTCCACGTCGAGAGTTCCCAAATATGGCTGTTTTCCACTGTACTTGAAAAGATCGAATGGCTTGACCTGGACAGATTGGTTCAGTGACCATCCACCCCAAGTTCTCTGGTTACCGTTAAGGCCAATCACACCTGGTGAGACCTCATTCGAATGCTTCGTAGTGAATACAAACAAATTATTCACCGAAACGTAGATATTTTCCGGAAAATCAGAAGCCGACACAGCTGCGACGTTCACCAGAGCGTATGCGTTGTTAGGACAGTTGGCAACGGCCAATTGACGTGGCGTCATGTCAACTCCAGTCATGTTCGGAGCTGCATTGTGAGTAGCCCTTCCAAAAGAGGGCAATTTTCCGGATAGACCTAATTTTTCCATCTTTTCTCGACTTGTGCTTATACTAGATAATTCCAGAGACAAGTGCTGGTCAAAGTAAGGGATCTTTGATGAGTTTAATGTTTGAGTTCATGTTCAACTGGATAGTTTAAATCCTTTATTACTTGTATATTATATATATATAAAAGATCTTAAAGCTTTACGTTCGAAACGACATCGAATTGAAGAACTACATCAGTCAAAGCATTCAAGCAACTGAATGCCTTGAATTGCCGAGTCTGTTTCTTCATATCAGTCTCTTCAATAAATGTTTAATCCCGAAAATAAAAAAATCTCGAGTTTTGCCTGGGTTCACTCTCTCAACCTACTTACTGCTGACCACTTCCTCCAGCGGTAGAAACAGCGTAAAGTACAAGTCCGATGAGTAAGTATTTCCAGTTTTTCTGTAAGAATGTGCGGTCATCGATTTCCACGTCTTCCTGGAAAGAGGCACTCGAAGAGCCCAACTGAGCGTTCTTTTTCTTGTCCTCGTACGTTTTCGTGACCCTGCGTAGTTTCACCGAATTCACTTCTGGTCCCTCCTGGACATTTCTAATTGTTCCTACAATCCCAGAAACGTGCGGATTTGGTTTGAGAGACAGTTTGTAAAGCAGATGCGAGTCGCTTTTTGTATCCAGAAAGAGATCGTAATGCAGTGGATACTTTAGCTGTCCACAAGGTTAGTAGAAGAAATTTGAAGAAAGATTGGTGGAAGGACACTTCCCCTTGTAACACATACCTTGATAAAAGAAAAACACGAATAGTAATTTTCCGCCATTTGTGCCCCCACACAATATGCATCCTCCTGGAGCGAGTCAATGACATCTGTAACTTCCAAAAAATTCGACTCGTTGTCATAAACCACAGTGGCTAGCGGAGAACGCTGTTCACGACCCGGTTTTTGCACAAACAGTGGGATTCTCATTTCGGTTCCGCAAACCGCTCCCAACAATATCAAAAATGCCCATAAAGTTTTCATTCTGGTCTCTAATAAAAGCAGTTTTTTGTGCACAGCTGTTCGCTTCTTGAGATCAGTCGCCAAAGGCCCTAGGAAGAGCTTCTATTCGATAGTCTCTGTAAAGTTTCACTAGTTTCCACAACTATATCAACCTTAAGTGGACATTGAAATTAACGATTATTGAATGACATATTTCACTGATCATCACACCCGTAGAAATATCGAAGTATTGGTGAGCCAAGAAACGCTGGATTGGAGCCAATGTTTGGCCTCGTCATTTCAATTGCGTTTCTGCTGCTTTCTACTACGCTTTGTCGCGAATGGGCTTTGAAATCGTATCTTTATCCTAAATACTCATTGAACTACATCGACCAGGTAGAGTTCAAAAATACAGTACTCAGCAATGACTCTATGCTCGAAATCGGGTCAATTGCTAGCATCGGCAAAAATACGAACTGTTTCAAGCCGCATCTGGGGACTGAAGAAATCTCAAAGGAAGCATTGCAGATAAATATTCAAGCCCAACAAGAGTTTGAGAAAAGTGTGCTTATCATCAATGAACAGTTATCAGGCCGACGGTTGGACCGTCGAAATAGCGATTTTCTCTACCAGTTCTACTTTGGCCAAAACGTGAGTCAATGGCTGGTTCCATCGGAAGAACTGTATAATGCAGGTATGGTGGCCTCAGCTACGACGCTTCACAATGATAGCTTGAAACTAGCTCAAGATACAGCAGGTTACTATGTTAAAGAGATTTATGGAGATGGAGAACTGTGCGAGAACACAAACATGTTCCGTACCACTGAGGTGAGATATTTGTGCGTCCCCAATGTCCCCGAACCGCGGCTTCTCGAAGCTTCTGAATTCCAGTTGTGTCGCTATGGATTGGTCGTAGCAGTGCCCGGGCTTTGTCGACTTCAGCTTTTTTCTCATGATTTTGATCAACAACAATTGCACCCTATCCTGTACTCTGAAGCCGACCAGGATGTTGCCACAGCTAAAATGGGCCATTCACTATTGAGGAGCTTTGTTTCTCATTTTCTGGGTCATAATTTTTACCACTTGCAATACCACTTGCCATATCATGCTGCCAGCCAATCTATTGCACCATCGAAGCTTTTGTTCACTGGGGAATTGGTTCTATCGAACGAGAATTCAGAGCTACATCCAACCGAAACCGTTTTTCTGGAGAAAGCGATCAAGGCATTCCAAAACATTAATGCTAAGGATCTGTTTGAGACCCCAGACGGTTCGCATTTTACAATCGGTGACTACGAGTTGAAATGGGAAAGTGAAGTTATCGACAAGAAAGGACGAACACTGTGTGTCCTGGAAATTGACATCGATGCTACCTCCAGGGCCAATGTGTCATTTTACAAACCAGATTCTATGAGTGAGCCCGTTCTCAATAACATCATACATTATTCGAAAGTGATACATGATTATCCAGCACCCTCGGAGAATCTCTCTACTACAGGAGAACTTCAAATCCCGGATAGAGCGATGTCATTCGACATCGGCAACAACATCAAGACGGACAAAAAACCTGTTTGGAAGAAGAAGGAACTAAGAAAAAAGGAAGCCGAAGACCTTAATAAGGCGTTTCTCGAAATTCGTGACTCCTTGGGTCTAGAGGTGAAATTACTGTATGCGATGGAATTAGAAGACGACAAGCCTGAAGACGATTCGCTTGTGGAGGACGAAAAAGAAATTGACAAAAGCATTGAACCAGGTCGGGAACAAATCAGGCCAACAATTGAGGAAGACGAAAAACAAGTCGACGCTGTCACAGTACATGACGAGCTTTAGTTTCCACTACTATTAATGATCATCGTAAGCATGGATCCAGACTTCACCTCAAACTAAAGATTTTAATAAACAATACACATCGAAATCACTCAGAGACTTTTGGTAAGCTCAGTGTAAAGGAATCGTGGTCACTATTCGAGCCGTTGGATTGTACACTGTTCGCCTTGGGAAGTTGTAAATCACCATTTCCAGTTTCATATTCTGTTTTGGGAGCAATCGGATCCCGAGGAGGTTCAGGAGCATAAAATGCATCAGATATAGGTTTCTTTCTGTAATTGGTGCTGATTTTTCCCGTTGGCGGTAGTCTGGGTTTTCCTGATGATTTCGATTTTGATGGCCTTTCCTCGTCTTCCTTTAAAACTTGATTCGTCATGTCTGGACCTTCTTCCGAACTTCCGTCATTGAGTTTGGCTTTTCCGACTTTGGCGTTGTGTGCATTGAAGCGAGAGAGAGCCTTTTCTAATAACGGCTGTAATGTTGGCCAGAACTCACCATTTTGTACAGAACTGACCTGAACCTCAGCGTAAGTGACATCATTGAACTCTTCAGGTTGAATCTTTTTGTCCTGCACTTTATCTTCAGAGCCTTTTCCTTGAAATTGAAAAGTCAAGAGTTGCATAGGCACGGAATTACTCAAGACCCCAAATTCACGTTCTAAACCCAAGTCTTTGAAACCAAAAAAATCCTCTCCAGTTATTTCACTCGAGAAATCCCCCGTCATGAAGCTCTGACTTTGATCTTCAAAATTCTTTTCAGAAAGGTCCTGTAGCGTTGGACGCAAGAGCTCTTTGAGAAAGTTATTGAGCTTCGACTTTATGTCTTTCAATTTGTTATGCTTTTTCACAAACTCGGCCTCCATGTATGAATAGAGATCGTCTGGTTTTTTGATGCCATTTTCCAGTAGCGACATCTGTAAAATCTCATAAGGCTTTTTGGGATTCAATGAGTTACTTTCATGATGTATCTTGATGGTGTTCACCAAATTAGAAAGGTACTCTCCGGCAATTTCAGTCAGCATTGATATCGCTACAGGCTGAGAGCTTTCGAATCCATTGGACATTGCAATTTTTGATACATTCCTATGCATCAGGCGGCGAATCAAGTGTTTGTCTTGCTGGTGATTCCGTGTCGGCAGCCTGGAAACGGGGTCCAAATCTAGGTCATCATCGATAGAGGTGAACTTGTACCTATGAGTGTCCCAAATCTGGCCATTTGGATTCGCAGAATTGCTTCTTACCTGGGAGAAGTTTTGCGGATTTTGCAGCATTCTTATTAAAGCAATTTTATGGCAGATATGCCTTACTTCCTGTATCAGGCGAATATTAGCATTTATCTTTGGGTTCAGACCTTTGCTTTTGTTTGCCAGATATGAAGTCCCTGGCAGGTTGCCCTGAGTAAGTATCGATTCGACAAGTTCGCTCTCCTCTTCATCTATCGCTTTATCATCCAGCCCTGTATACCCGATCTTAGGGACTGCATTTGCAACGTTATACTCGCTCAAAACATTAACATCATCTAGCTCAATTTCAGTAGACGCTTTCTCTACTTCATTGTCGTTGCTCATGCCTGACGACTGCTGTGCCTGCAATGATGCATTTTCCTCTTCTTCCTGCTTTATAACCGTTCCAAAACCATTCTTCATTATAGATTCCTGTTCCAACTTGCGCCTTTGTCGCTCAGCGTCCTGCTGGTCTTTGTATTCTTTGACTAGCTGGTCGAAATCTTTCATCTTGCCAGGATTCCTGAGGATGGCGGGCGCCTTCGAGTTTATGGTACCATCAGAGAATAAGTCAGCTCTCTTGATGCAAAGCTCCGCGCGAACCCTTGCTGTGGCATTTTTCCAAGTCGATAGCTCTAAGTCGTCCCTGTCATCATCCTTTTCCACTAAATACATGTTAGACTCCATGTCGCCTTCTTCGTCTTCTTCGTCATCTTCCTCAGATTCCTCTTTGGCTTCCAGAACCGCTTTTTGTGATTCGGGCTGAACTTCAATAGCGTCCAGATGTTCCGAACCATTTGCATTAACTGCCCCGTCGGGAACTTCAGTCATTACATGCTTACCACTCTGAATATTGTCACTTCTATCTTCATGCTCTTCCTGGGATACCTCTTGTGCAGTGTAAACATTTCTGCTTGTGTCCTGTGATAATGAATTATCGTCGTCATTGTCCTTACCAACATTTGAGGATTCTTCTGAATTTGGAACCTCACCTGCAGCTGTCTTGGTACCACTTTGTTCTGTACCTGCATTTGACTCGCGTTCTTCACCATCCTGTTTAATCCCACGAACATTGCCCCCCTTTCTTCCCGTTCCAGAAGCTTCTTCCTCACCTTCTTCTTCTTTATCATTCTCCTTGTCTATATCCTCTAGCTCTTTTTCAACTTCTGATCGATCTCTGATCGTGATATCTGGTATCAATGGAAGTAGCGTAAGCGACTTCTTCTGCATGGCAATTGCGTGCGTTCGCAGAAAGTGTTTTGGGTCTGAATTGTAGGTCAAACAGTTCTTCCAAATGAGCATTACATCATCCACGAACTCTTGCTTGGAACTGTACTGATATGTTTTCAGTTTTTTCAGAACTGTGTTCAGATCCATTGGCTTTTTTATGACCTGATAATAATTAGGAGCTTCTCTCTTGCTAACTTTGTTGAGAAACGCTGTTGAGTGTTCTGTGAAATTGCGAAGTTCCAAAACTACCTTTTCGCATGCATCGTACAATTCTTCTTGGCCAATCTTGTCATCTGAGGCCCATTTGGAACGATTTTTCTTGACGTCCATGACCAAGTGTCTTAATTCATAATCGGTGATGTTTAGTTTAGATTTGTTGTCCTGGATAGATGCCAACAGATGCTTGAGGGAAAGGTTAGCAGATCCAAGATTCACGGACAATGCAGGGGTGTCTGAAACTTGAGGTTTAGATTTTTTGAACTCTGATTCGGAAGAATCTTGAGCTTCCAGTTCTTCGTCGCCTGAATCACCTGTTGTGCTCCTCGATCTCTTTTTGGTCGGTTCGAGCAGCTTATCGCTTTCCTCGAGCTTTAGCCGCTTCAATAATGTCTCGCGATCGTTCTCGAAATTATGGTAGATTTTATTGAAGTTTCCAATGACAGCTTGTGTATTTGTGGTACCTAGAGCCAGCAATGTATCTCTTGATATTTCAAGCACGAGTATGTAACGTCCGTTGTCGTCGTACGATGCTCGAGATTCCTCAAACTTCGAGCTTTTTTGTGACTTGTCATTTTCAACTTGTAGATTGTCTCCATCGTAATCATCTTCATCATCGTCATCATCATAATTCATGTCTTCCTCTTCCTCTTTTCGTACCACCACAGCTTCGCTTTGACTGTTTAACGCTTCTATGGCGCTTGTATTCTCTTGCGTGGTTTCCTCTAAAGGCAGGCTTTGTAGTTTTTCATCGGAGACGAGCTGATACAGCGGATCTATGGCACTTTGCCATAACACGTATCTTACTTTTAATGCAAGGTTACCTATGAACTCTACCCCGCTCATCTGTTGCTGTAAGTTTTCCAAGTCTACCTCTGAAAATTCGGCTTCCAGCAAAAGTTCAGAGTCTTTTTGGGAAATTTCGGCATGTTCTTCGGCCTGCCGTACTAAACTTGAGTCTGTAACAGTTTTGGAGTGTTTTGGAGGCAGTGGTGAGACCCCAGATGCAACATTTTCTCTGCTCTTCTCATCATTTGCGACAGCAGATCCTGTAGCAGCAGAATCCTTAGTGGATAGACCATCAGTCATCTTTTGTTCAGCTTTTTTGACCACTTCCAGCGCAATGTTACTATTGATCAATTCTAGCCATATCCCGTTCTTACGAGAAGCATCATGAATCCCCAGCACTTTATCGAGAACTATTAGCTGTTGAGGGGTTAAATACTGGTGAAAGGTCCCATTTTCGAACAGTTTTTCCGCATATTTGAGCAGTATGCCCGGGTCGGTTTTCTGGTAGTAAACTACGGGTGTACTAGAGACCATTGGCACTTTCTTGATCCTGTTTCTGGCTATCGATGCTCTGAGCGCTGCTGAGATCACTTCTTAAATTCAATTTTCGTAATAACTGAGGTGAGTGATCAGATGACAGACGTCAGTGAAATGCTAAAAGGCCTGTGTCACTGTTGTTGAATGATAATTTGAGCTTTGGGATACTACTAATCCAATATTTCAAGAATATCAACTACTTCCAAGCTACTTGCGAATTTCGCTTTACTGGGTTTTTGACTTCGAAGTTGAAATAGTGGTGCCATTTACGGTCAAAAAATAAGTTCAAAATGCCTTATAACTATTCAAAAAAAGCTTCTTTTCAAGACCACAGATATGTTTTTACTATCATAGTAATAGTGAACAATTTTAGTCGTTTGTTGCTTGTTCGAGAGAGAAAATAAGACTGGTAAAGTATGTTTGACGTTGTGTTGACTGCAATCTAATGGTTGAAATTGTTCATAAAACAATAAAAAATTCAAACCTTGACAAACAGTCATCATTTTAAAAATTATGCCCTCAGTAACGAGGATCGATGAGCCTGAGTGTTGGGATCATTGCACTCTCTTTACCCAAGAACAATTTCTGCCGTAAAGAGATGTGCATGTAACGCCCATCTGATAAGAGTACAAGTATATATACATCAATATTTCTTTCCGTTTCAACAAAAGCTTGCGTGGCGTAATGGCAACGCGTCTGACTTCTAATCAGAAGATTGTGGGTTCGACCCCCACCGTGAGTGTTTTTAATTTTTTTGACCTGGTTGATTACTTGAAGGAATTCTTATCCTACTGTTCCAAGCACGGGACGCTTAGCTTAAACCAGCCAAACGGCAAAAATCGAGGTTCCTCGTTGTTGTCAACGGCAGTTCGACCTGGGAAATATATACATTGATACAAACATATCTATATACATATGTATAGCTTTCCATTCATTCGAAAAAAGTACTGAAACGGGAGGGTCTACAGGGTAAACTGCCACCCTTTGATTGCTTGGTAAAAAATGCTGTTGGTATCCTAATGAGCAAGAGCAAACCCGACGTTGGCGGTGCGATTGTCTACCGGGCTGCGCGGGTTGACGAGCAAGTGGGCTTTTTTGAAAGTTTATTCGCAACCCTGCGTAGTAGTCGAAGTTTTGTTATCACCTGCTTATTTCCACCGACCGGGTGGATTTCTCAAACTGCATACTTCTTAGTCCACTCCTTGGCGGTAGCCTCGTATTTGGATCTATCGGTCTTGTAGATGTGAGCGATTTCAGGCACCAAAGGATCGTCAGGGTTGGCATCTGTTAGCAACGAGCAGATCGAAAGCAGAACTTTGGAAATAGTCAACGCAGGCGACCACTGGTCCTTCAAAATGTCCAGACAGATGTTACCGTTGGCGTTGATGTTGGGGTGGTATATCTTGGTTGTGAACGAGATCTTGGGTGGTTTGAATGGGTAATCTGTTGGGAAATGTATCGACAGGAAAAAGACACCTCCGGCATAGGGAGAGTCTGGTGGTCCCATAATGGAAGCCTGCCAGTGGTACAAGTCGTCACCCACAGGTCCAGCGGAACATGAAGTGGGAGGGTCTCTGTAACGTGAAAATTTGGTTAGCATACATGCGAGTTCCTTAAATTTTTTTTTTTTCTTGAGCTTTTTTCATTCCGGGTTCATTCTGCGATTATTACTATTATTGTCGTCAAAGAGAAGCGTTTAGATCGCTTCTTGGGAAACAGGACAGAGGTTTCGTTAAACTGAAGACTTTAGAGATTCGAAGATGGTACCAGTTTCCGTGGTTCTCTCGCTCTCTCTCTCTCCCTTTATATCACGAGGCTCCCACAAAAAACACCCTGTGACAATTTCTGATCTTTTTGTTTCTGCAGCTAGCGAACCTGACAGAATGAATGCGCTGAACAAAGCCCAGTAAAAGTGACATTTTCAAACATACCTTCCCAAGTCGTTGAGTTCCTTTGTGATACGTTTCAAAGACATAATCTCTTGTTCCTTTGTAGTTAAGTTGGTGTTTCTAAACCAGGAGTTGCCACCTATACAGAGGTAGAGTGCGTAACTTTTCTCAAACCCGGTTTAGATTTCTCTCAATAAGTGGCTGGATCACTATAAACGGTAAAATAGTAGATGGCCGGGTAAAAGAGCGATACGAAAGACAACACGTGATGATTTTTCATGGGTTTGAGAATAATTGCAATATCTTAGAGAGGCATCTCTAATGGGAAGGGTTTCAGCATGGGTCTAGCGGAATACCAACAGAGAATAACATACATGGCTAGACAATGGAAGAAATTATCATTAAAAAAAGCTGCTCGAACACAGTGACACACCTCCAAATCAAACACTTCATACGACATGGGGAGAAACCCGCTCGGGTTGAACTTTACAGTCTTGATTACGTAATGCAACGGGGAAGAAGATAAACAAGGTGCGTCACTTAAGGGAAAAATGATAAAATACGGGAAGCAGAAGTTCGTATATCATGGCACAAGACTATGAGATTGAAAACCCCCAATTGAGGTGTTCAGAGCGCTTGATCTCGTAAGACTCGCAAGAAATAACGCCATGCTACACAGCCAACCAGGTCTCGCACCTCTGAGTAGCACAAACTGCGCACACAGGAGAAAATGAGAGCTGTCACGTGACGAAGTGTACTTTTTCCTCTCTTAGATCAAAGAATGCAACTGGTCTCCTACATACCGCCCTTCGCGGGATCAGTAGTATGCAGCATCATTCTCAATCGGCCCTTGCTCTTTGTTTCTCTCTCCTCTCTCCTCTTGTTTTGTATTGTCAATAACCCTCTGAATCAATATAGCTCAACTAATTGAGATTGATCCTGTCCCTTCTTCCATCAACTCACAGATCTCACACAATGCAACGCTCAAACGGCCTTTGAGAAATGCCTCGAAGGCCTGAACGGCTGAAACTGACTTTTCATGCACCTCAATTGAGTCCCGGTTTGCAGAAAGCCGCTATTTCTCGAAGATGCACGGTTCATACTTGATGACAGATTGGGAAGAGTGTAAACAAACAATGCAGAGTGACGCCACCAAGAAGGAACCCTATTTTTTTCCATTGAAAGAACTGCAAGCTTGCCTACTAGCCGGACAGGCACGACCTGCATTGTTTCAGCCTGAAACACAGGTTTCCAAAGAACCGAGATTTTCTGCGTCTTCGAACTTTGAAACAGCCGGTTTTGGAGAGTTTGTCATACCGCTAAGCGATTTGCGCTCCGCCGCACGGCAACATCAAGAATGGAAATTGCTGCAAGGCAGCAAAGGGGGCATTCATTGCAATCCCGACTTTCCTGCAGCAAACGTCTAAAATCCAATCGTGCATTGAGCGTCGAAATTATCCAAGCAAAAATAAAGGCAATAAACGGCGGGAATAAGCCTCTTGAAAGCGATGGTATTCAATGCAGTAGTTCTATGCACCTGTCAATGCCTTGAAGCTGTGTCGCTGGTGATCTAAATTAGAAAACCCATACACCTCAACTATCTCTTTTAAAGATTTAATCACGTGATTATGCTTCCTTTGCTGATCACGTTACCCATGAAAATTTTCTAAAATTTCCCGGTATACTATTCGCGATGAGCGGATGGATGAGCGATGAGATGAGATGAGCTTCAGCGTTGTGATCGACTAAAGCACATCTAAAGAAGAATAAAGCTTGAGAGCGTTCCAATACACTATACCATCTCATTCTACGCCCAATATGGATGGCAAGGGCTTGGATTTGTCAAACCTCAAACACAAGGTGGCTTCTAAAATGAAGGAAAACAAGAAGTCATCGAAATCGAGCAAAAAGGACTCTGGAAAAGATACCAAGAAATCAGACACTAGCAAATCTGTGCCTAAACAAGACTCGAAGGAGAAAATCGCCGAAAAAGAAGCCATTCGTCGCGAAGCTTTGGCGTTGGGCGCTTCCGAAAAGGATCTAACTTTGATCAGTGGGCTTTCAGATGATGACGATTTGAGTGAACAGGAATTCGAAAGCTCGAAACAGAGCAGTGATAAAAAGTTTGATGATGATTTCAAACAGTTTTTGAAGACCGCTGGTATTGATGCTGCTGTTCCTCCTCAGGATGCTGAGGAAGAAGAGAGGGAAGAAGAAGAAGAAGAAGAAGAAGAAGAAGAAGAAGAAGAAGAAGAAGAAGAAGAAGAAGAAGAAGGGAGTGATTCAGAATCGATACCGGAGCTTGTGAAAGACGCTGAGCCGCAATTGATAGAAGGACCTGAATTGTCTGATGACGAAAAATCGTCATCCGACGAGGAGGGTCCGTTTCTTAATCAAGACTCAGACGCCGAAACCGCCGAGGAAAAAAAGGAAGACAAAGACCTGATCTCACAAACCCACCTAGTGACTTCTGACAACTTGCTTGTACCTGCAGACGCTGTATGGTACGAGATTCCGCTGGACCCTCAGGCAAACCTTCAAAATGAACCTTTACCCGCGGACAAAATTGAGACACTATACCAGCGCGCAAAGCAAGCGCTTGAAGCTGACAACACTCTGTATTTCGACGAATTTACTAAAAACTCGTCGCAGCGGAAGTTTATGTCCCAAATTTTGAGCGACGGTACCCTCAACGATAAAATCTCTGCGTTGACTTTGTTGATCCAAGAGTCGCCTTTGCACAACACAAAATCTTTGGATACTCTTATCTCCTACTGTGGCAAGAAGTCCAGGAACTCCGCTTTGCAAAGTTTGAATGCTTTGAAAGATCTTCTGCTGAATGGTTTACTTCCCGACAGAAAATTAAGGTATTTCAAAAACCAGAACCTATCGATGATGCTGAACAAAAGAACACTAGCCATATTTTATTTCGAAGATTACCTGAAAACTCTTTTCTTCCAAGTGTTGCAAGTTATTGAAAGATTGTCGCACGACCCCATTATTCATGTCCGTATGCAAGTGCTTTCGCATATTTTCGATCTGTTAACTGCTAAACCCGAGCAAGAGTTCAATTTGCTAAGACTAGGGGTCAACAAACTGGGTGATATCGACAACAAAGTATCGTCGAAGACATCATTCCAACTGCTCAAACTAGAGCAGGCTCACCCAAATATGAAGTCGATTGTACTCGATGCTACTGTTGACGTGGCTTTGAGACCAAGTGCGGATTACCACACCACGTATTACTCGGTACTGACACTCAATCAGACAATCTTGAAAAGATCAGAGGATAAAATTGCCAATCAGTTAATCAAGACTTACTTTACCTTGTTTGAAAAGTTTTTGTTATCTACGGACTCTGAAAACGCGGAAGGTGGGGACCATGCTCCTAAAAACAAGCAGGCATCCTACGAAAACAAGCGGAAGAAGAACTTCAAGCGTGGTAAGAAAGGTGGCAAGTCGGTAAAGAATGACAGGACAGACAAGGAGGTTGTGGACGAGAAGAACTCGAAACTGTTCTCTGCTATTCTCACAGGCCTAAACAGAGCTCTTCCATTTTCGAATATGCCCGCTAGTGTCTACGAAGCGCATTTGGACACTTTATTCCAAATAACACACTCGTCGAACTTCAACACGGCTGTGCAGGCGTTGGTACTGATTCATCAAGTCACATTGAAAGCGGAGCTAAACAATGACAGATACTACCGTACGCTTTACGAAAGTTTACTGGACGCACGTTTAGTGACTTCATCCAAGCAGGGAATCTACATGAATTTGCTTTACAAATCGTTGAAGCATGATAAACATGTGGCGCGTGTGGAAGCGTTTGTGAAAAGAATCTTGCAAGTGTGTTCAAGTTGGCTAAATGTAGGTGCTTTAGCAGGCATGTTGTTTTTGCTCCTACAGCTGACAAAAGCAGTGCCACAGATCAAAAATCTGTTTACAAACACTCCCGCTGACGCTGAATACGCTTCAGAGGAGGAAAAGGATGCGGGAACAGACTCGTCCAAACAATTGGCATATGACAGTGGTAAGAGGGATCCGAAATATGCGAATGCGGACCATTCATCTGCATGGGAGATGCGCCATTTCTTGAACCATTTCCATCCAACAGTGCAGACGTATGCGGAGGCATTTTTAACCAACTCTGAAGATGTGACGAAACCCGATTTGGGACTTTACACTTTGGCACATTTCTTGGATCGATTTGTGTACCGTAATGCCAAGCAGAAACCCTCGACGCGTGGTTCTTCTATCATGCAACCGTTGGGCGGATCTCACACGGGATCACTGATAGTGCGAGCATCGGATACTCGTGCTACGGGACTAGATGCTGTGCCAGCAAACACGCAAGATTGGTTGGCCAAGAAGGCGGACCAGGTGAGTCCCGACGAGCGGTTTTTCCACCAGTACTTCAGCACGAAGCAGAGTGCTATTAAGCGTGCGGACAAGGAAAAGGGTGCTGGACAGAGCAACGAATTTGACGAGGGTAGCGAGCTGGATGAGGACGACGTGTGGGATGCCTTGGTGAAATCGCGGCCCGATGTTGAGGACGACAGCGACGACGACGAAGATATGATGTCGATGTCAGAGGACGACGAAGAGGAAGAGGCAGCAGAGGAAGCAGAGGAAGCAGAGGAAGCAGAGGAAGCAGACGACGACGTGTTCTACAGTTTTGCCGACGAGAGCAATGCTAATGTCAAGAAGCGGGGCCGGGACGACGACAGCGTCAGCGACGACGAAAGTGACGACGAGGCGCTGGCACAGGCTTTCCAGAGCGACAGTGAAAGCGAGAGCGAGGCCGAACAAGCAGCAGCAGCAGCAACAACCACTGCATCCGAGGACGGAGGTCCAATGTCACGCAAGAAACTCAAAGCGTTGCCAGTGTTCGCATCTATGGACGACTATGCTAGTTATCTCAGCGACTAGAGGGAACCCAATAGAGGTATATATTACGTAATATCCCGAACTCGTACTCGAGTACCAAACACCCAGACACCAGCTTACGTCATTTCCACCCTTTTCCCTTGCTCCGCCCAAAAATCTGAAACACGTTCGCTGCACGGCCCGGTGTTTCACATATGCAGATGTGAAACATCCCGCTCCACGAGTCGACATCGACGCGCACCAGCCTTTATTGAACTACAGGACTTTGCTTGCCATCACTACTAGTATTATACAGCTGCATGTAGTATAAGCAGTAGTAGCAGTAAGAGTAGCGGTAGTGGCTCTACAGTAACGGTGGTCTAGAATACTCGGCTGGCAAGGCTAGTTCGTTTACCAAGCCGCTGTGAATGTCTATAGTTCTTAGTGAACAGCTTAACGTAGTGTAATGGCGCCAGACGGGATCGAACCGGATCCGGCGGGCAGCAGTCCCAGATCAAACGGTTTGCTCAAGGCGGGGCCCGACAGAGAAAAATTACACACGCAAGAAGGCCAGTGTAGGAACTCGACAGATAAATGCTGTGGGCAGCGTAAGAATGGTGCATATATATAGATGGGTGAATTTGTAATTTCGCGTTATGTGCGAGAGAGAAAACCCAGGGAGAGAGAGAGAGAGAGAGAGATAGAGAGAGAAGGGCAGGAGAAGAGGAAAACGAAAGACAAAGACTACCGAGCAGACTTACAGAGTAGACTTACAGAGTAGACATTCGAGTGGTTTGTTCAAGATAACCCTCAAGATACATTCCAAGTCTGTTCCTTGTGCTGGTGTGCCCTCATTGCGCTACTTACACACACAATATGGACAACAACGAGGAATCGGTTCCAAACCGCTCTACACGGATATTCGACGTGTACGTAAGCGGAACGGATATGCCAGAACACGTCATCGACATCATGGAGTACGAAGAAGACGAGGCCACGCGACATTCACGTGGTGTCGCGGGTGTTTGGGACAACAACGACGACGAAGACGATGACGATGACGATGACGAGGATGACGATGGTTGTCGCGAAGATCCCAATAACGACACCGGCACAACACTCGTGAACACGGGACTCGGAGAGGCTATGCCCTTGCACAATGTCGCTAATGCGATCGCGCGGCACGGCAGCCGTGTGGCGCCCCGTTTCGCATCCCAGCTACCCGTGGCGGCAACGGCGCCACCACCATCCGTCCAACACACCATTGTGCCGTCTTCGTCCTCGTCGTCGTCTGCTGCGTCGTCAGCAGCGCTGGCCAGCACCGACATTTGGTCGGTGTCCGTGGAAAATGCTTTTCTGGCCGCTCTGCGCATCATCCCGAAAAAAGGCACGGCCAAGATCAAACTCAAGGAACGCAATTACGGCCGCAACGAGCTCATCTCACTCTATATCCACCACAATCTGGGCGAGTACCGTGCCAAAAAACAAATCTCATCGCATATCCAGGTATGGAAGAAGTCCATCCTTAACAAACTGCAGAATGGATCTGCAGTCACTCCGTACGAGACCGAGCTGCTACAACTCATCGAGGATGGCGCCGCACAGAGCCCAGAAAACGAGCGTATCTTCCACACAGTATTCATGGAAATCCTAGAAGACGTCAGCAACGGCCCCATACCGCTGCGATCGTACGGCGACTCCTCGGTGTCCAGTGCTGCTTCCAATGCATCGTCGTCTTCGCCGTCCCAAAACGCTGTTGTTGGCATGAACATGGCATCAGAACGTCTACAGACAATGATGAATGCTCCCACGACGGCCCGTGACAGTCATATTATTTCTCCAGGTCACGTGACGGGATATGGCATTTTGCGGAATGTTGATGGTAGTGGGCATACCATGAGTGCGAACAGCACCGGCATGCGAACCTCGACGGTTTCGGAGGCCATAACTCCGCTGGAATACGCCCGCAGAGTTTATGGCAATTCTCGCTCTTACAAGTGCGTGCCTGTCAATATGCACGACTACACGTATCAGCATACTCCGGGATCAGCATCTCCGGAGGAAACCGTCAACCAACAAACGATTCTCGCTGCGCAGGAAGTTGCTGCTCGACAACGCCAGCTTATTGACACCATGTACACGGGACAACCGCAGCTGTATGGTCCACCTCCTACTTCTGCAGATATCGAGTCAGAGCAGGTGGACTTCCCACGCTACGATCTGCCTTCGTTTGTTCCTTCTACAGCGGCAAGACCACCCGATCAAGCATACGCCGGACTACAAGGAAATTCCCTGCGGCGTCCAAACGATGATCGGCACTCCAGAGCGCCCAGAAATGCCATTGGGAGCGATGACAGCCCAGATAGCGGTTCTTAGGGCGACAAGATCTAACCAGAAAATGGTCAGAAAATGGCGTTAAAAGGAGAGAAAGAAAGACCAGATAGAAGCATATCATGCGGCGTTGTTCAGATGTTGTGAAATTGTAAAATTTGCATAGGTAATGAATGTTATATATAGATTTACTGCACAGGCATAATTGAAATTTTGATGATTATTAAAGAGAACAATGTTAGTCAAAAGAGGTGTGCTGGGGTCTGGAAGGTTGAACAAAGACCCTGGATTACCTTGACAGAACGCTTCAGACTACATCATCATATACGAATATCGAAATTGTCCAATTTATCTTATATATAAGGTAATGCATGAATGTGTCAATGCTAACACCCGAAGGTTTCCCTTCCGTTTGACAATTGCAAAGCGTCGAACATTGTAGTCTCTTGCAATGTTATCAATTCTTGAGCTTTAGGGAGATGCTCTGTGAGCAAAAAGATCGCGCGCGAAATTGAACTGCTGTTCATGAAATGCATGATAATCCCGGCCCTGATGCCGCTACGTTTTGATACAAATGAGGCGTAAATGAAGCGTAAATGAAGACCCAGGGAAGTTGTTAAGCGTTAAGATTCATCCAAAAAACCAGGAAATACATTCTTACCATATTTTTGCGGGATAGTCGCATATTTATTACCCCACAAAACACCAATTTTGCATGAAATGTCCACAAAACACCAATTTGGCACTCCTTTCACGCATCGGTGAAACCTGCTGTTCCAATCACTAGGTTTCAGAACTATAGAGGCCTCACCGGACAACAACCAAGAGTCTCAACTTGATGTCAAGTGACGTTATTCCGGCCATTTTTTTGATATTCTGAATCGATGGGAACTTTACTCCGATCAGCCAAGCTTGACAAAAAATGACCTCTCCAAATCCTGCGAACGATGAAAAGCCATGTTCGACCTCATTTTGCCGTTCACAAGTCTATCAATGAACACACTGGCCAATTCCCCGAGGTACCTCAGATTTTGGGATACTTCAAAGGACCATCCTTGTGATAAGATAAGACTCATCAAGACACATCTCTGCTTAAGTGCCAATCATTAGATCATTGACTCAGACTCCCTCAACTCATCTTCCAGCACAATATAAGTAAGGTTTTTGACTCGATGCCAGTGCACCACGTGATGTTAAATTAAAGCATCAAAACTTTCCCACTGGAGACCGAGACCTATATTAGACGCTCGATAGGCATGTCGAAAGAATAACTTAGAAAGCCATACTTACCCGTTCAAAGAAGCGCTTTGTTTCACGGTAGTTTCAATGTTATCGCGTGCTTTCAAACGAGGCTCTTTGAGACGTCTTTACGATCCTCGTTTTAGATCAATTACAGTGCTATCGCTGAACACATCGAAAACACCTTTACAGTCCTTTTATCACACTCTTTCTGGTACCAAAATTGCTAAAACCATCAGAGATGAGGCGTTCCAAAGAATTGAACAGATTCGAAGCGAGATTCCTGCTTTCAAGCCCACATTAAAGATATTACAAATTGGCGCTAGACCCGATTCTTCCGCATACGTTCGCATGAAGCTAAAAGCGTCAAAAGAAAGCGGGGTTCATTGTGACGTGGAAAAATTGCGCGAAGACATTTCAGAAGCGGAATTGCTAAACATAATTGAAGCTGTCAACCAAAACGATGCCGTTCATGGTCTTTTGATCCAACTGCCGTTACCCAAACATCTCGACGAAACCAAGATCACTAACTCTGTAGTGCCCTCAAAAGATGTGGACGGCTTCCATCGGTACAATGCCGGAGAGCTGTCCAAGAAAGGAGGTGAGCCACTGTTTATCCCGTGCACCCCAAACGGATGCATTAGGCTACTAAAAGAGGCTGGTCTTGACATAAGAGGCAAAAATGCGGTCGTGTTGGGCCGTTCCGACATTGTAGGTACTCCTGTTTCATCATTGTTGAAAAATTTGGATGCTACAGTCACTGTTTGTCATAGCCGCACCGCCAACCTGCCTCAAATCCTTTCTCAGGCGGATATTGTAGTAGCTGCTCTAGGCAGAGCCAACTACGTTAAAGGTGAATGGCTAAAGAATGGCGCTGTTGTTATCGACGTTGGTATCAACTATATCCCAGACTCATCCAAAAAATCTGGTCAGAAATTGGTCGGCGACGTTGACTTTGAATCTGCCAAGGAGAAAGCATCTTTCATCACACCTGTCCCTGGCGGAGTTGGCCCTATGACTGTCGCGATGCTGGTTCAAAATGTACTACTTGCTGCGGAACGACAACTTTCAGAGGCTAATAAGATGCCAACCATTTCGCCGTTACCGCTGAAACTCCTTGACCCCGTGCCTTCCGATATCGCCATTTCAAGGGCACAAAAACCTAAACCTATAAGCACGGTAGCTGCTGAACTGGGAATCCATACTAATGAACTCGAACTATTTGGTCATTACAAGGCTAAAGTTGCTCCATCTATCATCGACCGACTAGATAATCGCGAAAATGGTAAATACGTCTTGGTCGCTGGTATAACTCCAACACCATTGGGGGAAGGTAAGTCCACCACAACAATGGGTATAGTGCAAGCTTTAACGGCCCATTTAGGAAAGGCCTCAGTTGCTAACGTACGTCAACCTTCAATGGGTCCTACGTTTGGTGTAAAGGGTGGTGCTGCAGGTGGTGGGTATGCTCAAGTTATTCCAATGGATGAATTCAACATGCATCTCACAGGTGACATTCATGCTATCTCTGCTGCTAACAATCTGCTAGCTGCTGCGATAGATACGCGTATGTTTCATGAGTCCACCCAGAAGAAGGATACAACCTTTTACAACAGATTGGTGCCCAAAAAGAAGGGAAGTCGCACTTTCACAGAGTCTATGTTAAAGCGCCTCGAAAAGCTTGCTATCTCAAAGAGCAATCCTGATGACTTGACAACAGAAGAAATAAGCAAGTTTGCTCGTTTGAATATTGACCCTGACACTATCACCATCAAAAGAGTTGTCGATGTCAATGACCGTATGCTACGTCAAGTCACAGTTGGCCAAGCTGCAACTGAAAAAGGACTCACAAGGTCAACTGGTTTCGATATCACAGTTGCTTCAGAACTTATGGCTATCCTTGCTCTGTCGAGGGACTTGAAAGACATGAGACGGAGAGTCGGTAATATGGTCGTAGCTGCGAACAAAGCCGGTGAACCTATAACGGCCGAAGATGTTGGCTGTGCTGGTGCCGTTACTGCGCTGTTGAAAGATGCTATCAAGCCAAATCTCATGCAGTCTTTGGAAGGTACCCCAGTCATGGTACACGCAGGTCCTTTTGCCAATATTTCAATTGGTGCATCCTCTGTTATTGCGGATAGAGTTGCATTGAAGTTGATGGGTAGGCCAAAAAACAGTGCTGCCGACGTTGAAAGCGGATATGTGGTAACCGAGGCTGGTTTTGATTTCACTATGGGTGGGGAGCGTTTTTTCAACATCAAGTGTCGTTCTTCTGGTCTTACTCCAGATACCGTCGTACTGGTTGCGACAGTAAGGGCTTTGAAATTACATGGTGGTGCTCCAGATGTTAAACCTGGACAATCTCTGCCTGCCGAGTACACACAAGAGAATGTTGATCTCGTCGCTAAAGGTGCTGCGAATTTATGCAAACAAATTTCTAATGCCAAGCAGTTTGGAGTCCCTGTTGTTGTCGCTATTAACAAGTTTGAGTCCGACACAGATGCTGAGGTTGAAACAATTCAGAAAGCAGCAAAAGAAGCTGGCGCCTACGATGCGGTTGCTACCAATCATTGGGCAGAAGGTGGTAAAGGTGCTGTTGAACTTGCGAAGGCTGTTGTCAAGGCCAGTAAACAACCTACCGATTTCAAGTTCTTGTACGACACTGAGCAATCTGTCGAACAAAAGCTGTCTGCAATCGTACAAAAGATGTACGGTGGTGCTGAAGTAGAGATCTCTCCTCTAGCTCAGCGTAAAATCGACATGTACAAACAGCAAGGGTTCGCTAACTTGCCGATTTGCATTGCCAAGACACAGTACTCTTTATCACACGATCCCTCGTTAAAGAATGTTCCTACTGGCTTCAAGTTTCCCATACGAGACGTGAGAGCGTCTATTGGTGCTGGTTACCTGTATGCATTGGCTGCTGAAATTCAAACGATTCCAGGATTGTCGACCTACGCAGGTTACATGAATGTCGAAGTGGACGAAGACGGAGAGATCGAGGGTCTGTTCTGAAGTACATACGCCTTTCATAGATTGTAAACTAAACCACCCATTGCAAGGCTGGGTTAAGATTGATTTTAGTGTTCTCAGGACATTTCACCGAGATAAACCGGTTGGTCTGTACTAAAAAAGATTTGGATACAGAAAATGATAGTCTAAGGACAGAACAACCTTTTCCACTGATTCAGAAATGCTAGAGAAGTCCTTTAAATTAATAAGGAGAAACGCAAGCTTGCATGGGTTTATAAGTGGGAGGAAGATATGAATTAAAACTTAAGTGTGGGGCATTTTATTGCGAGTGTTAAAAGCTATTTAAGCATCTTCCTTCAACAAAGCTTCTCTCTTCTCGTTGACTCTCTGGGCTCTTCTCTCACGAGCGGCTCTGTTTCTCAATCTTCTGGCGTCGGCCTCTTCCTTCAAAGCCTTCTCACGTTGAGCATCGGCCTTGGCTTGGATGATGTGTTCAACAAGGGCTCTCTTGTGCTTGAAAGTGTTACCCTTGGCAGCCTTGTACAAAGAGTGGTATAGATGCTTGTCGATCTTACCAGCGTCACGGTACTTGCTCAAAAGTCTTCTCAAAACACGCAATCTTCTGATCCAGACAACTTGGGATGGCAAACGGGCTTCTTTGGTACCCTTTCTCTTACCGTAACCGCCGTGACGACCGTTTCTCTTGGATTCAGCCATCATTCTAGTTCTGGATCTAGAGTGCATTCTGGTTGGCTTGGTAACAATGGTACCGTTCTTGACCAACTTTCTGATGGCATTTCTGGAGTTGGCTTGAGCGATCTCAGAGGACTCAGATGGGTCCATCCAGATCTTTCTCTTACCGACACCGGTAACAGAAGCGGCAAGTCTCTTTTGAGTACGTAGGTTAGCCCTGTAGCGATGAAGAAGTTAGTAAAATGGTTGGCCCGTAAATGTGGGAATTATTCAAGTTAGGCCCAAAAAGCGGTCGTTGCAACATCAAAAAACGAGACATTGATCTATTTCCCTCCCGCACGGTGGTTGTCAACAATTCTTCTGCAACGAGTTACTTCAGAAGCATACGTTTCGTTTCACATTTCGGATATTTGGAAGAAACTTGCTGCGTTTCTCGTCTATCAGCAGTCGTATCAAGCCGCTTGGAAATCCATTCTTCTACGCCGAACTGCATACGCTCTTGTCCATCACATCAAACATCCCATATAGCCTTCTATCACATACATTTTGTCTTTGGTTTCCACTGCACGAATCGAACGAGATGCTGAAATTCAAGATTGCTAAATTATTAACCCACCTCTGCCGTTTCTTTCAATAAGTGTTTGTGGCTAGAGTCACTAGGCTCCGCAGGCTGGAAGGGCTCTGTCTAGCCAGTGGGGGCCGACTCTTCCAGCTACTCTGCTCAGCTCATAGGGAGCCCCTGCCTAAAGCTGTGTGGTGCGTCCGTCTGGAGGGGCAGTCTCCAGCAATGAAAGACTCATAAGATGCGAGGGACGCAAATGAAAAATGTTTCAGATTTTTTAAAGTTCCAGCGAAATAATATTTCACAACTTGATGGATGTACGGATGCTGTTTCAGATGTGACTGCTATGTCACATGCCTTTTCTTTCAATGTCGCTTCAGACGGTCATCGGTTTGGGTCAAAAATTTTACCAGCTCATCTCATCGCATCGCATCTCATCTCATCGCATCTCATCGCTAACTCGAAGTAACACCAAAACTCCCTCAAAACCACTCAGATCATGGCTAAATCACTACGTGCCAAGTCGCATTTGAAAGCGAAATCCATAAAGCGTAAAAATGTGTTTCAAGTAGACGCTGACGCGCGTGCAAGCCGCATTGCAGACAAGATGAAAGAAGATCTGATAAAACAGCGACTAGAGGAACTGAAACGTAAGAACGCAAGTTTGAAAACCGATGAAGACGCTAAGAAAGCACTGGAGATCGCCCAGATGGAACAGGAAGGCCAGACATCCAAGCCGGTCAGCACCTCCGGCTGGAGAGATGCTAACCACCACCTCTACAAGCGCAACAAAAAACTGAACAAGAACCGCAAGAAGGGTTCCTTCACCAAATTTTGAAACCGGAAAAGAAAAGAACCCCGCTGGGCGGCATTGGGGGGACGGCCTGGAGAATAGTAAGGGTGTTAGAAGTGATAATTGCGCTCGAGGATCACTTTACGCTTCGACCACGCTCTTTCTTTGTCGTGCCCAATTTTATGTACATTAGCTCGAATTCTTCCCATCTTGGATTCTGATAAACTCACAATGTGGTCCAAACTTGCTTGTTGACATGGTGGAAATTATCGTTAGTCCATGGCGTAAGAACAGATATTCTCTCCGCATCGAGGATTCACAGTAACTTCAATAATACTCTATACGTATCAAATCAATAACGTACTTTACAGGGCCTGTCGTTTCCATCATCAAGTCTAAAAAAAAAATTACAATTACTACACAAGTTCCTAGCATCATACCTCACACTAAATGTCCGTTATTAGCACACCCTGACACACCATATCACATCACGAAAGCGGATCCTGCAAACCCTGTTGGATGTTCGAAACCTAAATCAAAATTGTCCGTTACACCTGTGTCTTTTAACCCATTTTTCCCCCCACCCTGGTTCCTTTTCTGTTTGGCCCTGGCCCTTCTTTCTCTTCTCAACCGACTTTGCATCATATAATAAGTGGCCCTTCTTATTATGGTTTCAAGCACCGGTTTATCATACTCCGGATACGTTTGGATAACGCGCCGATGCAATTGATCCAGCAATTGCGTACGATATTCCTTAGAAGTATCACGTACCCACGTCTTATACCCAAGCGGGTAGTGAAGTTCGCGCTCAAAAATGTTCAAAATGAATCGCTCGCGGCGCAAAGCTTCCTCTGCGGAGTTGAGATTCAAAACTTCTGCTAATCCCTGGGCTGACAATCTCGAGTCAGAGACCCTTCGGTTGTTCGGCACGCCGCCATTAGCATAAAAGCCCTGAGGCGTATGCGGGGGTAGACCGCTAGAAGATGATTCACTAGAGGCGAAATATCGCTTCTGGAAAGGAATTGAATTCTGTCGGTCCCCATCGCTATCATTTGCTTCTTCATTCACGAAATCATTATCTCGCCCGTAACTTGTAGCGGATTTTCCAGTAGTTTTGGAATCCTCACCTATGGGTTCGCAGTAACCGCTCCCTGAGTGGTCTGCGTCACCCGTTTCCCACTCGTGTCCCCCAGAGTAAGGAAATACTGAGGATATATGTGGATAGTAGTTATTCATTGAGCTTTTCGGTATCGCAGGATGCTGAATCGTTTCTGAGTTACTAAAATCACCAATACCTGGAGAGCCATGTTGAAAAGATGCGCGGCCGTTTTCCGAGGGCATAGAATATACAGCCTCGCGGTTCGTGTGGACCGGCCATTGTGAATAGGAGTTCCAATTGGGCATTATAGGACCGTTGTGAAGCTCTTGAACGTGACCAAAATTTGAAGGACTTTCCAATCCAGTAGCGTAGATATCCGCAGGGTTATACAGCGAGCTGGGGGAATTAGTTGTAAAGGCAAATCTTTGGGCGGTATACGGCTTCTCATACGGAACAGGAATCCTGCTGGCTGTTGCCATTGGATAATGGAGGTTTAATTGCGATTCCATGGGTTCTACACGCTCAGCCATATCATGTGGGGAAACCTCAGCTTGCAATGGTGGCAGGTCAGAATTATCGTTTACGATAGTCGACGAAGGGGTCAGTACACTTGGACCGGAAAATGCTCTTTTATGACGAAAAGATGGCCTTGGCTCAAAATCCGGGGAATCATCGAACCCCATAGAAATCATTGTTTATGGCTTGCGTCAATTCTTGAGAGTTTAAAGTTGCCGTGGTGATGAAATTCGTCACGAGTAACTACTGATGACACTGGAAAGCGAAAATCACCAAAAAATAAGGGTTTATTTACTGGACGAACTCGGGGGTATCAAATGGATGGTGAAAACCCTAGCCAATACCCAACGCTCTCAACAGCTGAAACGACCGTTCGATACCTAAAAATCACAAACAACGGGGAGGGTCTCTAAAGAGAATTCTTCAATTTTATCGAGAAATGTTCCAAAACTCCCCAATTTTATCGATGTGCGCCACAAAATATCCTCAAACGCAGGAGAATATACGATCTCCAATACACTGGAATACCGCTGGTTTCTATTTTTTTGGTCTGGATCCCTAGCACTGACAGATGAGAGAACTTTGTCAATAAACCAGCTTTTTCAAAGCTCTCAAAGTTCTTCTTTTTGTTATACCACCCCAGGTGTCGCCGCTCAAGAGGAAATCAGTGCCAAAAACTGAATAAACAGGCCAAAATGAGTGATAAATGTGTTACTTGATATAATTTCGGGGAGCGTGGAGCTGTTGACGGAGTGACTTTATTTATAGTGGGAAATCTGGAGAAGAGTCACCCGGCTTGGCATTAATTACCAGGCTCCCTGGAGAGTGGACACCCGGTATCATATGACTCTGGAGACAGCGAGACGAGTGAACTTGAGAGGGCAAGACCGGAGATATGGGCAGATAGCATTGTATCTTGGAAATTTGCTTGGCATTCTGACTTGTGGGGGATCCAGGTAGCGCTGATGCGGAAGAAACTCTGCGATTGGGAGAAGACAAGCATTCAAGAAAGGAGACCATATTTTTCTAGGATCTTTGCCCTGGACGAAGGCTATGAATGGGATTTTCAAACGTCTCGCACGCGACACTTGACCCGCTCGATGGTAATGTTGTAGCTTCTTTTTTTTTTTTTTTAGTTTCGTGCACGTAACGAATGGAGGTCTTGGGCTTTACAAGCATTTCAACTTGTTACGGAAGTGTTGATGCTTTGGAGTGAGAGCATTGAGGAGAGAAAGGCAGAATCTCGAGCTCTGATGACAGTATATTGCGAAAATGATATGCGGAATTGTGGGGGTAGGCGGAGGGGAGTTTTCACCCCGCTGCCTTGAAAAGTGCGTTTTTCCAGGGTCTTGAGTTTGGTGAGAACGAAAGAACATTTGGAGACTGCGAACTTCTGCAGTAAGAGTAATCGCTTGCTGGCTGTTAATTGCAACTAAAGTCCATCTTCTTTTGTTGAAGTTATAGCCCATATAGGCATCACGTGACATTCTTTATTTTTCCAGTAAGTTCAACGCATAAGCCAGTTGAGATAAAGTGAGCACCAAGTGCAATCGATGTACTAGCACGCAAAAGTGGATTGCCACATACTGGCTTGTTCGCCTGTTCGCCACCCGGGCGTAGTTAAACGGCCTATTTTCAGGCCGTCCCAAACACGTTCGTGGTAGTGCGTTTCCCACTCGTCCTTGGCGTTGTCCACCATTTCAGACAAAAATTCCACCGCTTTTGCCGGATCGAATCAAGAGTGTCGGTTGTTGATCCAAGTTGTCCACCATTCAAAGTGCCTACCGCCCTTGTATCATTTTATCCAAACACGACATCTCAAGGGTCTCATATACTACGAAGTGCCGAAGCTTCCCTGAGCAAAAACCCTTTGAAGGCCATACATATGGCATAAAATAAAATAGTTCCCTGCTTCTACACCCCCATCGTCTTACAGTAAACTGCATCAAGACAATTCTCAGTCCAAAGCATCGAAAACATGTCTTTTGTACCCATCGTTTGTGGGAAGAAAGATTGGGACAAGCAATACGACCAGTCCACTCAGTACAGCTCGCTTTATTGTCCCAACTGCCACAATTTTAACGTACATCCGGTCAAAAGAAGGGAATTCATATCTATTTGGTTCATCCCTGTCTTCCCAATTTTCATAGGTAAGCAGCTTGTTTGTCCCACATGCAACTGGCGCCAGGATTTCAAGAACGATGAGCAGCTGCAAAAAGTCGTGCGTGAGCAACAAAACATACGACAAGGGAAAACAGGCGGTTGATAATCGTAATGTTGATGAGCTCAGGCTTATGTAAAAGAAGGCTTCCACACTCTTAAGTACTGTGTAGCCTCAAAAACGGAAAATAGATGTTTTGTCCAACGATGGATCCTCCGTGCGGAAAAACTGGTCAAGAAAGTCTGTATCCGGCAGCAATTCGAAAGGAATTTCTCCCGTGGAAATGCCTTGGAATGGGAGATTGCACACGTCTGCCAATGGAGGTGCAAATGATGGTGTAAAATTGACGTCGGGCGCAGTCTGTTCGAGATTCTTGTCATTCAAAGCTCTACTCTGGTCACCGAGCCAGGTGTCAATTTTCCTTGAAGGACTACTTTCTGAAATATCGTTCGTCGCGTTAGGGGCTTCAGCTGTAGGTTTCAAATTGTTTCTTTTTTCATCTATCGCGCGCAGCTGCGCAAGTATTTCGTTGGGTTGAGTGGTTAGTACGGCTTGAAGTGCTTTTAATTCACTTATAATAACCTCATCTTTGATACGCATAGTATGATCATTCGTTTGGGCTCGGTAAGTTATAGAGCCTAGCTTCATCAAACTCAACGCCATAAATGAAACACCAGTCCATTTCAACGAATACGCGTTTCTTTGTCGTTTTGCTGTTTTGACCATCAAAAGCGTTGAGTCGTAAAGCAGTAGCAAATCTTCCCTTCTGGATTTAGGTTCTTCAATGCAGCGATAAAAAAGATTCAAAAATCCGCTCAAAAACGCATACAGTGTATTACCGCAGAAGGATATGTTTGGGTTGGTCGGAGTTACAACTAGGCTAGCAATTTTTACCATCATTCTAGCCGCGTACGTGCATTTTTCGTCATTTCCAAGATCCCTTGATCCCGGATGCGGACAGTCCGATTGAGTCTGCCATGGAATCCGGCTAAGCACGCAATTCGTGTATAGAAGGTTCAAATAATACTCCATATGCATGGTGATAATTTTCATCTTCACAGTAGCGGGCGGTGCGTCAACAAAAGACCAGGGTGCATTCGTTTTGGATCGTTCTGGCATTGAATTCAATAGATTGTCAAGTTCTTTCAAATTTTCAATTTGATCCGATGGCCTCATAAAAGGAGGAAGCATCGCTACCCATTCGTCGAGCTCTAAATTCAATTTTCGTGCTAGCACCGATCTGCGTTCGTAATCATTTTCTTCCAACGCTTTGCATGTTAATAGATAGCGATAGCATTTCCTTGAATGCCGAGCAAGATGCAACTCATAGAATTTTAAAGCAAAATTGAGATCTTGCCTCGAGTCCGAGCAAAACCCTGCTAAAGCAGGTCGCAACTCTGACAAAGACTGCTTCAATTCATCACCCGATGAGCTGTTTCTCACAACCAGCGCGTCACCTTGTCGCTGAGCATGAATATATTGGTAAAAGTCCCAGTCCTCTAATGAATTCGTATCTCCATCGTGGATAGACGAGGGCTTGCCAGTACGGGTGGACAGATAAATGTCGAATCGGTAAAGGTTCATCCAAAGAACATGACGTTTTAGTGCTTCTGTAGCATCAGGTATCTTAAGGTAGGCCTCTCTCAGATGCAGGCTCATTTCCTGAGCCAGCCGCACCGCGGTCGACAGCAGCAGGTAGGCCAACTGGGGGGTTGGAGAGTTTTCAATTTGCCAGCAAAATAGCATAACACCCTTTATATATACAAGTGCGTCACCAAAATAAGCCAAACTTGTTTGTTGATAAAGCCGCAGAGTTTTGAGCATCATTTGGGTCTGTATCATTGTCCATTTTGTGCTGTCGAGATTATTGATATGACAGATTTGGCATTGAATCGTAGAACCAATGAGTAAAATAGTGTCGACAAGAAAAAGCTCAGAGACGTTGAGGCTTCGGGGTGAGCTTTCGAATTTCTTCTTTATTGGCGGAATTTCGTAGGCCACCTCGACAGGCGATACTGGAATAGCATGGGTAATAAAATTTTGGAAAAGTACTTCACATGCTTCTGGTTCTGGGAAATCGTAGGTGTCGATTATACCCGTTTTTTCAAAACAGGCATTAAAGGCAGTAAAATTGTTGCTACAAAGTACTGCTCGTACTTGCAAAACAGTCCCCAGGATATCAGGACCTCCCATAAGCTTATCGTGCACCCATTGGACGCCCTTGCGGGTGAACATCGAAAAAGCAGAATACGCACCTAAATACGTGGCCCTCGCAGTTGGATGAACATATTTTTCCTCGTTGTCGATAATGTGGATTGATGGGGAGTCCCCGGAGTTATAAGTGGTATTTTCTGCTGCTGCTGCCTCATCTTGATCCAATTGAGTGCGAAGAAGTTCGATTGGTTGTTTTCGACCTGAGTGAGGCCGGTAACGGAAATCCTGTTCAATCTTTGAATCCTCGAACTCTTCAGATTCTCTATCGCTGCTTTCACCGGAATCGGAGTCACTATAATCCATTTGGGCTGATTGCATGGTGGAGCCTGGAGTTGCGGTTTTGTCGGCATTGTCGTTGGGCGTGCAAGCCTCGTCTCTGATCTGAGAGAGAATATTTTCCAGTTTCGACAAACGTTCAGATAGATCCACAAGAATTTTCCGATTTGATACTCGTGTTGGTGGTTTCAAGCGTTTTTTCGCCACATGGGAATAGGTACATGAACAGGACGACTTTACGCAATTGAAGCAGGGTTCATCTCCATCACATTTTATCTTTTTCGCGCGGCATGCATCGCATGCTTTAGATACTCTTCTGCGAAGCTGGTCATCATTCATCGAACACGCTTAGGATTTCGAGTTCTTGGTACCGTAAAGTGTTGGGTGATGGTGTTGAAAGCCGGGTGCTTTTAAGCCATTATCCCAAATCAAATTATCGCTATTAAGTTGTAATTTAGTTCCCAGATGGTCATTAAGGTAGTCGTAGTGTACGAGAGGGGTGTGTCAAGCTATAACGCACTATTTTGTATGGGATCGGGAGCTGTCATGGAACATCAGTTGATAGTCCATTGCTATGCGGTAGAACCAGTCGAGCTGGCGGAAGTTGAATGGGACCAGGAATGAGGATAAAATATAAAGGGTGTCATGTGCATTTTCAGTACTCTAGGAAAACGAGGAGGCTTTGAACCATAATTTGTTGCGAATCTGTGTCCCTTGCTCTCTTATTTAGCCAATACGACATGTGAAACAGATTATTTTCATCAAATGACTCCCCAATAAGGCCACATCGAACGAAATAGCCGCCTACCCCGCAAAACGAACTTTTTCGGCTCACCGTGTTCAAACTGTGTGGGCAGATACAGAAAGCTTATCTAGAGGAACGTATTGTTGTCATGAATTGTCCCACAATCAGGTGGATGGGAGAGCAGTTTTTTTGACAAAAATGGTGGAACTCGATCTGTAACATCGGGAACGTTCTTTCACGGATTCAGTATCCCCAGGGTCTTTTCAAAGAGATTCAGAGACTGCTAGTCTTCTGACACCATTCAATAAGTGCTTGAAACACACGAAGAACACAGCTGATTTCTCAACTTAAGGTGTTTTCTCTTGTGGATGTGGGTTTATTGATTTTCATATAAGCTGAATGGAAGTCAATTTTTAAAGTTTATTAGATGTGTTACATTCGAAGAAGATACTTGGAGCTGGGCCAGACCACTGTAGAAATCGTCTTATGGGAACAATTTGAGGCTTCAAAGACTGCTGCAAACTGGATTCCCATTGCACCATTACTCAAAATCTCTTATGCTAAAAATGAAGTTGGTCACTGTATACGAGCAATGTGATTTACATTCTGGAATTTCTCACTTGCGTGAATACAACCACAATCACATATCCAGAGAAACCGCGCTTTATGTTAACACACGGCTGTTTCCTCTAGCGTAACGTATTCTCCAGACCCTATATCTATACAAGCGTTATAACAATTAAAAGTGACACATGCGTACATAATGACATAAATCACCCGCCACATCTGACAACAATGTAAGGACTCTGCAACGAAGAGACATCCCACAAGAATTCTCAATTATTCAATCGCTACAGGTTTCTTCTCCTCTTTCGTATTGATCGGTTCGGATTTCTCGCTGTCACTTGCCAGGTCACATGCCTCTATCTCTCTCTATCTCTGGACTCCTGGCCAATCAGATCGCTCTATTACCGTCTCTTGTTACCCGGCCCTTATTGACAGCTCAAAATTTTCGTCTTTTTCTCGGATTCCCCGGTATAGATCAAAAAGTGTATAAAAGAAGAGCGAAATTGTGGTGGTGAAGTAGATACTTGAAAGTTTTTGTATTTTAGATAGTTTCCCCGTCAGATATCTTCACACAGATCTCTTCAACCGATACCTCAAAAATGGCTGAAACTAAGAAGCAATCTAACTTTGCCGTTGACTTCCTTATGGGTGGTGTGTCCGCCGCTGTCTCCAAGACCGCTGCTGCTCCTATCGAGAGAGTCAAGCTTTTGATCCAAAACCAAGATGAAATGATCAAGCAGGGCTCTTTGGACAGACGTTACACCGGTATCGGTGAATGTTTCAAGAGAACCGCTACCAACGAAGGTATCGCTTCTTTCTGGAGAGGTAACACCGCCAATGTTATCCGTTACTTCCCAACACAGGCTTTGAACTTTGCCTTCAAGGACAAGATCAAGGCTATGTTCGGTTTCAAGAAGGAGGAAGGCTATGTTAAGTGGTTTGCCGGTAACTTGGCCTCCGGTGGTGCTGCTGGTGGTTTGTCGCTAATGTTCGTCTACTCTTTGGACTACGCCAGAACCAGATTGGCTGCCGACTCCAAGGGCGCTAAGAAGGGCGGTGAGCGTCAATTCAACGGTCTAGTCGACGTCTACAAGAAGACTTTGGCTTCCGACGGTATTGCCGGTTTGTACAGAGGTTTCTTGCCATCTGTTGTTGGTATTGTTGTCTACAGAGGTTTGTACTTTGGTGGTTACGACTCCCTAAAGCCTTTGTTGTTGACTGGTTCTTTGGAAGGTTCTTTCTTGGCCTCTTTCCTATTGGGTTGGGCTGTCACCACCGGTGCTTCCACTGCTTCTTACCCATTGGACACTGTTAGAAGAAGAATGATGATGACCTCTGGTCAAGCCGTTAAGTACAAGGGTGCTTTCGATGCTTTCACCAAGATTGTCGCCGCTGAAGGTGTCGCTTCTTTGTTCAAGGGTTGCGGTGCCAACATTCTAAGAGGTGTTGCCGGAGCTGGTGTTATTTCCATGTACGACCAGTTGCAAATGATCTTGTTCGGTAAGAAGTTCTAAACTTGTTTTTTACCAAAACAAAAATTGCCATGAGCTACTTTTAACCTACCTACTCGGTAAAAAGGGCTCCTTGTACAAGAGCATAAACTCACACCATAACGGAGGGAAATGAAATTTTGTAAGTAATACTATTCTTGGATATCGTAAATAGTTTTTGATTAATTCAAGACTTTCTAAACATTTTATAAATTCTATGTTTATTTTTAACTTAGACCCATTGCTGGATAAAGGAAGGTTACTTTGTTAATATTCTTGGTTATCATTTTATTGATGATTTATAAACTCATGTAGTTCCCAAATGTGTCAATTTACTGTCCTCCGATTTTTACCTCCATATTGGTTTAACCTGTGTTGTACTTGTGCTCTTGGGAAGCCTGGTATTAGTACTATTTCTTGTCTCAGCTGACAATGTATAACTTGATTTCGATTTCGACATCGTTGTTTTTCGCGGACTTTCTTCCTGTCGCAGATTCCTCATTGTCTGCGATGCACGAATCGTAGAAGTTTTCTTTGGCGGCACCGCGGGGCCTTTCGTCGCACCAGCATTTGAAAGAGTTTGACTCGAATTAGATCTTGATACTGTACTTTGTTCGTAAAGACGGCGGAAAACTGAAGACGGAGCCACAACAGGTGGGGAAGGATGTGGTTGTGATAAAGTAGGTTGATTTGTGGTGGCTCCTTTTCTAAAAGATGACACTGACTTGTTGGCATTGTCTGGTTTTTTCAGCTTTGAGAAAATGGCTCCAGGCTTTGTCTCTCGGCTGATAGAAGTGAATGTGGGTTTTGCAAATGTCGCATGCGACTCAAAACTTGGTCTGTTAATAGGATTTAGAGGTGTATTTCGTACGCTGTTGATCTTGGCTTGATTGTTACGCGGCGTTTGGCTATTGTTTCGAACCCGGAGCCTTCGTATTCTTCTTGTGATGTCAGAAACCGGGCTGTGAACGAAAACATCGCTGTCACGACGCCTACCATCCAGGTCTCGCATTCGTTTGCTTGAGTTTTGAGTTACACCGTCAGATTCGCGTTTCGGTGTGGCCGGTACCGCCACGTTTTCCTTGAAGTTCAGATCAGTACTGTTCGGATCATTTGGTTGCAATGTTGTATCGTTTGTCGAGGCCTTTTTCGCAGCATAATGATCATCGATGGAGTCCATGGTATCAAAGTTTATACGGTGCGTGGATTGAAAGCGATCTCGCCCTCGATGCTCGTCGTGTTCCCCAGAATTGTGTATTTTTGAGATAGAATTGCATGCTTTAAAATTGGCTCGATAATCCAGTTCAGATAGCACCGAGTTACCCAAACGTTGTGAAACCCCCAGATCACTTATGACCTGGTTGTGGTAGCCCATTTCAGCGTTCATGACCAGGTCCAATTGACCCCCGTACTCTTTGTTTACCTTAAGAGATGTGATTTCTCGATGAGCTTGGACAGTTCAAATTTCCCTACCAGAGCATAGTAATTCATCATATACGGGTAAGGTAGTAAGTAGTACTGTAACTCACGATTCTGCTATAGTATTACAATAGGTAACTAAAAGTATTGACAGAGCTTATGAAAATGCGATTCTGGGGATAATTTAGGCAGTTTGACTCATGATGCGTTAAAACACACTAAACATCTGGTGAAGCGCCACTACTACAGTGCGAATATTAAGTCGCACAAGCCAACCAAAAAAAAATTAGTCTTTTCTTGACAAACTCTCTGTCTCTAATCTTGCTTCATTCTTTCTCCTCACGCCTCTGCTTCTCAGTCTCGAGATTCTTGAGTAGCATGGTTTCTGCCAATTTAACGCTGTTTTGATTATTGCCGGTGATCGTAAAAATACGGCTGTTGTCCTCGTTGGGCTCGTCGCTCACTATGACCTTGGTCTTGGTATATTTGCGCAGACTGGAAACACGGTTTCCGCCGCGTCCCAGTAGTGCACCGACAAACTCGACAGGTATAGCCACGTCTTTGGTGACAGAGCCCTCTTCTTGGCTCTTGGTATGTGGATAATACTGTTTTTCATTTGTAGGCTTCGTTTCGCGAGCCAAGATATCGCTTATGTCGAGCAGACACGCCGCAATGGATCCTGGGAAGCCTTGAATTTCGACTATCCGGTCTTGTGAATCGGGAAGGAAATTTTTCGATGCCACGACCTTAACGCCGTGTTTTTCGATCAGCGATTTTATACGCGACCCTTGTGCTCCGATAATCGACGAGACCTGCGAGTTCGACACGATCAGTCTTAAATTCCCAATTCTTTTTGAAGACTCCGGATCCTGGATCTCCGTTGCAGTTGGAACGGGTAAAATGAAGTTTAGGGGCTTGTAGGAGTGTTCCTCGGGCAGCCCGTCTTCTTCGTTGAGGATCTCCACTACGTCGCTGACAGCACTGGAAGCAGCTTGTGCGGAACCGGTACAGCTTAGAATTCTGTCTGAGCATCCTCTTTCGTGCGGAGATATCCCAATTTTGACGTTGTTAGACTCTCTAATTTTTTGAATGCTGACTCCTTGGGAGCCAATGACGCGTGCAGCCTCCTTAAGAGATACCAAGACGCGGAGCGTGGTAAGTTCTGGGGTTTCAAAATCTGCCATTGCCTTGATTTCTGTTCAGTTTGGGATATAGTTAGAGCGAAACGATTTTTGTTATACATTAAGAGAGAGAGAGGGTCATATTAAAAGAGTCACTGTGGACGAGATATATACTTAAGAAGTTTAAAGATCCTTATTTAAAAGAGACTAGGCCAGTGATGAATGTAGCGTAGCATTATAGCTTGAAAAGTCTTCACTAACGGCGGAGAACCTGATCAGTTACTCTTCTTGTGTACAGAGCGTCATATATATTATAACATCCCTATGATCACGTGATATAGTGACAGAACAGAGTAACGAAATATTCAAGAGACTTTGAATGACTACGATAGTTACTGGTTCTCTAATGAAAACATTTGTCTGGCTAGCACTGGTTTTATAGTGGTCCGAATTATTGTTATTGCACCCATATACGGTTTAGAATTTGTCACCTTTATCGACAATTAATGGTTCCCAAAACTATGTAAAAGAATACTGCAATCCACTCATAGGGCGCCCGCGAAAAAACCTTACCAGTGGATATATAAATTGAGAATGCTAAACTTCTTTCCGTAGAATACATTGCCAGACGTTTGAAAAGGCTATCAAACCACGACAATGGGGTTTGTCACATCGACACCACACAATTTAAATTATTGTGCGAAAAGTTGCACATTCGAAAAACACGAACCATCATGGACCATAAAGGCTCAATGACAGTTTTTGACCAGTGTATTTGATAACTCGGCTTGTCAATCGATTTAGATGCTCTCTTTATAAGAATAAGTAAACTATAGCCTAGAATATAGTGACGCATCAGCTGTGATTTATCACTTTATCTAGGATGAGTCGCTAAGAGCATGATCCCGTGACCCATAATCCATCGCTTCAACATTATTATACAGCGAAGCAGAAAGTGGGGACCTCAAAACCTATTAAAATAGACGTCTTTACCGTCATAGTTACTGAAACAGCAGTATATCAATCGTTTTCTTTTTGATTGTAACTTTTATCTGTACTGGCGCTGAAGCACACCACGTGACCATGCCGATTTCACTTAAAAAATCAGTCATGTCTAACCCAATTTTTTTTTGAAGTCTCTCGGCTTTCGAAGACCTCATTTAAAACCATCCATTGTTTGCAAATACCCTGACGAAATGAACTCAAATCAAATCCTCCACCACTTAACCTTGTATTGTAGTCGGTCACGTGACACAGTAGTAAAACTTTACCGCACCTTACTGACTGATACAAACTCTAATGCTAACGTGTTCATTACTTCAATACCCTGGATCAATTTCTTATCAATCTCCTCAATCCCAGCTTATTGACTCACTCTCTATTGTCATCACCTCTCACATTTTAGATCGTCCTGGGCTTACTTAATTTGTCAACGTTTACTAATTATTTGTATGGTGGACTTCTCGAGCATTGTACACGGAATCTCACAACCATTATAAGACTAGAATACGAGCCTGTGAGTAACTCAACTCACAACGAATTCTACCTTCTCAGACATTTCCTTGTTATCCAGCCATTAATCATACTTAAAATGACGTTGTCGTCAGAACCTCAAGATCCACTGCCGGTTGTAAAATGTGTTGCCAGGGCCAGAATACCAACGACTACTGGTCCTGATATCTTCTTACATCTATACGCAAATGACAGAGATACCAAAGAACACTTGGCTATAGTATTTGGAGAAGATATTCGGTCACGTACACTTTTCCAGCGCAGAAGAGGCGAAACTCAACAAGACAGGATGGTTAGGGGCGCCTATGTGGGTAAACTTTTCCCAGGCAGAACAATGGCAGACATGGATGAAAATCTGGGAATGAGCTTGAAATTCGATGAAACGTCAGGATCGCTTTTGGTAGATCCAAAAACCACCTGGCACAACCAGGATACACTGGTGCGTATTCATTCGGAATGCTACACGGGAGAAACGGCCTGGAGCGCCCGTTGTGACTGTGGTGAGCAATTCGATCATGCGGGGAAACTCATGGGCGTAGAACGCGAGGGAGACATAATAGGCGGTTCCGGACGTGGTGTGATTGTTTACCTCAGACAAGAAGGCCGTGGGATAGGTCTGGGCGAAAAACTCAAGGCATATAACCTCCAGGATCTGGGCGCAGACACGGTCCAGGCCAACCTCATGCTGCAACATCCAGCCGACGGGCGCGACTTTTCACTGGGACGTGCTATTTTGATCGATTTGGGTATCTCCAACGTACGGCTGTTGACAAATAACCCAGATAAAGTGTTACAAGCTGAATACCCTCCATACTTACAATGTGTGGAAAGAGTACCCATGGTCCCACTTTCATGGACCAGCGACCATGACGGAATTCACTCAGCAGAAATTGAAGGCTACCTCAGAACCAAAGTGGAAAGGATGGGACACTTATTGCAGCGGCCGCTGAAACTTCATTCTTCTGTCTCCAAGTCGAATCCCTCGACTAAGGTGACAACCCACACGCTTGTATGAGCAGGGAGTGACTGCAATATTACGCACACTCATGGTGTATTCACTTGGGATTAAGAATTTTTATGTAGTTAACGAAAACAGGTTTTTTTGTTTCCATGGAATGGCGGGGCCTATTGAAAACGAACCCTACACGAACGAGTGTGAATATAAAGCTTTATCTATCAGTGGCTGAATAGGATAATACAGACGATGACATTGTAGTCTGTGACACAACGTGCAGTAAACGATAGAATAATGGCAAGAAAAACGTTTACCTTTCGGCGCATTGTTCGGAAACTTATTCCAACGGCTGGTGTTCACAAGCTCATCCTTCCGCACGACGACCTTTCAAACTTCGATCTGAGATAGCAAGTGGTCCAAGGCTTCTTCCCCAACAGTTGCTACCACCTCAGTGTCTCTCATCACATATGCACAGCTCTTGTCCTCGTTCAACACAGTGGTAACGTCGATATTATGCTTTTTTTGTTTGGCAAGAAACTCGTCGTAACCCTTTACCGTAAGTAGCTCAACAGGAGCAGAGGCCAAAAAGGAGCCGGAAGATTGCGTAACTTCGCCGGTTTGTTGGTATAGAGCGCTCATAGTTTTGTGATTGATCTGTGGGTACTTCTGAAAGCCAAAAGCGTGGTCAAACTGGTCCTAAAAGCTGATTGGTATTTGTAGGGTCTGTATCATCATCAACTTTCCTTGCTCTTTGATTTGAAAGCCGTTAGTTTGATCACTGTACACGTAACACGCCTTTCCAGTTCTTCAAAGTTCGAAAGCATCAGTTAAGATCAACATATTCATATGTGTCCTTACAAATCTATCTAACAACCTTTAAAGCACAGAGAATTGCGGCTCAAGCTTAGTTCATTTTTGATTTGGTACGTTCATGTTTTACTTTTTCATGTATACAAAAAAGACGCAACAGTTTTGAGAGCCAGTGGAAACGAGAAAGGAAAAATCCTAGTCTTCAAACACTCAAATTATTAGAACTTGAATCAATCAGCTAGTCGGGTTTGAACGTTTGATCCTTAGCTCATAATAGTCACTGACGTCCTTCAGTTCTGTATCACTACACACGGGAGAGTCACTCTCGAGACGATCTCTTTCATTTGTGTTAAAAGTAGGGCATCGGCAACACAATGAGCTTTTTGCACAGACCCAGCGCCTTCTTGACCTCCTTGTCCCTCCTCTGAAATATACCCGAGATATGTCGAAAGTGCGAACGTTCTCTCTGTACGACGTTTTGGGAACGGACTCGTCTTCTGAGGACGAAAAACTTCAACTCTTAGCGGAGTTCAAAGGCCATGTCAAGAAAGAGCTGGTACACGAAGCATCCATACCTCAATACTTTGAATGCCTATGTGATATCTTGAACAAGAATAACGGCAGTCGAGGTGCTGAAAAAATATCTGTTCTGTGCCATTCCACGCTATGCTACTTGGTCAAAAGAGTAGCGATGCAATGTCCAACGGTTTTGAGCACGGAGACGATTCGCATGCTTATGATCCCGTTGCTGCGAACGGTGCACTCTGGAAGTAAACTATGGCTTGGATCTGTGAAAGCTCTAGAAGCTGTATATCTCGCACAGCCTGTGGCTTTTGAACAAACGCTTGAAAATTCACAGCTCCAAGGAAGCGATCGCGTTGCAACATTGCTGTTAACAGATGAGCTTGTACAGTTACACCAGCGAAATAACAGGAACCCATTGGAAATTTTGAACAAATTCACAAGCCTTTTTCTCGGTATCTTAAATGAACCACAGGGCTCCAGATTCCAGGATTATGAGCTCATACGGGATATCCTCGCAAAATACTACACAACTCAATCTATACAGGAGTTCGCTCGCAGAGTGAAAAACCCAGATATCAAGCAACTGTTTGAAGTGGCACCTGAGATCCCATTGGATCAAATATCAGTGGTAGATGATGAGGACGACGGCCAATTTCAAGACACACAAAACTCGGTTTTCGACATGGAAGGTGAACTCCGTAGGCTGCTTAAAGATCAACTCACATCAACTCTCCCGACGCTCCCAAAGAACTACAATAGTTTCGATGCTCTTCGAAAAGATCTGGAACATTTAGTCATTCCCTTCGCTTCTGCAAAAGAAACAGAACACAATTGGCGGCAAAGACAAGAATCTATGATCGCTTTGAGAGGAATAATTGCAGGCAATGCTTCCCTCGAATTTGTGGACGAGACTGTTGCTGCTTTCAGAGAATACCAAATACCCGACTGTATTTCGAAGGCAGTGTCGTCTTTAAGAACTTCTCTGTCCATGCATGGCTGCCAACTGGTTAAAGAGATGGCTAGAAATCTACAAGCCAAAATAAACCCAATCGCCGACGGAATATTCCTTTCCTTAAAGGTTGTTCTTTCGGCTACGAAGAAATTATCATCTCAGAACGCTTTTTACGCTGCATGTGTATTGCTGACGTCAATGCATTTTCATAGCAGAACTTTTCAATCTTGTTTTTTGCTTTCCAAAGATAAGAATGTCGCACCTAGGTGCTACGCCGCTTTATTTTTGCGTCTCTTTCTGATCAGATTCAACTCTAAGCTCGATCATTGTGTCATATACATCGAAGAGTGGATCAATAGAAGCGCTACAGATGCTCAAACAAAAGTAAGGGAGTCCATGAGAGTCACATTTTGGTATTACTACAAAGTATACCCATCAAATGCTCAAAAGTTGCTAGATGGGTTCCCATCACAAATACGACGCGCTGTTGAGTCTTCAGTTCCTCAGCATTTAGGCATTACTTACACTTCAAACAGTGTGGGTTCCACGGAAACGTCAAGAAGGTCTAGCATGGGACCGTCACGAACTCCAAGTTACGCAGGACCAACGCACTCCTCTCATGTACAGAGATTAAACTCAATGAGAGCATCGAATGGATATCAGTCTTCAAGCCGCAACAGAGTAGAAGAACCGGGCGTAAGGAAAGTGAGTGGCTCGAATAGAATCGGCGCCGCTGCAGCACGAAAAACTAGTACTTCAACAAGCAATTCAGAAAGAGTCACCCCGCCACGATCAAGTGATGATCACACTCAGATCGATTTGACTGGCGAAATCACGCAAAACCACTCCAGCACGTTAATCAAGAAATATATGCAGAGGCCGGTACAAGAGACTGCTCAGAGGGGTGATTCAGGAATTGAGTTAGAGAACATTAATCGTTGCCTATCATCGGAAGATCAGTCTGAAAAAGAATTAGGCATTCAACTTCTCCAAAACGTTTGTCTCATAGGTCTTCCGCCCCAGATAGAGAATTTAAAGCCAGCGGTAGTGCAACTCGTCTCAACAATGCCTCAGATACTAGCACCGCTTTTGCAGCTACCGACTTTTCTCGACTTACTTTCCACGGCGCAAGTTATCGAAAGTTTTGGCATAAATAACGTACCTGTCGAGGCGTTATTGCGACTGTACACGAAGGCTGATGTGATTTATGCGTTAAAGAGAGTATTCGATTCGTTTTTCCCCGTGGAAGAGCAATTACCTTTGCATTACTTGAAGTATGGACGTCAAATACTTGACTACGGATTTGATATACTTACTGAAGTGGCGAAGGATGATCTATCGCTGAATGAACCATTTTTGAAGCTATTGATAAACAGGCTTTTTGAACTATACGGCAAAGATTTTGATTTGACGAAGTATTTCAATGCTCTTTCATGCGTTTTTGCGTGGGGAAAAGACACATTCATAGTTACGCTTGAGGCTGCTCCCATTTTTCTTCAATCAAATATCGCGCGTGAGCTCGAGAAAAGGGACCCCATATTCCGCAGTAGCATACTCGGATCGCACTATGATCACACAGGCTCTAATTTAACCGAGGATAAGCTGTTTACCGAACTCACAATGATCAATCCTTTGACATACCAGAGATCTACAAGCGGCGACAGCGTAGCTATGCATGATTTGAAGGAACATCAGGACGAAAACATACCTGCTTCGAAATCCGATTCGGACGACGAATTTTCTCAAGACCCAGGAGGGTTTACCAAATTTGGTGGACTTTCCAAGCTTACCGAATTAACAAGGGTTGTAAGTCTTTATGAACATCACGAAAATGACAGTTCCGCCTCAAAAAATCCCAATTTGGATAGTGACGGCGACGCTAGAATGCGTAGTGAGTCCGTGGAACTGACGAGCAAGTCCACTGATGTTGATTTAAGCGATATATTCAATGGCGAAAAACCCCCTCCCAAGGATACCACAGTGAAGTTCAACGATATCCCATCTTTGATACAGGAGCATGATCATGCTTCTCTCGACACTGATAATCAAAGTGATAATGGAGACACCGATGCAACTATGAATACGGAAAACCGTGACGGCTCAAGCACAGAAAAAGACAAGGTGAAACCTGAAGCAATTTGCACAATACATTTGGCTAAGGGAATTAATGAGAACGAGCTCCCTGACCCGAACAGCTTATCTTCGATGGGGCCGATCGCTCTGGAGAAATTGGATGAGATTGCTGAGACGTTCGATTTTTTTGAATCGCTTTCCTCTAGCGTTGCACTCCGATTCGCTCTTCACAGTGTAGCAGCCTCTTCCACTGTGCCATACCGCCTTGAAAACTTAACTATGATGATAGCCATAATAAGAAAGGGCTCCTTCACAGATAGAGACTTGAAACTGCTGATCACTTTTTTAATGTCGGGCGCGAAAGAGAGCAGCTTCGTTAAATGGTTTCGCGCAGAAAATGGGTACCCTCTACTGCTGGAGATACACGACCTTCTTTTGAGATCTCTACACGACAGTCCCAACTTTCCCGAAACACTTGCTTCGAAATGTCTACTCATGTCAGCTTGTTTATTTGTTCTCGATTCAAGTCTTCCTGGAATCAGTACTGATACTCTGAAACAACTTGCCATGGAATACGCATGGGGCTGCCAACTCACAGTTGTTAAAAAGCTTGACAGCTTCGAAGATGAAAGCTACGTGATATGTGAAGAGTTGCGAGATTATATGATATCCCGTAACATCGTTAAAGAAAGCATTTTAGAAAAACTCGCTGCTGAGTTAGACATGAAAGATGGAACACTTGTTCAGCAAACATTTGTTCTAGCTTCGCTCAGCGTCCTTTCTCGCAGCTCGGCAACTCAGATTGGCAAAGATTTTGTCGAAGATGTGTCTGAAAGGGCTGTAAAGTTCATCGAAAGTGACCATTCCGAATTGCGCAAAGAGTCGACATTACTACTGAGCAGTCTTTACAGACTTGCAACAGCAGATGGCGATGCTAACTGGCATATTCTGAAGGATATGCCTCGAGGCCGAGCCGAGCTCATTACGTCGCTTCACACGAACTGGAACGCGTAAGGTTTTCGTGTTTTAATTCAAAATTATGGATGTCTTCTCGTCGGTTTTATCCAAGATGCCGAGGTCAACAGGACCGGAGAAAGCGCTAATAGAACACTCTAAGACCTTTCACGATACTCATGATGACCCAATCAAACGAACTGGTGGTAAAGTTCGGACGTTCTGTAGACAATCCGACGATTTTAGGCGCTTTGGAAGACCTGTGCAAGATATATTCATTAGACGCAGATGAGCTTTACATCAGGTGGGAGCAGTACTCCTATCAGAAGCAGAAGAAACTGGAAGACCTAGATCTCGAGGCGATCAGTGCTTTCAAGCATGCTATTCAGCAACAGGTGGAAAAGAAGGCTAATTCTATGGGACAGTCATCATCAGCTTCTTCGTCTGCGGTCAAAAAGACAAAGAATTTGAAGCCAACCATGTCAAGTCCTTCATTATTCGGATTAGGAATCCCCAAGACACCAACTGTAAAAAAAAGGCGGGTAGATTTCACGCCAACGGTCTTAAAAGACGAAAACTCTCCCGTGGCGTCTTCTGCAGGCCAGAATGATGCCTTTTTCACCCCATCCATGGGGTTGAACTCTATCAAACAGTCTCCTTCATCGGTATCGGCTATGCGATTGAACAATCCAGATCCCGGAAAGACTGTTGATACTTTGAACTTGGCAAACATGGAGGAGGCCAGAGGCATTGATTTAGAGAAGTCCAACAACATCAAGCTCGCTCCCTATTTCGAAGCTTCTAAATTCCATTTCAGAACAATGCGGCAAAATCTTTTAGATGCTGCTGATGTACTTGACGAGCAAATTGAGATTTTTTCAAACATTATTCAAGAGCATTACAAAATACCTGCCAGTGATATTGGAGACCCATCGGTTCAGTCTCGATCTGAAATTATAGCTGTAGGAAGAATTGTCGCCGATTCGCCTACTGCAGATGGTATCTTGAACACTGAGTCGCTCGCACTTGAAACGTCCAGACTTACTGGTATTGGCCGCCGGATACAGCTCAATCTTGGTCAAATCAAAGAGCTGACGCTATTTCCTGGCCAGATAGTTGGACTGAAAGGGAAAAATGCTAATGGAGAATACTTCGTTGTTGAAGAAATCCTTCAAATTCCCCAGTTGAATTTTCCGGTATCTACCGGCAGCGAGCTGCAGGCTTTCAGCGAAGCAATCGGACATAGCACAACGAAGGTGGTAGTCACAAAAGGACCATATACATCCTCAAGTTCCTTGGACTACAGTAATCTAGCCGATTTCGTAAAAAGAATAAACACAGAAATTCGTCCCAATGTCGTTGTCATGTTCGGTCCCTTCGTCGATGTCACTCATCCCTTGATTTCCAGCGGCAAGATAGGAGACTTCCCAAATTTAAAGTCCCAGCCCAAGACTCTTGACGAGATTTTTACAAAAGTAGTCACTCCTATCTTGAAAGAGATAAGTCCTGTGATACAGGTAGCACTAATACCATCTACGCTCGATGCAATATCCAATCATGCAGCATACCCTCAAGACTTATTTGATAGGAAGCAGTTACAGCTACCGAAAAATTTCAAGTGCTACACTAATCCTTCTACATTTCAACTAAACGAAACGCTTATAGCATGCTCAAATGCTGACGCCTTCAAAGATACAAAAGAAATTGTCAAGGGAGGCAATACGAGCTTGAAAAACAGGTTTGATAGGATTGCTGAACATATACTGTCTCAGCGCAGGTTTTACCCAGCTTTTCCAGGTGGACTTAAGAGGCGCAAGGTTCGCAGTGAGAATGGCGGGGAAACATGGGAACATGCGTCTGGCGTTGATATTGATGTGCCTTACATGGGTCTTACTGAGTTCTCAGGTAACATCAACCCAGACGTTATCTTGATGCCCAGCGAATTGACTCATTTTGCGCGCGTGGTGCAGAATGTTTTGTTCATTAATCCTGGCTCATTCATAAGATCGTCTGGAGTAAGGGGAACATATGCCCAGATATCTATAACTCCGCCAGATTTGCAGGATGGCACGCTTACCAAAGTTGAGGATGATGCAGATGTATATTTGCACAATATTTGGAAGCGGAGCAGGGTCGATATTATAACAGCGTAAATATCAAAGCATGATGTCTTTATGTAGGAACGATAAACGCTTGACGAATTTACATTCAAATCGTGGCCCGCTTCAATTCGCCTTCCCATCATAAAGTCCACTATTAAAGAACGTTATATAATGTTCAGAATTTCTTCTTGAGTTTGCCGAGAGGCGACAGTACTGCTTTAATTTTCTTCTTTGACGAAGGTGTCTTTTCAGATGACTTGTGTGCACCGTGAGACGTTTGAGAATGTTTAGTAGAGGCGGGGCTCGATGACTGATCTGATTGGTGATCTGCTTTTTTGGGTTGTGTATCATCATATGAACTAAATTCCGCGTCATCGTCTCGCTTCTCGTGCCTACCATTCTCTTGAGGTCCGGCATCATTTAGAATATCGGCTACATGCCCTCTGGACGTATCTGCCATGGGAGGGGGTATGAATTGTCTTCCCGCAATCGATTCATCTGACGGCGACGTGGTGACGACTTTCGGAGCAGGATGATCACGAGCATCGTCCGATTTGCTCGTTGTGGACACTTTGCGAGATCTTTGCTCGCCGTTCGCTGCTTGGTGTCCTTGACTTTCTACGTTGGAGGAAATGGATGCACTGCCCTGATCATTACGCAGATGATAGTTCTTCGACGTAGGTATAGTATCGGGAACTGTGGCCCCAGCCACAGGCGACATAGAAGAATTGGAGGACTTGGCAGTCTGACTCGGCTGACTAGAGGAAGAAGTCTTAGCATTTGAACTATGGGAACGATGTACCGGGGCGGTTGCATCAGTGTGGATAGGTTGAGAAGGCCGTCCGGCCTCTTTTGCCCTATTCGAGTCGGAGGAGATCTGACTCGTGGTGACTGAGCGCGAGGATCCACTGTATTGACTTTCTCTAGTCTTTGCTGGAGCCTTTGAGGCTACAGTTGATTTTGATTTTTCACCCTCGGTTGGAGGTTCCATAAACTGAGCAGTTTCCTTAACAACTTGGTTCAAATCGACATGTGGTGGTTCTTCAAGCTCCTTAGCTGGCACAAATTTGTTTCCGACACTAGTATCGCGGCGTCCTACGAATCCGGATATGACCAGGTAGCAGAAGAAGGTCAAGTGCTCAAACCCGAACGCCCCAACAAGGACCGTTCTCCAGTCAACTGGAACAAGGGAGTTCAAGTGCCAAGAGTCGCGTTTCTCTAATACATGTTGCAGACTGTCACCAGCAGGTCTCTTGTACATGATAACCAGCGCAGGTGAGACCAAAGCAGAAAGAAACAGCAGAAAATTCAAGATAACGCTCCAAAATGTCCCATTTTCCCCTAAGTCCTGCGATCGAGTAGATACCTTGCCCGGTTTGTTTGGAGCGGGACTGTTGATGACATTTTTGTTCAAATACCTCCAAATCTCTAACTTCATACTGAGGACATTGAAAATGACGCAACACAACGGGGCAAGAGGCCAAATGCAAGAAAACATCGCCACATATCCGAATTGAACACTAAGTTTAGTTGTCATCGCATTGATATCAAATTGTCCCCAGGCACTCAAATTAGATTGTGATGCTTGCTTCCACACCAAAGCGTCCTCAGGATACTCTTTAGAGACTTTGATTTCCGCCTTGTTGAGGTCAGAGTTGGGTTTGTCCAAGCCTTTTATTTTAGGAAGAGCCTTGGATATGATGAATGGAACAACATTCTCCACAGATAGAGCAATTACTTGTCCGGTAACCATGAAGAAGAAGTACTGGCTTTGATAACGACCTGTATTGACTCTGAAACCCGACTGTAGAACAGGAATATGGAAACGAGAACACAATTGAGCGATGGATTGCAATTGAGCATTAACTTGATGTCCCAACGGCAAGTAAACGAAAAGAGTGATGAAAAGAGGAACATAACTGGTCAAGAAAGCGAAAATGAACTTTTTCTCTAACCTCGACTGGACGGGATCCGCTGGTTTTTCCCACGAAATCAGCTTGTTCAGAACAATATCGTAAACCATTGTCAAGACGGGCACGTAGGCTGAGATCAATATGGTGGGGACGAGCGCTAAAATTGCGGAGAAGGGCCCCTGGTAGATTTGAGTGATGAAAATTTCCAGCAAAAAACAACCGAATTGGAACGCAATGAGACAAGCTGCGAATTGCAGTGCTACAGGAATGAAGCATAGTTTTTTCGCAAATTCAGTCTTTGTCAAAGGTGTGATTTGAGATTTCGATGGTGCATAGTGCAACCTAGCGGTATAATATGACCTGATCTTCTTTTCCCAGGTAGTCACAAAACCTATAGCCCATAAAATAACAAGAATAATATAGCTCATGTTGAATTCCCACACAGAAGGTTTGCCGGCAAAAAGTCGATATGCAATACCTACAAGAGCCAAGGGCATCAAAGAACGCGTATAATACTTTTCAAACGCCAGATACAAGCCGAAATTGGGCGATCCAGTGGTTTTCACAAGTTCCTCCAGACCTTTATCGGATATCATTAAGGACCCTTTTACTAGTCGATTTGCCAATTTTTGCCTCTCCTCTTTTGCGGCGGGCGAAAGGATTGCCACCACATTCACCACGTACTTCAACTTTGATACAATCTCGGAAACCTTGTCATTTGGATCGCTCACAAACACATACACAAGTCCGGCTTTATGACCCGGTCTTGTTAAAGCATGTAAACCTTTAGCCGAAAGTTCTGTCAGCACTTCTGAGAGGTGTTCTTTCGTGTATTCTATGGTCACACACCAATTGGCACCCAGAGACGTTACAGAGCTCATGGCAGGGCTTGAATACTGTATAGCAGGCCTGAACTCAAGTTGCTGTCAAGTGGGGCGAATTATAGAGTTGCAAAATGTACTACTTTATTGTTCAAAGGATCAAGATCACTTTTTCGCAAACTGACACTATTTGTAAGAGGTTTAAGATACGTGGCATGAATGCTAGTGAGCCAGGTGAGGAGAGATAAATGGTGAGGTTATTTGTAATTCCTTCGAAGACTTCGAAGAAGGTCTCTTTTGAAGCGAAATTGGTGCTTGTTTCGGCTCTTAGGTTGTTTTGGGCTTTAAATGCATTGTTTTGGAGTTTCGAGAGCAGCGAGTACGCGGAGGAAAAAAGTCAGAGACTATTAACGCTTCAATATGATATCTCTGTTGGAGATGTCATATCGAGGTATTTAAATATCGAGAATCAAAGATGACATTTTAAGAGATAATTGAACAAGCGTTTTTCGCCCCGCTTGTGCTGGAACCTGACGGGACAAGGCAAAAACTGTTTTGGAAATTTGAATTTCAACTGGTTCGCAAGGGAAGGTATGGATTTGCTTTTACAACTGAATAAGTAGCTAGCTCATCGCTTTTGGTTCGTAATTTAGGTCACTACCAACGACAGTGTCGTCGGCTGTACGCGACAAAACAATTGACTGGATATCATGGAAACGGGGGCATGTTAAATGCGTAGCGTTTTCTTCGGAACCAAGCAACAATGTACTTGTCATTCACAAGCCAATTTTCATTTGATTTCATGGTCGTTTGACCTAAGAAAGATAGAGCACGTGACTAAGTGACAGACGACGCGTCACATACAAAGTGATCTCGACAAAAGCATTATGCCCTGAAGCCACTTCAAAGCCAACGTGTGGGAATGAAAATGGTCGATATACAAGAGCTGGGCTGACCATCTAGATTTGGCCCTTTGTATCGATCGAGTAATTGTAACCTATGCGTTTCTCCGCAGTGTAAATTTCTAAAATATCGAAAAGCCTCGTATCGAGAAAAGTCTCCAATCAAGGATGAATCCAGTATCAAAGAAGGTTAGTATACACCAGTCTTGAGCGGTGAAAAAGTGATATTCAGCTCATTAACCCACCGTTTCAGCGCTCAGTTCTTAAGCTTAAACAACTTAGCGAATATTCATATCACTATATTCTAACGTGTCGTTAGAATAGGCCTGTGCTATCTATCTATCTCATCGTTCAACCAAAATCAAGAGCGATGAGAAGCGGCGTACCTGATCTTCCCTAGAAGCGTGCATTGAGAGTGAATTTTATCGCGACCAGTGGTCATTGTATGCTGAGAAACGTTTTCAAACGAACCATGGCAGATTCAAGACCACAACAATTGATTGCTCGCTTTAACGCTGTGAACGAAGAGGTGTTGAACTATGCCACTCAAGTTGGCAACAATAACGTCTCTTTACTGGCAGTTTCGAAACTCAAACCGGCTAGCGATGTTCAGATCCTGTATGACCATTCTGTTCGAAGTTTTGGTGAAAATTACGTCCAGGAACTGGTGCAAAAGGCTTCAGTTTTGCCAAAGGACATCAAGTGGCATTTCATCGGCGGGCTTCAAACCAACAAATGCAAGGACCTTGCTAAAATTCCCAACTTGTTTGCGGTAGAAACTATAGACTCGCTAAAGAAGGCCATAAAACTAAACGAAGCTCGCGCTAAATTCAACCCGGACGCTGACAAGATCCGATGCTACGTGCAAATCAATACTTCTGGGGAATCTCAGAAATCTGGACTTTTGGCTGAAGATGAGATATTTGAGACAGTGAAGTTCCTACTATCGGATGAAGCTGCTCATCTCGAGTTGAGTGGTTTGATGACGATAGGATCGTGGGAAGTATCGCATGCTGCTTCCGAAAAAAATCACGACTTCGAAGTCTTGGCTCAATGGAAAGCACAACTTGATGCCAAGTTTGGAATTGATCTGAAACTATCAATGGGCATGAGTTCCGACTTCAAACAGGCCATTAACCAGGGTACCTCCCAAGTCAGGGTTGGCACCGATATTTTCGGTAGCAGACCTACGAAAAGTTGACCTAACTATCAAACAAAAATATGGCTAGAGCTGTTCATTGTAAAATCACAAAAAGCTAATCGCATTGTGATTTAGTCTGAGATAGAATTTCTAAGTTGTAATTATAGGTCAAGTAACCTAAAGAATATGCAGTCATTTATCAAAACCTTTATGCAAGTGCTGCACATACACATTGTACGATAAATTCAGAAAGCTGACCACCTTTAGTAGTCTTGCAAGTGATATCTACCCCATCCGTTTGCCATCTCAGTTTTAGAAGAGAACCCGAATTACCATCATTTTTAGTGTGGACGATGCCCGCTGCAAAAACCGTGTCTACTGCAATTGCTTGATCTACGACATCAAATCCCATTTTCTGCATACAAGCGCCGATTTGTTCGAGGGTTTGAAGCGAATTTGTTTTAGTATGGTACTCACCGCTTCTGCCTAATGCATCACCGAGAGCTCTCCATCTTTGAACAAATTGTGAGAGGCTGACTTGTCCTTTGAGTGAGTCTTGTCCAGTGGAAATCGTATTTGTTATTCCAGCGGCAACCTTTAAAGATATCTCACTAGTATGCCCACCGCACTTGAAGCTCACGTTGAGTATTGGGCTTTGTTCCACTGGGCTGGCACGTCGTGTAAGTATTTCAAACCTATGCGAGGTACGCTCTCCCTCCAACAGTTTTAAATTAGGTACGCTGAGAACCTTCATAATATAAGGCGGGTCATTATCTGTTCTGATCGGTATTAAATCGGTTAGCAGCGAGGTTATTGGCTGATCCGAAATATTGACATATGTCAGAACTACCTCTAAAAGTTCTGGTTGCGCCGGCGCAACGGAAAGACGATATAGTATCTTCAAAAAAGGAGATGTACAAAACACGCCCTGCTTGTGTCTGAGCATCCTTCTGAGCCCTTCCTGCCAACCAGCAGCTAACTGCTGGTCTTCGTATTTTGCATTACGCGAAATTGTCTTGCTTTTGCGAGTGGGAGGAGGAGTTGGAGCGGTGGAAATGCTGTTAGCAGTGGAGAAGTCACTTGTGGAGTCTGAACTGCTCAATACGGAGCCACCCAGACGGCTTAATAATGGGTTCCTTTTGCTATTGAATGGTACCATGGGCTCAAACAAGGCTTCCACCAATCTGACACCGCTAACTTTCTCCAGCTGGATTATCTTCAGGTATTCATAAGATCTGGTTTGAAGCTCGACATCCAGCGAATTCAACTCTAACTGGTAGAACTTTATGACTGCAGAGCCGATTTCTCCATCCCTCTTGTATAGCTTCATCATTGTTGTTAGAATCATGGCACGACAGAGGTTGGAAACCGAGAAATACTTGTCAGTGAAGAGATTGAAAATCTCTCCGCAAGATGTATCTGGTGCGAGCAACTCTGCGTATTCACCAAGAATGAAGGCACTGGCCTTGATGATTGCCTCAGAAACATTACCACGTTGGCGCAAATATTCGAGAAGACGCCTACAAGTTAGCAATTGAAGACTTTTGTTGTTTACCACGATCTGGCAAATTCTTTGCCATATATCGCTGCTGCCCAGCGAGGATGTAGGAAGTGCCAATAGATCAAGGGAGACAACTACGTACCAAGTGGTATCTGTGGCGAATTTTTCGGTCAATACAGCAATTTTGACCGAGACGTCCGTTCGTATCGAATTGTCACTTTGTCTAGCGTCTGTCATAAATTTAAGCAGAGCATTCACGATTGGTTGAACGTTACTGCTGTCGGCCAATGTATACAGTAGATCGACTAGCTTTCGTAGAATAGACGTATCCCTCTCGATAAGCAAAAGACCGAACAATTGGTCCATGTGCTTGACGCGCACGTCGTCTCTGGCACTTTTCCCACTGACAGAACATAACTTGATAAGACAATCCAAGGTAAGATAGCGAGTATTGATTTCTGTGGACGCAAGAAGCGAACATAGTGCACTGACCGAGCTTACGATTGCATCAGTTGAAGGATCCAACTTGGAGGCAAAGTTGATGAGCGAGAACAAAATCGTGTTTTTAACAGTGCGTGCAACAGCATCAAGGGCCGGCTCCGTACCAATTTCAATTGCCTTGGTAACAGAAGTTCTAAGCTTGCCTAAGGTCCCTTGGTCAATATTGCTGAATGTGGTTTCGCCAGAAGAGCTTGAGGGCGAACTTATCAAAAAGTTGAGAATTGCGACTATTTTAGTGACCAACCAAGGATTGGGCATGCTTTGTTGACCTGACAGGTCATAAGAAGCCTCACCCTTCCCCGTAATGCAATTGTAAAGTATGTCGGAAAGCTGTGGAATGAGCTTGACACATGCCTGTCCGTCGACTTCACGAGCGATATAGTCTATCAGAGGAAGCACTGATATCATGAGTCTGTAGTTCGTGGAGTCGTCCAAGAGGCTTGTAATCCGCTGAATCCATAGCTGTTTGCGTCTTGCATCCTGGGTCAAAATGCTTGAATCATTGCGTATCAGCGCCAAAAAAGCCAGAGCTGATTTTTTCTTGAGAATTTGCGCTGATGTAGGCGATCGAAGCACTTGGAAGACCTCGTGTATGAGCTCAGCAGTTAAGCGTGAATCAAATTTGCCCACCACCGCTAGAAAATTCAACGCCAAAGACACAGAATTGTCGCTAGTGGATGCTAAATCGTGCTTCAGCTGTTGAATGATCCGGTCTCCAGCTTGTTGGGCAACGGTAGGGCTGCAATACAGCATTTCCAGGGTCATGTATGCGATGAATTTTTCTGAGTAAATCGAGGAAGCCATGAGTTCGCAGCACTCTTCCAGTCCAAACATCACGTCTGCAATTCGCGTGGTGTTCGTAGCTATCAAAATATATGCCAGCTTTGCAACATATTTCTTGCGCTGATACCCGTTCATGGACGAGGCCATAAGTGGCGAAACGCTACTGCCCTTACCCCGTTCCTTGTCATTGTTTGCTCCAAACTGCCTCCTGATATTCACTAGTTCTGCTTGAATCCGCTTTTCTCGGTCTTCGGCGTGGACTGAACCTCTCAGGTCTGCAATAAACAGCTGCAGACCCTTCATACTGTTGTGACTACGGTTATTACTGGTGGCGGCCAGCATTTTGACGCTCCTGGATCACCAATTGAGCTATTGGAACACGTAAATGGCTGAACAACTGTAAATGGAGAAGCCTTTGAGATATTATATATGGAAAGTGTCAATTATTGAATATGTAATATTCGTAAAGTGTGACAGAAAAGGAATGCGTCCAAAATGATACAAAGCACGTGATGTGATTACATCAGCTTTAATTTTAATTTGTCTAAATATATGTAAAGAAGAAATACTAACCTCGCTCGCGAACAACAAGTTTACTTGGTTTGTTCCCCCCCCAAGCACCATCAAATCAGCCTTCTCAAAGTCAATTCTCAACGCCAGATGTCTTTGTGGGTTGATAAATACCGTCCCAAGTCTCTGGACACGCTTTCGCACACTGCTCGTCTCACACATCTCCTTCAATCACTGGCTGTAGAACCAAGAGATCTACCGCATCTTCTGTTTTATGGACCCAATGGGGCAGGAAAAAAGACGCGATGCATGTCACTTTTGCAATCGATCTTCGGAAGCGGTGTCTACAAGCTTAAAATCGACGTTCGACAGTTTACCACACCGTCAAATCGCAAGCTCGAATTGAACGTGGTTTCCAGCCCGTTCCATCTGGAATTGACACCAAGCGACATGGGAAACAACGACCGAGTAGTGATTCAAGAACTACTCAAAGAAGTGGCGCAGATGGAACAGGTGGATTTCCAATCGGGCTCCGCTGCTGAAACGGGTGGCCTGGCTCATAGATACAAGTGCGTGATAATCAACGAGGCAGATGCTCTCACACGCGATGCACAGGCAGCGTTAAGAAGAACTATGGAAAAATACTCCAAAAATATACGGTTTATCATGCTATGTGAGTCCATGTCGTCAATTATCGCTCCCATAAAATCGCGTTGTTTGCTTGTAAGGACCCCAGCTCCTACTGCACAAGAAACGGTTGAAATTTTAGCCAAGGTTGCCAAAGATGAGCATGTTTCGGTGGAAAGTGATGCTATATTGAGGTCCATATCGGACAGCTGCTGTGGGAACCTTAGAAAAGCCCTTTTGACGCTAGAGTCAATGGCGCTCAACAACGAAATGGCTCTGAAATCAACTTCGCCGCTCATTAGGCCAGACTGGATGGTCGTGATTTTGAAAATGGCCAATCGCATAATTAAAGACCGTTCGGTGTCCCAAATCGTCGAATGCCGTTCCACCCTTTACGACCTTTTGGCTCATTGTATTCCAGCTAAGGTCATCATACAAGAACTCACATTGGCTCTCATGAAGGAGGTCCGTGAAGACGAGCATAGACTAGGAGTAATAACGTGGGCAGGCGTATTTGACGAAAGACTTTGTTTGGGAAACAAACCAATTTACCATCTCGAGGGATTTATCGCAAGAGTGATGTGCGAATTGGACAATTGAAATGAAGCACATTAAGACGATTCCAAAGCTGCTGGGAACGCCATGACACGAAATACTTTATTTCCTCTTTTTTTATTTTTTTTTTTTTTTTTTTTTTTNNTTTTTTTTTTTTTTTTTTTTTTTTGTTTTTGGGATGCCCAACTAACGGGGACAATGCAATGAGGTTGATATGTATAGTATTTACAAGAACTAGGCCAGTTTTAACGTCCTCTAAACATTCGGTATTGTGGCAATTTGGATTTCTGTTCGTTCAGGAACGCCTTGGTGGGGTTCTTACGCAGCTTCTCCATGTAGTTGACAACGGGGTCGTCTTTGGTATTTTTGAAGCTTTTCAAACCTACCCTAACCAGAGAGTCTGAAGAAACGAATTCGAAAACACCTGGCAGTTTTGTTCCAGCTTTTCTAAACGCCTCACGGGCCACTTTTTCGTGTAGATCATCGCCGCCCATTTCGAAGATGATTTTGCCCGTAGGTACACGAACCATCCAGTGGTCAAACCCACCTTTACCTTTTCCCATACGGGTTTCGTTACCCTTGATACAAACGGCGATATTCGTACAGAGTCTTTTCCACAATTGACCATTTGTCAATGGTCTTACGTATCTCATAATAGCATTATCGGCCTCCTTTAGTTGCTGTGCCGTCAGTCTCACACCTTCTGATTTCAAGCGGAGTCCAAACGTGCCGAACTGGAGCGTTGAACCCTTCGTGGACCCTCCTACACGTACAGGAACTCGTCCTTTTTGCCTTTTGCCAACATCTTTGAATCTGGGCGCATATTCGTGCGTGAAGCGTCTCAAAACAAGACCAGGACTGGAGACTTGGCTCCGAGACTTCAAAAGGCTGACAAACATTGTCGTTTTGAACCGCGAAACCGGAGAAAGTGGTGAATCTTGTCAGATCTTGACAGCTGTGGATGGAAAGAGTGTTGATAGCCATAATAATGGCCAAATTTTCAATACTTTAAATCACACTATACGTTGAATGCGACTTGTAAGAGAAAACGTCTTTGTATCGAAGACTTAGAAGCTTCAGGTACTGATATCTGCTGCTCTAGTGTTACTGGAAGTATTTCTATCGAATATTTCTCGCACTACACAAGTACTAAATCAAAAATCACACCTTCTTATTTTGTCCGAGTTGGTCTGCTCTCGTTGTTGATCACTGATATAACACATCAGCATCACCATGACTGAAGAGCAAAGATACCAGTGCAAAGAGACTGAAGAGAGACCTATTCTTGCACTTCTTGTCATATTATTCTTTGTCGTTGAATGCTCAAAAATTTGTCACTTTGTACTATTCTGTCGCATTTTCATGCAGAACGTCTCACAGATCCAAGAAGTAGCGAAAACTGGTCAAAACCTTGGGTTATATACTGTTATGAAAACGAAGGGCCAGATCATTTGCTATACAAAGGCTAGCTACAGCTGGTTTACAGATGTGTTATGACTATATCGTTTTTTCCTTTCGTGTCTGGTCAATATATTCAAAATCACTGTCAGTTAATGAGAAAGTGAACTTCATGGCTCGAAGATCTGTAGAGTGGTGCGAGACGTTGACCACCATAGAATCCCAATGAACCATTCTAGACTGTTCTTTTCACTACGAGCTTTGACTTCTAAACGATTGTTTCATGGTAAGCCACAATTGAAGATTAATGGAGTCGTCTACGATACGCATTCTGATTTCACAAATGTGTCTAGCACAATCTTGAATTTGAGTGACCGCTCACTGCATCTCGAGCCTGCTCATCCAATTGGGGTCTTGAGAAAGCAGATCGAAGATAAATTGAACTCAACTTCAAACTCTTATCAATATTATAACGATTTTCGTCCGGTGGTCACAGTAGAAGAAAACTTCGATTCGCTTGGCTTCCCGGCAGACCATCCGGGAAGATCCAAAAGTGATACTTATTATGTTAACGACAAATATTTGTTTCGAACTCATACTTCCGCCCATGAATTGGAGTGTTTTGGTAACATCCAAGGATTTTCGCCCAGGACTGAGAAAAGAGCGCCCACTGAGAAACCGGGATTTTTAATCACCGCAGATGTTTACAGAAGAGATGAAATCGACAGAACGCATTATCCGGTATTTCATCAAATGGAGGGTGCTCGTGTATGGAAAAGATCAAGCGAGAAGAGTTCGGAAAGCCACGAACCGCTGCACATCCAAAAGATACGAGATGATCTGTGTAAACTGGAAAAACAGCTACGCGAAGAAAGCAGCAATTTGGTGGTCGAAGATGACAAAAGTTTAGAAAGCAACCCGAAACAGGACTACATGTCAGATTTGGAAGTCGATTTGTGTTCTCAGCATCTCAAGAGGACTATCGAGCTTTTGGTAGCACAAGTTTTCAACAAGAAGCTACAATCCATGGGTAGCGAAGACCAAGGCGCTCAGCTCCAAGTTCGCTGGATCAAAGCTTATTTCCCTTGGACTGCTCCTTCATGGGAAATCGAGGTTTTCTGGAAGGGTGAATGGCTCGAGCTTTGTGGGTGTGGTCTTGTTCGTGAACAGGTCTTATTGAACGCCGGATACGAAAAAGACTCTACGGTTGGCTGGGCTTTTGGGCTTGGACTTGACAGAATAGCCATGTTACTATTCGAAATCCCTGATATTCGCCTTTTCTGGACCCAGGACGAAAGATTTCATTCGCAATTCCACGAGGGCCAAATCACAAGATTTCAACCTTATTCCAAGTATCCAGGCACAACACGGGATGTTGCATTCTGGCTTCCTGAACAAAAAGAGTCATCTCTCATCCACGAAAATGATATCATGGAAATAGTTCGAGAAGAGGCAGGCGATATGGTTGAAAGTGTGAAACTCATTGACCAATTTACACATCCCAACAGCAACAAGAAATCCCTCTGCTATCGAATCAATTATCAATCCATGGACAGAAACCTGACAAATGAGGAAATCAACAAAATTCAGGAAAATGTGCGCAGCCAATTGGTTCAAAATTACAAGGTGTCATTGCGTTGATAAGCTGCATCAACACCAGTCCACTGACACTTCAACAAGTTTCGTTGGAACCTAGCTCGAATGCCGGTACCGGCGTTTTCTCGAACGCCCACGTATTAAGTGATACCGTTAACAATTGGACCTTTAAGATGTAAATTCACATCTTGAATGGTCACTTTACGGACCTTGAATCCATCCCATAAGACCAAGTCAAGCCCTTGATATATGCATTCGAAGCGAATTGTTGTTTTATATGGATCTGAAACTGGGAATTCCCATGAGTTCGCCCATGGATTCTCTTTCAGACTTCACCAATTCCATTTTGCTCACACATTTGCTTCGATGGGCAACTTCCCAGCGGTAGACATCTTACAGTGTCGATACCTATTTCTAATATGTGCAACTACTGGACAAGGAGATTTGCCACGCAATGTCAAAGAAAACTCGGCTGGTGAATCCAAGGATACTTTATGGGCATTTTTAAAGCGCAAGAATCTTCCGAAGGATTTTCTTAGCCACGTAAATGTAATGATGATTGGTCTTGGCGACTCGTCTTATCCGCAGTTTAATTTTGCCATCCGGAAGCTGCATAAAAGAGTGGTTGACCAGTTAGGAGCAAAGGAGATTTTTCCAAGGTTAGAAGCCGATGAGCTAGGCATGGTAGGAAGTAACGGCGGAACAGGAACTGGAACCGAGGCCGTGTATTTTGAGTTTGAAAAAAGGGCACTGAACTGTTTGCTCGAGACATTCCCTTATAGAAAGGTTCATGGTGAACGCATCAAAAGAGAGCCCATGGTAGAAGATACGTTCATGCAACCTGATTACAAACTCTGTCTTTCTGAGAGGAACTATCAAACACTTCCGATATCTGCTGGGAACCAATTCATCAAGAACGGTAAGGTAATTCGTAACGAGAGAATCACACATTCTGACCATTTTCAAGATGTTCGCCAGTTCATCTTTGAGACAAATGGTGAGGACTATGAGCCGGGAGATACCGTTGCAATATATCCACATAATACGGATAAAGATGTGCAAAGCTTCTTAAACTCCCAGCCGCACTGGCTTCATGTAGCGGACCGCCCTCTCCAAATCGAGGGTGTATGGAAAGTCCATGACCGCTGCTTTATGGAGCCACTGACACTTCGAAACATCTTAAAATACCACTGTGACATAATGAGCATACCGCGGAAATCTTTTTTCATGAAGGTATGGATGTTCGCGAACGACAAAAGCAGGTTGGAAAAAGGCGAAGAACAGCTAATCCAGCAGCGAGATAAACTCCGCCAATTCGCTTTTGATGAAGATCTCGATGATTTATACGACTACTGTAACAGACCTCGGCGATCTTTACTAGAAGTTCTGTGCGACTTTCCGTCCCTAAAATTACCTTGGGAACATATCTTGGCGTACCTACCAATTCTGAACCCTAGATTGTTTTCAATATCAAGTGCGCCTTCCGATCCCAAAATAGAGCTTACCGTGGCCATTGTCAAATATAAGACAATCCTGAGAAAAGTGAGACGAGGCGTTTGTACCGATTACTTACAAGCTCTTCAAGAAGGTGATACACTGAAATACAAAGTTCAGAAAAATCATCTGCTGAAATCCCAGATGCAGCAATTTCCAGTCATATTGGCAAGCCCGGGAGTAGGTTTAGCGCCTATGATGTCATTAATCAAATCCAATTTTTTCAAAGAGGTTCACCTCTTCTTCGGGAACCGAATTAAAAGTAAAGATTTTCTGTATCAGGAGCAGCTCGAAAACTGGAACAGCACGGGGAAGATAAAGCTACACACATGCTTCTCGCGCGATACGTTAAACTCTCCTTCTGCAAAATATGTGCAGGACGTTATGTGGGAGGAAGGGCGAAGTTTGGCGGATCTCATCTTGAACAGAAAGGCTTTAATTTACATCTGCGGCTCTTCCGGGAAAATGCCAGTTCAGGTGCGGTTAACAATCTTGGAGATTCTCAAAAAGTGGGGTGGTATGTCTGACTCGGATGAGGCCGAGGGCTACCTCAGGACCATGGAGAGAGAAAGGAGGTATCTACAAGAGACATGGTAAAGGTTAAACAAAATCTAAAATGTCAACGGGATTTCGTTGAAGAATTATTCGATGAATTGAACTGCTCAAGCAGCGTTTAAGACTGTTCGACCTCCGCTGAGCTGTTAAGACTTATTGTCAAAGCGTTATTGGCACTCAATTGGTGTTATGAGATCACCAAGAAAATCTTAGCATAAAATGATAGACAAAAACGAACATTAAACTGACTAATAAAACTTAAACTCCAACCTTTTAAAAATTTTTGCCTGTCACGAAATCGGCGGTGACCTGCACCCAAACCGTTCCCTTTGGCAGCTTAAAGGGATTAAAAGACCCCTCTTTGGTAACCATTCGTTCGACAGAGGTAATTGTACCCACAAACCAATCTCTATCAGCTGTGAACTTTTTGTTATCCTTCAAAAAGTATCTCGTTGACTCGTCGAATGCCGTGAATGCAGCCCAGGGGACTAATTTGGTACTGCTAGTTCCATCTTTGGTACTTTTTCCCTGGTTATGCTCCCCTTTTTGCATTGTGCTGCCACCCGGGGGAGGAGGTGTCGACAAATCAACTGAGGAAAACGATGAAGCGAGAGACGACACAGAGGACGAAACAGAGTCAGGAACATCTCTTGTCGGTAGAAATAAAGCAGTGTCTCCAACTTGAAAGCTTTTTACAGTTATTTTCTCCCTTTGATAAGTCTCTAGTAAACCTCTTTTGAATTTATTTTCCTTAGTGAGCTTCTTAGCAAGAGCTTCAATATCCTTAAACCGTTTGATAACAGAAGATTCGTAAAGTTTGCTACCAAATAGCTTGTTTATAGCTGCCAAAAGATCGTTTTGGACCTGAACATTATTTAGCTCATGAGAAGATTCAAAAACGTTCTTCACATCCTGGAACACTGCACTTTTTATGGTCGTGGGTCCTTTCAATTCCACAGCGCTTTCAAAAATGTCGCTTTGGCCCATTCCTTTTCGAAGACCTTTGACACGCGCTATTTGGAAGTTGAGATCCTCAGTGCTCGAAAGCAGCAACCCAATATTTTCCAGAATATAGACAGCACCGGCGAAAAGCTCGAAAATTCTTGTGAGCATATCGTGATTGAGCCTTACGTACTGCTCGCGATCTTTGGTCTTTTCCTCTTCCTTTTGTGTTGTCGCCACAATTTGACTGGAACTGAGCTCCTCGTTGTGGGCTCTTAATGATGCGACCTCTTTTTGCAGTCTAACCACTTCCTCTGACAAAGTCATCTTTGCTTCTTCATATTCCTTCTCAATTCTTACCTTATCATTTGAAAGCTGTTCCTGAACTTTTGCCTGATCCTCGCATTCTTTCGTCTGATGTTCACATTTCTCTTTCAACGATGCCACTTCGTTGATTAAAGATATATTATGTTCGCCTAGACGCAAAACCTGGTCTTTGAGTTCCGCAACTCTGACAGATTCCACACCCTCGCTCTTTTCTTTTTCGGACGTCAGCTTAAAAATTTCCTGATTCAAGACTGAAAATGTTTCCCTGTAAGCATTTCGCTCATCCTCAAAATCTACACCCTGTGTTTTGAGCTTCAAAGAATCCTTCTTTAATTGCTCCACCTGCCCTCGGCATTGTTCCAGTTCTTTTCGTAGCTGTGCAACATCTCCGAACTCTTCAATAGGCAAATTGGACAGGGTTGTATCTTTTGAGTCAGCGAGGAGCATTGACATCTTCACATTGACAGCTGCAACATTATTTTCGAACGCTGGCAGCGAAGCACTATTCAGTATGCCTGAAGGCCAAGAGCGTAAATTTGAGTATTTCGCGTCGTGAAGTAAAGATTCGAGCTTTTTAATCCTCCGCTGATAATGCCGTACAATGTCGCGATCATGCTGGGCATGCTCTCCTGAAAAAGAAGTACTCCCACGTAAGGTTGACTTAGCAACAACTGAGAAATTTAATGCCGACTCCAGGTTTTTTTGCAGCAGCGCTAAGCTTTCGGCAGAAACATCATTCTCAGAAAGTTGTAGTAAGTAGCTCTCAATTTTGTTGACAGTTATTACATTTTCCTCAGAAGTTTGAAGATTGTCAATTCGGAGTGTTTGGTATTTGCGAAATCGAATAAGATCATCATCTGTTTCGTCAAAGATTGTTTTCAACTGACCAAAAGTTTGGCCCCATTTTTCTCGGTGTTTCTGCTCTAAATCGCCTATTGTTCGCAACTCATCGGACATCCTCAAACCCAAGGTTTTCACCTCAGTGAGCCACTTCCTTCTTCTCAACTTTTCTATTAAATGCAGGCCATAGAGTGCGGGCATATCGTCAACCTGAGAAAGTCGCAATTCACAATTTTGTAAGGTTTCAAGCTGTTGATTGCATTCCCTCACCAGAATAGTTTTTACGTCCAGAATCTGAACCTGGACGAAAGCGGTTTGACTCAAAAGTAGGATTATCTGCTCTTGAAGTCGTTTTTTATCATCTAGCGACTTCTCTGCCTGCAGAAATAATGACTGTGCAATAGTGAAGAGATTTGGCACGGTGGAAATTCTGTCGTCAGAAACTTTTTGATGAAGGTCTGATAGCAGTGCTGGACTTAACTCTGCCGAACTCAATGCCAAAACTTCACGAGTATTTTTCCTGGTTTCTGTAATCATTTCTTCAAACCTGCTCATCATGGTATCTTCCATTTCGTACTTAGATGGAGACTGGTCGAACGTAGGCTTCAGAGCTTCGACTTTCAAGGAAATGGCTTGGCGATTTCCATAATTTTCATCGATTTGAGACTTCACCTGTCGTAGACGCGTGGTTATACTATTATTGACGTCCACTAACTCATTGAAATTATTTTCGAGCTCGCTTCTTCGAAGAAAATCGCTCAAATGTTTCTCCTTTTCACCATTAACAGTGTTTATGTTTTTAAGCAAGCCATCGTAGACTTTTCGCCATTGAGAGGCGTTGCTTTCTTTGGTGAGCTGGTCGAGATATTCGACATTTGAGTTGTATAGCTTTTCGATTTCAAAACAATACACTTTGAGATACTGTGAGCATATGGAAAAGCATTGGAAAATTACGCGAATTTCTGCCATGGTATTTCGAACGATGGAATGGAAATAGTGGGCATCGATCTCCAAAGCACTTAGCCACCCCATGTTGGTTGTTAAAATTGTGGTAGCCTTGCGGGAGTCAAAGTCAGAGTTGGAGAAATTGGCTTCCAATAGTGGAGACGGTACTGGCTTGATCAACGTCGCTTGACGATTCTGTGTGACCGTATTCAATAAATCCTCAATTTCGGGCACTTCTGGCGATAACACCGAAGAATTGGGATCCTGCGCAAATGAGAAAAGTCGACGATCGAAAACGTAGAAATCCATAGGGTTCGTGTCTCTGAGACAGTTCGCAAATGTGTCTTTGTTCAGTTTTGCACCATAGGGCAGCAGAATGAACGTTTGGTCTGGCGGAATCATTAAGTGCTGAGTTACACACCGTTTGAAGTCATCGATGGTAAGAAAAAAGCGCAAATTGGTAGTAAAGCTCGATCCAGTGATTGCATTGTAAACAGTAGAGTTATGTTCACTCATTGTAGTCAAATAGCCTGGAAAATGATCTTTTTGGGAATGAAAAATGCTACTCTTTTGTTCGAAACGCACAGAACACGCTGTAAGTAAACCACCAGAAAAACGAGCTCGAAATCTCCTGGAATAGGTAACTAAGCTTTTCCAGTGAGCGTTTCAAACCAGACCACGCCAAAGAGCTCCAGAATGCTTTTAGCCTGGTAGTTTTTTGGACCCGATGAGCTAGCTTTACTTAGGTATGGATGTAAGGGCTACACATATTATATGAAATGGACCTTAAAAGTTGGTAGAGAATCCGTTACCCGTTTATATCACGTGAAGTAAGTTTTTCACAATTTAAGATTAAATCAAAGATCAGCTGACCTTTAATTTTCCTCTGAAGAGCTGTCTCTATTCAAAGACTTTTACAATCCTATACCGATAGCCACCAAATCAGTGTTCTTATGTGTTCTTACCGAGTCCATAAGTAAGAATTAACACGTTCAATCTGTCCAGCTGGCTTTTACCAACACTTTCGTTCTTTTCCGGCTTTCTTTTCCGCTTCTTTAGACATTGTATAGAAACATAGATGAGCATATCGTATCGACCGCTAGATATATCGAAGACAGAAGAAGTGAAGCATATACAAAAAGTCATAGATGCGGATCTGAGTGAGCCGTATTCCGTTTATGTATATCGATATTTTTTCAATCAGTGGCCAAATGTATGTTTCCTGGCGTTTAGCGAAAACGAGAAGAACCCAGTAGGGTGTGTGGTGTGCAAGTACGAGGTTCACAGGGGTGCCAGACTTCGTGGGTATATTGGAATGCTTGCCGTGGAACACAAGTTTCGTAGACGCGGCATTGCCAAGAAACTTGTCGCTCTTGCGATCGAGAAGATGCGAGATTTGGGCTGCGACGAGGTGATGCTAGAGACTGAAGTGGAAAATACAACAGCACTGAGTCTGTACGAAGGGTTTGGTTTCATTCGCTTGAAACGCATGTTTCGGTACTATCTGAATCAGGGAGACGCTTTTAAGTTGATACTCCCGCTCACAGAGAAAAGTTGTACTCGAACAACGTTTTTGGTGCAGCCTGAAACGGTGATTGCTGAATGATTAAGCAGTCGAGTCGCTGTTTCGATACGTATTTGCTTTGATATGCGGATTAGTCCGGTTCTATGTAGTGGACAGATGATAATAATAATAATGTACAATTTAGAAAACCCGATTCTGGCCAGCAGAGGCTGCAAAGTGGGTTTAGAAGAGTGACGTTTGGCTTATTCTTCTTCGTTGAACTTTGGAGCCAAGAAGAATTGTAGATATCCGCTCTGTAGACTGAATTCAAACAAAGCAGGAGTCTCAGAGGACAACTTGATGGTGATTTGCTCTGCAAGACCGGCACCCTTGATGATGTCCAATAAGTATTTGGACCCGAAAGTCAAATCAACGGGTTTTTCAAGCTCGACCTTCACACTTTCTTGAGGCTTGTCCATGTCGGTGTGTGGTTTCACGATAACGGATCCGGAGCCGATGTCACCCTCAGCAACGAACTTGACGGTGTCTTTGGTGACCAAAATATTTAGAGAGTCACTGAGTTGATTTAAATCGCGCACCACTTTGGCGAATTCCGCAGAAGGCATCGTGATGGTGGTGTCGTATTCCATGCCGTCGATGTCCAGGAAATCAGCATCGATGTCCATAAGTTTCAATGAGTATTCACTGATGCGGTCTTTTTTCGTGTCTTCAAACAGTAGGAGAACGGAATCTGGTGTGTCATCTGCAATTAACGTCAAATTGTCGTTGTTGTTACCACAGCGCAGAATCTTGGCCAACGACGACAGATCGACACCCAAAGTCACACTTCTGTCGCATCTGAACTCTTGGAATGACTCTGTACCGATCGATAGCGACACCAACAAAACTCTGGAGTCGTCCACAGCTTGTGCGGCGATACCGTGTTCGTTACAGTTAAAGTTGACCAACTGCACGCAATCTTTGAAAGAGTCGATGATCTTTTTGAACAAACTGGCTTCTTCGAATTTCCCCTCTAGCATGCTTCAAACGTTGTGTATAGGTAGTAGACGGTGTTCTACTGGCTTACGTGTTGTTAATGACATGTGTGTAGGGTGAAGGTTATGAAATTGAAAAAAAGTGCCGTTATATATACGCACCTCACGTAAAACCGGTGGGCACGAAACGCGTCAACTTTTTACGCGACCGGGGGCATGAAAAAAAAAAATTCAGAATCTTAACGCGTCAGTCATGCGTAGCGACAGAATGGGACAGAATGATGTATCTCAAGGTGTCAGTGACACTGTACACAGTTGTGAATGAACGAAGTAGTAAAGCTGGACACGCATGAGGACAAGCTTGGAAACGAGTTGTAGATTTGCCCGCAAAGCTACAGATTGCCAAATACGATGACTTCGTTCCATCTGGTTTCACAATCGACCTTGTCAAAGTTTGTACAAATCCGTGGTATTTTTCCTGGCTATTTCTGAATGGTACACATGCGAACACCAAAGCCACTGGCTTTGGCAACGCGATCTGGCTAATAAAAAAAATAATTGTAATACGCACATTGTTTGCTCTTTTTCCATAATCTTACAAACTGGGGGTTCACCACCGCGATGTTTATGCGACGCAATGCACCGCTGGCGAACACCCCAAAGCCATAAACCAAGGGGATCACTGTGATATAATTGAGGAGGAGAGAAAAGAAAAGAAAAATAAATCGAAACAGTTGAGAGAAACAAAACCCAAACAGCGGTGATGCCGTTTTTTTTAGGCCTTGGTAGCGTTATATAGCTCTTTCTCCGATTCGTAACGTTTCTTGTCGGCCTCAGCCTTGGACTCGTAAGGCACTTTTTCGTCGTCGTTGAGGGCCTTCCATTTTTCACCTAGAATACGTCCGACTTGGCCAAACGTCACACCTGGGTTTTCTGCACGAACTATGTCTCTGTTCTCGTTGGCGAAAAACATGTAAGCGGACAACGCCCTTTTAGGGGCGTTTGGGTCCTTCTTTCTTCTGGTGGTCTTCTTTCTGGGTTCTCTTGGTGCTGCCATCTGTGAATTTGGTCTGAGGTTAGTATTAGGGCACTCTTGATCGGTGGAGAGAGAAAAAAAAGATGCGATTGTGTGGAACGAATATCGTCTAAACGGGTCTGGAAAGCCTTCTTGTTTTTAAAAGGCTGAACAGCATACGGGATTGGGTTTGCTTGGCTTGCGGACTAGTGCGCGTACAACACGAAACCACAACTGCGTAAACAAAGAACAGGCAAGAGCCCATGGGTGACGCGTTCTCCGGGTAATCCAAACTCCCACCCACACACCATCGCGTGACTTCGGCGTGATTTCCACGTGACCATTTCCCATAATCTTAAACCACACAAACCGCACGTTTTTGGGAGAAAAAAAAACCCACCACCATTGCCCCCCTTCTACTGGACGAATAGACAAAAGCCTCATGGCTTGTCAATCGCCAGCTTGTTTCTGTTTCCGTCCACTTGTTCGTTCTACCATTTTCCAACTCCGTTCACATCTCACGCTATATTCGGACTCAACATACTGAAAAAAAATTCCTTGTTTGTTTTGTAGGTAACTTTGTACTGTGTAGCCTATAATTTCCCTATAGTAGTAGCAGTTAAGTATACAGAGTGGGCTTTTTCTACTATGTGTTCAGTTTTTGTATGGTGATGGTTAGGTCTCCCATAGTAAACGAAAAAAAAGCTGGGTAAGCGCAAATATTGTAGGCTATAGGGAGAAGCCGGGTAACTATGAGGGAGGGAGAGTAGTCGGGTAACCCGGGTGTCTGGGTTGAGGGGTAACCTGGTGGCTGGGTGATTAGTATTTAGGTAGATAGATAGACGCCATAAGTGATAGAACTGAACGGGAATGAGTTGTGGAGATCTTGGGCTTGTAGCGTTACGATGTTTGAGTAGATATATTGGTGTTGTTTATAAAGGCTCGTATATAGTGATTCAAAGTCTCTGTCGTGGGATGATGGGAAGAGTGTATGAAGACCTGAGTTTGTAGCTTATGGTGTTGTAGTCGTGCTCTCGATATGGGACAATTGGTTTTTGGTTTTGTGTTGCTTGCATATAGTGACTATAAAGCGTATGATATGACTAAATAACCGCGTGCGGACGGCGCACCATGATCACGGAAAATATCGGTCACATGGCCTTGTTAAATAGGCTTCACATTGGTATTTGACAGTGTAGAGCACCCGAAAAACTGCTAATTTTCTCTGCACACACGAAAGGAGATGCAGGAGTTGTACTTTCGTTGCCGCTGCGGTTGAAACAGCACTGAGAACGGGAATCTGTAACGATTTTGGATTCTCGACTTTACCACGAATCCATCACTTCATACGTATACGTAAAGGTAGCACCGAGCCTTCGAAAGCCGCTAGACCCTGAATTTCCTCGCGCTATCAAACGATTTGGACAGAACAACAAACACTCGATTCGAAATACACTTAATACATTTTAGTTTGATGCTATTTTCAAATCTAACTTCAATTCAAGAGTCATTCGAATCTTAGGCGTGTGCAATCCTTTGAAGCTGGATCCGCGCCCGGATCCCCAGTCCTGGGCATGATAATGAGCAATGGTGGCTAACTAAGGCGGGAGGAGCCGGTAAAGACCAAGATATGTAGCGTATGGTCTTGTGATGTGTGTTTGTGGGTTTTTGTTATGTTTCGTAGATAGTGATACGATACAATGCCTCTTTGGTGAAAGAAGAAGCTGTATACAATACGGAACACAGCGGATTGGAACGGGATGCAATTGAAGGTGGAGTCGAAATGTTTGTACCAGGAGCAGTTGGGAAAGAAAAAAAATCGGATGGACGTATCACGTGACTCCTGAGATGTGGTATATGAGAGGCAAAGCCAGAGCAGTGGTTCATTGTGTATGTGGGTGTCTGCATGGGTGGATATTCTTTCCGGTGCTCGAGATTAACCACAACAGGTCATATATCTGGCCCCTCGTGTTATGTGATCAGACTCCTGTGCAACTACTAAACTTGTCCCCAGCACTAGCAGTAAGCTTAGCCTCTCTTACCTAGCTCCTCTAAATCACACAGCCGTCTAATCTTTTTTGAACTGTTCATAATGTCTCAGATAGTCCGGTCCCACGTTGCGAGCCTGTGCCAGACCTCCAACCAAACGGTTAGCATAGTGCACTTTAGCAATGCATCGGTCGATACAGCACATTTCGCCCTTGTTTAAATCCGCTTCGCCGTACTCGTGCGGGATGCATTTCTCCATGCAGCTTCGCAGCATTGTATTGAAGGACGTAGCCATGGCGTCGAACTGAACCTGAGCCATCTGCATTCGCTGCTCGTCAACTTCCTGGGAAGCATACGGATTCATGAACAGCGACATGCTAAACAAATTTCCTTGGTGAACAACCTAGGTGTCTGCGCGATGAGCTAGCTCAACCGGCTCCTAGACATTTAGCTCATCTCCTACAGCTAACACCAAAATTTTTTATTTACCAGCTTCTTTATCACTATGTACATTTCTGGCATGAGCTCACCCAGACATTTAGACAAGGGCAAAGAGCCCTCAATCGTATTTTTTGAATCATTGAAGTGCTTTATAGAGTACTTATAGGCGTAATAAGCACAAAAAATGTTCCTGTGACAATTATCCTGCTCCAAATGAATCTCTAATGAGCCAGTATTTGAAAAATTGTGGAGGTTGCTTTTTTCCCGCGTGAAGGCTCATGAGCAAGCAGCGTTGGTAAAAAGAGCGTTCTGAAAGAAAGTTCTAACCGTTCTACGAACCCTCAAACTACCCAAGCTTACATGTTATCAATTCAATCGTCTTGGCCACGTGATGTGAAGCCAGTATGCTTCCTTAATTTTAACAAGTGAAAAAGCCAATACATCAATGAAAACGAGTAAACCTATTCAATTCTGAAAGGGAGATATCTAACTGACGTCACAAAACATTTCAACAGATTTCATTGGTTCTGGAAAGCTTCCATTTCCCCGCTTTTTCAAACTCTAACTTAGAATCATGCACATTTTCGTATGTTTTGCACTCATCTTCTTCGGTAATTGTGGTCTTAGGAAATTGCTGCTTTGAGAGGAACAGGTTTCAGGAGTAAACCTTTTTCCCTTTGTCGATCGGAAAGGTCTACAAACGCCGCCAAACCCTCATATTGCAAGGTCAAAAACAATCACAGCGTATATGCAAGTTACATTTGCTGTGATGAACTCTACCAAGTACTAACTGCTATTTCTCTTTTTCTAGCTCACAAACGACGATGGTCCTCCAGATGCTAGGGCTTCCCCATATTTGCGCCATTTCATCCAACATATACTGACAACTCGTCCCGACTGGCATCTCACAATCTGTGTGCCAGACCAACAACGATCTTGGATCGGCAAGGCGATATTCGTGGGTCGTGATGTACATGCACGTTTTGCTTACATGAGCCGCGATGCCATTGATGACGTAATGACCGGCCCGTATCTGCAACCGCAACGTTCTGTGCAGGGCACCAAGCTTCCATGCGTCTCGAACGAAGGTATCGCATCAGATGCCATCGAGTTCTGTCTTGTCGACGGAACCCCCGCAACAGCTACCGACGTTGGTCTTCATCATTTGACTACTAACAAATTCGACCTAGTTGTCTCAGGTCCCAACGTAGGACGCAATTCTTCTGCAGGCTACGTAACCTCTAGCGGAACCATCGGAGCAGCTATGGAGGCAGTCATCTCCAGCGGTGTTCGTTCAGTAGCTTTGTCGTGGGCCTACTTTGATGGTGTAAAGTATGTGGAAGATCATATTCTTAAAAGCGCCTCCGAACAAAGTTGTCGAGTCATTGAGCATCTAATCGGAAACTGGAATACGGACACTCAGCTCTATAATGTCAACGTCCCACTCCTTGATTCTCTTTCCTCTAAAACGAAGGCTATCTACACGCATATATTGGAAAACCAGTGGTGCTCCGTCTACAGTGCAGGGTTCGATGCAGACACCGGCCAGGCCAAAGAGCAAATTTCCGACGTTGAATCTGGCAACAAAGGCATCACTTTTACATGGCAACCGAATTTCCAAAAACAACGGGAGGCCATTTTTCAGAGTCCACCAGACAGTAAGAATGATGGACGGACAATCGAAGCGGGACTAATTAGCGTGACACCGCTACGAGCCGTATTCCATCAGGTTCAAGGCTTACTTGGAGAGCTGTCTTTGAAAGAACCAGTCTCTATTCAGAGTCATATTGACGAAGCAACCGTGAGCAAAAAAGAGGGTTTTTTACTCCTTACCGTTCCTTCGAACGAGTACATCTATGCTCCTTTAACATCTTCAATTGAATCTCGGTTGCCCAATGTCAAAATAGTAAGGTCGCTTCCAAAAAACGCGGAGGGTTTAAAAATCCTTCATTACGGTGATTACGAGCATATCGACATGGACAAACTGGTCTCAGACGATACTTATTTTGCTAACACGTACGTCTATCGCAAAGCGCTCATTCGCAAGCACTTTCTTGCCCATACGATACATTCATACGTTGTAAAGCACTCGGAATCTGCGCTTGCCAAGGCATATCTCGAAACTTTTACCATAGACGTTGACTACGCGGAGTTCCTGGATGATGCTTTGGACGAAAATTGGGAATTAAGGCAAGAACTTGAGTCCGAGGAGAAATGGTGGATACTGAAACCCAGTATGAGCGACAAAGCACAAGGAATTAGAGTCTTTAAGACTATTGGAGATCTTCAATCTATTTTCGATTCGTTTGACGAGGAACCCACCGATGACGAAGGTGAAATGAACCCCAATAGCATCGTCACTTCTCAGTTGCGCCATTTCATTGTCCAGGAATATATGACAAACCCACTATTGGTGCCTTCTCTTCAAAATAGAAAGTTTCACATTCGATGCTACGTGACCTGCGTCGGCGATTTAGAAGTTTACGTGTACGATCGTATGCTAGCCCTGTTTGCCCCGGAGACTTTCAAAAGACTCACCGACGACTATATTGCTACCGATTCACAACAACTGGCCTGCCATTTAACAAATACATGTCTTCAGGATGATGTGCAAATCAAAGAGACAACTGTAAAAGAATTGGACACGTTGAAGGAGCTGTCTACCAGCGACCGGCTCAAAATAAAGTCTCAGATACATGAAATAACCCGTGAGCTTTTCTTGGCTGCAGTGACGACAAACAGAATCAATTTTCAGCCCCTACCAAATGCCTTCGAAACTTATGGATTAGATTTTCTGGTTGATTCTTTTTTGAATGTGAAAGTTCTAGAGGTGAACGCCTATCCTGATTTCAAGCAAACAGGAACAGAGTTGAAAGGCGTGATTGATGAGCTCTTTGACGAAGTCACCAAAAACTGCATAGTTCCACTTTTTGAGGGCACTAAAGCCGCGTATGAGACCTCAAACTTTGTCAGAGTCCTTGACCATCAGTCGCATGGCTGGTAATGGCGATGGCGACCGTTATTCTTAACTATGCACATATTCAAAACATGGAGTACTTTGTAAAGTATTAAGTTGGCTTTTCCTGGTCCACCTCGTCTTCCGCGTCAGCTTCTAGTTGCTCTTCTGTCATAGTTCTGTTTGTAGTAGCGCTTATTAGCCCTCTTTTGACAACATGAAGTGCGCTTGGCACTGTTACACCTTCTTCCGGAATTCCCGCGAATTCTCGACTCCACATGTTGATTCGCTCCTTTATCCGCTCTGCCTTGACGATGCAATTGCGAATTTTTTGTAAATTTCTGACAAATTCCTGGTTTCGCTGCAGTGCAATTTGAGTTAACTGCCTCGCTGCCTCTACTTCTTCGTTGGACAGATCCTCCTTACGCGATATTACCGACGGAAGAGTATTGTAGGGATTGAATTGAGGTAGAGCGAAAAAAGGGTCACCTCCGTTTACATCACGTTCAGCTTTTAAAGGCTCTGGCTGATCAGCAGTTGTAAAACCTAGCGTGGAGCTGTCCCGCAAACTGAGATTGTGGTCGTATTCTTCGAGCTTCAGAGTTTGCTCTATTAGCGGTCCCGGATAATCTCCTAAAAACGCTTCTAGTACGTTTGAAAACGACACTACGTTTTTTTGTTCTTTTTCTATCATTAGCACCGCCTGCAGCGCAAGGTCTCGAAGCACGCTGCTCTGAAACCTTTTGGAGATCGCCGGATGTTTTGCCACGTCCTCTAGAGACGAGATGGGTGCTAAAATCTGTCTAACGTCTACCAATTCGTGCAAATCCGTGTTGCTGCCGTTGCTGCTTTCGTCTTCATCGTCTGCGATGTTTTGACGATTGCGGGCCAAAAGTCTATGCACTGATCCGTTGTAAAATACATGACTTTCTTGACTCCCGTCGTAATTTTGAAGTGACGTTCGTTTCACGCCTTCCGCATGCTGGAGTAACTTGTTTCCCCTGTTGGTCGTTGCACCATCTGTTGAAGGGAAAACAGAGCCGTCCCTGGACCGTTTTAAACGGGGGAAATTGCCACTTTTTTCTCGTAGTACTGCAGCAGTGAACAATCGAATTTGTTCATGTATTTCCTTGTCGTCTGCCTGGTGCATCTTGGTGACTTCGATAGCAGTTGGTTGTAGGTGTTCGATAGCGCATCTGGTATGAATACCTAGTCGATGTAATATATCACAATTTTCGTGAGTAGTGATTGTATATCATGTGACTGAATTAATTAAAGCTAGATCAGGTGACTCCTTAGAAGCAAGCCTTAAATGATCATATAGCCTCACCTCACAGAGAGTACCCAGTTGAGATACCACTTGGTACAATATTAGAATACCGTTTTGCTTCTCTATATGTTGTAATTTTTTTCTAGCTTGTTACGATGACGAAATACTGTGTATCCATGAGTAGAATCGACGAAATGCAGCAGGATGGTAGAGTACACGTAGATATAGAGTAAATTCATGAATACCACGGTGTGTTATTCTCGATGACTGTAACTCTAAAATGCTATACTTTTTAAAGAGATATTGTCACGTGATGTGTGCGATTACAGAGAACTTTCCATAGAAAGTAAAATCACCATTTCCCATGTATAGACATTATGGCCCAAGTATGCCTCTTAAGTGCCATACAGAGTCCTTAATCTTGTTCCTCGATACACATCTACTGTGGTTTTTCTCTAGCAAGTTGTTTTCCCTCGATCGTTCCTCGAGATCCGTTATACTACGCGCATCAAATTATACAAACATATATATATAGGGTGAAAAGCCAACATTCCTAGTGACACACATCAAAGAACAAGCATTGCTCTAGGCATATCCACAATTTGACTTCAATTCAAATACCATGGGCATTCTTGGTTCCCTGTCCAAATATTTGGCAATTGCCATTTTGATTTCAACGTACAAGTCTCTTCCCGGTGCTTATTTTGTCCGCTTCTATGCCCGGGTCATTGACAACCTGGTTATACCACTGATTTTTGGTAAGAACACCAAAACCATTCAGCAGCTACAAAATGATAAATACGGCTGTTTTGCATACGCGGAATTGAGTACGTACGCCTCCTTGTTTGAGTGCGATTTCTACATGCATAAGAGTAATAGTACTTATTTCGAAGAGCTGGACGTGTCCAGGACGGATTTGATGACGAAAATATTCCAAAAACTGTTTCTCACCTCTAAGCGCTATCCGTACGTCCCGGTTGCAAATGTTTTCACAACTTTCATCAAAGAAATAAAGCCATTTCAAACTTATAAAGTCCGTAGCTGCATTCTCTGTTGGGACGAAAAATGGTTGTATGTCATTAGCAGGTTTCTGACCAAAAATGGTTCTCAGCTTGCAGCGCTTTCGATTACCAAATACGTTTTGAAAGACGGCAGAAAGACGATTCCTCCACAAACTGCTCTGGAAATCTGCGGCCTGTACAACGAAGACGTTCAGAAAGTTTCCGAGCAAAACATGCAAGTGCTGTCACAACAGTGCGGTTTTCACAAGACCAGTCCACTCGAGGAATTAAAACACGAATACAATCGAATTTAAAATCCACGGTAGCCGAGTTACAAATTGTGAATATGGATATAAAGGAGGTGTCTAACGAACTCAAGGCTGCAATCTATAGTTTGTATGGACATAAAGACTGTCTCGACATTCGGGTGGTATTCATCTGGTAGCTTTATTTCCGAAAGATGTTCGAAGTTCACTCAAGGCGCATTGATCCTTAAAATTACAGCTCGCCAAGCAAAAGTGGGGTGTCAAATCATCCCACTGGATGTTCACTCAAAACGGACAACGCTTTGAGAACTCATGAACCCTTCCACCTGGAGTTCACATTTGTTTGCTAAGCGTATTGTCCATCCGTCCCGTGTGACAATATCCAAGGTGTCAGCGTCAGTTTAATACACGCAAGATAATTCAAACCAAAACACAATCCCTCTCCAAGACCAACTATTCTTCGAGACTACTCGCACAGTATTGCTATCTTTTCAAAGTGTTGCCTTTGCTATGACATCCGCTTTTGCTCTTCAGTCCAATACAAAAATCTTGAATCGTCCCCAAACTAGCTCCAAAGAAAGACGTTCACAAATCCATGGAGGAGAATGCATGATACATTCCCTAAGCAAACCCCCTCTCGACCCACCAGATGTGAGAAGTATTTATCAAAAAGGAAACTTTTCTACGCCAGGAAATTTCGAAGTACTACAAATTTTGGGTAAAGGTTCATATGGCGTAGTGGTTTCTGCCCTCGACAAAAGAAACACAGACAAACCATGTCGATTGGCAATAAAAAAAGTCACTAACATTTTCCAGAGAGAGATCCTACTCAAGAGGGCTATTCGTGAGCTCAAATTCCTTAATTTCTTCCGCGGTCATAAAAATATTGTTAGTTTGCTTGACCTCGAAATTGTTTCTGAAAAACCGTTTGACGGCTTATACTGCTATCAAGAGCTTGTCGATTACGATCTGGCCCGTGTTATCCATTCCACTGTACAGTTTTCCGCCTTCCATATCAAACATTTCCTATATCAGATTTTGTGTGGGCTAAAATACATCCATAGTGCTGATGTTATTCATAGGGACTTAAAACCCGGAAACATCCTCTGCTCCATCAGTGGTCATCTCAAAATTTGTGACTTCGGCCTTGCCCGAGGGATATCGCCGCTTTTTTCTGAGAGTAGAGCTGGTGATCTCCATATCACAAACTATGTTGCGACTCGTTGGTATAGAGCTCCTGAATTGATATTGTCCCATAAACGGTATTCGAAATCTATTGACGTGTGGGCTGTTGGTTGTATCCTGGTGGAGTTTTATGGCAGAAAGCCATTGTTTATGGGTCAGGATTCATTGCATCAAGTATTCGAGATTTTGAAAGTACTGGGAACGCCACCAAGGGACATTATCACCAAATATGGGTCTGCACGCTCATTTGAAGTGTTTTCGTCGCATGCAACCGTCACTAAAACTGAATGGAGGTCTTTATATCCGGGATCTTGCGCAGAAGCGCAAAATCTAATGGGACTTTTGCTTACATGGGATCCTGAAAGCCGATTGAGTGTTGAGCAGATTTTGGATCATCCATTCATTGCCGACGTGAGGGATCCTGGCGATGAGCCGGTTTGTTCTCATGGCGCATTTGACTATTCTTACGAAAACAAGTTCACTTCCATGCAAATGCTGAGGGACACAATCCACGAGGAAGTTCGTCTTTTCAAGCAATCAACGCTTTCCCAAGAGTGCGGATCAGTTGATTGCACCTTCTAGTCCGTATTAACCTTTCAAACCTACCTACGACATATGTAAGAGACTTTTGTTAAAAATATAGGCTTGCTGTGATCTATACACTTGGTAAGCAAGAGATTAGAAGACCTAGAAGCGGGCAATATAAATGTTCACAGTCAGAGCCTCCGAATCAGTAGTCTTAGTGATCATTGAACATACTAAAGGGTATTTGGACTCGAAAAGAGCTCTCGGGTCATTATGTCAGTTTAGACAAATGTGATCTTAATGACATTAAGGTAAATATTAGTACCATAAAGGAACTACAGGTAATAGGTACATCAAGTCTTCGAAGTAAAAGCGGTGCTGAGACGGAGCTGACCTAGCTGAGTCATAAATTGCATTGTGGCTATGGGTTCTCAACTCTCTTTGATTGCACACACTGCTCCTTCTATTGCAATCTCGTCCTATATTGATATACTAGACGAAGTTCATTATCTATCACAGCTAAACTCATCGCGATTCCTGAAAACATGCAAAGCGCTGGATCCAAATGGCGAAATTCTTATCAAGGTTTTTATCAAGCCTGCAGATGACTACAGTATCGCTGAAGTACAAAAAATGTTATTAAATGAGGCACAACTGCTGGCTGCCCTGCCGAACACCTTAAATTATAGTAAAATTGTGGAATCTGATAGAGCTGGCTATTTAGTAAGACAGCATTTGAAATCCAGTGTCTACGATAGATTGAGCACCAGACCTTTTTTGGAAACTATCGAGCTTAAGTTCATAGCTTTCCAACTTTTGCGGGCGTTAGACGATGTACACTCGCGAGGAGTATGCCACGGCGACTTGAAATTAGAGAATCTTCTTCTGACCAGCTGGAACTGGTTGGTTCTGACAGATTTCTCGGGAAGCATGAAACCAACATATTTACTAGAGGATAATCCTGGAGATTATTCCTTCTACTTCGACACATCCCAACGACGGACCTGTTACATAGCTCCTGAAAGATTTGACTCATCGAAATATCAAAAGTTCAATAATATGAACTCCAAACTTACACCCGAAATGGATATATTCAGCGCAGGATGTTGCATAGCAGAAATTTTCTCGGAGGGCAGTTGCATTTTCAATTTATCGCAATTGTTCAGGTACCAGAATGGTGATTATAGCCCAGTAGACTTCTTAAACAGCCATTTAGATGATCCGATACTCAGGGAAATGATCTTAGGTATGATAAACCTAAATCCACACAAAAGAAGCACGGTCAAAGATATTCTTCAGAAATACAGAGGAACTTTCTTTCCAGAACATTTTTACCACTTCTATTACGGATACTTTGCGGAATTAGCTACTATTGATGATGGGCTTCCAATGGTGGGTAAAACGTATGGTACATTGCAATTGCCAAACCTTTCTTCCAACATGGACAAAATCGTGCAAAAAATCTACGAAGACCTCCCGAAAATCTGTTCTTCGTTGGGGTACCCTTTGATGAAGCAAGCTTCTTGTTGCCCAAAAGGAGGTAACAAAATACTAAAGCAGTTAACTTTGCCCGGTATTGGCACCATTTTACTTCAAGACCCTGCGCTGGAAATATCGTCTGTTGCGGATGAGTCAGCATTGCTACTTTTGTCGCTTCTTTTCCACGCGCTAAGAGGAGTGAAAGCGGCTTCGGTAAAAATGATGTGCTTGGAGCTCATTACAGTCTTTTCTCAATACGTTTCAGACAGTAATAAGCTTGATAGGGTGCTCCCTTTCGTTGTTTCCATGCTTTTTGATGAACATCCAAGTGTTCAAGCGCTTGCAATTCATGTCCTGTCACAACTTCTAGGCATGACCAAAAGTGTCAATCGCATTAATGACGTTCTTTTCACAGACTATCTCTTACCCCGTATCAAAAAGCTAATCCAAGTTGCAAAATATAATGACTATGTGAGGGTTGCTTTAGCTGAAGAGCTTGGAGAAATAGCAAGATCGGCAACTAGATTCAATGATATGGCCATAACGGCTAATGATGAGTACGGCAAAGTAATGGAAGAAGTTGAATCTAGGAAGAAGCAAAAGCGGAAGCTAGTGCACGGATTCGAACAAATAGCTGTTAATTTATTGACAGACAGCCACTCAAGCGTGAAAATCGCCCTACTTTCGAATATCCTGCCACTTTGCAGTCTTTTTGGTAGGGAAAAGACTAATGACGTTATCTTAAGCCATTTGATCACATACTTGAATGACAAGAACGCGTCACTTCGCATTCAGCTCGTTAAATCTCTTACCGGAATTGCGGTACTACTTGGGCCATTGACGCTGGAGCAATACATTCTGCCTTTACTCGTGCAAACTGTCACCGACTCTGAAGAACTAGTTGTCGTTATGGTTCTCAAAAGTTTGAAAACTTTCTTTAGCGTAGGCTTGATTCAAAAAAGGTACTATTTTGACGTTGCTAAAATTATTGCTGCCCTTCTGCTACATCCTAACACCTGGATACGGCAATTTACTTTAAGCCTGTTGGTAGAGCTATCGAGGAAGCTCTCAAAGGCAGAAGTTTATTGCTTGTTATATCCTATCATCAAGCCCTATTTTGAGTTTGATGTTCAGCTTACTTGGGACTCCATGCTATCGAGCTGTAAAAAGCCACTTTCAAGAACGGTCTACAACATTCTTTGCACATGGTCGCTGCGATCTGTTAGCAGTCTTTTCTGGAAACAGGTACCCAGCAAGCACCGTGATCTATTCGGAAACAATAGTGTGGTATTCATTAACAAGGACTATGTAACGAAGAACTATGGCTTGGCGAGCGGGTACAAAATCGCCAAGTCCCCAATCAAGCTAGCTGACAACAAGGAAATCCTTGTAACAAATGAAGACAAAGGCTGGCTTGAGAAAATCATGACAGTGGGACTTAAAGATACCGATTTGTGGAAGATTGCAGCAATGAGGTCTTACGCATTCAATGTCGCTAAAATGCTGGCTAGGAAACCAGAAACAATCACCCCATACAACCCAATTATCGAAAACGGCTCTGCTTCGAAGAAAGGCTTGAGCTCATATACGCCACCCAGGACCGTAATTTTCGATGTCATGTTCTTAAACAACGCCACGCAGCTCAATGAAGGTCAACATATGATAATCAAACATCGAGAGAATTCTCCAAGCTCATTGACAACGGCTTTTCATCGTTTGGCCCTTAACAAGTCTATCGATTTGACGAAGTCGATTCAGTTAACTAAAGCAGCACCGACTTTGACCTCGAATCTCGACAATGTCTACGTTCAGCTTGAGGCGTCAAAGCTCAGACCACAAAACATTCAAAGGTCTACGTCTTCAGATGGCGACGGTGTACCATCAATGTTTGTCGTGAAAAACAGCTATGAAGGAAACGATGAGAATATCAAAAGCTTTTTGCGAAGTGTCGACGTCGGGCCCGCATTCAAGCATTTTCCTGAATTTGGACACGCTTCAAGTGCAAGAAACAGTTTGACAGCTGCAAGTACTACCAGGCCGTTTTCTCGCTTGAAATTTTGTTTTCAATTGACAGAGACCCGATCAACAGCTATCACAGTGATATCTGCAGCGCTGCATGATCCATATGTGTTGAGCGGTTCAGAAGATGGAATGGTCAAGTTATGGAACATACCTAAAATTCTGGCCGGAGAAATATTTGGGTCATCTCTGTCTTACGACGCGGGCTCCAGTATTATGGATATCAAGCCGTTTCCAGAATTTGATCTTTTTGCAGTTTCCTGCAAGGACGGTACTATCTTGTTACTCAAAGTGAATGTACATGAGTCCAAAGGCACGAGGGCTTTTACTCGTCTGCAAGTTGTTCGAAAGTACAAAGTTAAAAGCTCTACCGAATTCGTCACTAAATTAGCTGTAGTCCCTGGCGATGACAAACCGCTTTTGGTCGCGCTTACAAACAGTTCTGAAATCATTTTGCTCGACCCTCGCTTGATGTCAGAAATAAGAAGACTGAAGAATGATCCTCTACATGGTGCTGTTCTGAGTCTCTCAGTTGGACACGATAAGTCTTCGATCATTTTGGGGACCTTCCGGGGTGTAATAAACATATGGGATGCCAGGTTTGGTACATTGATTCAAAGTTGGACCTTTTCGGATGGTTCGCCAATAACACATATTTCTCTTCTTCCTGCATTAACGAAGCGCGAGGGGCAAACCATAGTGATCTTCGGTGGCTCTACAAAAAGCATGTTCACCATCTGGGATTATGTGAAGCGGCAATGTCGATTAGTTGTGACGACTGACGAGACGGTACCGTCAATTGATGAGTACTTGGCCACAGACGTCATGATGGACCACTTAAACAAGCACATGGATGAAGCTTCCTGTGATCAGGTAACCTCGATGGTGCTCGAGGGCCTTAATGTTTTGGTCTCTGAAGCTCGCTCTAATAGCATGTTTTGTTTTGATTCCCGGGCAAAAACGATGATTCCCCTGACATCAGATTATGATGCGAGTGCTGTCAAATACGAGCCCTTGCAACTCACCGCTAACACAACAGTCCTCGTTAGACAAAGACAGGTCTCTGACGAATCCGGTCGCAAAGCTGAGATGACGTTGCACAATGATACGATAAATTCAATAGCTGTGGCATGGAACAAGACAGAACGCTATTATATTTCAGGTGACTGCTCTGGGATTGTCAACATATACAAATAACATGGTTTCCACGTAAAGATCATTAATATGCGGTGACTGGTAGCATCTAAGATCACTGATTGTCAGAAGAAAAACTAGCCCGGACACTGTTCGAGTTGTAAAACCAGCGTAGATAGATTTTCGCTCAAACCTATGAAGTGAAGATTTTGCGGTGGCATGTGGTTAAAGTCATGCTTCAAGATTGGCCTTGCGGCTCCCTCGAGTAACCGCGTTGGGCTTTTTCCAAGCAGACATGACTAGCTCTCTCTCATTGCAACTTTGATAAAACCTCAGCTTATTCGGGAGAGAAATGGAAATTCCTGAGCTAGCGAGCCAGATGCTTCTTTTGAATTTGGCTAGCGTCTGAATAATTAGTTATAAAGTCCGACGACGAAGATCGTGAGTCGTCTTCAACATCACATGTTTGTATAGACTATCGAAGTTACCTGTTCTAATTCAATAATACCTTGTAAACCACCTTTTGAACACACGGTTACTCAAACTTTACTACAACTGACCTCTTATTGAAGGAACGAGCACCGTTTGTATCACGTCTAGAGCTCGATGACTTCTTTAAATGTGCCAACTCAGCGGAGACGAGCTCTGTCTGTCAACAATGCCACGAACCGAGAGAAACAGGCGATGAACGATGCCTTGGACAACCTTGAAAGGGACCTAGGTCTGATCTCTTCCACTTGGAATCGAATAATTACACCGGAAACGAACCCTTTGGAATTGGCCTTGGCTTTTCTCGATGACACATCTGTGGGTCTTGGACACCGTCATGAAGAGTTCAAGCGGTGGAGCTCGCAACTAAGCAACGATCTGCAACAAGCTGTAAACGAACACTATCAGGCATTCAATGCAAACATTGCATCTTATGAACAAACCGTGGAGTTTATTAGTGAGTCGCAGAAGCTTGTTGGAGCTACTAAGGACAATGTGGTGGACTCCACTGCCAGCTTTGGGGAATCAGAAGAACAACTTGAAGAACTAAATGAGAGTTCACAAAAGCTCAACAAGATGCTGGAAATACTGGACGCTGTAGAGCAGATCATATCGCTCCCTGACTGTGTGGACGAGCTAATAAAACAAAAATCGTACTTACAAGCCAAAGAAGCATTGGTAAGTGCATTCTCTATGGCCTCTCGATACGATATATGGAAGATTCCAGCTCTTCAAACTACGAAACAGGTTTTAGAATCCCAGAAACATACGCTTTTCGAGACACTGATCGAGGACATAAATGACCTCGTCTATTCGAAGAGACTAAACGTGAGTCCGCGATACGAAGTGAAGCCCCCTCAGCTTAAAGATGGTGTTTATGATAACATGGAGACTTTCTTGGTCAACAGTATTGATCTAGATATCGAGGAGCAATCTCAAGCACTCAGTTCCGAGTTCAATGGCTTTTTAGACAAGCTGAAATTTCCTTCTTCTAAAGCTCACAACCAGGTGAAGGGACTAAGTCCTCAAGGAACTGTTCACGAAAGAATCCTTGCAATATTGAGTCTACTCGATGACATGGATGAGCTACATCCTGCTCTTATAAGTATCTCTGGGCGGGCTAAGGAGGAGATGCACAACATTATAAGTCAAGCAACCGATACAGTGAGATTGAAGCACCCTTCGCTCATCAAATTCTCAGCATCCTTGGAAAACGAGGGCGACTTTGGATTTCCCGGGCAGGAGGTCGTGTCGCTTTTCCTGCAAAACGTTTTCTGGGAGATCTTTTCAAAACTTTTATTCGCAATTCAAGGACATAGGGTGATCTATGAGGCTTCCAAGGCGTTACAGCCTTCATCAGTAGTTGTAGAGCACTATCACTTGAAGGAGGTATGGAATAAAACTCTCGATGAAGTTCATCAACTTCTTGTAAGCTATACCATGGATCCTAAAATTCGCGGCCTTCCGATGAACAAATTATCCAAAATTCAGTCGACACACCAACGAATTGGCTTGAAAAAGCCACTACTATATTCCATCCAAAACAATTTGGACGATAAATCCTCTACCAGGGACCATGCGAATGATTTGAGAGACTTACTCAAAGAAATGTTCCCCGGATTCTCAGCTGCAAGCAACTTGGAACTAAAATCTATCTATCTCGAAGAAGAGACTTTCGAGCTCGACGAAACTCTAGTGCCTGCCAGGGTCTTCAACATGGCATTCATTTTGGAGTCCCTTCTACTCTTTCTTGAAGGAAGCTCGACTGCTATACCTCTAAAGCTCATGAGCAACACGGAAGCGCCAATTAACTTCTTCTCGCATTTTATGAAAAATGAATACCTTCCTCAACTAGGCCTGACATTAACATATCTTTTCAAGAAAAACGTGGAAACTTTAAATCCTTACGCCCTTGAAACCCAAGCCGAGGGGCAACCAGTTTTTAAAGCGGCAGTCGTTTTCAAAGATCTATATCATCAAGTTCTACGTTTACTCAACACATCTTATGGTTACAAGGACAAAGTCATCAACGTTGTGCTTGAATTACTAGACCGCTTTTGCTCCTACTATCAGCGAATATTAGTCAAACTGCTTGGAAATTCGGCAAATCCTATGCTTGACAAAAAGATCAACAGCGTTTGGGCAGAAAATGCAAGGTTGAAGGATCTTACGAACAGGATTTTTAACGGAGAATCGACCTACGCAAAAGAAGAGAATGCTGAACTTTTGAGGGCTTGCCCCGAATTCTACCGAGACGGCAAGAGTTTGAAGAAGCAAGATATGTTCAATACAATCACGGTTGAGACGATGGCTTCATTTTTAACTACGCTCGGCGATGTCACGGAATGGCTTTTGCAACTGAGACAATTGTCCAAAACTGCCGGCATCGTTAAAACTGAAAATGAAGATGTGGTAGGCACTAATGCACTGAGAAGCGAATGGTCGCTTTTTGGAATCTCGTTTGTCGAAAGTGTCGCTAACTATAGAGGTTTGAAGCTTCTTTTGAACGATGCTGCTGCTGAAAGATTCGACAGTGCTCGTAATAAGCTGGAATCTATGAAATTCAGGTTATGGTCTTCCTTGAGATACGATGTGAGGGCACGCTGCATCTTTTACGTTACCAGGTTCTTGCGTGAGTCTTCCTGGTGTCCAGAAACCGCAGGTGTTGATTTGAACGCTAGTATTTCTGCACTCACTGCCGAACTCACGACCATGGAGAACCGTCTACGCGAATTGATCACGCCAGAACAGAAAACCCTGATTTTTGAAGGTATTTACGAGACTTTGAATGATATTCTGATCAAAGGAGCGCGTGGACTGGTAGCATTAAATCACAATGGCGTCAAGAAGATGTCCAAAAACATCAACATATTGCAGCACGCTTGTCGAAGCATTTTTTCGTCACCGGAAAATGTCAGTATGGCTCCAGCGCTCGAATATTTTGCTCTGTGTGCTTCTTCTGAGTCTACTGTAATACAGCGGGCTAATGCTGGGGAGCTACAGGAATACTCTGTTGAAGACATCAAGAATATTCTGAGACTGCAGCTAAGTGAAGAGTTACAACGTCAAACTAAGCGTCAATCGGGCATGACAAGAGCACCTTCGATTTCAGCAAACAAACGTCTATCGGATGCTTTCAGTCGGCTACAATTGGCGAAAAGACACGAATGAAGTGTTAAGGCTGAGCTGGGCTTGAAGCTGGCGATCTTTCACTAGAACGTAGTTCATGATTTACCATCACAAAATGGACCAACATGTTTATGTTAATGACGTTCCATTTCTTGTTCCCAAACAAAACAAGATTTCTGTGTCTGTGTAAAGCGAATCAGAGCACTGTTAGACATTTCATTGGATCAGGTTAATCACTGCAATGATCCGGTTATGATTGCAGGTGATTCCTCCCTCGAAATCCTTGGCGCGAGGTGTCCGAATGGTGACGACAACAAAAAGTCTGAATTTGATGTGATAGAGCTTACATCAGGGATTGAGGAGTCTTCCGTCATTGAATGTGTGGCAAAAACACGGGAATATCCTTCTTCTCCTAAATTACCAAAATCTAGCCCTGTCAAGGCCTTCTCCAGTCATAAAGGCACTCATAATGATTCAGCAGAGCTATCATGTACTTTTCTGAACGATACTAGCATTAATACTGATCCAGCGGCAGAGAAAGGTGCTGGTGATCTTGACGGCGGTGCCCCCATTGACGGCCTAAACACAGATATGTTGGAGGATTCAAGCCCGGTTAGAGCACAATTACTCACCAAGCGCAAAAATGTGCTGGAGCAAGTCCTAAGTGAAGATCACCTATCGTTTTCAGATATTCATGATGGTGCAAGTAGCTCACTTCAAGGTAGTCCTGGTGGATTGACCTTGAGCGGATTGGGTTCGAAATGGTCTCAAAAAGTGGATTCTCAACGCTTGGGGCACTCTCGCACCTCTCAACGAAAACCGATAGGTAACGAAACCCCCAAATCATTGGAAAAGAACGTTTTAAAGGAAGTCAAGGCAAAGGCACTTTTTGTTCAGTCGTCGCCAAGCACTTTTGATGATTCGCTTGCGAAGACTGGAGAGAATACAGAACATGTTGGTCACCAGATTTATCCAAACCAATGCGATAGCATCGGTGCAGATGCCATAGTAGAGTCCACACCACCATGCAAAAGTTCCACGGGCTCCCCTCGAAGGACAGGCCTGTACATCTCGAAGAAGAGACGCTTAGACACTAACACCGAACGACTTGATCCCGACTCCGAAGATAGCTCACCTGCAAAGTTTACCGCTTTTATTGTTAACAGTAGATTTTTCTCGGATGAAGAGTCACGGAATGAGATCTCGAAGTTCCAGACAACGGCCGCAGGAAAAAAAATGTTTAATGCTGCGAACAAACTCATCAAAGATGTCAACATCCTCAAAGCAGAGATGATCTTGGACGTGGACGAATTGCTTTATCAAGAATTTGCCTCGGACGGTATCGATTTGAAAACGGAGGTTCAGCCAGCGCAAATTATTCATTTACATGATGTGAAGCCTTTGATAAAGCTGCGAAGACGCTGTAATTCGATATTTGACTTAAAACATGGATTATTCTATCCCAGGCCTGAGAAAATAGTGAGTGAAAATGTCTCCATTATGTTTTACAATGCGTTAGAATTTTTCCATCTGCACTGTACTGGGAAATCCCGTTTGCTGCACTTCATTCAGGAAACAAAATCAGCCAACACTCTTGTTATTATAACTCTATATGGTCGAGAAGACCTCATTAAGGGAATCCAAAATATGGAAAATAGGCGCTTTAGGCAGCAAGTGGAAGAGGAGCTTCATGGCTCAAAAAAAAATAGGCATCGCACAAAATCTAAGAAATTGGAGATGCTGGAAGAGTTGGGCATCACGATAGAAGATGTCGACCGATACACCGACGATATCGCAGTGAAATACGGTGTTCATTTCTTCACAGTAGAGTCCAAGCGGGATTTCATTCCTTGGCTGAATAGTCTTATCACTGTGGTTGGCAGAAAGCGCTACGATCCCGCGGTGAGACATCAAGAGTGGTCTCACGTTACCATGAGGTCAGCTCAAGACCCTCGGGACTCGCTTTGGAAAACACTGGAACAGCTAGACCAGATGACAACGTTGAAAGCTCAAAGGGTGATTTCCGTTTACCAAAACTTCCAGCATTTGTACAACGATGTTGAAAAAGGTTATTTAACATGCGGTGATGACGGGAACCCGCTCATGGCGAGTGCATCGGAGAAAGCCATGGTTGCTTTGTTAACTTCCGACAACCCTGATGACTTGGTGTATATGTCTTGAGGATAAAATTCTGATCAAAATAAAAGCCTGCGTTAAAAAAACCGATGTCCTTATTTCTTCTATATTGGTATTTCTAATAGTTGTTCATGGCAAGCTTGACCGTTTTGTAATCATCTTCGTTGACACGCTCCTCCAAACTTGCAATGTCTTGTAAGCCAGATTTTAGCACGGTGACCTCAGATTCGTCGAACCTTTCCCCACCATTTATCAATTGAGACAGAAAGTTCAACACTTTGTCAATAATGTATATGTTGCTTCCCGAATGTAGAAATTTTAGCGAAGTCTGCAAAATGCTTTCGTCCCTTAGTTTTTGCATGAAATCTGCATCAATCATTGTGCTGGTCATTACGGCAGTAACCACAGAAAGGACTCGTAGTTTTAATTTGTCCGTTGCATTAGGGTCGCTCAGTACTGGGGCTATCACGTCTAATCCACGAAGCTTATTGAACTTGGAATACGACTCTTTATTATGCTTCAAAAGGTTCGATAGGGCGTAAAACGCTTTTGTTCTAACGTCTGTTTTCTCGTTTTTATTTTTGGCTATCTGTATGAGCTGAGGCAACCCTTGTTCGTATTTTAGGAAGTTCTCTTGAGAGTTAGTGTTATTTTGAACCGCAGTACCAATAACAGACAATGTGAATGCCCTCAGTTCAGGTTCCGGTGATTGTAGAACGCCAATCAAAGGTTCCCAGAGTTTCAAATTCTCGATATTATTGGCATTATCCAGGTTTTCAATCAGCATTTCGAAATTGTCAAAAGCGATCAATTTCGCCTCTAACTCAGCCTCCGGATTGGTTATCACCACAATAGCCTGCTTCATCAAAGCCGGCTCATCAAGACCGCCTCCAAACAGTTGTTGCAATAATTTTGGATCTGGTTGTCCAGCTTTTTCCACAGCTTCTTTGTCTCCTTGAGAGTTGGCGACCGACCAATGCAGCAGCTTTTCCATGTTTTATTTTGTCTATGTGAGAGTTCAGCTGATATGGTTGATTATCAGACGCTAAAGCAGCGAGAGGAGTAGTCTTGTTCTCAAGATACGATCGATGCGATGAGTGCTAAGTTAGATGCATGGCATTTCTGATTGATTATTGTCAAAATCGAAGCATTGTGTACGAAGACCGTTTTCATCATGATTCTTGAGTCCTAGACCTTTGTAGAATAGGGGGATTTTGTCACTCCAAGAGCAGGTCAGACCTTTTCAACTATGCGCTAAGTGTAATTGCGTGAATTTTTGGAATTGGTTTCCATGCCTTAGGCATTGTGCCTTCAAACGTTTAGTTCAGCTTTTCCCCAGACCTGACAAGTCTTAATAAGTTGTTGATGAAGCAACTGAGGAGCAGGCAAAATTTGATTCGAGCTCCGTGAAGAGTTGGCCCGGCTGGTTTATGGTCGGATAGTGCGGCTACCTTTTATGCTTTTCTCAAGTCTTTTTGACCGATCTATGACACATTAGTACAAAATGACTATTGCATCAGGATCGGATTCGGCACAGCACAGCACAGTACAGTGCAGTACAGTACAGTACAGCACCATAATCCTTTTTTGGGCGTGTTATCCGATACGTTCAGCGTTCTTGCGGATGAAATCGTCAAGCTTGTAAACAAAATCCATGCCCACGGATTTCAGCTCGTCTATCTGTCTTCTTGAAGATTTGATTGAAGCCGGTGGGATCGCTTCAATGCTCATAAAGTGCTTGTTGATGAGGGTGAAATGCTGGTCTACTTCACTGCTGCACCAGCTTACCAGCGTGGACGAAAAACTGTCATCAATGCTCTGAAAAAGCTCTTTGACCCTCGCAACCACGGTCTTCAGTGTTTGGAACCGAATTACGGCGATCTGAGTAAGGTAATGCGTGGGGCTTTGGAAAGTTCCTACCTTCAAAATCAACTCCTTGATGTACTTGGTCCTGTTCTGTAAAAACAGATCAAGAGCGTCGTATTTGAAGTCCAGGGAAATTAGATCGCGCACGAAATCGAGCAAATTGGAAAAGTTTGAGATTTCGGTAGAGATCAGCTGCGTGAGTTTGCCTGCCAAGAGTTCCTTGCGGTTCGCCACTTTGAGCCTAATAAGGTTCAGCAGTATTCGGTTTTCTTGGACGCCATTCTTGTCGAGAGACGCCAATGTTTGCTCCAATTCTTGCAAATGCTGGATAGCGGCATTGAAGTCACGCCGGGCGAATACAATGTCGAAATCTTCCACAACGTCGTCCAAGTGCCCCAGTACACCAGCGTTTCGTTTTCCTCCTACCGCCTGCGAAGGATATTTAAGAGAAGAGCTTAGAGCATGTAAGGCGAACGACTCATTTGCATCGTTCTGGGGCCCTGAGGTTGCATTTCCCAAACTCGTGTTTCGCGCGTGGCCCTTCGTGGGGCTCAGTGTCAGGTCTCTGCCTGGATTGTTCTGCGTGGCCTGCAGATATGTGAAAGAGTCTCTGATTTTACGCGTGTTTTCTTCTTCTGCCTGTGAGATGACATTCAGATCATCTTTAGCACCGCGCACTGCGGACACAATGCGCTCGAACTCTCTAGTCTTTTGCGTTTGAATTAAGCATTGCCTGCGATTGGCAAAATCTAGCGAAATTCTATTCTTCGCTTGAGGATTGATGATAGTATCTTTTAGGGTATGACAGTAGCATACTACCAGCTCGTGCTGTTTGTTTTCCTGATTTTTAGTCGCTATCATGATCATGTCATTAAGTAGGAAAAGATGAATGGTCTTTAAAGGCTTGAGTGTGGCAGCGTTTATTTCGTACCAATCACTTGATTCCAAAATGATATGTCGTCCCGGAAGTGGAGCTATAAATTTCTGGGCGCCTTCGACCGCCCTGAACAAAGTCGAAAGCTCACTCTTCCACATCTTCTCTAGCATTACAACACTTGTACGATCACGCCGTTGGGAAGCTTTCGCTGGAGGAAGTAGCGAGTTTTGCTGTTGCTGTTGTGATTGTGACTCGACGCTTGAATTTGGAGCCGAATCTCGTTCCAACTGTAACCTTTTGTCTGCCATTGTAATCAGCTCATCCATCACCTCCTGGAGTTCTACTACATTTGTCCTGAGCTGTCTAAGCTCCGCAGAGGCACTGCTAAGATCCCGGTTTACTTGCAACACCTGAGTGTATGAATCCGAGATGTTCACCTTAATTTCGTCTGTGACTTCTAACGCCAAATCGTTCAGTTCTGACGTAAACTGATCTATCTCAAGTGCTCCAGCGTTCCCCAGTGTACTGGATACATATTCTTTCGCTTCAAAAGCGCGATCACTCAGGATCTGGCGCAGTGGAGTTCTGTGAGATTTTTTTTGTCCGCCAACTCTGAGCATTCCAACGCTCGAAGTAGATCTGTTTTGTCTGGAAGTAACTTTAAGTTCATTAGCCCGTGTATGGGACGGTTGATCTGAAGCATTTTCCATACTATATGGCAAGGGCTCTGCTAAATAGTCTGTTGGAGCACCAGGGCCACCATATTTTGAAGCGTGGAATGACAATCTCCTCTGCATCAAAGTCCCCACTTTGTCACGATCTTTGGAATCTATCGTTGGAAGTTGTGCATAGTTCGTAGCGTCTTTGAAGTTTTGGTATGGATTTGATTTCACCGTTGTATTGTCACCATCCAACTTTATTGAACCGTTCGCTCTGCTCGGCGATGAACGCTGCTTCCAATTCGTTCTAGCTTTCCGAAGCGACAACTCTACCATCACAGCCTCAAATCCTAATCGTGAGAAATGGCTTCGTCAATGAGTTTTGGCCTGTTGAAGTTGCTGATTGTAGTTAAAGGTTGGTGAACTTGTAAGATTAACCAATATATATGAAGTTCATTGAATTTGTTCAAACATCAGATAGAAAACAGTAGCCAAATTCTGTATAAAAGAGGCATCTTTGAAGGCTCTGCTGCTTTCTTTCGGAAACTAAAAACAGGGGGACCTATTCAGGCTTTTTTTTGCCAAGCAGAGTTGTTCAGTGGACGTCATTTTAGAGGACGATGAGCATCACTAGCGAAGAGGTAAACTATATGATCTGGAGGTATCTCCAGGAAAGTGGGAAAGAGGTATCTGCGTTGGCGTTACAGGAAGAAACACGGGTTTTGGAGTTTGATCACCAATTTGGCCACCATATACCCATTGGGTCGTTGGTAGACTTTATCCAGAAGGGCATCTTGTATACAGAATCCGAGCTTCTGGTGCGTTACGATGCCGATAAAACGCCGGTAGACGGCGAACAACAAGTTTTGGCTCGAGATTTCAGTCTGGTGCAAGCACTGGAAATCAATAAAGACAGGGTCCCAGTTATTCGTGGAGAACACAGGTTCGAGCTGGCAAATGACGAACCTGAATTGACAACGGGTAAAGAAACACTGGACGCACTTTCACCATCAGAAAATCATAAGGATACCACTCCGGCAGCTTTAGGGTCCTCGAATTTCATAAAGACGTTGCATGAGAGCGCCAAGATATCGCAGGGCGCAGTCAGTCGATGGAACCCATCAAATAGTCTGATACAGGCACATGGGGGTTCCGGCTCGCCAGCAACGATCACCACATTTCAGAGTTCAGAGCCAGGAACCTTGTTAGTGGTGCAACAGGTCAAATGCGAGCTATCCCCAGCCATTGAAAAGGAAACGGAAAATGGCGTATCGTGTTTAGAGTGGTCGCCAGCTGGTCGCAGTTTAGCAGTCGGTGCAGAGTCCGGAGAAGTTAGATTATGGACTATAGATGGAAAATTGGAAAACATTTTTGAGTTTCACAAAAGTTGCATAACCACCATCAAATGGAATCAGGACTCTCTGCATTTTCTTACTTGTGACGTTGATAATGTCGTTATTGTGTGGAATTCTGTCACAGGATCTGCATTGCAACAGTTTTCTCCCAAAGATTCAGGGTTTTCAGAAACGCTGGGGGTCGATGCCTCTTGGGTGGGTACGGACAAATTCGTGATTCCCGGAATGCAGGGCAACATATTATTATGCGAGATGGGCGAAAGCCGTCCTCTGGGCCAGCTGAGTGGACACACCAAGGCCATAACCGCGTTTGACTACAACCCGGCAACGAGATTGCTGGTATCGGCTTCCGATGACAAGACTCTTCGAGTGTGGCGAAGCGGGAATATGAACTCATCCAACTGTTTTATGGGAAATTCACAAAGCGTGACGAGTGCCAGTTGGCTTGATAACGATACTGTCATATCGACATCAATGGATGGATCGGTGCAGGTATGGTCTCGAGTCTCCAACTCGCCACTTGCGCTGTCGATGGTCGACGGAGTGCCAATATTCTGTGGAGTACTCTCCCCCGACAAGCAGAAATTTGCGGTGGGCAAGATGGACGGTGAGATCAACTTATATGACGTTGGGAAGCTGATACTTGACTTGAAGGATGTTAAAGATGCTCGCAATGTGCAATCCATCCCAATCTACGGCGATTATCAGTCGAACAGCGAAGGTAATTGTATTACAGACTTGGCATGGGATGCAACAAGCACCTATTTATCGATCTGCTACTCGGCTAGTGAAGCCTCGGTAGTGTACATTGGTTAGACATCACTGCAACTGCACAAATGAGAGCGAGAAACTGCGAATGCCACATTTCAAGAAATTGACTATTTTTGCTCCGAAAAAACTGGTAAAAAAAACAGTCCAAAACGAAACCAATTCGCCAAGTGATTTCCAGCTCCCTGAGTTCTCTGGCAGGATACACGATTCGCTCGGAAAAGCTCACGATTGCCTTACAAACGTCGTCGATTACTGTTCCACAACGTATATGATGATCCAACAATAATATTGAGAAAGCTCATCAAGCATTGGACTCGAAAGCATCGATCAACTGAACACCCACACAACGATTGGTGTCCAGCCAGCTTGTGATGGATGCTATATCGGATCCGGCTTTCCAAAGTACCAAGTCGCTGAAAACTGCGGCTGAGGAGCTCCCGTCTCTTTTAACAGTGATTGTCGATACAACACCTAAACTTTGGGCGGAACTAGACAAAGAAAGTGGACAGAATAAGAATTTGATACATACATTGCAATCGCTCATTGTGTTTTTGAATGCGCATTTGACATTCAACAGTGCAAACCAGGTGTGTGTGATTGCTGCACATTCTAAGGGTATCAAATATCTATATCCAACGACGACGGTTTCTTCGAAAGAAAACGGCTCAATCAAACAAAATGGCGATCTAAAGATTATCAGCAACAACATGTACCGTCAATTCCGGAACGTTGACGAAACAGTTTTGGAAGAGCTGTACAAGCTCATGTTGGAGGAGAAAAACGCTGAAATTGTGGATCGACCGCAGAAAAGTACGCTTTCTGGAGCCATGTCAGCGGGATTCACGTATATTAATCGAACGATCAAAGAACAAGAAAATACATCTTTGAAAGCGAGACTTGTGGTCTTGACGTGCGGTTCCAGTAGTGAGAAAGATGAAATTTTTCAGTACATTCCTATCATGAACTGTATTTTCACTGCAACCAAGATCAAATGTCCGATTGACGTTGTCAAAATTGGTGGCTCTCAGGAATCAACATTTCTTCAGCAAGCTACCGATGCCACCAATGGTGTATATTTGCATGTGCCGACTACAGAAGGGCTGATACAATACCTGTCGACTGCTATGTTCATTGATCCATCATTAAGGCCCATCATAGTGAAACCAAACCAGGGATCCGTAGACTTCAGGACCTCGTGCTACCTCACGGGCAAAGTAGTCGCCGTGGGATTCGTTTGCAGTGTGTGCTTGTGTGTGCTGTCGGTTGTTCCTCCCGGCAATAAATGCCCGGCATGCGATTCGGAATTTGACGAACATGTCACAGCGAGGCTTAAGCGAAAACCCGTTGTGCCTAACAGCGTGGCAAAGAAGAAGAGAAAACCCGAAAGCTAGGCTTTTGATCAAGATTTTTACCCAACGTTCTTCCCCGAGATTGTAACATGCGAACTTGTGAGACATGTCGCCAGCTAAGCGCTCAGGGCTACCGTTCATTGGTTTTTGGTTAACGGCCATTCAAATCCACTACCCTAATGGTCTGTCACAGACAGCTTCTTCGCACTTGTGCATCTTTCACAAGAGTGAATCACACGCTAGAATATACCTTGAGTTTAGGCCTTCGGGAAGCCGACTCGACGCATACGCACCAGCCTACATAATAACGCAAGATTTCTGCTTCAGAATGTTTGCAGTAATCGTTTTCACGTAGAATCAATAGCTTTCCCATAGCTCGTTTTCATGCCTGATGATACGTAAACTGGAGTGTTAACTCATCTCATCTCATCTCATCGATGTTCAACATCTCAGTAAGAACAAGCATCTCAAAACTAACAGTTCGCCGATGGGTAAGAAAACGAGTGGTAAGAGCTACAGAAATTCAAAACACGATGCACAGGAGTCTCAATCCATAGACCTCATTTTTGGTCAGAGCAGAGCATTCGCTTTAGAGGGCAGTTTGGTGAACCCGGAAGTAAAGAAGTACTTGACATCTGTTAGGGCACAAGCCTTGAGCACGCTAGGTGCTAATCCGAGCATCGCCAGCGTGCAGAGACCTTCGAGGCCAAAGGAAAATCAAGGGCTATACGATGAAGAGCCAGTAGTGAACCAAAAGCTAACCAGTTTCGACAAGAACTGTGAAGCATGGCTATCATGGTTTAAACAGATGAAACAAGAAACAGAAGAAATTGAGAGACAGTCTAGTCAAAACTACACCCCGGAAAGCTTAAACTTGTTGCTCTTTTATTTCAAGAAGTACCTACAAGAAGCGGTGAAAAATGGTAGCATTGATACCAATGAAAAGATCACCAGAGTTTTGGAGTTGTTGCAATCGCATAGCGTTGAGGAAGATGCAGAAAGCGAGGCACTTGAAATTGACGAGGAATGGGCCTCCACTCTGATCGCTCAACTCAACACCAAAAGATTCCACAACATTCAAACTATAGACGATCTCAAACGCCTGATAAGTACTCCAAAACCACTGCCGCAGAACTTCAACTCGTGGCACAACTTCATCACAAGGACTGAGCCCACTCCTGCGCTGTTACAACGAATGAAGAACAACGATTGCGTTCTTCGAGTGGCCAGTTATCTAATTCAATGGGTCGGTGACATACCTAAGAATAAAAACGTTGACAAGATCTCTCAATGGACACTGTTCGTTCTCTTATACTTAGAAAATAACCTGCCAGCTCCAGACGTCAGTATACTGCGAGATCTGGGCAAGAAAGCCCGTCAGTGCAAGCTCAAAACTTTGACGTCCACTGCCACTTTATCATCCTATCACTTGGGTGTCCCTGTTGGGTTTTGCGAACCGAGTGCTAAAATCGAGCCTCTGACGGCTATTGACTTGGCGCTTGCTGTGATTGCACTCGAATATGGTCAAAGGGACCTCATTGACTGGACGGGTATCTGAATCCCGCTACGAAAGCCAAGACAGAGAATAAAGCAACTCGAAGCAGCTGGCAGACTCACAACATAGGGAAAGATGTCTATTATGAGGAGTTTCAATGTGGGTCGCCAGCAACATACTCGACATTAAGATCCTCAACCTTGTACATACAGCTAAGTATTCTACGACATTACATTGAACAGGCCGAAAGTTACACGCAACACAGGCGTCACTCCATTGGGTGAAAAAGATCTCCCAGAGTAGTATATATCATCAACTAGACTGACTTGTATTTCATTGCAAATGTTTTCCAAAAATGTGCGTGCTGTCAAGTGAACTTGGTAGCATCACCAAAACTCATCACCACAGCCTTTCTGCTCGAAAAATCCTTGCCCACAACGAAAAAGCTGTTTCTAAGGTCCCAAGCAGCTGAATTGAAATGGCTGGCAACATACTTAACTCCCAAAGGTTGGTACAATTGGCAGGATTCCATCCACAGCTTCAGAAAGTGTGGTATTTGATCGCAGCCACTACACTCAGTGCTTGTAATGAACCACAGGAAGTTCCCAAGCTCTATCATTTTGCCATGCTCAACGATTCACAGCTCGATGTTGAGGGTCCAAAGAATGCTGTGAGAACTCTAGAGCTTCTACAGAGCAATCCAGTCAAACTGGATCAGGAAATCAACGAGATGTACAACGATCCTCAGAAGTCTCAAACAATCATTACTCAGAAGTTGAGAGAAGCTCTTTTGAAAAGCAGTGCGCTCACTGGCATTCCTAAATCGATCAACTCACTCCAAGCGTTGAAGATGGTCACACCTAAGAAACTCAAGCCTATAACGGAGGACATTGATGCACATAGTAACAACTTATTCGAGGGTTCTGCGCGGCCCGTTGATGTTGCACCAGGAAAAGTGGTGGAAAACGGTATTCACCATTGGAACAGGATCTACAGTAAAGTGACCAACAAAGTAATCAACAATTTGAACACGTCGTATCCAGATCTTTGGCAGTTTGTGCTTTGTAATGTCTACGGCCCACTTTTGTCGTTTGATGATATCCTTGACGCTCAAGAAACCAGTTTGGTGATTATCGCAGCTCTGGTTCCGCAAGATTTGAATGCACAACTGTGGGGGCACTTGAAAGGTGCTTTGAATGTGGGTTGTGACCGAGAGACGATTAATGCCGCCAGAAACATGAGCATCCTAATCTCAAAGTGGTGCGGCATACGATGGAAATCGGACGTCGTTAGGCTATGAATATTGCATGAGGGGAATGCCAGCTTCTATGTTAGATACTTTCACAAGAATGTAGCAAGGTCACCGTTTTAGTTGCAACAAAGTGCACTGCAAGTTATCACCGTTTATGACAATCAGCGATGTACTTCGATGACGAAGAACGTCCTGTGAATCACAAGTATGATAACTCAAACTTTTACTTGTTCAAGGTCTTCCTACGTTTAACGAAGATGCCAATGTGGGACATTTATCATTGAAATGCTATATGCTCTCTTGCGAAAGTCCTACTAGTGTATTCTTGAGCTTGTTCTTAGCTCATCTTCTACCAAAAATGTCTAAATTGAGCGACGGGAATTTCAGTCCGGATTTTTTCTGCTCCTCCGCCGAACAAGATCGACTTGATGTTGTTGTGGTCGTGTTCATCTCTTCGTTTCTCTTACCGAAAAGCTGCCACCACCATGAAATGTCCTTTAAATCTGGTAAAATCCAGTCGTCGTCGTCATCGAGGGGTACGGCGTTGTACTCATTATTGGTGAACTCCGCCGTTCTCGATCTGAAATAATCCCACACGCTTCTCGTTTTATGCTGGGCTTCATGACCGGCCCTCTCATACTCTGAGTCAAATAAGAAAGTGCCATATTGGCAGGAATATAAGTGGTATACCAGACGTCTCAAAAAACGCTCGTTGAATTCAAACTTCGATGGATTTTGTCTGTGCAACTGGTACACGCAGTCCAGGAACTGCTGGAATACGGGAGAAGTGAACTTGGATGATTTCTTGACTGTCAGTCTTCTGGATACTCTATTAACAATTTCTGTCGAATGCGACTGGGGAGCGGTATTCAAATCAAGAAGCTCTCCACTTGGTGCTTCCGACTTACCATTCAAATTGTTTGTGTTGTTCGAGAAGCCAAAAATGGACGAGTTGAGATCCATTCCTTGCGTCATATTCGAAGCAGCACCAGAAAGACTCATTCTCGTTGAGTTGTCATGGAAAGAACTTTCTGAGCTTAAGTGACCGCTCCGCTGGGAGAAGCGGTGACCAAACGAGAGCCAATCCTTTTCAATCAAAATCATAAACCCCTCTATTGTTCGGAAATATGGATCGAGACAAATTTGAACCAAAGAACAGACCTGTGTGGTTCGATCCCATCCGTCTGAGCAGTGAATCATAATGTTGGATTCATTGAAAAGCATGGACTTGGCGAGTGTGTCCGTCGATGAAAGAAGCATCTTTACGTATTTCAGCCACTGCCCAGATTTACCCTCGTTGAGCGCATGGGTATCAATAGGTAAATTTAGATCGTTGTCGACCAAAAAATGATCAACAACGTTATTCAGTACATCTCTCATGACGTGAATATTGTCTATGCCTAGAAACATGCGGCTTGCCGTCCCTCCAAAACTGTAATTGTCCATATTTTCTGTGCCACCTCCGAGCGCTGTTTGTGCCATAGCATTTGTGGTTGGCCTAGCATCCACGATAATGTTTTTGACTGCCCTTGACCTTTGACGATTACTTGTCGAGGAGCAGTTGAAAATCTCCGATATGAGTTTTTCATCTTGAATGGAGCGCTGCTGAATAATACCAGGCAAAGGTTGCGCACATCGTGTAATGGATGTGCAAGTTTTTCGATGGAAATATGTGAGTGCAGGAATACGATTTTGGGACCTGAATTTCATGGAATGGGTTAGCAAGGTGTCTGAAATCGTGCTTGGTACCACCAGCAATTTCGGATAAGTTTTGCAGAAATTATAGTCCTGATTGACGGTTGAAATTCGCCAACGACAGTCCTTGTCGTTAAGGTCGAGTCCCTGTCTCTGGAATTCCTTCAGCGGCTCATATATGTTCCAGCTATTGAATTGTTGCTCAGCTCTGTTGGAAGTATAGATAAATGCGTACAGTTGAGTGACTTCGTGCAAAACCGTGAGATTGAGCAGCGAGTCATAAACGTCCTGCGCCAAATGCTCGTCCTCAAAATCCAATGAAAATACCGTGTAATCTTTGCCCACAATCTTGATGTTCCAAAACTGCCACATGTCCTTTTCCTCATACAGAGGGTCTTTGCAGTCAGAATGGTTCTTATATTTGGAAATTAGGGTGCTTCCTCTGTTCTTGTACACTGCACCAATTGTGGGGTATGCAAACCAAAATTCCCGCGTCAGAGACCCAGACGTAAATATCAAATGGTGCGTTGTCAAATGTAGCGTTCCATTAGCTGAAACGCCCTTCTTGTGTATTACAACATCATCAACCTGCAAGAAACACACACAGAATGCTTTCACTTAGTATTCGATCCACAATTGTGTCGAAGAATCCAGGACAAAAAGAACGTACCTTGGCGATCTTTATATATTCCATCGAGGAAGCCCCTAGCTAGCTTCTGAACGGGTGTTAAAGGGGTCTATGGCGTGTCTAGATGTTCGTTTCACCGAAGGATTCAACTATCTGGTATCGTATTGACCTACAAGGCCATTAAATTGGCATCACCGTTTGATCATCTTACAATTTTACTGACATCGATATCATCAGCGACAGCGACAGAACGAGAGGCGAAGAACTGGTACGAAAATTGGGAATCGACGTAGAAGTAAACAGCGTCGGTTTGATGTAGCTGCTGATTGAAATCTCTATGTATCTATACATTGAGTTTGAAGACATATCCTTTGCCTCATAATATTCCGAGTTTGAGAACAGGTCTGCCCTGCGACCGGGGAAAGGGAAAGGAAATTGAACTTAGTAACGCCTTGGAATCTTGGAAGCACTCGTGTGGGTAGCTTCTGTGGGTATAGAGGAACTGAATGTGTAACACCAACAAATAAAAGGGAAATGGGAAATGGGAATGGAAAACCGGATATAAAAAGTGTGAACGTCTCCTCGAGTAGGACTCCAATCATCAGAGAATATCCGGAACATTTCAGCAACCGGATTGGAATTTTTTGGGTTTTTGAGTGTTTTGGCATCATGGGAGGGGGAGAAAAAAAAAGGCCGGCTTTTTAATGAGCCCCCTCAGCGTTCACTCACGACACTTTGCATATCGTCTGCAGCTCTAATATGAACTTCCCCTCCTTATATCGTTGGTCTTTCCGTTCGCTTTCGACATATTTCCAACCCACCAGACTCTTGCACATATGGCATTTTATGTCGCAGACGACGTAACAACCGGTAAGCATGCATCGAGTTTCACGACTGCCCTCCACCACGTTCACTACCCGGTTCATAAGGTACGCGTCTCCGGTAGTGCCACGGTAGTCCTTGGACATCACTTGTGCAGATGAGCTCAGATGGGTCCTACAATTGCAGCACCCATAAGTCACAAATTTCGTGTGTCTCGTCTTGGGATGGTCGATGTACGACGTGTAGCGCAATCCCATGGCTTTCAGATCAAAGTTCCAAATTTCTTTCCGGAACTTGCGAGCTTATTGTCGGAATCAAACTTATGAATGTAAAACACCACGGAAAAAGCTCGCAACTTCCCTGGACTTTCTGCCTACTACTAAAAAAACGCTTCTATATTCACTAAACTCAAGATACACAACCAAGCACTCAAAGCTCCCCGCTTCGGGCCACAATGTTCTTGGTCTACTTATATATACTTGGTGCTAAGGGGATGAGATGAGAAACCCTTAGCAGTTCTTAACCTATTTATTCTGTCGCTCAAGTGCCGTGATACGGTCTGTCACCAGGTATTTCAGGTTGATGCTCTGACAACACGGTTCGAAGTAGCGGTTTGATACCCGATTATTCACGGCAGATTATGAAGATTTCCAGACGGATCTTCAGCAGCTTGAACGACTGTCTTACACTTTGCTTTTTCCCAACTTGTTATTTTACTGACACTGTAATGACAACCTAGTGTAAAAATGATATTCCGGAAACAACTAGAGAGGGTATGGCCAACTCTTATGACGACGGTGGTAGAGACGAACGGGCCAGTGGCCTGAATGTAGATATATGCTCTGCTGATGGTACTGGCTTGTCTATCAAATGTTTGAAATGTATCTAAAATAATTTAGGTTAGTATACATAATATATATTAGAGAAATGACATGCCGCTTTACCAGGTCTGTAATTCCTCGAATAAGTCGATTCTACTCTTCTTGTAGGAGCCAACTTTGTCTGCAATAGCGGCACGGACTTCGTCACACATGTTACCGTGGCCACACGTAATAACTGCAACGTTTTTGTCGTCACATTCGTCGATGTCCTGATTAACGATCTCCGCCATGTTTGGTCTGCCTTCTCTGAACTCGATGTGAGGCAGCATCTTGTGCACAGTTTCCAAGTAGTCGTGACTGACAACAACCTCATGTCCTTCGGAGCCCTTTTCGGATGAAGACGAAGGAGAGCTGGTGTCAAAGTGAGCCGTCAGCTTCTCGCCAAGCTTTCCTTCGTGTGCCTTCGTAACGTAGATTACCGTCTGTACGTTAGCGTATCTCTGAAGCAATTGCAACTCCTCCAAAAACCAATCCATCGAGTGCCAGTGTCTAATCACCCAGTATAATTTCACGAATTTGGTAGTTTCATCAATTGTAGTCTTACCCAGATCCTTGGCATACGCGAATGGTCCTGGGATACCGTTACCACCACTGTACAGTAGCACTTGGTCGTAGGCTTCAGCAGGCTTGTAGTCGCCGTACGGTCCCTCGACAGCGACCTTGACTTCGCCCGTATAGTTTGGTTTGCTCAAAAGTTGCTTATACAAAGTCTCAGTGACACCTTTCTTGATCTTGATGTAAAAACGCAGCTCATTGTTATCGGTCTTGACCACAGTGAACGGATGCGATTGCCAGAACACAGAAGTTTTTAGAATGTGCAAGTATCCAAATGCACCGGGGAAGAATGGCCACCAAGACCCTTTGTCAACGGTGATCTGTAAAGTCTCGTCTGACACAATGCACACCTGGGCAGTCTTGACACCAAATGAAAAGAGACGAACCAATCTGATAAAACGATCGAAACACCATACGGCGGCAGTCGCAAACGCGTATTGACCGTAGCCAAGATCGTCGACGTGTCTCCAAGCACCAACTAAAAATGCAAGCGCCATGAGGATGTGGACGTAAAGGAAAAGCTCGTAGTTCTTGGCTCGTAACCAGCTGAAAGACTGCACGACGATGATACCACCGGCAACGCCAGCAACTGATCCGTATATCCACCACTCCGTCTTAGATCTGATTGCGTAGAATCCAGTTCTGAGGCAGGTGGTGATCATCATAGAGATGATGTGAGTCAATACACTAAGGTAAAACATACGACCGACCCATTTGTGATAAATGACAAATGTAGACTGTTTCCATCCGGTCAAAAGTAGAAGAATTTGATTTCTACCCGCAAACAAATAGGTAATGATCATTAAAAAGTTGCAGATGAGAGCACTTCTGTCACCAATATAAACACTCATTTCCACGGTCTTTGAGATAAAGAGAGGGTTGTTCTCAATATGCTCGTATTTGACAGCTTGGAAAATAACACATAGAGCAAGGAACACGAAAATGATGAACGATTCTAACCGCGTTGGCACAACTCCGCCCAGGGGATCTTTATTCGTGTGATTCATGCCGAAAAGAGCCGGAATCGATAAAAACTTCCGGTACCAACGAACGATTGCCAACTGAGATGTTTTCTTGTTTGCGGAGATCATGAAAGTAGGAGCGATTTTGTGTGCCAGATTGGACAGCATGCCACAAAACATGATGATGCCCCAGTAACCAAGTAGAGCTGCGCCCCAGTGTAGCGCCCTTTTGAAGTTATCATATCTGGCACTGTACGAGCGATGCCACAATTTGTACTGAGTAGGGTTGACGTAAATGGGGACGTTTATGGGGTTGGTTTTGTTGAAGTTCTTGATTTGAGAGATATTAACCATGTGTTGCGATGCGTTCTGATAGACTTGTTCCATATGCTCGACGGTTGTGTTGGGACATCTGAACTGGAAGAATTCGTGCAGAGAGTGACGGTCTTGCTTGGAGTGCAGGTGGTCGTAAGCGCAGTAAAGGAAAGATCCCAGCGCGTTGTCGTTGATGCAATAGCAATCATAACTTTTGGCAGAGTCCGATTTACAGAACTTTGCTTGATTCCCTAGCGTACTTTTGCAGGAAAAGCCCACATAATCGACATGATCGTATTGAAAGCCTTTCTTCACACCCGCAGCAGCGCTTACAAGCACGATCTGGAAAAATCCCAAAACGAACTGTGCCTTCATGTGTGGTGTGGGATCAAAGAGGGTAGAGAGCTGCTCACTGTAGCCTGGCTTTGAATCTGGAAAAGCTCATATCCACTGTAATCTTCGTTCTCCTCCACAATCACTCGCTTTTATAGTTCTGGAAACGCACATCGCTTTCGACAATCGAGGCTCAAGAAACTGTGAAAAGAGAGTACAAACTTTTCGGGGGTGCCAAAGCTTTCCGCGCTGGTCTAGACATTGACTAAGTTTTTTTCCCGTCCATCTTCCTGCCAAAGGTGGGGCCAGCGTCGTCTGTCTGGATGCCAGATTTTTTTCACAACCGCTATTCTTGACCGATACCTTTCCTGTTAATTTGCAGTACGCGTAGCGGTGAGGTGAACTGCACCCTAATTCAGAGTAGCAATACTGGGGCTATCTCCAGATACCACCAGGATCAACAGAACTGTGTAAGTAAAGGCAGGAATCGTCTCGGCTCTTAGTGAAGACTTCCCGCATTCTTCAGGGTTCGAACCCAGGGTGCAGTTCATGTCAACTTTTTTTTCAATCTTTCACTGACGTCTCAGAAAAACCTGTAGCTAGGATCTGTCAAAGTGTAGATGGGTTAGGTTGGGTCAAATGATAGTACACCCTGATCGTAGGCGTTGCTGGTAGCAGTAAATGCTCAAGACGGCAGTTTAACAGTCTTCAAGTAAAGAGCATGTTAAGTTGCACCCAGAATTCAGGGACGTCGTATCTCGAGAAAAGAAGTCAGCCCTTCGTGTTCAAGGTGGAAAAGCTCTCAAAAAAGTCTCTATATGGTGATGCGTGCAGAAGGATTTCAAAGAGGTGTGCTTGTTTGGATTCAATCTCAAGGGTTGAGGGCGTCTTATTCGATCAAGACCCGTGAGGTTCTTGATAATCAAACAGCGGTTCGTAAAAGTCATCACCAGCGGATAGAGAAGTGTGGGAATAGTAACCTGATGACAAGAAAATCGAGATTTTTGATGAAATTCGTTGAAGTTTGTGCATTCACCTCGTAATTAAATCATGTAAGATACTCAAAACATCCATCCTTTTCGAAAATGCCGCACCAAATGCCTCGTTTTCACGACAGGGGTCTCCAGCGTTCATGAGAGTGTGCAACAAAACGCATATGTCAGATGATACCGTTACCGCTGTCGTTTGGCGGTTGTGGTGATAGCAGTGACAGCAGTGGTAGTAAGCGATGGTAATATCAGTGGTAGTAGTTTTCATTGTAGTTTCAGCACCAGTAGATATTTTAAATCGTATTGAACCTACTCCCTCTGTAAATCAACAAATCTCCACTAAGTCCCCCACCATGGCACTCAATTCTTAAGGACCTGGTCCAGGGCGTTCAGTAAAGTGGTAAAGTAGCGAAATGAAGCACATAGACGCAGACTCTCAAGGCTGTGTGTTGACCTTTGATGTTTTAATGTTGTTGTATCAATTAAATGATTTCGGTCAGTTTAGTCTATGATGATCTCTCTCGACCCTGAAGTACATCTGGACAATGTTTGTGAGAATGCAAGTCATAAAATGGCCATGTGTGTAGAGTGGAAGTCTGCAGACGAGTGTAAAATAAAAAAACGTTATATCTGGATTGTTTGGTCTTTTGTTAACAATTTTTCCTGCTGACACGCAACCATCACCACATTCCTTATACTCTTGACTTAACCTGGGGAAAAGAACAATTTCGATGCTACATAGGTACTCACTCATAAGCTCCACACACCCCTCTTCACAACAGATCGTCATCTGCAGATGCTATCGAGTCCTTAATCTTCAACAGTATGGTGGTCTTCCATTTGTCGAGTTTGGCAAAACGATCGAATTCGTACACTTTTGCACTCAGCTTCTCAGAGTCTCCTTCGGAACACGCCTCCAGTAGCGCGGCAATCAATTCATGCTCGCGAGAACCGGTAAAATTTGAATCTTCTTGCTGAGCCTCTGTCACCGTCCTTTGCGCTGCAACCTGGTCGTCGGCTGCCAAATAGCAAAGCGCCGTTTTGAGGAAATAGTCTTTCAAAGACCACTGGCTCAGCCTGTTTCCCACAGAATTAGCGATAACTTTGCGATAAATGTCGCACGCTTCGATATAGCGACCATCAAGAGCCTGCAGATCTGCGCATTTCAAGTACGCTTTATTTGCGAGCGCCAAAGCCTGGTCCTGAGCGTACCAATCGGCAGCCGCCTCATACGCCTCCACTGCCTTGGCATAGTCGTGCAGTTCGTTTTCCAAAAGTTCTGCAAGTTCAGCTTTGAAATTGGCACCTCTTCTAAACTGGCCCCGCCGTGTGAATATGTCTATGGCCTTGTTGAGGGCCTCGCAAGCCTTTTCGGGGAGGGACCCGGCTTTGAAGGCCTTGAAAGCTTCCACAAACGTGTTTCCGGCCTCGTCTTCACTCTGTGCCCGGATCTGACATGCAGCTGCTTGCAAGAACAAATCGCCCGCTTTTTCCAGTTCTTTGCGCAGTCTGTATAAATTAGCAGCTTCCACATACAAGTCTGCGGCTTCCTCGTACTTGTAAGTGTCAGAAGCACCAAAAATCTTCATGAAACCTGACGAAGGCTGGGCCTTTTTTTGAGCCTGTTGGTAAAATGGTGACTTGTTAGTTTTTACGCGCGAGAGGGGTGGCTTTTGCAAACATTTTTGACACATACCTTTTGTACTAGAGCTTCCGGATCAGACATGGTGTGTTAGAACTAGCGGTAACACACGTTACGAGTAGATTGTGTGGTAGTTGCCTCCCTTAAAGGCTTGCGTATCGGTGAGTAAGGCCAACTTATATTCGAATATATATGTATGATTCTAATATGAAAATAACGAGTACATAGTACTCACGAGGCCCGTGACCTCAGGCTGCGACAGAATGGTAAGAAATGATCGGGCTCGAAAACCGTTGTGGACTTTGGAAGCGGACAACCCAGGAGTCAACGAACAGGACGATTCGTTGAGATTGTCCTGGAAGAGAGCACTTATGACCATGTTTCGCCATTAAGAGTCTATAATTGGTATTAATATTGGATATTTTGGTATACGAAATTACAATTTATGTAGTATATATATGTGAGCATTGGGCCACCAGTTTGTCACGGCTCAGTCCTGGGAATCATTTACCAGGTCTGCAATTCCTCGAATATGTCAATTCTGCTTTTCTTATGGGAGCCAACTTTGTCTGCAATAGCGGCACGCACTTCGTCACACATGTTACCGTGGCCACACGTAATAACTGCAACGTTTTTGTCGTCACATTCGTCGATGTCCTGATTAACGATCTCCGCCATGTTTGGTCTGCCTTCTCTGAACTCGATGTGAGGCAGCATCTTGTGCACAGTTTCCAAGTAGTCGTGACTGACAACAACCTCATGTCCTTCGGAGCCCTTTTCGGATGAAGACGAAGGAGAGCTGGTGTCAAAGTGAGCCGTCAGCTTCTCGCCAAGCTTTCCTTCGTGTGCCTTCGTAACGTAGATTACCGTCTGTACGTTAGCGTATCTCTGAAGCAATTGCAACTCCTCCAAAAACCAATCCATCGAGTGCCAGTGTCTGATTACCCAGTATAGTTTCACGAATTTGGTAGTTTCATCAATTGTCGTCTTACCCAATTCCTTGGCATACGCAAATGGTCCTGGAATACCGTTACCACCACTGTACATTAGCACCTGGTCGTAAGCTTCAGCAGGCTTGTAGTCGCCGTATGGTCCTTCAACAGCGACCTTGACTTCGCCCGTATAGTTTGGTTCGCTCAAAAGCTGCTTATACAAAGTCTCGGTGACACCTTTCTTAATCTTGATGTAAAAACGCAACTCATTGTTATCGGTCTTGACCACAGTGAACGGATGCGATTGCCAGAACACAGAAGTTTTTAGAATGTGCAAGTATCCAAACGCACCGGGGAAGAATGGCCACCAAGACCCTCTGTCCACTGTGATCTGTAAAGTCTCGTCTGAGACAATGCATACCTTGGCAGTCTTGACCCCAAATGAAAAGATACGAACCAATCTGATAAAGCGATCAAAACACCAAATGGCGGCAGTCGCATAGGCCCAGGGACCGTAGCCAAAGTAATCAATATGTCTCCAAGCGCCAAGCAAGAATGCAATCGCCATGAGTATGTGGACGTACAGGAAAATTTCATAATTTTTGACTCGTAACCAACTCATGGCTTGCAAGAACATGATACCACCGGCAACAACGGCGACGGCTCCGTATATCCACCACTCTTCGACACTATCCTCCTTGTAGTAGCCTGCAACCACGAATGTGATCAACATGCTTAGCGTGTGATTCAATACAGTGAGAACGAGCATGCGGCCAACCCACTTATGGTACGTGACAAAGGTAGATTGCTTCCACCCAGTGAGCCATAGGAACAGCTGGTTTCTTCCCGCGAATAGATAAGTTATGGTCATCAAAAAGTTCGAGATGAAAGCGCTTCGGTCACCCACTAGACGTGTCAGTTCGACTGTCTTGTTTTCGAAAAAGGTGTTATTCTCAACATGCTCGTAACCTGCAGCTTGGAAGATGACGCATAATGCGCAAAATCCGCAGATGATCAATGAGTCCAAACGCGTTGGTAGAGCACCACCCATGATTATTCTGTCGGCGTGACTAGGTCCAAACAAAGCTGGAATTGAGACAAACTTTCTGTACGTCCGAACAATCCACGTCCGAGAAGCCATTTTATTTGCCGAGATGACCAGAGTGGGGGCAAACTTATGCGCCATAGAAGAGACCATACCACAGAACATGATAATTCCCCAATACCCAACCAGAGCGGCGCCCCAATGAAGGCCCTTCTTGTAGTTCGAGTAGAATGCCCTGTAAGTAGCGAAATTCGCATCGAAAAGTGGAATATTGTAATAGACCGGAAAGTCAATTGCTTTGGTGCGGTTGAAATCAGCAAGCGTGGAAGTATTCACCATGTATCGCGAAGCATTTTGGTAAACAGCTTCCAAGTGCGAATCCGTAGCATTGGGGCACTGTTCCAGAAAGAACTCTCGGATTAGCCTGCGGTCTTTCTCTGATTTCAGGTTGTCATAAGCACAATACATGAAGGAGCCTATCGCACTGTCATTGTCACAATAGCAGAGGTAGTCGTAACTAGAATCCGTCGCACAATAGACAGCTGTAGAGTATAGAGCAGCTTTACAGGCAAACCCCGTGTAGTCCACATTTGTGAAAGAAAAGTCATCACCAGCGGCAGTGACTGCAATTAGAGTGCACACTAGCTGAAACCAAAATAAGAGCCTCATGTCTAAGGGATAAATTTGGAACAGTGATGATTTTTGAGAGATCCAAATAAAAAAGAGGCTAACAACTGGGATAAAGCCGTAGTCTGTCTAGTATCCGAAAAATGGTCACAAGAATGTCATGAATTTATACAGTTCGAGCTGTTCTCCCATGGGGCGGATAAAAAACCCGCTAAGCGGTCTGCGAAAATTGTCTTGAATTAAGACACCTCGAACTAACCAAATGCCAAGTTTACCAAACAATCGTGCCTAGACTTCGCCTAGAAAGTACCCCACAGGCCCCAAGGTGCCAGAAAACTGAACACAACCGGATTCAGGTTGAGGCTATTTTCCTGATGGTAAGATTTCATCCTGGGCTTTCACACACAGGTTCGCGCCGAGAACACGACAGAAAAATCGAGGCAATATTTACGCCTACGACTTAATGTCCTAGAAGCCCCAATGATAGCGCTACGGTCCTAGAACCGATATCCTTCAGGGTTCAAATTCAGGGTGCAGTTGTGATATTTATTTTTTCAACGACCGACGTCTAAGAAAGAAATGCGTAAAAATCAACGGGTAGCTGAAATACTTAGTCTCACAGAAGATTACTGACTCGATGTACCTGGAGAGACTTGACCCGGCGTCGATGTGCACCTAATTTGTGAATTTCAAGACAAAAGGACTAGCTTTGGCAAATTGCACCCCATTGAAAAAATCAGGCGGGGAGTTAGTGACTGGTGTAAGTCCATGTACCATGAGGATGAGCAGAAGAGCTGTTTCTTGGCCACGCAATTACGGCAGGTGCCTATTCGTAGTAGAATAACTCCTGGAACTTAAGATCAGAATTGGACGAGCAGATGACTTTGAAGTAGAATGAACGTAGAGGTCAGGGAAGAGAGAAGTTTAGCCTTTTGAATGCTTGAACTTTGTTGTTGTAGCAAAGACCCCGGCATAAATCGCTTTCGAAGCGCTCTTGGAGATTTGCAAGTACATAGCAGATCCTTGAGCCGTGGATCGGGAATTGATGGGAAATGTGTAGACGATGAGGCAGCCGTTTTTGGATTGAAGCGTTATTGTGCGGAATACCTATCTTGGAATCGTCCGAAACACCAAATAAAACGTTTAGAATACTCGGCTTGAATAGTTGAACAGACTTGTCTCTAAAATATTGCGGCGGCCCATCCAATCTCACGTCCACCATACTCTAGAAGTTCGTGATAATGTCATCACAACGCAGTTTGGAAAAAAAGATCGGTTCAAAGTGCATTTTCCAGAAGCACAGCAGCGGCCAACTCTCAAACAACTAACATTGCTGGTCCACCACTAGCGATCCAACAAATCGATATGGACAGTGTGAGCATGAAGAGTCATGACCATCAGTGGTATGCTCTCTCTGGTGAAGCAGTTGAGAGTACTAGGGCTCCGCTGTTGTAGTAGTAGTCCGTTGATTAAACCACGAGTACCAAACACGAGTACGAGCACGAAAGAAGGGGAGGAAACGCTATGTCGCGGACTGTTCACCGCAGAACAATGACTTCAGCATTGCGAATCGATATCTTCAAGCTGAAAAAGAATATAGATATTCGCGTTGCAGGTATTTTCCTTCCTGATCAAAACGCCGGAAAAGATCATGGTTCTAGCTTATTTGGATATTTTAGCTGGTGACTGGTTAACAAAAAGTTTCAGGTGGAGTCACGAGGCTGAAAGTCCTAACTTTGAGCTATCCGGACCGTTAGAATTGCGCCCTTTGATCAGAAATCCATTGGACTGGACGCTTACTAGGAGGATATTTACCGATTGCCAAAGGAAATTGAAAATTAACGGGCTAAATCATTTATATTCACCGCTGTCTCAAGGAACCCCACAATTCTACAATACGATCACTTCTATTTGACGGTGCGTCGTGTCTAATACTCATACCCAGGGCTACTTGTATTGCTTGGCCCAGTGTTCAGAGCATGAATACCAAAGTCAAATGAGATTATATACTGTTAGTATTTAAATTGGTACATTGAAGCTTCATAACAGGTCCAACAAGACCATCCATACACGAAGAGATGAGAACGACGGATAAACTGTGGCACAAATAGAAACATCTCCAAAGCTTCAATTATTCGTTTTTGAATCTGCGGCTAAGTAATGTCACATCTATCACATGCTCTTCTTACGTCTAGCGCCATGTTCATTACGTTGTGCTTCCAATCACGTGATCAGATGTCGCGAAATTACGGCTTCCTTAACGACGATTACATCAAATAGCACTGTGTGACACATTGACAGTATTTCCTCTACGCCAAATCCAACAATAGTCGCTTAAAAGTCTAATGTTATAATTCTGTTGAATTTGCACTGATCTGCAGACATTTATCGAAGGGCGTAATGTATTCAACATACAAGACCACTCTTTGCAGAGTTGTCGACTATATCACCAAGAGTACAGACTCACTTTAATGCATGAGGCGTACCAAGGGCACTTCGAACATTCCCTCTGAATCCCACAACTAATACAAACAAATTTTTTATCAGGACAGTTTTCTCGGAGTTCTTGTTGGAACCTCTGTCTGTTTAGCGTCAGATCATGAAAAAATGATCACATACACGTGATGCGACGACAGCGACAGCATTCGCAGGACATTGAAAGAATTTAGAGCCACTACCTCCTCTAACAGGAACGACATCGATTGCCCCTAGTGACACCACTTGCAACTGATTACATAGCTCTTAAATCAACCCATTGACGTCATTTGCACTCGTGATACTTCAAAATTCTACATCCGTTAACGACACTCCAGAAACAGAGTCTCAGCACAAGTACGAACAGCGCTTCTTCTGGACAATTAAATACCCTAGAAAATGAACATTATTTACGTCGTAGATCGAAATTGAACTTCATGCGTAAGTATTTCTTAGAGAGAAGAGAACGTTTCGAATTTTTCACGGTTCCTGAGCAACTCGACCAATGCCGACTCTTGTAACTGCTGTCATCAGTAATCTTTGAACCCACTTCTCTCTCTTTCTCTATCTCTTTATAGCTGTCCCTTTCTTGGTATCTTGGCATTTAAGAAATGCCAAGAAATTAATACTTTGGCTCTTACCGAAATGTAGTGTCGGTACACAAACGCTAGTCTACCGACAAGCACCCGATTCGAGAGAACTTCGGGTCGTGCTCAACTGTTTTATGACCCTTGCCTCCACTTGCCCTTGCACTGACGCAAGTGATTTTCAGCATATTCAGCATTTCCGCGGCTCAACAGTCCCTCCTATGACCATAACTACCGTCCGAAACCGTACTTTCATTAAAAATCTGTCTTCTCAACCTCTCACTACCCACCTCCCATCCGCATCGACACATTTGAACCAGTATATGACAGCAACGGTCATCTTTAGCCTCCCAAATGTCGTGTACAACACGTATCGTGTTCAGCTCCCTCTTTTAAAGAACAAATGATTCCATGAAAATGAATTCCAAGAATGCCGTTCTTCTGTTTGATAAACAATCATCAGCGAGCTTCTTCTTCAAAGAGCGAATCGTCGTTTCTGCTTCTTTTCACTACCAATATGGCTAGTTTAATAATAGGCACACGTTGTGAAAGTTACAAGTGTAAGACGGAACTGTTTGTTGCAACTCGAGCTTTTTTCGCCTCTGAAATCATCCAATCATTGTCACACACTCAACTGCAACGGCTGCATTGTAACAGGTCTGCAACTCACCACAATCGGCTTTTTTTTTTTGAGCTCTTACAGTTCAGATAACTCGAGTTTTTTGAGCTCTTACATGCCAGATAACGCTCGAGTCTCTTTAGCTGCATCTTTTTTACGTTCCCATTAGTCTACAACAGAATTGATCATCTCAAGAGACCCGATTGTTGCTACACTTTGTGGCGTGCTAAAGTCCTTCCATTCAACATCCACTATTCTACGGAAAGAGACATACCACACGTCCAATCTTGCGTTTGGGTTATTGTCGTCAAGCATCCAAATCGTCCAAGTGCACCTCATTCCTACTTTATCTGGCGATTTCAATATTCGAGCTCTTCAATATCTTTGTCTTCATATCCACTTTACCCATTATGTTGGTCATCGTCCGATCCTGGGAAAATCGAGTCAAACCCTGAGCAACACTTTTTGTCGTCATAAACTGTGTCCTGCTTCCCACAGACTTATCGCCGGTTCGTTTAGTGCATCCGAAGCAGTCTCTTGTATCGTGAGATGACCACCGAGCTATCCAATTTCGAGATAAGATGAGCCGTGTCGCTGAACGGTTCGATAGTCCAGGAGTTAAGGCCGAGAACTTCACCAAGTCAAGGGTTCTCTATACATACATGCAACCCCGAACGGGGAAATGGCATGCATGATGTTGTGGAAGATCAGATTCGATGCCATGCTGAAAAGAGGCCCTGATAATGCAATAGGCCCGGGAAGCTAAGGGCTTACAGAAAGTAGGCCGGAGATAAGTGTATGGTGAGAATGGAGATTGACAGATAAGCTGTGACATTGCAATAGACACGTAATGTTATGTGTGCGTTACTGGACGATCTCCAGTGTTCTACCTCCAAAGGTAGTATATTCGGCTGTGCGAATGGCTCCTTGGGCCTCATTTGTGGTTCTCCAGAGACTGCGTTCATGCTTTGGCTTATCTCGCTGGTTTATTTCGCGTCACTGCAAGGCAATGGAGCAAAGGACGTCCCTGACTTATCTTTTGTACGCACGTTGGAACGGCACGAGAACAGGATCGGTAGGTCCGAATGACTGGATTTGACTTGGTTGTACGTTTTGCATGGGCTAGTGCATTTAAGAACCCATTCTCAGAGCGTAACTGCATGAATCGACCACTGATGTAGAAGGTTTTTGGAGAAAGCACAGTACCAGCATCAGTTCAGTTCCGATCTCAGCTTCTTCGCACAATTCTACCAAAAATCGCCTGGTGCAAGTGTGTCGTGAGCTATGAAGAACTACATTAAAGATTTTCTGGCCAAGGATACACCTGTCACGCACAATGTCCATCCTTACACGTCTACATCGTCAAGAGGAGCAGTAACCGACAATACAGAGCTACACAACCTCGCCCGTCGTGGCGAGGACGACGGCAAGGTAAAAAATTCCATTGTGGTAACGGAAGACCACTCGTCAGACAATATCGACTTCGAAGTTGGGAAAACCAGGCTTGCAGACGTCAAGAGTGGTAATCTAGACCCGCTTTCACAGCAGCTCTCCCAGCAGGCCCTCGAGGACGAGTACGCCGGTATCACAGTCGAGGATGACTCGCCTTACCCAGAGGTTCGCGCCGCCGTTCCATCGACCGACGACACATCCCTTTGCCAAAACACTTTGCGTATGTGGGTTTTGGGCATGATCATGACCACCATTGGGTGTGGTTTAAACATGTTGTTCTCAATGCACGCTCCATCAGTTGTCTTAACCAGTTACGTAACAGCCATTTTAGCGTGGCCCTTGGGTCGTGCGTGGGACAAAGTTATGCCCAACAAACGTCTTTTCGGCAAATGGGGGCCCCAACTCAACCCTGGCCCTTTCAACGTCAAAGAACACGCTATTATCACCGCCATGGGTAACGTTTCATTTGGTGGTGGTAATGCCTATGCTACCGATATTATTCTCTCTATGAACAACTTTTACGGGAAAGACTTTGGATGGGGGTTCAACCTCGTCGCTATATGGTCGACACAGTGCATTGGATTTGCGTTTGCTGGCTTGTCAAGGAAGATCCTGGTCGAATCGGCATCTATGATCTGGCCTGCCAATTTGGTGGCTTGTACTTTCCTTACCAACATGCACGTCAATGAAAACCATGTTGCCAATGGATGGAAGATCTCAAGATTAAAATTCTTCTTGATCGTTTTTATTGCTGGGTTTGTCTACTACTGGTTCCCAGGGTTCATTTTTCAGGCGCTTTCCTACTTCGCTTGGGTCACTTGGATCAAGCCCAAGAATGTTTTACTCAATCAAGTTTTTGGTGCCAGTAGTGGCCTTGGGCTATTCCCTCTTACATTCGACTGGAATCAAATTGCAGGTTACATTGGATCACCTTTGATTCCACCCGTTGGGGCCCTTGTCACCATCCTCTTGTCAATGGTTACGATCTTTTGGGTTGTCGTGCCAGCGGTACACTACTCCAATGTGTGGTATGGCAAGTATTTACCGATCTCCGATTCGAGTTCGTATGATAGGTTTCAAGAGCCATACCAGGTTAAAAAGATTGTCACCGAAAACTTGTCTTTCGACAAAGTGGCCTACGAGAATTACTCCCCTCTTTTCTTGTCTGCAACTTTTGCCATTTCGTATGGGCTGTCCTTTGCCGCGACGACATCGACCGTTGTGCACACAGCTATTTTCCATGGAAAAGACATCTGGGCGGCTGTTAGAGGCCGCAAGGGAGAAGAAGAAGACGTTCATAACAGACTGATGAGAAACTACGAGGATGTTCCTAGCTGGTGGTACGGCGTTGTATTTTTAGTCTTCTTCGCTCTGGCTATTGCCACAATCAGAGCTTGGCCAACTGAGATGCCTGTGTACACTCTGATCATTGCACTTTCAATTGCAGCTTTCTTTATGCTACCCGTTGGTATTGTCTTAGCATTGACAAACATTACGGTAGGCCTAAACGTCATTACCGAGTTCATCATTGGTTATATGACCCCAGGTAAACCGCTTGCAATGATGTTTTTCAAGACCTTTGGCTTTATCACCAATTACCAGGCGGTCTTTTACGTTCAGGACATGAAGTTGGGACATTACATGAAGGTTGCACCTAAAACGCTTTTCTGGGGACAATTTATTGCAACTTTGTGGGGTGCTCTAGTTCAAGTCTGTGTCTTGAAATGGGCTCTCGGAAATATCGAGGATGTTTGCACCCCCCACCAAGCTTCTCATTTCACTTGTCCTGGATCCAGAGTGTTTTTCAACGCCTCTGTCATCTGGGGTGTCATTGGCCCTCAGAGAATCTTTTCTGCTGGTCAGATTTACAATAAAGTGATGTACTTTTTCATCCTGGGTGCGGGTCTGCCCGTGATGAACTGGGCAATTTTGAAAAAATGGCCAACGTCGCTGATCAGGCACCTCAATTGGCCAGTATTCTTCTCCGGCACTAATCTAATTCCTCCAGCAACCCCTTACAACTACGGTGCCTATTGCATGGTTGGTATTGGGTTCGGGTACTTTATCAAGAAGCGGTTTTTCCACTGGTGGACTAAATACAACTACTCGCTTTCCGCCGGACTGGACATTTCTCTGGCTTGGTCGTCCCTATTCATTTTCGTGACGCTGGGGCTAACCAACGCCAACGCACCCAATTGGTGGGGCAACAACGTCATCAATACCGTGGAATACAATGGTGAGGCTATTCAGCATATCCTATCTCCAGGCGAAAGTTTTGGCCCAGCAAAATGGTGAAGACATATTTGGCCGCTTTTTTTCTCAAATCCTTAATACCGGTGTCGTTGTGACCTGATCTTACTCGCTACTTGAACTTTTATTATGTATTTTCGCTACCGAAATATTTACATTAGAATACGATTCTGTCCTTTCCTCGAACGCTACCCAGAAGTTGTATACAAACATTGGACGAGCTGGCACCTGGTTCTACGCCAGTGTCGTTGGATATCTAGACCAAATTGTTATGCAAGGTGACGACACAATGGTACAAAGTGATCAAATCGCAGTGCAAGTAAACGACACATTAGTACAAAGTGACCAGACCATAACTCAATAGTTTTCAACAGCACTGACATCTCGAGGCACAACTGATCCACTTTAAAATAACACACAAACAGTTGACCATTCTTCCTTACGCATTCTAAAAGACTGCTAGGTCCTTTTAGAAATGTGTCACTATATACGTAGAGTATTATCATCTCACTAAATACGGCATATGCATACCATCTCACTAAATACGGTATATGCATATCATCTCACTCATTCAATGCTTCTCCAGGTCAAACTGCACGTATCGGCCTGCGTTTCCAAACCGAAGCATGACCTCTGCTTTTTTTTTCCTCTTCCCTGCTGTCCAGAAGAGGCATCACTATTCAAAAGCATCATCGACAAACTGAAAAAAAAAGCCTTGGGCTTTTCTTCTGCTCTTTCTTTGGTCCAGATCACATTGACATCATCATTTCCTCAGATGTCGTTGCTGCTGTAGTTTCCCTCGCGATAAAAGAGTTCACTGTTTTCCCATACTGTAGATAGGTTACTTGATAGCGATGTCTAACCTCTTCGAGGCACTATACATTGATGTGCGTTTCGTTCTAAGCGCTTGAAAAATTAAGCCGTCACTAGGTACGGAAGAGTCAATTCTTTTCACAGCTCATCGCATTCAAGTTCATCAACCTTTAAAAACTGCATCATGAGTCAACTAAAAGCGTCCCGCGGCTCATATATATATTTGTGTAAAAGGTAAACGTTGCGACACGCAGTCTGGACCAGTTTCGACAATCGTGTTGTTTTTTCGTTGGCTCAAAAACCGTTCAGAAACACCGTTTTTAGGACCTTCGCAACTCAACAACGGCTTGAAATATGTCTTCAATCTACGAGTCCTCAACTCCGTCGATTTCGGCATTCAACACCGCCAACTACAATCCACAGCTCGTCAAGGGCGTGGAATCGGTGCTGGTGATCGGTTCTGGCGGTCTTTCCATCGGACAGGCCGGTGAATTCGACTATTCGGGATCGCAGGCCATCAAGGCCCTCAAGGAAGCCAACAAACGCACAATCCTCATCAACCCAAACATTGCCACCAACCAGACGTCGCACTCGCTGGCGGACGAAATCTACTATCTACCGGTCACACCTGAGTATATCACCTATATCATCGAGCGTGAGAGACCAGATGCGATTTTGCTAACTTTCGGTGGCCAGACCGCTCTCAACTGCGGTGTAGCACTTGAAAAAATGGGTGTGCTAGAAAAATACAACATCAAAGTGCTAGGAACGCCCATCAAGACCCTGGAAACCTCCGAAGACAGAGACCTTTTCGCACAAGCTTTGAAAGAAATCAACATTCCCACCGCCGAGTCTTTTGCTTGCGAAACCATCGACGACGCCCTTCTTGCCGCTGGAAGAGTCGGCTATCCTGTTATTGTCAGATCAGCCTACGCACTCGGAGGTCTGGGATCGGGTTTTGCTAATAACGAGGCCGAGATGAAGGAACTGGCAGCTCAAGCGCTATCACTCTCTCCTCAAATTCTGGTTGAAAAGTCACTAAAGGGCTGGAAAGAAGTAGAGTACGAAGTTGTTCGTGACAGAGTTGGAAACTGTATCACAGTCTGCAACATGGAAAACTTCGACCCATTGGGTGTACACACTGGTGATTCTATCGTCTTCGCACCATCCCAGACTTTATCCGATGAAGAGTACCACATGTTGAGAACTGCTGCCATTAAAATTATCAGACACTTGGGTGTTATTGGTGAGTGTAACGTTCAGTACGCTTTGCAACCAGATGGATTAGACTATAGAGTCATCGAGGTTAACGCCCGTCTCTCGCGTTCGTCTGCTTTGGCCTCCAAAGCTACAGGCTACCCACTAGCCTACACTGCTGCTAAGATCGCTCTAGGATACACTCTACCAGAACTACCCAACCCTGTCACCAAGACCACTGTCGCCAATTTTGAGCCATCTCTAGACTACATTGTGGCAAAGATACCTCGTTGGGATTTGGCAAAGTTCCAACATGTCAACCGTAACGTGGGTTCCGCCATGAAGTCCGTCGGTGAGGTTATGGCTATTGGGAGAAATTTCGAAGAGGCCTTTCAGAAAGCCATCAGACAGATCGATCCCTCGTTCTTGGGATTCCAGGGATCTGACGAATTTGGTGACGACTTGGATGAAGTCCTCGCAAACCCAACTGACAGAAGATGGTTGGCTATCGGACAAGCTTTGATTTACGAAGGATACTCTGTGGAAAAAGTGCATGAATTGTCTAAGGTCGATGCTTGGTTTTTGCACAAGTGCATGAACATGGTCGAAATGTATAAGGAGTTGGATGCTGTTAATTCATTGGAGGCCTTGGATAAGGAGCTTTTGACCAGAGCAAAGAAAATGGGTTTTTCGGACAAGCAGATTGCCCTATCGATCAACAAGAACAATGAAAACAAGGTTCATGAGCTGGACGTCAGAAAGTACAGAAAGTCTTTTGGTATCACCCCATTCGTGAAAAAAATCGATACCTTGGCCGCAGAGTTCCCTGCTAACACTAACTATCTATACACCACCTACAATGCTACCAAGAGTGATGTTGATTTCAACGACAAGGGCATGTTGGTTTTGGGATCTGGTGTTTACCGTATTGGTTCCTCCGTCGAATTCGATTGGTGTGCTGTCAACACGGCTAGGGCCTTAAGAGAGTCTGGAAAGAAGACTGTCATGATCAATTACAATCCAGAAACCGTTTCTACGGATTTCGATGAAGTGGACAGACTGTACTTCGAAGAATTATCTTTTGAAAGAGTTATGGATATTTATGACTTAGAAAATTCTGAAGGTTGTATCATCTCTGTTGGTGGCCAGCTTCCTCAAAACATCGCCTTGAAGCTTCAAGACAATGGCGCCAAGATTTTGGGTACTGATCCTGTTGACATTGACAGGGCCGAGAACAGACACAAGTTCTCTTCCATCCTTGATAGCATTGGCGTCGACCAACCAGAATGGAGCGAATTGTCGTCTGTGGAAGAAGCTGAGGAATTTTCTAACCGCGTTGGATACCCAGTCTTGATTCGTCCATCGTACGTTCTGTCTGGTGCTGCAATGAGTGTTGTGAATTCGGAAGATGAGCTACTAACCAAGTTGACAAACGCTTCTGATGTTTCTCCAGACCATCCAGTGGTGATTTCCAAGTTTATCGAGGGTGCACAAGAAATCGATGTTGACGCTGTCGCTCACAAGGGCGAAGTTTTGGTGCACGCTATCTCCGAGCATGTTGAGAACGCCGGTGTTCACTCTGGTGATGCCACTTTGATTCTACCCCCACAATCTTTGAGCCAAGAAATCAAAGACAGACTGTATGAAATTGCCCAGAAGGTTGCCAAGGCCTGGAAGATAACGGGTCCATACAACATGCAAATCATCAAAGATGACAGAAATCACGGCACAACTTTGAAGGTGATCGAATGTAATATCAGAGCCTCTAGATCGTTCCCATTCGTTTCCAAGGTTCTAGGTCGTAACTTTATCGACGCTGCCGTTAAGGCATTTATCGGAGAAGACGTGCCAAAGCCTGTAAACCTTATGGACGAGGAATATCCTTATGTTGCTACCAAGGTGCCACAATTCTCATTCACACGTTTGGCTGGCGCAGATCCATTTTTGGGCGTTGAGATGGCCTCTACGGGTGAGGTTGCGTCCTTTGGTAAGGACGCACTCGAAAGTTACTGGACCGCTATGCAGAGCACAATGAATTTCCACGTTCCACTGCCTCCTAGCGGTGTGATGTTTGGTGGTGACTTGACCAAGAACCAGCTTGGCGAGGTTGCTGCATTGGTGGCAGGCTTGGGCTACAAGATTTACGTTACCAACGAGGTTACCAAGGAATACTTGCAAAAATTTGTTCCTGCTGACTGCGACGTGATGATCATCGAATTCCCCAAGAACGACAAGCGTAAGTTGCGTGAATTGTTCCAGAAATACGACATCAAGGCTGTGTTCAACCTGGCCGCTAGAAGGGCCGAGTCTTTGGAGGACGTGGACTATGTGATGAGAAGAAACGCCATCGATTTCGCACTTCCTCTATTCAACGAGCCTCAGACTGCGTTGCTATTCGCCAAGGCCCTTACTCAGAAGGTTGGTGAAAAGCTCAAGGTGCTAGAGTCCTCTGATGTGCTTGTGCCTCCAGAGGTGCAAACATGGCACGAGTGGATCGGCCAGAGACCCATGTAAGGTGTACGCTGCGCGTCGATATGTGATTTAAATAAAGGATAGATATTCGAGATTCTTTACGGGGTCTTCTGACTATGCGTCTGAGATCCATTTGGAGTTGTTTGATTGAATACATGCCATAACGGCATTGGGTTGATTTTGAGTGTGTGTGTGTGTGTGTGTGTGTGTGTGTGTGTGTGTGTGTGTGTGTGTGTGTGTGTGTGTGTGTGTGCGTGTGTACTGCTATAGTGATATAACTTGATCTAAGTACTCATCGAGCCCACGAGTACGTTCGTTTAAAATGCCAAATAATTTTCCAATGGTTAAAGGCATGAATGATGGGCTAGCTTCAACCGATCATTCTCCCTACACACCGGTCTTCACCAAACCTTTGTTCCACGTTTATCGCGGACATTTTTCTTCACAACGTGTAGCACCTTTTTGACTGCATTTCACCCCACATTTTTTTTCTTCGTTAAATCGATCGGTGCTTAGTGTCCCGATCGTTGTTGCAGACCACAAGCCCGAAGTAAACGAATAGACGAGTTGGTGCACCGTCTTGGCAGTCACCTCATGAACACGGCCTAACAATGACCAAAAGACTAGGCATATCCATGCCGGTCGTCCCGGAAAAAATTCATTTTTCCGCTTTTTCAGCTCATAATTTTCCGAACCCTGGCCTGAAAAAAATCAATCGGAAAAAATCGCCAGTTGTCCCGTGCGACACCATTGTCGTTTCTCTAGTTAGCTGGTAGAACTTGAAGGCTGGGCTGCAAAGTCCTGTGCCCTACAGGCGGTTGCCACGACCACAGCCGTAAGTAGCGTAAAAAATGTGGGGAGAATATGTCTGGCGGGTCAAGAAAAAAACCTGTTTTGTGGGGAAACGAGTCGACTCGAATTACTTACAAGCCTGTACGGCAGTTAGCGCTGGGGAAAACACCCCGGAGGAAAAAGTATAAAAGAGGACGCTAGAGAGGAGTTTCTTAATCTTTTTCCAGCTTGGATTCATTCTATCTTTTCTTCCAATCTCCATCAAGCAATTGTATTGTCCAATCCAATCCAATTCAATCTAACTCCTAATTGCAGATTTTCGGAAAAACTATTTTTCCGGTTGACGCATAGAACGTACAAAATCGAAAGTTTCGTGCAGGCTTCCATACATATCTCACCTAGTTACCAAAACTAGAACAATGGGTATCCTGCAAACGGTCTTCAAGGCCGAAGATGACATCCAGGGCTCGAAATTCCGGGCCATTTTCATCGGGCTATTCGTAGCCTTTGGCGGTATCCTGTTTGGATACGACACTGGTACGATTTCCGGTGTGCTAGCGATGTCGTACGTGAAAGAACATTTTACTTCGGTGGGCCATTTCTCGGCCAACCAAACGTCTTTGATTACTGCTATTCTATCGGCTGGTACCTTCTGTGGTGCCATGCTTGCTCCTTTGGCTTCAGACAATTTGGGCCGTAGACTCGGTCTCCTCGTGTCGTGTGTTATCTTCACCGTGGGTGTGGTGCTGCAGGTGGCAGCTTCCGGTCAGACGCTGTTGATCGTGGGAAGAGTCATTGCTGGTGCCGGTGTCGGTGTTTTATCAGCTATTGTGCCACTGTATCAAGCAGAAGCGTCTCCCAAGTGGATCAGAGGTGCGGTAACATCGTGCTACCAATGGGCCATCACCATCGGGTTGCTACTTGCAGCCTGTGTGAACCAGGGCACTCATGCCAGAAACGACTCAGGCTCTTACAGAATTCCCATTGCCATTCAATTTTTGTGGGCTATTATCCTGTTTGTGGGAATGCTCATTCTGCCCGAGTCTCCTAGATTTTATATCATGAAGGGCAAAGTGGCCGAGGCCAGAACCGCGTTGTCTAAACTAAGAGGCCTTCCAGAAGCACATGAATATGTGGAAGCAGAGCTTGAAGAAATTGTTGCCAACTACAACTACGAGAGCTCGTTCGGTTCTACTTCGCTTTTCGACTGCTTCAAGACCGCAAACCATCAATTGAAACGTATTCTCACCGGTATCGCCATCCAAGCGCTACAGCAACTTACCGGTATCAACTTCATTTTCTACTACGGTACCCAATTTTTCCAAAACTCGGGAATCAAGAATCCCTTCATTATCCAGTTGATCATGAACGTTGTCAATGTTGTCATGACCGTCCCCGGTATTGCCTTGGTGGAAATCAGTGGTAGAAGAAACCTTTTGCTATATGGTGCCGTGGGAATGTGCGTGAGTGAGCTAATTGTCGCGGCTGTTGGTACTGCCCTCCCAGACAGCTTTTCAGCCAACAAGACTTTGATCGCTTTTTCCTGTACTTTTATTGCCTCTTTTGCAGCAACCTGGGGTCCACTTGCCTGGGTTGTTGTTGGTGAGATTTTCCCATTGAGAGTTAGAGCCAAGTCTGTGGCCGTGTGTGCTGCTTCTAACTGGCTATTCAATTTTGCAATTGCATACGCTACCCCATACTTGGTGGACAGTGACCACGCAAACCTACAGTCTAAGGTTTTCTTCATCTGGGGTGGTTGCACTTTCTTGTGCTTCTTATTCGTTTACTTCTTCATCTACGAGACCAAGGGTCTAACGCTTGAACAAATCGACGAATTGTTCGAGACTTGCCCAAGTGCGCGTCACTCCAAGAGCTTCGTTCCTTCTGAAGGATTTGCTGCTCACATTGACAACTCCACTCCTGACGTTGACAAGGCAATGGTTGTCACTTACGAAAAGGTATAAGAAAGACGAGCGGGTCTCTATTTCTAAACTAAGGTTTAAACATATAAAGTACATATGATGTTCGATTTTAATGATGATACTATGATGTAGCGTGGTTTGGTATAAGAATGTCAATGTGAAGGTGGTAGTTTATTAAGCAGCTAGGATTGATTGTCTTTTCTACATCGATTTAAGAGCCGCGTCTGGTATTTCGTGACAATCTTAACTGAAAAAGGTGTTAGAGATATCAAAAGAGGTACAAGTGAACAAAGAGGTCTAAGCTGCTGGCGAGGTTCGAGCTACCGTACTCGTGAAATGGGCGGTAGCGAGATCTCTTGTCATTTTGTTATAAGCTGTCACTTGAATAAGCCTTAAAAGAGTGCTGAGTAAAATCACAATATATTATGGTTCCCTGGACTCTACATTCGAAGCTGATATTGCAAACACATGGAATTAGAATATTCAGCCAATGAAAATTCCAGAGCCAGCCCTGAATGATTACTTTGGACGTTCTGCGTCCGTCATGAAGTTTGCGAGCACGAGTCACGTGCATGCGTCTCTAAGGTACTTTCTTGAAAGTTTGATATGAGCTTTCTGCCACAACAGTAAGTCCAATGAATCTTCAAGGGCCTCGAACAGTCAATTTCCTGTGACGAATTCTATCGTTACAGGGTTCCAGATTGAATTTCCTTAGCTCTCACTGGATCACGTGTCAGCACGACAGCATAAGAATTGAGAACTAGACTACTTGGTTTGCACCACATTCTCAGTGACCAAATAAGATCCGAAGAGACTTGATTTCAGCTTCTGATGTATCTAATGGCACCGATGACAGTCGCACGGAAGAAGTGGACGTCTTTCGTACAAAGGCACCAAGCGCAGGAACGGTCTCTTTATCGGTACAAGTTTAGGAACTTAGCTGTGGGATTTCTGTGACTCACCACTATCGTTTTATATTCAGCACTCTACATATATACTCAAAGCAAAGATCTTACCAGCTTGCTCAAAGACAGAGTTTCTCTTTCACTCATGACAACTCACAAACACATCACTACACACGAAACCGACTCAGTAGCCTCTTTTTTTTTGGCCCATAAATTTTACTATATAAGTACAGAACAACTCTTTCTGCCGCCCACCACTTTTAAATACCCGCCGAAAGCTGCAAGTTTCGCACCGCTTTGAAGAAGCAGGCAGCTACACCTAAATGGAGGACGACGATCCTTTCGAGTGGCAGCTTGACAATGCCGCCCAGCGTGAAGGTTTATTGCCGGTGTGGAGCCAGGCCATATACGAGCGTAGTGCTCAAGCAGAGTCTCTGCCGAAACTCGAGCCATTGCAAGCTGAACTGCCCATTACTAAGCGCGACCGCTGTCCACCACAAACCGGCGACGACGAGGCTAACAAAACATGCGAAAAGAGACCACGATCCGAGTAGCATGAAGGGGCGAAAAATCTGGCGAGGCTGCATATTTTTTATTTATTTCTTTTGGTGTTTGTGTCACCGACACCAACAATGGACAATGGAAGAGCATTACAACTTCATGGTCGTACAACCGATCCCATTTTCTATGGACTGCTTTTAAAAGTGTCCAAAATGACATTTCACAACCACTCCCTCCTTAGCCGCCGATACCACATGACCAACCTCTTCAATCTCAATCACATGATAATCACATGACAATCACGCTTTTGATTTTTTTTCTCAAAACTTCATTACCCGGTTCCTGAGATTTGTAATAGGGGAGTCTCGTTTTTTTTATTGGTTGTTTTTTTTTCTGGGTAATTCAAAGGCTTTCATAACCCAGAAAAGTTTTGGTCTGAAATTTCAGACAATGACGAAATTCGCTTGCCAATAGCCCAAAAAAAAAAACCTAAAAAAAAAGAGATATAATAAAAACACCAGTTGTCTGCCCACACATTCAAGTTTTTTTTACCATAACCACTACTCAAGTTCCCAAAAGTGAGAGTAAGAATCGCTGTAGGTTTTAAACTAGCTTCAAGTGGCCTTCCAGAGATTAAACGCTTCGCTTTATTGACGAGGTTCGAAAGAGGGGGTTTTTTTTCAAGAAAACTGGGGAAAAAACAACGAGCTCCGCACGGTAAGTGGTTGCTAAGCTCTGTTGAATCATTCGTTTAGCGTTTTTCAAGTGGAACACCGCGAAACAAGTGGATTGCGAGACGCATTTTGAGTAGGAATAATACAGAGACCCTGAAATCCTGCATTATATTGGGAGCATCAATAGGTGTTGAAAATCTACTGTTGTAATTTATCATATCTGTTGCTGGTAAAGCTTAAGGGGACAACTGAAAGAAAAGAAGCCTTGATCGTTAAAAATAGCCGTTCTTTTTTTTTTCAATTGAACGATTTCAAATCTCTCAAGGGAGGTATTTGCTTGTATTCGGAGTTTCGATTTTTTTCTGACGAATAATTAGTCACAATTTATTTTCCTATTAGACGGTGTTCGCTTCTTTCACTCAGAAAGCACTCGTCCATCGTTTCACGCCACATTTTTCGTCTCTAAAAATCACATCCAAGCATGGGTGGTTGTATTTCAAAATCGGAAGTGGACCACGAGCAAGGCACCACGGGAAATGGGTCAAGAAGGCGTTCCGCAAGGGGGAACAGGAGCTCTAATGGTGAGATAGCTGAAAAGGATCCCGTGGAGTCTAGCGTCGCCAACGGCGTTTCGCCTAAAGGCCAGAAAAAAGGGTCCAGCTCGGATAGCTCTGGAAAGCCAACCACAAATAATACCAAGAACCCATTAGTGGCGCCCAACGCTGGCAAACGGCAGCAGTCCGTGGTGTCAACTAACAGTGCACAGTCTACCGGTCCCTCGTTAGGTTCGCTGACCAAGTCCGGCGGCGGATCCACCGATTCTAGCAAAGCTTTGAAAGTTTTGCTTCTAGGGTCTGGGGAATCCGGCAAATCCACCGTTCTTCAACAACTGAAAATTATACATCAAAATGGTTTTTCGCCAGAGGAACTGGCTGAATACCGCCCTTTCATCTACGACAATATTGTAGAAACCGGTAAAGACCTGGTCAATGCACGCCTTCGTTTCGAAGTGCCTCTAGAATCCGATTCGGGACTTGATGATGAAGATCTACAAGAGGTTATCAATTATAGTACCCCCGGATCCCAGCTGGCTGAGTTTCCAAACAGGTTAGCCCACATCTTGGCCAAAATATGGGCACTACCTTCAACCCAGGACCTAATAACTGGTGGACAAAGATCATCGTTTTATTTGATGGATTCGGCGCGTTATTTCATGGAGGACCTGCAAAGGATTTCTGAACCTAATTATAGGCCTACCGTTAGAGACGTGCTATTGTCTAGAAAAAAGACGTCGGGAATTTTCGATACTATCGTCGAAATGGACACAAACCTCAAGCTGCACATATATGATGTGGGTGGCCAAAGAAGTGAACGCAAAAAGTGGATACATTGTTTTGACAATGTCACTTTGATCATTTTCTGCGTATCCTTGTCTGAGTACGATCAAACTCTTTTGGAGGACAAGACCCAAAACAGACTCGAAGAGTCACTTATTCTATTCGACTCTGTTGTCAACAGTAGATGGTTTGCCAGAGCTTCTGTCGTTTTGTTTTTGAACAAAATTGATGTTTTTGCTGAGAAAGTTCAACATGTGCCCCTAGAGAACTATTTCTCAGACTACGCTGGTGGGAAGGATATTAACAAAGCCGCCAAATACATCTTGTGGAGATTTGTGCAGCTGAACAGGGCCCATCTGAACATATACCCACATGTCACACAGGCAACCGATACTTCTAACATCAAGCTCGTCTTTGCTGCCATTAAAGAAACTATTTTGGAGAATAGCTTGAAAGACTCGGGTGTACTGTAAGTTGAGAGGAAAAGATGTTGAGAGCAATTTCAAAAAACAGGACGAGATGTGATCTTCGTGAGCTGATCGGGGCTAAGTCCTGATCATACTATAATGACTATGTCAAATTTTACGGACTGGTTCCACCACAATTTGTCAAATAATAACGATCGAGACTTTAATTTTTACACTGGTGTTTCTCTTTTTAAGAGAGTGAAACTAAAATACATCCGAACCAAAGTGGTTCGACATCACGAAGGCTTTCTCCTCTAATTCCACATTTAGAACTAATGTTATATTTTATATCGTCAGATGCATGCATTTGAAACTAGAAATCATCACAGGTATTGATGAGCAGAAAGTAAGCGCGGTGCTCGTACATATGAAGCCACTTTTCCAAAGGTCCCAAGAATCTGTGGCCCTGTCCGCTTCCAGCGGAACCCATGGTCGAGCAGACGTTCGTATCTTGTAATGACACAACGCTTGTGGATGGTCCATGGTACTCTAGATCTTTCAACGTTTGAGGAAGCAATTGTTCGGTAATGACAATCTCCAGACCAGCTGGATCGTAAAAGGGTGGAACCATTGTGATGTAGTCTCCATCGTGAACGACTCTGAAAAATCCACTGCGGAACATAACTTCGCCCTCGTCCAATGACATTTTGTGAATGCGCTCGGTTTCAAACAATTCATCAACCCAGGCCCTCAACTTACTGTTAAACATATTGGGTGAGGCATATGTTAGCACGAGAGGATCATAGTTTCTTAAACGAAGCTCAATACCGGCTAAGCTAGCCACTGCAGCTCCCAGCGAGTGCCCTGTGACAACTAGACTATAATCAGGATAAGTGTCGAATATAGCTTCAATTCTATCAAAAAACTGGGAGCTCAGTGTTTTCAAAAACACATCGAAACCTCTGTGAACAAGACAACCTTCACAATCTGAGATCCTACCCGACTCGACCCACTCTTTGTAGTATTCTTTAGAGACTGGCTCGTATGGTGTGGGGGATACTGCGAAATCACTGAGCCAATCTTGGTTAGTAGATGAGCCTCTGAAAGACAGCACCACAACGCGCTTTTCGTGATCCACAGCCAGGAACCCAGTGCCAAGCTCGTCATTTTCGGCCAAGAGTACTAGTTCTACCACGGTTTTTCCCGCAGTTGGGTTTGTGGACTCATCGGAACAGAATTTTAGCCTATCGGGGCATGCTCCTTCTAAGAGTGTGGATCCTACAAAGAGCTCATTCGAACCAATACAATAAGTTAATGCGCACATTCTGCTGAAGTAAACCAGCCGTTCGTATAAGTCCTGGGAAATCCGCACATTGTCGAAATTCTGAGATTTTGGCCGCGACACTGTGATTGAATCCGCATGGAATGTTGTATTGCCGTCACTTAACTCGATGTCACTAAAGCTTAGAAGTTTTGTGGGGTGCGTAGAGTTCTCCGTTTTGGCCTCCACGCACCCTACCATCCAAGTTGACAAGAAAAAGCTCATAATGACTCCTGGGACAAATTTCATTGGTGACAAAGAAAATTCACAGTCCTTTAGAACCTGCGTTTACCACGAACGGAACTCACAATTGATGAGTTCAGAGTGGAAGACTTCATGCTCGAACATGTAATCTTTTCGTAGTATTTTATACTTTCCAAGAAAGTTTCTCTCTGGAGCGAAACATGCTGACGCTGCGACGACAGCATGCAAAAAAATACAAACGTCCAAAGAAAGGGGCCCCTGCAATCAGTGAAGAGCCTTGTGGCAACCATCAACTGGCACTAGAAGAATTGGTTGTTGTTTCAATAATAACGTTTATCAGCGTCGCGAGTCCCCACCACGAACAGAAAATTATTCCAACACAATGCGAATATTGTGTCACCCACTGGGAAACCACCTCGAGGCCGGAAAATGCTATCAATAGCACGACATTTTGTGCCAGGATAAACGCCGAAGAAACAATGAATTTGTAGTCAGGGGCCTGGCCTTGTAACGAAACTGACCGATACAGCCAAAATTTAGTAGAGTCAACACTGTTACCATTGGCATTTACCAGCATCGAAATGAAGCCACTCAAGCCTACACCGATGAGGATGTTGAGTAAAATACCACCGAGACATGCGCTCAATGCAATGAAAAAATACCTGGATGCTAATTGTGCTTGTTCGTCTCGCGACTGCGAGCCCACCTTGAGATGAAACTTGCACATTGCAACGTTCGACACAAGGTCACTGACAGAGTTGCCCCATGAGAAGATGGTGAGACCGAGTACACCTTCGGAGATGTTGGTGAGGTTTTGGTAAATCACCATAACCTCTACTAGTGCGTTGGCGAAAACTGCTATCCACAACACACAATTGAAGATTCCTAGGCTGTTGAGCACTGTCAGATAATACTGTTCTAGGGTCCCAAGTTTGTAAGCTGCCCTGCTGTCATGCACTTCAGTGTCATGAAGTGAAAACCTGTTGACCTCCGTTACTTGCCAGCGGAATGCAATTGCGGAGGCCAGTAACCCAAAAGTGACGACCATGCACACCAAGATCGACCACCACGTAATCTGAGAATCCAGCAACACACTCACAAGTAGAATGATGCACACAGGAGCGCACACAGAGTGTGCCAGCAGCAGCACGAACGTCTTGGACTCGAGTGTGGTTCGATTACCAGAGATAGTGCTGTCTCGCAGCAAACCATCGAATTGCGGACAAGTCAAGCGCAGGATCACCGTGGAAGGCACCATTGCAATGGCAAGGATCTTCGAATATACCGGTTGTCCATTAAAGTTTAAAAGTTGTGGTGCGAAAAGGTAAAGTATTCCTTCATGCAATCGCAGAAGTCTCATGCGGAAAGTATCGCTGTATGCAATGGGAAAGCCATCCTCATTGGCGTCGTTGACGTCGTTTAACAGCGCTGTGTCCTCGTTATCCCGGTAGCGCTCGAATGTGGACGGCGACGAGTGTGGCAGAACTTTGTTAGGATTTGCACCTTTCATTTGCTGAGGCAACGTATTAGGAGGCTCACTCAAGGGCCTGGGAGGCACGTATTGGGCATCATGGTCTTGAGTTTCCAATGTTTGTAATGTTATAGCGTCAAGGTCTGTAGCCAATGGTTGTCCTTTCGGTTGCTGCATCGCATCGTACAACGCAGTGTAATCCAAAGCACTAAGGACACTGAATTTGAGTGTTGGTTCCATGTCGTTGTTACTGCTGGACACAGGACCTTGTAGTCCAGAGAGTTCCAACGACAACTCGTTGGTATCGTCAGTGGAACCCCAGGTTTTAGACACAATGTAACCCACATATATTCCCAACATAGCCAAACAATTCAGAAGTGTTACTTGGTTGCGGATACTGACGTAAAGCATCACTGCTACGGCTACAAGCGCGAATGCCAGATCATGTTGCAAGTGCAGTGCCTGACTGGGCTCAAGTCGAGTCCCCGTAGGGCTCATAACTATAAACAATGCGCCTTGGACAACGCATAGAATAAACCCACAAGAGCCCAAAACTTCACCAACGGACAGTGCTGGAGCGGAGTTTGACGATGTCCAGCTCATAAAGTTGGTAATGAGGTCTGGCGAAGAGTTACACCATGCCAAAATCACCGCTGCAAGCACACCGCGAGAGCGGGTGCTTGTTGTGGAAGAGTGGGCTCGACTTAACGTCGAAACCGTGGGACACAAATGGTCCGAAGCGCATACCCCCAGAAGAACGAAACAGGTTACAACATACACTAGACTCAGCACGACGAACTGGACGTTAAGTGACGAGCTTGCAAACAACTTGGAAGGGTGAACCACAGCAGAGATCATGGAGAAAAAGTGAGCAGTGGTTAAACCCACAGCTAGATGAAACTTGTAATGAGGAGAGGGGGAGACAGTTGTAGATAATAGAGTTTAAAAATGAACCAAAGTGAACAGAAATGCGAACAGAAATGCAAACAGCAAGATTTAGTGTGAACTTGAGTTATGAACTTAGATATGGTATATAAGAGTTGATAGAGACCCCATTTTCTTAAACTTGAGCGTATTGCAGCTTTTCAGCTGGGTAGGAAGGACCGATTTCCTGGATGGACAAGGCTGCGAGCCATTGGCCCACATCAACAGCACGGTCGATATCTTTTCCTTGGGCAAGTGCAGCAACGAAGCCAGCAGCGAAAGCATCACCGGCACCGTTGGTGTCGACGATTTTTTCGTTTGCCAATGGCTTGACAGCACGGGTGTGGACGCCCTGTGGAGAGACCACAACGGTGGGTTCAAGTCCATGTGTGAAGATAACGGTACGTTTGGTGCTAGAGCCCACAATGTGTTGGGCGATAGCAGCCAAATCGTCAGACTTGGCTTCCAAACCGAAGGATTCGGCGTAAGAAGCAGCTTCGGACTCATTGGCGATCACGTATGTAGTGTAAGGCAAGACTTGTTCCAATGCGGACTTGAAGAACTGTGGGATGAAAGGTGCGCTCAAGTTCAACACGAATGGCTTGTTTGTGGCCTGTGCGTGTTTACCAAGCTTGACGATGGCTTCTGGAGACACTGTGAGATGGAAACCACCCACGTAAAACAGCTGGGCGGCCTCTACGACGTCCCAATGGCGGTCCAAATGGTCTGGCGTGAAATGGTTGGCCGCACCCAAGTCAGTGACGAGCGAACGGTTGTGGCCGGTGATCAAAGCGGCACATTTACCGGTACCGATCTTAGGCTGGGTCTGGTAGTACGAAACGACACCTGCGGCGTCGTTTTCGGCCTGAAGTTTGGCCGAGAACTTGTCTTCGCCAACACTGCCGAAATACGCAACTTTGTTAGGGCCTAGCACATAAGCTGCACCACGGGCAGTGTTTTGAGCAGCACCACCGGCGACAAACTTGACGTCTGGGTGTTGCACGAGCTCGTCGAAGATGGCCATGCGTGGTTCGTCAGTGGAGGCATCCAAAAGCACGGCATCGTTGGGCTTTAGGTTGTAACGAGCCAGATACTCGTCTTCGACGGTGGCCTGGATATCTAGCAGTGGGTTTCCAAGACACACAATTGGGAAGTTGGGGGCAGACATTTGGTGAAGCGTGAATGTGTGTAATTGAGACTTCGACAGGGAGAAGAGGGATTGGTAATTCCTAGCGATGTTACTGCTATCTTCCAGATCAAAGGTTGGTTAGGAAGAGTGGAGGTTAACGTTTAGTTCAAGTTTCTCGAGGTTTTCAGAACTCTTGAATTTTTCAGGGTCCATGTGATTATTCAAGGTCATGTGATGTGGTATAATTTGTGTCAGGTGATACGGGTTACAAATGGGTAAGTCACGTGTTTCCAAACGGGTATTTTCGGGTTGGTAAATTTGATCCGAAATTTAAGAAACGGGTTGCTGGATGTTTCAAAATGGGTAACCCGTTTTTTGATCTTGATGGGCGTATGTAGGTATAAAAGGTAAGCAGGAAATCGATGCCTCTGTAACGAGTTAGTCTATAACACAAACGAGGCCAAAAGGCCAAACACACATTGTGGCGAGAAACTATCGTGAGTTTGGAAGAGAGATGGAATTTAAAGAGGATATGGTTTGTTAGAACAAGAAAGATTCATTTAGCGGGAGATTGGAGTGAGAGACCAACGAAGTGAGATCAACGAAGTGAGAGATCTTATTTAAATATTTACACACGACTATTGTTATGTTGACAAGGTCGCTTTAGCGTAGGCAGCGGAGTGTGGGTAAATGTGAATTATTTAGAGCGTCATGTCTCACTATAGTAGGTTTCTGTATATGTGCGGACGTAAACCAGGACTGTCATAGGAGATCAAAGGGTGGTGAGTGAGCGTCGTATAGAGTGATGCGAATATTTGTGTTGGACTTCGTTTGTCAGTCTACTTATCAGGACTGGACGGGGCAGAAAAGCGGCAAATTAGGTTGTTTTCTCATATGAGCCAGTGAACCCACGCGTTTGCGAATCCAGTTGTGTTTTAGATATTTGAATTCTCGGACTTTCCACATAGTGGATCACATCACTGTATACGTAGACATCTCTCGCTGAAAACCATGAATCCTAAAGCCATTGGTGTACGTGATTCGATCGTATTTCCTCATTTCATCTGATTGCGAGTTGTTTTCAACCTCACTTTACTCGTTGGAGTCTCTTTCTGTCCAGCGTCGGGTCTACGACAAAATGACTATCATCACGTGACACTGCGACAGCGACAGTTTTCAGCGAAATAGTCAAGAGTCTCAGACGACTACTGATCGAAGTAGACTGGCACCACTTGCATTGAAGGCTTTATCTCTGCAGCATTTCATTTGGAGCAACCGTGTTTCCTATCCGTCAGTGACGGTTCATTTACAAAAAATTGTGAAAGAAGGTACATTAGATAAAGCTCATTTCGTTTGTGCTAAACATACCATGGATAACTCCAAATTCAGTACAACAAAAGGTCAAACTTCATAGTAATGAAAGAATCACCATAATAACGGACCATTTATCGTGCAACGACACTTCAGAGAAATAGACTCAAATTCAAATCATTATTTGAGCCGATGTTGGCCTCAAATCATTATCTGAGCCGATTTTAAAACGCTACTCGGATTTCCAGCACCATTGACTTATCAAAGAGCTTGAATAAATCAGTAAAGGCTCAACAAAATGCGATTAACACAGTTGATTTTGATAAGACATCTAGATCAAAAGCCTAGTCTAGATTCTTGAGCTATCTTCGCGCCTGTATTTGTTGTAGATTGAACCTTGCTCTACCTAATGATCCGAACTTGTGAACTTTTCAAACGAGTGGGCTCATTACTCCGGTCTGGCTGCAGATCCGTTTTGTTACATCATTGTTAACAATGAATTGTTTCCAAACCAAAGAGAGAGTATTCACCACGCATAGCTCAGTCCTCGAACAAGCTGTTGGATGCTACTGACGAAAGCGAAGAAAATGGTAGTAAAGATTTAGAAAAATGTGTCACGTGACCAAACTCACCATGTCAGTTGCTGTGTCGTAAAGTCCCGAAGGTTTGACGTTACATAAAGCGGTAGCCGCGACCGCTTCTATCTGCTTCCCATATCTCATGATTATGCACGCTTGTGCTACTTTGATGCATCTTCGTTTTCATTCGATTGCGACCATTACCGAACATGTCAGTAACGAACTGATTCCGGGTAAAAGAGAGTGGTAGTGAGCAGTGGCAGGTGAGACGTGTACATTTCATGCACTAAACTAAGATTTTAGTATGGTAGATACTCTTTCTTATACGTGGCATAAGCTTCGTTGCACGAGTGATCACGTCACGTGATAAGATGACAGCGACAGAATCTGACCATTTCAAGTTCCTTTGACTCTCTAACGACAAGGGAGTTGTAGGTCGTATCCAGTGGGCTTGCTGATTTGAAGTGATCTCTTGCGTAGCCAGTGTAAATCTTTTGCTATAATACGTTGTCCTTCGGGGAACGCAACAAGCACAATTGAACAGCTGATAGCGTCAGAATTCAGTTGCTACATGCAACAATGAGTTACTGAAAAGAGCAGCGTGCTTTACCCAAAACACATTGAAGAAAAATAAAACCCCAAGCCAAACTCCAGAGTTAAATTGATCTCAGCTGTTGCGCGTTGTTGCGGTTAAGTTTATTCTCAGCTAAACGGTGATGCTCTCAGTCTTTCAACTATTATGAATAATTGTTATTATATTCACAATTTTTCGCTGCGCTTGCAATTCTATGCTTGTTAGCATTGTTCGAGACCGATTGTATGACCAATGATCTCGACATTTGCCCAAAGCGTCAATTTCTGATGTACTTCATTTATATCAGACAAGACCCTACAATGCTCCAAGTCTCAACTTTAGAATTCAACAGCCAAGCTCTCAGCCGCTGCCCATCAAATTAGTCTTCTTCATTGGCTGCTCACCAGATTGTTTCATATGAAGGTGAAATTCGATCCTGCTTAGGGACCAACGCATACTTGAGTCGACCATTGCATGTGTAGGTAGAGCCCAAGTCACAAGTTCCAGCGTCGTTTAGCTTTTGATTTTCGAAGGCGAAGTTTGACAACCTTACACCCGTCTTTTTAGCCAGGTTTTCGGAAACTTTTGGTGGTTCTAGTTGTTGGATTTCGGAATCTCACTCAAAAAGGCTAAAACAAGTCGTAAAATGGCATGGAAAATTGGGCATATATAGTTTACAAGGTGCTACATTCAGTTTCAAGAGGTTAAGAGACTGACAGAATTGCGGAAGGCTCTCTTTTCGTGCTGTGTTTCTCTACATTTTGGATGGATTTCTCTAGACTCGGTTGGATATATCTATATATTTATATAAAAATAAGGTTTTGATCATTACCAACCTGAACACCAAACCTAGAAAATAGTTAAGTCTGGTGCTCAAACGGTCCTAACTGCTTGAATTAAATCGTGAAGTCGAAATTGCAGGCGATCCGCTAAAGAGAACTCCAACAATCGGTTCGTAAAACAACGATCTCGGATCAGAAGCCAACGATATCGGTTCAAAAGTACTCTAACATGATTGACCCTTTTCTGGCGATTTCGCCTTTCAAGAATAGCGAAAACTTGCTATTGAGACACTCGTTGGAAGTGGTAGTCTCATTTTTGGTGTATCTGCTGATTGTGGAACGCAAGCTGGCTCCAGCAATAAATCGCCGGATTTTCAAGCAACATTATACCCAAGGTCTGGACAGGAACACACGGCTAAATTTTGATATACACACGGTCTCGATGGTTCAGTGCGTGATCAGCTTGGCTCTGACAGCACCGATCCTGTTGCAGCCCTTAAACACCAGCGTGGCCACGTTCCAGGACCCTTTCAATTCAATGGTCGCAGCAGTGACTTGTGGGTATTTCTTGTGGGACTTGTACGTGTGCTTGAAACACTACGCATTATTCGGACCCGGGTTCTTGGGCCATGCCGTTGCATCGCTGTATGTGTTTGTGGTTTCGTTGCGTCCGTTTTGCCAATCGTGGATCGGCAAGTTTTTGATTTTCGAAGCGTCCACGCCATTCGTGAACATTAATTGGTACGTCAGTCAGCTGGCCCGTTCTTCTTCGTCATCGTCTGCCGTTGTTCCCTTGTGGTTCAACGCACTAAACGGAGCCATGTTGATCTTGACGTTTTTCCTTGTGCGTATTGTGTGGGGGTTTTCCGCTGTGGTAATATTGGTGCGCCAACTATGGCATGAACGCGATTTGGTTCCCTTTTGGCTTCCAATCACTGTGATGCCTCTAAATATTGGGTTGAATTGTTTGAATGTCGTGTGGTTGAAAAAAATGATCCATATTGCTAAGAAAATGGCTGCACGTAGTCGTAAGAAGGTTTAGGGTACTAGATGTGGGATGTGATGCTGATCTTTTCGACATTGGCTCATGAGTGTCGTATTTTCATATGTTGAAATACTTCCAATTTCTCAAACTGAGACCTTCCACGAATGTTTCAAAGTCAAATGAAATGCAATGAAAACACACAGGCCAACAGTATATCCTCTCTTACACATTACTGCGCGTATGCTTCCCGCACCAGACGTATCGCAGAATGTAGCATTTCATCCAAAACGTGTCACCTGGAACGCTCAAAATTCAGGGAAATTTCTCAGAAAGATCTCAAAGAAACGCCTGAATTATCGGCTACTTCATGGCAAGTAATTCAAACCAAACATGGGCTTTCAACCTTCCTCTGGCGCTGCTTTTAGGTTATTCTCATGACACAGTCGTATACAGCGACCACGAGAGAGTCTGTTTATGAACCACTTTGCCCACACATGTATAACTAACACTACCAGTTACATTTATACCCCCGAAACTTTAACCACAAACACGCCTCAAGTATGTCGTTCGTAGACCATTTACAAGGTCTATTCGACAATCCCAACATCCCGTGGAAAGCGGTGATTTCCGCCTTTACTTTGGGCCAATTTGCGTTTGAAACGTATTTGAACTACCGTCAATACCGCACTTTGGGAAAGAAAACTCTTCCTAAGACCCTGGAAGCTGAAATCGATGCAGAAACCGTGAATAAGGCCAATGAGTACTCGCGTTCGAAAATGAAGTTCAGCTTTTTGTCAAGCACGTTCAGCTTGGTGGAAAACTTGGCAGTGATCAAGTACGACTTGTTTCCTCGTGTGTGGCATTTAGGTGTTGCCATCGCTCGCAAGCTTCCTTTCCAAGTGTTGACAACGTCTACCATCGCCCAAAGTCTTGTTTTCTTCACCGTATTGTCCAATCTGTCTACCGTCATGCAATTACCTTTCTCTTACTACGAACACTTTGTTTTGGAGGAGAAGTATGGTTTTAACAAACTCAGCATAAAACTGTGGATTTCTGACAAGATCAAGGGCTCTATTTTGGGCGCTGCTTTGGGTATGCCGCTAACCTACGCTTTTCTCAAGATTTTTGACACTTTCCAAACCAATTTCCTCGCATATATCTGTGGATTTGTGCTTGTGGTCCAGATCCTGGCTATGACTTTAGTTCCTGTGCTTATCATGCCACTATTCAACAAGTTTACACCTTTGGAAGACGGAGAACTCAAGAAATCTATCGAAGCTCTTGCACGTCGCGTTAACTTCCCATTGGACAAGATTTTTGTTGTGGACGGTTCCAAACGGTCTTCTCACTCCAACGCCTACTTCACTGGACTTCCTTTCACAAGCAAACGCATTGTGCTGTACGACACCCTTGTGAAGGATTCGTCCGTGGATGAGATCACCGCCGTGCTAGCTCACGAAATCGGACATTGGCAGAAAAATCACATTTTGCGTATGCTTGCCTTCAGTGAAGTCCACATCGCCTTCTTGTTTTCGCTTTTCACTGCAGCGTACCAGAACAAGTCTCTCTACGCGGCATTCGGCTTTTTCTTGGGTCGGGGAGCCCCTGCCAACAGCGCAACGGTCATCACCCCACAATTGCCAGTTTTGATCGGCTTCATGCTGTTCAACGACCTTTTGCAGCCTTTGGAATGTGGTTTGAATTTTGGTATTAATTTGATCTCCAGACTGCATGAGTACCAGGCTGACGCATACGCCAAGAACCTGGGCTACACAAAGGATCTGTGTCGTGCACTGATCAACTTGCAAGTCAAGAATTTATCTACCATGAATGTCGACTCACTGTTTTCAAGCTACCACTACTCCCATCCTACTCTTCCTGAACGTTTGGAGGCTCTTGAATACATAAGTGAACGCAAGGTCGAGTAGTATTCAGTAAGCTAACTTAGCGCGTCAGCCCCGCTTTACATTCACATCTTCTGCACTCTACATGGCTCGTTTTGAGCCCAAATTTAAGGGAAAAATCGCTGAAAACTTGCCTCTGTATATACCATCTATTCAAAGCTACATGGAGTACCAGAAGTAAAAACTATCGTGAGTTTTCGCCGTTTCACTATTTACGTGTTTATTTCGCGTTCTGACGTTGCTTAAATTTTGACCTATAGGTATAGTTTTAATAGCTCGATGAACTGTTTAAAAATCCAAACATAAAACAAAAACCAGACTAAAACGAGCCTGGAACGCTTAAAAACTTTGGAAACAATTTTGTTGGGTTGAAAATAGTGGAACAGATGCAAGGTTCGATTTACAGCTCGCCATTCCCAGCGCTGAACCCACGAGTGCGGTATAAGACTGCTTTGGAAAGAGCAGGCTTTGATGTGTATCACAACCGGACCCAGCGCGAAAGAGAGCCTAATGGGCCTAATGGGCCATATATGAATCAAAGACACGTTAGTGAAGGTGGTGGGTCTCCTTTTGGCGTTCATTCCGAGCCATCTTTGGCCCCTGCTCAACAAAACAATCGGAACCGGGCTGTCAGCGCAAGAGAGGCCCAACCGGCCTCATACAGCTGGAAAACACCCGATTTGCCGCATGAGCATTTTTCAAGCCCACAATTCCATGATTTAGAAAGAACTGGGCTCCCAGGTCGTGATTTTGCCTCGCAGTCGCGTCTTGCGGATCATAATGACAGATCAAAAGAAGATAATGGCGTTGATCAAGCTATGAATATGGCCAGCAATGGTAGCGTTAAATCTCGAGCATCGAGGCAGTCCGGAGCTATCAGACAGCGGGACTCCTCAGTATTCGATTTCGAACATAAAAGAACGTCTGTCGATCCTGTGGAGAAAAGCTTTTTGCAGTTGACTCAGACTTCCAACGAAAGTGATCGTTCTTCTCAAGAACGTGGATTCACACCTTACGAAGTAGACTCTGCCACTTCTGCAGCTGTAAGCGATGATGATTTTGAGGATGCTCACAGTCAAAGCGTTTCTACCGGTGAGGTTCCAGGAATGGCCAAATGGCGCTCAATTATGCGTTATAGTGAAGCCACACACGAACCGGTAAAAGCGGCGATTCCAGAAGACCACGAGCTTAATGCTACCCCCAACTCGAAGAGATTATCGGAGTCCAGTATAAGCTTTACTCCAGTCGCCGAATTGCATGTTAGACTCTCGCCTCAGAAACCACCTAGCACAGTTCCTGTGATCAGCGTCACAAACGAAGATGAAAAGTATACATCTTCGTCTCAGTCGGATGTGGATGATCTTGGCAATACTGATGAGAGATCATTGAAATCATTGGATATAGAACCGGAGCACTCGCTTATTTCTCCCGTTCAACAGTCACCACAACAACCACACCAATCTGAAAAAGAGGCATTTCAACTTATCCAAGAAGAAATCGAAGAAATGGAAGATGATTTTGATCCCTCCTCAACTCTCAAATCTTCTCTGCAAGTTGAACGACTGCTTGCACAATTGGACAACACTTCGACCAACCGTAACCTTGCTGTCGGTAGTCCACGTCCCGAGCTTGGTAGTCGTTTTAAAAAATCGAGCGCATACCTTTCTGGCTTTGTTCCGGCCACTGTCAGCACTGATATTGACGATGCATTGCAACCGAATCCCATACTGCAAAATGAAGCGCGTAGCGATGAGCTCTCACAGGACAATGCATTAAAATTCGAACCTCAAACGCTACGTGTTAAAACTGAACGTATCATTTCACCGCTACAAAACAATTCTCCACATGATCCCGATGCATCGCGTGGCACTGAGGTCCTAGAAGACAGTGCTTTGAAATACAAACCTCAAACTATAAATGTTCAAACTGAACGCACCATTGCTGCGCTTCAAACCGATTCTCCACAGGACTCTGATGGATCGCCAATGTTTTTCAAGTTTCGTCAAGATTTAGGTCCTACCAGAAGAGTCTCAAGCGATGGCGAAGCTGCAGACGCTTACCCTGATGCCTTGCGCCCTTCAGAAAGACTCGAGCAGTCCCTACAGACGCCCGTTTCGCTCAGGCAGCGTGATGTAAATGCCATCAAGAAAGAAGTGGCTGGAAGTGGAAATAAAGATGCATCAGATGCCAGCGTCCCCAGGACCGCTGGTGAAACTAAATTACATTCTCATAAATTTCCGCCCGGTCAAGGTCCTTGTCGAGCCTGCGGTCTGGAAGTGAAGTCAAAAAGCATCTTTTCAAAGAAGGAAAACGAACTCTCAGGCCAATGGCATCGCCCATGCTTCCGGTGTATCAAATGTGATGTCAAGTTCTCCAAACACGTTCCGTGCTACATTTTGGATGACGATCCTTACTGCCAATTGCATTACCACACTGCAAACAACAGCATCTGCCAGATATGCTACAAGTTCATCGAGGGCGAGTGTCTTGAGAACGATAGGGATGAACGATTCCACGCGGCGTGCCTGAGGTGTTTCCGGTGCCAAGAATTCATCCGCGAGGATTATTACTTGTTCAACAACGAACTGCCGCTGTGTTACAACCACGACATTGACGCTCTCAAGCTTGAAGCACTGAGCGAGTTTGGAGACACAACTACTATTTCCAAGAGAAGAACGCGAATTGTAAATTTCAGTTGAGAAGCTTGAGGCCAAATTGAAAAGACAAATCATTAAAGAGGGAACAGCAGGCTCATCTCAATGCATATACAACTAACCGAACAAGGATTGATCTTTTCTATCGAATCCTGTCTAGTTCCCCCAATTTTTTTTTTGTTTTTCGTCTTATCTTCCCGATTACGGGCCAAAAAGGCACGAACCTCGGCATACGGAGTTGCTCAACCATTCTTCAGCCGGCTGATATAACATTTTGTCCTGTTAGAGCTTTAGCTTGTCGTGGCAGGCTCACAATCGAGTTCCGACCATTTCTGATATTATTTTTGTTGTTAGAAGGCGCAATTCTCATCCTTTTTCTCCCCTGAAAAAACCCAAATGATTGACAAATCACGCTCTTCAAGTTGAGCGATATCCTGAGCGCTATTCTCACCAAGTTCTGTTTCAAATTGATTTTGTTGTCTCTGTCGTCGTGGTCGTTATTTTGTTGATATTCGCGAAAGGGACCAGTTGCGAAATTTTCAAACTTTCCGAAATAAAAACAGGGAGCCGGTCTGAAAACCAAACAAACTTAACCAAGAAACAACATATAAAGACGCCATTTCGCACAAAACGGTGTGTGCTACAAGCTGAGCTTTTCAAGTTTTGTTATACGGTGTTTTTCAGGGAAAAACGCACGAATTTGACCCATTTTTGACTGATATTGACACAAACCAAAACCAAGGATTTTTGGGTTCACTTTCTTTCAGTGAACGAGTTCGAATAGCTGATTGACCGAGAATCGGGGCGCTGATTATTTCATTCCAAAGACAGTTATGAAAGATACTCTAGGGTTGGAAAGAACCCCCAAACGTGAAAGCGCGAAAAGACTGTCGTTTGGGCAAGAAAGTGAAGAAAGTCCGAAGTCACCTCAAACTCCATCACCACCCACAAATTATAACAGCAGCAGCGGTGGCCGCTCGCATAGAAGAACCTCGGTTTCGCATGGGTTTTTGGCTTCACCGTTGCCAGGAGGCACAGCAACTGCCAAACCACCGCATAAAACGGATTTCGTGGTTCCAGATTCACCGGGCGTTGTCAAAACGCGGCTTTTACCTCCAACAACGCCTAAATCGAGAAACCAAGAGGTATTTTTGTCACCATCGCCAAAACTCAAGTCCCCAGGTGTCCATAAGGACACTGAAAGACCTATCCGCGAACTTTCCAATAACCTGAAAACCAGGCTCAACTATGCGTTTGTCAAGCTTCAAAACGGCTGGACCGACAAGACACTACCGCAACTGGAGTCGGTGGTTGGCGGATCTACTGGGAAAACGGTCGAAGTGCCCAAACTGGGCAGCCATCATGCGTACAGCAATAAATTTCTAGAAGAGGAAGATTCCGGGAACAACTCGGCACACGCGGCCCTGATGAACGCGTTGGGGAGTCCACGAAAGAAACAGCGATCAGGCTCTTCTTCTTCGTCGGGTGGGCTAGTTTCCAGTCCTAGAAGAGGACAACGGCCACCGCCTATTATCACGCAACCCGCTGCAGAAAATCAATCCCAGAATCAACCTAAAGATAAACCTTCGGAGGCTGAGGCCATTGAAACACTCATGTCTTTATCTTCGCCTAAGAAGGCTTCTAAACATCCGAGCCAAGAGTTCACGCTCCCGCCTCCACCATTACCGGCTTCGCAAAATCAACAGTCGCCCTCCCACCAGGATCCAACCATTGTAGGCATGTCGTCTCGTTCATCATCTTCTGGGACGTCTATTCCAAATACGTTGGCCGAACCTTTCGTGCTGAAGGGTAATAGCGGTGGTACTAACGCACAGGTCCTGCTCGACGTTGAGACTGACGACGAACAAAGTAATGGAGATTGATTCGACACTCAGCGCAGCAAGGCTTTGGGTGAACGGGGAACATTGAATCTAATATATTATATATATATAAATATACACATCGGTTTATATATGAGTTGTTGTAACATTATAATCCACATTCTATCATAATCTTAGCATTCCTTGACCCGTTTGTTCATCTGGGAGTTCAAACTCGGATCTCGCCCTAGTGTGTGACAGCTGACAGAAAAAAAGGTGTTGTACAATTCAAACAGACTTACAAATAATTCAAGAGTACCATGGTCATTCCACTTTTGCTAGTATCTCCTTCTTGATCTTGCCAATATGATTCAAACTAGTGCTTTCACAACAAAAACCTGTACGGTTGATGCCGTCTTCCCAAGAAGTTCGAAGTCGTCAACTTTGGATCCAGCTAGAGACCTTTTGAAGGTTGTTTACGATGTTTACGAATCCCAGTGGACCGGGACTGGATCTCCTTTGGTCAACTACGTCTTTTTACATGGCAGTGGAATGAATCGGAAAGTGTGGGAGTACTACGTTGACAAACTCGTTTTACCGGACGGTAAGAATAGTTGGAAAATCGGCAAGATCATTCTTATCGATCAAGTGAACCACGGAGATTCTGGCGTGCTTAATGCACAGCTTTTGGGCACCATTTATGACTGGAGTGACGGTGCAAGAGATGTGTGTAAAGTTTGCATGGACGAATTTTACGATTTCCCCCCCAAAACTGAGGTTCTCAACGTGGTGGTAGGGCATTCAATGGGTGGATTTCAAGCATTGAGCTGTGCGGTGTTGTGTCCTGGTCTATTCGATTTCGTCCTGTGTATTGAACCTGTGGTGTGGATGAAGCGAATTCGAAATGCCAGAGACGACAACATGACTATCATCTCACCCAGTTTCTTCAAGGCGTTGAAGGGATCCATGGTCGATGAATTTGCCACGAAGCAAGAATTTTTCAGGTTTTTTGACCAATTCAGCCTGTATGCCAATAGTGCGCCTGCGATTAAGAAGCTCATGCGAGATTTCGAGCTACAGAATGTTTCAGAGGGTCGTTACCGAACCAAGATGAGTGCGCAACAACATATGCTGACATACCTCACTTTGAATCCAACTGCTACATGGCTGATGAATTCTTTGTCATCTTTAAGCTTGCCCGTTTTTTGCATTTACGGAAACAAGTCCAAATGGTGCCCTCCAGAAAATCGAGACTTCTTGCGAAACCAAATCAAGCGTTATAGGGAAGTTGAAGTTGATGGAGATCATTTGATCAATATCGAAAGCCCCGATTTTGTGATTGCCAAGGTTAATTTGGAAGTGGGAAGGCTGACTGCAAATGTGACACCAGAAATGCAAGTGAATGACAGCGCTCGGAGATCCAGATTCGAAAAAGATTACAAAACTTTGCTCGAAGAACGAGTTTTGAAAGGTACGCCAAAACTTTGAAAATACAGATATCTTCAACCTGTTGTTGGGCTTGAAGCCATTATTTATTATACAATACTGCAAATGCGGTGGAGGAGTTTTTAGTTTGGAATATGCATTGAATGTTGAACGCAGTCGCAATTTTGAGTAGTGGGTTGACCCGCTGGACGGTACTACTAATCAGTGAATTTGTAAGAACCGGTGGACATGGTGATGCTACCTCCCCTGTAAGAGCCTCTCTTCATTTTGTTCTTGTTTTTGGTAAAGTCTTTGCCTCTTACTCTGCCTAATTTGTCGTTGGCCATCTCGCCCCACGTACCGGCAGCACCTTTGTAAGTGTTGTCAGTAAGAGCGCTGTCTTCGAAACTGATTTTTGATCTCTCGATTCTGGAGAAATGCTTGCGTTCACCGGGCTTCAATTCATCGTCACCCGCTGAGATGTGAGCAGGATTGGGAGCTGGAGTGTCTGGAGATGCTGTCTTAGAAGACGAACTTGATTGTCCGAGGACTTCCTTGGAGGCAGAACCTTTAGCGTCGGATGAAGCAGATGAAGACGAGGATGACTCATCGTCAGAGGATTCACTGTCAGAAGATGATGATGATGATGAGGAGGAGGAGGAGCTCGAAGATGAACTAGAAGACGAAGATTCTCCATCGGAGCTATCATTTTCAGAAGACGAGCTTGATGAGTCACTATCCGACGAGCCTGAAGAGCCGGAAGAGCTAGAGGAGCTGGAGGAGCTCGAATCACTGTCAGAGGACGAGCTTGAAGAGCTTGAATCACTTGAAGAGCTTGAATCACTGTCTGAAGAGCTCGAAGAGTCGGAATCCGAAGAGCTAGACGAATCTGAATCACCGTCGGAAGAACTTGAAGAGCTAGATGATGAAGATGAAGATGAAGATGACGAGGATGACGATGAAGATGAAGATGAAGAAGAGCTCGAGTCACTGTCGGAAGATGAAGAGCTCGATTCACTGTCCGAAGACGAGGAGCTAGAGGACGAGCTAGATGAGGAGCTCGATGAGCTCGAGGAGCTTGAAGAACTCGAGGAGCTTGAAGAACTCGAAGAGCTTGAAGAACTCGAAGAACTCGACTCTTCCGCCGATTTCTTCCCAGATTTTTGCCGCTTCACACCCTTCTTTCCCTTGACCGATTTCTGTCTTTTACGCGACCGTTTCTCGTCCTCATCTTCACTTTCACTACCACTAGTGCTCAACTCTTCTTGTTTCGTTTTACCAACTTTCTTCACCTTTTCTGAAAGCGTTGGAGGCCCATTTTTCACACTTACCGACTCATTTTTTTTGCTCAGTTTCTTGGAACCCATTTTCAGTCCCGAAATTGTCCACAAACAACTGCTTTCCGCTCAAACTTTATGTAAAGTTGTATGCGATGAGGTTCTGTCAGAGTTTCTTGATTGAAAAAAGTTTTTGGAAGCCAATTTATAACATCGTTCAGGATGATGTGAATATAAAGATGAGATGAGATGAGTAGGATGATAAATGAAGTTAAATGAATGTAATGCATTTAGTATGTACAACAGTTCAAGCGCATTGAAATGGCATAAAAAGCTGAGCGTTTGAGCCCTCAAATAGCTCATTCTCCAGTAGAAAAGAGGTGGGAGCTTCAGGTACGTTAAAGGGAACTCGTTTGTGGCTTTTTGTCCCAGGTTTTTAGGTGATATTTGACGCATTTTTGGCCGAATTCTGGTGCAATGGATGGAGAACACCAATATCATACTCGAAGCAAAGGATCAACGGTGGGGAGCAAGGATCTAGACTTCTCGGACGATTCGGCGAATACAGACAATTCAGATTACGACAATGGGTTTGTGGATGACGAAGACGAAGCCGAATATGGACTCACCCAAAGTGGGAAATCGAGGGCAAGCAACTACGGGAGCCGTAAATCTGCAGGTGGCAAGAAAAACGGAACCAAAAATAGTGCGAAAAGTGGGTCCAAAGCCTCAAATGCTAACGATACGCTAAACAAATTGGCCGCCAAGGACCAGAACTTCTTGCATGGACTGCAGCACGATGCCCCGGCTGATTTCGTGCCCGATGTGGTTTCGGGATTGTTCAGGTCTTCAGACTTTAGCTATCTGAAATTGAAACCGGACCACGCCTCCCGGCCGCTGTGGATTTCCCCAGGTGACGCTCGCGTCATTTTAGAAAGCTTTTCGCCACTCGCCGAGCAAGCGCAGGATTTTCTGGTCACCATTGCTGAGCCCATCAGTAGACCATCACATATCCACGAATACAAAATCACCGCATATTCGTTGTATGCCGCCGTTTCCGTTGGTTTGGAAACTGACGATATCATCGCCGTGTTGGATCGGTTGTCCAAGGTGCCCGTGGCAGACTCCATCACCAACTTTATCAAAAGCGCAACTGTTTCTTATGGTAAAGTTAAACTTGTTATCAAGCATAACCGTTATTTTGTAGAAACTTCACAAGCTGATATTTTACAAATGTTACTGAAGGATTCGGTAATTGGTGCCCTCAGAATTGATTCTGAGACTTCTCCTGCAGCTGAAGAAAACCAACCCACAAAGGAGGGCAGCCTGGATTACAAGCACCAGGCTGCGAAAATCGATCCTAACGACGTAGAAGCCGTTTTTTCGTCCGTTGTGGGTGAAATACAATTGGATGACGATAATGAAGACATCGACGCCGTACACGCCTTCGAAATTGCGAATGGATCCGTTGAGATCGTCAAGAAAAGATGCCAGGAAATTGACTACCCTGTCTTAGAAGAGTACGATTTCAGAAATGATCATCGAAACCCAGATTTGGATATCGATCTCAAACCCTCTACTCAAATTAGACCTTACCAAGAGAAGTCCTTGAGCAAAATGTTTGGTAACGGTCGCGCTAGAAGTGGTATTATTGTTTTGCCCTGTGGTGCAGGGAAAACTCTAGTAGGTATCACAGCTGCTTGTACTATCAAAAAATCGGTTATCGTGCTTTGCACCTCATCAGTATCGGTGATGCAATGGCGGCAACAATTTTTGCAGTGGTGTACACTACAGCCTGAGAATGTGGCAGTTTTCACCTCGGATAATAAAGAAATGTTTCAAACGGAATCTGGTTTGGTGGTGTCCACTTATTCCATGGTAGCAAATACTCGTAATAGGTCCCATGACTCGCAAAAGGTGATGGACTTCCTCACTGGTAGAGAATGGGGGTTTATTATCTTGGACGAGGTCCACGTTGTTCCAGCAGCAATGTTCAGAAGAGTAGTTACTACGATTGCTGCACATGCAAAATTGGGTCTCACGGCGACATTGGTTCGAGAAGACGACAAGATTAGCGATTTGAATTTCTTGATTGGCCCCAAGTTATATGAAGCCAATTGGATGGAACTTTCTCAAAAGGGCCATATTGCAAATGTTCAGTGTGCCGAAGTCTGGTGTCCCATGACGGCCGAGTTTTATCAGGAGTACCTGAGAGAAAGTGCAAGAAAGCGGATGCTCCTTTACATCATGAACCCAACAAAATTTCAGGCTTGTCAATTCTTGATACAGTATCATGAAAAGAGAGGCGATAAAATTATTGTTTTCTCCGATAACGTTTACGCTTTGCAAGAATATGCATTGAAATTGGGCAAGCCTTTCATTTACGGCTCTACTCCTCAACAGGAGCGTATGAACATCTTGCAAAATTTCCAATTCAACGACCAGATCAACACTATATTTCTATCAAAGGTTGGGGATACTTCTATCGACTTACCTGAAGCTACGTGCCTCATCCAGATATCCTCTCATTACGGCTCTCGTCGTCAAGAGGCTCAACGACTGGGAAGAATCCTGAGAGCTAAGAGACGTAACGACGAAGGTTTCAATGCTTTTTTCTATTCCTTAGTATCCAAGGATACACAAGAAATGTATTACTCCACCAAAAGACAGGCATTTTTGGTTGACCAGGGTTATGCTTTCAAAGTTATAACACATTTGCATGGTATGGAAACGCTTCCAAATCTGGCTTACTCAACTGCACGCGAGCGTAGGGAATTGTTGCAAGAGGTGTTGCTGAAGAATGAAGAAGCAGCTGGAATTGAAATCGGTGATGATGCCGAAAATAGTGTTGGCCGCGGCGGTCCAGGTAAGAAAGCTAAATCAAAGGCTGTTAGAGGCGAAGGCTCGTTATCTGGATTGGCCGGTGGTGAAGATATGGCTTACCTGGAGTACTCTTCAAACAAGAATAAAGATTTAAGAGATCATCATCCGCTGATACGCAAAATGTACTATAGAAATATGAAGAAGTAGATTTTATAGGCTTTATACGGAAGGACTCATGATAACGTCAGTTCGACGCTGGATATTTCTGTGCTATTAGCACGGTATATAACGATATTTAAACTCTTATTCCGATTTCACTTCGTTCAGCTTCTCAACTGCAAGTAGTTCCAAATTTTCCACTGAAGACTGGACGTTTATCTTGAAGGTGCTGACATAGTCGATGACATTTATGACTTTGGAATACAAGTTGTTTTTCTCCCGGTTTAAGGACAATTTCAATTCTTCATATCGAAGTTTTGTATTCTCGACGTCTTGCTCTGCTTGAACCACCTTCTGATGGGACGTATACTTCGCGTTTTGGAGTTTTCTTTCCATTTTCTCAATTTCGATGCGCTGAGACAATAGTCTACCATGACTCTCCTGCTTAAACGCATCGTATCGGGACTTTGTCAAGGACATCTCGTGTTCCAAAGATTCAAGCTCCTTGGTCTTTTCATTGATTTCTAGACGAATTGCGTCTAGTTGTGCCTCATACGACGAGTTTTCCCGCAAAAAGTCCTGTATTCGAACCTGTATGGTCGCATTCAACTTTGACAATACGGGCATGATCGTCTCACGGATCCGCAGTCCCTCCGGAACCTCAAATTGTGATTCATTCTGTGTGAAATCGTAGTTCGAAAGGAACGCGGCGGGGAGCGAAAATATCTTTTGAGCGTCACTTGTGTCATGACCCACCTTCAACCGAGCCATGGCGAGACTGTCTGTTGATACTCGGTATTGTTCGCTCACGTCTATCAGCGTCTTGTACGCACCATCGGTCTCCCGTCTTTGAGTCTTCAAGGAGCTTACAGCCTGATCGATTTGACTGGATATCGTGTCCAAAGCTTTCGTCAACCTTTCACGCTCCACATTGTATTTGTCGATTTCGGCAATCTCCATGCTCTTGCCTTTTATCAACTCGCGCAATTCAGTAATATCCTTTTCGGTTTTCTTCACCTCTTCTGCCTTCAGATGTTTTTCTGTCTCCATCTTCTCCAATTTGCGCGGCCATTCTTGACTCTTGTGCTGCATGGCATTCACATAATTTTGAAATTTTGTTAGATCGCTTTGCAAAGCGTTGAATTTGTCCCTTGCCACCTTTACCTCCTTGCCCTTTTCCACCGAATCATGATATCTCACGGACAGATGACTGTTTGACATCGATATATTGCTGATATCGGTTTGAATGACCTGGGTAAACTTTTCGAAACCCAAAACCAACTCCTTCATGTACGCGGTATAATCGTCATCCAAGTTCAAGAAACTTTTGTACGACTGTACTATGTAGTCAATGAACAGCCGTTCTACTATGAGTTCGTATTTTTCCTGTTTGTCCTCCTGTTCGTCTACCGTACCTATGGGTTGTCGCAGTACCGTGATGTCTTGAGTGTTCTGGCTAACAAGAGTCAAATCCACTTTCTGGAGATACGCATCTAACCTTTTGTTAGTATTTACCAGCCAATGCAACATTCCAAGAAATTTGGGCCAACTCGATCCCCCCACTGCTGATATCTGGGATTTGTTGATGGTCTCTAAATAAGGGTATTGGATAGTTTTCAAGATCGCATACACATCATATACCAGAGATTTGGTAAATGTGTAGCCTGGATCCATTCTTTGATACAGCCATCTAAAGACAAAAATAAAATCTTTTTGGGTAGGCTGTCGCAGAGCCTTGAGAGATATGGGGTGATTGGCCTGAACATCGAACTTCTGGGCCTGCAGATAGTCGAATACTTCTTGTTGGATGATGTTTTGGAAGTTTTTATCTCTTAGAGGTCTTGGATCTTTGTTGTTTGTATTTGTGGCATTGGTACCACCATTAATGCCACTACTGGGTAAAAGAGACGTTCGCTGTGAAGAACGCAGACTCTTTCGAGAATCCAACAGCAGGCTTTTTCTTGAATCTGTGTATGGCCGTCGTGTGTTTTCTGGTCTCGTTTTAGCCACGCTTTTGTTGATCAAATCTGTGAGACCAGATCCACCAATCGCTGATGCAGTACTGTTTCGTCTTCGACCCGAAATTGGAGCTGGAATTTGGGAAGAAAAGCGCTGAGGATCCAAGCTATCTAGTATTCCTCTAGATTCGCGTGAAAATCGCGTATGAGGCTCTTCCATGGGTTGTTTTTGGCCCAGTTTGTGTTTTTCGATGTTGTCTTGATTTGATGTAGAAATCAAAACAATCTTAAAATATAGGTATTATTATATATACAAGATGGGCATCCCAAGTCATCGACAGTGAACTTCGTGAGAAACATCAGCGATTGATGGGAAAATAAGACTCTTTAGAGCTTTAGTTGATAGTTTCCGTTATCGCGGTAGTTGGGAGCTTTTTTTAGAGGCTTTAGGCGACTTTCTTGGATGAGTATTGGTTGTTTGGAGGATCAAAATAGATGATCGAGAAATTTGCCCCGCGTAGGTTGAGAAGGTAATCCAAGGGGCGACAAAGACTTTGGGTGACCAATTGGATGTGGCATTAATGATTTGGGAGGTATTGTATTAGGATCAAATTCGGTCTAATCGCTGGATGGGGCGTCCCGTTGTTATCCCAGGTTCTCTCCGATCATTGCCTCAAAAGAGAATTGGTTACCGTAAATCTACGTGGGTGCTCAATCAAACGTTATGCTACAAACAGATAGCAGGTTGCCGGCCCATTGCTGTTCTTCTCGATTAATATTTAGCCTGTAAAACGCAGCAAAAACGACCCACCAATGGAACCTATCGAGTAAAGTCAATCGCCTAATTGAACAAATTTCCAGATGAACATGGCAGAGCTGCCTCTCCAGACCGCAGGGCTATTGTAAGCTAGACGATATGGACAGCATCCGGACTTGTGTGAATCACCAGCGTTGAAAAAGCTCGCCGCGTGACTTGATGCTCATTGACCATGTTAAATTTACCATCAATATTAGTGAGAAGTACGGGCTAAGACTTGAAGATCCAAAGAACAGGCTCAAGAAACAACTTAAGATGAAGGTCCTACACGGTGTGGATGAAGTTGTTCAATGGAGAACCACCAATGTCGATAGAAGGTTTCAATCCAGCGGGTTTGTGCCCACAATGGGATGTTTGCATGAAGGTCATTTGTCGCTCATACGAGCGTCCAAGCAGGAAAACGATTTTACAATTGCTAGCATATTTGTGAATCCATCGCAATTTGCACCAACGGAAGACCTGGATAAGTATCCCAGAACATTGCAAAATGATTTAGCAATGTTGGAGGCCGAAGGTGTCGATATGTGCTTTGTTCCGAACGTGAAAGAGATATATCCGCAAGGTATTCCTTTACATGTGGATGAGCAGAGGGGTCCCTTTGTAAGCGTATTGGGTGTGAGTGAGCAATTGGAGGGCCGCACAAGACCCAATTTTTTCCGTGGTGTAGCCACGGTTGTCACGAAACTGTTGAACGTGGTATTCCCCACGAACGCGTATTTCGGACAGAAAGATTTCCAGCAGTTTACGGTGCTGAAAGTCATGACAGAGGAGCTTTTTGTGAACACGAAGCTCACGATGATGCCCATTGTTCGCGATTCTGAAGGATTGGCTTTGAGCAGCAGAAATCGGTACTTGTGTGCGGAATCACGTCGCATTTCAACAGCGATCTACCAAGGTTTGGAAGCGGCCGCTTCTGCCGTGAATGCTCTGGATCCTGGTGCGCATATCTCGCGGGAAACTCTAGAGAACAGAATTGGCAAGATTTGGGAGCCCTACGTGAGTTCTGGAGATTTCGAGGTGGACTACGTTTCCGTGGCGCATGCCAGGTCACTGCAAGAGCTAGATGATGTTTCTCGAGACGCAGACGTTGTCATCAGCTGCGCGGTCTATGTTACGGACCGAGAGGTCAAGTCGACGAGAGTGAGATTGATAGACAATGTGGTCTTGACGTAGGGAGAAGAAACCTTTGACATTGGTTCTTGCGCACGTGACCTCGAGCTATCTTCCATCTTTCGATAAAAATCGTCATCATTGTAAGCGACAAACAGGAACATTCAGCCAGTTAGATTCCTTAATCTCAGATCTAAACAACCTCTATCATCGCGCTGTTAAAAACAAACGGTTCGACGAATTCTTCGAATCTTGCGTTGCTTCTCCGTTATCATGAGTCACGTGACAGATATTTTTAAGCGCCATTTTCGTGCCCTGTCCCATCCAATCAATTTTTAATCGAGCCTTTAGATCTATACAAGATAACGATAGTATCTCATGGATATATTGATCTTCAACTCTCTAAACCAACAGAGAAGCGACTCGAGCACCAACATAGGCCCCAGGGCGGGCACGTAAGCTTTGCTGCTGCTTTAGATAACGTATACCGAAGGCGCTTGCGCGCATCTTAGCGTAAATTCTGAATCTTTCTTGATATATATATATATATAAGTAGCACACCGGAACGAAGTCGAATAGACCTTGGTAGAGCATGTTAAACCAAACCTTCTTGTTGGTAGACCATCGAAGCCTTTAAAACCATGTCTACCACTAGTAGTGCTAAAAACACAATTAAAGTCCAACACTCCCGAGTAGCAGAGGTGGAAGAAGGCGATTTACGGGATTTGCATGCAATCGTCTCATCGCATGGGGTTCCAATAAGATATGTGGATGCCAAGAGCGCCACGTCGGACCAGCAAGTGTTGGCAGAACTGGGATACAAAGAAGAGCTGAAACGTGAGTTTTCGCCGCTGCAAATTTTTGGTGTGGCCTTTTCCATTATGGGCCTGCTGCCGTCAATCGCTTCAACGCTGGACGGCGGTCTCACGGCAGGCCCCGTGGGGCTCAACTGGGGGTGGTTTGTTGCCGGTATCTTGATTCTGTCAATCGGTGTGGCCCTTGCCGAGTTATCGTCGTCTATCCCAACTGCAGGCGCAGTTTACGTTTCGTGCTACCAATGGGCTCCTGCAAGAGTGCGGAAATGCATTTCGTACTCCGTTGGGTTTCTGGATACGCTTGCGTTGAGCGCATCAGTGTGTTCGATCGTGTACGGTCTTGCACAGCAGATTTTGTCCGCCGTCGTGGTCACAAACCCGGATTTCGACGTTACCAACCCCATCAGCTACGGTGTTTTTGCAGCTTGCATCATAGTAATGACAATTTTGACGTCGATGACATCCAAGTTCACATCCAGATTGCAAACGGTGTCGATTGTGTCTAATTGCTTCGTCATCATACTGCTGTTCATCGTGCTGCCCATCGGCGTCAAACGGTCCGCGAAACTCAACTATAGCTTTAACGATGCCAAGTTCATTTTTGGAAAAGTCGATAATCTCAGCACCTGGAACACGGGTTGGAACTGGTGCATCGCCGGTATGATGCCCGCAATCTGGACCATTGGAGCTTACGATTCATGTTTACATATGGCCGAAGAAGCGCGCGATGCACCCAGGTCGGTTCCAATCGGTATCGTGGGCTCCATTTCCGTGTGCTGGATTCTCGGATGGTTGGTCTGCATTGTTCTTCTGGCTTGTATGGACTCCGACATCAACAACATTGTAAATTCCGCGTATGGACAAGGAATCACGCAGATATTCTACGACGCCCTGGGTAAGAATTGGACGCTTGGATTTTTGGCGCTTCTTATCATTTGCCAATTTCTAATGGGAGCCTCGACCGTAGTGGCCAACTCCAGACAATTTTGGGCTTTTGCTCGTGATGACGCTATCCCAATGAGCGGTTTCTTCAAGAAAGTCGACCGCAGAACTGCAGTGCCCATTCGTGCTGTTTGGGGATCCAGTGGATTGGCTTTGGCCTTGGGATGCTTGTGTTTTGCCGGAGAAACAGCCGCTGATGCCTTGTTCAGTTTATCTGTCGCAGGCATGTATATGGCGCTGATTTTCCCAATAACTCTGCGGCTCACGTACGGTAAAAACGACTTTAGACCCGGTCCTTTCTACTTGGGTGATTTCTGGTCTCCATTAGTGAACTGGTTTGCAGTCTTGTCGCAAGCTTTTATTATCATCATGATGATGTTCCCCAGCGACAAAGGCGTTGCCCCAGATTCCATGAACTACACGGTGGTGATTGGTCCTGGGTTTTGGGCCGTCAGTATGATCTACTATTTCGTGTGGCAGCGGAAATTCTACAAAGGACCAAAATCGAACTTATCGGATGAAGAGTTCCGCGAATGCGTTGGCGAGGATGTTATCGATGCCATTGTGTCGCAAAACTACGAGACTTTGAAGAATCGTATGGTCTAGAACTGGAGAAATCAGGGTCTCCAACACAGGAGTTGGACACTTTGGAAATAAGAAGTTTATAATAGGTTCAAGAATTTCAAGAAACATAATGCACAGCACATCAGCTGCCAGTACATATCACACTTCGGTTCGGCCGGTCCCCTAGTTGTTGGCGTCCTGTATACTATGCTCTTGGCACCTAGCTAATACAAAGTGACATCGAGAGCAACTAGATGCGCTCCACAGGACTGAAATGGATGAATAACGCCTGCTGATGGACTACTTCGATGAAATCGAAAGAATCGAGACTGATCTTACTGTCTGAACCAGTTTCTGGACAGTCCGATGCGATGACACTGTAGTTCAAAGTGATCTCACCGCTGACACGACATCTTCACGAAAAACACTCGAAAGTGTACAGTAGAAAGAGCACAAACGGTACCAGTTATATTTATTTGACTTTTACAGCTCTCAACTATGACATGATACCCTCCAAAACGAAACTTGATGAAATGAATTGGTTTTTGCGTTTTTCTTCGAAGGAAACACATGTAAAGACAATATAAAAACCAGTCACAGATACAATGGTTCTCGCTGCTCAAAACTCACCAAACTCTCGCTGCCTGCTGATGCTTGCATGTACTTTGTCTCCAGGTATGGTCATTTTCCACGTCTGTGTCGTCCCCCCGATGTTCTAAGGGATGTAATTAGGAATATGAAGTCTATTACATATCGGTCCATGATAACGCCAGTGATTCAAAGCCTGGTAACCACCTCAAAGGACCACTTTGCATTTCTTCAGAGATTCGACACATAGCACAGGTGTTGCTACTTCCCATAGCGTGAAAATCCGGAGTTTTTATCAGCATTTTTGGGCTAGAAAGAGAGAAAAACCGTTCTTTTCCTGTCGTTATCACGCTTTAACGCTATACAACAGGGTAGAGCCTGGTTTTTGATTGTATTTGGAGTGTCGGCGCTGAATTATCATATCACCTGGGAATTTCGTAAAGGGCGTGGCTTTTTACATTCGCTTGAATTTGAACTAGCCATTCACTCGTCGTTGACAGTGTGTTTCATACTGCACTCGGCCGTTTTTTTTTGGACGCGTTTTAAGGCTCCATACGATTAAGTCGTAGGTGTCCCTGCCAGTATCTTGATCGATTACTAGGCCACACAAGTCGTTAGGTCTGTGTGACAACGACAGGTCCGAACTTTCAAGTCAAGTCATATCAGCATGAGTCAGTACGCAACACAACCCAAAAATCAGCGTTCCGGGGAGAATTTAGAGTATTCGTCACCCCAGGAATCTGGTGCAACGCCTTCTGTGTCCCTGAACCAGCGAAACAGTATTTTAGATCCACATCTTTCCGTGTTGCACCTTTTAGAGCGGGCTGAGCAGCATGTACCAGCGTCTTCCGCCGAAACCGTAAAATTCAGAAAGCCAGACTTTCTACGATCACCATCACCTCCGAAAACGTGTGCTTCAGAAGTGATGCATCGCAGCATCTCCGATTCCTGGCAATCGATCAGGCACATTGATTACTCTATTCTCACTTTGTTCAATGAAAACTCTTCTTCTGAGAAGCAGCAACAGCAACAGCAACAGTCTGAGCAACAACAGCAACAGCAACAGCTGGCGGGTATTCTTTCATCGTCTGATACCTCAGAAGACGAACCTGACCATTTTTTGTCCCCATCCCCTAACCATTATAGTTTCAGTGGCAATGCAAATGCTATTTTCTCAGAACCACCACACGCACTAGAAACCCCAGCATTAGCAGCGTACCGCGAATCTGGAATTCATTTTGCGAAAACAGGCAGTCAAAGTTTAAGTGGTCAAGATACCATAAAGGACAACGATGTCGATAATGAGACAGTAACTTTGAGTCTGATGAAGTCGTCTAACTCGTTTGTTATGCCCAAGTTGTCCGTCCTGAAACCATGCCAAAAGTTCTGCATTTTGATCGTTGGCAAGCCCGCTCAACGGTTTTACCGCGATATCCCACGGTCGTATCGTAAATTGTTTGATTTCTGTGAATCAGACAGCCTCGACTCACACGAGCTAAATCAGTACAGCGCCGTTATGATTATATTCACCGAACCAAAAAATGAGCCACCCCTTCTTGAGAAAGTGGCTTCTCAAAACAACAATATCATTGCCGTATGTCAGCGTGGACAACAACAACAGATATCGGGCCTGCTAAGCGGATATTCGCGCTCGTACGATCTACGTTTGATTTACCATCTGACCGTAATGTCCGACCATCAGGACGTCCATCGGTTGCTGCGCTATCTTCACAGCTTGAGTTCTGACGCGGATTCTGGCTACGAAACCGAAATGGGATCTCGAAAAATCCGCAAGCGTCGTAAATCTCAGAAAAAAAAATCCACTAACGTCAGTGTCAATCGATGGGTAGTCTGGAGCTTATCGCTGACCCTCGGCGTGGGTATTGGGTACTGCATTTCATGTGTTTTGTCCTCTGCAGTGTCAATTCGGGGCGGCAAACTATCCATTGTTTCTCCGGGAGAGACTTCCGGCTTGGACGACATCCCGGTCTCCTCCCATGAGCATAGTTTTGAAAATTATATTCGCCAGCTGGTTCTGGCATGCAAAAAGGCCGTTAAACAGGTCAATGTATCCGTGAAGCAGTACATGAACGGCCACTCCCTGCTGGTGCTTTGGATGCAACGGATGGGCAAAGAGTGGATGTCTGAAGACCCCGAATCTTCTTTACCTGGCGTGGCAGCGTTAGACCTAGTTTTGATGTGAGAAATAAGTCTCAAAACAAGAGCCGAGAAAGATGCCTGAAGCGTGCGCGAAGCGTGCCTAAAACTTTGGATCAGAGGCGCGTGTTATGGTGTATATTGCCCGACATGGGAAGGTCGGATTGATCAGATTTGTTTCATCTGGCCCAAATTTTCAAAAAACAAAGCTCTGAGTTCTCGAAGCTTTTCACTTCCAGCATCCCCGATTTTATACAAAGTTTCCGAGATATTTTGTAAGCCTTAGAGTGATCAAAAGACTCTTTCTGGCCAAACTCTCGAAGTTGTCTTCAGTAGTGATTTGTTATGTAGTGATAATCAATTTTGTTCAAAGCTCATGTCATCAAGCCAACATGTACCACAAAACAAGGAAGAAAGAAGCTCACAAGCTCGTAAAAAGCTGTGGCAAGTGTTGTAAACATGCTCTCAAGTCAGAGAGCTGGTCTCATGGCGTTTGTGCGCAAAAAAACGCAACCGCCATTCACAGTGAGCATCAGAGCACAACTAACTGCATTGGTGTGTTTAGTGGCCATTTTCTCCTTGATTATCCTGGCAGTGATCACAGGAGTCTATTTTACATCCAGTTACAAGTCTCTAAGAGCGGATCGACTTCAGGTGGCCTCCCAACTGAAATCTTCCCAGATCGATCAGAATATCAACTTTCTGTACTACCAAAGCTACTGGATGGCATCGAGAGATATTTTACAGAACGCGTTGACCGAATATCTGGCTGGTAATACAAGTGAGGAAAATTGGTATGATGCATCAGCATCACTGGACAAATTTTTGAGCTCTTCAAATCTGTTCAGTGCAGCTCGTGTTTACGACTCGAGTTTCAAAGATGTACTGAACGCTACTAATAATGGAACGGGGAACCTGATACCGGACGAAGTGCTAACGAGACTCTTTCCGCTCTCTACGGATGATGCCCTGCCGTCTTCTCTGCAAGGAAGTGGGTATCTGAGTGATCCTGTGCTGAATGGCACAGACACTTATCTGATGTCAATGTCACTGCCGATTTTGGCAAACCCATCCATCATCTTGTCTGATGACATGGTTTACGGCTATTTGACAGTAGTAATGTCAGCAGACGGCTTGAAGTCTGTATACAATAGCACTGCTGCTTTAGATAACGCAGCCGTGGTGATCGTTTCCACGGTCTACAACAATAGCGATTTGGCTGGATTCCATTTGGTCTTCCCTCCATCTGGCCTGAGCCCAGAAGTCACCAACTTTCTTTTCCCATTCGATTCAGCATCTTTCTTGAAAGGAGCGCTGCTCGAAAACAAGAACGGCTCAATCAAAAGCGGTGAATTTCTGTACAACAAGCATGTGGCCATTGGATACTCCTCGTGTGGTTTTGATATTGGATCGTGGGCTGCCCTGGTGGTTCAGCCGGAAAGCGTATTCCTGTCCCCCTCCACAAAGCTCACAAAGATCATTATTGGCACCGTCATTGGGATCGCCGTAGTAATGTGTCTCATAACATTTCCCTTATCGCATTGGGCTGTACAACCGATTGTACGACTTCAAAAGGCAACAGAAGTCATAACGGCTGGGAGAGGTTTGAGATCAGATGGTAGCACTTTGTACAGTCATAAGCGCACCAGTACAGCGGAATCCTTCAACTCTAACTTCAGACAGGGTTATATTCGTCGTTCAGGATCGGTAGCGCGCTCTATTGGTTATGAAGGTGCTCCGACTGGAATCCCGTCCGGCAAAGATGCTTCAAAAGATGCTGAGAAGATTCCCGAGGGTTCTTTGCCAACAGAGCTAAGAAAGGTGCGATCAGCCACGAGCGCGTCAATTCTCAGTGATTCACGGTTTACTGGAGCAGACCATTTTAACACCTCCCATCTGGTAGAGGTTCGAGTCCCAGTATACAAACGATACTTTTCTGATGAGCTTTCCGAGCTCACCGAGACATTCAATGCTATGACCGATGAGCTCGATCGTCACTATGCTCTTTTGGAAGACAGAGTACGAGCGCGTACTCGTCAGTTAGAAGCAGCTAAGATCGAGGCAGAAAAAGCTAACGAGGCCAAGACAGTCTTCATTGCCAACATATCACACGAATTGAGAACCCCACTGAATGGGATCTTAGGTATGACAGCTATTGCCATGGCAGAAGAAGAACTGCCCAAGGTAAAGAGTAGTCTGAAGCTTATCTTTCGGTCGGGAGAATTGCTCCTGCATATCATGACCGAACTATTGACCTTCTCCAAGAACGTTTTGAAAAGAACCAAATTGGAAGAAAGAGATTTCACTGTCCATGATCTTGCTCTACAAGTGGAATCTATTTTCGGGAAATTAGCCAAAGATCAACACGTTAGATTGACCATTTCAATTTTGCCCAATGTACTGAGAACTATGATGTTATGGGGAGACTCCAACAGAATCGTACAGATTATTATGAATTTAGTCTCGAATGCACTGAAGTTCACCCCGGTTGACGGTAAAGTTGATGTCAAATTCACGTTAATCGGTGAATATGACGAGGAAAGAAGTAAAGCCGAAGACTATAGGCACGTTTACGTTTTGCCAAAGAGGAGTAACGCAGAAATTGATGGTGATGGCAAAAGCAATGAAAAAGTCGCCAACAGACCGCTCACAAGTGAAAGCTCTCCTCCTTCTCCTTCTTCTCGTGGTATGCACGACATTGATAAGAAATCGAACTGTGAAGGTAGCGACAGATGGACAAAAGGCGACGATAACGGAAATTCCTTGACCGAAGATGATTGTGAAAATACGGAGGATTACAACGATGATCTCAAGTCGATAGAAACACAATCTAGCAGTGACTCTTATGATGGCAGTCGGTTTCAGTCACAATTTCTCAAAGACAGCAATGCTGATAGTGGTGATGATTATAAAGACGTGAAAGAGTTAAAAGATCCTAAAAAATGGACTATTTCAATGGAAGTAACTGACACTGGTCCGGGCATAGAGACCTCGCTACAAGAAAGTGTTTTTGAGCCCTTTGTGCAGGGTGACCAGACGTTATCTAGGCAATATGGGGGTACAGGGCTAGGGCTGTCCATTTGTAGACAATTGGCTACCATGATGCACGGCACGATGGAATTGAAGTCAAAAGTGGGGTTAGGAAGTAAGTTTACCTTTACTGTACCTTTAACGCAAACCAAAGAAATATCTTTTGAGGGCGTCAGGAATCCGTTTGAGGACGAATTTAATCCGAAAAGCAAGAAGAATCGTAAGGTCAAGTTTAAGGTTGGCAAAGTTAACGAGGAGGAAACACCTACGACATCATCATCTACTAATGACAGTTCTGTGAAGGCCTCAAATATCTCTGAGAGCGAAGTAAGCGTGGGGAGTGTACGTGTTGACAGGCCCTTCTTACAGAGTACCGGTACCGCACTATCGTCTAACAGAGTTCCTTTAGCCGCAAAACCAAACGAATGCAAAATATTGGTTGCAGAGGACAATAATGTGAACCAGGAGGTGATCAGGCGCATGCTAAACCTGGAAGGTTTGAATGATGTGGATCTAGCATGCGACGGACAAGATGCAATTGAGAAGGTTGAGGCTCAAAACGAAGCTGGGAGACATTACGATTTAATATTCATGGATGTTCAAATGCCTCGAGTCGACGGACTTTCAGCTACAAGAACGATACGAGGTAAACTCAATTACAGTCATCCTATAGTGGCATTGACGGCATATGCAGACGATAAGAACATCGAGGAATGTTTGGATGCCGGCATGAACGGCTTTTTGTCGAAACCCATCAAAAGGCCAAAGATCAAATCGATTTTGGAAGAATACTGCCCGCAACATAATCCGAACGGCAAGGATGACTGAGTGGTACACGATTCGAGATGAAACGTAAGTAATCAACGAAATAAGAAACCAAAACAACATAGAGGTATGCATGCATTGCACATATTGTGCTATTTGCTTTAATGAAATCAAAGACTGAAACCGAAGAGTTTTAAATTACGTACTTAGGTGTAATACAAGGCGTAAAGATGTAGCAGAGGTCTGCGATTGGCAAACCAGCGCACGTATGTAAGAAAGTATGATAGTTGGGGGCGAAACCGACTATTTCAACTTCTTCTTAGGACGCAATTGGTTGGTGTGGCCACACTTTCTCTTTCTGCAGTTGGTAGCTCTTGGAGGCAATCTGGCGTAGCACTTACGGCACACGGATTTCTCACAGTTGAATTTGGAAGCCAAAGCCTTCAAGGAAGGTTCGATGATACCACCTCTCAATCTCAAGACCAAGTGCAAAGTGGATTCCTTCTGGATGTTGTAGTCGGACAAGGTTCTGCCGTCTTCAAGCTGCTTACCAGCGAAGATCAATCTCTGCTGGTCAGGAGGAATACCCTCCTTGTCTTGAATCTTGGACTTGACATTGTCAATGGTGTCCGAAGATTCAACTTCCAAAGTGATGGTCTTACCAGTCAAGGTCTTGACAAAACTGAAAGCAACATGTTAGTAACAGGAGAACGGGAAATAAAAGGAAAACAAGCAAAACGGGTGAAAAAGTAGACTGTTTCGGCGAAGCCAGTATTGACATTTTCCAGGCCAAAAGTTGGTCAAATAAATAACCTTTTTTAATAGATGCCCGTCTTATCGCTCCTTTGCTCACTTGAAATGATATCTAAGTCCCACTATTCCCCACCAAAACACTTATGAGAAAGCACAATCAACATCAATGTCCTACTTCATTTGGCATTTCGTAACGGCACTTTCCAAATGACTTTCTCTACCCGAGGGTCTGCAGTTCTTTCGCACGCTTATTCCCACTAGTTTTAAATGCTATTGCACATACATTTGCATCTTTGAGTCTTGATCTTCTTCTGGTGTTAATGGTGTGAAATGTTCCAAATGGTACGTCTCTTGATAGACATTTGATAATATTGACAGAATTCCAAGCGTTACGGTGGGTCGGTAATGGTCCAGGCAGGGCCAACGGACCATTGCTAGGCAGAGACCTGGGCGGAGCCAGTGTCGAGCTGGACAGAAGCCGCACTGTGCTAGGCAGAAACTGACTAAGCATTGGGCAGGATGCTAGGCTAGGAGCACCGCCTAGCCACCGAGCTGCCTCCTGCTGGTTAGGTAACAATGGGTCTTGCAGTTGCAGTCACTTGACGGACGCTAAAATGCGTAATCTGTGACTACCCACGCAGGAAACTTATCTCAAAGTGGATTGAAAACATAACTTTCCTTGGTGTATGGGTTTTTACGCAGTCATGTTCTGAAGTCGGTAGACCTGTTACCCGGAGATATTGCAACACCGGGTCATGTGATTAATATTTTTGGCAAGTACTCGTAAGTACTCAAAGGGCCTCAGAATTCATGGAATAATAAATACCATGTAAAAAAGACATCTAGTATGAACGCATTTAACCCGCATACCTGTTCAAATCACTGCAAACTTATAAGGAACGGGCTGCTCAAAGAGTCTGTGTGACGCGAAACGAAAAACAAATCGATTTTGTCGCATACTCGCTCGAAATAGCCGGGTCTTAAGCCCCCCTGTACATCGTTTTCTGTGTCTTCTCAACTAGCAGAGCTGTGAGCTGGCTTGCACACCTTGTTACAATGACCACCGCATTAGGAGAATCACCAATTGGTCTCAACGATACAGCAGAGTTCCTCGGGGTGGATTCGGGGTCTTTAGATGGAATCGACCAATCCTTGGCCGCTGCAATTGCCGCCAAAGCACACGAGTTTCGGCAATTGCAGGCGCAGAGTTTAGAATCCAGTGTAGTGATAGATGAGCTCAGGTCGGCTTCGGGTCAAAAATTGGATGCCTGCAATGCTAAAGTGCTCGATCTTGAACGAGAAGTGCTGAAACTTCACACCGAATCTACTGTTTTGGAAGAAACTCGACGTAAGTTCGAATCGCAGTTTCAAGCCGCCGAAATCAGTCTCGAAACGTCTCAATTACAAGCCCAGTCTCTTTTGGAGCAAAAGCAGATGCTCGAGAGTACCAAAAACGATCTTGGCAAACTGCTGAACGAAAAGATCCAAGACAATTCGACGCTCCAGCACGAGACTGACAAGTTACTGACAGAAGCTCACGAACTTCGAGATAAGAATTTGGAGCTTGAAAAACTTGTGCGCAACGCCAAGTCGCGGGAACTGAGCAACAAAGGTGAAATGCAGCAAATGGTGCAGGAATTGCAGCTTTCACAATCTAATAACTCGTGGCTCGAGTCCCAGCTCGCAGAAGTGACAACCAACTTCAACAAATTTCGACAAAAATCGCAACACGAAATGGCACAGTTGCTCGAAAAGACCGAGACCAATACCTCTGAATTACAGAGTGCTCGTCAAAATATCAACACTTTGCGTGAACATAACAGAAATCTAACAGAACAACTTGACGCAAAGCTTGCTATCATTAAAAATTTGACGGATGGTTCCAATAGCGACAAATCAGATTTCACTCGTGAGATGGCCCTAAAACAGCATCTTATCGAATTATTGGAAAACCAGGTTAAGTCCTTAAAAGATGAGCTCGAACGCAAAAATTCGGCTGGACTGATACAATCTGACACTTCCGATCTAATCGAGGAGTTATCTGAGTGTAGGACACAGTTGGCAGAGAAAGATGTGGAAATTGAAAAGCTTCAAAACGCAGTTCAGGACTTATACAATGATAACGCTGATGCCGAGGAAGTCAACGGCGGCAAAAACGGCCCAACGTTGTCTTCGAATAAGAGCGTTTCTATTCCCAAGCTGTACGGCGACATATCTGTGCTCAAGAAACAGTTGATTCACGAAAAGCGCCTAAAGGAGCATTTACAAAATCAAGTGGAGTCGTTTGTGTTGGAACTCGAGAATAAAGTCCCAATGCTTAGCTCCTTCAAAGACCGCAACAGTATGCTTGAAAATGAATTGCTTGAAACCAGTTACTTGTTGGAATCAGTTTCTCGTGATAGACGTGAACTTATTGATGACATGCATAGGTCTGATTCTCGTGTGAGAGATTACGAAGCTCAAATATCGGGACTGACAAAGCAACGTACAGATTTAGCTCGTCAAGTTCAGTTTTTACTCATTCAGGCGTCTGTGAGAAGTGACTCCAAGGGCCCTCTCACTGGAGAGGAAACCGCTTTCGTTCAAAAAATTCTGGACTCCGAGAACCAGTATTTGAATCATGATACACAAACGGTCATTTCACAACGATTGGTCGTATTCCAAGACATTGTAGAACTCCAAACAAAAAACTCTGAGCTCTTAGTCACCGTTCGGAGCCTAGCTGATAGATTAGAAAAGGAAGAACGCGACGCTAATAGTGAGAGAGACGTTGCCAATAAGGCAGTAATCGACGATGCCAAAGAAGCAATTACAAGACTTCAAGAGCATGTACAGGATTTGGAATTGAAGATCGAAATCGTTTCCAAAGAACGGGACGCCTTGAGAACAATTAGGCATAGTGCCTCTTCTGATGACGAGCCATCGAACAAACAACTGTCAGAAACAAGCAATGCTAAGAAACTCGAGCAAATGGAAGAACAACTGCAGATGGCTAGACGGGAAGCGGAAACTAATGTGAACATGTTAAACACACAGGTACAGGACCTACTAAAAACCAGAGCAGACTTACTTTTGAACATGGAAAAAGAAAGGTCTTCTAGGATACTGGCCGAAGAAAGGTTTGAGTTCGTAAACGAATCTTTGAAGCTTGCTAAGCATGAAAGTAAGGAGTTGGCAACAAAATGCGATAGACTGCAGGACACTGTAGTCAGGCAAGACACAAGGACCCAAGAAACAGTTACTGACATTATCAATTGCAAATCACAGATTGCTCGTTTGACCTCAGAACTAAAAAACTCAACAGCTAATTCCGAGCTGTTGCGTTCATTTCATGAAAAGGACAAAAAAGTCAATGAACAATTAAGTATTGAAAAAAACGAGCTCTCTATACTTGTCGCTCAGTTGCAAACCTTACAAAAAGAACGGGAAGCGTTGATTCGTGGGACAGAAACTTCCTTCGAAGGAAAAATCGATCTGCTGAACCAGGAGATCAGGCAACTTCGGTCTCAGCTGGCATCCAAAACGCAAGATCTTGATGCATATGTTGCTGCTTCAGAGTCCAAGTCACAATGGTACCAGAAGAAGATCGACTCTCTGAGCGGTTTATTGAGTGAAACAGCTGCAAATTACAATTCCCAAATGGATGCTCTGCGAAACTTGAAAACTCAGAATGACTCATTAAAGCAGGAAGCTCAGGCTGTTGTCACGTCACAACCTATTGGTACCCCAATAGGGGAGCAACTAGATGGTGGACAGAGTGGAATTTTAAAGACGGAAATAGAGAAACTAAAACTCAACTTACAGGAAGCTTACTCGCAGGTCGACGAGTACAAAAATATTAACATCTCCACAGAGGAATGTCTTTCAAACGTAACTGAGGCATTTGACCAACTAAAGGCAGATCATTCTAGCGAAATTGTGAGCATGAAGGAACAGGAAAGAGCTTTGACAGAAGAGGTCTCGGCACTAAAGGCTACACTTTCCAGTGTCACCACAGAACTCAGAGACGAGAGAGAGCGTTGGAATTCTAAGAATGATGATATCACTAATCGTATGAGTGCTTTCAAAGCCAGTCAAGACTCGATTGACGCTCTGAAAAAGCACTACGAAGAACAGTTGGATCAGTTAGCCTCCGATTTGAAGCAACAAAGTACATTCACCAGCCAGGCTCATCAAAAATATGAAGAAGAGCTACAACGGCATGCAGATGCTTCGAGGAGCCTGAACAATCTAAGAGAGGAGTCTGAGAGCTTCAAGAACCAATTGCAAGGTGTCATCGCGACGAACAAAGATCTTCAGAAGACTCTAGAAGGAAGAGAAGCGGAATGGGCAGCAAAGAAACAAGATTATGAATCACAACTGGACGCCGTCAATCTTCGCATCGAGGATCTATTGACTCAGAACAGACTTCTATTCAACCAGATTGACATCAAATTCCTGGAGCAAGAGTCTAAAGCTAATGCTGACAGTAGTAATAGCGATAACCAAGAATTGATATTGAGCTTAAGAAGAGAATGTGATATACTCAGGGCAAAGCTCGAAATGGCAGATGGTGAGAAGAAAACGCTACAGCGCAAAGTACAAACTTCGGAAAGTGAGCTCCTCGCAGCCCGGGAAGAACTGAATAATTATCAATCTAGTGCAGTTCGGCAATCAATAATGGTTCAGGAGCACGATAAAGTTTTGGAGGAACTGAATCAGCTGAATTTGTTGCGAGAAAGCAATGTGACTCTGAGAAACACCTTGCAGAGCACTACCCAGCGTAACAATGAACTCGAAAAGAAGGTAGAAGATATGCAAGCTTCGATAGGGCCAATTGATAATGAGATTTCTGCCTTGAAACATTCCATTAACGCAAAAGACAAACAAATTGAATTAATGTCTGAAGAAGTTGAACGTTGGAAAAAAAGAACTCAGGATATTTTACACACTTACGAACGAGTGGATCCCGAAGAACATAAGAAGCTTATTGAAGAACTCGCACAGACCAAAGCTGAACTGGCCTCTAAAAACGAACTTAACACTGAAGTGGAAGGCAGGTTTCAAAGGTTGAAAAAACAAGCACGTGAGAGACTTGATGCTGCAAAGTCTCTTCAGGCAACTCTGACCGCGGACGTCAATGCGCTTAGAGGTGAAAAGCAAGAACTGGAGGCTGCTTTAGAAAGAGAAAGAGTAGCGGTGCAAGCACTGAACGAGAAGGTTACGACCTTCGAAGAAAGAGAATCAGTTCAGAGCACATCAGAAAGCGAGGTGCAAAATCTACATCAGAAATTAACCGAAGCAGAGGCGAAACTTGAAGAGGTGCAAAAGAACTCTGTTGAAAGCATTGATGATAGCAAATTTCGTTTGGAGCAAGCGCAACTGAACCAACGGATCCAGGAACTAGAATCTTTGCTTGAAAATGCTCAGAAAGAGGTAGCACAGCTGGAAGAATTAAAGGCTTCCAGTAGGGATCACTCGGATGAAGTTGAAAGGATCAGGAACGAATTGACCAGTCAGAGTGAAAAACTCATTCTTGAAAAGGAAGCTGAAATCAGAAATGAATTTGAAAAAATGCATGCAGAGCAGCTAAGACTTTTTGAGGGTAAGATCCAAGAAAGTTCAAAACAAGAAGTTGCAGACATTGATGCTTTGCGGAAAGAATGGGAGGTTGATCACGAACAACAAACCCAGAAAAGGATAGACGAAGCGAATGAACTCTTGAGAAAACGCATTCGTTTGCCTACGGAGGAAAGAATAAACAAGATTATAGAGAGCAGAAAAGCTGAACTGGAACTCGGTTTCGAAAAAAGAGTCCAGGAACGAGCATCAGAGCTTTCTACACAGAGCGAGAAAACTGGCGAAAATGTCGATTTGGCACAAATTGCAGAAAGGCATCAAATAGAGCTCGAAAGCATGAAAGCCACATTGAAGAAGCAGATGGAAGAAGAAATGTCACAGCTCAGACAAAAAGCATTCAATGAGGGTCAGCAGAAGGCCAATATGAAGTCCACGCTTCTAGAACGGAAAATTGCGAAACTTGAGTCTCAAGTGAAATCAGCAGGTGTGACAACAGCAATTTCCAGTGCTCCACCCACTACATCAGGAGGAGCTTCTTCCGTCGTGGACAAGCCAGCCCGCATCATAGAGGTTCCTCCTGCGGCAGAAACGCCTACACAAACTTCAAAATCCGAAAGCGAACGCTCTTTGATGCCTATTCAGACTGCACCACTCAACACATCTCCGGCACATAGTAATCAGAACGCTATGATTACTGAGGCAGCTGCCGCATTTGGCCAACCCGATGAAGCACCACTATTATTGAAAAATTCAAAAGAATCAAAATCAGATGAACCTGGCGTAGTTTCTGCACAAAGTCCATCCAAAAGGCCAAGTGAAGATATTCAATTGGAGGACAGTTCCATTTCGAAGAAAAATAAAACCGAGGGGGAAATTTAAGGGGATCTGTCGAAATCAAACGCACAGTTATAATGTCAACAAAATGTGTCAAAAAATGTGACATTACTGTAAATTATGATCCGATTAATGAAACGAAGCGAAGGGATACCATAACTTTGAGTAAGGTTTCTTCATCAATCTTTTACCAATCAACGTTACCAGTTGGTATACCAGACGGTGCTGTAGATAGAATATCACTATATATAAGAGGTGAAGGTGCTTTGAATTTTGTCCTCGAGGATCTATTGACAATTACTATCGCAGATTGAAAATTAAAAATTCTAGCGTCTTGACGTTAACAAGTTAAGGTCCCTGAAACTTTAGAGCAGTCTTTTCGAGTGTAATTGGCATTGTATATTCAGAAAGTAGCGACCAGTGATGGGTTTATGCGATATTGTCCCCGTTTTTACCCTTTGCTAGCAGCTGACCCTGGAATTGGGGACGTTAATTCTCGTTCCATGCAGTACTGGGCGATACGTTGATCGCAGGCTGTCCTCCATTGTTGAATGGCTTAATGTTTTCCTACTGAAGGCTGCAGGCTGTTCTAGACTTGGGTAATTTTGGTCTGGCATTCTGGTTTTTTACTGTCACTGACGTCCTATTACTTGAAGGCGAAAAGTGTGAACATGGAAAGTTTGTAACACCTGAAGTTCGCCACTCTACTAATTTAATTCGGTATTGTAAGACAAGGAGCAATTGGTACTTCAAACTCTCTTTTCACTAGATGATGACGCTTAAATGGCATTCCAACGTCACAAAAAGTCCGAAGGCAAAAAAAAAACTGTGAAACCAGGGTTCTCATTGTCACTGTAAGGACATATATTCATAGAGGTGATATTTATTTGCCGAGGAAGCAATATATGCCATTCTCTAACCTAAGCCCCAGTTTATACGAACTGCAAGCAGAAGGTAATTCAATCCCCAAGATATAGCAATAGCTGCCGATTTTTTTGAACAATCGCAAAACTTAATGTATAAACACGCTAGTGTAATGCTCAGCATGCCCTTCTCCGCACACTTACGCTTCAGAAATGAAAAACGGTCAAAACAATATTGAAAAATGAAACCTGGAGTATAGCAAGAACTTGAAACTTTGAGAAAGTCGCAAGGTACTCTATGCATCTTGATGAATAAGACAGAGGGTCCAAGATGGTTGAACCGCAGTCAACATTGTAACGGCTTTGACAACTCCCGATGGCCTTAGTTGAAAATTTTGTCACGTGACTCCCTGTATTTACTGTCGACTGGCTGGATATTGGGCATCAGAAACAAGCAGTTATCGATGGCATCTGTCAAACAAGACAGCCCATCATGACCGTGGATGCATGCGATCAATAAATAATGGCGAGAGATAGCGATGACCCTCGAGATATCAGAATTTTTGATCCTCAAGAGATTGTGACGTCCGACGAGGAGGAAGATTCGAAAAGTATGTTGAGAAAAATGGAACCACTGTTGCACAAGTATCGAAGAAGCTAGTGAGGTGTTCAATGGACTAACAGTTATGGAAAGTCCAATCTCAATTGGAAGAGCTGGAGAGGCAACGGAAGGACTTAGAAGAGCGTTTAAGACAAAAAGGAGAACACCGTAAACATCTGGATCAACTTGTCAGAACAAAGGTGGAAATTCCAGCTTCCCCGCGAAAAATACGAGCTGTTCCCACGCTTCATCATAACGGCCTTCAAAGGGCTGAAGCAGAAACCACGTCGAACAAAAGCGACTCTTACGCTGAAAACAGTGTGTACCTTGGAGCCCCACATGCCGGGAACACAACGTCATATTTCGCGGAGAACTTCGCCAATGTGCGGAAAGCAGAAGAGCAAAAAGTTCGCCATAAAAGTGATCTCATGAATTGCCGTGTTCACACCTTTGCGGGTGCAAAGGACTCTAAACGAAGTGAGCCTTTGTTGGTTGATGAGAAAGAAAAATTCACAGGGTGCTGGATGACGCGTCGCTATGTGTCAGCCAATGAGCTGGAGGAGCTTTTCAGTAGCATCAAAGTTCTCAGACTACCGAAACTTTTTATTAAAGTGCGTCCTCCAAAATTTAGCGAACCCGATTATGCCAATTGGGTGGCCACAGGAATCATCAGCGCCAAATCTGTGCCGAAACTAACGACCGCATCGAAGCCTGCAAAATACTTCAAATTCACACTTACGGATTTCCAGCACAACTTGGACGTTTACGTTTTTGGTAACAAAAACGTCGAGAAATATTATAATCTCAGAATTGGAGATGTTATTGCGATCTTGAACCCTGACATTTTACCATGGAGACCGACGCAGGTTTCCAATGAAGACTTTACGGGTAGTGTAGTCAAATCATTCAATCTATCTATCAGACACAACTACGATTGTATACTGGAGATTGGCACAAGCAAACACCTTGGATTCTGCCAAATTCTCAATAGGACCACAGGTAAAGCATGTGGTACACCGATCAATAAATCCACTGTGGATAGGTGCGAATATCATCAAGACATAAGGTTTCGACAAGTCAATGCACAGAGAGTCGAGCTCAATGGAAGTACTCCCCTTCGATCTCCGACCAAAAACGGTAAAAAACAGGCTCTTTACGGTAATTCTTCCACTAAACGGAAGTTTGAGCTTCTTCCGGATAAGCACGGTGGGCAAGGTCAGGATCGAGAAAGTCAGAACACTTTGTATTTCAGTAATCCTAATTACGCTCGTGCGTTTTTTGACGATTCTTACCAAAACCCTGACTTGCTGAACAACCTGGATAGTAAACGCCGGAGGTTACGCGACAGCGAAAAAGACAAAGTGATTCTAGCACAGATAAATAAGGCGGTGGGCAAGGGAGATATTGAGCTTTTCCAAAACAAGAACCTCAGCGAACAGAAAAGAATGCAAAAAGCAACTGAGCAAGCATTGAGGAGTGGGCTAATGAAAGGTATTGGCTTTGATCCTACTAAAGGGAAAATGAAGGATGTTTTGGTTCATAGTCGTGGTCCAGGTAGCGATTTCAAGTCGCCGCAAGTTCAAGAAATCATAAAATTGAAAAAGACACATGTAGATCTTACGCCATCCAAAGAGGAACAAAAGAAGAGGTTACTCAGAAGGGAACGCATATGGAAAGAACACTTTCAAAAATCCAAGAATTCAGAAAAAGATGCCCCAATAGATCAGGATCTTATGGACAGTGACAGTGAACTGGAAGTTGTCTGACGCATTTATTTAGGAGTCAGGACTTTCAAATCAAAAGCCGAATAATCTTTTAGAAATTCAATTTGCAGCTTCCCATCGAAATTGTTACCTTCGACCTGCAGATCACGCATGTTGAGGAGATGGCCATCGCAGCAGATCTCAAACTTGGTGTTAGGATCTTCGTCGGACGCATCCTCGAAGGACACGACAAAGTCATCACTGAACGGTTGATAGACTACGCCATCAGCCGAAATGTCTTCCTGAGGCTTATTATAGTAGCCCCGCATTATCTTCTCGATAAGCTTTGTCTTGTCAAACGCGGTGATGTAGCCCAAAAGGTGAAGTTCAGATTTCAGCGGATCAGAAGATGGAGAGGGCATGTATGTCTTTTCCAAAAAGGGTGTATTAATCAGGGTGAAGTACGCGAAGTGCTGAGTAGGCAATTTTGCCGGCAATTGAAGACTATAATCGAGGTCGTAAGTCTGCAATATTTCCTGGGCAGCAATCCTAAATTTCTCCACCCCAATGTTATCAAAACGCTCTTCGTTGCACAGATGGAGCAGGTTAGCATGGAAACCAATTGAAAGAATTATGAAGAAGACTACCTCACGGCCGTTGGGAAATTTCGCTTTGTAGAGGGGGAAAGACTTAGGACTGAGCTTATCTTGCAAAAATTCCCCAAACGCCGAAACAGGGTTTTGAATCCCAAGTGAAGTGGCCCAGGCGTTTGCTGTGCCAAAGGGAAGTGGTAAAAACCACAGGTGAGCACGTTCTTTGTTGTCCTTTCTGGCTTCATTGGGCTTCAGAGCATTAATAAATTCAGAAATGGTAGTATCGCCAGAAAGGAAAATGATTATTGTTGTTGGGGCCGACGGCTTGAAAGTGCTTGCAAATTCAGTCACCGATTTCGAATTTTCGGTGCGAATGACGCGCGCTGGCACTTTGAGCTCGTCAAAGACAGGCTCGATTACATTGGTGAAAAAGTCGTTCTCCGCACTACGACCAAGGCCAGATTTTACAGAATCGAGTACCACCACTTCAGCATCCGACCAGACTATGTCTTTGCGAACCGTATCAGTTCCGTCATCTACAACTTTTTCTACCTCTAGCTTGAAAGACAGGTAGTTGTCGTCATTGTTTTTCGCTTGGACTTTGAACTGCTTTTCACCCACTTTAAAAAGTGGGATGGTGTCTTGTTGGTTCATTGGAGTGATATCACAGACAAATGTAAGAGTCTGGTCAAATCAAAGAGCTTGAAGCTCCTGGAAATGAAAGGTGATCGGACGAGAGTTGCTATGGATCATTATAAATGCTCGAGACAGTCGCCCAATTAAGGGCGAATCTTGGAATTGTCGTCACGTGATGCTCGAACGATGGGCAGGTAATGACAGAAAATAAAGAAAGTGATCTGGTGCGAGCATGCGACTATTACTATCCGTACTGTTACCGCTGTACTGTATTATTGAACGCAGAACGATGTGCTGATATTTGTAACATCTCAATCGACAGTAATGGAGAGTATAGTGCAGATTCGAAATTTGGTTGTGAAACCTCAATGGGTGTAATAGCCCTACAGGTGTAAACCTCCAGGGGTCTATTCGAGGCAGAAAAACAATTACATTCATTCCCATTTAACGGACGAACATTGGCCTGTTTTGAACTCGTTGACCTGTGATACTTCGGTCACTTTGAACGTATCACATTGTATTGTCATAATATCATGAACAAAAGTGGTAGTATATCAAAGTCAAGCTCACCGACCCAAGTGTACTTGTTTCTTGAGGAGATACCGTAGACCAGTGGCCACTATCAAGAATGAAAGGCGCTCGTGAGAATCAACTGCTCCATGTTTTGTAAGTCGATGTGTTTTTTCCTCGATGTCGGTACACTTTTTACCAGAACACTAACAGTAGGTTTAAATTAGACATCTCGAAGTGCCCTTTGAGACCGCTCAGCAGGCGCAAATCGCCTCCAAAGTTCTGACACCAGACCCCATTTTAAAGCCGCAGGATTTCCATGTTCAATACTCCTGCAAGCACTCAGTTTTACATCTCGATTTCGAAAGCATTGACGATCGAGTACTTCGAGTTGGCGTGAGCAGTGTTATTGAGAGCGTTAAAACCATTCTGGAGACAATTGACGAGTTTAAGTAGCCGAAGTTGACTTGACGAAAGGTTCGGTTTATTGGAGAGGTCCAATTGGGAACGAATCAGTACATCGCGTTTGTCCAGCGAAACTAAGCATCTGAGATGAGGATTCTGGTCAGCTTGGTAGTTTTGGCAAGATGGAAGAATAAAAACAGGAGCATGACCTTCGGGCTCCTCCTCAGCCAGTACCAGTCTCCTTCGCGAAGAGATTATCATCCAGCACCGGTCTAAGTTCGCGGTCTTACGATTGAGAAACCTTGGCTTGCAAATCGGTCACTTTGTACTAATCTGTCATCCGTCACCAACTTTGAAATAATACAAAATGCGGGGAAAAAGACCAGTGGAGAGACACCGGTATTTAATACATACTACGCTGAAATATCCAGCGGGTTTAACTGAACCTTTATAGGCATCCAACGAGCTCAAGGCTCTACTTTCCATTCAGGTTTCCAATGCTTGATTCATTACCATTTTCGTGTATTATGATCATCGGTTAAGCGTGGCAAATTTTAATAAAGAGTGAAGGGGGGACAGGTATCAAACAAACTCTATAGAAAAGATCCACTATTCAAAGCCTTGGACCTTCCCATACCTGCTAGTCTATCTTTGGGCCTGCGTAACGGCCACACGCAGCTTACAGAGTTTTGTTGGGAGTGTTTTCCGTGCGTAAACTGTCGTCGCTGAAGGTGATTTAAGCAATACGACAAAGTCGATGAATTTTGTTCAAGACATGAATATGGAACACTCAGGGCTACCCCACGAGACTGATAAGCTAGGACAGTCATACTCCGTACAGCAGAAACGACATTTTTCGTACGAGATTGATATGGGAGACCCAGGTATAGCGAAACGTCGTGCAGCGTGGAAACCCACTTACAAATCAACAACGTCAGCTTTGCCTGCCGGAAGCTTTAGAATGCCTTCAACATCTCCAGCGGCGCAGCAACCAGTGCCGCAGGTCTCGGGAGTTTCGTCCTACCGCGAGTCGTCGCCTTCCTATCTTCCTACAACTTCGTACGCCAACCTGGACCAGGCAGCAGCGGTAAATGACAACGGCAGTATCGCCTTGCCTGAGTCCTGCAGAAATTCCAGCAGCACTAGCAGCATGGGGAATGCAAGGGTATCGAAGAGTTATCGTCAGCATCATTTAAGATCAAAAAGCATACAATACAGTTCAGACCCTGCATACGACCCCAAATCTAACACATTTACTCGTGGAAGTGACAACTACCACGAGTCACAGCATTCTGAATACAGAAATAACACCCAAGCTGATGGCACAGGAAATAACAATGAACCCAGCAACGACAATAGCAGCAATAACGGCAACAGCGATAAAAATCATAAAGACGAAAACATTGAAAACAGCAGAAGTGAAAGCAACAATAATGATAATAATAACAACCCTAACGACAATTCGCAATCAGTTACTCAGAATTCGAGCCAAACGAGTCAGGCACTCGTACAGAAGTTGCAGGACATTTATCGTAGCATCGTCAAACAAGAAGTTGAACTTCAAGAACGATGCTCGCAACTTACATTTTCGCAAACTACGGACGTCAAAAATCTGTGGGCGATATACAAGGTAAACGCGGAACTCATCAATAACTATGTGACGTTCATAACCACCGCACTACTTCCAAGCCAGCCAGAGCGTGATTCGCTCATAGGTCAAGAAATTGTGAACATTTATCGTATTGAACGCAGACTATGGGTTAATGGGACAATCACTTTTCTTGACGTTTTGAAAAACTTCTCAAATTTCATGGACCCAGAAGTTTGCTGTCAATTCATCACCCATGTCTTCAATTCAATCTCCAACATGCTATATGACATGCCTCCAAAGCACGCGATTCCATGGCTCGAGAGACTAGGCGATCTTTCGAGAATGGCTATTGCACTGTACCCATCAGGAGTCATCGACTGGAAGTTAAGTTCTGAGCATTGGTATAGTCAGGCTCTTGCATGCATCTATGGGCACGGTAAGTTATATTATCATATGTCCACAGTCCAACAAAACACATTGGAGGCCTTTGTCAACCTGGGCAAAAGCGTTTTTTGCCGTGACACTTTTATCCCTTCGCAGCAGTATATGCAGCTTGTCATTGACAACATATATCAGCGTGCATTTGCCGAGAGAAATGTGGGCAACCAGAGGAACTCTTTAATGGTGGACTATCTTAAGCATAGTGAAGTGATGCTGCTGTCGAGCTTTCTCGAAAGCCCTGATTTACAAAAGGTTGTACTCACCTTTTTTCAACACAAATTCGGCCTTTCTTCTGGCTCCAAGGATTTTTTCAGTCATCGCACCATGTTTTTGCAGGACGGAGAACGCATAAAATATTTTTTCAGGCATGCTCCGCTCTTTGCCGAGTCACATATTTTACAGATGGTGGGGTTTGGAGATCCCAAGAATCCTTTTGCGCTTCTATTCGAATTACCAAAGTATTTGAAGGAAAGGAAAGAGCGGAAAGAAAGAAGAAAATCCAAAGGTTCTGGCGCTGTAGACCCCCCAAATATGAGCAACCCTCGGGAGTTTTTGGAGACAGTGGACTCCCCTAGATATGCCTATGTGTTTCCAGAAGACATCGAAATATGGAAAGAGGCATTGAATCATATGAATTTGACCTCGATGCGGTGTAGTGCGATTCTACTAAGGAATTTTCTGCACGGTCCTATGGTTGTTGGGGTTGTACATCTTTTACCATGGGCATACTTTCTTCTTTCTCTAGCAGTAAAAATCGAAACATTGCAGAGTGAGGCGTTAAGAACGTTTTGGTCATTTTTGGTGAGACTTGTGTTCCCATGGGAAAGCATAATCAATTTTTTAAACATGCTCATTGCATTCGCTCTCGACAATGTTTCGAAGACTTCGCCGATCGACACTCTATGTGAGCAGTATGACAGTGTGGATGTTGACGCTCTGGTCGATCATTTCAGTAACAATGAAGGCCTGCCGGAGGTATGGAAGTGTTGGGGTACATTATGGTTCGACGTTCTCTCGAAGAAATCCGAAGTCAGTAATGACGGTTTCCAGCATACGAGCATAAAAGATTCCTCACTTTTGGATGGACCCGCGGATGGTATAGGTTTTGATCAAGACGATGAAACCGGTGAAAAGTTTTGGAAACGCGCCTGCCGTCTAATTTTCATTTTCAAGGGAATAGCGGAAAAATACAAGCTAGGACTTTGCTTATCGACTGTTCCTGTTCCTTCAAGACGTCCCTTGATAGTAGGTCATCCACTACAAAACTTTTCCTTTAAGTACAGGGAGAATGGAGTTTACTCAGAAGACCTAGGATACTTAGCAGATGTCCTCGCATACTTTGAGGATATCAGTGTAAGGAATCTGTCTTTTGATGCCACTCCAGGGCTCAGTATGCTAGAATTCGAAAGTATATTCGATTTTCCAGGCTACAGGCAACTTCATCCAGACTACACCTGTTTCAATAAATCAGGTGGGCTTATTACATGCTCTTTGTACACATCAGGAAACTTGGAGAAGGGAGCAATCCAAGGAGGAGACGATTTCAACACAGTGCGGTACAACGGACAAGATGACCCCACAAACTCCAACGAGTCACAGACGAACGAGCTCGACAAGCTAGAGAGAGAATGGCTTGATACATGTATGGATCCGGAATTCATGGAGCAGACCTTCAACAACAAGTTTCCCTATGGAGACTTGTCTTGCCATTGTGACAGTGGAGTTTCTTATTTTGTACTGGACGCAACATCATGGTTACGCCATTTCGCTCATGTCCACAAGTTGGCAACGAGCGGACTACTTCGCTTTGCGATTTGTTTGACCACATTTCAGGAACTTCGTTTCTTGAGGAAGTCAAAAGATGAAAGCGTTGTAGAAGCAGCTACTCGTGCTGTCATTACAGTAAGACAGCTATACGGTGAAAAAAAGCTACTCCCCTTACGCTTCACTGGAAATGTTGCTACACACTTGGAGGAGCATTTAGAATTCGAAGAACAGATTACTTGGCGCTCCCACGTTGACGAATTTGTCATTGAGGCTGTTTACAAAGCTCAGAAAAAATTCGAGAACCTCAACAATGAATCAAAAGAGGCACGTCAAAACTACATTGTGACAACCGAAGATGAACCATTTCATTTCGTAGCTTTAGTGAGTGATGACACTAACATGCGGCTCAAAGCACACTCCCAAAACATAAGAACCTTCAGCAGCAGGTTCATGTTTGCAGTGTGCAACCAATTCGGACTAGCACGACATGCGTGCACAAATTGAACGCAACAGCATCGACAGAGAGTATCTATATCTTAGCAAGGTGAGGTAAACAGGAGATTGATCGACCTTGTGATCTCCTCTCTGTCATTATCATAATTGCATTTTTTTTAACGGTTACATAGAGAGTTAGCTATTCATGGAACCATTACCCATATACCTGCTCATGCTCATACTTATCGATCTGTCGCCAAGACCGTCACCCATATTATAAAACCTGCCACTCAAAGTACCATTTGAGACCCGAATATAAAGTTAAGCTTGATTGCGAGCTTAAAAGTAGTTTGAAAGGCCCTCGTCGCTGAGAAACATTGGACCCAGTGTGATCATGCAGTATGAGCGCCATTGAATCATTAAGATCTTCAGTGATGATCATAATTTCTGTAGATGAAAGTTGCTTTGCATTACTTGCGTTGATAAACATATCGAACTGAACAGGCGTGGATTTATGCCTTTGGAGCGTCAAACTCGTTTCAAAAGCATTTACACACTTCATGATGCGATTTACCAGGGTACCAGTGTTTAAAAGCGACGGCGATTGGATTTTTTTTCTAGGTCTATTACGGTATTCGCATTTTGCAAATTGCAAAGGTCGATCCGCAATTATGAGACCTGCTAACGGTTTCAAACCATGTTCAGGACGTTTATTACGTGGTTTGACAATGAGCTTGGAGACTGAGCTTCGAGAAGTCACAGCTGAATTTTTAGAAATTGTTCGCTGTTGTAATTTTTGGGATTCGACCAAATGAGACAAGTTGACAGGTTTGGGGGTGAGCGGCTTCCGCTGAGAGGGCTCCAGAGTCGTTATATTGGTAAGTACGCTGGAAACATGGTCTCTAAAGGGTTGCCCACTGCTCATAATAGGCCCAGGAACCTCCAAACTTGGCCTGTCTGTTCGATACCTTTAAAATCAATGATGTTTTACTGTCATTTAAAGGTAATTTAAAATTGAGATCTTTTCTCACTGTGTACGAGTGATATCACGGGGCTCGAAACGAGACGTTTGAATCTAACTATTTGAACCTATCGTCATAGGTTTACGAACCGACTCCGAGTGCGCTATCAGAGATTAGTCTTCTGCTTTTGTTTGTGGAGTCACTTCTTTCCAGCAATTTGATTTTTGGGTGACAGTTTAGTACAAAGTGATATAGGACTTGTAAAGGTTTCGGTCCTGTGTGATACAACACTGGCCCTGTTTTGAGTTTCACGAACTAGAAACGAATTGTGAAGGATGGACAATTGCTCAAACAATTGTCAGTCTATTTTTGTTCGAATGTTGTATGATTAATTGATTTTAATATTTTGGACGAATTGATTGATGTTCTGGCCATTGACATTCGGCTTATTTTCCTTTAACAAAAAACAATGACGCTTGAGAACGACATTTCATCTAAAGGAAGTAAATACCAACCCTGAAGAATGTTGCATCTTTTTAAAGCAATGAATGACTGGAAGCATAGGAATCATTTTTTTTACGCTCAAAATACTGCTTGACCGGATAGTTTTCCCGCTACATCCACCTCTATAAGCAGAGGAACACTCACTGGTGAGACAAACGAGAATTAAAACAGAATACCAGCTTGCCAGCTGAAAGGGTGTTCATTTGGCTTTGCACGCAAGGTTCCAAAATGTACCAGGTTTAAACGCATCGCATAGTGGTTGGGTCACGTGATATATGTCAGCGACGGGCCTACTCAAAATGATGTAGTTTTACAACAAAAGCTGTTGTCTGTCGGGTTGGCACCAATGCGCAAGCTGAGATGACCGTATGTTGATGTCACATCAGATTTTCTCTTAAGTGTAGAAGAAACTCAAGTGCAAATCACGCTATTTTCAAGGACAACAGTCTGACTTCCAATAAGTGCCACCGCGCATTGATAACGGGACGCAGAACTCCAACGGCAAGTCATACAGCTAGGCCACTTCAACATGACCGCATTTGTCATTTATATTACTTTCCAAGCAGAAACACCTCGTGTTGAGAAATTCTCGGCAATTCTAGTTTCCGAAGATGCGAACTCAAGACGATACTTGGCTCCACCCAAAAAAGCCCGTATATACGCGTCCTTCGTTGCTATTAAAAAAACTGTTCACACTATTCTAAAGAAAGTGCATTGCTTCTTTTCGGCGTTCCGCTTCCATTTACTTCCACAATTAAGTTTTAATAAGAAACCTTTTTAGTGACACTTACCTCACGCACCTGAGGAGATGCCAATTGTCAAGTATGAAGGTCGAGAAAACCGGATTTCAAGGCAATAGTCTCGAGAGCGTGATGTGATACTCAACAAATTATCAATAAAGTTCATCCAGTGGTTACGCGGGATGGAAAACGAAAAAATACATTCCTCTTTAGAAAACACTCTCATTCCACACTTTCAATATCATATACACATAATGGAAACATCGGGCTATAAAGCAATGGAATGCGGTACTCCACTTTGTTAGTTCTCTTTGTTATTATTTATTTCACAATTTAGTTCTTGCCAACAGTTTCCCATTCTTGATCATCGTCACCAGCAACCGACAGATTAGCGGTGGACTTGGTTACGTCTTCGACAGATATTTCTTTTTCAGAAGCCTTTGGAGCAGGTGCCGCCTCCGTACGTTCTTCTTCTTCTCCTTCATCATCGTCCTCTGTTGCAAGAACATCGTAGGCTGACTTTTGAATTTTTGGACCCTCTTGGACCTTAGCAGTGGACGAGGTGTTCTTAGCGTTTGATTTAGCACCGGTGGGCTTAGAGTTAGAACGCGATTGACCAAAGTTCGAGCCTCTAGCTCCGTCCCAGTTTAGTTCTGGTTCATTTCTAGGCTTTCTTTCCGTTCTGGCGGGTCTTTCTTGGAAATGCGTACCTCTGGCAGAACCCCAATCTAGATCTGGTTCTTCTCTTCTTGGCTTTCTGTCTTTAGGAAGCTGGTAACCGGAGCCTCTAGCACTGCCCCAGTCCAGATTAGGTTCTTCAGCTCTTGGTTTTCTTTCACTCGAAGCCTGGAAACCAGATCCTCTGGCTTCACCCCAGTCGAGGTTTGGTTCTTCTCTTGGTCTTCTTTCGCTGGAAGCTTGGAAACCAGAGCCTCTAGCAACGCCCCAGTCCAAGTTTACTTCTTCTTCTCTTGGTGGTCTTCTGTCGCTGGAACCTTGGAAACCAGAGCCTCTGGCGACGCCCCAGTCCAAATCGGGCTCTTCTCTTCTGGAAGACCCTTGGAAAGCAGAGCCTCTAGCGGCACCCCAATCCATGTCGTCGAAACCGCCTCTGTCACCACCTCTGAACCCACCCTTGTTGGGGGCGGCAACGGAAACGTACACGGTACGTTCGTTCAGCTTGGTGGCGTTGAACTTTAAAGCCGCCTCCAGAGCCTCACGATCGCAAAGAGTGACGAATGCGAAACCCTTCAGTCTCGATGGTTCGTTGTAATCCTTAGGAGCTGCCAAGTCCTCCACAGCGCCCGGACGGTTCAAACCGTCTTCCACCCATGCCTTGATACCCTCTTCAGACACGTCCCACGGCAAGTTGTTGATAACGGCTCTGTAAGGTGGGTAATTGGGGATATCGTATTGCACTCTGTCAGATCTTTCAGACGTGCCCAATGCTGGGTCCAAACGAGAGCCTTTCCCACCACCAAGACCGCCTAGACCGCTGCTACCAAACGAGTCCAGTCCGGGTTTGCTTCCCAATCTTGACGATTGAGTTGGAATGTTGATTTTTTCCAAATCAACTTCTTCTTCGGCCCACGATTCACCGAACGATTCGTCGTTCAAGAACGAGGAAAGATCCATCTTAACGGACTTTTTAGGAGGTGCCATCTTGTCGTTCGAAATTTGCCCGCGTATACTATTATGCCCAAAAAGTTTATGTAGTGGAATTCACCTTACAAAACGTAACTCTGCTTGGCTTTTTGACTTCAACAATGATTTAAGTTCATCGAGCTAGCCCATCTCAAGATTTCATTTTTCATTTAAAATTTTTCACTATATAGGCGATGAGCTCAAGTTTTCGATTTTTGAAATTTAAAAGCTAAAATGTATATAAAAGGGCACATTAGAGCACTGACACCGAGAATAAATCAGAACATGGGTGAATAATTGACATATTTAAACCTGCATAAAACTGTGGAGACTTTTCTGTTTCGAATGGTGCTGGTTAGGCGAGATGAAGAGCTCTATGACGAGCAAGAAAATTAAGAAAATGATTTTGCGAAATTTGGCAATTTAGAAAGCTGGGTTAGGCGTAGAGTGTATCTTTGAAGCAGTTGTACTGAGTATGTGTTCTGGTGTATGTTATGAGGGTACTAGGGTCTATAGTGGGGTCTTATTTTGGAGAGAAATGATCTCGAGTAAAAGGAAACAGCTTGAGTGCGGGAAAGCACTAGCTATGTCAATCCATTGCTTACAAAATGATTGAAATAAGACTAGGAAGAACGGCAGAAAGTGCCGGGAGCGTTTAAAGGTTTTGAACAAATGATTCTCTACTATGAGAGCCAGGTAATCGTGTACGGCTCCGTCGTCGCAGTTCAAAAATGGTGCAAATCCTTACCTTTGAATGTATAAGTACTGGGCATCTAAGAGTTTCATGCGCTCAATTGAATTAGAGAGTCGTAGGAGTCCGGTGCTTTCAATTGTGACTGATGAAATGACTACAAGTGTCTGAACCTCTGGCTATCGGTCGTCAGATTATGATGAAGTGATCGCGCACGTGATACGATTACAGCGACAGAATTTAGAACAACCACTGATTCAATGGGAACGACGGCAATTGTACCGAAGGGCACCAATAACGTTAATGGTTTTACGTATGTAGGAGTAAATTGACCAAATTGCCCCGGGAACACTTCCAAGATTGCTATAAGAAGAGATGTGCCTTACAGCCCACAAGCTCATCTTGTTAATGTTGAATATATCACAAAGAGATAACTTCAAACTCAGTAGGACGATAAATGTCACTTTATAATAATGGACAAAATACCCAAGGTATGGGACGTTTATCGTGCAACCACACTCCAGAGACTGAGTCTCAACGCAAGTATATACAATAAGCATAGTAGAATGTAAGAGTTTTGTGCTCTCGACTGCTCAGCTACTTCCCAATGCTACTGACTTCCTGGTCATCTAAGAAATAGGTGATTGTGAGTCGAACCCAGTTTCGTGTTCTGTCGCTGTCATCTTGTCACGTGAGCATAATCATGTAATGAACTTGGCTCCAGATAAAACAAGAAGTGGATCTTTCAGATACTCGATTTGAAGCTCGCCGCCGTGAGAGTCCGTTCACACTCCCTGAAGCTCGACCCAAGAAGGGTACAGACCGGGATCCATTTTGCGGCTAGATTTCGGCCCGCTTTCATAATTAGATCTAGCCATATACCGCGACTTTTGTTCGTATGTTTATGAAAACTACTCTTGGTTTAGTTTATTCATGTGCTTGCATGACTCGGATGGTCCTTTAACTGCTGAATTCTGTCACCAGTCCACAACGACACATTAGTACAAAGTGACGCCCGCATATGTAAGTAGCAAGTCAAGCCTTCTCGACACACTTTAAACCTCTTTTTCTATCAAGTAGTGTCGCTTCTCAAACAGAAACAAGCACTAACCACCAATCCGCAAACTCATGGTCTTCAAAACGAAATTCGTCGTTCTTCCAGGAAAATCGAAGAACTAAAGTCTCATAACAAAATAAACATCAAATTTATCAATATGTCATCGAACGATAAAAATCCAAATGCAAGCGTATATGATATCTCACTTCTAACACTAATACCATCACTCTTCTCTTCCAAAGATTGATCCAGGTGGTTGAAATTCACGTTAAGGTAAGGAGCGTCACAATCGTCCAGAACGATCCATTTATCCATCTTGTTAATAAATGATTGACTACAATAGCCCTTACAGCATAGCAACCTTGAACTCACTATCAAATCTTTCAGATAGATCAAGACAGGAACTCAGGTAAGCTTGAGGTCTCCTGCGCTCAGAGCAAGCTCAACACAAGCTTTTCAAATGGCCACTTCACTATACGCTTTGGGTGTATCCCTGTGGGAAGACGAATCTGTCAAACCTATATGGTTTATTTTTCGGGTACTCTTGGCATGGACCGTATTACAATGGGTTGTATTCAAGCTTTTGGGCGTATCGGTAGGTATAATAGATCCTTTCCGGTTGAGGCTTCGATCACTGAAAATACAAGAATGGTTAAAGATCAGATTTGTATACTATTCTCTTTGGAACCATGGAGTAGTCATCCACGGCTTGAAACTAGATCTGCCGCGCAAGGAATCTATCAAAGAGGCCAATAAAAGCACACAGGAGAGCCCCAAAAACTATTTCAGCATTCCAAGATGGGCCCAGTGGCTCGTAATACGTATTTTGAACCTTTTTCGACAGTACAATTTTGTGCTAGAAAAAGCCGATATCAACGGCGTACTGGTTGATTTGATTACGGTACGTATCGAAGCCAAAGGTTCCCATATAAGCGTCTCTATGCTCCTGAAAGATGCCACATTTGGTGAAGCAGCTTCATGTGCGGGTGGTGTGGTCGACCTTTCAGGTGAGCTCAATTTTCAGAGACCTGTGCTGCCCCTCCAGAACATCACAGTGGACCTCAAAGTAAGAGGACTGTCAGTATCTTACGATGGATTACTGACGCATCTGGCAGCAATCAAGCCGAAAGTGGATCAAAGCAAGTCAGATGACAATTTCGAAGATGGGTCATCATCATCTTCAAACACTAAGGAATCAAATCCTAGCCACAATCCCGCTGAATGCATTGAGAGCATCAAGTCCCAACTTTTGAAAGCCAGTGGATTAGTAGCCATGCTGAAAAAGTTCAATGTGACCGCAGACAACCTGGCGATCCGAGATCTTCCATTTTCCAGGCATCCAGAGCTTATTGATACCGCTCGCCTGCTTTCCTTCGAAGTATCTGCATCCAATCTATCATTTGCTCTAACAAGGCTCACTCAAGAGTACCCCGGATTCAAGCTAACCTTCCAACCCGACGAACTTCCACTAAACATGAAGTTCACCATGTCTTCAATTGCATTTATCCTACATCAAAAACTAGAAAGTGAGAAGGATGTTGCGAAGACGTATCATTTCTGTGAAATTCCTAGTGCGGCTATCTATGGAGATACTAATATACTTTCGTTGAAGTCCATTGAAGAGCATTATGATGAGCCCGTTGAGACTGTTCTCAAATTAGTCGGCCACATTTCTTCTCCAGTGATAGATTTCGAAATCGAAGAATATTCTCTTTTGAAATCGTTCAAGGACAATATGAAAGTATTTCAATCTCTATTGAATGATACTGTTGAGGTGGGGCCAAGCTGTGCTAAGAAGATAGAAAGTAAGGAGGCAATATTCACTTATTTCCAACATATACTCCCACAGTTGGAGTCTAAAATTACTATTGAAGATCCTCTGCTCCTTGCGAGTGACGGATGTGAACTTTTAGTCGACAAGTGTTCAATCTTATCGCTCCAAACAAAATCCGATAAATATGCCCTAAGCAGAGAAGACGGAAAAAAGGAGATATTTTACAAACTCAGAAATACGGTCGAAATCATGGATCACAGCTTTACCTATCACAATAAGGTGAGAAATTTCGAACATAGAATACTCACCATCAACAGCATATCATTCTCGGACACTGTTGAGCTAGTGCCCAATATTCGTGCAAACTTCAACGCTAGCGTGGACGTCTGCGAACTCGATCTTTCAGAACCATCGACATTATTGACCCTCAATAATATTTACAGGAAAGCGAATTGCAAAATGTTGCTTGTCGAGGAGAATCATTTTGATCAGCTTTACGAAAGATTCGAGGACTACCTAGAGAAAAGAAAACAAGAGAGTGCATCTCGCAACATTTTTGTTATTGAAAGTGAAACATGCCCCAAGGCTCAGCTTTTCCAAAAACTTCCGTTTGCGTTCGATGGTGCTTGTATCAGCATAAGGGGTTTAAAAGTAACTGTTGGCGCTCGGTCTGTTTTCATGCCAAGTGACGTAATTAGGAATCTAGAACCACAAAGTCCCGAGGATCTTGTCAACGGAGAGTTGAGAAAAATGTCTCACAGCATTGATAGAGTGCAAATGTCGTTAGGAAGCTCCACTGACCAAGTCCACATCAAAGATGATGACAGTTCTTCGAACGGATCCACTTTGGTCAACTCCGTAAGAACATTTTCCTACGACGAATTTGGCCTGGATGATAGCGCTTCGGAACTCTCAGGTGGTAGAGAATGTGCTTGGCTCTTTCGCTGTTCCATATCCGAAATGGTCACAACCTTATTTTCTGAGAGAAGGAGCGACCGTCAGAATCTTAATGCCAAAACTGTGTTCAAATCACCGGATTTAAATATAACGACGTATCCTGACGCACCACTTAATGACCGAGGAGAATGTGGGGCAGGTAAGATTGTAGTATCAGTCAAATTGGGCACCGCTGAAATGATGGTTTCGTTAATGACAGTTTTTCTTGTTCTTTCAGCCGCGCATACCTTCAAGGAAACGTTCACTATAGATGTGAACAAGCATAAACGAGAATCAAAAGCAAAGCGACATCTGTCCACACAATTTTTGGAGAAGGGACAAAGGTCTTTTTTAAAACGTTTGATGAAAAAAGAAGTTCTAGACTTGTTTCAATTTGACTGTAACTCGGATTATCTCAGTGCAGTATTAATTTTACCAAATGGCGTGAAAACAAGGTTAGAGACTTTTCGAAGTGGTTTCGTGTGCAACAGTGTCACAGACATAAAAATTCATGGTCATTTTTTTCGGATGTGTGTTGAGTCTCCTCAGATTACCAATTTTTGGGTCAGGATGGTAACCGTTGTTAACTTCAACGTGCAAGGAGTCTTGAAAGATATTGTAAATCAAATCAATGATCCATCGATCGGTCATGAGAATCCGGCCATCATGCTTTCTAATGAGATGTGGAGTTTTACTATACCCCATGGTTTTGAAATGTACCAAATATTTGATAATATCTCCACTACGGTCAAAAGTATCAAGCAAATGGTACACTCGTTGAAAACGTCAAGTAATGAGTGCATCATATACCCCCACATATCCGATCCTATTCAGATTCCTGTCATCAACCTCAGATCTAAAAGATGGATTTTCAGCGTCGAGGATGATGCTTTTGAATCTCAGCTCTCCATGATATTCCAAGTAGGATTGAAGGAACAACGAGCTCGGCTCGAAAAGTATGCACTTTTCGAAGAAGCAGCCGTGAAAGAATTGGCTACTGAGCGCAAGGGAATGAAAAGAGTGGAGAGCACTTTTTTTAATACAGACAAAGGGCGTTTCCATCTAGGATACTTTGGCAGGCTTCACAAGATAAGGAGGAATAGCTCGCCCGATTTAGATCATCCACAAGCCCATGATGATCCCTCCCAGAACGAGAAGTCAGAAAATTTCCAGTACGCCGAAATTGCGGAATCATGGGCACATAAATATCAAAAGCTTCAAGAGCACGTCTCTACATCATGGATTCGTAGAATCAAAGCTTTCAAGATTAAGGAGCAAGTCGATTTCCAGAAAAACTTTGAATTTCTTTGGGGCAAAGTGGATCCTGAAATCTTCCCTCCTGGTATCAACAAGCGAATAGTGGCGTTTGTTGCATCACCTCCCTTGATGAATACAATAATTGAGGATATCGATGTCACTATATCCCAGCCATCCTTTGGCATTGATAAGTTCTCAGACTTCATTCATGGTGTGGGCAAGGGTGTCCCCAAAGACACCGCATATTCAATCCTTTTCCCTATGCATCTGAATGCAGAGTTCCGAGAAACACGTTGCCATTTACGGGACTATCCTCTGCCTTTTGTCTATCTTCCTGATTTGACCCCAGGGCAGCGAAAAGGTGGTAGCACTGTATCAATAAGATTGCACGGCGACTTCATTATTTCCGAGGATATAATCCGTTCTGAGAAGGAGCTGAGAACTTTGTTCGTTCCGCTCGTGCCATCCGCCACCCTAGAGAATGACGACAAGTACTATTCGCTGCTTGTCCCGAGAACGTTGACAGCCATTAAGACTTACGCCAAGGCTGAACTCGAACTCAATTCTGACGAGATCACGCTCGTCACTTGGAATGGTTCTTACTCTCCTGCAATTCAACAAGCGATGCAGTGCTTTGATAACTTTTCGAAACCCCCAATAGATCCTTCTCCTAAACTTGGTTTCTGGGATAAAATAAGGGAGATCTTTCATGCGAGAATCTCGGTCAAGTGGAACAACGACGGCCAACTTAATGTTGCATTGAAAGGTGCAAAGAGTCCCTATATGATGGGCGGTGAGTCTGCTGGATTTGTAGTCGGTCTAAAAGGTGGCGTCAAAGTCGGCTGTTACGTGACGGACGATGCCAAAAAATTTCTAACTCTGGGCTCTGAAGAAGTTTTCTTCGCTATTCCCAATTTCTTCGCAAAACCACTACTAGTTTGGTCAAGAAGCAGTGCAGATAGTTTGTTCTTCCCCAGTCATGAAGACACAAACCTACAGCATTACGCTTTTTTCTACAATCTCGTTGAATTGCCGGATGTCAAGACCTTGGACCACGATATGCACTCTATGCGAACCGAATATTTCGAAAAAACAGCAATCCGACTAACTGGTGGGATTACGCTAAATGTTGGCATGGTCTTTGAAAGACGAAAAACTGGATCAAAGGAGAGAACTCTCAAATCTAAATCGCACTGGGACGCACGATTATGCAATCCAGTGTTTATAGACAATCTCAAAGCTCACGATTCGTTTGAGGGATTCAGAAGTGATTTCATCCACCTCTCTTTCACCCTTTTGTCAAGCAATCCAAAGGCTTATAACACGCTTCAGCTCACAGCTGGAGCTTTCAGAATATTCTTCAGTTGGTGGCACAGTTTTTCTGGTAATCTTCCAGTCCGCCGTGGGCCATTGTTTGGGATGAGCAACATGAGTCCAAAGTTTGGAGTTCATCTTTACACCATCTCATATCACGCAGACATTGCACCGCTATTCATTAGCCACATTCATACCCTTCTCGATCCGGACAACAGGCTCAAGGTGGATAAGACCCAGTCGACCAAATTTGTAGGCCTGAAAGCAAAGACCGAGCATTTTGTAATGGACCTACATCAAAGAAAAGAGGTCCTTCACGAATACAAACAAGAATTGAACATTACCAAGCGAGTGTCCAAACTTATGTTTCACGAGGGAATTGTTTCTAATTACGACATTGATGTGAGAACAGTGCAAGCTGAATTCAGGGCTTCCGGACTCGTCGGCCAGAATTCGGAGGCAAAGTTTGACATCTTTGATAACGATATGTCTTGGTTCGACAGCTCCGATTTTGATGAGGTATTTTTGGATAGAATGGAGGAGAAAGTCCCTGACGTACAAATGCATTCTCTGGTGTACTCGCCGAAGTTTGTTTACAGAAAGCATGCAACATACGGTGACAAATACCAAGTAGACCCCGAAACGTGTGATAGGATTGAGCCATTCAACAATGCTAACTACCATGAGTGCACCCTTAGAAATATTGAACAATCACCTCAAGAACTAGTCAAGAAACGTCTCAAAGCACTCGTAGAAAAGAAGGAGCAGGCCTGCGATAGCATCAAAGAGTCTTTGCAATCGAAAGACCAGGATACCGTGTTCAACTTAGAGAAGAAAAGAAAAAAGATTGAAGGCGCCATCAAACAGGTGGAGCAACTTCTTCATGATTTTCAAGAATTCGATAAGTATAATCAAAGCGGTAGTGGGGATGACAAGCTCTCCGAAGAAACAAGCCCCAACCCTGCATTTTCACCAGAATTTGGTTGGCTCACTCGAGGGTCTTTCGCGAGCTCATTTGAGCATCGATTTTTCATTTTCTCAATGTTTTTGAAGTGGAACGAGTCTGTGAGAGGCGCAGTGTACAGCTATGTTCACCTACTAGACTTCAACAGGGAGCTTTCTTACATTGCCAATCACAAGGCCCTCCGGAAGGTCAATGACATTATCCGGGGATCTTCAGAATTTGAACTCGAGAAGCAAGGCTCGGTTGAAGAGAGAGGCCAAGCGGAATCTGCGAAAAATATGCAAAATGAAACCATAGAAAGTGTCAGTGCTGAAGAGGACATTCTCGCTGTATTTGAGAAAGGACTGAGGAATCTAGACGCTGAATTCGATTTTATTACACATGACAATCACCTTGTGCAATTTGTTGCTCCTCAGATTCAACTCACAACGGCCAAAAAGCCCGAAGTTTGCACAATGATCACGGCCCCAAGCATTAAATTGAAAACTGTGGGGTTTGATGCGAACGCTACGCAAAACGAGTACAACACAGATGTCTTCATGAATCGGTATAGTCTTGTCATGTTAAAAGCAAACGTTTTTGTTTTTCACAAGGACAGCTTCGACAACGATCATGACGTGTTTTTTAGCGAGGAGGGCTACGATCAATCGAGCGAGAACACTTGGCAGCCGTGGTTAGGACTAGAACTGTGCTTCAATTCGTCTTCATTGGGAAAAGATGCGATAATCAGAGATTTATCCACCATTTTCAGGTTCGATAGGGTTTTCTCCTTCGCTAACGTCGCCGGGATCAAAGAATCTACTTTCAAAAACAGGATAATATGCCAATTACCGCGTACTATCATCTCTTCAAATTCAAGACAATATCTTGCACTCTATGACGTGATCGCCCACCTGCTTGTTTACATAGAGCCGAAAAGTGCCCATTTGCGAAAAGAAGTTGAGAAGCTCTTGTTAAGTTACGATACGACAAAACTGATTCACTTGAGAGACGTCATAACCGATTTGCAACATACAGTCGTTGCTTTGAACCGTCTGGAAAAGGAACTAGCGTTCAGGAGACATATCCTAGATTCTGATGGTATCGATGACCTGAAATCAATTCGAAGAAACAAATACGAATCTCTCATGCGCCTTTACATCTTGATGGAGGTGCTAAATACAGGCACTGAGGAACACGCTGCTGAGGATCAAAAAATGGTATGGGATCTAGAGGCTAAAGAAATTATCGTGCACATGCTGCATGATGATGGTGCTCCATTCTTAGACTTGGCGTTAGCACGTTCGTCCTTCAGGCGTGTGCAGTCATCTTATGGGTACAATAACAATCGGGTGACTATAGGGGTTGCCCAAATATTTAACCTTGATCGCGATGTCCTCTTTCATAACCTACTGAGTCCCTCAGATATGGAGAAAAGAAATGGAAAATCGGGTAGTAGCAATAACCCACTCATCGAAATAGAATGGGAAATCGAGAAACCTATCGGAGGCATGAAGGTGATCAAAAATGCTCTTGCCACATTTCAGTGCTTGGAAATCAACGTGGAGCAAGAAACTTTGACAAAAATACTCCACTGGGTGTTTCCTGCCGAAATCGAAGAGTTCATACAGGCAGACAATAAATCTAGCTCTGGGACCAGTGAAATCGGTGACGAATCTTCGAGCGCCAATTCAGATCAAATAAGTGAAACTATTGGCGGCATGGGAGAGGATGAGCAATTAGCTCAAAATGATCCCCGCGACGTGGATGAAATGTTTAAAAGATCGTCGGATTACATGGTGGTAGACAACATGGTTGTCAAGTCGTTCAAGCTCATCATCAGCTACCGCGGAAGCGGAGCTAAAAGGCTAATCAATGTAACCCACTTTGCATTCTTGTTCCCTCGTTTGACATTGCACAATCGTACCATGAAGCCAGTAGAGCTGGCTATGGTGATCAAGCAGGTTTTGCTAAAGGCCTTATTGAAGCATGCTGGCAAGTTTCTGGGCAACAAATTGAAAAGGCACTCACTCCATATCGATGCGGCCAAATCTCCCTTGCGGCAACTCTCGACTTATCAGTCTTACACAAAGGTTGAAGAGTTAAAGTACGAAAAGGACGGCAACGTTACGGATCACGTCAAGGCTGGCCCACAGGGCAGATCCGAGGATCGAAGTAGAACTGGCAGCAGCGCTTTACAAAACTCACAACACTCGAAGACAACACCTGATGAAAAACAGTTGGTGGTGCGAGAAAATGGCCATAAAACGCAAGGCGACTCTGTAACTCAAGACCTGCAACAGGAGGCTGAAGCTAGCCCCGAAAAAAAAAATACAACGAGCCGCATTGATGCGCAAGGCGAAGCTGGAGTTGACGTCGGAACTGGCCGTAGTCACGAGCAAAATGGGTTCAACCATAAAGTGGTCTCATAATACTGCGTCGAAAAACCAAGAACAAGATCTTCGAGCAATTGTTCCGTGTGCTGGCGATAATACTTACACAGTCCCATCCACCGCTCACTACTTCGAGCCATTGTACTGTAATCAAAAAACCATAAATCATTCGACGCCGGCGATCCCAAGTAAAATAAGACATATCCAGGGAAACCACCACATTAATCGACCTTGTATCGCTGGCACCAACAAGTGAATCCACCGTTTACTCAACACCGGTGGAGAGCCTAACTTCCAGACGTTTAACTACATATTCATAAATTTATCGTTTTTTCCTTTCGTGTCGTTGATGCTCATCTCGAAAATTTCTTTTTTCTTTTCCAGCGTCAAATTTTCAGATTATATAAAGAGCTCATAAATGGGCATCGAGGATCTGTAACTATAACTTCTAGTTTACTGTTTTCTATCTCAAAAACACAACTATTTGAACCTCTCTTCCATTCCCACACGATATTAGAAGATGACTTACGGCGGTAGAGACCAACAGTACAACAGAGACAACTTCAGCTCTCGTGGAGGCGATTTCCGTGGAGGAAGAGCCTCTGACAGAAACTCCTGGAACAATGATGGTGGTTACAGCAACGGTGGTGGACGTGGTGGTGGATACCAGCGTGGTGGTGGTTACACTGAGCCTCAAGAGTTGATCGCTCCTGACTGGGACACCGAATTGCCCAACTTGCCCAAATTCGAAAAGAACTTTTACGTGGAACACGAAACGGTTCGTGACCGTTCTGACGCAGAAGTGAGCGCTTTCAGAAATGCCAACGAGATGACCATTTATGGTAAAGACATTCCTAAGCCGATCACTACTTTCGACGAGGCTGGGTTCCCAGACTACGTGTTGACTGAGGTGAAAGCAGAGGGTTTCGAAAAACCAACCGGTATCCAATGCCAAGGTTGGCCTATGGCTCTTTCCGGTAGAGACATGATTGGTGTTGCTGCCACTGGTTCCGGTAAGACTTTGTCTTACTGTCTGCCTGGTATCGTGCACATCAACGCACAACCATTGCTTTCCCCAGGTGATGGTCCAATTGTCTTGGTTTTGTCCCCAACCAGAGAATTAGCCGTTCAAATCCAGAAGGAATGCTCCAAGTTCGGCAAAACGTCCAGAATCAGAAACACTTGTGTTTACGGTGGTGTTCCAAAGGGTCAACAAATCAGAGACTTAACCAGAGGCGCTGAAATCGTCATTGCTACCCCAGGTAGATTGATCGATATGTTGGAAATCAACAAGACCAACTTGAAGAGAGTCACTTATTTGGTGCTAGATGAAGCCGACAGAATGTTGGACATGGGTTTCGAACCTCAAATCAGAAAAATTGTCGATCAGATTAGACCTGACAGACAAACTCTGATGTGGTCCGCTACTTGGCCCAAGGAAGTGCAACAATTGGCTGCCGATTACTTGCACGATCCTATTCAGGTCAATGTCGGTTCTTTGGAATTGGCTGCTTCCCATACCATCAAGCAAGTCGTAGAAGTTATTAGTGAGATGGAAAAGCGCGATCGGTTGATGAAATACCTAGAGATTGCCTCTGAGGACAAAGACTCGAAGATCTTGATTTTCGCTTCCACTAAGAGAACTTGTGACGAAGTCACCAGATATTTGAGAGAAGACGGATGGCCAGCCTTGGCTATTCATGGTGACAAAGCTCAAAACGAACGTGACTGGGTTCTACAGGAGTTTAGAACAGGAAGATCTCCTATCATGGTGGCAACTGATGTTGCCGCTAGAGGTATTGGTATGTGAATTTTTTTTTTTCTTTTTGGGCTACATCTTTTTTTTTGCATGTCTGTCAAATCCTTGGGCAAGATACCAGCAGCTGGACTGATGAATTAATCCTTTGGGTTTGCAGACACCTACATCTAACGAATGACTTACAGGAACAGAGGAGACACATGAAGGTATACCCTTTGGTTTCACAAAGGAAATTCATGTTGTAATGACTATGAGCGAGAATTGGAGTTATGATAACACACGCTACACAATGGTTTAAAGATGATCTTAATACTGCTTCTTTTTTTTCACGGGTTTGGAAATTGAGTTAGAGGCATGAACGGATGGGCAGCTGAAGGTTCATTCTATTATGAACTTGTTTATGAATGGAGAATAAAGCGCGAAATATGGAGATGCTGCAGGAATTGCACCTTGTAGCTTCGTTGAAATGGAAAGCTCAGTAGACTTGTGTGGTCACTTTGCGCGCTGTGTTCTTTTTTTTGTCTGGCTGCCAGTGCTGCTTCTTTTATGAGAAAGCGCTTGCATTATCTTTGACTTCTGTGTGTAGTATTTTGTTATACGTATTGATCTTTCTCAAGCCTGCCGGTCCAACCACACGTATGGTAGAGACTGACAAGACTTGAGCCGAGATTATGCTCGAATTTCTAATCGAATGTTTTGCGCTTATGTCTATCTTTTTTCCTGTGACCGCTGTATGCTCATCCAAGAGCTGTAGGAAAACCAGCTTTTTGAACACAATACTAACTACTGAAACAGATGTCAAGGGTATCAATTTCGTTATCAACTTCGATATGCCAGGTAACATTGAAGATTATGTGCACAGAATTGGTAGAACTGGTAGAGCCGGTGCCAGCGGTACTGCCGTCTCTTTCTTCACCGATGCTAACAAGAGTCTAGGTGCTCAATTGATCAGCATCATGAGAGAAGCCAACCAAGAGGTTTCCCCCGAATTGAGCAGATTCGATAGAAGACAGTACGGTGGTCACCCAAGATATGGCCGTGGTGGATTCGGAGGTCGCGGCCGTGGCCGTGGCGGCTTTGGTGGTCGTGGCGGTGGTCGTGGTGGCCGTGGTGGTTACGGTGGTTCCAGACAAAGTGACGGCGGATGGGGAAACAGAGGTGGTAACAGAAACATGGGCTACTAATTGAATTGTCCTAAACCGGTCGCATTAAACCATGCTTGTACACTATTTTAAGATTACATACAATATAGATGTTTTATATCCAAACCGACATTGCTTTTGGAAAAGATCGAAACTTTCCGAAACTTCCAGTGTAGAGTCGGCGTCCATTTTACCACTCTTCGTCCCACCCGCCTTCTTGATCTTCTTCGTCTACACTATTCATGTCTTCTTTCTTGTTTAGAGGCTGAGGCTTTTTGGTATTGACGATTTTAGAAGCGTTCCTCAGAGTGGTTGTTGCCTTGGGTTTTGACTTAGGTTGCACTTTGGTCTGGAGCTTTGCAGGCCTATCCCATGCGTCCCACTCGTCGTCTTCCAATTCATCGTTCCATGATTTCACTACTTTCACGGTTCCCTTAGGGTTTTTTTCGATTTGCGGCGTGCCCATTATTGGTTTGTGTTGTTCAGTGTCGAATCCGTCACCCCATTCATCAGTTACTTCCCATCCTGCATCATCTGCTACCGACTCTGAGCTGTCCACGAAACCGGTAGGTACAGAAACTTCATTACCTGCAATTATTGGAGGTGTAGATAGCCTTAGCGTCTCCATGAACTGTTGCACAACATTAGAATCATCTTGAATTCCAGCGGCACTAAAATCTATGTCAATATGTTCACTGTCAGCTGTAGGAATTCCGTCAGCTTCAGACTCAAGCTTGGAAAGGTATACCCGAAACAGATTTTTGGCTTTGCTTCTAACCTGTTCGTTTTTGTCGAGCAGACCAGGAGCGATGACTGTGAGGACCTTGTTAGCTATGGTTTCAATATCGAATAATTCCAAGGAAGTTTCCAGCCCATAAAGGGCTGCGAGCCGAGGTTTTACTTGTGGATCTTTTAAAGACTTCGTAAATGCCGTAGCTAATATACCGGATCTGTTGTTGGATGGTGAAAGCTTTTTGGATAGACCAGAAATTGTTAGTATTGTCCATGTCCTGATTTCGACATCTCCGTCAACCTGCGTTTTGGCCAAATGTCTAAGTAAGTCATTGTTCAGTTGCCGCTCGGTAATCATTGGGACAACGTCTGGTATCCTTTTAAGCGTTTGAATTCTCATTGTTACGTCTGTGTCTGCCAGACCTTGTACGAAATGTGGAAAAATGCGATCAGACACTTCAGAGTTGGTTAGCTTGGGGAGGTAGCTAGAGAAGTACACTAATAAGAGGAATCTGACCTGCCTGTCCGGTTGTTTAAAGTTCTCGAACAGAACAGGTTTGACGTACTTGTCGAATACCGATTTTGAGTCCGTTATTGGCTGGCTAGAGCAAGTAAGCTCAAGAAGCGTTGCAACGAATGATGCAGTGTTTGCAGTGGCCATAGTTCCAAGTTGAACGTTTTGTCCTTCCGTTATTGTCTTGATGCATTGCGCTATTTCTGGGATTAAATAGTGCTCCACGAACCCGGGTGTACAGTTTCTAAGTACGCTAGAGTCCTCCATAATCTTGCGTTGCAAATCGATCATGGCCACTATTTTGCCCTTGGGATCCTTGATGTGAAATTCTTTGAGATCTTGATAAATGACGATTAACGCCGATTGGAAAGGTAGTGTGTTAGCAGCACGCGATACAAACTGTGTCAAAGTGAGCCTACCTTGTTCCATGCTGGTAAGAAGCGATCTCCAATCGTTTGGAACTGGGTTGTAGATGCTGGATATAAATTTGGCAAGTAAGATTGCATCTGCGTTTGCGGACGAAGTTGGTGGCACCTGGACGTTTGTGTTAGCCATCAAAGACGAATAGGCTCCCGCAAACTGCTTGAGACGGTGCAGTTCGGTTATTTTCGAGCATAATTCAAGGCCAAAGAGACGCCATTCGCCTCGTTCATTGACAAAAACCGTTCCTTTGGACAATGTGGCCAGCACTACCTGGGCCTGGTTATGTAAACAATCCAAGGTTTCTGCAAGTTGGAACACGCCCAAACTCAAAGCCTGCATACTCAAGCCCTGTGTATTCAGCGGTGTCACTCTTTCGGTGATTACATAGCTGGTTGCAGCATTGGTCTCTAAAACATCTAGTACTTTGACAAGTCCTGGAAGCTTCAAAATCTTAAAATGGCGTATAGCATTAGATATAAGGGCTTCCAACTCCAAGTTTTTGGCATCTCTTTGAAAGCTGAATACCGTTACCGGGTGTGAATCTGATTTTCGATGTCCATCGGTGGCTTCCCAGATGGGCGTAGAAACAGTTGGTTCTGATGCAAGCGAATATGGGAACTGGAGCCCAGAGATCGATTTGAACAGGAAGTTCATCAAGGATAGCGTCGATTCCAACGGTGAGATGCAAAAGGTGTCGAACTGGAAAGATGTACGTACAACAACAAGTTTGTAGAAATAACATCAAATAATAATAATAATAATAATAACAATTATATCTGTACACACCATCAACGACCGTCTTTATGTCCCAGACTTCACATCTCCGTGGGCTATATCGTTCTAGTTCTCTATATAAATATAGGCATTTGCACGACTATTTTCTCTTTGCCTTGTCGAGTCTTGGCTCGTCTTGTTCTATCAATGACCCAACCCTTCACGATTTGTTGAGGTAGAAGTAGACAATGGCGGCCACAATGGCCAACACGGCAAGCACAAACACACCATTGCCCTCTCCGCCTGTGGTAGCAGATGCTGGTTCGGGTTCTTTTGTGTGAACAGGCTCGCTTTCCGTGTCTAGGTCTCCTACGTATAGATCGGCCAGCATTTTGACAGCATCATCGGAGTGGCCGATATCCGCAAAGGGGCCCGTGGCGTCCATTCCTCCTAGATCCAGCAACACTTCCTCACCACCTGGATGTTCATCCATGAACTTGGTGCAATCGTACACCTTGCCATCGATAATCATCCACAGGTCATCCCGCGATTTGTGTTCAGAGATTTCCTTGTAGGACAGCAGTTTGGCCATGTTTGGAGTCAAAAAAAAGCTCTATAGAAGTATTTAAGTATATACAATTGCTGTCAGTCTCAACTAGCACGCCGAACAGTTGCAAAGGTTTGTTTTAAACCTTTTAATTGTGTTAATTCTTCGAGCACAGTTCGTCAAGTTATTATAATAATGGCACTATAAATACTGAAATTTTTTTGTTGGGACAGCTACGACAGTAAAAGAACGACAACACCGAGAAATGCGATAGATGGCTACAAGCACAGTTGAACAATTGAGAGCGATAGTGATGGCTTTTAGCATAGCTGAACAATTGGGAGCGTCAGCAATCAATTGTGAAAAGTCTAGGACCACAAGCTCAATTAAGCAATTGAGAGCGTCAGCGATCAATTGTCAATAGTAGATATGTCTAGGAGTATAGTTGAAAAGTTGTAGAGATGGTCAAGAGTTTAGTTGAAGAATTGAGAGCATCAGTGCCCAATTGTGAATAGTAGAATTGGTTATGAGTTTAGTTGAACGATAGGGAGCGTCAGCGATTAGCTGTGAATAGTATTAATGGCTAGGAGTATACCTGAACAATTGATAGTTGAACTCTCAATTGCGAAGAGAAGATATGGCTGGGATTATAGTTGAAAAACTGAAAGCGTCAGCGATCGATTGACAATCAAGTTGATTGTCAGTATGTTCAACTACTTAGCGTCAGCGACCAAATATGAATTTTAGAGATGGTCAAGGGTTAAGTTGAATAACTGATCGCTGACGCTCTCAATTGTGCATCGTAGAGATGGTCAAGAACATTCTTAAACAATTGATTACCGGCACTCCCAATTATGCATAAAATGACTAAAATAAGCTCAAAAACCGAGCGTCAGTAATCAGTCGTGATTCTTTCGGAGCTGTAATAATCATGGTAAAGCCTCAGCGGTCAACTGCTATTAGAATTGCTGGCCAATTAAGAACATCGGCGGTCAATCGTGAATACTATATATTCCTGATCCTCAGCCATCAGTTTTCAATAGTAGATAGAGCTACTGGCAAGTTGAAGGAGTGGTCGCTGATACTGTAACAATAACAGTTGATTAAGAGATACGGCTACTAACAGAGAGTCTGCAATCATTCATGGATTATAACGCTACAAACTTGTTTAAGAGGCATCGTTTCGTGCTTCGTACAGCGAACAGTGAGACGCAGATAGCCACAATAGAAATGACTATAAGCATACCTGAACGATTGATCGCCGCCTCTCTCAATAACGATACTCGAACAATAAAACCGTGATGCTCTCAGCTGTACCGTAACAGCGAATTCCGTGATATCAACTGTGAACAATGACCACAAATTGAATAATCAAAACCACCATTAATCTGTACTGAAACCAGTAAGTCTTGCTTGTAGAAATGCTTTCTTGTTTTTCCTGTGGTTGGAAAACTATATAGTGCTAATGTACATAGAAAAGATTAGAATGAATGAAAGTCGCAAAAGTCGTCTACCATTGGAATTCAATGCCCTTAGCCTTGAGTTTTTGTTCTCTTTCAGTGTGTCTGTCTTGTGCCCGTTGTTTAAGCTCGGCACCAGTTTTCTTCACTGGGGTCTGTTGCAACGCCCGTTGTTTGTATCGGTACAGCTTTTCGATCTTCTTACCCTTGGGAAGTGCCACTACTTGCAGTAGATGTCCCATCAGCAAATAGTTATGCATGGTCTCTTGGGCCACGACTGCGTCCTCTTTGTTGACGAACTCCACGAACCCGTAATGTCTGCTATTCCCGGTTTTCTTGTTGCGTGCCAGACGCACCTCTCTAAGGTCTCCAAACTGAGCAAAATACCGCGACAGTTCCCGTTCGTGGAATCCCTTAGGCAGTCTGCTCACATAGATGATTCCCGACAAATTTTCAGTTTTTTGAGATCCCTTGAGCTTTTTCTGATCTTTTTTCGAAGACTGAACGAGCTTCTTCACTGTATGCTCGTTTGTGTTCTTGGTTTCGTCTTCAAGTGCCAAATCGCCATTTTCTTCACTGGAGTTCGCATCTTCGGCCTCAGATAAACCTTCTAATTCGCTCTCGGAGGAGCTGGAATTTTCAAGCTCTAACTGCTCCTCGGGCTTCTCAATAGGTTCGGCAATCTTTTCCACCTGCCTTCTCGTCGATTTGGCCATAATGTGTGGTCTTAATGCTAGGTTTTATCGTGAATCAATGAGTAGGCGATGAGCTATTGTTCAAGGCGATGAGATGAGATGAGCTAGCAGTAGAGCTTAATAAAATTTTTTTTTAGCATGAGAGCTACCGTGAAGGATGATTATCGAGATATATGGTAACGTGACTTAATGATTAAAACTAGTCATGTGAATATAGCGTGACTATCAGAGCACGTGATGTATTCAAGTTTTAAAACGTTACAGTTTCTCTCAAGAGGTACTCAGATCCACCGCTCCTGCACTCCCTGTATGCACTAGTTAAATCCAGAATTTTATTTCCGTATGTGTGTTCATAGTTAGACTCTTTCAGTTTTTTTTTTTGCCCATTTTTAAAGCTCCAAAAGCCAGGTCTTGAAATCTTAGTCATTGATTCAAGCCCAGATTTGCGGCTTTTAAACTTTCCTTTAACTGTCCATCCATCACCACAGTGCTTGTAACACCAGGAACTACCATGATAATTCATGCTAATCCAGCAAACTAAATAGCCCTCAAATTTATCAAAACCGGTCATAAATCGTCCTCTAGGAGTTTTCTAGCTCCTTTCCTCGTTCCACTACTCATTGTTCCAATGGGAAAGCCGCTGCGTAAATCTCTTTAAAGGTCTTGTTTAAAGGTAAACCCACAACGTTGAAGAAATCGCCGTTGATCTTGCGAATCATCGCTCCACCGAAACTCTGCACTTTGAAGCCACCAGCTACTTCCAAAGCGTCTTTGGAGTCTACGTAGTCGTTCACAATCGCCAATGGGAAGTCTGGATCGAAGTAAAGCTCCGAAACCTCTTCAAATTGCAAAAAAGTGTGATTCTCGGGACCTTGCCACTTGATCAAACTCACACTTGTGGCCACCCGCAAGGGCAACTCATTATCCCGGAACTTGAGTAGATTATCCATTTGCTTTTGAGACTCCTGCGGTTTTTCGTAGATTACGTTGTCGCTATCGATCACTATTGTATCTGCACAGATGATGATCTTGGGCTTTTGATTTGCGTTCTGGAGTTTGCTGTGCTCTTTTATCAGATCTTCTACAATTCCCAATGCCTTTTCCCGACTAGTATCATGAACATAGCCCAATGGGTTATCCACGTACAGTGATTTATCTAGATTCTCTTCAAAAGTAGGCTTCATCAACCTGACATCCTTGAATCCCATCACCTCTGTAACTATTTCATATCGCCGTGGCGAGGATGACGCCAACACTATCTCGAATCTATCGCAGATATCACGTACAACTTGCGACATGCCTCTAGGTATTCCGTTCGTTCTTTCTTTAGCTAGTTACGAGTTGATCTAGGATTAAAAGTTAGTTTATAGACTTTGTACAGTAATACATCCGGTGACGCGATGATCACTTCCGAAAGTTCAATTGGACACAACAACTCAAGCAATTTCAGGCTTGATTACGAGTTGTTGAGTGAAGTCGCTTTCCGTCTTTGTCATTTGGCCATTGGGCTAAAAACTTGTAGGAAACATATCTTGTGAGTTGGGAATATTCTACCCCAGTATTTTCAAATTGGCCGTACCTGCTCCAAAACTAACTTATCTGTAATACGGTAGATCTTCTCTGCCTTGGCCCCATTTTCTTTGTCGGAGTCTGTGTTGTCTGGCGAACTTTCAATGTTCTCGTTGGTAAAACTCTCATTGTCGTCATCATCGTCGTCAAGATCATTTGATCCATCGGTCTTCGGTGGCGTAGCAGCAGCTGCCGGTGCTCCTGCCGTTGGGAAAACAAGCTCCGTGCCTACGAGTTTCTGCCAGCTTCCTTCGTATACTTTTTCGCCAATTCTGACTAGAGGAGCAGTCGTCTCCAGACCAGAATATTGAAGAACTGCACTGGGTTCAATCTCCGCGCTTTCCTTGGAGTTTTCGCCCGGAATATCAACACTAAAGTACACATGTTCGAGACTATCTGAATCTGCCACCGAAGGAGACGCATTGGGCAACTCAGCTGCTGCCGTCGTAGCCTTTTGCGCATTTTGTTTCTCGGCAATTTCACGTCTGGCCTTGATATCGGCATCCGAACCGGCCTCAAACCCATACTTAAAGTCCCAATGCATTTCTTCGCCATTGGTCAGAAACTCTGTGTTACCATTCATTGTCAGCTGCCATTTCTTACTCTCAAAGGGCACCTTGCTGTTGCCTGTGATCAACTCATATTTGTCTAGCGAGCAGCTTCCACTCCTCAAAGTAGTTCCATCTGCATCGATCGGTTCACGAGCGTTGTCAAAACCCAAAAGATTCATCCCGAGTGCGATCTTCGTCGCCGCATGTGTCATGAGCAGAATGGTTTCGACGTTAGGAAACTCCTTTTCGATCCGGGATAAAAATTTCGGCAAAAATTCACGACATCTAGTGAAAATGTCTTGTTCAGTTTCGCCCTTCCCACTGGGGACTACCGTCGCGTCCCAGCTGGGACTCAATTTGTCGGGAAAGAAGTTGTTCAAGATCGCAAAAGAGGCAGGTTCCGGGATCACTTTTCGATCCGGTTTGTACCATTCACCAATTCCACGTTCCACATAGATCGGAAGCTCCAAAAGATCGGCTATAGGATCACAAGTTTGCAAACAACGATAGAAAGGGGACGAGAATAGTAGTTCTGGCTGATTTTCGATAGACATGATGTAATGCGCCAATTCTTTTGCCTGTTTTAAACCATGCTCGGCCAATGGAACATCACTGTCTACTCCTGTTGGAGGGGGCGGATACGGTCCCTGAGGGAGCCAGTTTGATCTATATCCATGCTGTTTTTCAAGAAAATACCGGTTAGTCACTCGAAAACAGTCTAAAACACTCGAAAACGCTCGAAAAAAACTCCCAATAAGAAGCCAATGGTTCATACTCTTGCTATGTAGATGGTTTTGACGGTCATTGGGCTGTGAAAATGCTTTTAAGCACTTATTTTGACCAGATTTGCGACTTTGACTTCAAAAACAGCTCATCAAATTGATCAAAGTTAAGTAAATTAGGTCAACTTAGAGGTCAAATCGACAAAGCATTTCAGACTGAAAGCTCGGGGCGACCTTACCAGTCATTAACTCAAAAATCACAGCATCAAGAATGGGCCCTGTACCAGCCAAACGAATCAAGACTTTGTCGGTAGCTCGTCCGATCATACATGGAAATTCTGCTAAGAAAATGGGCGATGTAAAGCCTCCAAACGCGCCAGTGGAACATACACATATATGGACAATCTTTGTAAAGGGACCCAACGGCGAAGATCTATCGGATATCATAAAAAGCGTGGTTTTCAAGCTGCATGAGACATACCCGAACCCAGTGCGAACGGTAGATGCTCCACCATTCGAGCTAACGGAAACCGGATGGGGTGAATTCGAAATCAATGTCAAAATTCATTTTGTAGAGGCCGCGGGCGAGAAGCCCATCAGTTTCTACCACCATTTGAGACTGCACGAATATCGTAATCCGCTAGCCACGAACGGCGCTACAGGTGGAAATATCGTCTCTACTAAGAACGCCGATGTCGAATCGATATTTTATGATGAAGTCGTCTTCAATGAACCCAACGAGGACTTTTTCAAAGTACTAATAGCCAAACCAGGGTATCTGCTTCCTTCCAACAAGAGTGATAAAGTCATTTTCTCGAAACAGCTCGAGAGAGAGGAAATAGACCGCATCAAAATCGGCATCGGGAAAGTCGACGAAGAAACAGAAGTTTTACGGAAAAAACTGGCGAAACTGACCAAGAGTTGATTCAGTGAGGGAGGGATTGGGTCGTAATATAACGGCATTCCACCGTTCTCGTTAATGATTTAATCAGTCCCTCATTACATGTTATGTGTATACGTGCATGCATATGCAATAGGAGAAGATCCCGTTCACCAATTTACCATCATTTAGGCGTTAGAGGTTTCCACGAATCCATCGCTAGATTATCCAGAGACGGCTTCTTGACAGGACGTGGTGGAGGGATTTTAGCCCCCGCTTCGGCATCTTTGTCTACCTTCTTGAGCTGCTCGGATGCCACCACGGGCTCTAAATCTGGGTTTACCTTGTTCTCGTCAGAGGCTGATGAGGACGATACAGCAGACGAAGAGGGTGCTGGCGATGTCACTCTCGAACTCTGAGCGCTAGGGCTTTTAGGAGTGAGAATTGAGGCGCTGTAGCCCGGAGGGAAAACTGTTTTTCTCGAGGGTGGAGGAGGAGGGACAATAGAAGTGGACCTTGCTATATTCGGAGCCCGGTTCAGCAGTTTTCTATCAGAAGTAAGCGTGTTTGATGTCTGGGCTGACTGTGAAGAATGCGTCCGTGGGGCAGGCGGCGGTGGTGGAGGGATTCGCGCCCTGCCCAACGATGCCGAAGATAGCGACGAAACAGGTAGCTCCTTTCTAACGGGTTGCAACGGCACAGATTGGACAGAAGTGAGGTCTGAAGACGAGGAGGTTGATGGTGTGGGAGAGGTCGATTTGAACTGCCCTTTGTTTTCATTGTTGAGATCCAACAAGTTCACGGCGGACCAGTCGTTCGAGCTTGGCTCCGTTGTTCTTGTAGTACGATTTCTCTCTTCGTACTCAGTATCAACTAGCGCCGCACTAATGCTCCCAGAGGTTTCAGGATGTGCTTGCTTATACTCTAGGTAAAGCTTTTTAGTCAGATCACCTTTAATTTGTTCGTCAACAAAGTTAACTTGTGCCCGATAAGCTGCATAAACAGGCTTATGGTCACTGGCCAAAAGCTGGGCATCGGAATATGCCAAAGGACGAAGATTATCACCTTTGTATATGATTCTGTCAGTCCAGGAGGGTGTTCTTGCTTTCTCTGATGTATCGTAATTGTTTGTACCATGATCGTACTTGTAAGTAGGGGGGAACTTGACTGTTGGCTCCTTGAAACCCTTGAATACGACGCCTGCGTTTATTTCTTGAGTCAGTTGATCGTGAAGGAGTAAATTATCGGGGAAATTATTGCCCGAGGCAGCATCCAGCTCCCGGCGAACCTCCTCATTCGGTAGCGCCACTCTGTAGTTCATATCTCCATGCCAGAATATGGCATCATGGTCGGGAATTTGTCTTGAGCGAGTGAAGTTTATGCCTTTGTTAATGCTATCATAGTCGTTTCTCCTCTCATCTACATTATTAGAGCCTGCAGCCAAATGAGTGTTAACGAAGCAAAATGAAGTGCTGCCATAAGAGAACCTGATGGAAACAGCGCCTTTGTTACCGGTCATACCTCCTAGTCCGGTTTTCTTCGACGCACCCTCAACCCCTTTAACGTTGTTTACCTTGTCGGACTTCACAAAGAAAAGAATGAGCAGCGAGGACATCTGCTCCGCTCTCAACAGCAGATACTTGTCATTGTATTGGTTTAGGCAATCATTCACAATATTTTGCCAGAAGGAACTTTTTGAGTAATCAGCATTTAAAATTGATCCAGCGCTCAACTCTATAATTTCTTGCATGCCCAAAACTACAACGTCCGGTTTAAACTTATCACCAATCGGAAAAAGCCATTTGGATACATCAACTTTCCGTGTTAGACCGTTTACGTTATAAGTTCCGACAAAAATGTTGATACTCGAGGAGGTCGTGAATTGATCGCGGGCTTTGTTGAGTTGAGTTGTAACGTATTCGTTAATAGGATCAAACAGTGCGACAGCACGCTGACTCGATAGCCTACCCAGCAATGTATCTATATTGACCTGTTTGTTTTTATCCATGAAGTTGTTGATGTACAAGCGACTGACGGATTTCGTGGCGTCCGAAAGCACACCTGCGAATGACATTTTTCCCTTTCGAGAAAAAGACGACTTTAGTGCGTTAGTACCTGTGTAAATCTGGGAGACTTGGTCACCATGATCGGCCCACAAAGTGTTATGTTTAATGAAGAGATCACTGTCCGTGAACGCAGTTCCCTGTGTTGTTGACATTAAATGGAAATCATTGAGAAATAAGGCAAATGCATATCGGGAAAGAAATTGCTGAACTAGATTTGTTCTGTCTAAGCAGTCGAGACAGTTAGTTCTGAAAATACCGTGCTGTTCGGATAAAACTTTGTGTTCCCGGACATCATATGAAAAATAACCACTCTCAAGCAAAAACTGAGTTACTAGCGGTTTGATCCGAGCCGCAGCGGCGAAGCCCTCTTGAGCAGTTTCTCTGTGGAAATCGAACTCAGTGAAGAAGACATCTTTATTCAGCTTATGACTTTTAGACCTCGCGACATGCTCTTTGTACCGCCTAGAAAGCTCAATTTCATTCGATTTGGTCGAAAGCAAGTTCACTACATGTACGGGACCATACTTGTCTACCAAGCGAGTAAAGTGATCGTCAAAGATCGACTGCGTCGCTTCCAGAGATCTGGTTATCTGGACCTTAGGGTTTATCAAAGCGGTGTCTTGCTCCCAAAAGATTGGGATACTACCTCTGATTTGCGTGAAGGAATAGCAGTATTCGCGAGAATACATTATGAGCTCTGTCTCGACAAAGTTCGCGACATTCGCTTCGTCATCAACACCACGCGCATTGTAACGAGTGCCTGCTCTTTTCCAACTTTGTTTAGATATTACTGTGAGGGACACTTTGAGCTGTTTGATGTAAGTAACAAAAGTTTCAGCGAAACCACGGATCACTGTTGTAAGGAAGCCTTCATCGTCGAGGATACGTCTTGACGCATCATCCAAGTGATTTCTGAAAGTAATGGTCTCTTGCATTAGAAACGAGTTCCACATGTATTCTTCTTGATAGTTGTCAAAACTGAGCGAATGTGCGCCCATTCCTCTTTTTTGCAGTATCGAAGTAAGATCGAAGTTTGAACTGTAGTAAAAAGAGCCATTGGACAGGAGCTTACGCAATTCATGACAAGGATGACCGGGAACCGAAGGAGATTGGTCTCCCAGGGAGCCAGAGGTCGAACTGCCATTACCCCTGTATTCATCTTCGTTGGTCACCGGGTATCCATTTGAGTCTAGCTCCACGAAATCCCAGCGCGGATCGTTCAAGCAAAAGAAGTCTACTGCAAAAATTTTATTGACAGTTTCCTTCGGCACCGGTTGGGCCACTTTGGTTTTCCCGGTTATGGTACAAATGAAAATCATTCCTTCCAGCTCTATAAGACCAATGAAGCCGTGAACCTCGTGAGATGTCATCCGCTGGTATGAGGATCCAATTCGCGTCTTGGGTAATAGCTCTATTGCACATAACGGTTTACTGCGATCCTCTTCATTTTCTACCGCATTGAAGATCAAAGCATATCCTTCTGATGCAAGGGCTATTTTTCTCTCAGCACCTCTCTGAACCAGGATTTGCATGCTGGACCAGTTTTATAAGCACCAGCGTTTGATGATGAAGTGATTCGGTGCTTTGCCAGGAGGCTCTTGCTACCCAAGGGACTTGTTGAAAGAGATCTGTCAGTTCAGTAATGCTAAGTCCCCTTTACGAAATTTTTCAATTTTGTCAATATCCAAATAACGTCACATAAGTACAAAGTGATATTCAGCAGCTGACGAATTAGCATTGCCAGCGATCTGTTGACCACCGATGATGGCAATACTGCGTGTGAATGTCTACTTACAATTGAACAGTGACCATGGTAGTGTTTAACTAGTTTGAATTTAGATAGCCTCATTATTTGAAGCTTACGGATATGACATATACTTATCCAATTGTGACCTGGGTAAAAAACGGGCAACAGGCTGTGACGCCATGTAGTATGAGGATGAATGAAGCATAAAAAGTTGAAATCAGAGAGTCCAATTTGCAGTGCGTGTGTGTAGAATCAGCGTTGAAATGGCGATTTATATAAAATTCGGTTATTAGTCTCTATCCGCCCGATGTTTTCGTGACGCCGAGAAAAACATCTTGGATCACATCCTAAATCATGGTCAAATCCAGCAATCCCATGAGGGAAACTTGGGCCAAGATCAACGTCGACCTAATTTCGATCAACTTCATAAATACTAACTTTTTTTTTTTGTAGGCGGAAAAATTGTGTGCACAACTCTTCTCAGATCCCAATTAAGCAGAGCCAGATGCCGCCTTAGGTGCAGATTCTGGTAAAGCCGCGTCTCCGGATTGGATAATGGTGTTTATGACGGAAAGAATAGCCTTTATGGATGCGTCGCCGACGTCTTCCGAGACACCGACACCCCAACTGTAGGCGTTTTGGTTGTCGATCTCACGTCTGTACATGAGATGGATGAACGAGGCAGCCTGAGTGGAGGAGCCAGATCCCAAAGAGTGCTCCGTGTAATTGGAAACACTAAATCTGAGATTGAGAAGATTCGACATGGCATCCACGAGAGACGAAATTGGACCATTACCGGATCCTTTGATGTCGTAAAGGTTTCCGTTAATTCTTACTTGTCCATTCAAAACTCTGCGCTCCTTATCAAGCTTCGTGACTTCGTAATCCACAAGAGTGACATTTCCGATCGTACCGCTGTAGTTGTAAGTGTCCTTGAAAAGATCTGTGATTTCTTGAGCTTTGAGTTCTCTACCAAGAGAATCGGCTTTACTTTGAACAATGGTCGAAAATTCAATCTGCATGTTTCTTGGGAGGTCAAGTCCGAGAGATCTGAGGACAACCCAAGCAGCACCACCCTTACCAGACTGAGAATTGACTCTGATGACGGCCTCGTAATCTCTACCAATATCCTTTGGATCCAAAGGTAGATATGGAATCTTCCACTCTTCGTCACCGTTGGCACGTCTCTTCTCTTGAAGAGCGAAACCCTTTTTGATGGCATCCTGATGAGAACCGGAGAAGGCGCAGACAACTAAGTCACCACCGTATGGTGCTCTTTGGGAGACGGGGATCTTGTTGCAACGTTCCACAACTTCGACAACCGAGTTCAAGTCTGAAAAGTCCAACTCTGGGTTAACACCTTGAGTGTACAAGTTCAATGCAACGGTAACTAAGTCAACATTACCAGTACGTTCACCGTTACCAAATAGACAGCCTTCGACACGGTCGGCACCTGCCATTACACCTAGCTCTGAAGCGGCAACACCGCAGCCACGGTCGTTGTGTGCATGAGTGGAAATACAGACTTTTTCACGTTCCGAGATGTGGGTTGAGAAATATTCGATCTGATCAGCGTAGTTGTTGGGGGTAGCCATTTCCACGGTAGCGGGAAGATTGAAAATAATTGGGTTTTCAACGGTGGGTTCCCATGCAGCTTTCACAGCCTCGCAGATTTCGACTGCGAATGCTGGGTCAGTGTCACTGAAAGTTTCTGGGGAAAACTGATAAGTCCACTGGGTGGCCTGTTGTGTAGGATCGTCCTTGGTGAGACTGCGAACCAGTTTGGTGGCTTCCACGGCTTTGACGATGGCCTCCTCCTGAGACATGTTGAAGACGATATCGCGGAACATGTCACTGGTGGCTAGATACACGTGGACGGTGGCCTTAGAGGCACCCGAGAGTGACTCAACGGTTCTTTTGATGAGATGTTCGCGCGACTGTACTAGACATTGGATGCTGACATCTTCTGGGGCGTTTTCGACCGCGTAGCGGGTAAAATCGAAATCCGTTTGGGAAGCCGATGGGAAGGAAACTTCGATTTCCTTAAAACCGATTTCCACCAGTTTGTGAAAATACTCCTTTTTCTCCTCAACAGACATGGGGTCCGGGAGAGCCTGGTTTCCGTCCCTGAGATCTGTTGATAGCCAACGGGGAGCTTTTGTGATTCTCTGATCTGGCCATTTTCTGTTAGGTAGATTCACCGCTGGAAAAGGCTTGTATTTGGACGATGGATCCTTAAGCATATTTTTGTAGCCAAGTTTCACCGCCGGAAGCGCCTTGGAGCTGCTTTTAGCAAGCGCTACGAAACTTTTTTTGAACATCTTGAATGAAATTCACTAGTTCTTGTTAGCGCTGACTATTACTGACAAAAACCTATCTGGTATATGTGCTAAAGAGCTGGTTTTTGAACGCTTGAAATTACAGAGTGGTGTGTTCCAGTCAAGATTCTTACAGGCTCTTTTCACGATATTTACTTGGCTTAAATAGTGATCAGATCTGTGCAGCAAGAAAGAGTCATCGGGTCAGTTGATCATGGCCTTTAACATTTCTTTATAAGTTCTTTTCGTTCTTTAATTTAAAATTTTTCAGTCACTTTAGTCAACGTTGGCAACGGTGTCAGCGGAGAGGGAAAGCGCTTTGATGACAGGAAATATAAATATGATTTGAGCTGGGAAGCCGCTGCTGACGAAACGACAGGCTAAAGCAGAAGAAACCGAGGATTTGAGTTGAGTATATAGTGGTCCTCTTGCATTGCCGAGGGCTAACGAAGAAACGTTTACTAGATGTTCATGGAGAGCTTTATAGGGGACCAAGATTGACATATAGTAGAGGATCTCGAGTTTTAACACGGTAGGTACAGCGTCGATAGAGAAAAATCAGGATACGAATGACGAATTGGTAGCGACAGTGACTGGAGATTTGATTTTAATAATGGTGGCTCATGATAATTACACAATGTCTACTTATGGACCCTTCTGATGCACTGTGACCCGCTTTATTCACAACTGGTCGCTAATGCTCCCAATTGTTCAAGTATAGGTCTTTTCTTTATCGTCCACAACTTTCAGCCTCGTATCGCCATTCAATGGAGAAACGTGCTGACTGCATGCTGGAGTCCCTCTACCTGCATCGCATACCAACACAAGTAAGCGACGGCACGCACATTACGGTTTGTGAAATGAGATATGAAATAGTAAGGTACGGATGTAATGAGTAAATAAATTGCCAAAGTTCCCAAAAAGTCATAATTCATCTCTGAAACAGATCTGCAATTGCACGAATAGGATTGGGCAATTAAATGCGCAACTAACTGCCTTAAGGTATGTAAAGAGAGCATACATGAACACCGTTAGGTTAACCTGTTTGATTTTCTTATTTAGTGGCCCGTCATGTGATCCTTAAAGATATGCCTTCATACGAATGGTTTTTCGGACTTCCTATCATGTGTTACGTACGTTACCTGTTGCTTACTCAAGACCGAAGAATACTTACTCATAGCTACCGAGTAACGAGCGGTACTTACTCCGGCTACTCATTGCGCATGTCTGTTCTTTTAACTTGTCAGGTGGCTGGTTTGTATTATATTGAGAAATGGGCTTGAGTACTCTCATTAAGGATTAGCGTCAGATGAAGGCATGTCGCGACCAAATGTGATGGTTCTTATGCTCCTTAACTGTATTCAGCACGCATTTCAATCCAATAGCGTAGAATTAGAGTTCAGAAAATTCGAAATCGCCGGTTTTAGTTCTTGAAAATTGATAAATCGCTATCAATGAGCCGGTTACTGCGATATGTCAAGTCGTACAAGAACTTTTACCAAAATGATCTCCACGACTAACCCATGGGTTTCCGTTGAAATCATAACGCGGTTACGAATAAGGGCGCTTCCGCAACTGTACGACTCGATATTTTGAGTCTCACGTTCTACCAAAGAATCGCAATTCTATACTTCTCCTTCGAGATTTTATCCCTCTTCCCCTCTGTGTCAATGTCTCGCCGCCTTTTTGGAACAAGAAGGTTCCCTCCGCTTGAAAAGTACATGACCTAACCCAGTAGAAACCCAGTAATCACCCCTCTTTGCCAGAAATGACCTTCATCCTTCTATAATGACGAGGATCTCGATACCGCCGATCGATAAGCTCTATCAGCCAGATCAAGATGGTCAACGTATCCTCTGAATCTTGTTACTCTTCATGTAGCTAGTGCACTAGTACCTGCTCGCCAGCTGTTGCCAAGACCAACCACGTGCGTGATGTCACCGCCAAGAGCTGGGGCAAGAGTCGGACTTGACACCACAACAGCTGAGAGACACATCGCAAGTGAGAATGTGTCTTACTGGTCTTGTTATCGATACGGCGTTCAACAGCTTTGGAAACGTATGTCAAACTTATATTGACTTTTAGCATCAAATAGCATTATCTAAAGCATATGGCTATACCACTGACGCTGCAACGATTGGGAACAGACGAGCGCGACACCTGAAGATCAATAGTTCTGGAGGGTTATACGTCGATACCTTGGGCAAGTCGGTATAGTTCAATGTTATATGATGCAAAAGTTGTTGGCTGATATAGAAGGTACAATCTGGGATGATTAGACAGTATTATGGTTTATGTAAACAGATGCTGAAAATGCAGAAAACGGGCCTGTTGCTATTACGGAGGGTTCACGGAAGAGCCCGAACTTCCTGAACTACTTCTGCGAAATTTGAGCTTGTGCACGAGTTTCTTACCCGTGTGTTTAAGCTTGGCTGGCTTAAACCCAGCAGTTGTGGCCGTTGTGATGGAAAAAGACGAAGAGGCGGTTGATGGAGCGCTTATGGTGTTGCTAGAGCGTTCGGCGGTGGTTAAAGTGGCCGTAGAGGTGGATGGATGCGAAACTGGGTAAGAGGCCAGTGGAGAGCCCCGCGGCGGGAACAAAGACGTTGGGGTCGATGCAGGACTCGATGCAGACCTTGAAAAGCTACCCAGAGTGTTGGCACGGGAGCAAAGATCCGTTTGTTGGCTGTGGCTGTTGCGGTGAGCAGCAGGAGACTCGATTTCCGGGAGCCTAGAGGGCACCCGGCTGAGCAGTGAACTGTCGTTGTTGACATCATCAATGTCCTCTTCGACATCTTCTTCTTCCTCTACAGCGAAATCGTCCATGAAGGACGACAGCAGATCGATACGTGCCGTATCAGGTGACAGTAGTGTTGGTGACTGTGATTGTGAATTTTGTGAGACTGACAGGCTCCAGTTTAGTTGATGATTATTTTCATTGCAATGACTTGTGCTGGTAGTGCTTGTGCTAGTACTACTGCTGGTGCTGTTGTGAACTTGGCCAGCGGTTTCGTTGTAGCCGTGAGAACGACGACAGGTCGCAGGCCGTGAACAACGACGTTGCAAGTGGCTGAACTTTGAATGTGCGTCTTGCAGCAGCCAAAGGACGTGTTTGCGAGCCGCCTCGATGCTAGATTGTGGCGGCACGGTGTGAGACTTGGCGCTTTCGTCGAACGTTTGCCGGATTGCCTGTGGTAAGTTACACTCGCGGGGGGAGTCTGTTTGGATGTACAGCGTGTACACGTCGCGAGTCCACGATGCCAGGGCGTCCCATGAGACGCCCTGGACGTAGGGGTCTGTTGCCAGCAAAAAAGACAAGTTTTCGTCGCAATGGGACCGTTTGAGAAACGCCACGAATGCATCGGACGAGGCCGGTCGATGTGGGTTTCGTGTTGCTTCCAACAGTTTTTCTAGCGACAAGGGCTGTTGCCCTTGTTGCCGCTGTTTGTCAGACAAACACATTTATTCGAAACCAACTTTGTAAGACCCAACCTCGCTGCTTTTCTTGTTCTTCTCTGTATGCCAAGGAATATGCGATGCGAAAAAAGAAAAAACAAACTGAAGACCAAAAACCCAAAACCTAGTTTATATATTATTGTGTTTTGTTTGCTTCTTCCTTGCTCGTCCTTCCACGTCCTGCTATTTACCAATCCTTTTGCAACGTTGCTGCTATTCAATGTTGTCTTTGTCTGCTCTGCTCTTCGCACCGATCGATGATGCTATTTTATCTTTTTTCCACTTTACATGTTGAAAAATTCCAGGTCCACAGTTTTTGACATAATAAACATTATCCTGGCCATCTATCTGTCTATCAATTCACGATATGACACGATAATGAATGATAGAGCAGGAGCTGAATAACAACATTGCGGATAATGGGCTTCGGGTTTTTCGAACGTTGGCTGTGTGTGTATTGAGATTGTTAGAACGCGTAGTGTACATAGAAATGCTTGGTAGTGCAGTTAGGGAATGTATGTCAACGACTCTTGAGCGTGTGTCATGGGGTCGAGTCAACTGCAAGTTTGTAGTGGAAAGGGTGAAAACAGTGGAAACCCATGCAGCAGAAGCCAGTGACGCAGTGGAACCACAGTGGGCAATGCAGTGGACGACGCTGATGTAACTTGGAGGCAAAGCGAACGAACGGCCATTTGAGAGGGGGTTTACCCCCTTTTACTGAGTCGTATGGGTAAGACTAATGGTGGGAAGTTGCATTGGGTTGGAAAACACATGATGATAACAAGAAAGGAAGGGATAAGAGAAGGATGAAAGCAGATAGAAGAATGTCAAGGAGCGATAGAGAGACAGGGAAGGTTTCAAGAGGGTTATCTCGGTTGGTGGCTCGGCGATTAAGAGAGCGTTGAGGGCGTCGAGAGCGTTAAAAGCGTTCACAGTAGCAATTCTAGAAGCTTAGGGAGCTATTCTAGAAGATGCGTTTCTCGAAATTTAATTCTATCGGTGGAAAAGATTTAGAGTGCGATGGTTATTATAATAAGCTCTCTCAGCTTTGAGAAGCCTAAGAAATCGATCAAAGAGCTAGAAACGTAAGAGTGTAGCTTTGATGGGCTGAGCGACGCAGAGGAGTGTATCATCAGAGTAGTGTTAGTAGTCAGGGAAGCAATACAAAGCGTATCCCTAGGAGTTGTGAGTTTCGGTGAGAAAATTCGAAAGATTAAGATGTTTTGGCACCATTGTGACGTTTAGAGGTAAGAACTGCCGTAAAAGCTTGGTATCTCGACCATCAGGGACGTTCGCACTTAATCATGGATGTTGAGATTCTGTCTATGTAGAAGTCTTGAATCCTCAGAGCTCTCAATTGTTTCCCAATTCTGTCCGCTGTCGTCTAGCATGTGATTTGATGGTCATCTCTAGTTATACACACACTAGCTAGGCAGAGGGAGGTTGTAGCGTCAGGGTAGTGAGAAGAGTGTATAGAAACATGATAGGAAACTGAATGTAGCATTTCCTCAGGGTGTTTGAAAAAAAAATCGAGAGCCTCGACAAACAGTACCAAACAGAATTGGGTTTATGGTCTTTTTTTAGAGTTGCAACTATCAGAAACTCCCAAGTTTCGGCCCACAGCTGAGGCAGGAAAAGGCAAACGCAAACTTTGAACTCTTGACAGGTCATTTGGTCAGATCCTTCACCAAGACCAACTATTTGGGCCAGTGAACTGTGATCCGCCAGCAAAAACTTGTTCTCTTTTGGCGCCCGTTTTCTACCACTCTCGACAATCTTCAAAGCTTTTGGTGTGCGCATTTTTGCACCCGCGAACTAAGGAGCGTTCGCTGACGATGGCATTTCTCCACTCACCATTGCCCCTGGGGATGGCTTGACCAGCGCGTCATTGACACCTTTAGCAGGGAAGAAATCGTAATTGTCTTGGAACTTTTACCATTCGACATCTACAGCTACACCGCTCCGGGGATGACGTTCAATTAATGTTCTACGTTGCGGGATCGAACGTATACTGAAAGTTTTGAAAAAAAAACTGTGATATGGCCAAAATGACGGCTGAAAACGCCGGCTGAAAACGCCCAAAACCTGTGGTATACAACTCACGCCATCATGATGGCTAATCAGTTTCAATCCGGTCAGTGTGCTCATCGCCGATTCTGCATGCACGTGATCTGGTGTTTTGTCTTGCAGTAATTAAACGTCGAGGGACGGTTGAACAATGTGTGTTAAAGTGTGAAGGCGGTTCAGCTCACCGCCAAAAGAGTTACCAGAAGAGCGTTATAGTGGATTCATCAGGGATCAACAACACAACGTATGAGCTTCTCTACCGGGTATAATGTGCCCTGCTTGACGTATTACAATGATTTGCGTCCTGCTCACTTGATCAGATGCTAACGATGCGTTGATGAACAATACATTGACAAATATTACGATTCCAGTGTTATTTTCTGAAGGTTTGCTGATGAGCCATTGGAAAGCCTAATCGTGACCGACAAAATTGAACCGGACAGGCTCAAAATCTCAATTAGTACAAATACACTCAAAACTTGCTAGATCTTGTAACTGTCGTCAGGAAGTAATAGCCTTGATTCTAGCGCATTTGCCCTAACTTTCGGCTTCAACTAGTACTCTCAAGCGGGTCTTGACAAGAATGAGGGCCTTAACAAGAAACACGTGACCCAACGATGGCGGCTAAATAGTCTAATAAGGGGCTCTTACAAAACTTTAATTTCTACACACCACTATTGGGAAGCGCACACAGAAAGTTGCAGAGACATCGAAGGACCTCTATGACTGGTTCCTACTGCCACAAGTCAACACCATACCACAGCCCAAGTTATCGAGACCCTTTCCAGTTTCTCAACAATGATTCTGGCTTATAGATGAACACCTTTTTTCCCTAAAAAGACAGAATCATTATCGCTCATTATGCACAAATCGCAAGCGACATACACCAGTGAGAAGAGAGTCATGACTCACCATATATCAACGACTTTGGGACACGATACTGAACTAAGTGAAGCTTCACCTCCTGGACTTTTTGCCTCCGATTACAGTGTGGACAGGAAAATCCCTTTTGAGTACCTGGTCACGTTTTACCACGAGTACTGTTCCGAAATCGGAAATCGGCGTTTTTTCACCCAGTAGCTAGGTCACGTGATCAAAGAGGGTAAAAAGTCATCGCTTTTTCGCAAACAAAAGTGTGGCGTCTCCCCTATACACGTGACCGGATTTTTCGCTACGTCGAAATCAATGTTCAGAGGTCACCTGCTGGGGTTCATATTTGGTAGTAGCCTGGTTTTTCATAGCTCATCTTGACTTATTTGAAGTTGAAATGAAGATCAACCTGTCAAAAGTAATCTCTTTCGGCAGCAACAGCTCTTAATTTGGTTTCTTTAGCGGCATTTGCAACGAGGGAACAAGATTCGCATTTTTGCACTGGTTCGACTGTCACCAGGGAGTCTGGTTTTTCAACCATGAATTTTGACAAAAATGAGGAGTTTAACAATCTTTTCGGTGAAGAGAAGGATGTTTTTAGAGGCCCTGATAATCCGCTTCAATTGCACCCGGGAGACTCGAATGTAACGCCCAATATTTTGCTGGAGCAACTGGCGTACGTTGACAATTTTATGCCCGATTTTGAAGGCGACCTGGCTTCTTTTGGCGGTCCAGCACACGGTTCAGACGTCCCAAGCGCTGGCCTGGGTCTCGACGAGCGTCTGGCTGCCGAGCTTAGTGCGTTTGCAGACGAAACTTTCATTTTTCCAGATGAGGACAAACCGGTTGACGAGGGTGACGGCGATGACGACAACGACCGCAGAAATAATGATAATAACGCTCAAAATCGCAATAGTCCCTTCGATCGTTTTTCTCATGAGAACGACGCAGACCGGACACCGGAAGCTTCGTCGTCTGCTTCTGCAGCGGCATCTGCATTAGGCGCTAACTCTTATCAGCATGGCCTCACAAACGGTGAAAATGACCTTCGTAGACCCGATGCGTCGTCAGACTTGTCGTCGTTCCAAAATCGGAGCTCCAAGTTCTTGTCACAGCGACGCAACAATTTCTTGGCGTCGCAGCATGATACAAGGCTCCGATTTTCGTCTAAAAACCGTCAGCGCGAAACTACAAGGTCTCCTGCCGATGATCATGGCGGATTCACAAATGTTGACATAACTGAGAACCCCTCCCACCAGAACCGACAACAAGGACTTTCTTACGTTAACTCACCTCTCAACAATCTTCTCTCGGACTCTAATCCTCAAACCGTTGAAATGCTCTCGAATAGTTCAAATACGCCTTCATTTTCACCACGGCTTTATCGTCAAAGTAATCCGTTCCCAACAGAGAATCAAAGAGAACCTTCACCGCAACCCAAGGTACCTTCCCACATTCACATGCCCAACTATTCGTCTATACCGACGCGGACTCTTTTAACTTTGCTACCGAAGGCCAGAGTACCGAAAGGAGCTCGAACTGCTTTAACAGCTGCTGGATTGCAGTCGGAAGAAATCGATTCTATTGCTGCAATAATGGCTTACCATCAGCTGAACAATAACTCTGACTTCACAAATGACCTTTCGCTCTCCACCATAAGAAATTTACTTTCGAACGAAGTTGGTGCCAATTTTCTGCTGCCGTTTCTCACCAGTGATGACCAACCTGTGCAGATGAATGAGCTTTCTACAGCAGTAAGCACGCGGGCCGAGTCTGCTGCTAAAGCTAGCCCTACTTCCTCTGTAAACCAAAGGAAACTCGAAAACCCTGCTGATAATCTCCTCCGCAATTTTTTCAATTCAGATGGCGGCAAACATAATGTCAGTTTTCTCGAAAACGGAGTAAATCGCGAGATTTCCACAAGTCAAACGCCTCGACAACCCAAAAAAAATTCCGTTGTGGATAAAGCTTCTGTTGGCCCGGAACAAGAGCAGAGGATCACAAAATATTTAAATGGCGAACGAAGCGATAGCAGTTCTAGCCTTACAGAAAAACGTACCAAGACCCATCCTAAACGCAAGTTTAAGGAACAGGAGATGGAAGGATCGATTCAGGAGCTCAGTGAACTGGCTCTGAACCTGCAGCAGAGAATTCAGACTCTCGAAATGGAAAACAGACTCCTGAAAAACTTGGTAACTGAAAGAGGAGAATTGTCGGGAGTAAAAGAAGTGGAAAACGTCCGACGCGAGCTTCTTCGCAAAATAAAAGAAGACAACAGTCACGGACCGGTCAAGAAAGAGGATCCAAGACTGGATTAAGTTACATATGTACCTTGATGTAGAAGTTAATCAGTGACGTTTACGCAATCGCTTGCGGTCCACAGTTATCCTAGAACTGCCAGAATGACTATCAGTACAACCACAACGATCACGACTAAAAATATTATGCCACATCTGTTTCTTTTGCGTTGCGACCGTTCTGCTTTACCCAGCTGTTCGTTGGCTCGCTGTAAATTTCCTGATAGACCCGATATGTTGTTATCGATTGTGTCAATATCCTCACCCTGCTCTCGTACTAAGGACCCTAGCTGATGGAAAATGGCGTTTACCTCTTGGACTGCTGAGTGTATTCGTCCGATCTCCTCAGATCTCTCTTGTTGAATGAGAGTGTGGAAATTCAGCTCATCTTCTGGCAATTGAGTTTGAGTTTGAGACTGCACCTGCTGCTGCACTTCAAGACGCTGGTTGTGATTCTGTCGTTGCAGAAGCGGTGTTTTGTCTGTATCTTCTGCCATAGGCATCGATATGTAGCCCGAATCTTTGGACGCAGAGTTTGTGCGTGCGGGTTTAGCTTGGATAGGATGTCGTGACTTCTTCCCATAATAATGTCTTTTACTGAGCAAAAGCTCGTCTTTCAATCCGGCGAAATCAGACGCCAGTTTCCCGTTTGATGTTTTGGTTTTGAGTGATCCCTCGATTTCGTCCCTCAGTGTTTCGCATTGTGGAATAATCTCCGTCTCAATAGAGTAACGAAGGTCCTGTGAGTCCCGTTTTGTGCCCAAAAGTTGACTTTTTTTTTGCAGATGGTTGATATGGCTTGCAAAGTCTGCGAAATGCTTATTCAAAGTCCCGTCTTGTTGGCTTCCTGCCGTTGTAGGTTTTGACATGTAATCAGCGAATGACATTGCCGAAGTCAGTCAAAAACGAACCAAATTTCGCTAAAAAACCAGCGTTTGGGTTTTCAAATAAAGTTTTATTTGCGTTCCAGAAGCTACAGGACTGATTTGCAAATATCAAGGCTCTTTCTCACCGTTTTTCGAATGTGAACCTGTTTTCCCTTTCTTTCACACAAATTTCATCAAATTAAGCGTAGGTCGCGTAAAGTTGATGATAATGTGATGATATAAGAAAAAAACTGGTTACGCGTGGCGAACAGTTTTAACTTAAAGAACTACCTCACTCGACCTTGAATTCAAGCTTATATCAAGAGCTAGTCAAGAACGCTATATAAAGGGTCAAGAATGAGCTCCAAGAGTAGGCTAGAAACACTCAAACGGCTTCAAAGAGTGCGTCAAAACAAATCGTCATCCAAGGAACTGTACGAAGCGGACGAGGATCTGGACGATTCAAAAGTGTACGATCTTATAGATGAGGACGAGTTTCGCAGCCGAAAGCGTGAGGAACTGTTAAAGGATGACTTTGTGGTGGACGACGATGGGGTGGGCTACGTGGATCGTGGTGTAGATGAATGGGACGATCGATATCGTCAGAAGGAATACTATTCATCCGAAGACGAAGATGATGGCACCAACGCGAAGTTAGGACATCGATCAAATAAACGAACCAAGGGGGGTGACAAATCAGAAAAGGGAGCCATTTCTGCCATGATTACGGCACAACAACAGGTGAAAAAACCAAAAAAAACGGCTTTCCAGAAGGGAGCCTCGAAGAAGTTCGCGGCTGACGAGTTTGACGACATTTTGTTAGAGTTCGAAAACGTCAAAGACGCTAGTGCGGCGGGAAAAATCGCCCTGAAGCAAACGGTCGCGGCAAGTGGCTCTCCTAATTCCACTGTCAAGAGAACAATTGTGGCATCGTCAAATCATCCTACAGTAAAAAGGCCCAAGTTTGAAAAATCCGAATACTCAAATGCCACTGATAACTCATCCCCGCTTAGATCTATGAACGTGAAATCTCAACTAGTTGACGATACCGAATTGCAAGCAATGATCGATGATGTTCAAAGTTCTCCAACGATGCTCAAGACGAAAAACGTTTTGGTTGTGGAGTCAGTCGACGATACCGGCAAGAGTGTGACCAACCACCAGCAGGATGCGGAAGAGGAAGAAAGCGATGAAGAGGAAATCCAATTCAGTAGAAGAACGATTAGGAACGCTGCAGCTGCGAAAAGAGCTAATTTTAATACAAGCTCTAACGTGCCTTCCTCTCCTTTCATGACCGCCCCGGGGACGCCGGCAGCTTCGAGCCAGTCTCGCGCCGATGACTCTCGGCCCAGTACATCGCACTCACTTGCTAAAAAATACACCCGCGACGACATCATCGATCCCTCATCTAACTCCTTCAATTTATTTTGGATGGATTACGCTGAAGTAGACAATACACTCCTGCTTTTCGGAAAAAGTGTTACACACGCGAATGAGTCCATATCTGCCATGATACAGATTAAGAATCTTCACAGAGAGCTTTATTTTTTACCAAGAGAGGGCAAAACAGCTTTAGAAATTCATGATGAGATAGTTCCTTTGCTACTAGAGAAATATGGACTTGACAACATTCGAGCTAAGCCGGAGAAGAAAAAATACGCTTTCGAGCTACCGAATATTCCCCATGAATGTGAATACCTGAAAGTTTTGCTGCCTTACCAAACTCCTAAAAGCAAAGGCGTTATAATTCCTAGTGATCTTGAGGGTGACACTTTCTTTCACGTTTTCGGCGGCAATACCAATATCTTCGAAAGTTTTGTTATTCAAAGAAAAATTATGGGACCCTGCTGGCTCGAAGTAAAAAATGGGGATTTTTCCGCCCTTTCTAATGCATCCAACTGTTCGTTAGAAGTCCAAATTTCCGTTCCTTCTCTGATCACACCATTGGCAGACAAAAATGCACCTAACCTAAACTGTGTCGCTATTGCGGTACAGAGTGTTATGAACGCAAAGGAAAATAAGCAGGAGGTTGTTAGCATCACTTTGTCGCACTACGAGAATCTGCCCCAGGACGTACCTATACCAGAGGATTTAGCTCCAAACTCTATATCTACTTTGGTGCGGCCGCCGATGGGATCCAGCTTCCCCACTGGATTGATGCACCTTGGAAACAAGTCTTTGCAAGGCCAGCTAAGATTGTTCAATAACGAAAAGGCACTGTTGAGCTGCTTCTGCGCAATGATGAGGTCTTCTGATCCTGATGTAATAATCGGTCACAGACTGGAAAACACTTCTTTGGATATTATTTCGCATAGATGCCTGGAACTGAAAATTCCTACATTCAGCTGCCTTGGGCGCCGTGTTAGAAAATCGTGGCCTGAAAAATTTGGGAGAAATCCAAGCATGAACCAATTTTACATCCGCGATTTGTTTGCAGGCCGCTTACTCTGTGATATTTCAAACGAGATGGGTCAGTCGTTGACTCCCAAATGCCAAAGTTGGGATTTATCCGAAATGTTCCAAGTTACCTGCCAAAAAGAACACAAAACGGTAGATGTGAACTTTCAAAACCCACAATATCAAAGTGATGTTAACTCGATGGTTTTCGCTCTCCAAGAAAATGTATCTGCCGCTAACATTTCCGCCGAAATCGCATTTAGAATACAAATACTGTCACTTACAAAACAATTGACAACGCTGGCAGGAAATGCCTGGTCTCAAACGCTTGGTGGTACTAGAGCAGGTAGAAACGAGTACATTTTACTGCACGAGTTCGCACGTAATAACTACATTGTTCCCGACAAGGAGACAAGGCAAACTAGAAATCAGCGTCAACAGAGGTTGCGCGAAGAGGCAGGAGAGGATGCTGAAGAACTGCAAGTGAGTTCGAAAAAAAGCAAATATCAAGGTGGGTTGGTGTTCGAACCCGAAAAGGGTCTGCATAAGAACTACGTTCTAGTGATGGATTTCAACTCTCTTTATCCTTCCATTATCCAGGAATTCAATATTTGCTTCACCACTGTGGACCGGGATCCCAATAATATTGAAGAGCTACCGAACGTGCCGGATGGACAGAGCAAACAAGGCGTTCTGCCGCGGCTGCTAGCCAATTTGGTTGATAGAAGGAAAGAGGTTAAGAAGATTTTAAAGGCTGAAACCGACCCTCACAAACGTGTTCAGTGTGATATTAGGCAACAGGCGCTAAAATTAACAGCAAATTCCATGTACGGGTGCCTTGGCTACGTGAACAGTAGGTTTTACGCCAAGCCACTGGCTATGCTGGTCACCAACAAGGGAAGGGAAATTTTGATGAATACGAGACAGCTCGCGGAAAGTATGGCACTGGCTGTAATATATGGTGACACAGATTCGGTAATGATTGACACAGGCTCCGATGTCTACGCAGACGCTGTGAAAATCGGAGATAGTTTCAAAAGAATGGTCAATGAACGATACCGATTATTGGAGATCGACATAGATAATGTTTTCAAGAAACTGCTGTTGCATGCCAAGAAGAAGTACGCCGCTTTAACGGTTTCTTTTAACAAAATGGGCAAAGAACAAACTACTCTAGAAGTGAAGGGCTTGGACATGCGGCGTCGTGAGTTTTGCCCTCTGTCTAAAGAAGTTTCTGTTCACGTTCTAGAGACAATTCTATCTGACAAAGATCCGGAGACAGCATTATTGGACGTGTATGAATATCTTGAAGGAATAAGGAATCAGATTGATGCTAATTCAATTCGTGTTGACAAGTACAAAATCAACACAAGGTTGTCAAAAGATCCTAAAGCTTACCCCGGTGGTAAAAACATGCCGGCTGTACAGGTGGCGCTTCGAATGAGAGAGAATGGACGCGTAGTGAAAGCAGGAAGTGTCATTACCTTTGTCATCACAAAACAGGAAGACACGAGCGATGGTGATGCTCAGCTTTCCCCTGCTGAGCGGGCGCGGGTACTGAACGAGGTGATGGTGAAGAGCAATAATTTGCGACCCGACCCACAATACTATTTGGAGAAACAGATTTTCTCGCCGGTGGAGCGATTACTTGAGCGTATTGAGAGTTTTGACATCGTAAGACTCACTCAATCTCTGGGACTTGACAGCAGGAAATATCTCAACCGCGCAGGGGTAAATGGTGAGCTGAATGGCAACAGTGGAGATAATTTGCAACCGCTGGATAGTGCTCTTTCTGATGAGGAAAGGTTCAAAGAAGTTACTTCGTTGACACTGAAGTGTCCAGGTTGCGATCAAAAGTTTCCTTTTGGCGGAATTGTGGCCTCGAAGTACTATCAGATGACTTTCAGTGGGTTGCAATGTGCTCGTTGCAACCACCAATTTTCACCTATCCAGCTAAGTTCACAATTCGAAAGTGACATCCGCATGCACATTTCGAGGTACTACACAGGCTACTTGAAGTGCGACGATAGCACTTGCGGAGTAGTTACGCGACAGATCTCGGTTTTCGGTAAAAGGTGTTTGAACGAGGATTGCATGGGAGTTATGGGTTATTGTTACACAGACAAACAACTATACAACCAGCTCCACTACTTTGCTTCGCTTTTCAACGTTGACAAAAACAAGAGAGAGTTGTTAAAGCCACTTTACCGACCAGACGACCCGGAAGCAGCCGAGAAGAAAATACCTACATCACAGGTCCTAGCGCTGGGCGAGCAAAACCGAGAATTGTTCCAAACAATGGAGTCCGTGGTTCAAAAATACTTGAGCAACTGCGCACGTAGTTTTGTTGACATGGGCTCAATCTTTGACTTTATGAACCCTGAGTGAATATTGATAAACGCTGCGATTGAAACTGGCACGAAGTAACATCTATTAAGCTGTATCATTAACTCAACTGATTACTCTTGGGCGCGGTGGGCCTCATTCGCCGATGTCCTCGAACCAATCTTGTGGTCTTTCGTCAATGAACTGCTTCATGATAGTTTTGCATTTCGCATCGTCCACGACACGCACTTCACACCCGCGTTCTGCAAGGTACTGCTCACCGTCGCCCTTGAAATTGATGTTTTCACCCACGACACACCGTGGGATTCCATACAACAAGATGGCGCCAGTGCACATATCGCAAGGCGATAGAGTCGTGTACAAAGTGCAGTTCTTATAAACTGAACCTTTCAAACGTCCACAATTCTCAAGAGTGGAAATTTCACCATGCAGAGTTGCGCTACCTTTCTGGAATCGCATATTGTGTCCGGAGCCAAGAATATTCCCTTTATCATCGATCAAGCATCCACCGATAGGCACACCGCCCTCTTCAAAACCTTTCACGGCTTCTTGATACGCTACTTTCATGCCAAGTGAATCCCATTGTTCCATGTTCACACCCATTGCTGCGTTAATATGGTTCGAATTCGAACAGACGCGCCGCTCATCTCGACTGATGAGAACAATTCAATGTACAAATTTTAGCAGCTCGTAGGCTGGCGGATCAAAAGGAGACATCATTCCTTTCTTTCCTGACGCTGTCACAAGTGTTCATGTGAACCGCCGAGTGAGGTACATGATGTTGCAGACGGAGCACATGCGAGAAAGCTCTTGTATTAAGAGTCACCTTTTGCAATTGGCAAGTACCGAGTTCAGATCTAATTTTTGTTTCCTGGCTTGCAGTATATGTTGAAACAAGCATCGATGACAGCTGTATGAAATCGTCAAACGAAGTACAGCAATATAACTGCTGAATGCCCTAGCCGGTTTAATGCTGTTCCATTTGGCACTAGACTTAATTGGGAGGGGGGACTTAACGTTGCCAAGGGACTTTATAAGGTCAATTTTTTGTCGTGTCCGGAAAAACCCTAAGTATATTCACGATAAAGAGACATGAACCATTGTATATTTGCACCCAGGATCTTGCGAGCATGCACAAATTTCGAACAAACTTTCTGTCCAAGTCAAAACGATTGAAACACCGAACGAAGTCATTATTGAATTCCGTCAGTTTTGTCCCAAGGCAAACACGGGCTTTGAGAAAAGACCCTTCCAGTCTACTCCTGTCGACTCAATGGTGAGCCTCCCGACTCTTTTTAGCAGAACCACGACATTGCACAGGCCTCTAGCAGAATTCCGTCTTCGTTCCTTTACTTATCATCAGCATAAGCCATAAAATGGTGATCTCGACAAAACAGTTGCATGGGCCAAAACTTTCATGAAAGAACGCGTCACTGGCATTCTCAACTCAACTGCAGACAGTCTTTAACCATCTAGAGCATCTCTCGGAGTTCGGGATTTATCATTTGTTATATACCTGACACTTGGCTACAATACTTATATCCTCCTCGAGAATCATTTATATAAGTAGAACCTCTTTGATAAGTCTTGTAACTCTGAGGATCAAGGTTCAGATAGCGATCAGCTACCCACTGGATCAAGCGAACGTCACCAGCTTGCTATCCAGCCACTCTTGGGTCTAAAAGTCTAATGGCAGGAAGTTTTGGACCAAATAGCCATGTTGGTACCTTATCAACAAATATCAGCATCCCACAACAACAAGACCATCGAAGGAGACAATCAATTCTGCTATTATCTGAGTCTATTGTTAGCAGAAGGTCTTCGAAGATTTCTAGAGATGTAGGTCTCGCTTTAAAACTCGACAGTACCGGACAAAGTCCCAGGCCGGGGAGTAGTATGGAATCAAGAGTCCTTATTGATGCAGGGTCCCCAAACTTTAGGACCAGAAAACGAGACCAACAAGAGGAGATCATTAATAGTCTGCGTGCTAACTATCTAAATGACTACATGCTACCACGGAAAGTAGAAACCGGCTCCACAAGCTCAGATCATCCAGCGCAAGGTGAAGAAAGTCCCCTCATCGATACTATAGATTCACAGGAAACTCCTGAAATTCCAGAACGGGACCTAAATCTGGAAAGCCAAGGCGGCCACATCACTCGAGAGCTTTACCGTATGACTTCAGCGAGTAAAACTCTGAAAAAAACGCTTTCTGCAAGTGATCTCGATATCAATGATCAGGATTCAAGGCCTGGAACCACCGCTAGTGCTCTAAATGTGCCAGGTGGATTCCGTCGTGAGTTTATTGTTCAGCAACACAAAAATTGCAAGGATAGCAAGCCGTCGATTGGAAGCGAGAACGGAACTTATCTTTCAGACGACATTGAATCTCAAGGAACTGATCCCAATAATATGGACAAAGTTCCTTTTCTCACAAGAAATTTTCTGGAGTTTCTCTACGTGTACGGTCACTTTGCCGGTGAAACGTTTAAAGATGACTTGTATCCAGACGATAAGTCTGGTCCTCTTGATATAGATGAACGAAGCCCCTTGTTGGTAAGAGGAGAAAACGAAGCTTCTCCCAAGAGGCTTGCCCCAGAATCTACGAAAGGAACAACGTCTACTGCAAAAGCATTTCTTCTCATGATAAAGTCCTTCATCGGAACGGGTGTTTTGTTCCTCCCAGCGGCATTTGCAAACGGCGGCTTGATATTTTCTGCGGTAATGCTGACGTTTTTTGGGTGCTACTCATTTTGGTGCTATTACATTTTGATCCAATCCAAAGTGGCTGCCAGAGTTGCATCTTTCGGTGACATCGGACAATCTTTATATGGCCCGTGGATGAAGTTTATCATTCTTCTGTCCTTGGTGTTAACCCAACTTGGTTTTTCGGGTGCTTATATCATATTCACAGCCAAAAATTTGTTGTCATTCATTGACAGCGTATTCCATTGGCCGCAGGTCACCATCTTACATTTGCTGATGCTTCAGCTGATAATATTTGTGCCTCTGTCATTCATCAGAAGCATATCCAAATTATCACTGCCGTCTTTGGCGGCCAATTTTTTTGTCATGGGAGGGATTTTGATTGTCATAGGACTGACCGGTAAGCATCTCTTCGTCGATCTCGGTTGCAAACCTGCGGACGGCATTACTATGATATTTGATCCCAATCGGTGGACGCTTTTCGCGGGAACCGCCATTTTTGCCTTTGAAGGGATCGGACTAATCATTCCTGTGCAGAGTTCGATGAAGCATCCTGAAAAGTTCCCTATGGTTTTGGGTTCGGTAATTATCACCGCGACGGTTCTTTTCTTGACGGTTGCGACTTTGGGGTACCTCAGTTACGGCAAAGACATCCAAACTGTTATCTTGCTAAATTTGCCTCAAGACAGCATTTTGGTGAACTTGATTCAATTTTTCTACTGTTTAGCGATAATGCTATCCACGCCTTTACAGCTATTTCCGGCATTCGCAATTGTGGAGAGCAAAGTATTCCCCAAATTCACCAAGATCTACGTCAGAAATAATGACCGGACAAATGTTCAGTACAAACAGAACTCGGGTAAGCTTGATTGGCGTGTAAAGTGGCTGAAAAACTCAGTGCGATCAATTATTGTAGCGGCCACTATAATGGCCGCTTACTGCGGCGCTGACAATCTTGATCAATTTGTCTCAATTGTCGGATCGTTTGCATGCATTCCACTGGTCTATATCTACCCACCGCTTCTCCACCTAAGAAGCTGCAGCAAACCCAAATGCCAAAATGCCAAGAGATTCTGGCAAAAGTGGCCAGTTTTGCTTGACTACACTCTAATCGTGTTTGGACTCGTTGGTATGATATATACGTCGTACCAGAGCATCATGACATGAGGAAAGAACTGGGTACCCAGCGCAGAGGTATGCGCTAGTATCAATCTACAATCGCATAAAATAAACTCTTTGACTTCAGCATGTAACCAAAAAAGGAGAACCTAGAAACCGACTGATAACTATCAATTTTTGGGGACAATTGAGAAAAGAGCTTGAGGGCTGAAACTTGTCAGTAAGCTGGCGAATGCTTCTTTTCCGAACTGCTTACTTCCGATAGAATAATTTCCCGTCGCTAATCACGTGCTCTGACGACACCACTGTTACAAAGTGATAAGGAATGACATGGTTGACATCACACTCCAAAGCATATCTAGGCGCACAGAAGAAGGCACGGCTCTACGTATACTATCTGGCCCCAATATAGAGCATAATTAATCTTTTATCAAATCAACTGTCATTTTATTCTGAACTTCACGAATTTTTTGGCTCGAGGTTGGTATCCCCAAAATGAATCGCGTAAGAGGAGCCAAATGGTCTCGAAAATTATGGAGACTTTTCCTGACCAATAATCTAGGTAGACAAGTGTGTAGTTCGCTCAATCAGAGCCATCCTTTTGGTTCACTGTACTTGCTTCTCATTATTATCAATAGTCATGTGACCATTGATATATACTGAAAATTGGCCAACTGAAGAGCACTGGTTTAAAACTCTTGAGCTAACGATTTTGGCATTGACCAAGCATCTACGGCGTCCGGATGTCTCACAATTTCTACGGCAAAGATGCCGGTACTCCGAAATCGATGGAGGTACCTTTGGTGCCCGATGTTGTGACCCCCACAGACCTTACAACAACGACTTTATCGACAGGCAATAACATCTACAATTCGAAGACTTTGGATGAGTTATTCGGGAATTGGCGTGGTAGTGTGGTTCACAAGTACCAGATTTACAAGTCTGAGCTAGAAACACAGAAAAGTGCTGTGGCAAACGAGTACGAAAGCCTCAGAAAACATGTTTCTGAACAGGTCTTGACAGACAAATACGAAAACGCGGAATTGTTAGTTCCCACCAGTGTGCTGGCTTTGGGTGCCTTTTTCAGTGGGAGAGTGCTCAGTAATCCCAGGAACTGGGGAGCTTCCGCTTCCTTCACCAGCCGTTTGTTAACGAGTATTCCAAGTAGAATCGTTCTGCCCTGGACACTAGCAGGTGTGACATTTTCTCAACTCACTCCTGTGACATGGTCACATAGCTTGCGTTCAGTAGAAAGAGATGTTTTACCGGAAGAATGGGTCTCACAATATCACCAATTTTGGGATTCATTGCACACAGAAGGTCTGGGAAAAAAATGGAGAGAACTTAACGACGATTTGGACCAATTCTTGCAAGAAAAGATTCACAGTGCCCGCAAATTCCTCATCAATAGGCAAAACAACAAGCCTTAGAATCGTAAACAAGAGGGAACAGAGTATTTGGTTTAAGAAACAAGTCATTCCAGTTGTGAATATTCAAATTATGTAGAAATAACGTCAAAAAAAAAAAAGCATAAACAAGCATTAAGAAGCATGGCATGGTACTGTTCGGCTCATAAGCAAGTCTTTGGACGTTTAATCGCTTGGGAGTTTTATTCTGGTGAGAGAACTGGACGTTGTCTGCCAAATTTTATAGCAGGCTTTTTGTTCGAATAAGTGAGACCGCTCACTCAGAAATCGAGCACAGCATGTCATCGCGCAATAATCTACTGAATGTGAACTGCGCATTTCCTTGTTACTTGCGGCTTGTTTCATGACTGAAGACTGAAAACCCCGAATAGATTGAAGTGCTGAGTCTTCTTGAAGCTAGGATAAGAGAACTCGAGGCATCATATTACGCCTAATCGCCCTTGGTGTGACGAATAATGGACATTTGAAGTCAAATGAAGTTTAATCTTCGTGAGGTCTATTTGTGACTCCAGAAAACAGGCTTGGTGACAACCGGAAGGAATGAATTCCCAATCGCTACAAATGCTGAAAATGGTAAGCACGAATCTCACAGCCGCAACACACGAGAAACGACCTTTCACAATTTCTCAATGGCAGCATTCAGGAGTGGAAAGAGGTATTCATGAATTCGATCTTTTTATAAGCTGTATGAGCTCTAGTTGTGCTATCAGCGTCAGCTTAAAATCATCAATAGTCTTCAGGTACGTTACGACAGCGACATACTCAAGTTCCAGGCCTTGTTGCTGTCAGCGGGTCAAACAAACTTACAATAACCTCTTTTAAACGTATATTCAGTATCTGGGCCTCGAACTGTGGTTAGGGTAGTCCCCAAATTCGTACCTTTCCTCTCGTGTGGCAAGAGGAGGTTTCTGAGACTCCAAATCGTAATGCATCTCATGGTAATATGTGCTTTTAGGCTCCACGATCGGCTGGTAGATGACCATAGGGGCGCTGTAAGGTGCTGATGGTGGAACAGGTCGTTGAACAGAACGGCGTTGTTTTGTGCGTGGAGAGCAGAAAAAACAAAATTCATAGAACCCTCCAACTCCATGCACACAACATCGCACTAAAGAGCCTAGAATCCATAACCCTATTATACAGGCTAGCACGATGCCCACTATAGCCAAAATTTTCCATGTTTTGTTGCTCAGTGAGGGAAACCATGAGACATTACGACTTACAAGCTCGCCAGATACATGATAGCCTATGGCCATTCCTTTACAGACGCAAAACGACCCTCAGAGGGTGAGTTTAGAGCTTTGCTCAGAGTAAAGTTTGGTGAACCTTGAACACTTAAACAATCAGCATCATAGCGTACGTAACAAGATTTGACTAGTTGAATCTTGAAGTTGCCAGATAGAAGGTGTAGATGGCTGGCGACTTGCCATTTGATCGTGTGAATAGTCCAGAAAATCCTTGTCAAGTCATTGGGTATGGATGCCGTGTTTTCATGCTTCTGTTCCAAAAAAAAGTAGAAAAATACGTTACTGACGCAGTTATTTAGTTTTCTGCTGACACTGTAGCTCCAATTGACATCAAAGTATCTAGACTCATCTTGAGGATTTTGGGTTCGGGTTTAGCAATCCGATTGACATTTGGGCTTGAACTTGGAGACTTTTCTGCCACCGTTGCCAGATTCAATCGAGGATTGAGTGCAACTCAAATTTTTGTAGGCATTTCTCCGAAGACGACGTCCCCGAAGTAAGGCCAACATATTTGTGGATTGTATTTTGGGTTTACGTTAACGAGAATCCCTTGAAACTTCAAGCTAGCGATTTTGCGGAAATCGGAAAATTGTTTGACTTGACCAGCTTGCCCGACAAAAATTGATGCTCCAGAACGATTCGAAGCACGTCGTTCTGGTCAGGAGTCAGAGCCAATCTCTGACGCTGTGAGTCATTAAAAGTTGATCCATGGTTACTTGTCGGACGTTTCAGTATCAAATTGTCCTGAACACTCGCTGCTGTAAAGTATTCGCTTTGATGCTAGGAAAATCCTCGGGTGCAGCCAATGGCACACATAGATGTTTCCCGTTTTGTTTAGAGCGGCTAGAACTGTAGTTTTCTTATTACATTCAAAATTCTGTCCAGCGGCCAACGACGAGACAATTCTGTATTGACCGTTATGAAGAAAGGTTGCTCAAACAAACAAGCCATTTCCATCTGTTTACAACAAGAACACGAAACATCACAATTTCAACCCTGCAAAAAAATACCGCGTCTCTTCATGTATTCAGCCATTGTGGAGCCTGTGCACGATCTATCTTGACCAAATCAGTGTCAAATGCTTCGATCAACAATTCCACTAGAATTCGCCCACCTCTGCTGCCCGTGAATCTTCGATACTCTTCAGACACAGAAGCTAGATTCCAGTTCATTATTCGACGCAAACATCCGATTACCGTTCCTGTTCTGTGACGTCCCATCCCGCAACAGACCAGCAGAGGGTAGTTTTGAGCTTTTACTATAGTTTCTAGTGCTGCTACAATGCTGTGTTCCGTTAGGCCATCCCATGGATTATCATCTTCACCACCCTCTGGATTTATTGTAGCAAACTGCAGTTGCACGGAATGTGCATCGCAGAATTCCAACAAAGTGTCCTGTGGTTCCTCATTGGCAAGCCAGATGATGGTTTTCAGCTGCAAGTCGAGCAAAAAGGGAAAATTTACCGGCGAAGGCTGTCCTGAACGGTACAGATATCTTTCCACAGGACAAAAATTCAAGGGCGGAACAATTCGCTGTACTGGTGCTCGCTTTACTTGAACCACGCCATGTCCGACCTCAGTTTCTTCGTTAATGTATGGATGGTCTTCTTCTTCATTGGTGTCCATGTTCAAAGCTGAACAAAAGAAGACTCAAGAAGCGTAGCGTATGATAATAAGGCGATACCTGAGGGCGTTGAAGTCGAAAGTCATGGTTTGGATATACAACTGGTGGTTTGAGCTGTTATAGTAATAATTCATGTTTCACGTGATACGAATTGGAATTTGGGCCACGTTTATAGAAGAAAGAGCAAATGGCTTTGAATAGCACTAAGACGAGGCTTGTGAGAGCGTTCAAAAACTGGAAAGATTTCAGAGCCTGGTACCAAACGTTGAAGACGCCATCTTCATAGTATTTCAAGTATTTTTTAGTTTGAGTCACGTGATAATCAATAACAATGACAGCGACGGGCTGGTAGAAAGTGATATCAACAATGATGATAGCACGATGGTTGACGAAGTAATGCAACCGTTGATCGGCCTTCGCAGATGCGAAGCTCGACAAGCGATGTGTTGGATGTCTTCTTTTTTTGGGCTCGCTTGTAAGAGCCGAAATTCGAAATTTGCTCGTAGTGAATCGAAGTTTTAAGTTTAATTTCAAGAAACATCAGGACAGTGAATGTTATGTTCCCTTCCGGTATTTCAAAATGTAAGTTATCGATTCATTTGCCGTTGAAAGCCAGTCCTTTATTATTCTGATCAGTTGTCCAAAGACACGCTTTCTTAGCATGAGCTACTGTGTTCCGGTTTTTTGTCATCACACAAAGCGGGGGATATCTGCCTCACAGAAGACTCATCGCTCCTCTTAATGTCAGCAACGTTGTCGAGCATCCTCAATACCGCTCGATTTCAAATATTTGAAGAACACCTTAATGTAAATAATTTTTGAAAGTAAATCAGTGATCCGGTGATGATAAACGACGATTTTAGAGACTACCGGTCTTGGGGAGATACCTCTAGTGAATATAAATGTGTTCGGAACCTTTTGTTGACAAGAAACTCGACATAAAATGTTACTGGCATCGCATATCACGTGACTGGACTTTTCTCATCAAAGTAAGCCACGAATCAACCAATTGTATGTTCACGAAACCCTCCCAGACTAAACAGACCTTGTGACTTCAAGATCAATGTTCTTAGTGCTATTACACAGACAAACTGTTCTCTACAAACTACAATCTTTACAGGATCGTACAACGCGATGTTTCTCATAGCAGCTAAATCAAAGCTATTTATGAAAGATGATATAAATGTATACCCAAGTGCTAACGTACAATAAACTTGTTCCATCCAGTTTGCTTCTCAATTCAACTGCCGACATCCAGATTATGGTGAGTAAAATAGCCAAACGGAAAGCTGAGGCTTCAGGCTCAAGCTCAAAGTTTTCAGAGACGTTTTCGGCTAGCTGGAACGCTTACTACAAGCAAGTTTCTGGAAACCTGCACCTGCGGCTGATTGATAGTTTCCTGGTAGTCCTAGTCGCAGCAGGCATTGTCCAATTTCTGTTTGCGTGTATTATCGGTGACAGCTTTCCTTTGAATGCATTTTTGGCCGGTTTTTGTGCCTGTGTAGGCCAATTTGTTCTTCTGGTCAGTTTGCGTATGCAATGGGTGGAACCATTCCCTGGAGTTAGCCGTGATCGCGCATTTGTGGAATTTGTGGGTGGAAGTCTCGTTTTGCACTTTTTGAGCTTGCATTTTGTTAATTGAATTGAGACATCGAGCATTTTCAAAAGTTTATTTGGGTACAAGGACTACAGAATCGGCGCTGTATCTCGTTAGAATTGTTTGCGTCGAACTTCTAGTATACTGCACCCCGTAGGTGGGGCACTCTAACGTCACATTTTTCCCCTTTCTAGCTTTACAGTGTAAGTCGCCTAATAAGAAAAGGATACATCACTGTTGCAATTAGTAAAATCGGAAAATACGCATCGGTCCTCAGGTTGAAACTTTAAATGATATATCAGGGCTTGAGAGTAAATATTGGTGATGTATCGAAGTTCCAAGGTGAGTTTGCATTACGAACCTGATTTCTTCCATAAATGGAAGACGTGAAAAGGCCCTTCGATATGGCCCTCAACCTCATCCTCATCGAATCTTTCAGCCATCCATCTCGTCATTCCTCTCATATACTTCTAATTGTACACTTTTTTCGACTATTTTACCGCTACATTCTTTTCTGACTAATTCTTTTTAAGCTATAATGCAACACCCGCCCGACTTCTCTTTGGTCTTGGTCTTATCCTGTCTTGTCTCCACACGGCCCTGAGCAGCCCTACGTTGGCCATCAGTTGCGCTTCCATTGACTCCACGATTGGTAGTATCAGGGGTACCATTGGCACCTGCAACAGGTGCTCTTCCGCTGGTTGGGTCCTCGTCGGTCTCAGTAGAGCCTGAAGCGGTTCCATTTGTTGTGATCCCTTCTCCAACAGCACTGTTACTTTGTTGACGAAATTTTTTCTCCAACTCCTCCTTTTCAGCTACGTTGTAAACCCCTCCATTGTCTCTAACCAGCCGCACAAGACCGTAAAAAGACTCTTCTACATTAATGGCCTGTTTTGCAGAGGTTTCCATGAACGGAGCACTGAACTGTTTGGCAAGGCTGACACCTTCTTCGTACGACACTTGGCGTTCATCTTCCAAATCGCTTTTGTTTCCGACTAGGAATACCGGCACATAATCTGCGTCTTTGACTCTTAGAATCTGTTGATAATACGTCATCAGTTCATCGAACGACGTCCGTGACGTGACTGAATAAACCAATAGGAATCCTTCTCCAGTACGCATGTATTGTTCCCGCATTGCGGAGTACTCCTCTTGGCCAGCTGTGTCCAGGATATCCAAAATCGAAACTTTGTCGTCTATCACCACCTGTTTGCGGTATGAATCCTCAATAGTCGGATCATATTCATCCACAAAATGTGATTGAATCAATTGGATGGTAAGTGCAGATTTACCCACACCACCGCCACCAACAACGACGAGTTTGAACTCCCTAATATTGTTCTGCGGACTTCTGGTTAGTTTTAATTTAGGGAAACAAAGAACAGGAGTGGTAGAGAGTCTCCGGGTTCTGCAGAACGTTTAGAATTAGAGCTATCAGCCTGCTCGATTGTTTCTACAACCTTTCAAACGCTAAACTGTTTCCAAGCGCAATCCAGAACATGACCCGAACGAAACTATAATTCATCATCGAAAATCTACCAATTTTACGCAAAACAGTGGCGTTGAAAACCCCAGGAAATGCACTATCAACCTAATTCTTTGCAGCAAACATCAACATACCTTACTGAGTGACATATTGAGTGTCAGTTACTTCTCTGAAACGATCCAAAATATCGAAATATCGAAAAACCGTTGCGAATGTTGTATTATTGATTTCGAACTGGTCCTTGAGACAGTGATTATTTTAAAATATTTCAACAAGGAGTCACTTTGCACGTAACGATGTAGAGGAACTCGACAACAGCCTATCCTGTGGACGAGATAAATCGGATCTTGTGAGCTGGTTTAGTTCTAGTGCCGTAAGATGACTCTTCAAATGCTAAGTGAGAGTTTGAAGAACCAAATTCCCAATATTTTCGGAACTTCAAGCCAAAAAATGGGTGTCCATTGAATTTCCACGTTTGGAGTTTTTTTATCAGCATATAGCAGCTCAATCGTTCTTGAAACCATTCTTAATCGATCTACAGTGTGCCAAGTCACTTTTTAGTCAGTTTCGGTAACTGAAATGTGAAAAAAAATCGATAAAATTGGGTCATTTTTTGTCTGATATTCTTATTTTTGGCATGAGAGTTCGGACTTGGCCCCAGATCGAACTTTTGCATAAATTTTCTTAAGCACTCCTGCTGCAAATGTGAACTTTCACTTTTCCAGTGCTTTTGATTGCTTTCAGTCCATTTTTCTCATTTGCAATCGTTGCAATACCATTTCCCCTTGGGTAAGGTCTCGAGACCGATGCAGGGCAAATGAAACCACTCGAGTATGCAATTATCACCGTCACAGCCAACCATCTCGCCATATGCCACTTGATTACAGTAGCAGTAGAGAGCTTCCCCATACTCGTTAGTCTTGGACCTCTGAGGGTAATCGTCCTTGGTGTTGGGCTTTCGTTTGCGTCGTTTGAGGTCCGATGAACCCGCTCCGCCGCCAGCGTTGCGTGAAAGACCCTGCTGCGATGTAGAGGCCTGATTGGCACCGCTGAAGTGACCGTGATGGTGCTGGTGCTGGTGCTGATGCTGATTATGTTGGCCCGCGCCAGTAGCCGAAGCAGCGCCGGCAGCGCTATTACTAGTGCCAGCGTTACCGATAGCCCGCTTTTTACGCCCGTCGGAAGCCCCCGAGGCCTCGTAGTGTGGGCCTGGGCTATTGTTACCAGCGTTTCCGTCAGTGATGTTGTCTGCGCTATTTACACCCCCAGGACCTCCAAATCCACTTTCCGAATGCGGAACCGCGCCCTGGGGTCCTGTTCTTCGAGCAGCCATGGCCTCACGCCGAGACTCGCTTTTCAACGCTTGTGACGACTTGCTGTTAGTCTTGGAGTCGATTTTGGCCATAAGTTCGTGATGAAGATGCATCGCCGGATGGTCGTCGTTGCCGAGTCTGATTTTTGGTGGGATTTCTGTGTTTTTGATAGCCACTTCGTACGCCAGTTCCAACCGTGCAGTGAGCCTACTGAGCGATTCATATGCCAGGGCAGAAACGTGCATTTTTTCTTCTAACGACGGCATCAGCTCCTGAAACAGCCCATTCATGTCTTGCAAGGATCCTTCACCCGATTTCTCGTCCAAAAACCGTTCGATGGTGCCATTTAGCTCCGGAACGGTGTGTATGCACTTGGCATCGATTTCGCGTAGCAGCGTCATATAACGAGAAACCTCCAAGGGCATCTCTTCAAGAACGTCGCTGACTTCGTTCAGCCCGGGATAAAGATTAGCAGGCGCTGCCATGATTGCAGCTCGCTAAACACCAGTCAAATAATGATGGAACCACCAATGACAACAGACGTTCGACGATCGATGCATCCGGTACTATTTTATATCTACATGATGAGTTAAGTATATTAGGGACATCGCTTAAAAAAGCAACTTACGTAATCTGTGTCGATTACGTAACCAGTACTTTTCTCACATGACTTATAAATCAGCTGACTTTTGAGTACCTATATGGCTCAAACTTTATCCCTCATTTCTCATCAGTAGGTTGTTTGGCCGAGCGGTCTAAGGCGCCTGATTCAAGAAATTTGTTTCTTAACGCTGATCAACACAGCGGAATCCTCAGGTATCGTAAGATGCAAGAGTTCGAATCTCTTAGCAACCATAATTAATTTTTAGTTTTTTTCGCTATTAGCGCTATCGAGCATGTTGTACGGAGTCCTTAGTTTGCTCAGGTATGTATGTATGTATGAGAATGTATCCAGCTAACTATGTCCCTTGAGCACTTCCACTTCAAGATCAGAGTTCTTTAAGGGTCAAAGTCCACATCTGTATCCAAGAACAAGTCAGCGACGCAATCAAGCGACATTGCCAATTTTACGCCCATCATGAGTGTCTATTTGAGCGTTTTGTTCGGAGTGCTAACTTTCGAAATGGCATGTCTGTTCACACTGGTGCTACCGCTACATTATAAACTTCGCAAAGCGTTGGTGACCAGCTATTTCCGGTTCGTCAGCTACACGCAGGTGAAAACGGTGATTTTCATAGTGCAGGGACTCGTAGGACTGCTTTTCGTGGATTCGTGGAAAAGGTCCCAGATATCTGTATTTCTACACCATCACCAGGCCACGTCTGGAGCGGACCCTAACGCCGTGGGTAATGTCACACCCGTCCAAGCTTTGGCCTCCAGAGCGTATAATCAAAGAAATATCTACATTTCCGGGTTTATACTATATTTCTGGTTCTGCATTCCTGTAGTGATCAGCGTGGTGAGAAGACTGGTAAAGTACGAAACTCTGATCCGGGAAAGCGCCAGTTCTGAGAACGATGCCAAAGCGGACTCCGAAAAATCCTCTGACGACGATGAGATTTCAGCTCTTCGGAAAGAGCTCAAGGAAAAAAAGGCGTCCATTAGTGCCCTACGCTCGCAAAAGGCTAATTTAGAGGCACACTACGACAAGACCGTGGTTCCCAAGCTAGACAAAGAAGCATCATCCGGGGAGAAAAAGAGCAACTAAATAGAAACCGATTTGGAAATCACATACTACCGCTGCCACCTGTTTTTACGCCTCTATAGTTCGTCTTTATCTTACATAGTGCTTTATATTTTAAAGTTTGCAAGACATAGTTGTTAATCTTGCCGCTGGATTAGTGGTCGATGCCAGATTGCCACGTCTCATTCAAACGGTCGCCAAAGATGGTCTCTTGGATGTAGTTAACGTCCTTGACGTCACTCGCACTTAGCTCGTGGGTTTCCCGGTCCACCACATCCCAATAGCTTTGCAAAGCTATTTCTAGCTCGTGGATGCTGCTCACCCCTAAAACAGTGGGTCCCCGGTCGACCCACCTGCTAAGCGCATACTTTGTCGCTAAAGTAGCCAAATCTTTACCCTGAGCTGCTGCATACTGAGCCGCCCTTTGAGCGCGTTCCCGCAATTCTGGAGAGCAAGGATGGAATTGCAGTGTTTCTTGGGCACGCAGCAGAGACATGCTCAATATTGATCCATTCTCAACCACTTTCACCTGTGCTTCGTCCTTGAAACGCAGAAATGCGTCTTCCAGAAGAGTGTTTTGCAAGTTTAAGTTGGCATACGACAGCACCGCATCAAGAGGCCCTATTTCGGCAATTTCACGACTCTGTTGCGCTACCGAAAGTAGAAACTCCACAGGGTATCCGCTGATGCCGAAATTGTGAATGATACCATCGTTTTTTAGGACACGTAGCTCTTTCAGTGCTTCCAAGACTTGCTTGGTCTCGATGAACTCAACGTCGTGCAGGAAGATCAGGTCGATATAGTCCGTTTTGAGTCGTTCCAAAGACCTCAGCACGCTTTTCCTGACGCTGGACCTCGAGTAATCGAACTCGTCGAGTCTAATGCGTCCGACTTTAGAACATATGAAATAATTGTCTCTAGGATATTCTGCTGTAAGCTGTTCCAATGCTCTACCGTACAAAATCTCGCTTTGCCCGTAGTACGGGGATGTATCGATGGCTCTTATTCCCCGATCAAAAGCGTATCGTATCATGTCCGTAAGTGGGACAGATTCTGGGTTGTCAGTATATTGAGTGTTGAGAATGGCACCCCCAAGAATCAAGCTTGGAAGCCTTTCAATTGATGCGCCCTTGACAAATTCCTTTACAGGGCCAATTGGCCTGTTAACTGCTATTGATCCCATGCTTCTACTTATCTTATATAGACCCACTAACAGCTAAACACTACGACTCGTTTGTTGTATTCGAGGTTCAAGATCCATTTCGAGATCCGGGTTTTCTAATTTAAGTCCATATGATGATGATGATGAACCTTTAAAGAAAAACGGTTCTCGAGATCAGAATTTAAGACCTGAGCTTACCACTTTTCATACCATCAACGTACTTTTCAAACTACCAGAAGCCATGTCATACTACAACAGATACAGAGGCCAACGAAACTACGCACCTCAAGCAGATACCGGTGCAGCAATGGATGAACCTGATGCGATCTTCGAATTGGGCAAGAATAAGAGAGTAACGGTTCGTCAGTTTCGAAATATAAACCTTATTGACATTAGGGAGTACTACGCAGATGGAGCGTCAGGAGAAATGAAACCAGGCAAAAAAGGTATCTCTTTGACGGAAGAAGTGTACGACGAGTTACTCAAGCATCGACAGAACATTGACGATGCGTTGCGGAGGTTTGGCTCCAAACGGCCTAGAACGAAGACTGTTAGCGTCCTTTCGGATAGTGAGGAAACGAACGTAGATGAAGAACCAGCTGGGAAGCCCTCCAGCCGGAACCGGGAAAAGCAAAGTCAGATTAAGTCCGAAAACGGTTCAGAAAGACCAAAGGCCAGAAAAGAACGCAAAAGAAAAGAACCGGCACCACCACAGGCCCAACCGGACGAAAAAAGACGCAAGAACGATGAACTAGAATCCAATGCACAGCTGGTTGTCCCGTCTACAGCGCCATCCGCTCCTACTTTGCCCGAGAAACCAACTAAGATTACCAAGACCAGCAGCCAAAAGACCAAAATAGCTAGTAACCCAAGGCTTGACGACATTCCGAATGCAGCACAATCGATGCAGACAGCACAATCAGCACAGACCAGTAATCCAAGACTAGACGACCATTTGCATAAGCTCACGCCTCCTGTGAAGCCCACCAAAAACGATTCTGATTTGGACTCGAGCGACGAAGATTTTGCACTGGCGCTGGAGTCAGAATTCAACAAGGACGATGACGACGCCGATGATGACGATGAAGACGGTGACCGTACGGCCCTCAATGACCACACAGATGGGAACATCAGCGAGGAATCGTGACCAACTGGTTCTTCTTCCCATGTGGGAGCTTTGCAAGCGCCTTCTGAAGGTGTTTCTTTACATTCTGTCTCTATACCCTACGACTGCGTTCAACCAGGTAGTATTGCTACAGATGGGATCATTTTTCGTGCATACACCCAACAGCCCACAATTCCGTCCGGTGATGGGATTATCACCTACAGCAGCCATCTTCTCATTCATGAGAAACACAAACCTCCTCATCTTACCAAGACCCTGCCATTCGAGAAATGAAGTGCAACTGTGCATAGGCTGCACCGAAATAAGACAAAACTTTTACAATTCAACTATCAAGCTTTAGAATCACAGTGAAAGGCTTCTGTGGACTGCGTAAGTCGTGCATGTCGTGCTAACAAGGCAAAACGATCCAGTTCACTCAGTTCACTCAGTTCTAATCCTTCTTTTCCGATAAGTAGTTCGTGATAATTATATTTCAGATCTTTGAAGTAGGTGATAGAAACCCCGCTTCAAACACAACAAGACACAACCAAATATTCTGATTCAAACAAAAGGTGTCAGCGAAGTCATCTTGGCCAGCTTTTGAGCTTGTCTCAGCGTCTATTTCCCTCCTGTTCTCAGAATCTGTAGATATCACTGTGAACGAAGGATGGTTCTCTTTAATTAGCCATATTTTTGAAGCAAAGACTGACTATCTTCTTCTACTACCGCTTTTTGCGAACTGAAGACGCTGATTCACACTCTGATAAGTCCCCCATTGAACACCGGGCATTGTATCTAGAGTTCGCAAGGTCCAAAAGTTTTAAGGCTATGTCAGACCCAACGGAACATGAAAGTGCGCCCTTGTTAGGTAGCAACAACGTTGGATCAAAGTCTAGTAAGACCAAAAAAAACTCCAAAAGACGGAAGCGGAAGTCAGCTTTTAAAGGACCGGGGAACAGAGCTAGCCATGAAGGGTCTCAGATGGGTTCTCACGGCCACGTTGAGCATGGTCTGTCGTCAGCAAACGATTTCGATAAGACAGACTCGTGGGGCATTTTGCACGAGGGCACCGATGAGGAAACGTCCAACACTAGAGGATCATCTGACGTCAATCTCACGTCAATGCAGCATCCTCGGTCGTATTTCGATCACAGGCCATCGATTGCTGTTATGGAGGCGATCAATTCGTCCGGTAGCGTCCGGAAACCCCGAAGAATGAGCTCTTCTCGAGGAAATCCCACCGGGTCTGTCAGTAGCACTTCGCAAAATGTGTCAAACAAGAAAAACAACTCCGGTAAATCAAGTGGACCTCTACTATCAGCAGAAGAGGCAGAGCGTTGGGCCAAAAAAAATGCTTCTAAGCACACTAAAAAACCAGAAGCTCATCTGAGAGGAGACGACGTGGTTATAGATGTCGATGCTTTGATGGACCACGTGATCCGGTCCAACCACAGCCATTCTTCTAGTAAATCGTCTTCCGTGAACCCTTCGGAGGACGGCTACCATTCAAGACCATCTTCGAGGCGCAGCTCCAATGATTCATCCATCAACGATGTATGTTTGCCAATAGACGATGAAGATACGGCAGGAACTAAGGTGTGGCCCGACGTTGCGGTTTTAGAAGAGTACTCGAAGGATGAAACGGAAAGGCTCAGGAGCCAGGCTGTACAGGACGCTGAGAACTTTCATTTCCAGTATGATGACGAGGATGAAGATTTCGACGATAGTCAAAATAATGATGGTGTTTTGTTTTCCAAACCCATTGTCACTAACATAGATGTGCCTGAGCTTGGGAATACCAGGATCAATGAGGCAGAGCACATGGAGTCAGGACGTTTGAGACCCAGAAAAATTACGCCTTGGCATTTGCGTCGCAAGGGTAACAATATACCTGGGTTTACGGGGCAAACTGATGCCAAAAATATCAGTGTGGTTACGAAGAAAGAGGCAAAGCATCAGGAAAATTTTCTAGTTGGCAATCGGATACAGTATCCACCCCATATTGTATCCAACAACCCAGAACATTTCAGGTTCACCTATTTTAGGGAAGACCTAGACTCTACGATCCATTCCCCTACTATCTCCGGCTTGCTACAACCGGGACAAAAATTTGACGAGCTCTTCGTTGCTTCGGTTTATTCATCTGCTAGTAACGGCAATAATAATGAAAACCTTGCTAATACCAATCCTGGTGTAACTCCTGCCGAAACAAAAAATAGCACCCCACAACAACAACAACAACAAACACTTTTGCAACGCTTGTCTACGACGCAGTCGGGAAGTTTAGATATGTTCGATTGTGAACCCTTTTGGCTTGACGTTTCAAATCCCACGGAAGAGGAGATGAAAGTTTTGAGTAAAGCATTCGGAATTCATCCGTTAACAACAGAAGACATTTTCCTTGGAGAAGTTCGTGAGAAAGTTGAACTTTTTAAGGACTACTACCTGGTGTGTTTCAGAAGTTTTGATATTGTCGCCGAACGCCATACTCGTCACAAGAAAATGCATCATGAATCTAACGCCTATAATTCTTCGGACGCGGATCACGATGAGAGCTCCAAAGGGTGGCTGCCCAAGTTTTTCAGGTCTCGGAGGCGCTCTTCCACAAACAAAACCGTTTCTAGCTCAAATTCAAGCTATCGAAGTAAAGCGAGGAGGCAAATGGAAGAGAATGAAAAGTACAAGCGAAAGTCTGGCGATAGAAGAAAACCGCGGGGCGGCGAGCTAGAGCCTTTGAATGTTTATATCATTGTATTCCGCACCGGGGTTCTTACCTTCCATTTCGCCCCAACCCCACATCCAATAAACGTAAGAAGAAGAGCAAGACTTTTGAAGGACTACCTGAATGTGACCGCAGACTGGATTGCGTACGCGCTCATTGACGACATCACCGACGCATTTGCACCGATGATCGAAATTATTGAGGACGAAGTCCACGACATTGAGGAATCCATCCTCAAAATGCACCAGTCCGACGATTCCTCCTCTGATGACGATGACTCTTTGGATGAGAGTGAGGCTTATGATCGTAACTATGCCAGCATAGAGCGCTACCCGAGAAGAGGAAGTGCCGTGGGTGAAGGCGCCAGCCTTTCCACCAGGACCAGATCTACTCGCTCGTCGAGCTCCAGCTCCAGCATTGACACCAATATAATTGGCTGGAAGCGGAAAGGAGACATGTTAAGACGCATTGGCGAGTGCAGAAAACGAGTCATGAGTATTGTGCGACTGTTGGGCTCCAAGGCCGACGTTATCAAGGGATTTTCGAAACGGTGCAACGAGCAATGGGATGTGGCGCCGCGTTCTGAGATCGGCATGTATCTCGGCGATATCCAGGATCACATTGTGACCATGGTTTCGTCCCTCAATCACTACGAAAAGCTTTTGAGCCGCTCCCACTCGAATTACTTGGCTCAGATCAATATCGACATGACAAAAGTTAACAATGACATGAACGATGTTCTGGGCAAGATCACTATTCTGGGTACAGTTGTACTACCTATGAACATTATCACAGGTTTGTGGGGTATGAACGTTCTAGTTCCCGGCCAGGACAACCACTCACTTACTTGGTTCACCTGTATCACCACATCCATGCTGATATTTGCCTACATTGCATACGTTTATACCAAGAAGCGGTTTGGATTCTGAATCGCATTTAACAACCGTCTAAATAGCCTGTTCAAAAGCTTATGGGTAGTTCTTTCGTTCAAGTATTTCAACCTCGCTGTCGTCATGTCACGTTAATGATTTGTAAGGCATTGTTCATAGCTCATCGGATACCTTACTTTTGGATATAAGAACCGAATTCATAATACACATTTCAAACTCATATAGACTTCTAAGACTGGTCTGAACTGTTCTTGAGAATCGTCTAGTTAGCTCTCTGATTTGACTTCAACTTATCCCTCCACGATGACTGTACCACAGCCTGATGAAAGGTTCGAGGCGACTTACGCCGTTGAAATGCACTGCGAAAGTTGTGTCAAGGACATCAAATCGTGCCTTTCGTCAATTCCTAATATTTCACTTGGGTTCTACGTTCCTGAAAAGATGCTAGCAGTTACCGGAACTGTGGCCCCATCCGTGATAATATCGAAACTACAAGAGTGTGGTAGAGATGCGATTATGAGAGGTAGCGGAAAACCAGATAGCGCCGCAGTATCCATTCTGGAAACATTTGAGCCCGTAGCGTCGAATGACACACCAGTGAGAGGATTGGCTCGCATAGTAAATGTGGGACCTTCGAAGACGTGGTTCGACATTACCTTGAACGGCGTTGAAAAGCCAGGAAAATACTACGCCTCCATCAGAAGCAGTGGTGACCTTTCTGAAGGTGCCAAGTCAACGGGTGGGAGCTTCTATGAGTTCCCAGTCCCCATTGAATGCAATTCGAAAAGTGACTTTGGGAATAACCTATACAGCGGACAAGCATTTTTGAGCTCTCCACTGCAAATATGGGAACTCGTTGGGCGTACCTTCATGGTAACTTCAAGTCCGCAGCATGATCCAGGGGCGGGAGCCGAGTTCTGCGGCGTCATTGCGCGCAGTGCTGGTGCGTGGCAGAACGATAAACTAGTGTGTGCCTGCAGTGGGAAGACCATCTGGGAGGAACGTAAAGATGCCATTAAGCAAAACATTACCAAGTAAAGAGGAGGATTAAGAGATGAGAAATGGGAGAGGTACTGCAGGTTTACAAGATTATGAAAGAAAATGGGGAGACATACCATTTTTGAGTGTTTTTTATTTCGTTGGTAAGGGAAGAACCGTTGCTTTAAACCTGTAGATGATAGGAACATACATGCTTTATTTATCATAATGAATGCTTTGAGCGCAGTTGTGTCCGTGGAGTGGTCTTCACTTTGACCGCTTTTGAGTGCCAGTTGCCAAAGTCGAGGAACAAAAAAAAAAAAAGGGAAACCGAAGCAAACCACTAGTCTTTCTTCTTCCGTCCACAGAAAGGCGTGCCAGCAAGCCCCGCACTATTAATCGTCGATTACAAGACCAGAGTTCTTGTTACCGGCCTTTTTGCCGGATTTCTGGCTATCAAGTGGTTTGGAAGTGTCCGTCTTCTTGTACGGCGCCTTGTCGTTAATCTTTTTAGCCTGTTCATCAACGATTTCCTCGTCCGCTTCGCTGGCTTGCTGCTTGTCGGCTTTGACGTCGTTGCCAATACCCTGCTTGGTGCTGTCTTTGACATTTGGAGTCTTCGACTGTTGGTATTCTGGATCGTGTTCTTGTAAGTTTTTGACCTCTTGCTGCATGGCCACCTCGTTATTGAACTGTTCCTTCGGCACTTTGGCGGGAGCACCTTGGGGTTTGGCTTGTGTATCCACCTTTGTGTTGACTTTGTCAGCTCCCTGTGCTGCCTGTCCCACTTGTAGCGCCACTTTTTGAGCTGCATCCAGTAGACCACCGCCGGTTGTGCTTGTTTCCCCACCAAATTCCAGCTCGTTTCCAGCGTCTTCGAGCTCAAATTCGGCCGGCGGCTTCCTGGCGTCCAGCACAAGCGTACGGACCGCGAAAAACACCGCTGCTAACATAATAGCATAGATTATCGCTTTTTTCATTGGGGTGGTCAAATAAGAACCCTTCCCGTTCCCACCGTTTTTTTGGCCACGATACCGAGGCAGCAAATCTGCCTTGCGTCGAACACCTCCTTGCATTTTCGTCTTTTGAGGAATGAGGGCTAGGAACGTCTAATTGCAAATCTACAAGTACTAACGACTTGCTTTGTCGTTGCTTAACTGGTCAATGGCTCGTTACCTAGTTTGTTTTTATTTAATATGTTCAGTAATCGATTGTTCTCAAGATCACCTGACTAGACTAATTTGAGATTTCGTTTGGGTCACATGACTGGTGATGGGCTTAACTGATGAGAATAAAATAGAATCCAAGACAAGAGTAGGTAAATGAGACTGTTGAGCAGATAGAATATCAACAGGCAGTAGATGCTCAGCAGTTGAGACTTGGCGTTGGGTTTTTTTTAAAAAACGAATGAAAATTATTGTGTGATGGGCATTGGATGTGAGTGTCTGGTGGTGTCATGATTATGATAAGTGTTCTGACAAGCGTGGAAACTTGGTGCTGTTACGCTTTACAGGTGGGTGCGGACAATCCTGAGTGAGGTGCTTTCACTTCACAAATGACGTTTTTATTCGTTGTCCCCAATCTTGAGTTCGAAATCAGTTTTGGGAGTAGGTTTGAAGCAGTGAGAGGGACTTTTTGAACTGAAGGAAACCTGTTAACGGAAGACTACTCTAATATGACACTAACTGGATGATGAAATCCCTATCGTGTCTCGATAGCCAGTGACAGTGACGGTTTGGGTTGACATTCTTATTGAATATCCTTAATTAAAATGTGTCGCTGTCATCGGTCACGTGATGTTAGTTACTCTTTGCGTATGTGACACTTTCCTTACGATAGAGGCGTTTTGACAGTATTTGTTTGGGCTGGGCTTACGCACCATGGGCTCTAAGCGATGTTTCCGATCGAATTATCGGAGCTCCGGCGTTCATATCACAATGGTTCTTATCCTAGTCCAGGTTGTTCGAACAGCTCTTTCACGTGACAACACAATTTTGGCAAAGAACCTCTAACTGTAAACGTTGGAAGAACTCACCGACCCGTTTCAATCTGCGTATAATAAGGCTTTCTCCATACTCATTGGACGAACGTGCGCTTTGGGATACAGAGTAAAAATTTATGATAATTCTTTACGGCATTTCCAAATCCAAAGTCGTTGAAGGTCAGGAAAACATATAAAACTAAACGACCACAACATAAGGAGCTCCCTGGAGCATTTACACTTGGCGGCCCGCTTCTAAACCATCAAGTATTAACATCAGTAACCTTGAAAACAGGCCTAAAAACCTCCGCTACAACTTCTCGCTCGTCTGATCACGTGGTATCCATGGAAAAAGGTGTCAGAATTAATTAAAGGTGATAGAAGTTCAAAACCCTTGCCGATCAACGCATCGTGATTTCACCAACGGGTCATCAGTAGCTCTGTTGCCTGCATACTTACTTCGTATATCTACCTATTCTGTGAATTACGCATCCAATTGGGAAATTGGACTCGTCTTTTTTTGTTTCCCACAGCTGTTTCGCTCACCATGTTCTAGAACGCATCAATCTGCAATGCACACACAACCGGAACCAAGCAGCTCGGTTCTATGCAAAAGTGCAGATACGCGGCCCTCTGCTATTATTTGGTCCTCCTGCCATACCCACATACACTCGCAACGACACACTTCTATGGTTACCTCAAGTCAAGCTGTGCTATCCTAAAGTCCGCTCTTCGGATGCATCACATTATCCGAGCCAACAAGGGTCTTCCAAAACCCGAATTCGCCGTATCTTTAGCAAGGATTTTCGAGCCAAACACTCAACCTGCCATTTTTGCCCACAATGATATCATTATACTATACCATTCCCATGTTGTTTTCTCCCGTTATCTGTCAAATTTCACCTCAAAATTGCCGATTTTCGTGTCGTGAACTCGAACACCGACCTATTTTTTTTTGCCCAAACGGAACGTTGCGTTGCCCGGGTGCCCAGCCATCTTGTTTTCAAAACCTTAACGCCATTGGCCACCCATCCTGTGTCACATGCCAAAAGGTGTCTTGGCACAACCCTCAGTCGTGGCTTCACTAACGTCAACATTGAAAGGCAGGCTAGTCGTTGAACCCAGAAACTTAAAGCAGGACTTTTCGATAAATATTCAAGCACTTGAATAACCCATCCCACAAGACTCTAAAACGTTATTGGCCTTTACTAAATTTACATCAGTGTTGTTTTGTCTTGGTGATTTTAACAGGTGATAAGTTTATCAAATATCCTATTTATAAGGTTTTGGACACAACTAACCTGTATCATCATCACAAAAGCCACAAAACGCAGCTTATTGCGCATTTAATCGGTGCATGGACACTTCCCGGCAGTACCAGTTATCAGGATTATCATCTGGAAGTCGAAAAAACTGGCTTTTCAACGCTACAGCTTGCTTTGAATTCACACATTTTGCGCATCTTCACCGGTAATATCTGAAATACACACATCTTGCTTACCAAAAGCTCTTTTCAAAGAGGCCAACTGCATCATTCATGACCCAGCAAGACCTGCAAGGAAGGCTAGAGTCCTTTTCGAACAACTCGCTGGACATTCATGGCGGAAATGGGCCTCATCAACGCCACATCGTCGAGAGCAGCAACAGCAGTTACAGCTCGAGAAACACGGGCTCCAACGCCGCAAGTGCACTGGATAGCTCGATGCTGGAATCTTCAGGTAACACTCCGGACTCTGCATCCAACTCGTTCCGCAAAAGGTCTCAAAACGTCCACAAACAAGGGAGTCCCACAGCTGTGACAGACCTTTTGGCCATGTTGGACGACCACGCTGCCCTTCACAGCACGCTAGCTCTCACAGACGCCTCCGACGCTCATCTGCCGATGGACCCACAACTTGCTGCCCACTCATCCAGTTCGAAATCCAACTCCATCTCGCACCCAAATCCATATTCTAATTCAAATTCAGTGTCCAACTCGTCGGGACTCTCTCCACATCGAATTTTACAGGACTCCACACTGTTTGCCCCAGACGATGACCCGCTAGCTATTCTATCCCGTTCTCTGGAACAAAACCCAGCTGCAACTCTCAGAAGCTTCAACAGCCCCAACACCCGCCACCCAACTATTTCGTCACCATCTTCTGGCCATGACAATCAGCAGCACTGCATCAATCCAAACCTTCTCAGTAATGTAAACTCGCAATTTGTCGACTCCGGGTTCCTTATTGATCGTATTTCGCCTCCTGATAACCAGGTCGATGATGATTCAAACTCGTTATTTGACGATTTCACTTTTCAACGAAGAATGAGTGAGCTTGCTTCTTCACGCAACCCTGCAAGACCGGAATTATACAACAGAAACTCTATTTCCTATAACACCGATGCCTGGAACTTACCAAGCTCGACATCGACCAAGGGACCATCTAATAAACCACAAAGGTCATTTGGCGCTGTTTTGCCCTCTTCCTCAAGCACAGTTCGGCCCTCAAGCACAGAAAAACGCTCAGAGTCGTTACGACCTGCAAGTTTATCAACTTCACCTTTCAAGATAGACAACGAACTCACGAAATTCCTGGAGGACTACAATTTGAGTTATTCTGTTTCTAAACCAAGCAAAACGAGAACTACATCTTTCAACAACGCAAGCAACGCAAGAAGATCTTCGGCGTCGGAACCTCAGCATAGGGTCCAGAAACAGCGTGCCTCGATGTCCCTGGTGGACGGCAACAATCAAGATCTAATAGCAAAGCTTTATGGCGATGTCAAGGCACCGAGACCCCGTCTTACGAGCCTATCATGGGAAAACGCAATCATGTCAGATGACGATGAGGACGAGAGTGGAGATAGAGATACCCGGGCGATTAACGACAATACCCTGAACCGAAACATAGATGGAGGAGAAACGAGATATAGCTCAGGAGTGACCGACAATAATGCAATAGGAGAAGAAGTTATCAATGAAGACGATGACCAAATAACACAACTGCAATCTCCGCACCTGGACTCTGCAATGGATTTTCTTTCTCACGACCTCAAACCAAGCATGACCTTCCGTGATGCTAAGTTTGTTCGTCCAAACTCTCTCATAAACGGTAACAAAATGCCCATTTTGGATGTGTCTGAAACGCGGTCCAAATCGGCTACGTCCAGTTTTTCTAATCCATTGCACCACTCGATGACCAATTCTCCGACCCCTTCTTCGTATCGCTCCAACAGCCATAGCGACACCTACAACAACAATAACAACAATAACCAAGTTTCGAGCAAGCCTAGATCAGGACAATCCTTTTTCAAGGCCTCCCGCTCCAGCAAGTCGACGTCACCATTCGACGACGACGAAAAGCCGTTCAAATGTCGCGAATGTACTAAAACTTTTCGCAGGAGCGAACATCTCAAAAGGCATATACGGTCAGTACATTCGACTGAGCGCCCTTTCCACTGCCCCTACTGTGATAAGAAGTTCAGCAGAAGCGATAACCTATCTCAGCATCTCAAGACTCACAAGAAACATGGCGACTTCTAGGTGATGAATGGCACACTCACAGAAAAATGTCTGAAAACTCTATGTACCTTGATTCAAATAAATTCCAAGCATGTTGATCATGTTTGATATCTGGCACGGCAACTATCCAGAACGTTTTGGTTTAAATGTTCATTATCATATTTTTTAGTTTACCTAACGTTAATAAAGTTGGACAGACCGTTGAAGATATATAAGATATACACATATCATCTACCTTGTGAGCTTGACAATAAAACTTGTTGAAGAAAGACAGACGGGTTTAGATGGATGAAGAGGGCCATTATGGTGCGAGCTTAAGTATTCCACGCCAATTTCCGACTCTGGTTAGTCATGAGAGTCCCGAAGACCAAAATGTTCAATATGAGACGACAGACACTGATCTCGCGAGCTTCAAATCATATCATCATATCATTGAAATACATCAAAAAACTATAGAAAAGGCATTACGACCGATGCTGACGCTTGCTGAAATCTCGGGATATAGGAGGACATTTGGTGAATACAACTTGGTTGGAAGAATCGGAAGAGGTCAATATGGAGACGTTTTTATGGCGAGATCGTCTAACGCAGAGAACGTAGCAGTGAAATGCATTTCTAAAAGGCCGAAGAAGTCTCAGCAGTACTCAATGAATCAAGTTCTGAAACACATCCGACGTCAGGAGTCTTTGGGCCGAAAAATCGACAATGGTGATGAGGCTATTCTAGAAATGAACATGCATAGAATACGATGGGAACTGTTCGTCGCTTGTCGTTTGAAACACAGCAACATACTGAACGTTTTGGAAATCGTAGACTCACCCTCTAGCCCGCAGATTTGGATCGTGCTACCTTGGGCCACACTGGGAGAGTTGAGATGGAAACGGCACGATAAAAGAGACTCCATAGATCAGTGGGATAATCTAATGAAGCGTAAGACAAATCCGATTGAGCTGGCTGAATACGTTCTCCGTAGTTTGTGCAAAGGCCTGGTATATCTAGCACAACAAGGCTGTGTTCACAGGGATATCAAACCTTCCAATATCCTGGTAGACGGACAGGGTTCCAAAGTAATGCTTTCAGATTTTGGCAGCTCGTTGATTTTACCAGATAAACTTCCGTTTGGTGACAAACGGATGAGTGTGGCCTATCAAGAAGAGGTTCGTAAAATTGCGGGAACACCCGCTTTCATAGCTCCAGAGCTGTGCAATTTCACCGCCAAGGACGTTCTTATCGATGGAAATCAGCTAGATGTTTGGTCAGTAGGCGTGACGATTTTCTGTCTGCTGGAAAACCGCCTTCCATTCAGTGGAGAGAACGAATTTGAGACCTACCAAAAGATCGTCAACGATACATTGCCACAATCTAATAGCTACTTACACGACCTGGTTGTCTCCAAATTGCTAGCTAAAGATCCTGCGAAGAGGGTGAAGGTCCAGGAACTAGATAGACTTTCCAGTGCTCCCAAAAAGGACGAGAGACTGAAGCGATTCGTATCCAAATTCAAAAAGTTGGGAATGAAAAAGAAGAAAAAACGCAAGGGTGTCGAAGGTCGAGAAACTGGAAATTGGATACCCATAGCTATTGATGGTGGTGTTCAACAGATCGATTCTGACCTATCGTCCGCTGGAGAATCCTTCGATGAACCCATTTTGATTGCCGACTTTGTCAAAAGCGCAAAGTCTACCACGAGAACATCAGTTGCAGATACTGGCGAAATTGGAATCTCGGAGTCATCAGACGCTGGTGCTTTTGAAAAGACTCGAGGAAACAGCGGGCTTTCGGTGCGCGCGCATACCCCAGAGGCCCAGTTGAGTGACAAAAGCATTTCGCCTATCAAAATAGACACACCTCTCAAAAACTTCATTCGAACGCGGAATACGCCAGAAAAGACCTCGACGGATAACCAGATTAGTGACACTGATCGAAATGGCAGCATTTCATCGCATGGAAATGGGCATATCATGGCCTCTAAAGGCACTTTGAACTTCACAAAATACCTACAATCTAACTCCCCTTCAAAGGCTAAGCGCGTGAGGGACAGCACGGGGAACTCGCACCGCGAAACCAATTCTGCCGAAGATATTCGCAGGTATCTCAGTTACGCTGAAAACTGACAACAAGCGGGCTTTTCTAGTATCGTATCGTGAAAAGGTGGAGATTGTTTAGACACATACGATACCTGTAGCCATTACCGAAACCAACTGAAAAGGAGAGTCAGATCTGAATTAGGATGATACGCTTTCGACCAGTTTGTTAATGACGTCAATATAATGTGACAATCGAAGCGTCCGTCTGCGTTGTTCCATGCAGATCACTAAACCACGATACTGACGCTCAAGCCATATTCACATTTTTGCATCCCAAACGCTCCACCCTCTTCATCCCCCAAACCAATCCCGCCAGTTAACTCGCCCGAGAGCTTCGCATCGATTGATCTTCTGCAAGTTCCGAAATAAAGCTTCCCTGCGTGATCTCCCGACGCACCCTGCCGCGACCACGAAATGATAGAATGAGAAACTGCGTTGAAACCTGGGTTTCTAACAGTTCTTTTAGATCTCAAAACTTGGCACGTTGAATTCGAATATCAAGCAGTTCTTTCCCGTGCGTGGTTCCTAGACATTGTGCTTGGAGAATGCCAGCCTCGACCTAAATACCACTCGTGAGGTGAATTGCCAAGCAAACAGCGATTTGCGAAATGCCACCCAGTTCGATGGCTCCCGTTCTAATTAATAGGCTTAATGACTCATAATATACACGCTATCCTCAGTCTTGATCTTCTGTAGCGTTTCGGTGTTCACCGTTTGTAGTGCTTAGCTAGCCAAAATGGTCAAAGGTATACAAAGAGTATCTTTGACACATACAACAAGAATGGTTGTTGACCGACTGTGAGCCCTCAAGATCTAAGATCGCTCGAGCCATGAGTAACCTCAGAAGCCTGAGCTTCTCTAAGAAGGGCAAGAAACCTGGTTTGATGCTTGGATTAGGCGAAAGTGGAAGTTTCTTGAAGAACATCAAGTTACTGAAGGGTAAAAGCCGTAAGAATGGCCAGCCGATTAGCGAAAACATGAAGAAAGTTGGTCAACTAGCACAAAAATGCAACACAAATGGTGGTCAAACTTGTTTACCAGATATCGGAGCTAACTACGAAACTCAATTGCTTCGTGTTAGCTCTGCAGAAGAGTCTTCGCTCTCTGGAGACGAAATGTTGGGAGAGAGAGACTGCTTTTCACCGGTGGTAGAGAGTGCTGCAGAGCTGCCAAGTAGTTCACCATTCCAAACGTCGTTCAATGGTGACGGCATTCGCAAGCCGTCTTTCAAAACTGGGCAGCACAATGGATTGGCAGCGACAGCTTCCACTACCACATTAAGAAAAGATGATAATGGACCATTCGCTCGTGGCAAGCTCACTAGAAATGGAGTGAAGAAAGATACAGTTCTGCCGGGTCAAAACTCAAGAGGTAAATTGAGAAGAATCCATTCCATGTTTGCTTCACAGAAAGAAGCATCTCGGTCCTACGATGACCCAGCACCGAACACTTTGCATTCACCAGACGGCACAGATAGTTCCAGCCTTCCCGCATTCAACTCACGGCTAGAAAAGAGCGGTATTTCGCACTATTATGACGATAAGTCCGACGATCATTTCCCTCGCATCGACGTAGAGACTCTGGTCGGTATTATGGATGGTCAATTCAAGGCGCACTACAAGGCCGTTCATATTGTCGATTGCAGGTTTGAATACGAATACCAGGGCGGCCATATAGGTCAAGCCATCAACATAAATACCCGGGACGCTTTGGAATCTCGTTTCCTCAGAAACTCTAATGATGTCTCAAATTGTAAACAACCCTCACTCATGGTTTTCCATTGTGAATTCAGTTCATATCGCGGTCCCATAATGGCTTCCCATTTGAGAAACTGCGATCGCATGCTGAATCACGATAACTACCCAAAGTTACACTATCCGGATATTCTCGTCGTTAAAGGCGGTTACAAGTCTTTCTTTGATCGATACAGTAGTCGGTGCTATCCACGCTGTTACATAGGCATGGACTCATTGGAGCACGTCGCATTGTGCGAGAGCGAAATGGAGAAGTTTCGCAAGGACAGCAAAAAGATCGCTACACGCGCCAGTTCAACGGATTCCTTGGGTAAAGGCCGAAGCTCTTCGCAGCCCAAGTTAAGGCGAAATACCAGCATGAGGCTCAATGGTCAGTCCGCTATATCTGGCATGGGAGGCACGACAGATCATACGTATCAATCCTACTACACGAATAGGAGCAGCCTGTCCTTCAAATACGAAGCTCCTCCAAAATTGTCATTCACTAGTTACTGCAGCAGCTCTGAAAGTCGAAGCCCAAGCAGCGTCTCTAGCAGTAATGGGAGTACAGGACTACTCTCTCAGGATGAACTACGCGACGACACTGGAAGCACAGATTTGGACAATGTTAGTTTTGAAGACTCCAGCGTCAGTGCTCAACAACAAGAAAGGACCGAACCCGGTTTTCCCATGACGAACCCGAAAAGATCTCTATTCGGCTCTATTTTAAGGGAAGAGGAAGGGTAGACAGCTCTGTTCCCAACTCAACATCGCATATTCAAAAAAAAACTAGCATATCATCTTTCTATAGCTCGCTATAACGAAAATCATTTATTTTACACAGGCCATACATTCCAGGTTCTGACTTGGAAGAGCTTTGTAGCCACTGGAAACCAACATCAATTCTAATGATACCGAATTCTATATTTCGAGTCCCCTTACACTAATGTCCCCTCTTCCCACGCTTTGGTCCAACTTCGTGTCCCATCGCGAAGGCGGCCACACGACTGCCACGGCCTTTCCAAGCACGAGTCCAGTCGAAATGGGACCAAAATCGTTAGAATCTGTTGTATGGAAAGCATTGTCGCCTTCAACCCAGATGTGACTTCTTGGTATGGTAACGAGCCCTCTTGGATAAGGGTGGCGCGTCCTTATAGTATCGTGTTGTACACCTTTGACCCGTTTACAATATACTTTTTCTGGATTCGAGGGCGACTTGAACAGAACCACATCGTTGTGCCGTATATTTGTGGGATTTTTGACGCCCCACTTCCATAACAGCACCCAATCCGTGTGTCCATTATCGCTAGGGTTCAGAGTCGGCCTCATCGACCTCCCTTCTATCTTCGCTACATAGCATACATTTTCGTTGAAAGTCACCGCTACAGGAATCCACGAAACAGCAACCAACGTTGTCTTCAAGCTCAGCCTTAATCCTCCGAGTTTTCTCATCATTTGCGTGATGCTAGCAAGGTATCATCGACCGGGTATTCATCTCTTTAGGGACAATGGCGAGATGCCGATGCCTTCAGTTGTCTGTAGTTAAGACTAAACAAACGAATTTCATAGCTATTTTCGTTCAAAGTGCTATCACCACTTTAATCGTCATCCACCAGGTAACGTGATCAAAGAAATACAGCAGATATTGTCGAAAGAGCCTACAGGAGCTAAACCTTAGAGCATCAGAACGTTGAGGCACGGTGCTGTAGCTTCATTGCATTTCGATACTCCTGGTAACGTGGTTTATAGGATATGTCTTTTTCTCTCTTTTGTATATGATGAGTTTGAGATCATTTTCTTAAAGTGTTTGGTCCATTTCTCGCGCTTTCAATGATAACTGTTGTGATACAAACTCCAAGACCTTTCCAAATCACAATCGATCGCAACAGGTCTCGTACTCAAAAGGTCACATCCCACACGCTAGAAGGACCCTTTTTGTCGTATCTCTCTCTGGTAATATAGAAACTCTCATTGGTGTGCCCAAAGCCCTGCTTGGCCACAATCTGTGCCCCCAGAAACGGTAGCTCACTGTAACCGTGTTTCTTCCACTCGGGGAAGTAGTCTGGATACTTGGCCAATCTAATGACGGTAGGTATTTGAACATAATCGACGTTATTGGAAAACAAGGCCTTGGCTTTTTTCTTGTTTGTTGCTTGATTGTAATAGTCTTGTTCTCTGGTAGTCTTTTCGGCAATAGGCTCCTCGATTAAGTGATCCTCTAAGAGCTTCTGAAGAAGTGCTTCTTTGAATCCCGAGATTTCAGTGGTTCCACCAATCACGACAATATTTTCCCAGATTGCCCGGAGCTTATGGAAATCATCGATCTTCACAAGCACACGTCCCACAACAGCGGATATCTCTGAAATAAGCTTTTCACAACCCTTGAACCTCTGTTTTCCCACTGTGACTTGTTGGCCGTCGCGATCTACAAATGTATTCGTTTCTTGTTCGCTGTTGGTCGTCTGCTGACTTTCTTTGCCCTTTTCGTTTTCTTCGAGCAGCTCTCGGGTGTCTCTATCGCTGGTTACCAGTGCAGCGACATCGAAAGCACCATCGTCCTCCTCATTTTGAAAATTAAGCTTGGAAACATTTTTCGCATCTTCGCTTAGGACCTCGTAAACGGGTGACCTTTTCAAGTCCTCAATCTGGTCTGGGCTCCATTGCGGGAGTGAGTGAGCCAGCTCTTGGTTTATCAAATCGCCGCCATTCTTCACCTTCCCGGAAAGATGCGTCAACTGGATGTAGTCCATGATGGGGGTCACATCAGTGCTGTCTGCATGGACATCAATAACCACGCAGTTTTGCAGCGACCCAAGAGCATACGAACAGGCTAGATTCGAAGACAAAAACATAAAATTGTTTATCTGGAGCTGCTCAAACACCAATTGTGTGATTCTTTCGACTTGAAAATGTGTCCAGGAAGGATGGCTCACCAGAAGCATTGGGATGTTCGAGAGCTCCATGTCAAAGACCTCCGGACTGGCACCAAAACGCGACCGTTGTGCAAGGTACGACTTGTACACCAGTTCCAGGAAGAACAAAAACCCGTCCAAATCTACTATTTGGCCATCCAAAAGTGGCTTAACCAGCTCGTTTCCCTCTTTCTCAGTCGTATATTTGCCATTGATGGTCTTGTAAACGGAAATTGGGATCTTGTACTGAGGAGGATACAACGTTTCTTCTCTCATGCCAAACTGGACAAGAGCATGTTGTGAGCTTGGATAGATAATCTACAATTTCAATGTTAGTAAAACTAGAGTCCAAATGGTAGCCACATAATACCAATTAACTTGTGTGGATACTTACAAAGTAACTATCTTGTCGAAAGGGCGCCATATTTGCTGGCTTTTGTAGGTTTTCCAATGGTTGATGTTTGGTCTATTCACTGTTGATGAGTTCATATTATATTAAATTGAAGATACCATTATAGAATCAAGAACATAAACAAGTCTCGATGCCCTCGATGATTGTATTTAAAGACAGAGTTTGACCCAATGAACTCCAGTATTGTGAGCCATAATGGAGCAAGAACGCTGAGCAACACTACCAGACTCACACAGGATATAAACGAAAGAGCGCTGACGCTACTGCAGAAAAGTCGTCAGCAGAGACTACTGCTGCACAGGAATGAAGACCGGAGACGATATGTAACAGCGGAAGAACCTTCGAGACTAGAAAGTCCTCAGCCTGCAGTGGTCACTAAAGTAGTAGGGAGACGCAAAAGCTCAACGAAAAGATACCGTCCCAGCGATATGGCGTTGCAGGAAATACGAAAATATCAACGCAGCACGGATCTGCTGATTTCCAAGATGCCGTTCGCTCGTCTTGTTAAAGAGGTCACAGATCAATTCACCACCGAGGAACAGCAGCTGCGGTGGCAAACCATGGCCATCATGGCACTCCAGGAGGCAAGTGAGGCGTATCTAGTGGGCCTTCTGGAGCACACGAATCTATTGGCCCTTCACGCGAAAAGAATCACTATCATGCGGAAAGACATGCAACTGGCACGCAGGATTCGTGGCCAGTACATCTGAAATCACCATGTGGGGCTTTTTAAGTCTTGATTACAACTACAAATTACTATGGACAAACCCAGCGTTATGGTTTCGATAATACTCTAGCACTTGCTACGTTGGTTTTTTCAGTTTCACGACAGTAGCTCGATGTAATTGTGTGGAATGATTCCATGCCGATATTTGGGATCAACATCGGCTGCGTCCCATACTTCCCCAATATACCAATCGTCATCCAACTTCTCCGTCAGAAGAAGAAAATCGCCTGCACGGAAATTGACAATCATCTGCTCATTGGCGTCCATATATGTATAGAGCGCTTTGGCGTGGCGGATTACTTCCTCACCCTTGCTGTCAAGTCTCGGCAGCTCGACGTATTGGTCGCCGTCAAGGACGCGCTTCGTAGTTGAGCTAGCTCGAAGCTGGTCAGAAGGTTGACCTGGTGGATGGAATGGGATTAAAGGCTTGTTTCGTGAAGTTAAGCGGCTGGTGGTGGTTTCATTGTCTTTTCCCTCCATTGACTCCTTCCGCATTGCGTCCAGGGCCTGCTTAAAAGGATTTGAATCCGGCTCTGCCGTCACCATAGATTTACGTCTTTGAGCCGACGAAGGGGCAATAGGTTCATGCGAATTAGTATGGATTCGAGTCGTTTCCATGCTGCTAGATCTCGAGCTCCCGTTCATACTCGTGCCCTGGGATGAATTGAACACTTGAGAGCGGGTCTTCGATTTTCTTCGATTTTCGGAGTTCCAAGATTTTGCAAACCTCCTGGAGTCATCTATGCTATGTGCGAGGGAAGATATCGAAGTGTTCATAGATTCAATACTTGCTCGGCGTCTTGAATGCGTTGTGAAGTCTGTTGGGTTCGATGAATCGTTCGAGGATTCTGAAGTAGTGTAAGCAGCAACCGTGCTTTTGTGGCCTTCTACCTCTGTGTTATCAGAAGATATGCGAACGGATTTTGGAGCTTTGAGATAATCATCATGAGGCTGAACATCTTCAGTTTCTATGGACGGAGGAGGCTGCGAAGTCGATTGTGTGATATCTGGTCCATCGCCATTGAAATGTGCCGATAAACGGCTTCGCTGTAATTGTGAAGAAAGCTGTCGTACCGTTTGTACATGTTTATTGGAAGTCCTGGAGCTATTGACCCGGGGTCTTTCGCTCTTTGTAGACGAATCTAATGCGGTTGTCTTTAGACGCCCTGTACCATGATTGTATGCAAAAGAGGCAATATCCTGATTTGCTGTGAATTTCGCTATCCGCTGGGTAAAGTTTTCCATATTCGTTTGTTCTTGGATTGCCGTTTCTGAGCATTGTTTAGCAAACTGCTCTAATTTCACTTGAATAAACTCTATTCGCGTCTTTTCAAGCTCTTGCAGCTCGAGACTGAGAACCGACCATTCGTGCAGCCAGTGTTTACTAGACGCTCTGTATTCCTGCTTCAGAACGTCCATTTTTGACTGCAACTCATCCACAATGCTGGTCCATTTCTGGAATTGTCGGTCGTTCTGATCCGAGTCTCGTCTTCCAAGATAGTTGTCCCTATTTAGTTGACAGTCGCGCAATTCGATACTTGCTTTGTTCAATTTCTCTTTCAATACTTCGCAAAGCTGGCGTTTGGTGATCTTGTCGTTGCAAAGACTACGAACTTTGATATCGATGGTCTTGTACCTGGCCTGGATTTGCTGGACAAAATGTTTGAGCTCTGAATACCCGTCCTTATGTATTTCCACGGCTGCTTTTGAATGTGATTGGCTCAAACGTTCCTGTGTAGATAGCAGACCTTTGAACGTTTCACCCAGTTTTCCATAATCTGGGTTATTTTGTAAACCACCGCTCAGCCGTTTGCTGATCGCACCTAATCTTCGGGCATAGTCCTTTTCAAGTTTAATTCTTTCCTCGTAAAATACAACCACATTATTGCAGGACTCGATACCATTGCTGATGTGGTCTAGAAGAATTCGAGCGCCAGCATCTTGGTCATCCCAAAAGCTTGTTCCGTACGAGTAGTTTTGGGTCATCAAAGCCGCGGTACTTGACTAGGTAAGTGACAGATTGAGGGAAGATACTAAGAATTGATAATACAAGATATGTGGTATCCACTCCTACCGGTATCGAATTGTAAAGCTAAAGCTTAGTTTGTTCAATATACTGGGACAGTTTATTGTAGTGTTTATCTTTGACCTAATCGGGAATACTTCTTGTACCATTTCCCTAAACAGTCATGGTGTCCCAATCCGGTAAGTCACATGCCTCGGCGGCTAAGCTGGGTCTTCAATGATCAATTCGTCACTAAAACGCATCGTGTAGGAATCCGATGGTGAGTTCCCTGTATGTTATTTGTAACTACCACGAACTAAGCAAAGTAGATACCTAATCAACTTGAAGTTCCAATCCAGACTGTCGCTCATTCATCTGGCTTCGAGACAGACCGTCCTTTTGTATGTATAAGTTATAATCACAAGGCTAAAGAGATTCCTATCACAACTTTAATGTCTTATCGAGCTCTTTACGAAGTTTGTTCTGATTGTGGATGTTCTTTTGCCAATCGTGCTCTTAAAGAAACGTAGGTGCAGAGCGGGATTCATTGGGAGGATCACTTGTGAATGTTTAATGACTTCGGTAGGATTTAAGGCGAGTTTAAATTTATGCTGGACCACATTTTTGGCTTGTCAACTCTGAACTCTACCTTGCTAGCTTTCCCTCGCTGTGACCGTTTTTGGGAGTTGGTATATATTCCCTGGGCGGCAATTATTTAACTTCTCTTCAACACACTTGAGAAACGCACATTTGAGCAAAAAACGTCTGGAAAGCTTGTCCAAAAGATCCTGTTGCGATTCAGAGTGGGGGGCAGTGAAATAGCAGTTTTTACCAACCTTTGTTCGATGCTCATTGAGTGTTGACAGGCGCGAACAATTGCAAAACCAGACCCAGAACGTTGATTGTCAGCTTTAAAAGCTTATCGAGCATCAACTTTCAAGAAAAATAGGCTGGTTTGCTCCTCAGCAGACAAACTTGCAAGATGCACATTCAATCATGGTTTTATACTTGTGTAGGCACCCGAGAGCATTCTTTTGGAAACCTCTAGAAGTAGCCTGCAACGAACAACCATCTCGTCCTTGGGCTATTTGAAGGAGCAATTTCGGGTATCAGTCCCAGCAGAACCTGAACGCATCAAATCACTAACGAAAGTGGCCAAGTCATCAATTGCTGCAGAAAGCTTCTACAACGAATTCAAGATCACATATTACACTACGGTCCTTCCATCATCACCACTAGATCATCACCATAAAACCATCATTGCGACAGAATGACACAAGACACTTATAGGGTCCATCCAGCATGTAACCATCATCCCGCTACAGAATACCACAAGACACTTGTAAGTTCCACCCAGCATGTAATCGTCATCCCGCTACAGAATCCCACAATAGACCTCTTGGTTCCACCCCGTGTGCAACAAGCACCATCAATCCCGCTCCAGTCACCCAAAACAACACCAAGCTACTTACTCGACAATACTCACCATTACCAGGGTCCATCGTCGTGTTCTACTCTACTGCAATGGATATGACGTTTTGTTTTTCACACACCGAGACCTCCTCCCACATTCGGCACGACTACCCTTTTTAGTAAAAGGTCACAGTTTGAGGAAATGTAGGGCTCCCCATCCGCATTAGGCAAAAATGCTATGGGTTTGCTAGTCCGTCCATTGCTTCTACACATTATCATCACCTTTTTATATTAAGGGCGCTGGTATTATAACCTTGTCCATTGAATTAGACCAGTTTATGTCCAATAAAGGCCGGGAAATAACGCTAATAAGACCTTTAGATCGAAGTAACAGCAAGTTTAGCTGGAAATTTTGAACTTTCATCTCAAGATCAAGAACAATTGAAAAAATAGGAGTCTCCAGCTACTTTTTCCACATTTTTTTTCCAAATTTTGAAGTTTTGAACATTTTTCACTCCTAGGAGACTGCCCCTGAAGACTCATTACTCAGAACCAGACAAATACAAGCGATGTCTTTGATTTCTGCAGCTGCTGATCTCAACGATACCAGCTCGACCACGTCGACAAGTTCGGTTAGGGAATCCAAAGTTTACCGCAAGGATGGTAAACCACTTTCAAAAGAGGCTATCTACAGGGCCAAGCAGAAATATGGAGTCTACCAATCACCAGCCAGAAACACGGGGTCCGGCGTAACTGACGCAAAATTGGCCTCTGATGTTGCTGCCAATCTTGCCAACAACAACAAGACCACGATTGAGGCGTATAAACGTCTCGTGGTAGATTCCAATGCTTCCAGGGCTGCCACTTTCGTGGCGGGCCGTTCAAGAACATCTAGTGTGTCATCGACGGCCACAGCTGTCTCTGACAAGAGATCTACCAGTGCCGCCACCAAGGCACTTTCGGCAAAACCCGTAGAAGCTCCAGTGGTTGTCACCAAGCCGGCAATGGATATGTCCAAGGTCCTTTCTGGAGCTGAAGCCGCTGCTGGCAAACGCATCAATGTGCGCTCGAATCCAGAGAAAGTTGTGTATGTCACGTCGAAAGACGCAACAAAGGCCGCAGAACGCAGTTTCTCCTTTACTCCCGAGATCATGGACAAGATCTCAACCAAGAGCCAGCTTGAAGCGGAAGCCGAGGTCGAAGCAGACCCCCACAAATACGCTTCGCGTGCTGCATATGCCGTTCGCGACTTTGACCCCAATGAGGCTACTGAAAAGGAGCTTTTGGAGCGTGAGAAGAAGAAGCAGGAGTATTTCGGGATGCTCACTTCTCCCCAAGTCCTTGCCCTCGCCAAAAGCAACGCTGAGCAAAGTCTGCTGTCTATTGAAAAGTCTGCGCCCGGTAGCTTGTTCAGAAACGATGATTTCAACAGGTTGGCTGTTGCTTTGGCTCAAAAAAACTCCACGCAAAGATCGGAACACACTGGAAAGATCAATTTGGGTGGAGGCTTATGGTTGAGCCCATCTGATGTCGATAACATCGCTCAAGGCCTTATTACTCCGGTTTTGGATGAAGTTGACAGCAGAGCTTTGCAACAGAGAGCTATCGATGAAGATATCAAACAAAGAAAGATCGACTACAAGGATCAGAACGCTGCTTGGATTGAACTACAGCGCAACAAGCTTGCTAATGACAAAATGTATTCTCGTGAAACTCGTTTGAGACACAAACGTGAAACTGATGGACTACATACTAGGGCTGAGAGGAAGTACGAGCTCTTGATTTCTTCGAAAGACGCCGAAGTCGCAGATACTGAAAAGGCTTTGGAAGATATGAAAAACAAGTTTGCTGCTTTCCAGAAAAACATCGAACAAGAACTCAAGGATGAAGAAATCCGCTGCGAAACTGAGCTTGCAAACCTTGCTTCCGAGCAGAAGGAAGGTCTCGTGTCTGCTCGCAAAGAACAAGATGCGGAGATCCAGCCCTACATTGATGATTTAAAGGCCGCGGAGGATGAGCACGAACGACTTGTCACCGAGCGTGACAATCTAACTCAAGCTATTGCGGACCTTCGGACGTCAATTGAAAATCATAAGGTCAAGATTGAGGAACTGGACCAACAGTTGGTCCAGTCTGAAGCCGATCACGGAGAGGAAGAACAGAAGCTTCAGAACTTATCAACCGAGAAGCATAACTTTTCAGAGCAAATTGACTCTCATTACGTGCTCCTAACTCAAAAAGCGAAAGAGCAAGCTCACCAGTCTTCTGAAGAATCTCGCTTGAGACAATTGGAGGTTGACACCATGATCAATGAACGCCAGGGCGAGTTGAATGCTGCTGAATTACGTTTGAAGAACGAGAAGTTGGCTCTGCTCGAAGCAATGAGGAGCGTTACTCATTTGAAGGGCGACAAGAAGCTAGATGAGGACAAAGTGAAGGCGCTGTTGGGAGAAACGTCCGAGGAATTCATCGCAAGGCAAAAGGAGGCCGAAAAGGTCACTGAAGAGAAGGAGACTGCGACAGAGCCTGTCAAGGGAAGTGTTTCTGAGAAAGACCACGAAGAGTCAAAATCTTTTGCGAAGAAGAGTGGCGAGGATGAAGATCTTAAGGGCTCAGAACAAGACAAGGGTATGCAGGAAACTGAGACCGCACCTAAGAAGGTAGTAAAATCACCAAATGCCAGGCCAAGCATGGTGGACGCAGTCCTGCCTCCTGATTTCAAGCCAGAGGTTAAACCCAAGAAGCAAACACCAGCAAGCAGTCCCTCCAAAAAGGCCATCTCGGCTGCTCAATCAGAATCCCCACAGAATGGTGTAAAGAGGTCAGGATCCTTGAAGAAAAAACTCTTTGGATTTGTTCAAAAGGACGATCCAAAACCTGCCTCAGAAACATCCACGACAGTAGCAAAAGTTGGCGCCAAGCCTGCCGCGGCCACTCCCAGCAAGAAAATTCCCGAGGAGCCTGTTGAAAAGCCAAGTGCAGCGGTCAATACCGGAAGCAAGGACACCCCTACTCTTGCCAAAAAAGACAAAGAAGCAGCAGTTAAAACCGTTGAGGGAAAAAAAGATGAAAAGACGACCGCACCGTTAGATACTTTAGAGTCCAAAACCTCCGTTAAAGACGCTGATACTATTGAAAATTCCGATGACGATTTGGAAGCTCCGGATTCCAGCGAAGCAGCTGAAAATGGTAAGGCACCTATTGACAGTGAAAAGAAGGAAAGTCTTTTCAAAGAGGTCTTTTAATTATCTTGCGCCCCATTGTGCGATTATTTTAACTTTATCTGAGTATGTAACAATAAACACTTGACGAACAAAGCAAACTAGTCTCCTAACACATATCCATCTTGATGAACAATGATATTAAGAAGAAGAATAATAATACATAGACTCAACTCTCCTCTCATGAGCTGAGCGCGTATATAGGTCTTAAGAGATCGAATTAGGCAATGCGCACGCGTAGCAGAGATGCCTTGTCTTTTACACTAAGCGATAACTTCTGTTTGGTGTGGGTTAGGTACCAGTTTGTCGTACTTGTAGTAACCTTCGAAAGAGGTAACCTGGTGGAAGTATTTGGAGTACTTGTAGCGGCCTCCAAGGTAAAAGTCGACCGAGATGATGATGAATACGACACCAAACCAAAATGCCAGTAGCCATTCAAAACAGGCACTCTTGGAATTATCTTGGATGGCACCAAATGCAATGGCCCACGCAAGAGCTGCGGCCAACCAGATTACCTTGGCAATGGCACTAATGGTGTACTTGTTGAAACGGTGACCAACCCAGTGGTTCCACTTTGTCTCCACAAGCTTGTCTTCTGGGTTCGCCAATGGATGCAATTGGGCGTAGTGTCTACCCATCATGAAATACTCAGCGACATTGCAACACACCGACAAAAACATAAATGCGCAGAACAGCCCAACCATGGTGATATGAACGCGATGGTAGTGGGCAGTAGAGAAAATTGAGCACATCAGCAAGCACACCTCGCCGGCAGCACCCAGAGCAAAGCTGGCCCAGATGCAGTTACGTTCGTGCCTGGTATAGTACGGTGGCATCAAAAACTTGGCGGACCGCAGCATATCGCCGTAATTGGATTTGAGAGTGTCCTGGGATGCAGAAACAGAACCACGGTCTGCCACAGCGTTTGTGGTGAATGCGGTGCGCTGGAAAGGCCACCGCCCGCTTCGCTGGAAATATTCACACGCAATCGTAATGCAGTAGCCCAAACCTTGCCAGCCTGCACATGAAATGAACAAAGGCCGAAGATTAGTGGCTCCGATATCTGAGATGTAAACTGGGAATTGCTCTGTATGCATGAACCAGTAAATTGGATGGCCCTGTCCTGCCCAGCATATCAGCATTGCAATCAGCATTCCGTACCATGGAATGAATGCTACCCAGGGCACAATGAAAAAATAGTTACCGGGCTTGAATCTGTTCATTTTAATTCACTTTGGTTCACTTTGGTTCACTTTGGTTCACTTTGGTTCACTCCGGTTCACTCTGATCCACTTCCGTTTGCTTCACTTCCGTCTTACTATTCGAACCACACCGGTGGATATTATCAACTGCTAGGATTCCTTATACCTCTTGCAAATACCGTCTCTACGATTCTACCACTTTCTTAAATGCAACCGCTTTTCTTTCCACCACCGGAGGACTCAACCTTGATGATAAATGTGCGTCCAAGCAAAGCCCTTTTGTCGTCGGAATTTTTTGACCTAATTCTCACTACGCCTTTCTTCTACGAACACTAGCTTTGTCCGAGCTAGTCCGCCCTGTCCGCTCGCTACCGGATGAGTTGTTCTTGCTACTGCGAATATCGCGATGTAGTAGAATAGCTTCTGCAGACGCTGTCGCCTTACAACTTACTGTACCACGACGTCGTTTTGCAAGCCATCACGAGCACCTAGAAGTACGTTATTTTGCTTGTTCCGTGGACAGCTACCGGGCTTGGAAAACATACAGCCCTGGGGAGACGACAAGGCTTGCTTCCGGTGGGCAAAAAATTGTTCAAACCCTGGTCAAAGAATGTGGGTAGCAGTGATGGTGGAAGCCATACAGAACTGCATAGCTGGACTACCAAAGTGAACTACTGGACAGAAAGACATTGGTAATCGACTCAAGATTTGACTAGATGTTTTGGATAGCTGACGCTCTCAATTGCAATAAATAGAGCTCTTTCCGCTTTGGGCGAGGTGCATATTTTTGAGCGTATTTCTTTTGTTGCTTTTTTTTGCTGTCGCGTTCCTTTTTTTTCTGGGCAAGTGACGTATGTGTTCGTCGGTAGTGATCGGTACATGTGACCATTTTTGATTTGTTTCCGGTTTGTTTCCAGAATCGATTGTTTCCAGAACCAGTGAAGGGGAGAAGCCAACTAGCACGGGATAGAGGAGAAGAATCGCCGCGACCACGACAACCGCGACCCTGCAACCACTGTGATCGATCAGATTCATTGATGTACACTATGTATGCATCTTCGTCACCATTCTTTACCCATGAAGGTCTGACCTTGGTCCGCGAGAAACTATGCGAGTTCTGACAAACTATGATTTGGAAACTCACCTTTTACATCATCACCCTTCTAGCTGTTGCTAGCTAGGTGTACACACACACGTATATATAATTGCATCGTCTCATCTTGAAGTCGAAGAAGCTTGTGGGCACATCTTTGTCGTCAGTTTTCCGCAAACCTTCCTGTCGAAAGCTGGAGTTCTTCAGCACACTCTTGGGCTTTTAATTCTACTCCTTCTGCGGTCCATGGCTTGTGTGAGATGAGACCTTTGAGCTTTCGCCCTAACTTTTGTTCAGCTGTTACAGCTGTTAAGTATGGACATCGCATGCATCGTATCGTCTTGTCTCGACGGACTCTAATTAACTCTAAAAACGTGTGTCCAGTATTTTAATGCATCCTCGACTGGTGACTCCCGGCCCGAGCGCTCGACTCTGTATTCGTTTGGGGATGGGCTTGAGAATCGAGTATGGACACCGCTATCATTGCGCTTTTGAGACTTCGAAATGAGGCAGAGGTACTGACATAGCCCTTGGAAGTCTCATAATTGACAAATGCGTATTGGCAAGACACATAGCAGGTAGCGTGCAGCACTGCATCAAGACGATGCATCTGAACGATAACAGGGAAGAGCATGCACGATGTGAGGAGGTTTTACTTCCAGAAAAGGTTCTTCCATAGGCGTGGCAGGCGTGTTTCTAAAGCTTACAAGTCAAGTACTCGATTCAAAAGCTCTGGAACCTTTCGAAATGGCCTAATTCAACGATCAGGCGAACAATTTGTTTAGCGTAAAATTCAGGATACGATTCTCGCAAAAGCCAAGGCAATTACGAATCTTGTCCCACTAAAAATCAAGGCAGGTAGTACGGTGAAGTTCAGATATTGAGGACTATTACCAAAGGATGGAGTAGACGTGGACCGTTCTCGAGGAAAATGTGACGGAAACCTATATCGTCGAATATGGCTTGGGTAGAAAACGGATTCCCATTATTAGGCAGCCCATGCGGATTCCGAGAACAGGTTCTTGTATGCTTTGAAAGAGTTGTCTCTGTATTATGCCAAAGGAGCGTGTTTGCTGGCCTGGTTGAATTGGAGCTTCATGTTCTTTGATATCGATTTAACAGTAGTGTATCGAATCTTGAACATCAAGAGCCCGCATACCCCTGCAAATGCTCCTCATTCAGATTTGACATTTACACAGACTAATATCGGGAGATTTAATGAACAAACCGTGCGGGACCAAAACCTAAGTCATGTAGTAGCGTGTTGCATTGCACGATGCACTACCTGAATTCAAATATGTGTAGAGATCAAGATTATTTCGTGACCTGAATTCGCAAGAAACACGACGCCAATTGCACATCGCTTCTCTTACTTTTGAATCACAAATGTTGACCTACAACGGTGAAAGCTTTGCAACACTCTGACTACCCAAACTCGCGGTTGTATAACAACCTTACGCCCAGTGGCAACTACATAAAACGGCACCTGAACATTTTAAACGATCTGAACGTGAAGCTATGTAAAACGCAGGTTCAAATTCACACCTATTTTCTAATTCCTACTTTATCGCTAAACTCTAGTTTGTAGTTCTCGTGTTTCTTTGATTCATTTAAGCATCGCGTCAATCTTTCCTTAATATTATCGAAACAAAATACTGCATTTCGCGTTTAAAAACAAGACTAACAGACACTAGCGGAAAGCTGACCATGGCGGAAGAATCTCTAGAGCGACTAGATCAAGAGATTACGCTTCACTTGCAACAAATTGATTCCAATCTCAGTTACTGTTTTAACACAATCACCCAAGACATCATACCGCATGTTTCGCAATATGGCAACGTGTGCGATCAGGTCATGGACAGCTGCAACTGGTTGAAAACCATGTTTCAAGAGGCTGGAAACTTACAAATCGAAGCGGTGGGTGGATCAGAGACCCCTATTGCACCTCCAGCCGTGACAAATTCTCAAAATAAAGAGGAATCCAGCGAACAAAGCTCGCTTCAAACGTTGTTCCCAGGTCGTCCACGATTGGGACCCGATTCTTCGAGTATTGTGGCCCCTCCAGTGCCCGTGCTAGCTGCTGGAAACGAACGTGTGGGTCCTGAGCCCACCACGACGCTGACTACAACTGGGAAAGTGCTACAATTGCCAGACTCTAGTGATGAGGAACGCAACCCGAAGACGGCCAATGACTACAATTCGGTTTCTGCTGACCGAGCGGACAACTTGGACCACTCTGCACGCGTATCAAGTGCGCCAGATCCGGATGGCAGCACAGTCCAGCGTCAAAGACGGAAACGTAAATTATCATTGCTGTTACAGCAGCAATATGGCTCCAGTTCCAGTAGTGTGGCACCTTCACCGGCTCAATTGAAGCGACCCATTTCGTCCAACTTGGACAGTTCACCCATTCGCAACAAGGACTCATCGCTACAGATCGAAAGCACCAAGCAGAACCCTGCACACCCAGACACCGTGATTTACTTTCCTACTCGAGACGACGACGCCGTCGTTAACAACGACAAAGATATGACACCCGGCACGTGACGGTTTACTTTCTTACCATTTTACAGCGTTTCCCATGAATTATACCAACACACACTCTTACCTTGGGCTATTTTATGATTTGAACCTTGTGAGTGTAGTGTAAGCCGACCCAGATTTCCTGAAATCGAAACAAACACACGCAAGAGCAAATGGGCAACGTGATGTCTGCAAGTTTCGCACCGGAGTGCACTGAGTTGAAGCACGAATACGATAACTGCTTCAACCAATGGTACAGCGAAAAATTTCTAAAAGGGCTTTCGATGGAAAACGAGTGCAGCAAGCAGTGGTATGCGTATACGACGTGTGTGGAGGCCGCTTTGGTGAAACAGGGTATTAAGCCTGCGCTGGACGAGGCTCGTGAAGAGGCGCCCTTTGAAAACGGCGGTGAGCCCACCGACAACAGTGGTTAAAGGGGTGGACACGACGTTCACATCTGTAAATAGGTTAACAATGGAAGGCGGAGGAGTGCTGGTGCACAATTGGCGTTGCGTTTTGCAGGAGGCGGTGGTGCACCTACGAAAGGCTTTGTGGTTTGAATTTGATTTGAAAGACGCTCAGATTCAATCGCGTAAAGAGGTCCCAGATCGATAAGACATGATCCAACTGTACAAAGCATGGGGCGTTTCGTCTATAGGCGAGAGATCTTAGTTCGTCATATCGTCGTGTACGAACACAATCTTTAATACAATCATAATTTTTCCACAAGTGGCTGAGATCGATGCATTCAGGAGTTGACAGACAAGCCCTGGGAGAAGTATTCTTAAGAGACTCACAGTACCTTCATCTATCGCTTCCTGTTTTTGGTATTTGTTATTTCTGGTTTCTATAATATGTGTATCACTTTCTACGAAACCGTTGGTCCCACAACGGACTAAGACCAACACAGCCTCAAAATGAGAACCAGAAATCTACATCCAGTCTAAACACACTCGTACGTAGTACCTCCATATCCAGCTACCGCTCTTTTTCCAGTTTCTGATATTCTACTCACTTCCTACGAACTCGTCTCTTCTCCTCAACTTTTGAAGCCCTACTACACCCTGAAGCCAAAACCAAACCCACCAAAACCGGTACTCCCTACACACCCACAATACCCCCATCTTCCGCACTCCTCCTCAATCACTGCTATTTCCAAGTCTCTTTATCCCCCTCACCTCCTACGAACCTTTTTTTTTCCCATCTCATCTTACTCTCTTACTCTTAGATATACAGCCTAAAGCCTTAAACACCATAGCTATCAAAATTTTTTGCCACCGATTTAGTTAAACCCTACTAGTGCTAGAAGCTTCAATATCAAGAACTATCTATAACACATCAAAGACGATCAACAAACAACTTGATTTTAAACAAAAGAGAGACACTTTTCAAGATTTAAACATAAATTGTTTTAATCTTATATTACTTATATACGCTCTCACCTTTTCATTCAAGTTTCCTCTCTCAGATATTTTTCTTCACTTTATTTTTGAGATTTTTGACAAAATATTGAACATCTTTTCTCCTTTTAAGAAGTATCAAACCAAACTTCACATTTACAAAAATCGGCTCTAAACACACAACTTCAAGAGCTTCCTCGTTGAGTCTAGCGTACGCAAATAGCACACAATGTCTACACAGTTCAAGAAGTCTAATCATAACAAGCAACCGCACAACAGCTCCAAGAAACTGGATCCACAACTGAAGTTCAAATTGGACACTTTGACAGAACTTTTCCCAGATTGGACAAATGACGACCTAATTGACTTGGTTCAGGAGTACGACGATCTCGAGACAATCATAGATAAGATCACATCCGGTGCGGCCACGAAATGGGACGAGGTGAAAAAACCGTCCAAGAAGGAAAGACAGCTACAGCAGCAGCAACTACAACAGCAACAACAGCACAGCACAAACGCAGTCACAAACTCGGACGGCACAAGCGGCTCCACGCATAATTCGCATAACAACAACAACAGCACCACCACCACCACCACCAACAATCCCAGCACCAACAACAGTTCCAGCACTCATAATCACTCTGGCCAGCACGCAGCAGCGTCCGGCGAAGCTGACCACTCGCATCCCAATTTTTCCAAGCACAACAGAGAGTCTGGTCCCAGACATCACAAGAAAAATGCGGGCAGAGAACGTGGCGGTGCTAAGGCTGCAACGGCCAGTTCAGCAGCAGCCATCGCCGCTACAGCGGCTCAACCCGAGCAACTCAAGCCAGCCGTTTCTGCTGCCAAGATTGCCTCGTCGTCCACCACATCTTGGGCTGCAATGGCTGGCGACAAGAAAGTCGCCAAACAACAAAATACCAACGTGGCACACACCAAGGGTCAACCGGAACACCCAGGGGTACCAAAGGCTGCTTCAGGACCACAAGAAGGCGTTCAAGAATCGCAACAACAAGAATTGCAAGATCAGGAAGAAACCAACGTCCAGGATGCTACGGCCGCAGCCATTGCAGCTACCAGTGCGCCAATAGAAGATATCGAAAAGCCCAAAAAAATGACCTGGGCTGCCATTGCCACACCAAAACCTAAACCCGGTGTTTTGAAGAAACGCGAACCACTAGAAGAGCTTGAAGATTTGAAGAAAGAAGCAGCTCAAATCTCACCAGAACTTGTCACTGAAGAAACACAGGTGGTGGCACCAGTTTCTGAAGAACCTGTCCAAGAACCAATCACAGAAACTTTGGAACCAGCTGAATCTGTTCCTGAAAATCAAGAGCAATTCGAGCAACCCCAAGAACAAGAGATTTCAAGAGCCATTGAAACCGAGCAGGCGCCAGGAACTGAAGCTCCTGAAGAAGCACCAGCTGCTCCTATCAAGCAAGAGACCGCTACTTTCTCCCCACAAGAACAACAACAAGAACAACAACAACAGCAGCCACAGCAATCGCAACCACAACAACAGCAGGAAACACCAGCTTCTTACGGTGGCGATGCCTCGGTCCGTGCTCCATCTTCTTCCGAACAGACCTTTTATCAACCTCAGTCCCAACAGCAATACTCGTCCCACACTCCTCAACAAACCCCTCAACCTTTGCAGCAACAAAATGCCGCTGCTGCCGCCGCTGCTGCTCAACAGCAGTACTACATGTACCAGAACCAATTCCCAGGTTACTCGTACCCTGGTATGTTTGACAACCAGAGCTATCCTGCTGGCTACGGACAACAATACGTTCCTCAAAGTCAAGGCGCTTCTCAATCTCAACCATCATCTGGTCAGCAAGCGCAGTCGCAGACTCATGCGGGACAATATGGCATTCCATCGAGTTACAGCGGCGCTAGCAGAGACATTGCCACTGCTTCTCCAGTTGCTTCTCAAGTTCAATTGCAACAGCAGCAGCAGCAGCAGCCATACGGTGGCTCTTTCATGCCATACTACCATTTTTACCAACAATCGTTCCCCTACGGTCAACCTCAGTACGGCATGGCTGGCCAGTACCCTTACCAGGTGCCAAAGGCTTACGGCAGCTACATGAACCAATACCAACCAGGACAGCCAGGACAGACGTCTTCGTCTCAGCCTCAGCAAGGTGAGGAAGCTCAGCAGAGCTCGCAACAGGGTCAGACCGCAGGAGCTTCTCAAGGGCAAACGCAAAGCTCCGGAAGCCAAGGTCAAGCCCAAGCAAGCGCTCAGCAACAGGCTCAACTACAACAGTACTACCAGTTCCAGCAACAGCAACAACAACAGCAACAGCAGGCCGCTGCAGCTGCTGCAGCTGCCCAACAAGGTGTTCCTTACGGCTACTCGGGCTACGATTTCTCTTCGCAAGGAACCAGAGGTTTCTATTGAATGAAAGATTGAGAAATCACTGGGCTTGATTGGAAAAGTAGAGGTCTCTATCATGTGTAAATAAAAAGTAAACTAATGAGAGTTCCGACCTTACGGAAAGAAGGCCGGAATTGTACTGCATGATTGTATTGTATGAGTTGTATTCAGATGGTAACTCCTGCTGAAGGTGTCAGTTCGTATAAACACACACAGGAGTGAGGATTCAAATTCGACGGGGTTATTTGAATTTGTTCAAACGTCTTGCATAAGTATGGTTGATAGATTATTGAGTTTCCAACCTGAACAAGTCTGTCAAAAAGGTTCGAGATGTCAAGTCAAAAAGTGGCATTAGTAACTGGCGCCACACGCGGCATTGGGAGGGCCATTGTGGATCGGTTGTCGAGGGAAGGGATGTGTTGTATCATGGTAGGTTCCAAATTAGAAAGCTTTAGGTCTATGACGGAAAATCCGCCAGTTTTGCTTCATAAGGAGCAGTGGCATCGTGGGCTGGCGATCGATTTGGCACGATGGCCCCATTGGGTTGATGAGAAGCAATTTTCTGGGATCCATTTTTCGAAAGAGACCCACTCCAGCGGACACCTACCGGTATCTGGGACCTGGCCCTTGCTGCAATTGGACACCGGATACGAATTGGCAATGCTCGTCAACGTTGCAGGAATCGCTCAAGCGTCTCCATCCGTGCTGTGCGGCCCCATGGAGATGCAGAAGATGGTGAACATCAATTTTCTCAGCGCAGTTAGCATGTGCAACGCAGCTGTACGACGTATGATCCGGTCTCGCAAACGACTGGATCGCGCTCCATGCATCGTAAACGTTTCTTCTGTATTGGGAGACCCAGGTGTCTATCCTGTCACTGGCACATCCGTGTATAGTGCCACGAAAGCTGCTTTGGCACAATATTCGCGGGTTTTGGCCGCAGAAGTGGCCGACACCGGTATCCGCGTGGAGTGTGTGTCGCCATCCCTCGTTCCTGACACGGACATGATTCAGAGCTTGAGCCCACAAGCACGAGAGAGACTTTTTGCTCAATTTGGTGAAAACAACGATACACACATCCAAAACAAAGAGGAAATCGCCACACAAATATGGGAGTTGTACGAGAAACCTTGACTAAATGGGGGCGAGATCTGGGGCTACAGATATGGAATTTTCAGTATTAAGATATGGAATTTTCAGAACTTGACGAAAAAACCAAGAAAAATGCTAATACAACGTAACTAGAAACCCAGACAAACGATTCAACAAGTACTAGCATCCCCTTCAATTGTAGAGGTCCTAAGACGCCATGAATTCTCTCAAACAATAGCTTTCCAAATCCACGAGTACGCTGACACTAAACTCCGAGTACACTGACGCTGCTTACTTAAGCGTCTCATCGCCTAATAAAACCGTTAATATAACCGGAAATTTTCTTTTTCCCATGAGCATGCCAAAAAATTTTTCAGAGTATAAAAGGCGAAAGATGACCATCGCTGGTCGATTTGACCGACCCTCTGACAAGAAGCTTTTGATTTGTTTACTTGTTTGAACTCGAAAGACTAGTGCCACAATGCTTATTTACAAGGACATTATCTCTGGTGACGAATTGTTGTCTGACGCTTACGACACCGAATTGGTGGACGGTGTTATTTATGAAGCCAACTGTGACATGGTGAAGGTTGGCGGTGACAACGTCGACATCGGTGCCAACCCTTCTGCTGAGGGTGGCGACGACGACGTCGAAGACGGCTCTGAAATGGTCAATAACGTTGTGCACTCTTTCCGTCTACAACAGACTGCTTTCGACAAGAAGTCGTTCCTGACCTACATCAAGGGCTACATGAAGGAGATTAAGGGCAAATTGCAGGAAACCGACCCCGAACAGGTGTCTGTTTTCGAGAAGGGCGCCCAGGCCTACGTCAAGAAGGTCATTGGCTCTTTCAAGGACTGGGAGTTCTTCACCGGTGAGTCCATGAACCCAGACGGTATGTTGGTGCTTCTAAACTACCGTGAGGACGGTACCACTCCATTCGTGGCCATCTGGAAGCACGGTGTGATCGAGGAAAAGATCTAAGGGACTTTCAGGTCAGTTTCGTGGACACACCCTAATAGCTACGAGGTGTAATTACAAATAGGAACTCTAGTAAATATATTATTTCTGTGAAATAGAATCGCGAGAATTGTCAGCGCGACGTCCAACAAGAACTATTGATTCGTCGTGGGGTATTTTTTGTCTTGGAAATTCAAGTGTCACTAAATAAATCACATCCTAAACTGCATCGTCACAGATTCGTTCAAACCGCGGTTGTTTAAAGAGGTTCAAAAACCACAAGAATTGGACTTTTGAATTTGAATAACAGTACCACAAGCTTAAGTTCCCTTTCACTATCCTCAGCCTCTATAATTCGCTGTTGTCTTCACTATTTGAGCTGACGTTCGTCGTTAATTAGTGGTTTCAATTATATATTACATCTCGGTCTTGGGCCGGTCGAACTACAAAATCATCAAAACCACCCAAAGGGAATCAACCGTAGGGCGACTGATTCGTGTTTGTACAAGCGTTGCCAAGCATTGAAAAGTCATGAGCTCTCCAGCAATACCCGTAACGTATACTCTGCCTGGAGTCATGCACTACTTGCAAACGGAGTTTACGAGAAATGAACGGGATCGTCTGGGCTGGGAACTCGAAAGAAGCGAAATGAAGACCCGTATCGCGCAATTGGAAGGCGAAAATAGAACACTGAGGTACGAGCTAGCAAAGTTCAAGGATACAGAAAGTATCTGCAGCAGAAACACAGTAGATTCCTCCATTCAAGAGCCACTTTTACTGAAATCAAAGCTTGCAGTTCAGGAAAATGTAAAAGAAATTGTTTACCTTTTAAGAAGCCCCAATGTCACAGAGCATCTCCAAGGTTTGCGTGATACCAGTGATGCAGTGCACAGGCTTGAGAGTTTGAATTTGAACGCCAAGAAATCGCAAGTTTCAAGCCCAATGACCCAACAAGGGCCCCTAACGCATATGGATCTTAACCCTCAGCTAGAACACGGCTCAACGCAGCTGCGTCAGGCAGCTGTGGCTTCGTTCTCACCAGAAGAACCCTCTTTTCAAGCTGTGCGTGTTGCAAGTTTAAGTGATGCAACAGGAGATGGTCCTCATGAAGGTGGTTCGGAATCGGGCACCATTGTCCCTGAGGAGACACCTGTACGTAGGCCAAGAGCATCCTCCCTATTTTCCTCAGTACCTGGAAGTCCAGCGCCTAATGCAGTTCTACGTTGCAAACGCCTGAGATACCATCTCGCCGGAATCGAAAACCTCATCATTTCTCAATACAACATGCTTTCGTATGCAAGAGACGGGTTGTTGAAACATTGGATGATAGAACCAAATTTGAATTGTAATGAGAAACTAACTAAGAGTTTTCATGGCCTCGGTTCAATGGTTTTGAATATGTTTTGGTTAGACAATCATAGCTTCCTCACTGTAGACAATTTTGGGTTAAAAGTCTGGCAAACATCCGAAAGTGCTCCGCTTTCCACCCTTGATGTTTTCAATGATGAGTTAATTGTCAATTTCTCAGACATACAAAGCGTTGATTTCAAAAACAAGTGGTTGATGCTAACGACCAGTCATGCTGTCCACATATGGGAACTTTCGATAAACGCTGATTCCATCAAAATCGTGAGCGAAAATACATTGGACAAATTGGGAACTTTGCTTGATTCTATTCTTGGCATGACCGAAAAATCATTGATCATTTTCAAAAAGGACCCTTACGAGCTGGTTATCTATACCTTTCAAAACGAAGTCCTGCAGCGGATAAGTTTGCAAGATGACATTGCCGGAGTTTTTCCCGATTTGAGTCTCATCGATGATTCCTGTCGTCGCTTGCTATTGAACAAGCGGAGCTCTAAGTTGTTAATTCAGTTAGGGGACTTCATTGCGGTGTACTCTTTCGACCGTAGGAAAACGGTTCTCGCCACGCGTTTGGAAACGACTCCGACAAGCCTTGTTTTCCGTTCTCCAAAAGATGATCTAATTCTTGCGTTTGATGACGGAACTATTGAAATCAGGAATATAGCCAGTTTTTCGAAAGTTTGGAAATCTTACAACCATTACGATGACGAAACCGAATACGAAGACGAGAATGCTCCGAAATTAGAAAAAAAGACAGAGGATAGTACACTAGCAAAGCTGCGGCAAAATGGGCACAAGGGATTAATCATCGATACCGCAGACATAGATTCTACCACCGTCATCATTTCAGGTGGGGACGACGGTATGATCAGAATGGAAAGGATCACAGAATGCACTTAGGAGTCCTGCAAACTGAAAATTATAGACGACCATTCGTATGTCCCGAAACAGGACCCACTTAATTCCATATTCAGCATCAAAAAATGCATCAGACGTAAAAGAGCTTTTTTTCGATACCTTTAAAGAAGCTTAGATGCCGACCCAGTCCCATGACTGCTTCGATTGGGTGAAAAGTAAGTGACTCGTTGCATGCACACCCTGGTGTCTACACTTATTTTGGCTACTACGTCGGAGAAGCGGTATTGACTGCAACAGTCAAAAGCACAGTTGAGTGTACATGCATACTTCTGAATTGCACAATCGTTTCAAAATCTAGGCTCGCTAAACGATACGCAGAATCAGCGGTTCACGAATTATCAGAAGAAACCTAAAGTATTGGGCTACATTCAGATCACAAGCTACACCTTTGACAATGCGAATACATATATATTTTTTTTGACGGAAGCTACTAAAACAAGTCCTAGAACAACATTAACACCATCTGCTTATATTCAAGCGCCTCATCCAACCGAGGCAAGCGTCACAACAGATCACAAAGGGCCAATTCTTAACTTAACATAAAGGCTTGGAAATCAGTTCCGGTCTTAGAAATTCGCCAACATAGAGAGCGTTTCCTATATATAGTGATGTATTCGTCGGACGAGTTGAGAAAGACCCGCTGCGACCCAAAAAAAAAGCTTACAACCATGCATTACTTGAGCAGCAGACCGCTCTAAGCAAATAAACGACCGCTATGAATTAATAACGACTATGGCGACCCACATGTAGATCCAGCGTTTTTCTACGTAGGAAATGCCTCGAGATCCATAATAAAACTTGAAGTTTAGACTTAGACGGATCTTTGTTTAGGTCAAAGAGTTTCTCTGACTGATTCAAAGCCATTGTTGGGTGTAACTGGTGTTGAGAATGACTACCTTCATTCCATCCCTTTGCAAAGTCGATGCCGACTTACAGGACTTTAAGTCCTTGACAAGACCTGGGAGCGTTGTTGATCTTTACTTGAAAGAAAAATCAAAATCGAGCAATTTGGAAAGCGCTTTATGCGACTATTCTAACACTCTTCAGCTTTCCGGTGGAGATTACATATGCTACCAGCTCTCATCCACGTACACTGTACTATCGGTGTACTCTTTGAGTGATGCTTTCGCTGGTCGAACTTTGAGAATCCATCTTCCACAGCAGCTTTTTAATATGCATCATACCTTTACGATCAAGGAGAATGGGAACCTTTTGGTCATGGAAATGATCTTGAGTGACGGCTTGTACCTTATCGTAAGTTTGCCTGTAAACTGCACGCTTGATAAAATCACCGAAATTCCAGAGAACTGGTTTGTGGCAATGAATCCTTACGACTTCACGGTAAGACGGCCTCAATACGTTTTTTCCATTTCAGAAGAGTTGACGGTTGTTTTCCTCGAAGATGGTGGCCTTTTGGGCTTGAGGAGAAGGTTGGGCGAGAACGGCCAACTGGAGATGGCGCCAATATTATTTAATGATAGCAGTTATTTGCTTGGCCTGGGCAGACTTTTCTTCTCCAAAGAGAAAACATCACAAGACAGCAACGTTGTTAGCTGTCTTCTTTACCGAGAGCGCTTCCTGATAACCCTAACACAGAATTGCAGGCTGAAAGTGTGGGATCTTGAAAAGCAAGCCGTAGTATTCGAGAGGCATCTTGCTTCGGAGCAAAAGAATGCTTACAGGATGTATGAAACGCTAGGACAGTTCCTTTCTCTCTTCGAAGACAAGCTCGCCATATTTCTGCCCTTTGAAAATGGCCTCTTCCAACTGTGGGATCTGCGCCTAGACAGCAATGGTGGACTGCTGTTAAGCCCCAAGGGAATTTACCCCTGTAACCTCGCATCATCCGCTATTTGGTCTTTAGTGGACATGAAGCTTACCAAACCTCTTGAAGGTGTAGGGCAAGATAGCTTTGTTAGCATGGTGGTGCTTTGGAAAAGCAACCGCATCATGAAACTCCAGGTTTTGAACGTTTTCGAAGATAACATGCCGGAGCATCAATGGCTGGATGCTAAAAACCAGTCATCTGTTGATCTGCGTGCGGAACTCGCATTTGTGAGTGACGACAGCGTTAGCAACAAGCTAATGGCTCTCAAGTCTTCTTATAATTCTGGGCTTTTTAAAGAGGCAGAAAAGGTGTTAGGAGAGAACCAAGTAATGATCTCTGAGGATTCAACTCAAAATGACGAATATTTCCTCAATTTGGAGTCAGTTCTAAAAGATCTGAAAAAGCAGCATGATGAGCCATCGTCACTCACACTATATCAGAATGGCATACTATTGGTCAATTCTCTGTCCCTGTATTCTCATTCTCTTTACAAAGTTAGCACGTCTCTAGAAAGCAGCTTTTACAACTTAAGCAAGGAGAGGAACTCTAATGACGCATTAAAAAGGTTCTTAGAAACAGTCGATGGTTTTGCTGCGACGCTGCCGACACGCGTTCTCGCAAACATATCCACTGCCTTGGTGGAGGCCGTGACTTCCTATTTTCCGCATCAAATACCGCTAACAGAAGTCTTTTCGCAACTGTTTTCGCAGCATTTGGCAGGAACGTTTCACATTGCTAACCTTAAAAAACTGCTGGAAGATCTCAATCAGTTCGATGTAACAGCTGTCTTGCAAAGTTATATCGACAACATGTTGCAGAAGTCTGAAATAGATCACGTCTTAGTGGACTCTGTGTACCCAGATGCACTTATGAACGTAGCTATTGTGGAAAGCGCTCATCAAGCCCTCATAATTCAAAATTCCTTTATTTGCAAGATCGCATTGATCTTTGCATTCATGGAGTTCGATCAAACGACTTTTCAATCGAGCTTTCAAGCGCAGCTGGAAGTGCTGCTTGAACTTCACTATAAACAGCAGCTGTGGATTCAACTCTACCGTCTGGACAAAAATCTTTTGGCCTCTGAAATGTTCGCCAGAACTAGTAAATTCGGAAAAGGCCACAAAATCAGGTCATACGCCGAGTGGTCTACAGCTGAGTCAGTCATCTTCAAAGAGCTCTACGGTATGTCTATATCTCCTAACCCACTTTTCATTGAGAGTTTTGACGCATTCATAGTCTCAGGAAGCCGCAGTTCTCAAATGAGTAACATTTTTTTGACTACAATTCAGAAAATCTTTTACATTCATTCAAATGTTGCACACGAATTTATGCTGGGGCTTGCATTTTTCGTATGTGGGGTATATGACCGAGCTTTTGAATTTCTTCAAAAACATCCTTACCCCGATGCTTTGCCTAAAGAATTACCGGATCGTCTATTCTTACCACTTCAGCAAGACGGACATCTATGGCGCGATGTCGTAGGGTCCTTTACATTGCCTAACAAACATGCTGCATATTACTTCAATCTGTCGAAGCTTTTCTCGATTGCAAAGAGTTACGATTACGCCCTAAGATGTGCCAAAAAATCCATAAAATTATCCGCCGAAAATAATAACGAGGAAGATACGCAAGAATTCAAAAGTTCTCAACTTTTACAGTACCTCAACATTCTCATTGTGTTCTCCGACTACGAAGAAATTCTTGACGTTCTCCGCTGCAGTCCGGATATCATTCCAGAGAGCGTCAAAGCCTCTTACTACGGGAAGTTAATATCAAGCCATGCGCATAAGGATGCATTTTTTTCCACGCTTCTGAACTTGTGTGCCAAATCAGAAGGAGTTTACCTGATGACTCAAGACTATCATCTGATTGACAAAATAATTCGTGAGGACTTGGCAGCAGGAAATTGGGAAGCCTATAAAAAGGTTTACGCTTTCAGATTGCTTAATGGTCAGGATCGGTCTGCTGCTGAGGCATTGTATGACTATTTTATTGTCGGGGGTGATGACGACATCAAAAGAAGGTGTTTACTACTCATTTCAAACATCATGCGTGGATTTTCTGCCGAAAAGGATAGGTGGTTCATAGCAGGCGGCCAATTAATCACACTCGAGAACTTGGAGCTAGGACTTAAAAGACTAGACGCATATTAAACGCACTTCTCTGCCTATGTAAATCACCCTGCAGACTGTATAATTACATAAATCAATGTGGATACAAGATAAATAGTACCATTAGCCGCGATTCATAGTGTTACCGCTGCCCTTGGCGTGAGACTCCTTAAATTCATCCCAGTCACGAGCTTTATAAGTCTGGGCATCTTGCCAGTCTTGATTGTCTTCGTCTTGCTCGGCGGCATGTTCTTCACCGCCTTGAAGGACTCGCCCGCTTTCAAACTCTTGTTCAAGAAACTCTTCGACTGACATTGTTGGTCCGTATTGACCAAACCCAAAGACTTTCTTATTGAGTTGTGATTTCTGATCGACAAGCGTGAAATTGCGAAGAACTTTTCCAGCTTTCGATATCAGTGGTACGTTGAGCGTTTCTAATTTCTCGGTATATTGCAAGGGACCTGTTTTCTCGCTGGCACTTTCAACTGCCTTATTTGCAGGAGGTAGAGGTGGTCCTGCGACCAAATTGAATAGCAGTTCTATTTCAAAAAGTATCTGTTCTGTCTCGTGAATCGCTTTAGATGCAATCTGTTGCAATTTAGTCTTCTGTAACTCTCTAACAAGTTCATCGTCGGTTTCAAGGGTTTCTTTACTTCTTCTCATTTCTAAGACATTTAACTTGGCTTCTAACTCCTTATCATACTGCAGAGCTTCGATTTTTTGTTGCCTTTTGAGCTGTGCAGATGATAGATCTTTTGCGTCACTCGGTTGCGGATACAGGTCTTCAAGTTTTGGGTCGTAGGGATCATCCATACTATCGAGTTTTTTTGACAACTCTGAGCTGACAAGTCCATAATTCTGTAAAGATATTAGCAGCTGCATGTATAACTGTACTGATTTGCGAAGGAACTTTAGCCGTATGCGGCTCCTGTCTTTTACGTCGTCCAATTGAACGGCCTGCTTTCTGGATAGAAGCCATGCCAGGTGATAATCGAGCGCCAGAAGAGGCATTGAAGAGGTACTCAAATCTTCAAGTCCTTCATTGTCACTAAAGAGTGCTAATTTAGAATAAACCAAGTTTTTCAATTCTAGAAACTGTGCGATGTTGCTTGTCAAAAGTTCTTGGAAGTCTTTAGAGTCCTGTCTAAGCCCGCTTGAGGTTATTTGAGTTTCAGCCTGGTTCACGAGCTGTTGAAACTGATCCTTCACCGACGACATTACGTTACTGGAGGTCACTTGATGGATTAGTTGCCGTTTGATTCTTAAGTCGTGCTATGTCGAGTAACCAAATTCATTAATTTTCCAGACTACATAAAAGATACACAATACACCTAAAAACCATCGCTTATTGTTCACCTGTTTTCTTGGAATTGCAGGCCACAATTCGTACTTTGTCGACCACAACGGTGTTGCCTTGAGCATCTTCTGTTTGTTCAAGCTTCACGCTGCAATTCTTTATAATAAATGTCCACACATCATCGCAGAACCGATATGTGTCAAGATGACCCTTAAACGTTAGCTTACTCTGTGTCTTATCCTTGAGCGTCTCAGCAACCACTCTATCGAATGTACCAAGTACTTTCATCGCGAGTGAAGCCTCGATGCGTCCGTCACTTATCAGGGTATCGAGTGCATCCACCAGTGTGGAACCAACCGTGCTTCGACGATACAGCTCGTAGAAACCAGAAGAACTCATTACGACAAGACTTGGATTCTTAATATCTTTAGCCAATAAATGAAGTCTGGTACTGGTAGAGAAGCACTATCGTGTTTTGATAGTATGTTGCTGGCTTGAGTGTAGTTAGATGTCCTTACTTGAAACCATCAGATACAGTCGTTAATAGTGATGGAACTATAAACAAGAGCCTTACAGGTTAAGCTTTGGGAGTAATGGCTTGCAAGTAGTCTTTGCGGAACACTTCAAATTTTCCAGTGTACTTGGAGCTGTTTGGGCTGATTTCCGTCCCTTTTCACAACTTCAAGTTTTCAAGCATCTTTATGCGGTACTGAAATTTCAAAAATTCAAGGCAAAACTTAGGTTTTTGAGTCACCTCTGATAAGTGATCCGATGGTACCAGATCGATTGAAACTTTTGGCAGATGGGTAAAGACCTTTTACTACAACAGAGATATAATGATTCTTGTATCACGTGATTTTTGCATATTAATCAAAATTTGTTTGTAGATTCGTGTGCGTTATCTCATAATACCGAGTGATGGTTGACTTGAACGTCACTCTATGAAAAGCTCGCGAATTGAAGGATTTTGAAATCCAAAGCCCAAACCACGGAAGACCTGGATCACGTGACTTGGTATTTAAATTGACCTACATATAATTAAGAACTTGAGTGGAACTGACATAAAGACCGATGAGCTAAATCTGTCAAACACCTTAGCTGCGACTCAATAAACACTTTTATAGGTCTGTACATTCCACTTTACATGTCCAGCACTATCTTTTACAAATTTAGGTCACAAAATGGGTCGTCAAGAATATTGTTTGATGGTACCGGTATAACAGTATTCGATTTGAAGAGAGAAATCATTCAGGACAACCGTTTGGGAGATGGCACTGATTTCCAACTACGACTTTACAATCCTGACAGTGGGGAAGAGCTCGAAGACGATTCTCAGGTTATCTCACGGTCCTCAAATGTAGAAGCGCGGCGATCTCCCGCTATAAAGGTAAATGGGCTTAACGGACGCATATCCCTTGGGAATGCCGTTAGATACGTGACTGGTAAACCAAGAGTTACCAAGACTAGTAGCAGTGTTCCTGCGGTCAATACACAAGCTACTAATACCAAAGGTATGAATGAAGAAGACGCTATTGCGAGCATGTTTGCCAATCAGGAAAGTCAGTGGCAGCAAACCCAGCAAGATATGGCCGGTGCAACTCCAGTGTTCCATAAAACCGGTAACGTAGCGGGTCAAGATGAAGGACCTCCTCCTCCCGGTTATATGTGTTACCGGTGTGGTGGCAAAGATCACTGGATCAAAAATTGCCCCACAAATTCTGACCCTAACTTCGAAGGCAAGCGCATACGGCGGACTACAGGTATCCCCAAAAAATTTCTCAAGAGTGTGAATGTGGATCCAACTACCATGACTCCTGAGGAGATGGCCCAACAACGTATCATGGTTACCGACGATGGAAGTTTCGTGGTTCAAGTCGCAGATCAACATTCATGGGAAGATTACCAGAGGAAGCAACAGTCGCGAGCCATGAATCAAAATGATATCATATGGGATAAAGGTCATTTCCCAGATTTGCCGGATGACCTGAAATGTCCCATAACCGGTGGATTGTTAAAAAATCCGGTCAAAACTAGTAAATGTTGCGGCAAAGATTTCTCGCGACAAGCTTTGGAAGACATGCTGGTAGAAAATGATTTTACATGTCCCGCTTGTAGCCAAAGTGATATTCTTCTAGATTCACTGGTTCCAGATGAAGAGAAAAAAAAGCTAGTCGAAAAATTTATGGATGAGCATAGCGTAAAACGTAAAGGTAAGGGCGAAGACCTGGAACCAGCTAAAAAAGCCAAGTTAGCCATGCCAGTACCGCCTTTCGGCATGCCGTTCCCTATGTTCCCCATGCCGTTTGTACCCAGCATAAATTCTACCAAGCAATGATTTTAATATTTGACGTTATATTTTGACTTACAACTCACCATCACTGAAGCAGATGACAGCGTATTTGCCACTAGAAGACCACCATGCTCCAGGTTCGGTCGTTTTCTCAGATTCCCACAAAGCACATAGCTTTTCGTCTGTCCCAGGAGTTAATCCTACAACGACATCAGCTTTACAGGTTCTTAAACTCAAAGTTTTCAAACCATTTTTCGCCAATGGCCCAATTGCGGTCTTCCAATCGGTGGTACGAGGCCATTTTCTATCACCAGTTAGTTTTCTGTAATTCAAGTCACCTTTAAAAATTACCAGATCGCTTTGCAGGAGCTTGTTGTGTATTTGAGCACCACCATATTTAGTCTCAGAAGGATCAATATGACTGTAATCCAAATCCAAAGTCCAAAAAGAATCTTCAGTGAATTCTAGTTGACCGGAAGTAACATGTTGTTTGAGGGTCTTGACAAGAAAGTTCAAAGAATCCCGACCACTCTGAGCATCGTCTTTTAGTGCTGCTAAGTCGAAAAAATCCGGGGAACTCATATCTTCCAACAATAATTCATAATCTTTGATCATGCAGTCACTTACCATATATGGTATATCTTTAGCGTGAAAGATACATTTTTTGGCAATACCAGTGTCAAGCAAGAAAAGTGCTAACATTAAATCGGCATAGACTTCAAAACCTGAATTGTCAAGCACGAAATCAACTTGCTTTGAATTGGACGAATTCAATTGAGCCCATGCTTTTGAAGTATCGTTAATCAAAATCTTGGATTCAGAGGCCTTTCTTGCTTCTTCACCTTGTAAAGACTTTATATCTTCTAGCGTGGCATTGGTTAACAGAGACAGATCTGTGGCATTACCCCACAATGAAATCTCGATAAACTCCTTGAATAGAATTTCAAGTGTTTCGGAATCCGCTTGCTTTAATTGAGATTCTAGTTTACGGTACCGGGTGGCTAATTCCACGACGCCAATCATAGATTTTTGGAAAGTGGATTGCTTGAGCCCGTTAAAGATATCGAAATGGGCCCAAGACTTGAAACTGCGAAACAAAACGTTGATTCTGCGATACAAATAGATCTCACAGAATAACCACCCGCCCGTTTGCCACGTTTGTGGGGTCGAATTAATAACGTCGTTGAAAGAGTCTGGTACCTGAGCAAGTTTGATTTCTTCAGGTGTGAACGCCCTTATTGATTTATCAGATTGTATCTCCTGTCTTAATGAAACCAATTGGTCCTTGATCGTCTTTCCATCCTTAAATGCTTCACAGCTAGGATCTAAAGTATCCAATTCTGTCTGCATATCATCAATGGCGTTACCGACGATGATGGGCCATCTAGCGCTGGCAGTATAAGCACCGAAGGTTCCTTTATCGTTGTTCTTGAAAGTTTCCGGTAAGGTCATTGTCAATTGGTTGTTAAGGAGGACTTGAAGGTGCGATTGTAACATACAAACTGTGAATTATAGGTCTATTAAAGTACCTTTAAACTGTCCGTTTTCGTGAATGATGATTTCCCCATCGAGTTTGTTCCGTTACAAAAAGATCCGAGTGGTGAGCACTCTAGTACGTATCCAAATCTTGACAAAGGGTTTTTCACAATCTTACATGCTATTCGTCAAAATTAGAAATTTGAGACACGGTGTTTCCGCACCACTTTATACTAATCGGTCATGTTTATTGTTGTAATTAGTGTTTATGAATCCTTTGGTGAATTTAAGAGGCATGGGAAGCAGTCACACAGACGCAACAAACGGAACTCGAATAATTATCTGTCCAAACATGGTGATGAACGTAACTGCGATCACGATAATTCTCGTGTAGTTGTGAGACTCCCCTTTCTTGTCCATCATTAAATTAAGAAATTAATTAATTTCTTACACTGACATTTTCATGCGTCTGACGTTTTAGAATTTTCCTTCCGTCTGACGTTTTGATAATTTCTTTCCCTCCGTCTGACGTTTTGACACATCTCTTTCACCGCCTCGTAGCCGCCGAAAGCACGGTTCCCTACTCCCCTCTTCGCGTTCGCGCTTCCTACAACTTCCTGGCTTCCTAACTTCCAGTATACCTGGGAAGCTCAAACTCACGTGGCCTTTCCAATTTTTTTCATCAGAAAACGTCATTTTTTTTTTGGCTCAAAATTTCGAAGCCTTCATTCGTCTAAGCTACCACCAGGCAAAAAAAACATCTCCCATCATCACGAGAGGGCCTAAACGCTCCCTTCCCCCCGTTCCCTTCCATGTAGACTTGCCAGAAGAAACTGCTGATTTTGTTCGTCAAACAACGCGGGCGGCACGTTTCGTTTTGCCGGGCACCGTAACTTAGAACCCAGTGCACACTGCCTTTCTCGATTTCCAATCTGGACAAACCAGAACCAAAGGGTACGGAAAAAAAAAAAGGAAAAAAAGCAAACCAGCCCAGAAATCAACATCCACTACGACCACCACCCACCACCACTACGACCACCACCCACCACCACCGCGACCACCACCACGCGCAATCGATATGGTCCCATTGCGTAGTTCTCGGTTTTTTTTTTTTGGGCTTTACAGCAAATGCTCCATTCCACGACAACCTATATAAGCACCATCCTCGTAGTCTTAATTCATCAATTCATCTTCTATTCTCATTCGTGTTAATTTTCAACTCTTTTCCCTCACCACTCAACTAATCAATTTATCAATCAGTAATAATGGGTGTTCTAGATATTCTAAAGAGAAAGTCCGGTGTCATCGTCGGCGACGATGTCAAAGCTTTGTTCGACTACGCTACCGAACATAAGTTCGCTATCCCAGCCATCAACGTCACCACCTCTTCCACCGTCATTGCCGCTTTGGAAGCCGCCAGAGACCACAAGGCTCCAATCATCTTGCAAACCTCCAACGGTGGTGCTGCCTACTTTGCCGGTAAGGGTGTCTCCAACAAGGACCAATACGCCTCCATCCAAGGTGCTATTGCCGCTGCCCACTACATCAGAGCCGTTGCCCCAGCTTACGGTATCCCAGTCGTCCTACACTCCGACCACTGCGCCGCCAAGCTACTCCCATGGTTCGACGGTATGCTAGAGGCCGACGAAGCTTACTTCAAGCAACACGGTGAGCCTCTATTCTCCTCTCACATGTTGGATCTTTCCGAAGAATCCGATGACGAGAACATCGCCACCTGTGTCAAGTACTTCACCAGAATGGCCAAGATGAACCAATGGCTAGAAATGGAAATCGGTATCACCGGTGGTGAAGAAGATGGTGTCAACAACGAACACGTCTCTCGTGATGACTTGTACACCAAGCCTCCAACCGTCTTCGCTGTCCACAAGGCCCTAGCTCCTATCTCTCCTAACTTTTCGATCGCCGCTGCGTTCGGAAACGTCCATGGCGTATACTCACCTGGTAACGTCCAGTTGAGACCAGAGATCTTGGGTGACTTCCAGAAGTACGCTGCCGAGCAAATCAAGGCTCCAGCTGGATCCAAGCCATTGTACTTGGTTTTCCACGGTGGTTCCGGTTCTTCCCAGGAAGACTTCAACACCGCTATTAACAACGGTGCCATCAAGGTTAACGTCGACACTGACTGTCAATTCGCCTACTTGGAAGGTATCAGAGACTACGTGTTGAAGAACAAGGACTACTTGATGTCCCAGGTTGGTAACCCAGAGGGTGCTGACAAGCCAAACAAGAAGCAATACGACCCAAGAGTGTGGGTTAGAGAAGGTGAGAAGACCATGTCCAAGAGAATTGTCGAGGCTTTGGAAATCTTCCACACTGTTAACCAATTGTAAACTGAGTAATCGGTATCCTGTTGGTGAACCAGTACGTACTTTATATGTCTAATGCGAAACGTTTAAAGCGATAGTGACTTTTTTGATTGATTGTATTCATTAACTAAGGTGTTGTAAACAGAATCGAATGTTGAACGAGTGCTGGATCTGAATGTATCAATTCCAATTGAGATTCATCCAGCAAGCAATCAATAAGTTTTGAAGGGACATCTTGATGAAACCATTTCTTTGATATGATATTTACCTACTACGATTTGCGTGTGTTTAATTAAAATCATTGATCATTATATACGCGTGTGTCGTTACTTGATTAATTGGAAGATATTTTCGACGTCAAAATCATCATAAGCAACGCTAGTTCGGATTGAAGAATTGTGATGTAGATCAGTAGCTGCCAGTAGGAAATGCCTCTCCAGGGTACTATTGACAAATGTAACCAGATATGTGACCTGGTTTCATGCTTGCTTAAGATCTCCAACTAAACTATGCATTGGATGTGCTCTAAGTTGAATTTGGCGGGAATCGTTGCATTTAATGAATTGAACATTGCTGACGGGGTCAGTCGAACTGATACTGCAGGATCAGATGATAAAACATCTCTTCAGAGAGCACAAGTGAGCCCCCCTACTACCCCCAAAGTTCCATTGTTCCGCATTTTTTGGGAAAATGTGACATGTTCATTCCAGGACCTCACTGCTGTCTCGCCAAAATATGATACACCATTGCAATATGTGTTGTGACAAAGATGTCTGATAAAGTGAGACATACCACTTCAGTGGTGTAGCGTACCCACTACATCAGAATAAAATCAAAAGATTACTACTTTTACAGATGTTGACGGGATTTACGATGAAATCAAGGCAGTGCCAAGCGTTAGTATGCCAGATACCACGAACTTCCTGGGCGGCTTCGTCGCTGGAACTAAGTTCATGATGGCCAATGGCGAACCGCGCGCAATCGAAAATGTTCTTGTGGGTGATAAGCTAATGAAAGATGATGGAACAGCTGTTGAGATAATTGCTGTGCCCTGTCAAGTCACCGATACAGTGAAGATTCGTCAAACTAGTAAGCACACTGCTCATCTTAGAGACTCTAACCGTAAACCTCCTTGGGGACTTCTTGACTTTACATGTGCATGGCGCCAATCATTGAACTTTGGAACGTATCAAGTCAAGAAGGACTCTTTTCGGAGTAATGGTAAAAGGGTTATCAGTATTCACCAAATGGCGGTTGCGAGAACCAAAGATGGTCGAGAGATCGCTCTAGTTAAAAATAGGGACAAGCTTTTCAGACATCATGGTGACGAATACGCAGCAAATAAATACATTGCTGAAACAATGGCTCCATATCCTGATCAGTTGATATTCTGGGATTGCGAAGTGGGTGATTTGGAGTACCTGACCTCAGCACCAAGAACTTCAACTTGTCTGAGCTACTATCCGCTTTATTTCGAGAATCATGTCTTGCAATCTTGGTTAGAAAAACATTTTGACCGGGCAGTAACACAGAAAGCATTGGAAGGTATGGCATGGTTACTTGGATTTTGGGTAGGCGATGGTCACCGAAGAGGTCCAATGTTTGCATTGCATTCAGGGGATCATGATGTCAATGGCCGCCTCAAAAGAAATGCCGAACTGTGGGGTATGGATTTGATAATTAAAAAGGAAGGTCCAAGTGATGGCTATAAAGCTATAGGATACTTGCACACTTACAGTGGAACGTTGCGCAATTTGTATCATAAAAGTCCAATTTGTGAAGTTCTATCTGGTTTAGGATTTTGGGAAAATGGACGTCGAGGAGCAGCTAAAAGAGTTCCAAAATTCTTGAGTACTGATCAAAGAATTGTTCGAGAAGCTTTCTTAGCCGGTTTAATCGACTCTGATGGATGCACACGAATCCAGGATAACCTGATCAGAATAAAAATCGTGACAGTTCTACCTTCCGTACGTGATGCAATTTACGCTATAGCACGCTCACTAGGTTTGAATGTTACGGTTTTTTTTTACCACGAAAGAATGCACAAGCTTGGATACCACGAAAGTGATGCTTGGACCTTTAATCTATTCAAAGGAACAAACCTAGACACCTTGCAGTCTATTCTAAGTCGGTGCTCCTGCGAAAGGAAAAGAAATCCACCGATTCAATTAGCGAAAACTAGGGATGTTGAGGAGTTTGAAGATCAGGAAGATGAGGAAGATCAGAGATCTTCTATTCGAAAAGAAATGCTTGCCGAAGAAGATTCTAACGATTCTGATGATTCCTGCTATTTGTCAGACGATGAAGAAACCGCTGTATTTGAAATTGACACTACAGACACCTACTTTGAGAAGCATCAAGGACTCACTGGCGAAGACATCATTTTGAATCCAAACAGGGTCACATTTACCATGGAACCAAATGGTAAGCAGGAAGTATTTGGTTTGGTGTGCTCTGATGATTGCAATCTTTTAACATCTGATCAAGTCGCTGTAGGAAGCTCAAAGTTAATAGGGGAAAATGATAGTGATCAGGTAAATGCCGTCACAGGTTGCATATCATGTAAAAGTACGCGTACGCCCGAGTGGTATCGATTGCCGTGGGATAAGTTGACGTATCACCGTATCTGCAAGCCATGCGCACGCAGCTTTAGAAGCTTGTTACTGAAATGCTATAAAAGTGACTGCAATCATATTTTAAAACAAGCTCAACTCACTTCATTCAGAAGATCAAGAATTGCCAAAGTTAGGAAACAAATCGCGGGAAGTCAAATTACAGAAGGATACCCCTGCACAAAATGCAGAGATGGGATTTACGTCAAGATGGGTGACGACGACGACGACTAGCCATGGTCTCACGAAGCTAAATTTTCACCATTCTAAAGGATCCTGATTGCTGGATACTTGCTCAATCCTCAACCATTTCTCAACCTTAGAACGCTCAAAACGTCGCTACTAAGTACCTCTTTTGTTGACATGATTATTTTTACGCGTATCCCACAAAGTTGAGGAGTTCGACCATCACTTGTCGAACTGTAAAGTTATCAATCTCAATCGTTATTACTGCCGTTCTTATATTCACAATCGCTAACGCCCTCAGTTGTTAAATCATTTTTGATACAATCACCACTATCAACAATTGATTGCTAAAGCTATCAATCGCTCAAGCATACTTTAACCACGCCTTACTATGATATGGCTAGTAACTTGAAGTGACCTAAGTAATGAATGATATCTAAATAAAGAATGACAAAATACAAGCACTAGCTCCAGCGCTCACTTCGTTAAGGTGTTTCATTTTGATTTTGGCATTGGATAACTTACAGCACCTGAAGAGCTGATAGTTATCGTTGTACACAAGAAAGGAGATGCAGAGTCGTCTTTTTGTTCAAGGTAGTTTCATGCTGAACTTGAAAAGTTTCACTCGTCAGTTGACTCGGCTACCAGCGATTTTACTCGTTATACTAAGCATTTCTGCCTGAGGATCTAGCGCTTGCTTTCACTCTCAGCCAGTTTTGTACACTCTTTATAGTGAACGCAGGGACCTTATGTGCCAAACTTTTCCATCAATCCGCCTTAAGGTGTCATAACCTGACTTGGCATTATCACTACCAATATCCGTCCAGACTACGAAAAATATTGTCAAAGGTCACTGATTCAAATGCACAAACAACTCATCGGTGTCCCTATTGTATCGAAACAGATATTTTATTGGCGGTATATATTGTGAGATTAACTATGTAGAAGGATGCCAATAACGTGCTGTAACAATTGATAGATAGTAGTAACACGGTGGCACTTAAAAGATGGGAGATGGAGAGAAGGATGCGTTACTCGTGCTATCAAACACAACTAGCAGATATTATTTGAGCGGTGTACATCAATATTACTGGGGTGGAAGAAGGATGCTCAAAACCGTGCTGCTAGAAACACAAAAGTTAAATCATTTAATAATCGATGCTCAAGTCCGATGTCATAGTGCTGCATTTCACAAAAGAAACTTTCCCATTATCTCATCTATTTTGGATGCAAATTCAGTGTCGAAAATTGTGTCGTAGCTCTTATCGGACACAAGTCTATCAGAAAAGCTAGCTGCACGCGCCTCAGCGTGCAGCTTAAAAAGTTTTAGCAAGTTACACTTTTCGCGATAAATGTTAACTGCATATTCTACCAGTGACCCGACTTCTGAACTCTTTGCGTTCAAGTTAACGGAATGGAGTTGCCTTTGACGAATACCAACATCTAGCCAAATAATAACATTTAGCTTGATATCCAAAACCATCGGGACAATAAATTTGGCTGTAGAAATTACATCAAACTTTTGTTCGACTGTTTTTGGTTCGAAAAAATTGCCACTAACGCCATCTCTAAGCATGAACCCCGCCTTTGCCACAAAAGTATCGAAAGGTTGACCAGTGTAAGAGTTGACCGTCATACCCAGATAACGGGTATCGGGATGCTGCAATCTTAAAGCTTCTAAATCAATGTCAATGAACTCAGCCGCACCGTTTGGTGCATCGGTTATATCTCCCGAGTGTGTGATCCCACTATTTTTCAAATTATAGTAGCCTATTTCGCCTTGGTTCTCAAAGTTGTCTCCAAGCTGTAGACAAGACAAATCAACATCTACCCGTGACCTATACTGTGGTGTCCACTCTGATATGTTCTCCCAATATAGGAATAACCTAATGACCTTGGCCTCTTTGTCGAACTTGATTTTGGATCCTCGGGCTAATGTTCGTAGCGATTCGGATACATTTCGCATGTCCATGGGGACTATAAAATCTTCTAGTTCTGGATCAATGTACACGTTCCCCAGACAGTCCAGTTTTTTAAATCTGTTGATGAGTGTATCATCTATTCCATTCTCCAGTCGGAGACATATTTCGTCCGGAAGAGTGACTCTCTTATCTTCGTTCTCAATAAGCACGTTGGTCGAAGAGCCCTTGGGCAGATAGACTCGAATAGGCGACTTGTCTCTCCGATAACGGAAATGCGTTGACAAATTCAATAGGAGTGGAGTTGCAATGTTAGAAGTGACTTTGAAAAACTCTTCAAGAAGTATTTCTTGCTCTGATGATGAGGAGAGCCGCAATAGGTGATCCAGTCTCCGCGCAAAGTCACCTGGCCTGCTTTTCAATGTGTTCAATATTTTGTTCAATTCGGCTTTCATGTTTCTAGAATCCTGAGCAGTTCCTATTGCAAGTAACGAGTTTTCAATGGTTCTGTTGAACGTCTCGATGGATTTCGGATTTGACCTTATAGTGTGAATGATCTTGGTGGCATTTGGATATCGTTTATCGTATGCGTTCACATGTAAGTATTTGGCAAGGACAAGCCATAGCCCACGGAACCTGAGCATATCTTCCAGTGCCAAAGTGCGGTCCAGCTTGTCTAACATAGACATTAAAAACTTGCGCTGTGAAATAGACAGCTTAAAGCGTGTATGTTCCGTGAGAGAAACATCTGACCCTGAAAGTGCCGCAGCGAGACGTAATACATCTGTAGCGGTTTTCATGAATGTGGAAAACATTTTTTGTAACTTATCATTGAAAGAACCTGCATGTTCAACAGCATAGGTGATAACAACCATTAGGTTTTCTTTATTAGGAATGATTTCCGGTAATGCCAAAGACCAAGAATCATTCCTATTGATGACTTCTTTGATAAACCCTTTATCAGATGCAGTTGTAGAAGTAGGTGTGCTAATCAAGTTTTGGAATAGCTCCAAAATGACTTCCTCGCCTACAATGTCTAATGCGACCATTTTCCTTTGGTTTACGAGATTTGGGCGCTCTATGGGGTCCTGAATCTCAGCATCTGAAAACGGTCTACCAAAAAATGAACCGTTGTACTCATCCGAGGACCAATGTCCGTATACCACGTAATATAGCAAGTAGCCATAGTCGTCGAGTCTTTCATGCACAGCTTCAACCAATACGGTCCTATCTGGAATGCTTTCTGGAAATTGTCGAAACAGGGGTACATATTTCTTATCAGCTCCAAGTGCTTCCTCCAAGACCTCTCTGGTAGTAGATCTGAACAACTGCAAGGAGGATATAGAAAGCGATTTCAAATATTTTAATGCGCTATCAGAGAAAGAATACCCCAGATCTGCCATTTCTGCAGCGAACGTGAATACCATATCATCATTGCATTGCTGCGATGAGCTCTCATCTAACCGCTCATCAACTTTAGGCAGTGCCTTTCGATATGATAGTAGCTTCTTAGAGATTGCCTTATTCATCGAAGCAAAAGTCGAAGGACATGTAAAGTCTTTTGCTTATAGAGTCATTGAAATTGCCAGGAGTGGTTGTGGCACTGATAATAAGGATCTGATCATCGTGCTTCTCACACCAAAAGCTCCTTCTTTTATACATTTTTCGTATATTTCTGAGTAAGTACGATTAACTTGGAGAGAGGGTACATAATAAAGCATGAGCAATATTTACATGGAATTCAACTGCAGCTAGAACCGTTTCCTACACATTTTCTAGGCAAGGAATAGCAGGTCTAGATTACTTCATGCTGTGACTCACAAGCCAGTCTCATTTAAGATTTTTCTCGACGGTTTATTTACATTCTCTCAAAAACAAGCAAGGGAAATGCAACACCTGCATGCTCAATAATTGAAGACCGCGGTCGAATTCTCCAAGTTAAATGGACTCGACTAAAGTTAGTGAATGATGCGTTTCATAAAATCTGTCGTACAGGGTCGGCTTGAGAAGCTATTTGTCTCTTGATGATTTTGTCAGCTGTTCGGTTGACTCATTCGGTAGAGCAACTGATCGATATAACAATTGAAACAGCGTAAAATTACTATTCAGTCAAAGTACAAGAATCACTTGTAGTTTGGAAACGTAAAGGCGCATTTTGCGCAATCAAGAACATTGCAACAGTACTGAAACAGTATTACTGTACAATTGCAAGCGCCAGCGGTGGCTTGTAGATTAACAACAATGCGCTACTGACTGTACAGTGGTAAAGTATGTAGTCAGAGCCATGTTGTGAATATTTGTAAAGTTTCTTGAAATTCTTGAGCTATGGGTAACCTGAGCATGTTCAGCTAAAGGTATCACCATTTATATTAACCCTCCGGTTCTTTAAGTGAGCCTAGAGTGGTTTTTGATGCTTCAACTGGTAAATTCAATGAGTGGTGCTTGATGTGCCGCGTCAGTGTCGCGTGTGTTTTCAGGCAAATGCTCATGACATTTTGTTACTCAATACCAAAGTGTTGTCGCTGTCAAAGGTTGGCAATTTCCCAGCAAATTCTACAGCGAAAAGTCCGAGATCAACAAGCGCCAGTTTTTGAAAAAGCATTCAAATGGCCGTGCTATTACGTAGTTAGCATTAGGCTGAATTGGGGGTTTGCATTGTGTCACAATAAATATCCTCTTCCATAATAAGGTCCAAAACGTAAATTTTCACCTCATCACTCATCAATGGCTTCGAGTTTAACATTCAATGGAACAAAAATACTTCTGTTGGCTCAATGTTGGGGCGTCGATGAGTTGCTATACCTTAGATCCGTTGGTCCTCCCATTAGTGACCGCCCTTTACAACTTTTCAGTACAATTCACTCGAATTTGATCGAAGTCGTTTCTTTATGCTTGGTATTTCAGTCATTTACTGTTTGAAATGATGAAAAGCAGGGCTGCTGTAGTATCCGTAAATGATGTGTTAATCCCCACCGAAAATCTAGTCTATGTAGTTCGCTACAAAAGATTTCATCGAGCTGCTGAATTTCAAAAATTGAAATATATCGCTTTCTCTGGCTACTTTTGATGTGATGCACTCCATTAAATTCATAAGCTTAGCATCATTCCACTGAAAATCTAATAGTCTAGGCTCATCTGTTTACTCAAACACTCGGATTCCGATTCGTTTTGGAAAGAAACAGTTGTTGCTAACTTCAGGTTGAAAACGAATTTGAAACATGCCTTTCTAGGTCAAAACCGCTGATCAGAAGTAACCAAACTCTGAGACACTCTTGATTACTTTTAGCCAAGAAAGACACCATCGTGGAGCATCTTAACTTGACAAGAATGAAACCAGAATGAAACATAGGAATTACTATTAAAACGGGAGTTTCTATTTCGAACTTTGCAGGATTTTTGATGAGATCAAGATAGCACCAAGTCTTAGTATGCCGGGCACCACGAACTTCCTGGGCGGCTTCGTCGCGGGGACTAAGTTCATGATGGCCGATGGCGAGCAACGCGCAATCGAAAATATCTCCGTGGGTGATAAGCTAATGAAAGATGATGGAACAGCTGTTGAGATAATTGCTGTGCCCTGTCAAGTCACCGATACAGTGAAAATTCGCCAAGCCAGTAACCATACTGCTCATCTGAAAGATCCGACCCGTTCACCTCCTTGTGGACTCTTTGAGTTTGCATGTGCATCGCGTCAATCACTGAAATTTGCAACTTTTCAAGTCAAGAAGGACTCTCGTCGGAGTAACGGTAATAGGGTTATTGGAATTCACCAAATGGCGGTTGGAAAAACCAAAGATGGTCGGGAAATCGCTTTAGTCAAAAACAAAGACAAGATTTTCAGGCATGATGGTGACGACTACGCAGCAAATAAGTATATTGCTGAAACAATGGCTCCATACCCAGATAAGTTGATATTTTGGGATTGCGAAGTGGGTGATTTGGAGTGCTTGACGGCAGCACCAAGAACTTCGACCGGTTTGAGCTTCTACCCGATTTATTTTGAAAATCCTGTTTTACTATCTTGGTTAGAAAACCATTTCGAGCGGGCGGTAACAATGAAAGCATTGGAAGGTATGGCGTGGTTACTTGGATTTTGGGTTGGTAATGGTTACAAAAGAGGTCCAATTTTTGCATTACATTCTGAGGATCACGATATTAGTGGCCGCCTCAAAAGGAATGCTAAATTGTGGGGTATGGAATTGGTAATTAAAAAGGTAGGTCCAAGTGGTGGCAAGAACGCCACAGGATACTTGCACACTTACAGCGGAACGGTGCGTAACTTATACCAAAAGAGTCCAATTTGTGAGGTACTATCGGGGTTAAAGTTTTGGGAAAATGGACGTAGGGGAGAGGCGAAAAGAGTGCCGAAATTCTTGAGTACTGACCAAAAAATTGTTCGAGAAGCTTTTTTAGCCGGTCTCATCGATGCCGATGGCAGCACGCGGATTCAGGATAACTTGATAAGAGCGAAAATCGTGACAGTACTACCTCCGGTTCGTGATGCAATAAACGCCATAGCGCGCTCACTAGGTTTGAATGTTACGGTTTATTTTTACCATGAAAGAATGCACAAACTGGGATACCACGAAAGTGATGCTTGGACTTTCAACCTCTTTGGAGGGACTAATCAAGAGACTTTGCAGTCTATTTTAAACCGGTGCTCCTGTGAAAGGAAAAGAAATCCACCAATCCAAAAAGATCGCAATGAGGATGTAGAGGAATTTGAAGATCAGGAAGGTCAGAAGTCCGCTGGTATAAATGATATGCTGTCCGAAGAGGATTACAACAATCCGGATGACTCCAGTGTGGTATCGGACGATGAAGAAACTGCTTTATTTGAAATTGACGCCGTAGACACCTACTTTGAGAAGCATCAAGGGTTCAATGATGAAGACATAAATTTGAATCCTAACAGGTTTAGATTCATTATGGAAAGTAATGGTGAGCAGGAAGTATTTGGTTTGGTGTGCTCTGATGAATGCAAACTATTAATGTCTGACCAAATTGTTGTAGGAAGCTCGAAGTTAATAGGGGGAAATGATCGTGGTCAGGCAAATGCCGTTACAGGTTGCGTATCATGTAAAACTACACGTACGACCCATTGGTATCGTTTGCCATGGGATAGGTCGACGTATCGCCGTATCTGCGAGCAATGCAAACGCAGCTTGCGGAGCTTGTCATTGAAATGCTACAAAAACGACTGCGATCACATTTTGAAGCATGCTCAACTCGCTTCATTCAGAAGATCAAGGATTGCCAAAGTTAGGAGACAAATCGCGGGAAGTCAAGTCGCAGAAGGATACCCTTGCCTGAAATGCAGAGATGGGATCTACGTCAAGATAAGTAAAGACGATTAGTGATGGCTTACGATGCTGAAAACTCGAAGGGTCCCACTCGAGGATCTCGATATCGCTATCAGAAAAATGAATATTTTATGTTTTTAATTTTACAGTGTCTAAATTGAATGTGCCCTCCTTTAGTTTAGGCTGTCACTCTTCATCTCTGTTGTCGTCTGAGGAGCTTGTGAGAGCATTGATAGTTAAGCGCTTAGTGCTACGAAGTAAGCAACAAAAACTACAAAAAGGAATTGCGTCATAAGATTTAGTCAAATTTAAAGAACTTTTACCTCATTCTTGAGCTTAAGTGTTATAAGCTTTCAAGCGAACTACGTCTTTGTCTTCTGTTTCTGTTGATACTTCTACATGGTGTATACTGGCAATTATATATTGTAGTACCGGTTTAGCATATTCAGTTCATCATAAACATAACATTAAGAATACTCATAATGTACGAAAACACACACACTACAATTCAGCCCATCTTTGATTTCCAAGCATTACCTGGGATCAAAACCTCTTCATCATACACAATTTCCATTCACCTGAGTATGCCTCCATATTCTAAAATCTTTTCGTAAACCCGAACCAGTCATCTTTTAATGTACAAACTATATCAATATTAGATACGATATTTTCAACCACCGAAACCGTACAAGGTTCTACCTTGTCTCTTCAGAGCGTAAACAACGTCCAGCGAAGTGACGGTCTTTCTCTTAGCGTGTTCAGTGTAGGTGACAGCGTCTCTGATAACCGACTCCAAGAACGATTTGAGCACAGCTCTGACTTCTTCGTAGATCAAACCAGAAATACGCTTGACACCACCTCTTCTGGCAAGTCTTCTGATAGCAGGCTTAGTGATACCTTGGATGTTGTCTCTAAGAATCTTTCTGTGACGCTTGGCACCACCTTTACCTAGACCTTTACCACCTTTTCCTCTACCGGACATTTTTGATTATTGTGTGTATATGTTGTTGAATATGTCTATTCCTGAGGAGTTCAGTACTGATACGTTTCTTCTCCCTAAAATTTGAAGCCTCTTTTTATACACTTCCATTGACACAAGACAACCAGCGCCACTCACCTCAAAAGCCGCTTCACCCTTACCCTTTCAACTATCTCCTAGATTCCCATCGAACTTGTTGGGCTCAAATGTTCGCCCTTTAAGCGCGAACATACTGGTCCCGCCTCCGTATTGGGTAACTAAATACGCTATAATTTATTGCGGACCAGAATATGCGCATAAACAGAATTTAATATTACGAACAAGCACGAATATCTTGGACTGGATCACCAGGAAATATATTTTTCAGAGCTCAAGTTACCCGCAAAACAAGGAAGAAATATCACACCCGGACCTGTTTGTACGCGCGAAACTAAGTTTTTTTCTGAATCAGCCTGTTTTCGCCCGTAGTTGAATCAGTCTTTAACTATGGGCAAACGCATCCAGGAGTAAAAGTATTGATTAGCCGCAAAAAGGTGTTGAGTCCCAAATATTTGGTATATAAGGAGAGGGTTTTGGAAATTTAAACTTTTCCTACTTACTTACATCTTTTTATGAATTAGAAATCATCTCAAACATAAAGTAACAACAATGGCTAGAACCAAGCAAACCGCAAGAAAGTCTACTGGTGGTAAAGCCCCAAGAAAGCAATTGGCTTCCAAGGCCGCTAGAAAATCTGCTCCATCTACCGGTGGTGTCAAGAAGCCTCACAGATATAAGCCAGGTACCGTTGCTCTAAGAGAAATCAGAAGATTCCAGAAATCTACTGAACTTTTGATCAGAAAGCTTCCTTTCCAAAGACTTGTGCGTGAAATCGCTCAAGACTTCAAGACCGACTTGAGATTCCAGTCCTCTGCCATCGGTGCTCTTCAAGAATCCGTCGAAGCCTACTTGGTCTCGCTATTCGAGGACACCAACTTGGCTGCCATCCACGCCAAGCGTGTCACCATCCAAAAGAAGGACATCAAGTTGGCCAGAAGATTAAGAGGTGAGAGATCTTAAACCGTGGGTTTATGGCGTGTTTAGGATTTTTTTCTTAGCTCTTCGGGTTTTTCACAAAGAGACGGGTTGGCATGATATAATTAAAGCTACTCTCGTTCTCAATAGGTTTATAATAAGTTGTATAATAGGTTTTATTCAATGAATGCTTCACGAAACAATATGTATGTCCACATTGCTGCGCTAGTTGTGTGGTATTAGTTTGACGTTAAGAAAAAACCTCATATGATGCTGACACTCACTAAAGTCGCATAAGACAAGGAAGGTCATACCTCCCCTGCTGCGGTTACTTAGACGGTTACGAGCTTTATTCAGCCTTTTAGCGTATTGTCTCTTTATATGGTTTTAAATTTGTATCTTCCATTACATTAGAATTTAGCCTCCTGTTCTTACATTTTAAAACTTCCAAGACTTTTGGCAATACGTTATGGCGGACCTTCTAGATACGTCACAGTTCATCACAAAAATATGTGGTCTCCAAAGTGCTGACGCAGCTCAAGTAGCTATCGATGCTAATTCGCTATTGCTGGGCATAATATGCGTGCCAAATCGAAAGCGTACCGTTGATCCTAGCGAGGCCAAAAAAATCTCCGTAAAGGTCAGGGCCGCCCGCGACGAGAGACAAAAAAGAGGGTTGGCTGGTCCATTTTTAGTTGGGGTTTTCCGCAACCAAGAAGTTGAAGAGGTACAAAGGATCAAGAGTGATTACGGAATAGATTTCGTCCAGCTTCATGGTAGCGAGGACTGGCAAAGATACCAAAAGGCACTTCCGGGTACGCTTCTTATCAAGAGATTCATTTTTCCGAATGACTGTTCTCTGGTTGAAGAGCTTTCTCACGTAAAAAATCCCGGTTGTTTGCCACTTTTCGATTCAGAAGCTGGAGGGACCGGTGAACAGTTAGACTGGGACGCCATTTCCGACTGGAGCAACGAAACGGGCGCCACTTTCATCTTGGCAGGTGGTCTTTCACCTCACAACGTAAAAACGGCCAGTCAGCTCACTGGAGTACGAGGCGTTGACGTCAGCGGAGGAGTCGAAACTGATGGTCTTAAAGATTTCAATAAGATACGCCTCTTTCTCAGTGAAGCTTCAAAATGATGTGTATATAGATTTGTTGACAGATCAACGTCATGGTGTATGTTAAGATCATTTATTTGAGGACATAGTTACTACACTAGTTAAGCAGAACCAGAGATGAAGAACCATTTGTCAATGGACTTATCAATTGGAGCATCTTCCTTGACATCTTTGGCTGGAACTGCTTGGGCAGCAGCTTGAGAGTAAGTCGAGGTGCCAGACAAAGTGGTGTTCGTCAACTCAATGTCCTTAGACTCAGCAGCCTTACCTTGGATCAAGTTCTTCCAGGCTTCACTGCACTCTCTGATAACGTCCAAAGCGTACTTCTTGTTCTTGGCTTCACCCGAAAAAGCAAATTGGTTTTCTGGCTTTCCGTCAGGGATTTTGTAGATTCTGAACCATTCGTTGGTGGCTCTCAACAGACCTGGGAAGTACTTCTCGACATCTTCAATGTCGTTTAGCTTGGCAGCCAATGGGTCGTTGACATCGATAACAATGATTTTCCAGTCAGTTTCACCTTCATCCAAAAGGGCCATGACACCAAGAGCCTTGACCTGTTTGACTTGCCCAGTGTAACCGATGGTTTCACCAATCTCCAAAACATCCAAAGGATCGTTGTCACCAGCAGCCTTGGTCTCTGGGTGCACAGAACTTGGGTCCTCCCATGTCTGTGGGAAAGCACCGTAGTTGTGGATGTAGCCGTGGTGAGGGAAACAGTTTCTGACGAATCTAAGCTTTCCCTTCTTGGTGTCCTGAATGATTGGGTTCAAGGTCTCCTCCTTGCTGATCTCAAGCTTGGCGTTGGTCCAACGTGGGATTTCAACAACCATGTTGAAAATTTGGTTGGCCTCATCAGCGTATAGAGGAATGTCGTGGAAAGACGAGACTGGTTGACCGTCTTTCTCGATGAAAACTTTGTAGTCCAAGGTATTTTTAGCACCGATTTGTCTAGCAGTGTAACCCATTTTTGAATTGAGGTATTGAAGCTGTTTTAGAGCGTACTAAGTCTGTTTTACCTAGTTGTAGTGAAGTTATCTCGAACTCTCCGACCTGAATTCGGCGAGCCCACACTTTATATTTATACATGGCAAAAAAATTCAATGATTTGCCTCTACCTCCACGTGATATTAGGTATTTGTCCTCGTCACCTATAAGCTCACCAGTCTGATTTGATTTTAGAGTTATCCTACACGTTTAAACGCGAAAACGCACTGATCGCTACGATGATCCGTGCTCAAATATGTTTCTTTAGCCTTATAAAAAAACACGATTTTTAGGAGTCTTAAAATGGGGTTGTCCAGCAAACCCGTTCATGATTAGCCAAGGGCCAATTACTGTCATCATGAAAAGTGCTCTCTGGTGGGAAAAAGACGTTGAAAGACTGATTAAAGTTCCTTCGCATCTGCGAGATAAGTAGAAAAGTCTCGCCTGCATACCACTTGGTATCCGCAATTTACATTTCAACCTCACGAAAGCTGCATCAAATAAAAAGCGAAAAAAGGGTTTCGAGCAGGTTTGCGCTAAACGTGGGCAACCTGAACAGTTTCTGGCCTTTTGGAAACGTTCTGCAGTTCAATTGGAGCCGCGGTAGTTGGATCTATATCCGTAGAGGAACTTCTCGACGTCGATTGCCCAGGACGATCAGAAGTGCGGCCTATGCGGCCATTTGTTTGCTCAACGGCTGTACCACGATAGTACTGCCGGAAGGCATCACTAAAATCTGCAGAGTACCGTTCTTGAATGTTATCATCTCTTGTGACGGCCGAGGGTGGTTCCGTCGGGTAGTCTGCAACGTCTACCGTATCCATAGGTGGCGGAGGCGTCGCATTTTCGACTTTGGAGCTCAGATGGAAGTTTCCCTCGTTATCATAGTATCCCATGTCATTTTCATTTGCAGTTTCCGTGTAGGGAGGCACATAATCCTGAGTAGAGCCCCGATATTGTCTTTCGGACTGCCGATACGAAGGGGGTGTAAACCAAGCTGTGCCGATAATGGGCCGCTGCCCAAGTTTCATCCGTCTGCCATTTATTCTGATGGCAGTTAGGCCCAAAGCGGCCAACGCGAACACAAAGAACACGACAAGGACCCATCGGGCCCACACCCATTCGTTTCCGCAACTAAAGCCGTAACAGTAACTGTCATCGTTACTCGACCGCGCTGCCAACCTTTCTAGTGCCGGAGGCATTTCTCCATCAGGGGAAGAACGAGACCAGTTGATATACATTATCCCAAAACAAGGCGTAGTATCTCTCTCGCCAAGGTTTAAATGAACCTCCGGAGCTCTGAGCGTCTAGCCATCTCCTCGCATTAATTACTAACCTAATTTATTAAGGTAGCCAACTCACCTTAGCTTCGTACGAAACTACCACCGAAATCAATAAATGTATGTTGAGCTTTCTTTCATGATGATCAAATGAATACATATAATACCATTGAAGTTCAATGAGTCGATGAATGTCCTGAAGTTGATCGGCGTCTTTGCAATTGTCAAAAGCATTCAGTATCTGATAGTTTTCTTGGCCCCTTGTGTACAATTTGATACATCTACTGCACTCTTTTTGTCGAAGTTCGCTGGCCAGGAAGAAATTAATAAATGGTGGAATGCTAGATTGTGGAATAAGTTAGTAGGATGGGACGCTGTATACTATTTGAAAAATGCCATGCAGCCAAGTCTTCAGCCAGAGTATGAGCACGAAAACGCATTCTCCCCAATATGGAGTCAACTGATAAGAGCGGCGTGTCTTGGTGATCTGAGCTTTTATCATGTCCTAAAAACTGGCGTGATAGTCGAAAATTGCCTCCATCTGGGCGCCTCAATCTTGCTTTACTTTCTCACTCTTAGCACTTTCAAGGTAAACACTTTTGGGCCGCAACAGCGCCGCCTTCTAGCGCTTAAAACTGCGGTTCTTTTCATTGCGGGTAGTGGGTCAGGATTTTTTCTGGGAGTATATTCTGAACCTCTCTCAGCGTTACTGAGTTTTTTAGGACTTTTGAGCCGTGAAATTGCTGTGGAATACGATCTCCATGGCGGCCTAGTAGTTACCTGGTACAAATGGCCCATATACACCCTTTTCTCCACGATCTGTTTCACAGCTGCATTTGCCGTCAGACCAAACTGCATACTTCTCGGTCTATACTACATTTTTGACCTGTACAAACTCCTAACATCGAGGGATTACGGTAAGGCGATATTCATGCCCCTTTTAAGTGGCTTTGGCATGTTCTGTTTTTTCATTTACTACCAATATTACGCACCTTACCAGATATATTGCCCTAGTAGAGGGGCATGGTGTTCGAATAAGATTTTAGACCTTCCACTTAGCAGCCAGTCGCTGTACAATTTCATTCAAGGTCATTATTGGAATGTGGGATTCTTGAGGTACTGGACGTTTAATAACATTCCCAACTTCTTAATCGCCTTACCTAATGCAGTTATTTTATGGTTCTCTGCGATTTACTTCTCTCATCAGTATCCTTATTCAAACCTCAAACCTTTGGTGCTTATTACGAGATTTCTCTTGATCATTTTGATCTTTTTCGCCCATATTCAGATCATCAACAGAATATCATCTTTCATACCTCTTCATCTGTGGTATATTGCACATCGTCACAACCGGCTGAAATCTATGAAAGGTAAGAAATTGAAAGGCGATGACAGACTTGTCAGATTTTACGTCATTTGGTCCATCTTTTGGCTTCCTCTTCAGACTGCACTTTTTGCCTCTTTTCTGCCTCCAGCATGAACAGCTTGATATGGTCATCTCCATACCATGAGCGTTAGTACTGGAGCAAGCTTCATGTCCCAGCTCTAAGTGAAGGAACAGTGCGTGAACTAGCTAGAAAGCTAAAAAAATGCCGCCTTAGGTAGATGGAAGCGATTGACTACCATTTCAACAGTTTCATCGACTTATTCAGGTCTTTATTGGTTGAATGTGTATTTACAGTTTTATAGATTTTGTATTCTGCAACGATTATCACTTCCTTCTGGTAACGATACTGTTGGTCAAAAATTCGAGCGCCGAACGAGCGTCCGACTCTGGTAGAGCATTTCGGAGATTTGCGAGAGCTCGATCTCTATATTCGTGAGCCAATTCTCGCGTCTTGCTAACGCCATCGTGTGTAGCAACGGCCTCTGCCGTTCTTTCTACGTCGCCAGGTTGCGAAAAGTTGCGCTGAATTAGTGGCCCCAAAGAACTATCTTCCTTCCAAGCATAGAGTACTGGCGCTGTTGCTATTCCAAGTTGCAAATCTGCTCCAGCAGGCTTTCCTAAGTCTTTGGCTGAAACGGTGAAGTCGAGCATGTCATCTACCAGCTGAAAACAGATTCCCAGGTTTTTCCCAAAATTATAACATTCTTCTATAACTGGGTCCTTGGCACCAGAGAGAATTGCAGCAGCTCTGGATGATTTAGAGATCAAAGCAGCGGTTTTGAGATAAGTCTTGTGAAGATAATATTCAAAGGCTGTGGTGACCATAGCCTGAGGTGCTTGCCCATTGGCCTCGACAGAAACACGATAATCATGAGCGTTGTTCGTCAATTTTGTGGAAGCCGGGGGAATCTTTTGGCTCCCATTCGCTATTGTCGTTAGGTCGTTGTCAATTGCAGTATTTTTCAACTGCATGAATTCACCTTCAACAAGGTTAGCAATGCTATTGGATACAAGCTCGACCACTTCTGGGTTTCGGAGACGAGAAATAGATACAGTGGCTCTGCCAAGCAAGAAATCACCAGCCAATACAGCCATCTTGTTTGTGAAGGCCACGTTCCCACTAGCCCGACCTCTTCTTGTGTCCGAATAGTCAATTACGTCGTCATGCAACAGGGATGCGGTATGTATCATTTCGACAATTTCGGCTAGTCTCCTCTGTTTCGGCAGGATCCCCCGCTCCTTGTCGAACTCTTGAGGTAAAGGTTCAGGGCCTTTAGTCAACGGATTGAGTGGCTTGATACCATGCAAAATGTGAAGAGGAGATAGATTCTTTGCCGGGTGCTCGAAAAGCAGCGATTGCGGTGGTTTGGAGTAAACAGGATCTTCTGGAACGTCTGTATAGTCAACTTTAATACGATTACGCTCCTCCAATGGAATTTCCGCTAATGCTCTGGAAATCAAAAGAACCAGCATTGGCCTGACCTTTTTGCCTTCGGCCTCAAAATAATAGCCAGTTACTCTGTTCAAAGTCGGATGGCCGGATCCCATCAAAGCCACGATATTCTTAGCCAATGTGTTCATTTCTTGCGACACTAATGACACGGGGTTGTTAAGCAAGCTTCGAGGTGTTACCAGCCTTGCAGCGGTTGCCAAAGCTGTGGCAAATGATGACTTGAATCGCACAGCATTAGAAAGTCGCTTCTTAACGCCCCAAACAGTTCGGACCTGTAGCATTGTGTCCCTGCTCCTCAACTCTACCCTTCAGTGAATTTAATATGTTCATTCAATTTTTTTATTATGGTGACAAGACCTCATTGAACTACTTGATCAACAAAATTTAAGGAAGCACAATGTCTGACACCAACTCCTTTCCTGGGCTTCCTCAGGCTTTTAACTTCCTCAAGAATCTATTTTCACACGCCCTTCGATCTTCAGATAATGTTCCTCAGCATGTAGGTTTAATCATGGATGGTAATCGGCGGTGGGCTAAACGAAAACATGTAGAGGTGAAAGAAGGACATAATGCCGGATTCCATAGTATGGGTCGAGCTCTTGAACTATGCTACGAGGCGGGTGTAAAAACTGCAACCGTCTTTGCCTTTTCGATAGAGAATTACAAAAGAAGTGCAGCAGAGGTAGACTCATTGATGAATTTAGCCAGAAGTGGCATTAGGCAGGTTGTTCAGAACGGAGAAATGGCTGAAAAGTTCGGAATCAGAATAAGGGTCATAGGAGACCGGCGCCTTCTATCTGAAGATGTTATGCGCGAAGTCGAAACGGCAGAAGAAATTACAAAGAATAACAAAAGGGCAGTGTTGAATATCTGCTTTCCTTATACAGGGCGTGATGAACTTCTGCATAGCATCAAAGCTAATGTAAATAGAGCCCTGGCTGGTGAGATTGAAGCTACCGAAATCGACGAGAAACAGGTCGACGATTTCTTGTACACGGCGGGGTCGCCGCCCCTCGATCTGTTAATCAGAACGAGCGGCGTGACACGCCTGAGCGATTTCTTGCTTTGGCAAGTTAGCCGAAGAGGGGTAGTAATTGAATTCGTTGATTGCCTATGGCCCGATTTTGGATCTCGCCAAATGGCGTGGATCCTGCTCAAGTATGCATATAACCGAACCTACCGCGCACATGACCCAGACTTTGAAGAAGAAGCTGATTGCGGTACAACGACCAACCGTGGCAAGAAGAGTATTTAGACCTTTTAATACGTTTCAAAAACGACTGAACAATTCTCGGACTTACTACTTCTACTCGGCGCACGACCACAAGCCCGTATAAAGATAAAGGCAGTGGATGGAAATAGATCAATGTAGCTTATTATTTACGTAGAATGCGTTGGAGTTGAGCCAGTATGGCGCAACATTTTATATTTTCAAAAGAACCTAGCTCTTGTTGACACCTTGAGCCTTTTCAAATTCAGCCTTGAACTTGTCGGCGTTCTCCTTGTTTCCAAATCTGATAGCGAAAGTGAAGGCTTCTGCGCCCCCTTCGGCAACATCAGCGGTACACGTGTAGACCCACGACCTGTCCGAGCCCACATTTGGCGCCAGCACGTATTCTGGAGCGATGATGTGGTTTGCACAGACCTTCAAAGTCTTATCTCTTCTCATCAATAATCTGACCTTATTGGTTTCCTTGTTTTGCAAGAACTTCACGTCACCAGTGCCCCTCTCCTTCCACTCTTTGTTTTCAGAGTCGAATCTAAAAAGCTTGGCTCTAACTTTGAATAGCACTTCCTCATCTTCTTCCAAAGTCTTCACGTCAACTTTCTCTAGCGTCACAACAGGTTCAAAATGCACATCTGGTGATTCAGGAGCCTCTTCTTCCTCTTTGGTGACTTTCTCAGCGTCCTTGGACTCTTTAGTCTCGCTTTTTTCATCTTTGGTATCTTCCTCCTTCTTTTCAGCCTTCTTGCCTCCAAACATGGAAAAAACCGCAGACGTTGGTGGCTGAGGAGCCACCTCAGATGTTTTTTCAATCTTCTTCTCTTCAGACATGGTTGTTCGTGGTAATATCCTTCGAGCTTTTTAGCTTATACAAGACCGGTGGATCAAAACTCCAGTTTGAACGCTAAGTTCAAAAATTTTCTTATGGATTCATTAATTGATTATCGAAATCTAATATCATATAGTACGACATCAGAGCTCTTATTTCCCTAATTTTTAAATATTTGGGGTTGGACGAACTTAGAAACCTTCTGCCATCACAAGTTTCCAGTATCAAGATAAACTGCTCTATAAGTGCGAATCACAGATTAGGTTACGACCGGACTTACTTCACTAGGGTTTGGAAAACTGTTCAACATGGCGGATGAGTCTCAGACAGTACCTAAACACCATCAACGGACCAACTCACTAGATCAGTTTACCGACCCTTTTTCCACTGCTGAGATCTATTATGGACCATCTAACGATCCTAGTAAGAGACATGTCAAGGGGTTCAATCGGACCAGGACCATGAGCGTGTTGGGTAATTCTTCGAAATTCAAAACCAGGGATTTCACCTCAGTGCTGCCTGTCACAAGACGCGGTTCTGAGGATGACAGCTATCTGAGCTCTAAAGGAAGAAGAAAATTCTTCATTGAAGACGTAGATGCAACTTTAGAACAATTGCTAAGTGGCGAAGACACTGATCGTAACTACCAGATCACCATTGAGGATACAGGACCTAAGACGATCCGTATTGGAACAGCGAACTCAAATGGATATAAGAAACTCAGCATCAAAGGCACGTACATGTTGTCCAACTTACTACAAGAATTAACCCTTGCCAAAAGTTTTGGAAGGAAACAAGTTGTTCTTGATGAAGCGAGGTTGAATGAAAACCCGGTCAACAGACTAGAGAGACTCATTGTGACGCAATTTTGGAAATCTTTGACAAGAAGGATCGACTTATACAACGTGGCAGTAATTGCTGCGGATGGCAAAATTGACACTCCTGCTGCGAAGGTCCCTCGGATATATGTGCCCCACAACTGTCCAGACCAGTATGAGTTTTACATCCAGGCGTCCCAAATGAATCCTACTTCGAACCTGGATGTGGAATATTTGCCCGAAGATATCACTCCCGAATATGTGAAATCTATTAATGATCGGCCTGGGCTCTTGGCCCTAGCTATGGAAAAACACATGGATCCTGCCACGGGTGAAGAGGCGATGTTTAGCTATCCATATGCTGTCCCAGGTGGCAGGTTCAACGAGTTGTATGGTTGGGATTCTTACATGATGGCACTTGGACTTCTAGAGGGTAGCAAAATTGACGTTGCTAGAGGGATGGTTGAGCACTTCATCTTTGAGATTGATCACTACGGAAAAATTCTCAACGCAAACAGAAGCTACTACTTGTGTAGATCGCAACCTCCATTCCTCACTGACATGGCGCTCAAAGTGTTCGAGAAAATGGGTGGAAAGAGCAATCCAGACGCCGTTTCCCTTTTAAAGCGCGCTTTTTCGGCTGCGGTAAAAGAGTATAAAACAGTTTGGATGGCATCTCCTAGATTGGATGAAAACACTGGCTTATCATGCTATCACCCGAACGGTCTTGGTATACCACCAGAGACAGAGGCTGGCCACTTCGACGCTGTTCTCAAACCGTTTGCCGAAAAAAATAAGGTCACGTTAGAGGAATTCAGAGATCTTTACAATGATGGTGTAGTTTTGGAGCCAGAGTTGGATGAATACTTTCTACACGATAGAGGCGTCAGGGAGTCAGGACACGATACAACCTACAGATTTGACGGTGTGTGTGGGTTCCTTGCAACCATTGATCTAAACTCACTGCTTTACAAGTACGAGGTCGATATCGCAGACCACATTGAAACGTTCCATGGTGGCGAGTTTACAGATCTGTTGGGAGAGAAAACAGAAGTCTCTTATTGGCAGAAACAAGCTGCAAAACGGAAGGAAAGAATAAATGAATATCTCTGGGATGAGGAAACTGGGTTCTTTTATGACTACCATATCAAGTTTAAAGAAAAAATCACGTATGAATCCGCTACAACTTTGTGGGCTTTATGGGCCGGTGTAGCGACACAACATCAGGCCAATAGAATGGTGCGTCTTGCAATACCCAAGTTAGAAATGCTTGGTGGTCTCGTTTCCTGCACCGAACAATCTAGGGGAGAAGTTTCAATTGAGAGACCCACCAGACAGTGGGATTACCCGTTTGGATGGGCGCCTCATCAAATTCTTGCATGGGAAGGGCTCACCAAGTATGAGTATGAAGGTGAAACTAGAAGGTTGGCCTACAGGTGGCTCTTCCTAATGACAAAGGCTTTTGTGGACTACAACGGAATCGTAGTTGAGAAGTACGATGTTACTAAAGGTACTGACCCTCACAGAGTGGAGGCCGAGTACGGAAACCAAGGTGCCGATTTTAAGGGAGTGGCCACAGAGGGATTCGGCTGGGTCAATGCGAGCTTTGTACTAGGATTGAAGTTTATGGATACACAAGCGAGAAGGGCTCTCGCGTCTTGCATAAACCCTGATTTATTTTTTGCAAATCTGAGAGCAGACCAGCGGAAGCAATATGGCCTATCTTGAACAGTCGGAGGACATTGAATGTCCTTTCTTTTAGAGTCAGACGCCCATACATATATTAAATTGATGAATCATTCTTCCATGTAATCAGCCTTGGGACATCGAATCTAATGTCAGATATTTAGAGAGTGTATATCAACTCAAAACATAGCAAATTTTATTTTATAAAATGGTAATCATATGACTGAACTTTGTAGCTTTAACTCAACTTATTATTTAATTTGTTTTTATTTATGCGTAAAATGATTTTGCAAATTTTATAACTTTATTTATGTAATTTTTACCTTTGTGTTGTATTTCCGAAAAGGTTTTTTTTATAAAAGTGCGTGCTTTTATAATTAAAATGCACGAAATCTTAAGGAGTTATTAGGGTTTGTTAATAGCTGTCGGTGAGACTAGTTATACAATTCCAGCTGAAAGATTATCAGGACTCTAATTGAAGCCGCGGTTGATGGATTTTATTAAAGCTGGTCTTAAGACAAGTAAAGATTTCATCTCATTGGGTAACCATATGAGAACTATTTATAATTGCTCTGTTTCGAGAGGCAATGATAAGGTATGTTACCTGAACGCTTGTAAAAGTTTCCAAAATATAAAAAAACATTAAATCTTACTTGGAAAAAGCAAAGCGCGGAGGAACCGCGAAAGACGATGATTTCTAGTCCTTGCTGTAAGACGGATTTGAAGGATTATTGGAAGGTATGTATGTACTTGAAAGACATGGTATTGCATCCGCTCTCTCAGTGAGATCTGCTCTCTGACATTAAAGCACGTGATGTATGAATATTGTCTTTTTTTGGTAGTAAGTTGTTTTGATATTTTCAGGTTTTTGGAGTATTTGACACGATTATCCATTGAATACGGTGTCCGTTCTGACCAAACATCTTAGGGTTTAGCCAAACAACTTTGTTGTTTCACCCGCAATCACCGAAAGATAGTGAAGATGGTTAAGATACCATGTCTAGTCGATGTGTGCATGGTTCCGGTAAGTTTGAAATTAATATTGTTTTTCAGTTCCTAGATTTTAAAGACTAACCTTGATTATGTAGCTGGGAACAGGATCTGCAAGTGTTTCCGATTTCGTGGCTGTTGTCGAGAAGAAGATCCGCGAAAGCCACCTGAAAAGTACTCTGCATAGCGCTGGTACCACAATTGAAGGACCGTGGGATGAAGTTACGGGGCTAATTGGTGAGCTTCATGAGTATGCTCATGAACTCGGTTACGTTAGAGTTCATACAGACATTAGAATAGGAACAAGAGTCGACAAAGCCCAAACGGCCGCAGACAAGGTGGATGCAGTTTTGGAAAAGCTAAAGTAGGGCAACTTCGATAGTTCTACTTTCAAAATATTGCCATACCAACACCGGATCTATACTCCCTTTATGTGAGTTCAAGAAGGTAAAGTTTTTAGTCAAAAAATACTGTTTGCAACATATCTAATATACAAAACCCGAAATAATATTACACTTGAAACAAATCAAAACCCGTTTTGATCAACCTCTTGCTTTAAAAGCAACTTTGTTCTAAGCTTGAGTGGAAGAAGAGTACTTGGTAACCGCTCTTGTACCTTCAGAGACGGCGTGCTTAGCCAATTCACCTGGCAAGATCAATCTGACAGCGGTTTGAATTTCTCTGGCGGAAATGGTCGATTTCTTGTTAAAAGCAGCTAGTTTAGAAGCTTCGGACGCGATCCTCTCAAAGATGTCGTTGACAAAAGAGTTCAAAATCGACATAGACTTCTGGGAAATACCAGTGTCAGGGTGGGTCTGCTTTAGCACCTTGTAAATGTAAGAGGAGTAGGTTTCCTTTCTGACCTTGACTCTCTTCTTGTTGCTGTCAGTGGAAGAAGCGGTCTTCTTGGCAGCAGGCTTCTTCTCAGCTGGTGCTTTAGAGGCAGGCTTCTTTTCAGCTTTTGGAGACATTTATGTTTATGTTGATTGATTGTGTAGGGATTTCGTGATTCAACCCCAACTCCAAAACATTTTTTAGAAACGAATACGTACAGTCTCAAGTGAAGCCAATTTATACACGATACAGAAATTTTCAACGAGGAGAGTCATTTAGCAATCGACTCCTTGCCCTTGACCTACCGTTGCGTACAGTGTGCGATGCAGTCGACAAGTGCTGCGTAACGAGTTGGCATAGACGATTAACAGCGTGAAGATTCAGGTCCGGTACTCGTTCCAGAATATACTGAGGAGTTTTAAGTTTCGTGTCCCTAATATAATTTCCAACAGGGAATGGAATATCGTGGGCCAGTATACGTGCCACATTATTCACATTGGTGGATGGACATTATCAAATGCGGTACAGGATATTCGCGTTTTCGCGGGAATAACACAGTCTATCCATTTCGCGTGTGGTAGCGCTCAGGTCCGAGGTGTAGTTGGGCGTACTCGGTTTCTCGCATAATGGGGAGAATCGGTGTTATCTAGAAGGAAGAGACCAAAGGTATATAAATAAGGACAAAAGATTATCCACCAAAGCCTGGCGCATTAACCGAAGATAGGTACCAAAGTTTCTTACGGGCAACTTTTCATAGTCTTACTAAACAAAAACAACAAGGAAAATATGTCCGGTGGTAAAGGTGGTAAAGCTGGCTCTGCTGCTAAAGCTTCCCAATCTAGATCTGCCAAAGCTGGCTTGACGTTCCCAGTCGGTAGAGTCCACAGACTCTTGAGAAGAGGTAACTACGCTCAACGAGTGGGGTCCGGTGCTCCAGTATACTTGACAGCTGTCTTGGAATATTTGGCAGCCGAAATCTTGGAATTGGCAGGTAACGCCGCCAGAGATAACAAGAAGACTAGAATTATCCCTCGTCATTTGCAATTGGCTATCAGAAATGATGACGAATTGAACAAACTGCTTGGAAATGTGACTATCGCTCAAGGTGGTGTTTTGCCAAACATCCACCAAAACTTGCTTCCAAAGAAGTCTTCCAAGCCAGACAAAGCTTCTCAAGAATTGTAAGCTTGATAATTTAATCGCCTGTGAGGTGATATATATCGGGGTCTTTGATTTTTACTCAAGCAGTAGTAAATCATTTGTATTATAAATTTCTGGATGTCAGGTTATTTCCATCGTTTGTACATAGTTATTATACCATGTATTCAAATAAAATCAAGGTTTATCAGGATAGATTGCCGCACGAGTTTGCTTTTAAATCCATTATTTGGCTTCTGAGAACAGATCCACCACAATATTTATGAGGGACACTAAGACCTCAACGCCGACCAATACAATGATAATGAATTCCAAATATTCTTCGTGGGAATGTCCAAGCTGTTCTTTCAACATCTGCAGTAAATCTGATATCACTTCCAGCCTTTGGTTCAGCAGCGCAACTCTCTGATTAATTTCTAGGTATCCCCTTGTAGCGTGGTAGATAGGTTCCAGCTGAGGCTCTGACCACATAATTTCAGGGGAGTCGAGAACAGATCCATGCAGGTTGATATTGATGCGAAGAATGAATAGCTCTCCAATACTTTTCATGATGTCTTCTTTGCTCATGGACACCTTTCCGCTCGATGCGATTTGCTGCGGTATGTCTTGGGTATCCTCGATTGTATTATCGACCAATTCCTCAAATAGCGATATTTTCACGCTCTGAGCAATTGCGTGAGAAATAGATAACTTTATCATGTAGTTGGAACCGTCTCGGAGCGTAATAAAATCATTGTAGATTCGCGGCTGATAACTCTGGGTAATGTAGTAGTTAAATTCCTCGATTTGCACATCTTCCTCTGCTAGTTTTTCCTTTTCGAACTTTTCGATGTCGTTCAAAAAAGCTTTCTCTTCTCGCTCCGTGAATCCCCACATCACTATAACGCCATACTCGAAAATAAACAGATCCGGCTGTTTGTCGCTTACGTTGATTTCTCCACCCTGGTCGTCTAGGCGAATGACATCTTCATTCGCAAACCTCTTGTCACCCCTCCAATCTGTGTATATAAAAGGCGTGAATAAGCACTCATCAAAAAGCTTTGGATGCGTGTGGTGCAGTTTTTTGCAGTCCTTGAGCCATCGTATGATCTCCCTCATGTTGTAAGAACTTGCTGTACAATATCCGCTTACTCTTGGAAGTAAATGTCGTTGACCCTTACCAAGTTTTTCTGCATCTCGTCGAGCCGGTGTATCTGTGATCCTATTGACTTGAGAATAGACGTCTCGATCAGTAGCGTCCAAATACTCATCCTCTTGGCTGTTGAAAGGCTCTTCGGGTAAAAGCTTCAGCTTCTGAGCAGTTCTCGATGTTCTCTGGGCGCCCACTCGGGCACCTTTAGAGTTCCCACTCGTATTATTGCGAATCGAAGGTGCTTGGCCTTGTTGGCTGATACCTCTTTCTGGCTCGGCTAACAACGGTTGTCGTTCAACGTGGGACATTGTAGTTCATTCGGTGGCAAAGAAAACTTCTTTGACGGATTTCAGATGGGTTTTTACACTGTGCTGCTGTTTTGTTCTTTTAATCTTTCTGTAACTCTGGAGTTTCGATGAGGCCATTTGATATGGTAAACCATGAAATTATCAGATAATTAAATAATTTCAAGAACATTAAATCTACAAGTACATGCATCTGACTTTATTCATCAGTTGGTGAGATACAGTTACGAAGCCTGAAAGGCCATGTCAGAAGACTACGATCACAAGCGATCCTTTGAAGAGCTTCAAGAAAGTAATCAGGTTCTAGGATTGGCCGTTCAGCGAACGAGACTGGCTGTTAAAAGACTAAGGTTAGAGTATGGTTCTCTGCTGGAGCGCCTAGAAAGCAGAATAAATAAAGACCCCGAGTTGTGTTATGAAGATCCGTTACCGTCTTTAGAAAGTTTCAGGATGCAGATCTTAGAGGACACACCTAAATCCAAGACGAAAAAGAAAAAGGGAAAAGAACGAGACCCAAACCTTCCAAAAAGACCCACGAATGCATATTTGCTTTACTGCGAGATGAATAAAGAATCCATGAAACAAAATGCGGGACCCAACGATGTTTCCAAAGCCCTAACGGATGCGTGGAAAGCGCTGGATGAAGACGGGAGGAAGCCTTACTATAAACTTTACAGCGAAGATCGTGAACGGTATCAGAGGGAGATGCAGGCTTACGCTAAGAGCAAGACAGGAAGCGACAAGCGGCCCAAAAAAGAGGAAGAAGATGACGATGAGGAAGATGCGGAGGACGAAGACGATACTGACGGCACTCAGCCAGATGCGGACGCTTCTGCTTACATCCCAACTGCATGATGAGAATATCGCGACGTGAGGTTTCTCAAAAGCGCAAAAGTTGGAAACAACGATAGTCAGAACTGCTCTCGACTGCAGAGATCGGATCGCGAGCATTGTATCTAAATTACTTGAAAATTTTACTTGGTTCACGAACAAACTCTTTTTCATATTCTGCTTTTTTTGTTCTTGGCACGATAAAAGCCGCTGTCATCCTTTTCATGCCTTCTTTTTTCTTTTGATCTAGCATGTTTTCTCAACTTTCTTCTTGCTGCAGCTTCCGGGGCCGTGACAGCTAATGCCGCTCGTTTAGCCCTCCTCTCATTCCTACGACGGGTGATTTCTTGCTTGACATTAGAGTACGCAAAACTGAAATCAGAAACTGAAAGCCTGTTTTGCAGTAATTCTAGACACTCTTGTGACAATGTTTGGAGCTCTTGAGCTTGCTCATCGACAATTCTTCTATCGTCCTCCAAGTACATGAACAGAGGCAGTATGATCACCGCTGCCACGGATTTTAATTCAGTTTCATCCATCATTCCCACAATCAAACCAAATAGTTGTATAGAGGCTTTCTTGGATACAAAGGTTTCACGGAGATTCTCTTCATCTCTGAGCACGGAACCTATTCTTGCTAATGCGAATTGGACAGCTGTGTCATACTTGACATCCTCATTTTCCTTGGTTATAAATGCAGTCTTCTCAGCGATCCATTTGCGCAGAACGACGACCAGAATCGACACGGCAGTAGACGCCAGGGACTCTGATACGGAAGGGGCTCCAAGTTGGTGGAATAATCGGTACGCAATCTTCTGAAATTCATATGCTGGAAGAGAACTGCCGCTATCCTCTTTCTTTTGGATATATTTTTTAACCATTTTGCTGCTGATCAACCTGACCCACGGATGAGGATATAACAGAGAGTCTACCGTGCTCGACCACATGTCACTATCTTCAATTATGACCTTGTCTTGTTCGATTTCCACATAAGTGTTCAAAACGTTCAGCGCTGTGTAAATCAAGTTCCACTCGACAGTAGATCCAACAGTGCTTCCAGACACAATGCGTTTAGCCTTCGAAATGGCGAAGGAATCTAAGCGATTATCATCGCTGAAAGCTAAGGCGTCCATATGAATCTTGTAAATTTTCAGACCAAGTTCTACGAAAATCGAATCATCGTGCTTTAACCATGCCATTATGTATTTCTCCAAGGGACTCACATTGGATTGCCCAAGCCTCGCCAGAAGATTTTTCAGTAAGGCCGTGCCCATTTCACGGCAACGTGGGGATGTATCATTGGCAGCGACATTAGACAGCGATAAGAAGAATGACGAAGATATACGCAGCAATAGCTCCATTCCTGATTTGCTGACAATCAAATTGATGAGCTCCATCACTGATTGGCGGCCTTCTTGGGATGGATATTCGAGATTTGAAACCAAAAACTTGAATTGCTTTTCTAACCTCCCTCTGCTTTGGTCATATTCCATCAAGAACTGATAGTAAACGCTTCGGGAGACGTCTCTAATTTCTTTCGAGTGGTTCGTTACCATTATCTCCGCAATTGCATCAACGACATCATAAAGTTCAGGAAGGACGATATGCTTGAGGACCAATGATTTAATGAAATTGAAGGCCAGTCCTTGTTTGTTAGGCTCATTTAGATCTGGCTTGATTCTTCCCAGAATATAACTCAAAGCCGTGTCTTTGAGCTCAATATCCTTATGCCTAATCAAAGAGGAGAGAAACTTGAGACTTACCTGGCAAAGTTCACTAGAAGTGGATGGTGAGTCGCGTATCACTGTCAAAACTTTTCTTGCACAGTTTTTGAAAATACCTTCATGTTTCTCTGTGAATTTTAACTTCACCAAAATTATCAAGACGCGCAAAGTGCTTATCAGAACTTCCTCCTCGTCAGCCTCGAGAGCCTCCTGCAAAAGAGGGGTGAAATTTTCAAGATAGGCCGCCTCCAAGAGACTCACATTTCTCATTAGAATTGTCTTCAGGAGATCTAGCGCAAATTTTCTCAAAATGGAGTTATTGGATTTCAATTCCGTCTGTACTTTGTCATTTCTGGCGTTTAGGTTAACAAGGAAGAAAGTGCTATGCTTTTGACGTCTCCTGCCGCTAGCCGCATCCTGAACTTCTGCAGTTGATTGCGTGAATATCTCATAACATAGAACCAAAGCATCCGTAGAAGCGCTAGCAACGTTGTGATTAAGGCCGAGTGAATATCTTCTCATCAGTTCATTGAGTTTGCGTTGGTTTTTCAGACCCAGATTTTCTGTGAGCAGAGCTTTTATTGGATGAAGCAGATGGACAAATGACGCCAATGAAATGTTAGACGAAATGATCTCCGCAGTGTCGTAGCTTTTGTTGAATTTAATCTCTTTCAATTTTGAAGTATAGCCCTCGGCATCTTTCTCTTGACCAGCAGTGCCGAAGGTGTCCTCCATAATAACGTCAACAATCAATTTTGCTGTTGAATCCAAATCTTTGGGGTTTAGTTTGGCTGAAAGAGCGGACAAGATAGAGTGTATTGTATAACTCAAAATGTGTATTTGAGACCCTCTTCTGAGTGCACTCTTCAGCTCCTTAAGAATGAAAGTGAGGTACTCATGTCCAAGAATCACAGACACACTTGCAAGGTTCTTACGCACCGCCTCTCGCAGCTCTTCTGAACGACTTCTCAATACTTGACATACGCTGCTCAACACCCCTGGTAAAAGTCTAGAGCGTTCATCAACGTCTAAACCTAAAGTAAAGTTCACGAGGGCCTCACAAAGCGGGATTCTCGCCACAATTGTCTCTTCGTCCCGTGTGTTGAGAATCTTCATGAGCTTAGGAAAAATCTCTTCCTTTACGAAGGTTTCGGGGTCTGATAGGGTTATGGGAAGCTTTTTGATCGTCACGGTTCTTCCCTCCGGATTTCTCACGGCATCCATAGAAAGACTCAACGCCTTAGAACAGTGTACCACCAGAGATACAATTTCTTTCAGAAACTGCGGCTTGGATTCGAAAGAACTGATGAACCTTCTCATGAGGGCCTTATATTGACTCCAAGTAACAAAATGAGAAAGAAGGCCGATGGCCGAGATCGCTTCGTTGCAAATATTCCGATACTTTTCGTCCGTACAGTAGACGTATCGTTCGATCATGGGTATTAAAAAATGTGCAATGCTATCCGCTGCCAGGTTAGAAGCACTCTCACCTAATCTTTTTATCGCCCGCTGACGACGGTGCAATTGAATGTGAACAACGTTTGTGAAGAAGTTGGCTTCATCATCGCCTTCATACAGCAGCACCTTCATATCATCTAGCTCCCCGTAGTACTTAGAATGTCCGATGATATAGGCCGTAATCGAAACAAACTCTGCTTGAACGTCGGCATTTTTGTGACGTAACCCAATTTTTATTTCTGGCAACAAATCAGCCGTAACTAGCTCGACAGCCGCCCGTGCATCATCAATAGAGGGTTTGGCATTGACGAAGTCCATAAAACGCTTCAACGTATGGGACGCATTCGTTCTAAGGGCAAGTTCTTCTTCATTTCTGATGTAGTACAGACAAGTGTTCAGTACTGGGATCCACTCTGTTTCATTGAGTAACATACAATCGCCGCCATCCAGCTTTTTGAATGTGGGCAAAACAGTTTCGAAATCGTATGTTTCCATTCGCTTGATAGAATAAGCGTTAAGGTCACTCAGCAAATTAGCAACCCGCTGCAGTCCTTCAAAAATGCGCGCCATAGCCTGAAACACAGCATTAACCGACATCCGCAATTCTTTATCAGGAGACGTTCGGTAAAGCTTTGAACATGATTTGTATAGACTTTCAATCTCATTCCATTCGCATGTGTAGTCTTCCAACAAAAATGAAATAGACTGCATGACTTTAACGGCATCTGATTTACGAATTCCTTTCAGTCCTTCATCAAGAATACAAGCTAGGGAGTTTATGAGATATTTCTTTGTCTCGTTATCGTGGACATAGCCAGCGTCTATGAGGTTCAAAAGCAGGTCCAGAGATATTGTGACGGTCTCTTGGCTGTTACTCACGTTTAGAATTTTAGGAAGTGTTCTTAGACAGGAAGAAGCTACGAGCGATACAAGATCGACGTACTCGCTCTCTTCTGTTGGATTCTTTATCAGTTGATTAGAAAAACTCAAAACCATGGTCAGTACTGATTCTTTCGCGTTGCATCTCGAGAGAAGCTCCATTAGTGCACCCGCGATGGAGCACTGCTGATAGTACAAAAATTTGTAGAACCGTGTATTTGTTGCCCATAGGGATATCAGTGTCAGCAGAGCAGACGGCTTCTGAAGATTCTCATCGGCGAAGTTTGGAAGCCTGGGCTCAACAATCAGTTTGTGAAATTTCGGGACCTGTTCGGTCCAATCAACATAATCTCCAACGGACGAAAATACGTTGAGGATTAATTTCATAGATAGCTGTCTGACATTGGTAGCCTGCTTTAACATGTAGTCTTTCTCGGTCTTGCCGCTTGATACTACGTTGGAAGCATAGATTGCGTAAAGCACTGGATTGATGAGCACAGTTGTTGCATTCGGATAGCGTGAACCCAAAGCACTCACTGCCGCCTGGCCAAGCGTTACAAAACCGGTCATTCTTCTAAGTGACAAGCTGCTGATTTCGGCGGGGTCTAAACTGAGACCGTCCTGAAAAAAGGTTTGATAATTTAGGCCTTGACTTGCAAGCTTCAAAAAGTCGACAACATATCTCTCAGCCAAACTTGGTAGGAGGGTAATAACCGCTGTCTTTCTACTTTTCTTGAGACCACTAGTCACCGGCGTTTGGGCTCTGCCGAAGAGTATACGTAAAACAATAGGCATCACAGATGTTCCGTCATCTGCGTCAACTATGGGCTTTTCGTTGTTCGACAAAAGGTTCAGGCACTCATCTTTGAAGGCATTGTCATCAAGCAGATTTTTCAAGTTATCCCTATATTTGGTGACGGCTTTCTCTTTGTACGCCAAAAGGCCGTCTAGAGCCATCTTTTGAATTTCTGTAGTTCTACTGCCGAGCAGATCCATGAATCTTGAATAAACATCCTCGGATCTGAAAATAGCCTTGATGTTTTTAAATTTTCCCATCAGTTGCAAAAGAAGTTTGCGGTCATCTTCCGACCATGTGTTTGGTGCGCTTGACTCTCTTTCGATGATCTCCTCAGTGAGTTCGCTGCTTGCGTGATCTGTTTTTAAGAAATACGGAACGATATCTCTGGAATGGCGTTCGGCCAACTGGGGGACCAGAAGAAGCCCTCTTAACGCTTGGTTACGGATAAGACCTGGGTAAGTTAAGTCACTTCTTGCTTCTTTGGAAAGATTTACAAGTGAGAGGTCAACGAGAGAATATGACTCAAAGATCTCTTTACAACCAAGTAATGCATCGTTTAATCTTGTAACACTTACCGACCATCCGATTTCTTTGGGTACGTCTAGCTCGCTATGCGGTGTATAATATTCGAGCCTGAAATTGCTATCTAATGCATCCATGAATTCCAAAAACAGTCTCCATGTAAGTTGCTGATCTTTTTCAAATACGTTTGGTAAGATCTGGTAAACGCCTTCCCATGCCGGTGAAAATCTCACTGTTAGACTGCCAAAAAGATAATGAAGGAAAAAGTGGCATAGCAGCACATCCGGAGGACTTCGCGCAAAATCGTCGCCCGCTGCCTTGAGTCGCATGGTCACATCTCGCGCCGTTTGAAGATTGCGAGGTATCTCCTCAATCAATCTACAGTCACTGAATATTTGGGGAATCTCTTGGCCCTGTAGTTCCATAACTTTGATGATGAGTTTAATAGTCTCGTATCTTATTTTGTCCTCGGGGAGACTTAAGTTGTTTGCAAGTATGATCAGTACTTGCTGATCTCCCTGATAGAGAACCTTATCATCTGAAGATATAATTAGGTCAACAATGCGACGTATACCTTCAAGGCATAGCCTACTATTCCGCACTTTTTCGACATTAAGGAAAGCTGACTTCAATATGCCTATCAGTTGGTCGTTGTTTTGAACCGTCAATGATTGTAAGACCATCCCAATGACATCTTTCTCAAAATCGTCCAGATGATGTTTTTCTAGCAGCATTGATACAATTGGTTCCAATGCTGATAAGTTGTAGCTATCATCAAATTTTAGTAGTTGCAACTTCCAGAACAAATCATAAAGAGAGTCGCTTTTTGTCATTTCCGATTGTGTAATTTCGGAAAGTAAACTCTGAGCGCACTCCTTTGGAATCGATGGATTTAGAATCTTGAGTAAAGACTGCTCCTTTCCTAGTTCCACGAAGAAAAGTGCGATTTTTTTAGACTGGGTGCGCCAAGACATGTTAATAAACCTTTGCAATGACTTAGCACCTCCAAATGAAAGAACTCGGTCCTTGTCGTATTTCAAGGCCAATCTGAAAAACCCCAGGAAGTCGTCGGTGAACTTTTCAAGATAAATAGAGAAGAACAACCTATGACACTGTGCAAGGTCAGGAAGTGCTGCGTTTCTTAATATGAAACAGAACAGAAGTGCCAGATCCTCAGGGGCTATGGTGTCAGCATTGGGATGCCCAACAACTTTGTTGACGCTAGCGATTAAGTTTGACCAAGAGGAGGTCTTTTTGCCGCTTTCAGCGAAGGATAGCGACGTCAGCAGCCTAACAGTGCAATTGACATTCACTGAAGAATCATCCAAGTACGCATCAATAGCCGCTAGGGTTATATCATAAACCTGTGACGCGTTCTCGATGGATGCGTGCCTCACAATATTTAAGATGACATCAGCCATGAGCGAAATACAGCTTGGATTCCCTGTACTTTGAAGTGCTGCTCGTATAAGAACACCCATCATCAGCTCGAACTTTGAGTGCAAAGACTCACCTTTTGAAATGAGGGCCTCCGTGTAAAGCACTCGAAGACCGTCATAGATGCTTTCGTCCTCAGCTCCTCGAAGTTGCTCGAATGTATTGTTAACAAAGTGCTCTAAGCTTTTCTGTTTCGTCTTCCTGACTAAAAAGGAAAGTACTTCAGCCGAAAACCGCGAGAGGTATTCTTTTCTGTGCGATAAAATAGGGAAAAGAAGGTTGAAAGTAGGAAGAAGGTCTTGGGCTAAAATTCGAGAGAGGTACTTGTAAATGTAGGCGACACAATTGAAGACCCATTCGAACACATTTGAGGATTCAAATTGTATCGCTGCATCAAGTAGATTCGTCAGCATGCGCATCGCTTTCTCGTAAAACTTCATAAAGTCTGGCCCCAGATCGTGACAAAACTGCGACAAAAGATCCAATAGCGGCTGAAGGGAGTGTTCATCGTGCAGAGAAATCTTGTCATGCAAATGGTCAAATACCTGATCTTCGTGAAACAAAAGTTGAGGAAGGGTCTGAACCAGGGGCCTTACATCATCCGTGAAGGACGTAAAACCTGCGCTCAAATTGATATCTTCCCAATGCTCGAAGGAAGCCAAAAAATGTGAAGTCTCCACATGGTCATGTACTCTCTTGCTCAAATCCCTCGCTGGCTCGATCCGGAGATTATCGATTTTATCTTTGAAAGAGGAGTATCTATAACGTTTGGACGACTTCGTCGCCACTTTTGGAGGTTTCACCATCTTCACTGTAAAGCTTCGATTGACAGTTCCTTTGTATAAAGCGCTAGTAGTTGTGAAGTCGATGAGTTGGCTAACGTTTTGGTCTGGGACGATAAACTATATAGTAGAGCTCATCGCATCGCCTGTATAGCTCAGCGGAAAATTTTTATAATTATAGTCATGTGATTAGAATCGTTCGAAGAGATATATTAACCGCTCGGGCAAAGGTTTAGTTACGTAGAGCAATGAGTACTGAATGAATACAATTGAGAACTCCAGTCCTTGAATCCGTGTAGTCTATAAGAGTCTGTAGTTATGCTATAGCAAACTTGCTATATAGTGACGACCGACTGGCTATATCGATCTGTCCAAAGTTAGTCTGTTGGTCTAGCTCCACACAGCCCATGTTGGCGAGCGAAAGAAGCTCAAAAAAGGCTTTGCTGGCATCCTTCTTCGTCGGTAAATCTCCTTCTTGAGTCAAAGCTAGACAGCTCGAAAACGTCATGGCATCGGTATCAAGGAAACTAGTTTTTAGCTTCTCAGCCATTTGATCTAGGTCTCGGGATACATATTCTCCGGTCGTGAGACGGACATTAGTAGAGGGCCTTTCTCCCTCTTGAGATGTTGTCTGAAAGCTCGAGTCTTGCTCCACGTCTATGGAGCTCCTGGTTCCGTTTACCATCTCATCCTCCGCTTCTGGTTCCGCGTTTTCCAGGTTCTGATCGCCTTCCCATAGAGTTGCCAAATCATCTTCGTTTTCTTCATGTAGTGGGCGTTCAGCATCAGGACTGGACAACAATTCAGTCCCCAACCCGAGAGATTGGTCGAATTGAGGATCTTCCTCAAGCAACTCAGGCGCCCTCTGGGAAGCCCGCTGCTTCTTGATATTATGGTAGGAAAGAAGATTTTCCAATATTGCTCCAGGCATGTAGTCAGTCTTTTCTCCAATTTGAACCCACAGCCTTTTGAGTGGTCTTACTTGTTCGTGTGAGCTATCCGCATGGTCCTGAATTTGAGAATTCAAGGCCGCATGCGAAGTTTTGACAATTTCGTCTCTTAGTTCTGTATCGCGGTCAACTTTCAGTTGTTTTAATTGCGACAAATCCTGATTGAGGGGCTGGGATTCAAGAGGTGTTAGAACGGAGGACCTTGCGGGCCCTAGTTCCTCTTCGCCTTCAGCTTCCGCTTCCATTGCTGCGTCGTCAACATCCTTTTCCAGACCCAAATCAAAATCAAATTCGGTATGTTCCTGTTCGAGCTGTTCACCTACAGCTCTTCTGCCCAATTCCAGGGATCTGTCAGCGCCGGATTCGCTGGCGTTAGCCACAGATTGATCTTGAATTCCTAAATCCCAGTCGAGGTGGTCATCGACGGGAAAATCGTCTTCCTGAATATTTGCACTACCTGCCGTCTGGTTGGACTTATTGATGGTAGTATTGGTGCCCTCTCCAACTGCCCTCGTGTCTGTATCGTCAATATCAAAATCTAGATCCAGGACTGATGATTGGTTATGGCCCAGCTCATCAACATGTGGCGCATTTCTTCCGACCTCAATTGAAGAATCCCAAGGAGCTGCTCCCTGGACATGTCTGTGCATCGATCTCTCATATTCCATAAATCCTCTTGGAATGGCTTGCTCATTTAAGAATTCTAAACCTGGAATCTGTAGAACTTCTCGTTCTGTAACTGCGTCTTGCAGGAGATATTGACTAGGATGGAGCAGTGTAGTTCGTTCTATTTGAAGTGTCATATTTGAAGGAGCAGATTTGAATAGTGTTGTCATCCTGGTTAAAGTATCCTTGATATCGGTTAGAAGTAGCGAGGTTTTTTTCGAATATACGCGGACTATACCGTGCAACAGTTCACCTGAGGCCCGCAATGTGATGGGCTCGACGTTTTCACTATCAAGTGAACAGCCAGCGACACGAGCAATTTCCTCGACGGACTCAATGATATTTGTGTGCTGAGAGACGCTCTTGGACAATGAGTGCGACATGTTGGACGCTAGCCAAATTTGAGCCAGGGAGCCATTGTTGGTGGTCAGGTTGATGAAGGTGGGGGCTTTCGGAGTGTTCTCGGTGACCATTGCGAGATTGAGCTAGAGAAAGCTGACGCTGTTGTTGTTATTGTTATAAGCTTGAAAATGTCTTTAGTAGCGAAAAATTAGCGATAGGCTTAAGTTGGTGTTCTCAACCAACTCTCAATAATGCTAGTCCCCCAGTTCAATGGTGTGGGTAAAGAGCGATGGATAGGAAGATCAGCACACAGGATTTAGCAAAGAAACTAACCGGTACAATTTGATGTTTTCGCGTTTTTCTTGTAGTCCTAAAAGAAATTGAGTTGATTTATTACGCGTCGGTCATGTGACTCTCTTGGCTTCATAAAGTCACGTGATCAGTGCGTTTGTACGAGATATAGAGAGGGAGGGAGAGACTGAGAGTTCGTTACGGAATAGTAAACGCTCGTGTATTGTATTTCATAAGAGCTAGAATATGAATTGGCTGTATCGGGCTTGAGCTTCGAGACCGATTGACGTGTGTGTATACTTACGGGACGTGATCTTCACAAAGAGAAAACAACAATTGGTGTGAATTGTTATTCTTTATCTAAGCGCGGCCTGCAATACCTCCAAGACTTCGAGCTGGATCGCAGCTTCAGCAGAAACTTTCTCGTCAGACGACGAAACGTTTTTGTTGGCCTCAGCGATTAGAGATCTGACATGTTCGGACGAGAAGGAGTCCAATGGGAAAGCCTCGACAGAGTTCACCGACAGAGTGGAGCCTGGTTGCACAGTGGCGAAGCCGCCAGAAACGAAATATTTCTTGGAAGAACCGCCCTCAAATACCTCTACAACACCAGGAGATAACTGTTCAACAGTGGGCACGTGATTCGCCAAAATACCAACTTGACCGGATTGGGCTGGTAGGTTGACTTGGGTGACCTTGGAGCCTGCAAATAGAGTTTCATGGGGCAGGGCAAATTGCAGCTTCAAAAAGTCGCTTGCCGCTTCAGCGTAGGTACGCTTAGACATAAGGTTGACCGATCTGGCAACACATTTTGCGCTACTTAGACGGAACATGCTGTGAAATGCTATGTGATCTGGCTGTGAACTGAAGTGTCGAAATTTGTGTACGTGATCCACCGGCCTTTCGTCAACAACTTCAAACAACTAGGGTTAACAATTGTTGTGAGACACTTCGGAGGGGCTTGCACGGCCAGTTTCGTCCTAAAATCCCGAAAATTTTCTAATTAATTTCTGAAATCACTTTGTACTAAACAGTTGTTTGCCAACTGATTGGTCCTGATAAAAGCATGTGACTAGCACATGATATATCACGTGAGTGCTCGGATTTGGATGTACTCGTAATAAGCCGAGTACTTTTCTGAATCTAGCTGTTCACCCACCGAATAGCGGAAAGGTCCATCACCAAGAGCAGTAGCTGCACATACACCTAGCGAAATCTAAGTCCAGCGATCTTCGAATTCAGAACTCTGGAATTAACGGTGGAACTGTGAACATGTCAGACTCTACAGCTCTTCCAAGTGAGCAACGCCATCAGAACAAGCTCACGAAATGTTTTGACGATATTATGAAAACTGCAGCAGAGATGCTGGTGCAACAGCAGATGAAGAGCATTCAGCTAAGCTCAGATATAGCTGCAGGGTTCACACAGTCGCAGCATAAGTTGTTGGGAGAAAAGGTGCATACATTTCACTCGATTCTGGACGATTTGGACCTGACGCTCACAACGGCCAAGAACTGTGTGGATAAGTTTGCAGCAGAAGCCGCAGCGCGCAGAGAGAAACTGCTTGAAGAGCAAAGAGTTCAGCAAATCGAGCAAGAGAAGCTGAAGCGGGAACAAGAGGACCAAAAAAGACTGATAGAGGCGCAAAAAGCATCAGAATCGACGCCTTTCGGTCAAAATGATTATCCGGAATCCACTCCCACAACATTTCTCAACGAGCTTTCGAAATCTAACCTCAGCGGTCCAAACCGCAATCTCAAAGAGATCACGACCGCTAGTGCGGGACAGAATGACGCTAATGACAACACAAATGGCACGGGCGGTAGCAGCCATAACACGAGTGGGGGTCATGATGGCTACTCCACAGGCCTCAATGATTTGAACGACCTGGACCTTTCCATGTTTGGCGGTATTGAGCAAAATGATCTGGGTTTAGGCTTTGATGAGGTTCCAATGGCTGCTAATAATAATGATAAGAATTTGAATAACGAGAGTGGTTTGAACGACTCTGCTCCGCCTAGGGGTAACGATGGTTCTAATCAAATGCTCGGAAATGACCCTAGTGCCAATAACACAGACAGCTATCTGACGTTAAACGATTTCAATGATCTGGGATTAGATTGGAATAATTCAGATGCTCAGAATGGGTTGGATATGAGCGAGTTTAACATATGAGTCTGTACCTCTGCATCGTGCGTCTCACTAGAAAACATCGAAATCCAATAAAGAAAGAAAAATAAGTCAAATCATTCGCTCTACTTTAATACACATACTGTAACTAAGAATTGTTTTCGAACATCACTACCATAACTGTGACATTATCAGTTGTACCCTGTTTCAACGCCGTCCTTACTAAAATCTTAGCAGCCTCGTTAGCATCATCTATACCCTTGATAGCGTCACAGGCCTCCTGATCCTCTAATACGTCCCATAGTCCATCACACGCTATAATGAGAAACTGATCCGTGGTTGTTATTTCTACGCTGGTTGTAAACGGGTTGCCGACAACTAAACTATCGAAAAACTTGTCACCTAGAGACCGTGTAACTGCCAACATTCCATTTACACGACTTCTCATGACGAGGCCTCCTGCCGCTTCAACCCTCTGCATCTCCAGTATGTCTGAAGCCTTATGATCGTAAGTCAATCTTACACTGTGGCCATTACGACACAAAACGATTCGAGTGTCCCCAACATTGGCCGTGTAGAGCATTCGCTTATGCTCGTCCAATTCTATTTTCTCGTTTGGGTTATTTTCAGGTACTTCCCAACGTAGTACACCCACAGCTGCTGTGCATCCACTGTTACCACCAAGATCCGTATTTATACGCTCATCAGCGTAAGAAAATGCATCGTTGAGAACCTCTCTTACATCTCTACTCTCGTCATCCATAATGTCCTTCTCTAACACCGAATGCAAATGTGCTCCACACCATTTTGATGCCTGTGAACCTGCATGTCCATCGAAAACTCCAAAATAACCCCAGTCTAGTCTCGACCCAAAGTTTTCCACGTATGTGTGAACGTCTTCCATAGTCTTACGGAACTTTGAATTTTGATTTTCGGCCACTCCAACGGAATATGAAAGGTGGTAGGGACGTTCCTGTTTATCTTCCCCGGTTTCCTTTGTACTGGAATCATGTTGGGGACCATCTGTCTTTGACATTTTAGAGAATGATTTTGATGAATGGGCAAACACAGGGTTTGATACCTCTGCTAGACCTTTTGGTACTGAGAACGAAACAAGCGATGGCCTTTATCTAGGAATTCTGTTGAATCATCATGAACTGGATAGTAATCTAAATTCAGTTTATTTAAATAGGAATATATACAAATATAAAATTAAGCTCCGTCAATGAGCGGATGTGAAGATATGAAACTGTGACCACATCAACACAGCACTGGATGAATTGTACGAATTCAAAACATTTGGTTAGACATTACAGAAAACGATTGCGAATTTACGAGGTATTTCATTGGTAGCAGTATGTAGTAGTTCATGTATTTGGGTGATCAGGCATGCTGCCTCATAAATCTTGGCAATGACAAGCGAAGGCTTCCTTTAATGTATACAGATGTCCAGCTCCACTAGCTCTACCGACTCCGTTGTGTACTAATCACACTAACGGGCCGCTCAATGATGGATTGTGACACGATGACGAATGAACTCTAAACAAATGCTCACTACAAATACAGACTTTCCAAGTTTTCCTCCACCTTGTTTTTCAATATCCGCTCCTTAGCCTGTTTGAAGTCCTCAGCGGTCACTTGCATTCTTCTTTCCCGCAGCGCTAGAAGACCGGCCTCGGTACACATAGCCTTGATATCAGCACCCGAAAGATCGTCTTTGGAGGTCACAAGGTTCTCAAGATCCACGTCTGGAGCCAAATTCATTTTTGATGTGTGGATGCTTAGAATTTTGCGCTTTGTGCCAATATCTGGGTTTTCAAATAAGATTTTTCTGTCGATTCTGCCCGGTCTGATCAAAGCGGGATCTAAACTTTCGATTCGGTTCGTAGCCATTATCACCTTCACATCACCTCTGTCGTCAAAACCGTCCAGCTGATTCAGCAATTCCAGCATTGTTCTTTGGATTTCTCTCTCACCACCACTGTTGGATTCGTAACGTTTTGTTCCAATAGCATCAATCTCATCTATAAAAACAATACTGGGCGCATTATCAGCTGCGGCTTTGAAAATTTGTCGACAAAGTCTAGGACCATCTCCAAGATATTTTTGTATCAACTCCGACCCCACGATTCTTAAAAATGTGGCGGAAGTCTGATTGGCCACGGCCTTGGCCAACAAAGTCTTTCCTGTTCCCGGGGCACCATACAATATGACACCCTTGGGAGGCTTGATGCCCATTTCTTCGTACAACTCCGGATGTGTTAGAGGAAGCTCGACGGCTTCTTTGATTTCTTGAATTTGAGACTCCAATCCTCCAATGTCGCTGTAATTCTCTGTTGGCGATTTGTTGATTTTCATTACGGATACCATTGGATCGGTGTCGTCTTGAAGAACACCAACGATGGACATGGTCTTGTGATGCAAAAGAACAGAACAACCAGGTTCTAGCAGTTCTTTGTCGACGAACGACAGAATTGACACGTAGAAATCCGGCGTAGTAGGGCTGGTCACGATGGCGTGGTCATCATCGATAATTTCTTCCAAAGTCCCTACAGACAATGGTGTACCACGAATTTCCTCCAGCTGCTTCTTTTCCTCTTCCTGTTTCTTCTCAAAAGGCTTCAGAATCTCTGAGTTCGTGACAAACTCTTCTTCCAAAAGTAGATGATCTTTGATTCTCTCCATGCGTAGTAGTTTCAACCGGCAACGGGTGCTCGGATACACACTTGGAAGTTTCTCAGCCGTGGCTGGGCCCTTTCTTCTCTTGCGTCCTATTTTCGATTGTACAGAAGGTTCATACTTAGGCTTCTGCTTGTCCTTTTTCTTCTTGTCTTTGCCGTAAGTTGACGCACCTTGACCCTTTATAACAGCGTAATTCGAGTTAGTATTGAGCAATTGCAAAATTTGGAAAGAGAAGTACTTTCATCTCAATTTCCTTGGGTAATTCCTATAGCCACATACCATTTCGTCTTGATGGTTATGCCAATGGTCTTGATTTGGAGTGGAGTTGCTACACTAACGTCAAGTTATTTGCCACCATGACAAAAATGGCTATAGCTTTGAATATTGTATATTTCGACCGTTCGTCTAAAGCGATCGAATTATAGTGATTGGATTTGTAGAATATAACAGTGAGTAAGACAATATATATCGAGAGAGTATCGAATCAGAGAAGAACCTCACCGTTAGATGAATTAAACGGATTCAATGGGTAGCAACAATTCTTATGAGAGGGCTTTTTGATCAAAAGAAACATCCCTATGTAGTTTCCCAGGCAGTTGTTCATTAGAATGATCTCCTTGTAATTTGCCGAACAAAAAGTTCACTTTACGCTAGGGTACTCAATCTACCATGGGAGAGACACCCTCAATCAGTTTTTGGTTTAACCAAATGTTCTTGCAAGTAGATACATTTCACGGTGCTGTAGAATGTGACCCACTGAGTGTAGAATTGCGCTTACGGAGTTGGAAGGTGCAGGACATGACACCCGGGCAGGGAAAGAAATGCTGACATTCCCACTCTCCAGCCTTAGGAAGCGTTCTGCAAGTACACTCCGTATCGTTTTTGAAGAATATAGAATTCACGTTCTAGCGCTAATGATCCAAAAAAATCGACAACTGCAGGATTCGAACCTGCGCGGGCAGAGCCCAAAAGATTTCTAATCTTACGCCTTAACCACTCGGCCAAATTGCCATTACTGGTCATACTAGCGATCATCAGGGTACCACAACGAAGTCTGAATCATGTGAGCCTTGTTCGCCAAGAATCATTGGCGCCGAATGTCTCAGCCAAGTGCTTCGACTCTCGCAATGGAGTAATAGGCCAATGTTGCCGCAATCTTTATTGTTCTTATTTGATTGTGCTGGAATGGGAATATATGATTAATAAATAGCAGTACAATTAACGAATGTTCCATCCAGCGAGGGACATTCGCTCGATTCTACTGACACTTGAAATTCGTCTATGTCATCGGCGGACCGTAAGGCATCTTGTATGCTTTGAAAACACCATGAGGGATTTGATGCATTGGGAGGCACAGGCCCTTCAGTCGAAGACGTAGTCTCTACCAATGCAACGATGCCTGCTGAATGAAGTCTATCACGTATAGTAATGGCCATAGGGACTCGTGATAAGTATACCCTAACCTCCCGTTTCCTAAGGCTTGTGACAATCTCATATAAGATTTGAGCAGCAGAAGAGTCGAGATGCGTCATACCATTAAGATCTAAAATCATGTGCCTGGTTTGCTCTTTGTCACGAACGCGTGGACTTGCAGGATGCGTATTTACGGACCCATAGTGTTCCAATCGTGTTAACCTTGTTTTCAAATCTTCGGTGTTGGTGAATATCAGAGGTTCTGGTATTTTTACAATCAGACACCCTTCAACGTATTCGAGTTGGCTGAGTCCGAGACTTTCCCGGTAAGCAGGATCGCCAAAGTCATCTGCGTTAACAAATCTATTGGTGCCAGAAATTCGTGCCAGAATTTGGATTCTAGAACGAGTCGATTGTTTTATTGCTCGAATCACCGAGTACCCACATCCTACAGTGATACCAGCTTCTACTGAGTAGAAAAAAGTCGTCAAAACGGTAATTGCAAAAGTAATGAGCTCATTATAGCCTTTGCATGTATAATGGAACCGGATGTCAGCAGGTGCCTCCTGAAAAAGTGAGATCCCAACCACTGTAGTGATAACGGAAAGGATACACATCGGGATGTAATGAATTAGACCAAGTAAAAACTTGGACGTAACTAAGGTTATAGCGCCCATGAAAACACCTGACATAGCGCTCGCAGCACCCGAATAAGCATTAATCTTGGAACGCCCATATCCTCCAAAAGCCGGCAGTGCACCGAAAAGAGACCCAACTAGATTCAGGCTTCCCAATGCGACAAGTTCGCGATTTGAAGATACTGCCAGGTCATTTGCTGTTCCTAAAGACTTGGCCGCTGTGGTAGATTCGAAAAACCCAAGTAACGCGACCATAAAGCTTGCATGAAATAGATCGTTATAATATGACAAGTTCTTCTTCGCCAACGGATTTCTTAGACGCCCACTGTTGTCGGTATTGATATCACCTACGACTTCAATGCCGTATCTTCGCTTGAAATCATGGAGGTATGAGAATATAGTCACAATTGCCACCACTAATAGAATGTCAGGTACGAAAATGACCTTCTTATACCTTTTCGAAAGCCTTTTCTTCAACTGCTTCAGAACCATTAAAATTCCGAAAGCCACAGCGCTTAAAATGGCTGTAGGATAATGATAGTTGGCTGGTGCGTACCTCAAAAGGAATTTGATTTTCTCGTAGGGCGCATGGTAATGGCCCGGAGCTTCTTCATACACTTTTTTAAGTTTTAATTCAGTAATCAAAGAGTTCAGAACCATTACGAGTCCCACAGCGCTGATGAAACCTCGCAGAAGGGCTCTACTTAACACACCATCCAAAAACCCAAACCTCATTATTCCTGATAAGAAAAGAATCGCACCGCTGCTGAAAGTGAGAATGATACACAGGTTTATGACACCGATGCCTGGGTCATGTTTGGAGAGTTTCTCTATTGCCTGCCCAACCACTAAAGAAATAGCGCTCTCGGGACCCACAATCATCTGGGGAACTGATCCAAAGATCGCATACATGAACGGAGTAATAGCCAGAGCGTTGAGACCACAAGATGGAGGAACGTGTGCCACGGATGTTGAGTATGACATAGCTAATGGTATCTGGAAAGAGGCCAATGAGGCACCGGCCAGCACGTCTCTAAACATTTGTGACGAATTATACGACGGGAGCCATGAAAAGCAGGGCAGGTAATATGCCACACGATCCCAGAGCGAAAGTGGTTGTTGCCTTGCTGAAAAATCCATCTGCACCGTTGTTCTTGAGCTTTCTTTTAAAGGGCTCAAGATCTCTATACTTGATCGCGAAGGCCGGGGACTTTGCACTTCTGGAGCACCCAGCTCAGGCCCTGGTCCTGGACTGGATTGAGATCCCAAAGCACCATCTGAAAGTGATGAGTCGTAAGTGCGGGCCCGTGACATAGCATGGTTAGAAAGCAGAGGCTTGTTGACTTCTCTCATGCAGTCTCAAATCTGAATTATATATAGTCCCGGTCAACCTAAGGGATATAGATATACAAACTTTGGACTTGACGCATTCTTAGCATTTTATGTTCCGCTTTTCAGCTAGCATAGAAGCAATCATTTACACGTGCCAGCGACGGACTGTTTAGGTCTTGGCATTTCTAGCGCGGTGAGCTTGACTATATTAGTTATTAGACAGGTTGAGTTGCCGAAGGTGTTTATTTCAAGATGTTAACTCGGTTATCTTCACCCGTCTATCATCGCATCTTCCACGTAGGGTTCAGTTCTTAAGAAACAATAGTCTTGATATATAATTACTCCACAATTTCGGGGCAAAAATTGAGCACTGTCTGCCAGATAAATGAGTGCTAATTGTGCTTGTCAAATTCACTTTAGGGTGGTGTAGTTTACTTGATGAAATGTTTCTTGAGTTTTTCTCAAATTTGAACTAGAGTTCGTAGTAAAAAAATGCGGTGAACTGAAAAAGTGCTGAAAGAGAAACTCCTGAATGGTATATTTGCATTTGCTGAAATGAATGTCTTAGCGAGTCTCATACCATAGGTACTCAGTTTCGTGTGTTTTGTATGCCTTGGGCGTATATTTTGACTGATGATTTATAGACGTCTCTATCAATTAATATTAAGAGATAGTCAAGACAGGCGTCGTTTTTCTTGCATCGATCCAGACAACAAAAGAATGCCAGCGCTGTTTGTTTTGGTGAGAGCTCTAAGAATATTCATCGGGCTTGATTATTGTTTTCCAGATTTTTTACACAACATTATTTGATTTGGCTTAGTTTCGCGGTAAGCTCGGGAACAATTTCATTGAGATCACCAATGAGACCGTAGTCGGCTACCTGAAATATAGGTGCATCTTGGTCGTTGTTGATTGCAACAATGACTTTGGAATCCTTCATGCCGGCCAAGTGCTGAATAGCTCCAGAAATACCTAGTCCAATGTACAAATCAGGAGCCACAACTTTACCGGTTTGACCTATTTGCAACGAATTGTCGCAGAAACCAGAGTCTACAGCAGCTCTGGTGGCACCGATGGCAGCGCCAAGTGAGTCCGCTAGTGGTGTGACAAGGCTGTCAAAGGTCTCTTTGTTTTTCAAACCACGTCCGCCGGAAACGACCTTGGAAGCAGAACCCAAATCTGGTCTGGCACTTTTCACTAAATTTTCGCCTTCCCATTTAACGGCTAGTTCAGAAACTTGTGAAACTGGTGGAGCTTTCGAAATCGAGGCGGTGGATGCTTCACCCGCAGTAACGGGGAACGAAGAAGCTCTGACGCTTATGAGTTTTTTGTCTTGAGAGCACTTAACGGTGGCCAGAGCATTGCCGGCGTAGATGGGTCTGACAAAAGTGGTTGCGTCCACGATCTTGGTGATGTCACAGATTGGCTGATAGTCCAGAAGAGCTCCCAAACGAGGAAGAATGCTTTTCCCGACAGCAGATCCAGCCACCACGAAATGGGTGTATTCGGGATCTTTTAGTAATTCTAGTGTTAGTGGAGTCACTTTTTCCGCGAAATAATGATCATAGGCGTGTTCTTCTGCAACAAAGATCTGTTGCAATGAAGCCGATCCCGGATTTTTTTGAAGCTCTTCAGCAGCCTTGCCGGACGCAGATCCAGCTAACAGAGCAGCAACAGGATTGCCCAACTGTGATGCAGCTGATAGGGCGCTCAACGAAGATTGGGCTATCTTTCCATCTTTGGTCGATTCTACAAACACCAGAGTCGAGGCAAACCTCAAGTTCGATTTCCCCAATAGTTTTGCTTGGAAACTTACTGAAGATCTACAGAAAGCTGCATACATCGCAAAATGCCGGCTTTGGAGGGTAGAAAAAGTTCGCTATGGATGTTGAACTGAAATTTCGAGGCCTGCTCTTCTGGTAATTACAGTATATATTGAATTTAATGCATAATTGAAGGTCACATCATATGACCTCTTAAGCTTCAAAAAATAGGTGTAAATAACGAAAACCCGTTGTCGTTACAAAAGCAGTCAAGACAGAATTTTAAAACAACATATTTGATCTGCTAGGATAGTTTAGAATTTTGCTAGATTTTTTTAGTGCTCAAATTTCCCCGAACTTTGTAGCTTTTCTAAAAAGGCCGTTGAAATCATCAAAATTCAAAATTATCCATCTGTCTGATTCATGTGTGCATAACTGCGCTCACGAATCATAAGACAGGGTGTTTTGTTGGCAGGTTTCTGTATAAAACGGTTCTGCTGACATTCAGTAAAGGCTGCTTTCAGAAAAGTTTTTTTGTGAGGATGGGGTACACACTAGTCTTTCAAATGGATTGATTGACAAGTAGTAGGCGCTCTCGTTTTCAAGCTTTCTTACACTTGGATCTGTTTGTGGGTCCCGAAGATCAGTACGTGACTAAACGGTTATCGTAGTGGAAACGACAGCCGAGGTAAAAGTGACCAGCTCAATTATGCAGAATTGAGGCTGAAGGAATCGCTGACTGACTACCACTCTCGTAGGACATGTGTGATAGTTCAAGATAGCTAAAAGTATTCTGACAACCCATTTTATTCTGATCAGTAAGTTTGCGCATATTTACTTCTCAGAAATTCTTTTTCAACATGGGATGAGACGCCGAGAAGTTTGTACTGCGACACAAGCATCTCATGTCTCAGCGACCCAATAGGACGATTTTTGAAGCCTTTCAAAGCTGCGTTTGAGTTCTCAAACCCACACCCTATTTCTCCTGGAAAAAACATGAAAAAAAACGGTACTATCTCATCCATCATACAATTATTGCATTAATCCCGTATCACTGGTGCGTCTTTCCTTAAACCAACCTTTAGTAAGCATCTAAACACCCTGAAAAACGTAAAGACAAGACAGGACGAGATGGCCCACACAACACTAGTTTGAATATCTTCAGGCACGTGACCTCGAGATCGTTTTTATACAGATCGATGCGCTAACTGGTAATCTGTTGCACTGACGCCAACAATCAATCAGGCTTTCACGACAACCAAGAAGCCCGAAGTTTAGTATGCTCGACACCAAGGCTTTAGCTGATAAGGTCCTAAGATTTTTAGCGGAAAAAGTGGACACAAATTATCGCATAGCGGTGATTATCGTAGGGCCCCCAGGTTCTGGAAAGACAACCATAAGCGAATGCGTCTGTAATGAGATCAATAACAGATTTCAACAACATCTGAGAAATCAGCAGTCGTATCAACCTCGTTTACAAGGTTCAACAGAAACGTCCAAAGAAGTAGAACGACTTTGCGAAGATATACCTCTTCTTAACTCACAAGAACGCAGAAAAGTCGAAAGCGAATGCATGAAAAATGTTGAAAACCTGGATTATATCCCACACCGATTCATAGACGACGACAAAGAGCATTCAAGTGTGGTGGTAGGACGAGGCGGACTTCCAAATAGTATAAGAATATCTTCGAAGAAGACACTTGTGCCAGTCGAAAAAGGTAATATAAATATAGCGCAAATTGTGCCCATGGATGGATTTCACCTTTCCAGAGATCACCTTGACCAGTTCCGGAATCCGGCTGAGGCACATGTGCGCAGAGGCTCGCCGCCAACTTTCGACAGTAACAATTACCTACAGCTGAGTAAAATACTCGCCAAAAGCTGCACAATCAAACCTCGTTTTTCTGAGGATCTGAACGCAGGAAGTGGACTCTTTGACAAAATATCGGGCTCCTTTAGCGAGCAGATTCCATCAATATATGTTCCTGGGTTCGATCATGCTTTGAAAGATCCTTCAACAGACCAACATTGCCTCACAGCATTTACACGGATCATAGTGTTGGAAGGTCTTTATTTACTCTTGAATGAAGAAAACTGGAAAGGTGTGTATCCTGTTTTCAAGGAAACGGATGCCGTTTTGGTATGGAGACTTGACCTCGGCATTGAACAATTAGAAGAAAGGGTCGCAAAAAGACATGTTGCTAGTGGGCTTGCCCCAAATCTTGCAGCCGGAGTCGATCGTTTCAGAGTGAACGACCTCATCAATGCCATAAAGATCAAGGAGCAAAGCCTGGATGCTGAGGGTATTGACGTTTTGTCTACCGCTTAAATCTTGCAATCGCCCATCGATTGCACTATCGAATCTATGGATATCGCATAATGACAACTTGGGAATCTAGTCACCTAAAGATGTTTCTCTTTTGCTTCATTCTTTTGGCAAATTGTGTTGTATACCTACTCATCAGATACCCTGGAATAAAGTGGTTTTCTTCCAAGTCTGCTTTGTACATATAGTTCAACGACGCGGAAGGTTTGTTGCAGAAATGACCTAGGGTAAATACAAATTGACCAGCAATATCTTTTTCGCCCTGAGGCCTCACCAGCTGCATCTATCATGGACATCACAGGAAGATGTGGTTAGAATATTCTCAGCCACACCAGGACACAAGGTGCATAGCAAGTCTTTTTCACCACCCTCGCTTGTCACAAAAAGCTCAGTCACTGGGCATCTAAATACAAACAAGAATATCTGTGCCGCTGAGGCCGCTGAATTGTGTTCTAGGATCAAAATGATCAATGTCAACACAAGACTTTGAAGCCAGCTGAAGAAGCGAGAGAAAGGCGTTAGCCGCCACTTTTCTTGTCACTGATGGTGCACTGTTGTTGGCCTCATCGCTGATATACCCTTCAGTCCTAAAATTGCTGGGTATTATATCCTCGAATAGAAGTTTCTTGGTGAAAGGAGGATGAGACTTGGTTGTTTTACCAGCAAAAGACGCACGCTCCAAAATATAGTCGAAGAATCTGCGACTTTGGTTGTCAAGGACCTGGTTCTGGGTAGATCCCCTAAGACCAGTGTCAACTGGTTCATGCTGCTCAGAGCTTTCATCAATATCTTCTACACCCTGCAGTGTGATATTTCGATGTGCCCGCCTTTCACTGTGCATGCGTCGTAACTCCTCGATCTGATCTCTAGAGCCCGATTCTGTTCTGCTTGAAGATCTTCCGAAGCTAGAAGGCGGGAGTTGTAGATCAATCCGCATGAAGTCTTCCCTCACTCCGTCAAAGACATCTTCGCGATTGATTGGCTCAACGTACTCATCAATCTCCTGTAGGTCCGGAAGATCAAAAGATTCCATGTTTTCGTCACTACCACTTCTTTGAAGTATTTCTGGTCCCATTCTTCTTCCTCTCTCTGCACTTGCAACACTGCTGTTAGATCTGGAGGGAGGTAGTGACCGCATTTTTTGTCGACCGCGCTCGATTTCGTCCACACTCAACGAACCGTGCTCAAAAGAAGAAGCATCGGGATCGGCATCAGCCGCAAACAGTAGTCGTGCGTAGCAAAGACGAAGAAAAGCTGGCCCTTCAGCCTCGAGTAGTGTACCTTTCCACCGGGCAGGATTAGACGCCTCATCTGGCTGAACTTTGACGACTCTCATTTTGGAATCCATAATCGCACAGTATCTGTCGCTATTCTCTCGAAGAACTCCGTTACCCAGACCTGTGGATTCGTCAATTTTCAGATGAATCATATCTGGGACACCACGAACAACTTTTCGTCTCTTGTTGGTATGCACGTTGCGTTCTTGCCATTTCTGAGAGAGTATTCTGTTGTCTGGATTTTCATCATTGTCTTGATCTGAAGCAAGAAGATCAAGATCTGGCAATTCTTCAAAATTGGCATTTCCCACTTTTTCTCTATCGAAAAGAAGATCAAAGTCATCCTGATCAGATTGATCAAAACTATTAACACTTCGAGCTTTCGTAGATCCCATTTCGTTCTCGCTGAGCACGTCATCAAAATCCAAACGTAAATCCGCGTCGAGTGATGAAAACTCTGGGTTTCTCAAGTAGTCTCGGTTGTTAGTATAGCGTGCCTCTATAGAGCCGACGTTGGGCCCTGTTTCGTAACTGTAACCATTTTTCAGTTCGTCTAACATGTCGCGCTGATGAATAAGGCTTGCAGACGAGCCTTTTGAACGTTTGTCCCCATAAAGAAATGAGATGTCATTAAGATGGTTTATATCGAAAGCTGGATCGTCCATCAAAATCGCATTGTTGTAGCGTCTTCCATGGGCTGCCGCTGATTGCATTTCTTGAAACTCTCGCAAATCCCGATATTCATGCACACCGTCAAAAATTGTGTGCTGATTGACGCTTGTGACTAGTCCCGCTGATTTTCGGGTCGATTCAAACAATTGTCGATGCAATTGTGTTTTAACGCTGTTAACATCTGCCAACACATAGTCAGTTTTTTTGCTGTAACAAACGGTAACTCCATATAACAAACTGGATGCCGATTTCAGCGTGTAGTCACTTTTATGCTGTAGAAGAGACTCACAGGTCATGGGAATGGAAACTGACAAAATGTCCTTTTTTTTGATGCCAACTGTGTTGATGTTACGCGATCCTCCCAATGTAGACAGTAACCACACCGTACTTACACCGGAGTATGCTTCAGGAAGACCGTTTACGCGCTGTATGCGTAATCCACGCTGGTCTGGTGTGCTCATTTTGTGTTGCAATCAAAGAAGGGCTGAGTTTTACGCGGTGTTCACGGTGCTTAAACGTTACGAAAAGCCGTTTTAAATACTTAGCCGCCCAGGTATTGTTTTTTTCTTGTAGTTTACGCGACTTTTGTTACCCGGACTTTTGTGATTCTTGAAACTATGATTATATAATCAAATTGAAGCTTGCCAGCGTTATAGACGAACTTGAATCAAAGGATGAGCTTGATCAGAAACTGTGCGAAACCAACTTGGAACAGAACAATTACGTTTTATAGACTGCTGATCACTCTCTTTTCGTGCTATACCTTGACTCAGCTAAGATGGGAGACCAACAGATGGTCTTTATGAGCCCACAAACGGAAAATTTGGACTATTTATACAGTTTGGTCGAGAAGGTATCGCACCAGATGACAGAGAACAAGAAAAAGCGGGCGGAGCTACTACGGGGGATTGATGTGCTAGTCAACGAGGTGAACCGCACGTCGTCCAAGACTGAGCCACCGGATATGAATTGGGCGGTCATTTCCAATTTTTTGAAGCAACGAAACATACAAGTAGACGACATACCAGCGATGACGCAGCACAATGGGTCTGGAGAAATGGAATGTCTGCGAGAACAGAACCGCATCTTGAAGCAGATGTTGGGAGAAAAGCAAAGCAATAACAACGAGATGCTGCTGCTGCTGAAAGTGCACGAGGGCTGTTTGAGAGACGTGGTGAGTCTATTGAGACGGGACGTGCTCTCGTATCACCACGAGCTGATACTCAAGTGTCGCCAGCTGTACAAAGACCGAATATGCGTTTTGGAAGACGAAGAGTTCCAACATTACATGAACAACGTTTCTGACGTGCAGGAACTACTGGATGTTTCAGAGATTTTCCGTTTGCTTTTGCGACTGACCGAGGGAGTAGAATCAACCTAGCTTCATGAAACGATATATACTTGATCTTGATAGCAGCTGCATTGACTTATACCTTTAACTATGGCGTTTAAAAGCACAGCCAAACTTTGGCAAGGCACGCGACCTTACAATCTGGTCAGAGTCTGTACTCTCTTTCTCCGACTATATACGCTAGCGCAAGTGGTTTAGTGGTAAAATCCAACGTTGCCATCGTTGGGCCCCCGGTTCGATTCCGGGCTTGCGCAATTTTTATCTAATTTTTTTAGTCATTCAAAGACATAGGGAAGGTTAATCTCTTCGAGAAGCTCTTCGAGTAGAGAGATTAGCTGTATGTAACTCAAGACTTTACTGAACACTACTACATTACAACGCCGCTGCTACTTCTTATTCGAGGTATAGGCGTGCCTATCGAGAATAAAAAGAGATTCAGTCTTGGCTGCACTCTCTCATGACATTTTTTTTAACGCCCTTTGCACTTCTGCACTCTTAGCACAGTGGACAGTTGATTGACCCACTCCCATACTGGTGGATCCTCTGAACAACCTCCTGCACCCCGTCCACACCCTTTCTGCACCCTGTCCGCTACTTCCAGGCATCGGTAACTATTGTTTTCGGAAAACTTTTTTCTTTTTTGGGTTTTTTTCACAACGCTCTGTACAGTTCGCTTTCTTGTCTAGCGAATGACAGAAGCCTAAAGTTTGTAAAAAACTGCACCCTGGATTGATTGCATCGGACATAGAGAAAAGCAGAGCGACCTGGCGAGAGGCAGCGCGTTTTTTTCTTAAAGCTGGGTGCACATCTCTGAGACTTGTACACCCAGACAGAACCTGGCATCAGCTTGAGTGCACTAAATGGGTGGATCTCACTAAATTATCTATCGTGTGGGTACTAATCCATGCTTATGGCCATAATATATAATGGCGATGCCAATGAGCATATATGAGAACATTAAGTCAGAAAGCTGGAAGAGTGCAGTTGGGTGTGAGTTTTCAAGAAGCCGTTGTCATAAGCTAGTTATTGGACAGAGCTTCAAGAACGTATTACGTAAGCGTGGAAATAGAGATAACGCTGTAAGCTTACCTCATCACTCTCTCGAGTATATTGCAAGTACACTACCAGCTCATCGCGCACACACACACAAGATACTCCAGGAAAGATGACCAGCAGTAGTAAGATTTTCAACGTTTCCGTGTTTTTCGTGGTGTTCAGAGAATGTCTGGAAGCAGTGGTGATTGTCTCCGTGCTTTTGTCGTTTTTGAAGCAATCCGTGGGAGCCCAGGACATCAAGGTCTACAAGAGATTGCGTAGACAGGTGTGGTTGGGTGTGGCACTCGGCTTGTTTCTGTGTTTGGCCATCGGTGGTGGTTTTATCGGTGCATACTACAGTCTGCAGAATGATATTTTTGGTAGTGCGGAAGATCTGTGGGAAGGTATATTCTGTATGATCGCAACAGTGATGATATCGATCATGGGTATTGCAATGCTGCGGATCAACAAGTTGCAGGCCAAATGGAGAGTCAAAATTGCGCGTGCGCTGCTAGAGGTGCCAGAACGTAAGAGAGATCGTTTCAAGATTGGCCATCTCACAAGACACTACGCCATGTTCTTGCTGCCCTTCATCACCGTGTTGAGAGAAGGTTTGGAAGCCGTTGTCTTCGTGGCCGGTGCCGGTATCACGACCCAGGGCTCCCGGGCGTCTGCGTATCCACTACCTGTGGTGGTTGGTCTGATTGCTGGCTCTTTGGTTGGATTCATTCTATACTACGGTACTTCCACCTCCTCCATGCAAGTCTTCCTGGTCGCCTCTACCTGTATTTTGTACCTGATCAGTGCTGGTTTGTTCTCCAGAGGCGCCTGGTACTTTGAAAACTACAGATTTAACAAAGCCTCTGGTGGTGACGCTTCTGAAGGTGGTGACGGTAACGGTTCTTACAACATCAGAAAGGCCGTGTACCACGTCAACTGCTGCAATCCAGAGTTGGACAACGGTTGGGATGTTTTCAACGCCCTTTTGGGATGGCAAAACACCGGTTACCTATCTTCGATGTTGTGCTACAATATCTACTGGCTATGTTTGATCATTGTTGTCGGCTTGATGATGTTCGAAGAGAAAAGAGGTCATTTGCCATTCTGCAAGAACCTCAAGCTTCGCATGTTGATGCCAACTTACTGGATTAAAAACAAGAAGAAGAACGAAATGACCGAACGCGAGCGTCAGGATCTTTTCCAAAGACTCGAAAAGCTAGAGTTCAACGAGCAAGGTGAGCTTGCTCAACAAAGCAATGGACAAGTAGTCAAGGCCGAGGGATCTGATAATTCTGACTCAAATGCTTCTACTACGGCCAAAAAGGAAGGAAACATGGTAACTGTCCAGTCCAAATAATTTTACTGATAGTTTAATCATGTTTGCATGTAATATAAATATGGATATAGCAACCGCCTTTGATACATTTCATGTTACCAAGCTCCCGATGCAGCCTTCACATAGTAATGCAGTTGTGATTTGTTAGCATATTGTAAAAAGGTATCGAACTGAATACGTGTTGTAGCTCACTGTATCCTTGTTGTCGATCAAGTTCTGCGGCTATCAAAATGGACACATAAACGCATATTTTGAATATGCATGGTAAATGGTTTGGATGCTAAACATGTCAGATTTGTCTCGGTGTTTGCATACTGCAGCTATCATAATGGTTGTCGTCTGAGAGACGGTCGCGTTTGGTGTACTCGAAATAAACATGTGCCATGGAGCTTAAGTACCACCTGCCGGGCTGCCTGAAAAAAATCTTGAATTACAAAGTGTTAAGCTCTTCTGCCCAGTTCATGGGTTTACAACCGTGAATATTCGCCCTGAGAATCTTGAAAAATGCGCTTACATTGCTAACCTTTCTTGGAGACACGACAATTCTTGTTCATATGCTTTGCAAAACAATGACAAGTGACAATGTTCATAGCTTAACTCCGTGCCAATAAAAACTCGGCAGTAAGTGAAACAATACCTGTGAAATGCATTAAAACAAGGCCATCGATTCATCTCACCAATCAAAAGCTTGACAGCGTGCATGCGAAAAAAGGCTCCCTTGAGAGCCCCATTCACCTGAAATCTTCCCAAATTACCCACACACCGCGCCGTCATATTGATATCCAACGATTGATACTAGATTTTCAACTAATTCAGATTAGGAAAGACGATTTTCAGGTTCCAAATCTCGATCAACTCATTCAGATTACGCAAGACGATTTCCAGTTTCCTTAATCCTTGTCTGGGCAACTAAAAGTATCTTTACCGGCCGCTGATTTCATTCTTTAAAAACCTCTAAAACTCACTTCCGTTCCTATCCCTTTAGCATCCACTTCTAGGGCCATCATCGGCTGGTAAGTTATCTTAAGTCTAGCCAGAAGGCATCATTCCATAGCGTACAGGGTAACAATCCTCCACACTGCATAACATCTTCGTAAGTAGGGTAAAAGAAGTACCCAGTGTGGGACCAACGGAGGTCCCACAAAACAGCGAGACAATGACTTTATATTCTTCCAAGAGGAATACCTGAATACAATCTAGCAATCTTTATAAAGGGAAATTAATTGACTTTTCATCATCGCTTTGTCCGAGTTAAGAGCCGAACTGAGCTCAAATTACTGCCCTCAAAACGTTTCGCCCGTAACCCTCCAGTGTGACAATCTGATCAACTGTTCGGTTCAACCAGGTTCTCTTTAAAAACTCCGGTGTCTCTTCTACTATACTATACTGATAATAGTCATTAGTTGTTAAAAAAGCGAATTTTTGTCAAAATTAATCTTGGCATTGGATTTTACACACCATTTTCGAAAAAATAGTGGAAACTAAGGGCGGAAGATCTCTCTCGAAAGCTGTTTTCCAAGTCGCGAAGAGATTCAGATTGAATCAAGAATTCTGAGCTTGTTTTGGTGCATTTCCAGCATTTCAACGGGTTTGTCGTTTGAACAGGGCCTTTTTTCTGAATACCTTTTCTAAAGAGTAAGGTTGATAGCATTCAAACAATTTTCGCCAATAGTCCAGTCTAGAGTGGAATGGCTCAGGCCAGTAAAATAGATATTAAGTTTCAAGACAAGGTAATATAGACACTCGAGTGGAGGCTGTGTTGTGGTACGACACAAGTTGTTGGGATAGAAAAATGGTACTTGTTAACGGTATCAAATATGCGTGCGAACGATGCATCCGGGGCCATAGGGTGACAACTTGCAACCATACAGATCAGCCTTTGATGATGATCAAGCCCAAAGGCCGGCCTTCTACAACTTGTTCGCATTGCAAAGAACTCCGGAGGAACAAAAATGCCAATCCTTCCGGATCCTGCACTTGTGGGCGTCAAGAGAAGAAACGACTGGCCCAAAAGGCCAGAGAAGAAGCCCGTAGCAATGGTGGCAAGAACGGCAAGGACACCAGTAGCTGTGACTGCATGGAAACTGACAAGTGTTCGTGCCATCGTACGCGGAAAACACACCGTCGAATAATGGCTTCGTCGTCGTCATCATCCAAAACGAAGTGCGGTGCTGGACCATCGTCTGTATCCATAACCTCGGGCGATTCTCCCACAATGTCTTCTGTGGATGGCCCAGAGCTCATGGGTAGAGTTGGAAAAAACCAGGGACTCGGCTCGATCCCGTCGTTCCACTCGTCTCAGTCGCTAGATCGAGATTTCAGTCTTGCTCAAAGTCCGCCGTTTTCTCCGTCTCTTTACGGCAGCAGTGCTAACAACTGGGAAACCAGTTCAATAACCAGCTCTCTTTTGTCAGAGTCCAGGCTGAATTTACAAGATCGCGGCTACGCGGCGTCTGTTCCGATACCTGAGGAACAAAGCCTAGATAGCGAAAAAAACACATTGGAAGATGGCGAAACCAGGAAGGAAGACTCTACGGCATTCATAGACGAATCATCTGAAGTCCATAATCTTCACGGCAGTGGTCTCGAAAGCTTTGGGTTCCAGCATCGGGGTGGGTGGGCTCAATGTGATACGAAACATAGCAGCATGGACTTGTTTGCCGATACTTCGGAATTTGGCAACACTAATTACCGAACCTTGAAGCAACACCACCACACCAAATTGCCGGGGCACGGACACTTTTCTTCAGACAAAGCATGGATCCCCGAATCTCCACACTCCACTACTGTGAATTCACGATCGACATCGATCCTGAGAGACGTGCCGAAATCATTCACATCAAGACCCTCTATCGATAGCGCTAACTCTGATTTTTCAAGGTTCACCATTAGCGGAAATGGCACCAAAGAGAGATCTATAACATCTGGGTCAGAAAACAAGCAGCCATATATCACAGCGCGACAATTGCAATCACAGAGTGTCCTGTATAATGACACTGTAAACCCCACATCTTTCAATATCGAGGATGAAAACTCACAAAGCGTGGAAGTTTTGTCCCTAACACCCAGCTTTATGGATATTCCGGACAATTCTAATTTGTATTCTGCGACTTCTAACCCATTTCTCAACTCACTAGGAGGAGCTGAAATACGGCAGCGCTCCGTCAGTATTCACAAAAATCATCGTTATGATCAGTTTTCGAAAGAACAAACAAACACAAAAAGTAATTCGTCGCTTAGTGTGGCGGACGAGAACACTAAGAATGATCAGCTGTCATCGAGGCTTTCTGGGCGTGAAAGCTCCAACACCGGCTCGACAGGTCCGCTAAGAGCGTCTATTAAAAACTCTCCGGCCAGCGAGAATGATGCAGCTGCTATCGTAAGCCCGCCGGGGAATGGATTAATGACACGGCCAATGGAGCCGGCTAATAGCTTTACTTCGGATTTCGACAATATTCTGAGTTACAATACTAATGATGACATGCATTCACTTCTCTCTGTGGGCCAGAACTCTCAGCTTGCTCCAACATTGTTTTCCGAGCCGGTTGGCGATTTCAGTTTCAATGACATCGACAAGTTGATGTCTGATCCTTGAGATGTCAGCCCATACACTTAAGTAATAATACTACAGATTCAATTCCAAAGCTTTGGTAAGCATGCTAATGTCAAAAATGATGACATCCAAGTCGGGTCTAGAGGCTTTGGATAGCTTGTTTCAGCCGTGAAATGTAATTTTTATAAACCTAGCTATGACATCAAATACAGCATAATGACTAATGAGTTACTACAACATGTTATGAATTAAGAATTTGTACCGTGAAGCTTCACCTTTTCTAATTTTGTCGTCACTTCTTCCACATCATACTTCTTGCCTTCGATGGAATTAGGATTTTCGTCGTTCAAGTACGTTGATAAACGCTCGTCGTGCACTTGCAGAATACTTTTCTGGTCGTTACACTGTAGGGATGAGAGCCGTATGATGTATTCCAGTAGTGCTATTGAGCTGCTCACTTCAGTCTCCTCTAACTCTTCTGCGCTGCTCGTGTAGTTTTCGTCTGCGTCATCGGTTTCGGACTCCTCGGACTCATTTGAGGCTTCGTACTCACCAAATGCCAGCCATTCAATGTCTTCGGTAGAGGTGCCTTGGTCGTCAACGAATGGACTCTTGAGGTTCTTATCAACTTTCAAGACAAGTACTGGTGAATTGCGCTCCTCTAGTTTAAGCAGTTTACCAGAAGCTGTGAAGAATAACCGGACGATTTGCCAAATGTCAAAATGCAATTCTTTCACACGCTCTTCCGTGGCGTCATGATAAAGGCCGTCATCAAAACTCTCTTTGATTTTAAGAAAATAGTCGTATTCTCTATCTCTACTTGGCCTTCTCCAAACACTAAAAAGAGCTTTTCTCATGTCCTCCTTCCAGGTAACACGAGCTTTTGATTCAGAAGCGGTAAGATTCTGAAACACTGAAAATAAAGTCAAGGCGAAAACCGGTCCCAATTGAACGTTCTTGCCCTCTTCCTCAAAAAGATCGTTATTTCGAGTGACATAGTTTGACGCCTGTAGTAGGCGTCCCGGGGAGACCTGCTGTGGTAGGGCAGTGCTCAATTTGGCACCAGAGGTTGTTAAAGACAGGTTGATTACCGGTATGACTTCCTCGATTCTTTCTAGTAAATCAAGGATGTATTTTTCCACCGCCTTGATCGAGTCTCGCTCGTTTTTTTTAGCATTGAAATTACCTGTTATAGCACTTATTCGTGCATCAAATTGGTCGATCTCTTCCTTTAGATCCTTTGTAAGTTTCAAGGTGCTTCCGAGACCGGTGTTTCCCTTTGCTGCCACCAGCCTTATCAAATCGATAGCAGCTGAAACGATTTCTATTCGAGTTTCTAGTTTCTCCCGTAGTCTTTTGAGTCTAGTAGCGTCCTCTTCCGGAATTTTTTGAACGAAAGTAGCAACTGTTTTGATGGCATAACTCGATGCTATAGAGATTCCCGATCTAATAGCAAAGGTCACAGCCTGGCTCCCGGCTTTGGCTAGGATCTCATCCATTGATAAAACAAACTGATAAATGCTCCCATTGTGGTAAACAGACGGTAAGAGCCTGAAACTTCGCTAACTCACTACCTTTAATAACGGTCATTCATCAAGTGTGGGTCGGTCGTTTAATGTGAGATGTACTGAAAGACATAGCTAATGTCCTGAAACTGAGCTTCGTTCTGCAGCAAGTGATCGTTGGTGGACTTCAAGGCTTCACGATCGAGATGATTCCATGTCGTTGGATCTCCGTAAAGCATTGTTTTTGGTTTGATCCTCTGTTTACTCTTGTGACATCTTTTGCATTGGTAAGTTTCATGAGTGTCACAGACCGTGTCGTTTCTTAGGTGAAATAATTGTTTCAGGTTTTCTGCGCTGAACAGTCTTTCGACATCCTCTTTTTCGTCGACGACGCAAGAGCTCAAACTCATTTTCATGGATTGACGTTGATAGATTTTTTCCTCAATTGAGCCAGTAGATATGAATCTGTAAATGAAACAATCTTTCTTCTGGCCATCTCTCCAAACACGAGCTAATGCTTGCTGATCTGCCGCCGGGTTCCAGTCCGGATCCATCAATATTAGTCTATTGGCACCAATTAGGTTTATACCACAGCCACCAGCTTTGGAACTCAGCAGAAAGATGAACTCCTGACCCTCGGGATCGTTGAAGCGATCCACAAGCTTCTGACGTTTGTTTACGTTCAAGGTCCCATCGAGCCGCACAACAGCATAATTACTAGCTCTGCACATGCGCTCGATCAGATCAAGTGTTTGGGTGTAATTGGAAATTAGCACTATCTTGTCATCAGACTCTTTTTTGATCTTATGCAGAAACCGCTTTAGGATGGAAAATTTGCCCGAGTACCACGTCTGCACCTCACTGTGACCGCGCTTTGTCAAAGTTGAGTTTTGGTAGTCATCGGGTATCAGATGCTGCGAGCCCTCAATATCATCGGCAAGATCCAGCAAGTCTGGGTGGTTACAAAGCTTCTTCAACAGCCCGATATGCTTAAGTGGCTGCTCCCCTCTGTTTGAGCCTTTTTCAACCTCCTTTTCAGCTAGCTGAATTTCCCGTAACCTGATCATCTGTTCATAAAGGGTCTTTTGAAAGGGCTTCAGGTTCACAAATATAACATGCTCGTATTTGCACGGCAAATATTTTGAGAGAATGTCGTTAGTACGCCGAATGATGAACTTCGATACTATATTGGACAAATCCTGTAGTTTTTCGTCACCTTTCGCGATTTCCGCCGGGTCAGCCTCTGCATCTCTACCTTGCAAGATGGGAAGCTCGAAGTTCCTCCTAAATTGACTTCGCGAACCTAACAAGCCCGGGTTCGAAAAGTTAAGCAATGCAAAATACTCGGAAAGATCATTCTGGATTGGAGTACCTGATAATATGACACGTCTGGGGCACTCGATGCTATTGAGAGCTGTAAATGTTAATGATTCTGCGTTCTTCAGACGATGCCCTTCATCTGCTAGCAACAGACCCACGTTGGCATTCTGCAAATAAGTAACATTACGCCGAAGGGTTTCATAGGAAATGATAAGCACAGGCTTTACTACATTTCTACCCTGTGCGGAGGCCCACAGACGAATGGCATCTGCAACCGTTCCGTTGTTCAAAGAACTCTTCTTTCCATCCATTGGTAAAGCAGGGCATGTACCTTTCCCTAGCCATTTTACTAGTTCATTAGCCCAATTATTAACCAGTGAAGAAGGACACACAATAATGCATTTTTCTATCGTCCTTTTGCCTTGTGGCCCTTGTCGCAGCAAGGTCCAAAGAAGGGCAATGCATTGTAAAGTTTTCCCTAAACCCATTTCGTCCGCCATAATACAACCATAGGCACCTCTGTTTTGTGCGGTAACGAGAGGAGTTTGCTCTGTCTCATTGAGTGTCGGCTTTTCGGTTGTATCAGGCTTCAAAATGGGTTCAGGCGTCGAAGGAGAAGAACCGTCGCCTTCTGAGATGACTCGATCGGCTTGTTTCAGTACAGTTTGCTGATCCAGAAAATCTTTCATCACCAAGCCAGTGACACAGCGATACAAGAATCTGACACCTTCGACTTGGTGGGGGCGTAAAATTTTAACTAGAAGCGGGTCGATTACAACGGGAACACTAGCAAACTCTTTTTGCTCCACTGTTGTTTGCCCCAGAAGTTCTGCTAGCGTCTTGTTAGGAAGTCCATTCGAGAGCTTTTTGCGATGAATTTGTGATGCAAAGGCGGGGGTACTTGGCAGTGGAATGTTTTGCTTAATGTCTACTTCAGGTGTCTTTTTCTTGCCCTTCAAAGATTTTTTATCTTCTGTGACTGTGGGGTTCATTTGCTCTTGAATAATCTGCGGAGTTTGTCCATCAACACTAGGGTCATAAAGTACAAGGGCAAGCTCATCGTAAGGATCGTGGAGTGGTCTGGGCTCTAAAACAATTTTGGGTTTAGTTCCCAGCGAAAGGGAGAAATTGTGCCGGGAAACATACCCTTTGATCGGGACAGTAAACGATCTTTTGAGAGTAAATTCGATGCTTCGCAGACGATTTGAATCCTGCGATAGACGGCATGCAGAAAGCGCGTCGACTCGTTTTTTGTGTGGTTGTGTAATTACGTCCTGGTAATTGTCATCGTCAAGATCTGCTGCAGTATCCTTTTCCAAAAGACCAGGTTCTGCATAGGTCAGCGGTCTACTTCTCTTTCGCATGGTGTGGCGTGTCCCAGTGGCCACGTTGGGCGAAATCGACTTGAGCGGAACCTTGAATGGTTTGGCAAGAACGGCATGAGCGGCGTCGATATTGAGGGCTTTTGGACGCATCGAAGGTCTCTGTCCAGCTCCAATGCCATTTGGCGGTCTATCAGGAAGCTTGTGTCGAGCCATACGCTGGTCAGGAGTGAGAAAAGCACGGTTTAAGCGGGCCAGATGAGCTAGAAGATGTGGTTACGCGTCTTTTTGTTGATGTGATTATTGCAGGAACAGGGAAGTGAATAATGAGTCCAGTCCACGAGTACATTCGTTTAGAGTGCTCAGTGATTTGAATTAATTACCGTGTTGAATGACATTTACGATCGCGAAAGTTAGCTGTAAAATCTAAAAATGATATAGAGGTTCACGCGTCGTATGGCTTCAGTACATGTCCCAATGTCTTTCACCACCATTTTGAATTATGTCGAGTAGCATCACCTTGAGCAGCGAGTGGAATAATATCGCAATGCATAAAAATCTCCACGAGGCTCTGGATTTATTGTCAAAATCAGATGTATGAACCATGTTTTGAATCGAGTAGGTTCTGGTTCAATCAAAGTCTTTTGGAAGCACCACGCTTACCTGCTTTCGAGACTCGATAGGCTCGCATACCATACCAACACAGCAACTTTTTTACTCATGAAAAACCGGGAGCTCACCGAATTCGAAGTTCACGCTTTCTCAAATTAGGGAGGGCCCTGGCTTCAGCGCCCAGTTCGTTGCGATATTTCATTACGATGTTGGTATTTGATCTACGGATGTTATTCGTGTCACCGTTTGGAGGGTCGGAAAAATGTTTTAAGCTAAAAGTTCATATGTTGTATCCCTACGTGCGGCTTTCCCGGTAAAAATGTTGTAAAACTTTTGTTATCGAGAGAAACGTGGAGAAGTGTTTGAACCGGGATACGCGTCTTGTTGAGGTATGCTAAGGGACAGACGTCGAGGAATGTTGCTTGGAGTACTCGTTGAGGAGAACATTGTATTTGAGTTCAGATGTTAGGCGGTCTATTCTGCCAACCAAATTTTTCGTGTTGTTTCTCGAGCATTTCCACAATTTCTTTGGAACAAATGTCGAAATCATGGTTCAAAAGTCGTATTCTTACAGTTTGTGCCTCTTCGTTGTTGAGTTTCTAGATCATCCAGCATGGTTACGTTGTTGCAGGCATTATCAAAGGTGACACCCATAACACTCCAAAACGTAGCGTCTAAGCGGGAGGCGCTAGTTAAATGGGAGCGTTACAACAACGAGCCACTCGATTCCCGCTTCGATTTTAATCAGACTCCCACTGTTGCCTTCCTTGGCCTTATGTTTTTACTACATTAAATTGTCTACGGCTGACGTAGAGGGCACGAGCAAACCTTACGCGAACAATTGTCTTGGGGAACCGCTTGAAGCGATTTTGGGTTTGGAGAAAAACTCAAGCATATCACCTCGGCCGAAGAGACAAGCTGGGCAGAAGACGGTATCCTGGATTATACTCTATTGATGTTGAAGATAGTCTCGGTGAGTAAGCGACCATATTCTACTGGCTTGTCAGATGATCGTGTCTTCAGTGTATACTAGACAAAACATACAACTTGGCTTGCGTTTTGATCGGGTACAGCCTAGCATCTCATTACTAGGCCAGATAGTAATAGAGACTAGAAGCGTCTGCCCGCGATAGCGGGCACTAATTATCACTACGAACGTACTCTGCCCGTGGCTACCCGTCCCAAGTCCTGCGTAAGTTTACCACGAATCCGTCACCGAGCCTCCAAGTTTCTTAGCCACGAAAGCTGTTAGACTTTAGTACTCAGATCTGTTCAGCGTACTTAATATTTGTACCCGCTTACGCTAATCGATGGCTTCCTATTTTTTCCTACTGCTTCATAGATTGTACATAATGGTGTCTGGAGTGTTGCTGCTCGAAACAACTCAAGCTGCGGCGTAAAGAAATGGGGAGGAGGAGAGCATGGGATGCGTGAATCTTTATAGGTTGAGATAAACAAGTTGAGTTTGGAATACCTGATTCGCGCCCGGATTCAGGACCGGGGACGAATGACGAATAAAATCGCGAGTAGCCGTGTTGAATGACGAGTAGAACCGCGAGTAAAATCATTCATCTTCAGCGGTAACAAAAAGACGGCTTAACACCTTCATTCTTATGTACAAAGGTGGTGGGTAGGTACTCCGCTCTGTAAACTATCGAACATCAACTAAAAATGAAACATTTCAACGAAACGAGCGCTTGGGCCAGCCATGCAAAGGATGACTCCAAACAATGTGTGGCCCAGCTCTGGGGCTCTGTGACAGGTATTGTCGGTGGTCATAACACTTCGCCCACCGCAGTAAACTAGTCATATCGGATGGGAGTCTACTCGTCGTTTCACGAGTATTATAGTCATTAGGTAAGTGGGGAAGCACGTGTATTTCACGTGCGTATTCGTTCCGGATCCTGGAGTATAATCATTATATACGAAACGATTTGATAGCTTTGAGCATTTTAAACGACTGGAGAACTTCTTGGCGCCCGTCCGGAGTGCTTAATTTTTCGCACATCACGCCACCACACACAAGTCGCACACCGTTTCTTGGCAGAGGTGAGAGAACGCAATGTGAGTACAAACATTGGCCGCGAGAACAATCATTATATTGAGAGTACTGGTCTACTGCTGGTCTACACTTCGTCTACTCTTCGTCTGCTCTTCGTCTACTCTTCGTCTACTCTTCGTCTACTCTTCGTCTACTGCTCCTCTGCTTCTCATCCCCATCCTACCCGTCGGTCTTTACCATGCCGCTGGAACGAAACCGGACTTTACAACACTGCGATCATGTCTATGCAAAATCCAAAATCTCGCAAGACCAGAACGGTTCGCAAAAAGGGGTGCAGAAACGAAACTCCGTAAATGTTATTTTGGCCCGCAAAGGAATGCATAAACGCAATCGACTGTTGGGATTTGAAGTCAACGAGCATATTGGTGCATAACTATACTCGTCAATCGTATACGGACAATCTTAATTTCCTGTGTCCGAGTATCCCGTTCTGGAAAAGTATCCGAATGGATCCATTATCATCTTTTCCAACCCTCCTTTTAACAACCTGTTTAACAACCCTTTTAACAACCTGTTTAACAACCCGTTTAACAACCCATTTAACACCCATTTAACAACCCGTTCCGTATCGAACTTTTAGCCACGACGCACTTCTTTCTCCCCCCTCGTGCCGTGCACCGTTTCCCACCACACACCACACCCATTTTTTTTGGTCCAAACCGGATCTTTCCGCATCGGGTCGTTCCCGATTAGGTTTCTTCGCTCTTTGCTCCTTCTTCGTCTCGGACTTCCAGCTGCAAGGATTCGCTTGGGTTTACCATGAGAGAGAATGCCACCAACTGTGCCGTGGCGATTGGCAACCGGGCTGAGCCACGTTTTTTCGGACCTAAGCGCACCCAGAACAACCCACAACCGACCCTGGCAACACCCTGGCAATACCCTGCAAATACCCTGGCAACAGTCTGTGCAATAGCCATTCTGCCCCGCCAGCGCACGATGATGTAACCATCTGGTTAGCGGACTTTCTGCCTGTGTAGGATCTGGACCCACGGGTTTCCCGATCACCACCGTTGCCATTGTTGAAACGCTGCGGGCCACACTAAGAAGCCAAAAGATCTGAAACTACACTGCCAGACACACTGAACGAACGCACTATTCTTTTACACTACCGTTGCCAAAATACACAGATACACATACTAAGCTAACGATCCATCACCCATTCCCTACGTCAATCTCACAAACGTTGGCAAAAAAAAGCCATCAATCACCATCACCCATCACCCTTCATCCATCATATCATCACTTCCCTGTCTAGACCGGATCTAGCCCGAGTTTCGGTTGCCAGCTTGCGAGAATGAGCTATGTCGTCAATCACTGTAGGGAAAAAAAAAAAGTTGTGATCGGAAACTATAGGGAAAAAAAAATTAATCATTGGTTTCTACCAACAATGGCCTCACTGACTATGTTACTGTACATGGTATGCAGCTAGAAAATGATGAAGAAGCCAAGCTGGTAAGCCACATAATACACAACACCACCGCTAGGTGACATGATCGGTATGTGACATCGGAGTAGCTTTTAAACTGCAAGACTACTGGGAACGAAGCGTTCTTGCTGCAGCACACCGCTGTTAGTAGTTTCCCAGCGAAAGCGGACAGAGGAAAAGAAAAATCCCAGAAAATTCAAAAAAATGGGTGGGATAGAGGGGAAAAAAAAAACCCACAGTTCGGGTCGCGGTTGGTGGGTACAGGGAAAGAGCGAGAGAGAATCATCGACCGACCAGCCGCGAGAGAGATCAGAGAAACCCAACCTCCGCTTTTGCCCCTGTTGATGCGGGCGGAAACATGTATCTTTTGCATTAGTTGTTGTTGGCATTGTTTTCCGTTCGGAGTATTGAGGCAAATTTCGAAAAGAGTATAAGAGTGGGACGTTGGCCCACCGGGGTGAATGTTTCCGAGTTGAAGCCATACTGCAAAATCACCGCGAATTTGACCAGCCACTCTCACACACGCACACACACACACACAAAGTCCAAGAACGGACGTTGTAGAGTGGGGCTTCTTACGCTGGGGCTTTTTGTCGTTTTCTTTGGTTATTTTTTTTTTGGTTTTTCTTCTGGCTTGGGCTTGGGCTTTGACTTTGGCTTGGGTTTTTGGCTATCTGGGTTTCTTCTTGGTTGTGGCTACTTTGTTCAGTACTGTTTCCGCATCGCAATGTTTCCTATCGCGATCGAAAATAGTAGACACCATTCGCTGCCGCCTCTGTTGTTGCCTGATATCTCGCGGTTGAGCAACACTGCTGCTGTAGCTGCTGCTGCTGCAGCAGCAGCTACTGCTACGACCGGCTCGTCGGGATCTACCACCGTGTTTCCGGCGCACGCACGTGCGCTGCTATACGGCAGCGGCGGCGGCGGCGAAAACGCGACGTTTCACCGCCCGCACGTGCCGCGTCTGCAGCCACACCCGATGGGCAGCGGCGGCCTAGAGTCGCTCGCACGGCTCGCGGTCGCGCACGAAGAAGTGCCTGTGCCTGTTTCTGTGCCCGATCCGCACGCGCGCTCTGCGGAAGCCTCTCCAGGCACCGGCCCTGCAGCCGGTGCAGCCACCCTGCGCGGTCCTAAGAGACAGCGTGCAGGACCCTCCTGCGATACCTGCAGACTCAAAAAAATTAAATGCAACGCCCACATACAAACACTATGGCAACACGAGTCGCTGGTCATGTTCAACGGAGACCGCTCGGAGTCGCTGCACGTGGTGCTCGGCCCGGACGAGGTCACGGCACACGTGCTCGCGCTGCCGCACGTGCACAGCGGTGTACGACAATTAGTGATGAATGCTCTTCAAGGACCAGAAGAACAACGTGGAGAACTGATACGTCACGTGGACAAGCTTGTTTTGTTCAAACCGTGTGCCTCATGTGCCAAGACGGCCGTCCAAGGCTGTTGCAGTTTTGGAAAGGGATACACCCGTGCAGACATTGCGGTTTTCACACGGCTGTGTCGCAAACTGGGGACGCGTGCACAACTTTCAGATTTTTCCGTCAGCGATTACCGCGACGCGGGTTACTGATGATAATGATGATGCCGTTCAAAACAGTCAATCATAACACAAGCATTAGGCGGGGGGGGTCGATTCTTCCTCATTAGGATTTTTCAATTTTGCCCCTACCACCACTTTATAGAATTGTAGCATAATAATAAATTATTTCCGGGTTTTATTGAGACTGGCGCCACAGAAAGACGCGTGGAGTTGATATCACTCTGTACCGGCCCGTCATGACGTTACACGGCCTTGGATCAGTATCGAAAACAGCCCACCCGCCAGAAAGAGGATGACATTTCCACGCTTCGTTTTGCCCCCCGCCCCACGCCTACTCCGGGATGTTTGGTCCTCTGTAAGCCGCTTTTCTCTTCGAGGCCCGGTTTTCAAGCAGAACTGTCAAAATTCGAATTCCCTCCTGTTCTCTTGGAGAAGTTCCCGTGAAACTATGTCCACCGTTGAATTTGCCCTGCAATTGATCTTCTTACTCAAAACTACAGGATTTCCCGTCTCCAGACACAACGACACCGTAAATACAGCAATTTGATTGTTACGTGAACTGTCGTTATGGTTCTGCTCGATCACCCGGGAAAAAATAAAAATTACTACGACAACGTATTACATATATCGGTTGAACGCTATCTCCTAAGTAACGCATACCTAAGACAACAATGTCGCCTCTCGCAGGACGCATTCAACTAAACGTTCTGTCGTTGGTATGGCAGTGGATTAAAATACGGGAAACTCGGTAAAGTACTTTATTTTTTATTTTCAAAGTGTCAAAGCGGCGCAGAGATAATCACCGCCACGATCTACGGAACTAAAAACCAAGAGTCAGGAATTTATTTTTCTAACACGATTGCACCCCGTTCGCAAAGTGCTAGCTGGGCTGTGCAGCGGGAAAAGCGGAACATATTATTGTCCGAATTTTAATGCAAGTTCAGCGATTTCCCTTACATTAATTTTGTTTGAAAGTTTCCACATTCTGCTGGCGCGGAATGGGATCAGCTGGTATAGTAACGAATGGGAACAGAAACTAAAATCCGTGTTTTTTTACTTACGCTTCTCGCTGCTCCTCGATACCCTGCAGTGCATGCAACTCCTGGGTTGGAGAGATCTTCAAATGGAGAACACAGAAAACTATCGGTCACAGGTATCCTAAAGTGTGCATTTTTCTCTCGTTCCTATTTCAAAGAACTTGACGTCAATTGCAGAAGAGCCCCGCATAACGCGCTCACCGTCAAAGTGGTGATGTACAGTTTTTGCCGGTCGGACCCTTCCTCCTCTGTTTTGAACTGTTGGTAGAAGAAAATCGCTGTGTGTGCCACACCAACCAGAATACGTGCCCAGTAAACCAAAACGCTGAACAAATGTGGGAGCAGAAATCCCAAAGGCATCAAAACCAAATTCACCGCCGCAAGTGGAACCCAGATCGTCATCGAGTAGCCGTATAAACTCACCATTTCTATCAACCCAAATTCACTTTTTATCTTGAGAACAAACCTGGCCAAAATGTGAACCAGCGCAGAACTGAACGCGGTATATGAGAATGCAAATATCATGTATGGGGTTATTAGTCGACCACTGGACGTAGAAGAGCTAATCTGGCCCTGAATTAGGCTTACAATCAAGTCGTAGAGGCTATGAGCGTAAAAATGCGCTGCTGCTGCCGTCATGGTAATCCATACGGGAGCGTACAAATCGGGCTCGAAATCAGACCCGTTTGATTGGAGTTTTTGAAGCGTTAATGCACTTTTCAGTCTCGATTTTAACACATTTGCATCTACTTGGTAAAGAGCAGCGTATCGTCCTGAAACCTTCGAATTCGTCTTGGCATTGCTAGCATCCGCAGGGAGCACTGGCGGTGGTGAGTTTGGACGCTGATAGGCCGCACCATAGTCACCACTTTCAGCAGCTCCGCTGAAGTCATCGTCAAAGTCATCCAAGAATGGGTTAGGGCTATCCATTGGTGATATCAGTTCCTGATTTGTTAAAAATCAACTCAATCGACACCTATGTCTACAGCATATATCGATGATTTAATTTAGTATCGGTAGTAGTAGTAGTAGTAGGATTCGTGAACAGTGATATGTGTTTTTAGAGCTTAAGTTTATTGAACTGAGCCGTTGGTCTGTGACTCTTAATGTATGCGAAAACTTTAAATATTCGGTTGTTTCCGAATGACTGGATCTTGCGTGGATTTGTGGTACTTTTTACGATTTCTTAGAATTTTTTGTTTTGTTTAATTTCACCAACTTTCAGATGAGCACCATCATTGCTGAAGACTGCCTTTGAATATTGGTTACTACCCAAAATATTAACAATAAAATCCAAAGGATAACAGATTTTAATTTAATGTGTACGCTCTTTAACCAGAGTTCAAGAGACAATCTGAAGTGAGCTTTACCTGTACAGCTTCACTTATTTTTTATTCCAGACAGTCGCAATGGTGAAAAGAAGTAGCACGTGACTGTGATATTCTCTTCTACACAGTCAGCTTTTCTGATATAAGCGGTCGGCCAACAAGGCCCACAGCTGTAGTAGTCAACATATATCACATATATCAGATGTCGCTGTTATAATCACAGGACTCCCGTCTCAGAAAATTACACACAAATTTGAGAATTCTGCGCCGAGTGGTAAGAAGTGATCATATTATTTACTGACGCAAATTGCAAGGTCCGTCGTTGCTTCCGAAATAAGTCTTGCACATCCTTCACTGCATCGAAATGGATTTCTGTCACGCACTACAATATCGGAAATCTCCTTTTTGAAAAAAATTGAGCCTCGATTGTTCCAAAAAAATGCGCAAGCCCGGAATCGAACCGGGGGCCCAACGATGGCAACGTTGGATTTTACCACTAAACCACTTGCGCTAGTGTTTGAAAAGTTGTAAATTAGCTTAACCAGACGTGGTTCGAAATAGTGGTGACTTCTGCTTGCGTACAAACCATTTCCGATTTTTGTAGAATCAATACCAGGCAAATAGGATCAAGCAATGAGGTAGATGATACTGGACTCTGGGTTAGACCTTGGTGTTTTTTGCTTTTGAGTGATATAGCATATTTCTTTACTGGGAATTACGTGCAGCCACGTTTGGCTAGAGAATTTGAATACTTGGGTTTTTGGTGAGCGATAAACCTACAAAACTGTTCCTGCTAAGCCCAATGGCTAGTTTTTGAGCTTAAGAGTGGTTTGTCTCCCATTCAGCAGCGTATCACGGGGAAAGAATGCAGTTCAAGAATTAAACTTTCATGTGATCGATGTCAGCGACAAACTGAACAAAAGTGACAGGCCAAAATCTTCCATATCCACTAAGTACTACAAAGATGCCTCATGGTGACGACCATAGTTTGAGATTAGTTGTCTATCATGTGGTGTAACGTGCTAGCACCTTGAGTCTGACAATCATGTCCACCATCCGCCTTGTTGTCCAGTTGTTGACATATACATGTCACTCGTTTATCCGTACTCATGAAAGGATATGCTAGAACAAGGCCAGAGCTGTCCATCTCTAGTTTAAAGGAATAAGACAGGTTTCTCTCTTCTGTCTCGCTCTCCTACCTGGAACTCCTGTATGCCATCTACCCTCTTTTCTACCTGATCCTCTAGTCGGTTGTCTTGTCTCGTGGATTCAATACTAATTACACACCATGGCTGGAAAATTCGAACTTCCAGAAGAGCTCATCGCATCATGGTAAACTGCTAGCTTGGATGCTCAAGAGGTTCATGAGTGCTCTAAGTTTCGAAACTAGGATTTTAAAGGTAGATCCCAACTCCATCAAATTTTCCAAAACCGCACACATCGATGGGTCCCTTCCAATAGTCACAGATGTGGAAACCGAAAGAAATCTAAAAGAAGCTGCCAAAATCATACGGGAGACCAACAATACGGTTGGGTTTCCGACGGAAACTGTGTACGGTCTTGGTGGCTCTTCTTTAAATGATCAGTCGGTGCTAAATATCTACAAGGCCAAGGATAGGCCCAGTGATAATCCGTTAATAAGTCATGTCTCCTCCATCGACCAGTTGAACCGAAAAATATATGGACAGCAACAAGTTGATGACATTTCGCAAAATATTCCAACGGTATATCGTGGTCTTACAGATAAATTGTGGCCTGGACCCCTTACGATTTTGCTCCCAGTGCCGAAAACGTCCACTTTGTCCAAACTTACAACTGCAGATCAACCTACGTTTGCGGTAAGAATCCCGTCCAATCCCGTTGCTAGGGCTCTGATTGCACTTAGTGATACTCCGATCGCTGCACCTTCTGCAAATCGCTCTACTCGTCCGTCACCAACATTGGCATCGCATGTATATCACGACTTGAAAGGTCGTATACCTTTAATTCTCGATGGCGGTCCCTGTTCAGTTGGCGTCGAAAGCACCGTAGTCGATGGATTAGTCAGTCCACCGCTGCTATTACGACCAGGAGGGTTCACTTGGGAACAGATCAGGGAAATGGGAGGTGATGACTGGACAAACTGTAAATTCGAGAATAATAAAACCGTGGCAGCTGGGGAAAAAGTGCGAACGCCGGGCATGAAATATAGACATTACTCGCCCCAAGCAAAAGTTATTCTTTTTGCTCCGCAGAAAAATGACCTGAACTTGTCACATCGTCTTGAAATTGTCAAGGACGTTATTGAGCAACACGCTCAAGATGTTCGAAAATACGCCATTCTCTCAACGTTCATTTTCCCGAAGGGCCTGATCAATGATCCACGTTGCATACACAAGTCCTTGGGAAAGGACAGCTCAGAGATACAAGCGAACCTTTTCGCAGCTTTGAGAGAGGTGGACGAGATGGACGACATTGATATTATATTTGTTGAAGGAATGAATGAGGAGGGCGAAGGGCTAGCCGTTATGAATAGACTCAAAAAGGCTGCAAGTAACAATGTAACTTTATTTTAAAAATAATTTCGATTTTGAGATGCTCTTATTTAAACAACAGAGTAGTAGTAGGGATCATTTACCCTTTGCTTTCTGTAATACCATTTCCGAACTTCGTCTGCAATGAAAACGGTGCTACTGAGAGTCAATAAGAATGCCAAGTCACCCAAACTTAAACTCTCAGTCTTGAAAATCTTTTGGAAAAATGGGACGTAAATTGCGCACAGTTGGCCCAATAGCGAAAACCCTACAGCGTAATTGAACATATTGTTCGCAAAGATTCCTACCTCAAAAATAGACTTCGTAGAATGTCTGCAAGCCAGTGCGTTAAACATATCAAAGAAGACGAAGCAAGTAAAGGTCATAGTAGTGTCCCTCGCGGTGATAACTCCATCTTCGGTCATCTCCTTGATAAAAACGTATATCGTCCCAACAATGATGAAGAGTGCACTCTGTAGAAGTCTCTTGAAAACATCGTTGGTCAAAATCTTGTCTGAGCGCTTACGAGGAGGTTTTTTCATAACTTCGTGATCAACAGGTTCCACTCCAAGACTTTGGGCTGGTGGTCCGTCCATCAAGATATTGATCCACAAGATCTGCATCGCGTTTAGCGGGTTTGGAAGCTTGAATGCTGTAGAAATCGCAACCAAAGACAACGCAGCGACCGATGTTGACAACTGAAATGTCAAGAAATTTTGAATATTGTTGAAGATTCCTTTACCTTCTTCGATTGCAGTGAGAATGGTACTGAAATCGTCGTCGGTCAATACCATATCAGATGCTTCTTTTGCCACGTCGGTACCCATCTTACCCATGGAAACACCTATGTCGGCGAGCTTCAATGCAGGTGCATCGTTTACACCATCCCCAGTCATTGCAACAATATCACCTCTCTTCTGCAAAGCCCGTACGATGTTCAGTTTGTGTTCTGGAGTAGCCCGGGCAAAAATGTTGACATGATCAATAATGCTTGTCAACTGATCTTCGCTCATATGTTCAAGTCTATCGCCAGTAAGAACAGCAGTTTCTGGATTTGGAATGGAAATCCCGATTTGTCTTGCAATATTTACAGCTGTGCTTTCGGAATCCCCAGTGATCATTATGACGTGAACAGAACCTTCGGAAAGCCTCTCCACTGCAGCTCTTACAGATGGTCTTGGTGGGTCATTCATACCGAGTAATCCTGCGAAAGTTAGTCCATCAATACTTTTTTCGTCAAAAGCATCAGTTGAACCACTAGGTGGCTCAAATTGAGCAAAGGCTAATGTTCTGAGTCCTTCTGACGCAAGAGTATTTGCGCTGTCAAAGATGACATCTTTCAATGCACTATCCAGCTTAACCACTTTATTTTCAGTATTGATGAAGTGGGACGACATTTCGACAATTCTTTCATAAGCACCTTTCACATATATCATGGTTTTGCCTCTCGAGTCCTTCACCTTGACGGCCATGAATTTTCTTTTGGAGCTGAAGGGAATTTCACCAATTCTGGTAACTGTTGGACGTTGGTCCTCAAGGTCAAATTTGCGTAAAACTTCGAGTATTGCAATGTCAGTTGGATTGCCAAGAAACTTTACATGCTCCTGAGAAAACGTGGAATTGTTGCAGATGTTTCCGACACGCAAAGTGGCCTTTACGTCTTCGCTGATATGGTTCTTCAAATTAGCGCGCGTAACCTTTTCCAAATTGAGAATGTTTGACTTGTTAGACATACTACCGAGGCACCATATTTTGTTTACAGTCATATGGTTCGTTGTTAAAGTACCGGTCTTGTCCGAGCAAATAACGTTGACAGAACCCAGAGTTTCCACACTTGGTAATCTTCTGATAATTGCTCTTCTTTTAGCCATTCTTAGAACCCCTAAAGCCAAAGTAACAGTGACAATAATCGGAAGGCCTTCGGGAATGGCTGCGACGGCCAATGACACCGAAATTTGAAACATTTCAAGCCACGAGCGACCCTGCAGTATTCCAATTAGACAGATCACACCGATCAATCCAAAACTCACAAGCGAAAGGTCTTTTCCTAGTTTATCCATGGCTGTTTGTAGCGGGGTCTTGGGCTTTTCGATAGAGTTCATCATCTCAAATACTTTACCAAAGGCAGTGTGTTTGGCTGTTGCGATAACGATACCTCTCCCATGGCCTTCTCTGACCAAGGTTCCCATAAATCCGATACAAGTTCTATCAGCCAGAGGTACTAAGGATCCTGGAACATCATTATAGGAGTCTTTAGAAACCTCCTTTGTGGATTTGTGAACAGGCTCATTTTCACCGGTAAGATTACTTTCGTCGATGGACAAACCGACTGCTTCTGTGATTCTGATGTCAGCTGGAATCCGATCACCGACACCAAAGCGAACCACGTCTCCAGGGACGAGCACAGACGCCAGTATTTTGGATTCTTGGCCACCCCTAACTAAATGGCATTCATCAGGAACTAAACGGTTGAGAGCTTCGATGGATTTTTCAGAGCGATGTTCCTGTACAAATCCAACCGTCACCACTATTACAATTGCCAATGTGATACTAACTGCGTCGTCAATATTGCCCATGACAAAACTTATGACTGCTGAACCGATCAACAACAAGATCAAGGGATCGCCCACGAAAGTGCCCAGAAACTTGCGCCAGAGAGGTTCTTCGTCTTCAGATGCGATTTCGTTGACCCCGTACTCTTGTTGGCGGTGTGTGACTTCGCTTGCGGAGGACAGCCCATTTTTAACGTTAGTGCCCAATGAAGTCGCTGCTTCTTCCACAGTCATCGTACAGTACTCCAAGGACGGCGAGGGAATGTCCAATGCGTTTAAAGACACATTGGCATTCTTAGGCGTTTGAACTGCTACCAGATCAAATGGATTATCGCTCATCTCCGTTTTCGTTGTTGTTTATGCCAAAATCGCTGTAAAAAAATGCTAAAAAGAACGATCCTTCTACTGAGGCGGAAAAAAAAGCCTCGGTGATCAATGCTATTAACAAGAAGTGTTAGATCCTGAAACCACAGGCCAGTTGATCTCAAAAGGGCGGTATTTCCACTCTATTCGACGATATCGTACGAGGCTTTCACTAGTTCATGATGGGCCGATGAGTTTAAATTTTTAAATTAAGCCCTGTTAGATTACGTAATTTGAAGATTCCGTCTACAGTGACATGCTCGAGACTTTGAGTTGAAATATAACATACGTCATAAACGCCGATCAATTGAAGATGTGCTTCGCGAAAATAGGGAGGTACGTAGAAGTGCTACATGTATCCGAATATGATATGTTACAATGTTTGCTCATTATGAAGTGTTGCTTCTGGCCAGAGTTTGGTAGGAAGTGGGTGTGTAGACGTTAATTCATTTGGGTTCCACGTTGAAGCGTAGGTTTATACCCATGGCAGAGAGCTCCGAGTTCAAATATTTCAACACGAATGGAATGGCAACAGTAGTGGTGTCACCACCGCCAACAAACTTGTTGCCTTGGCCATCATCCCATATGTGAGCATCGTCGATGAAGATCTGGTCGTCGCCTTGGTATTGAGAAACCAGCTTTTTGGCGTCTTCGAACTTGACAGCACAGCGCCGACAGCGCATTGTAGCCTGGGAGCCAATACGTGGAACACTGTAGTGGGTGGTGAGCAAAGCACCGCATTCGCGACAAACTGTGGTCTGAGTGTAGTCCGAGCAGTTTAGTAGACGGTCCTGAAGTAGGAACGAGGTACCGTGACCGATCAGGGCATCCCTTTCCATTTCACCTACACGGATACCACCGTGTCTCTTTCTACCTTTGACCGGTTGCATTGTCAAACTGTTGACGGGACCAGTCGAACGCACTTGGAACTTGTCGTTGACCATGTGACGCAGTCTCTGGTAGTATACGACACCAATGTAAATGTCGACCCTGAGCTCTTCACCGGTGGCACCAGAGTACATGGGTTCATTTCCATGATAGTTGTAGCCCGCTTCCTTGAGCTGTTCTCCGAAGTAATCGGCAGGGGTATCCTGCTCGCTGAATGTCCAAGGTGTCGCGTCATGTGCTGTACCATGAAGAGCACCAGCTTTACCTGCAAGGGACTCTACAAACATACCAATTGTCATACGAGAAGGGAACGCATGTGGGTTGATAATGACGTCTGGTTGAATACCGCTTTCGCTGAATGGTATATCGACAGTTGGCCATTTTCTGGAACAAACACCCTTTTGACCGTGTCTCGACGAGAACTTGTCACCAATCTGTGGCGTTCTTCTGATGCGGTATTTGATGGAAACGGTCTGGAGTTCTTGGAACTTGCTCGATTCGTCGCCTATCAAGTTGACTTCCTCAATGTAGGCTGGCTCTGAGGAGTGATACGTCTTTATCTTAGTTTTGTTCAGCGTATCATCGAAGTATGCGCAAACGGGATCACCCTCTTCGACGTAAGTTCCAATGACTGGTAGACCATCATCATCTAGTTTATCTAGCCAGTCTTTTGGCCACTCGTCATCCCCAAAACCGAAGTGTTGAGTGACAGGATCTCCTCGACTTCTGTTCAGTGATAGATCAATCTTTTCAGTCTTGTACATGGTACCATATCCAAAACCTCTTTCATCGGCAGATTTGTTAATGATCATAGCGTCGTCCATATCGTAACCAGTGTATGAAATGACTGCAACGACCGCATTAGTACCATTGGGGAAATTATCCATACCGTAGTCGTCGTATAGATTCGCCTTTACAATTGGCGTTTGACCGGTTTGCAACCTGTAAAGTTTGTTATCGGAACGGTGACATAATGCCACACCTGGGGTACCCATAGTTTGCTTACCCATTTGGCATTGATACATATTTCTTGGAGATTGATTGAAATCAGAGAACGGCGTCAAGTTTGCCAAAATAGAGAGAATGTTTGTTGGAGTAAATTCGACATGAGTGTGAATGTTGTTGCCGATTTCTTTAGGGGTAACTGCGATGTTCATGTAAACTTGTTCAAAAGGTCCCACAATGTCCTCCTTACCAAGAGGCAAGTACTTGACTGGGCGCATCATTCTGGAATGACCACCAAAGATGTAAAGCCCTGGGTATTGACCACGAGAAGAAGGCGGAACGTAACCTATCTCTAAGTCCAGTGGTAGGCCTGCAGTCTCTCCCTCTACCTTCCAAAACCGCAAGGTGTCTGCAATAATCTTACCTTGTTCATGAGAACACCAGCCAATTATTTTACCGTCTATCTGAACACAGCAGAGAGAGGGTCCCGCTGCGAACGTGTGGGAAGCTGGTGCTACACCTAGAGAGTACAGTAGAGCAGGAATGCCAGACACATCAGATTGAGATGTTGAGATTTTACACCGATGAGAAAAATGGTTTAGCAAACCGCATGGAGAACCATCCGGAGTATGCACAGGACACAAGAAACCCCATGATTCGGGCAGAAGCTTTCTTACAGTAGTTGTCTTCAATTGAGCAAAAAATGAACCTCTGTGAACCATTCTGAAATGTGAAATGAAACGGTAAAAATTAATCTTTTCTGCAACAACGGTGTAACCAGAGACCTGCTGCAAGTCGAGACCGGATTGAGAGACCAAGTTACCGGTGGATAGGAAATACTGTAGTTTAGCACCAACATTATCATTGACCCTCATCAAAACTCTTGACATGTATTTGCGGTCCTTGAAGTTGACTGCAAGGCCGCGGCCAACATCTGACTGAATTTGCAGTCTTATGTTTTGCAAGTATTCTTCGATTTTTTCCTTCAAAATCATACCATACAGAAAACCGCCTAGAAGGACCTCTTGATGTTGTGTAGCATCTGGATTATCAGGGGAGCATTCACCGGCTACCAAAGAGTATAGCTTGCGAATCATGAATAACAACATGCGTGATTTGTCCTCGTTGTTCTCGCCCAAATGCACAAGCACAATGCGCTTCAAGAGCTCCTCACCAACCTGAAAGTCTGTGGCATCAGGGGCGGCTTGGAACACAATACGGAATTTGTCACCTAAGTATTGTAGAGCTTGGCGACGGTTGTGTAGTTGGCCGTATTTCTTTTTGTTACTGCGAAGCAACAGTTCCAAACGATCGGTTAAGAAAGAGTTAGAAGTATCAGAACCCACAATTCCGTCGAAAATTTCTCTATCATTGAGTTCACATAACGCCTTTAGGATCATCACAACAGGTATGAGATATTCGTTTTTCCTCCAAGAAAACCTGAAAGTAACTTCACCATCATTCAGATAATGCAAAACATTGGTTTGAGAGGTCTGATCAGCTCTCACAGAACGGATCTGAATACCGTATTGAGAGTATGATGCGCCTCTGTTGGAGAAAGATGGTCTTATGATGGCCATTGGATGATTTCTACGCTGAACGATTAGCATTCTGATCAGCTTCTCGATACCATTGACGATAAAATAACCTCCTAGCTCGTCACTTTCCTCCTTATGCTGGACCAAATCGTAGGGCGACATTTTATTCAAATGACAACGATTGGAATTCAACATCACGGGAAGCCCACCGCAGTCTTTGATCTCCGAAAACGTTTCTTCGCCATTATTGACAGACCATCTGAGCTTCAGCAATAGCTTACCCCTGTAAGACGATAGTCTTTGTCTAGACTCGGCTGGGAAGACTTTGCGCTCGACAGCAGACGACACACCGTCGTTGGACGTTGGTTTCGCGATGGACACTTGTTCGACGCTCAGCGAAAGCTTGTTCCCGAGGTAGTCTGGATTATCAACCGATTTGGCACCATCGAAAATGACTTTTTCTCCGATGTCCTTGACCGCCTGGTTGAGCAGTCCGCCATCTGGGCCCTCTGTGAGCGCATTGAACGAGCCTACGTGTGGCTCAACAGCCTCTTGGAGAAGAGGATATGCAGATTTATCTTTTGGAGGGTTTATGAACCTGTTTTCTCTTTCCAGAGTCCTAAAATCCGCGGTCCTCGCTACCGTTGGTGGTTTTATAACTTTACTCATTTTTTCGGCTGAAGTGAACCGTTTCGAGCCGCTTTTTTTCCGAAATACTAATGCGGTGATGAATAGCCTCCGTAACACACCTCAAGTTCAATGCGAATACACCTTCTTTCGCTATTGTTCCGGCAATGTTCCTAATGTAGTGCTGATCTCGATGCGATGCCCTGCTAGCATTACAGAAATTTGAAATATATTCTGAAAATTTTTTTGACCAGGCCCGAAGACGAAAATAATTTGAATATTTCTGCTTCCCCAACGTCCATAGTGACCTCATCGCGCTATCCGATCATCTTGAACGTCATGAAAAGCGTACCTCGGCGGCTAATTCGATGTCACACAAACAATATAGCATTTGGGAAGTTTCTTAGGGAAGGTGGGAGTATCAGGGAAGGTAGCATTCGGACCTGCACATAGCATCATGGTTCTAGTATCGTGATGGTATGCGTAAATTTAGTTATTTCCGCCATCTTTGTACGTTTGTGGAGATTGCACGAAACTATGAAAGTCTTGTAAGTTGAGTGAAGTACTGTTTCGTAAAGACTTGCCAAGCGTTTTTATTTGTGCCTTCGGTGATTCCACTATCGATTTCAACATGTCCCTGGAATCTAAGCTATCTTGCTTCTGCTGTGAAAATAAACGCGCGGAAATGACCACCGAATTGAAGACTAAGGTGGATTGGTTCTCTCTTAACTGTTTCTCATCGTGAATATGTGGCAATATCTACCGTAAAGAGCATGATGGAATGGCTTATTCTTGCTGTTGAAGTTGGCATCGGGATCTTGAAATCACATCTGAAAAATGCAACACGTGCTATGATAGCCACATGACCTATGTTTCCGGATATAAGTCTCTCAGTTTGGCTGTTTTCCATCAATTTAGGAGCCTTGTTGGCGCAATCGGTAGCGCGTATGACTCTTAATCATAAGGTTAGGGGTTCGAGCCCCCTACAGGGCTTAATTTTTTGGTTGTTACAGAGTCTGATCTCAGCTCTAAACGGCTGGCTTGCACTATACATCTCAGAGAGGTTTAGTATCACCAAGCGCATGCCGCTGTCAAGAACGTTTCACAACTCAGAAACACTACCATGGTTGTGATACTCTTTTCTTGGTAATTCATTGCACACATTTCCTAAGCTGTTACAATTCCCGCGCTGATAGAAGAGAATTCCTAACCTACAATTCCGTGGTGATTCAATTTTCGTGGAAGGACAAAACAAAGTAAATTCTACAACAAAAAATGTCCTCGAAAATAGTATAGTAACGCCCCATCCATAGATTTCTGTTATCTGTCACTTGAAGCCAATGTGTCGCGTTTACTGTCCTCCCCGCGGTCTGGAGTTGAGATATGTCATTTCTGTAAATTTATAACGCACGAGATAGACAAATATGGCGTTTGGGAGCGGTCTTGAGAATGTATCTCAATCGTTGAATTCAATTTTTATCGTTTCATTCTATCCAGATCAATTTTTGAATGTCAGTGAGGTTTCGAATCTAACCCAACGCTCTTGAAAAAACATGAAACTGCCATCAAATATGTTTCCAAGACGCGGGTGGTGTTGAACACAGAAAGCCATAGCCACTGTATATAATGGCCTTCTAGGTGATACTTAAAGCTCTAAAAGTTATGGCAAAGGTCTTCTTGTAGTGTAGTATAAACCCATAATTTATGTATTGTATTCTTTTCTTTGTTCTTGCCTGCGTTTCGTGTCGTCCAGCTTTGGTTGCAAAAGATATCAACCTTGTGAATGTGCCAGTTGTCGAAAATGGGATGCTTGTCGCCCCAGAGGCAACTTCAGCGGTTGTTCAAACTTCTTCAGTGGTAATAGCGGTACGCAGTTCTACGGCATACTCAGTATCATCGGCAACGGTCCCAGTGCCAAGCCCTTCAAATACTGGTTCGACCGGTAGCACGGAGTTTTACAGCGGCGCTGCAGGCATTGCGTATTCTCCGTATCAGAAAGATGGTCAATGCAAGACTTTGGAGATGGTTCAAGCGGATTTAATCCAGATCCAGAGTTTTGGTATCATCCGCACCTATGCCACAGACTGTAACGTGTTAGATAACCTAAAGGCATCCTTGATACCGTCTCAGAAAATCATGGTGGGGATTTGGGATCTCACCAAAATTCCCGATAGTGTGAACGCCATTTCGTCAGCATTTGGTACAGATTTCAGCGCTGTTTACGCCGTTTCTGTTGGAAATGAGCTTGTAAACTCCGGATCGGCGACTGTGGATGATATTCAAAATGCAGTAAGCTCGGCAAGAAGCCAGCTTGCTGCAATCGGATACAACGGTCCAGTTGTGACTGTGGACACTTTGGTGGCCGTAATGGCCAATCCGGAAATGTGCGAAATTTCTGATTTCTTGGCCGTGAATTCTCATCCGTACTGGGACGGTAATGTAGATGCCACCAATTGCGGACCGTGGCTGCAACAGCAAATTGCAAATTTACAGGCCAAATGCGGCTCTCAAAAGTCGGTTTTGATCACCGAAACAGGATGGCCTAGCCAGGGAGATCCGAACGGCAACTGCTGGCCTTCCCAGGCTAACATGGAATCCTGCATTGCCTCGATAACCAGCACGCTGGGGTCTCAAGCCTTGTTGTTTACGACGTATAACGACTACTGGAAAAACCCAGGCCCGCAAAACGTCGAGCAGCATTGGGGCGTTTTTGGCGATCCGGCCAATTGACCCCACCCGCATTGTCACTTGTCGCATTAATAGAAATTAAAGGAAGTGCAGATACTCTATACATGTAATTATAAAAAAGCTTGGGCGTCATTTCCGATAAGTGCAAAGAAAGACACGCCTTCAAGTCTTGCCAGAAATGCATCCGGGCTCACAGGTCTAGTCCTGTGCTTCCAAATCGTTGTCCAGGCCCAACAACTGATCACTATGTACTAATATGACACTTTTGCATGGCACCGTTGAAAACATACTCTGAACTTCAACGGTCATCGGCTAAGTTCATTTCCGGCACAACAATATTCCAAGCAGAGCTAGAACAATCTATTGAAACAAAAAGAACGCCTCGATCAGTGGATTGTTTCGAGAACGGTAATTGTAACCAAAAAAAAAAGTAGCAACTCACAAATGAGCCCACCTGTGTGCTGTGTGAGCCGGCCGAGCAAAACTAGAGCTCTTCATTCTTAGGCTCTCTCACGGACCCAAAATTCTGGCCTATGCACCGTTCAATCCCGCCAGCCATCACCAGTTGGCTGTCCGCGAAAAAACCGAACGAAAGAGACTCTGCTACGTACTGGTCTGAAGCGTCACACAATGTGAATAGAAACGAATAACGAATATACGCCAAAAAATTATAAAAAGTATATAGTCACGTGTACATCATTCACCACGCACGTGATGACAATTTGCCGTTTAGAAATACTCTGTTCCATGACAGGGAAAAAAAAACTTAAATTTAGATCTATCAGATCTAATGAATGAAACGCATCTATATAATCCTAAATCCATCTCAGATCTCTGATAAATCAGCTGGAAAGGACCCAAATTCAGACCAGAGAGCTGAAGAGAGGGCGCCTTGTGAACTTGAAGTACCGAAACCGTTTATACTCTTTTCCCGTCCTCCGATTTGCTCCTCCACGCCCTATGAAGCTCCTTCATTTCCATGCGCTATTCTTAGCAGTTGCGGTTCAAAAGTCGCTCCAGCAGGCTGTTGACGGCCAAAATAACGGCGGAGCCGGAAACTCCAACAGCACCTCCAGCGCGCAGCTATCAACTTCAGGAACCAGTTTGTCGTCAAGCTTACAATCTTCGTTGTCGTCCTCATCGTCGTCTTCGTCATCGTCAACCTTGTCATCCGAGTCATCACTATCCACGACGTCGTCCGTTTCGAGTTCCTCCTCCTTGTCGTCGTCGTCGTCATCGTCGTCATCATCTTCGTCGTCACCATCCTCTAGTGGCTCGTCGTCTTCCAGCAGTGATGCACAAAGCTCGCTATCGTCATTGTCATCAACTACAAGAAGTTCCAGCAGTTCCGGCAGTTCCAGCAGCTCCAGCTCTGCATCGGTCTCTTCGTCTTCACAATCAAGTCTCAGCGGATCTTCCTCGACTTCCAGTGGCAGCTCTTCGTCCAGCTCGAGTGCCGCCCCTAGCTCCAGTGCATCAGGCCCATCTTCGACGACATCATCATCGTCGTCGTCGTCGACAACATCTTCATCGTCGGCCGAAAGTTCTTCTTCGTCGATAACCTCTGCGGCATCCTCGGCCTCATCTCATACGCATCGTTCCTCATCGATCACTGCTGCACCATCCACTACGAGCTCTGACGTGATAACAACCACGATAGATGGCAGAACACTGGTCTCCACCGTCTATTACACCGCCAGCGGCACTGTGGACTCTAAGAACTCGGGAAACGGATCTGGACTCTCTAAGAAGAACCGCAATATCGTAATAGGGTGCGTTGTGGGCATTGGAGTCCCAATGATTCTTGCCTTCCTGGCTTTCCTATATTTCTACTGCGTGAGATCCAAGAAAACGAACTTCATCAATTCCGAGGGTCATGTTGTCACTGCTTACAAACAGAACAATCTGACAAGGTGGTGGTACTCCCTCATGGGTAAAGATGTTGGTAACGAATACGACGGTGACACCCCTATCGGCGGTACATCTGATCTCGACGAAGATGCGGAGGGTATAGGACACCGTAACAATGCCGTTAGCAGGAATCCAACAGATGGGCGCGGTTCCCATTCTAATGAGTTGATGTTGGACGAAGAAAAGTACTACGACGAAAACGGGAACAAACTCAGCGCCCGTAACTATTAAGCATGAAGGGTAAACTTCGAACCCGACTCAAATCAAACTGGAATGAAAGTAAGGAAAAAATAGAAAATTTCTTGCCGCCCAACAGCTCCAAAAGATTTCGACTATCGACCTTATTGCCCTCCTCCAGATAGAGGGGAAGAAGGCTGGTCTAAAGATATTCTCATTACGATATTCTTCAAAATGAAAGTCATCAAAAATTGCATAAAACAGGAATTAACTTGCTGCACTTCTTTGCGCCATCAAAGCTAATATACACCTTTCGGTGCAGCGAGCGTTTTTCTAGAATCGAATCATATACTACATAACTAATCAGTTACTTCATACAATACCAGGCGTTAGACCTGAATGTCAAATTCATGGGTTGATGTTCATCAGGTTAATGTAGTCAATCGTTCTTTATAATGATACCTGTCTAAATGATCATGAAAAGCCGGTAAATATGTTTTTTGATCTTAATAGTTAACTTTTATTCCGCGATAGTTTAGTGGCTAGAATTCGGGCTTGTCGCGCCCGGGACCGGGGTTCAATTCCCCGTCGCGGAGAAATTTTTTTGGTTTTTAGTTAATCTGCTCCGCTAATATACTTAATCCATCCTGGCTCATCTCAAGAAACTCATTCACGACACATCTTTAGCATATGTTGAAACGACTATCAACGTCCGTTTGATGTTTCTTCGAGCATTTGTTCGACTTTGTTACTCAGACCGATTGGTTTCGGGAAGACATTTCGAAAAAAAGTAGCAATGCATGATGTCGCCTTAACTAGCGACCACTTTAACGAAGTTCTGGTTAGTTACTGTTCGTCCCCGGGAAACGTTTTCTTGTTATGTCTGTTTGTTACGATTGATAACCCCTTGAGGATGTCCATTTGCGTCAAGAACTTGAAATCAGATCTGAAAGTCACTAGGTATGAAATACCAATAGAAGCCATGTCATCAACGCTTCCAAAAAATTCATTTGGGCTACAGTTGGTACAAGTTTCTAAACCCGCCAAGAATAAGATAGAGTTTGAACATTACATCATAGTTAGCACTGGCGATGGGATTCATTTTTTCCCTTTGGAAGACCTATTTTCCTTTGAAGATTGCAAGCCGAACAAATGGCACCTAAATGCGAGCGCCGATACATTAACATCGTTTTATGCATACAATATCAAGGGGTCCGAGTTGCAAGTCGTTTACTCGACGAAATTTGGATCTATCGTGAAGTTCAATTTCAACATAGAGTCCAAGATTTTCAAAATGGTAAGCGATTGCAAGGATGCTGCTACTGACTGCATTAATTCCTGCAAACCTTGCACACCCGCAAATATCGACAAGGAGCGCATTCAAGTTCCCGAACTCGTGTTTTCGAGCTTTGACAACTACATATACTCGTTGGAGGACAAACTACAAAAGTTTCCTGTTGATCTAACGTCAGAAAAGAACATCCTTGTTTCCGCACATGGAGTAGTCGCAAAGCAATATAGCAAGAAAGCTTTGAGATACTACGTGGCCAATATCGTGAACGGCGGTTGTTGCCTTTTCAAGAGAAGCGCCAATGATACCTGGGATAGAATTCGTGTCTTCGAACGTGAGATAACAAGCCTCGAAGAGTCATCTCCACTGATCGACTGTGTTGTAACATGCCATGACCGAGCACAATTACGGATCGCTTCTGGCAGTGAAAGCGGGAAAGTATACATATGGTGCTACGACTATCGTGATGACGTTGTCACCGAAAGCCATGTCCTCGAAGTGGCAGGCGACCAAGACATTGTTCACAACATTCAGATTTTAGGGTCTTTAGTGTACTTTATGGTGAACCGGGATTTCGTGGGTCGCACTATGATCCCTTAAGCTCCCTTCAAGACTCTTCAGAATCCTTCAAACAGAGCATCGATATTTTTGATCACGTCGATATGCAATATTTCGCCCTTCTTGTTGATGAGAGACCCTTTTTTGAAAATCTCTGGCTCGTTGTTGTAATTTATGCCACACTTTGTGAAAAGAATCTCCTGTTTGTCGCTGCTGAGAGTTCCACACAGTTTCTGTTCAGATTCCTGCGGGGTCAATCCGCACTTAACGATCAATTGCCAAAAAACAGTGTTGTAAAGGTTATTGATATGTGTATCGACGTATCTCCAGCTCAAATAGTCCTTTATCGTGGTCAAACTGGGATAACACACACACCGGGAGTCGAAAAACGGCAAATTTTTGTAATCCAGCGCAACGTCGGGAAAAAACTTGCTCCACAATGCAACATAGTTAGCGGTGAACAGGGACACGAATAGTGAACTTAGCTTATTCTGTCGTCTTTTGAAAAGAACCGTGTCTTTGCGCAAAATGAACGAATATTCGTCGCTTTCACCGAAAGCACACACAACCTCATGTTGGTACTTCATCACCACGTTTTTAGCGCTTGCATTCATAAGTTTCAGAGCACGCAAGTCATTGGGCTTTTGGAATTCATACGTTCTGGAAAACTCGTGAAATTTCTTGCCATCGATTCTCACCACAATGTAAGTTTCCGGCAGAAGAACCTCATTTGTTTCGAATTGCCTAACGTACTCGAATCGCGACTTGGCCATGGTATGGTATTGTTCAGAAGAACCGCTCGTTGAGAGATGAGCGATGGACTGTATCTCTTTCATTTAACTGCATTCATATGGATTCATGAGTACTCGGCATCTTGAGCTACAATGACACATAAGTAAAAAGTGATCTGAGATTTTCATTACCCTACCTGCTCAAATTGTAAAATGAAATAATTTGGGTATATAAGGCAGGATCTATTTTCCAGGATTTAATGTATCCGCATGACGATTAGCCGCTGAGACTAAAGGAAGCACGGATTTACAATGATTTAGCGAGTGAGATGAAGCAGTGAATACTGATCACACTCATTTAACGGCTGATACAACATGACGTGTGATTAAAGTAAAGAAATCTGCTAGAAAATAAGAATCGCAAGTCGTAAATCAAGAATGGAATGCAGTCCGCACACAAGAATGGAAGTCAGTCCTTGAGAAAGGATGGAGGCGAAACTTTGTCAGTGATGCTCTCTTCAAATTAAGAGATGCAAGAACACCCTGTTTTTTGCGCGAAGAACTGTCACGGACGAATTGTCCTGCTCTACACAAAGAGCAGTTTTCATGAAGACTGGAGTACAAAGTGCCCACGCCAAAACCATCTGAAAGGAATCTCGAGTATAACACGGTATCACTTACAAAGCAACTAAAGGCTTGGGAAAGTTTGTGGAACATAGGAATACCCTGTTTTGGATGATCAAAGCTTACTCGTACACTATGATACCACAAAGACAAATGTCACTATAGACGTTACAATGTACATCACTACACACGTACAGGTGGCCGGTACCGGCCTACACCACGTGAGTGCTCAAAGAAGCCATCAAACGGGTAACCCTTCCACTGGGAGAGAGAGCGAGAGAGAGAAAGGGAAGTAACTCCCACCCACTAGTCTTCTAAATTTTTTTTTTTTTTGGACTTTTTTCTATTTCGTTCTGAAAATTTTTAAAGTGACTACATTGGCGGTATCTGATCGACTCAAAATTTTTTTCAAGTATAAAATGTCGACCTGTAACGAGCTTCTTCTTTCATCTATTTAGCACGGCTCCGCTCCTTTGGTTTTGAGCTTTTGCGTTTTTCTTACTCCACAATCAGCATTCGCAATAACAATGTCTCTAAGAATCACAGCTTCTAGATTGATCGCTAACTCGCGTGTCATCACCGCCAAGAGAGCTCTTTCCTTGGCCTCTCGTGCCACTCTAAGACCAACTGCCGCTAGGCAGTTTGTCAAGCCAATGGTGGCCACCCGTGGTCTAAAGCAGATCAACTTCGGTGGTACTACCGAAACTGTCTACGAAAGAGCCGACTGGCCTCGTGAGAAGTTGTTGGAGTTCTTCAAGAACGACACCATGGCTTTGATCGGTTACGGTTCTCAAGGTTACGGCCAAGGTTTGAACATGAGAGACAACGGTTTGAACGTTGTTCTTGGTGTTCGTAAGAACGGTGCCTCGTGGAAGGCTGCCATCGAAGACGGATGGGTTCCAGGTGAGAACCTATTCGAGGTCAACGAGGCCATCTCCAAGGGTACCTACATCATGAACTTGTTGTCTGACGCTGCCCAATCCGAGACCTGGGAATCCATCAAGCCATTGTTGACCAAGGGTAAGACTTTGTACTTTTCCCACGGTTTCTCCCCTGTCTTCAAGGACTTGACCCACGTTGAACCTCCAAAGGACATCGATGTCATCTTGGTGGCTCCAAAGGGTTCCGGTAGAACCGTCAGATCTCTATTCAAGGAAGGTCGTGGTATCAACTCGTCTTACGCCGTCTGGAACGATGTCACCGGTAATGCTCACGAGAAAGCTCAGGCTTTGGCCGTTGCCGTCGGTTCCGGTTACGTTTACCAGACCACTTTCGAGAAGGAAGTCAACTCCGACATCTACGGTGAAAGAGGTTGTCTAATGGGTGGTATCCACGGTATGTTCTTGGCTCAATACGAAGTGTTGAGAGAGAACGGTCACTCTCCATCGGAAGCTTTCAACGAGACCGTTGAAGAGGCCACCCAATCTTTGTACCCATTGATTGGTAAGTACGGTATGGACTACATGTACGATGCCTGCTCCACCACCGCCAGACGTGGTGCTTTGGACTGGTACCCAATCTTCAAGGACGCTTTGAAGCCAGTGTTCCAGGACTTGTACGAGTCTACCAAGAACGGTTCCGAGACCAAGAGATCTTTGGAGTTCAACTCCCAGCCTGACTACAGAGAGAAGTTGGAGGAAGAGTTGAAGATCATCAGAGGAATGGAGATCTGGAGAGTCGGCAAGGAAGTCAGAAAGTTGAGACCTGAAAACCAGTAAACGGTTCAATATCGCTTTCACCCACTTTGCACATAGTCAACACTGAATTGACCTGAGAGAGAGCAACAAGCAAACAATCATTCACTATCATTACTGTACACTAACCAGAGGGCGCTAGCACGTTCTCTATGCACTGAAACATCAAAACGTTCTGGTTTTCTGTAATTAATTATGTAAACTGGCACTCGTGTTTAAAAGAATAAACAGATGTCCTAAGGAGATAGGGAGATCATCCACTTTGGTGGACTATCTCTTGCCAACAAATTGACTTTTTGATAAACTGAGCGGTTTGACAACCTGGGCGGTTACCAGAAATTGGCCGATGGTCCGTCGAAAGTGATAACACTAAGAAGTTGATATTTACACGTAAAATAGCATATGCTTAGATGTGTTGAATCCTGCGCTGCAAACGCCGTGACACACACGAGCGTCATATCCCACTGCTTCTGGTGCTGCTTAGCCTTTCTTGCAATGGGTATCGAAAAACCAAACATTCAAGGGAAAGATGACCTCTTTTACACCATGACTAGTCTCTGCACCTGAATATAATTGGAAATGGTTCAATTAAGTGAGGAATCCGCCTTTTTTCAAATGCAAATGGTCCGTTGAAGTGTGTGTATCTTAGTCACGCATTTGAGCACAGCTGATGTTTTTGAACGTCGAGAATCAGATGGGATTGAGTGCTGCTTGATTGTGAATTCATGTCTTTGGGTATCATGGGTCCTCAGCTCTTTTTAAGCAGACATGGAAACAAAAAATTTCAGCTAATAGAAGAACATGCTTAATGGCACATCCTGAGACGCACTTATCATTGTTGCTATCGCGAGACTCTAGGATCAACGATTCTACGGCTGATGACGTCTGGTGGTCAAGAAAGCTCCAAGACTATCTCCCAAAGCAAATTAGAGAACTCAAGAATTTACACTTCTAGAGAAAATCCTACCAGTGCAAAAGGAGACAACTCGTTAGAACACCAAGACAACGCTGGTACCAGGTCTTTCAACGGATCTACAAAGCTCTTCTGCTTTTGTCTAACAAGCTGGGAGCCTTACCTCGTGTAGAACACGAGAACTCCTGTTCTTTCGCTTCCTTCCGAACTACATGCATTATCTGGTGCTACAAAAATTCACCACGCAAACTGTATGTCCGAGATCTCCATGAACTGACATCAAAAATTGCTTTTATGAGCCCATTTTTCAGGTCTTGTATGCACCTTCAACAAACGGCGTCCGGCGTGGTAGGTGTGTGGCCGGTATGGTTGATTTACCGGAGTCTGGCCCATTCGAATCAATACGAACAGGTGGATTGGAGCTAAAGAGGGTTACCATACCTTACAGGACAGCGCGGAAAAAGAAAACGACGACTACCAAGTGGAGCAAGCAGTCAGAAGCTAGAAGCAAAAACATACACTTCTTGGAGGTGGGGTTTGAAGTTGATCCCACGGAAAGATGATATCATCTCATCATCACGTGATAGATAGGTTTAATCTCCTATCCAAGACCGACCGGCTTTCGCCGGTCGGTTAGTATCAGTTGGCAGCATGTAAGCGTTTTCTCGATGACAAGCCATCTAGTGTTGTGTCACCGTTACGGTCTGTCCGCTTCTGCCTGTCCGCTTTTTTGACCGAAATCTTTCTCCCGGACCTAACGAATCCATCATCAATGCCGGTTGCATGAACGGCAAGCAACTTGTATGTGTGATCTTGCAGCGGTGCTCCAGAAACAACTGCCGACTTTTGCTGCACACTGCGATTTTTTGAGATCAAAAGGCTCTTTCATACATCGGTTGTGGTGAGCACTTGTCAAAATGTGCATAATTACCACGGTGTACTACACTGGGTGTTATTAATCTGGCAGCACGCATAATGATAAGAGGTACAGGTGTTTGAGGGTAGTCACAGCTGTATTGCCTGCGGTGTGTCTCGCAGTAGTAACAGCCCGGTTTGGTAATTTTGGCCCGGAGACAAACATGGGGACCTCCTTGACGGCTCGTATTCGTGTAAGTTTGCATACGGTCTATGATAAGAAAAGTTACTGTTACTAGTGACGACATTACCAACGTACGTTGTTCACAGCGAGGGATGCAATCCTAAGAGCATACGGTGCCATGATAAATGGTGTCGGCCCGATCTTCACGTCAAACGTTTCATATCAACAAAAAAGGACAGAAAGCCATTGGCAAAGGAGCTGGCTGCAGTGTAAAGAGAAAGCACAGGAGGACAAGTAGAAGTCAAACAAAGTGAGAAGAGGGGCTATTATTGTGTGAGATGGAGAAAAGACGATGGGATGGCTCATTATGCATGTTCACAGGGCCACTGTGGTAGTACGGTGCATTGCGACATCAATGTTAGAAAGAGACTGATATCGGCCGACATCCAGGCTCTTTTCTGAGAGCAAGGGATTGATTGATATCCGTGGTGTACTACAAACGCCGACATGACGGTCAATTATACTACAGCTGTGGTGATCGTCGTGCTTAGGGGAAATTACTCCACATCTTGTAAAAGTGTTCTATAAGAGGAGGTTTCGAGACCAGATTGATCGGAAAATTGACAGGGCATCGATCAGAAATCAACCGGTTAGCGATGCAATCATCCCACACTCGTTTGGGGCCACGGAGAGTGGGTGGTAGTAGTAGTGGTGACGGTGGCACCGTAGCCATTGAAAACGCAACGGATAGACACTGCGACCTGTCTTCATCTTTCGAAACGGCAGTGTGTGACGATCCACAATCGTTCCTGGGAGGCACTTGGCAGGATTTGAGAAGACCCGAACGCTCCAACTCTGTGCAATCGTACTCCAACTCGTCAACGCAGGAATCGATGTGGAAACTGGATCTGCTGGAGCATGATTCAGCGCATGAGAGTTCGCATGGTGCGTTTGATGCGGTACTAGCTACCACACCGCCGTTGGATAACTACGATGTACATGTTTCCAGGCCCAGTCCGAGACCCAAATTTGTCAAGGCCAATTCCTATTCAGAAGGTGTTAATGATTTCGACGAGATGTCACATTATTTATCGTCTAGTGTGTCGTCAGCACACTCGCATTTGCATCCTATGACAGCAGTCAGCCCGCAACGCCGCTGGCAAAAACGGGTGCCAAGTCAACCGAAACCTTCATACGCACTACAGCATCGAAGGGCCGTGCCCTTCCGCGAAACTCGGTATTATAACCGTTCATTTCAACCATATGGGGTAGCCGCTCCACCCAACGATCGTGCATTACCGGTTGACTCTTACGAAGAGGAAAATATACAGGATTTTCAATTTGAAGATCTTCGTTACACTCGTGGCTACTGCTATGAAAATGGCCCTAGTTATGGTTTTCAAAATGTACAAGTTAATGATCAAAAAACTCAGCATTATCTCCTCTCCCAACATCCGGATCTGGACGCTCATCAGCACTGTCAGCACAACCATCGTCATCAGCACCATTATGCTCATCATCATCATCAGCAGCAGCAGCAGCAGTCGCACCAGAACCAGTACCCACAGCACTCTCGCCATTGCCAAAGTCTCGAAGACCTTTCAATTCCTAATCTTCAGCCTCGGTCACAACTCACTTCCAATGAGACAATCGAATATGCACCATGGCAGGTAACCCCCACCAGCAGTCTTTCAGACGTCCCAAGAGTGGATTATTTTGAAGAAATAGCTGGCCCGTTAAATTTGGAACTTAACGAAAGGTTTCAGCAGCCTTTGGGTATGGACTCCAGTCCTCCTCCGTCAACACAATCTAGTTCAAACTCGGCACTATTCCCGGATCCTATAGCCACTGGACCAGACCCAATCACCGATCATGACTCCGATAACGACATAACTGTAATAGTAGACGGTTCGGATCTGGAGAGTCGGTTTCATGAGTCCTTCAACAGTTCTCCACAAAAAAGCTCTAGTTCAAAACACGAATCTGTGTATGAACAGCTCATAAACGACAAGCCCCTTATGGAGGCACTTTCGAAACGTGTCAAGCGAGGTTATTATCGATGCGCTCATTGTCCCAAAATGTTCTCGAGCCTTCTGGATTACGCCAAGCATATCGATGAGTTCCAGATCCAGCGCGACTACAAATGTCCTTTCGTGCTCTGCCCATGGAAAATATTGGGTTTGCCTAGACGCCCGGAACTTCGCCGTCATTGTGCAATACAGCACAAGATGGAGATACCACCAGAGCTCAAATCATCACTAAAATTAGGTGAATCAGATTTTCCCATAATGGAGTGTCCTTCGCCATACTGTGACAAGACTTTTTTCCGCCGCGACTCTTACGCTCGCCATGTTGCTATGGTGCACGACAAGGTAGATAGTCGTTTTAACAAACGCTTGAACAAAATATTAGAAGACAGTCCTTACTCAGTGGGTACTCAACAACACATCGACTACGTCTCAGAGGAGTTGACTAAAACTAAAAGAGGACTCAAGCCCTGAGCTCTCTGGATAGCCCCGATTTTTTTTTTTTTTTTCGGTTTTTTTGGAGCGTTCTCACAAGCAAGAAACGAACGCTACTGACTACACCATGACTTTTTTGTTACTCTGTTTTGGACTCCATCGCAGAAATCATTTTCAGATCCACACTCATCATTTCCATGATGAGCGTCTATTGAACGTTCCTCCACATTGTGTTCTTTTCCCGTTCGCTACTCTGATAATATTCCTCCACCCGCTAATAACGGGAATGTCCAAATATACGCTACGAGAGGGTGGCCCATTGCATCGCTAATTATTTACACTATTCTGTTATAAACAATTCTGAACTATGTCACTGAGACTTGAAGGGCCACACGCCTACGCTCTTGAACTCGAATGAGTTGAGAAGGTGTCTGGTAGTAGGAAAGTATCAGCCGTTTATCACCATAGTCATCTGATCTCTCCCATCACGTGATTCAAAGTCTTCCTTTTCTCGGAGAAACCTTTAGCGGGGTTTATCCGGTTGTCATAGCTACAAAACGGGGTGCATGTACATCCACATATGCAGGCACAGGGTTGCCATGGTATCCGCGATCTCCTCGATATTGCCGAACAAACAAGATACGCCGCAGAGACACGTAATCCACACTTTTCGTGTAACGAGAAAGCACTCCCCTCAGAAGACTGCTCCAGGCTCCAACAAGTCAGCTGGCGGAGCTACAAAAGTTTCACACACCAAGCAATCGCATTTTTCCAATTCAACGTTTAATTTCTGCTCAAATCGATGATCCCTATCTATCTCCCTCATTATAATATGCAGTACTGGTAACTAGATGGCATATATAAATTTGTTTGACAGGCTATCAGAAAAATAGTATCTTGCAAAAACAGAGCCCGGGAAGACTGACAAACGCCGTTTGGCATTGCATTGCAGAGGCCTCAATCCCTTGCCGTTGGCACTACAAAAGATTGTCAGAACTTTCCCGCATTTGGCAACTGCTCAGTGGTTGGGATGTGCCCCATGCACAATGGCGTGGTATTCCGGCTGGATTTGAGGTGTTCCGTGGCTCGAGGTCACGTGCTTTTGGCCGAGAGACACGATTTTATCGGCTGTTACCGGTTTCGCGAAACTTTCCAGTGAGGCTCGAGGACCGGAGAGAAATATCACAGAAGGATCGTGTATGGATTACGAAAGAGAGATTTTTGGAAATCAAACCGATACGGACCAATGTCTATTTTTGAACAGGCCTGAGTGAAAGCACATATTGGGAAATAAGAAACTCGCGACAATCAACAAACCCAAATGAAAACAGCACAGATGTTGCCAACATTTGAGTTTATCAAAGCTACTATGAAATGGTACCGTTCTCTAGTTGCAGAGATACTCTGAAACGGAGCAGTACTTGAAATGTAAAACCTCAACGATCACTTGATACGAAATCACAAACCACTACCATGACGCATAGCAAGATCACTTCAATTTTTGCGTATCATCAGAGCCAGGGAAACCGTGTCGTCGCAAGGTTGCTGCTGGCTCTTTAGCCTAGTGAAAGCCTCGCGCTAATGAAATCTTGATACGTCTTGATATTTGACCCCACAGTCACTATGAACGTCTGTGACGCCAATTCATTTTCGCGTTATAATTTAAATCAAATTCCAACAATTACGCGTCGTTTGCATCTTTTTTCCCTGACGCGTAGAGAATGTAGACTCCAGCCAGCTTATTCTAGGACCACCTCGGACTTGTAGTAGTTCTGTCTTTTTGAGGTAGCTCCTGCAATGCGATACACGGCCTCAATGCTCCTCAGAAAGTCCTCTTGTCGCGTTGAATTCAACGGAGTCCACTTGTATCGGTTGTAACGCGATGCCCTTCAAAACGCGGCTGGCGCTCTTTGTGTGTAACGGCAGGCGATGAGGTTGATCCAAAATTAGGGGACTTCGCCCGCTATCCGCGATCAATCTACAATTGTCGATGTTCAAGACCTGATGAGATAGATGAAAGACATTATGAAGCAAGGGACAGTTTATTTCGTGGAATCGCGATTCGTGGCCAAGCGGGTTTCCTCAACTCCCCCTCAGCCTCCAGCTCATCGCTTTGTTGTCCTTGGACATATAAAATAATGATGTTGTAACGTTGAAATGCTTCACCCCCATATTTGGTGCGACCAGTTGCACTGCTTTACGTCTTCAATCATCTTCAACACTTGCAATGAACAGTGCAGCCATTGATAGGGTGCTTTACCAGGAAGACTACCGCAAATACAAACTGGTACGAAAAGAATTGGCTATATTTCTTGGATCCCAGAAACTGGATGCCTCGAATCCGAAATTTTACATGTTGCTTGCTAAAAATGTTCACTCCAATGGTCTTCATCTGTACCTGCCTCTTATGATGGCTGAAATACTCGAAACCTCAGATGTTGGCAACACTAGCGATGCGAGTGTTGCCTATAAAGTTCTTCTACATTTTAAGCATCACGAAAAGTTTCCCATTTTGGCTCAAACCGCCGAGGGAACTACTCAATCATCTTTCGAGTTTCAGCTAAGCAGCACTTGCAACTGGGTTCATGTTATGCCCGTGGCCCAATACCTTATGGCTAGCACTCGACCCTCTGGTGATTACTCCCATTTGACGGGAGAGCAAAGACAAAAAAGATTCAATGGCGAAAAGGCAAGAATCGCCGCAAGAGAGTACTTAAACGACCCCAAGTCCTCAAAATCCACTGTAGCGTCTCGTTACGAGCTCTCACTTTCTACTTTGAATGATGCAATTAAAAGACTACAGCGGCAGCGCGGTTTGGGTCACGATGAGAATGCAGAGCAAGTTATCGACTATAGGCAAACAACGGACAAAATAGCACGCAAAAGAGTGGCCAGCGTAGCGCTGTTGAATGTGTTGAACTCTCAAGTGTCTCCTTCCAAGAAATGCAAATTGGTCTCGCAAGTGAGCTTCAAGTACAATATTCCAGAAAGAACACTTCGCGATAGGCTGAAAGATTTCAATCCAAGTATCTCTCGAGTAGCCGAGGGCATTAGGCGTCGCAAACTTTCTCCATCGGTGGAACAATTCCTCACAACATTTTATGCCATAAGCAATCTTCAAAATTCACAAGTGACAGTTAAAGAAGCTGACGCGATTTGTGAGCTTATGGCAAATACAACGAACTGCTCGGATATCAAATTACTGAATCACTCATTAGGCGATAACGAGACTATTAGCCTGCGTGAAATGCTTCGGCATCACGAGATCCAATTGGGAAGAAATTTCGGCTGGAGATTCAGACATCGCAATGGATTTACATCTTCAAAAGCAAAACGTATGGAAAAACACAGATTGAAGGCATCAGATGTCAATAACATTGCAATGTGGCTCAACGAGGACGCTTTCAAAATTTTGAGCTCAACGCCAGCAGAATTAATATTCAACGCAGACGAGATTGGGTTTGCTCACACCTTGAACACAATAAATCAACATTCCCGATTTGTGAGTATACGCAACCCAACTAATGGTCATAAAAAGGGAGTTGTATATAAGGTCAAAGAGGCTGAAGACAATCCAAAATCTCTGACCACGGTTACTGCATGCGTTTCAGCAGCAGGCGCAATCGTCGCTCCCATGGTAACGGCCGCGTCGTCCATCGCAAAAGATAAAAGGGATTGCCATGTTTTCAATCCGCGCTTTGAAGCTTTAGCAAGGTCTAAATTACATCCAGGTGTAGGCGAAAACGTTAACTTACTCTTTACTTCAAACGGCTGGAACAACCCTGCGGCCTTCTTAGAGTATATTAAGTGGTTTGACGCTCATACAGTTGATGTAGCTCAAGATCACAGTGATGGAGGCAGACTGCGGCAGCGAGTTCTTATCGTTGACAATCATTTTTCGCATTACTGCCCCTCAGTGCTCGAACTCGTTAGTAAAAGACGAATTACCCTATTACTGCTGCCGCCCAACACGACACACATTCTTCAACCTTTGGATGTCGGAGTTTTTAGTAACTTGAAAAAAAAGGTTCGTGCTCTCGCCACAGAGTGGTGCCCAGCGCCCACCTTGGGGCCAGATGGTAAGCACCGACATGGCCACTTTGAGATCCTATGCAATTTCATGAACGCACTTAACCATACGCTTTTGCACGACTTTGAACACTCTACCGTTTGCCAAGCTTTCCGAACGGCTGGTATATACCCCCCCGAAAGATCGCTGTTTAATCCTGCAGTCAGAAATGTGATGAAACACTTTGACTCCCACGCTCGCATGAAAGACATCTTTCTCACCAATATTCTTCCACTGTCTCATAATGCAAGGTCGCAACCGCGTTCGATTGCTGGCGCAAGGGTATCAAACGAGGATAGGTCTGAAGGTGCTCAAAATGCACCCAGCCCAATGGTGCCGTTGGTTAGAGACCAGGCTTTTTTCATCGGAGAGGAAGAGCTGGAAAGTCTGGACTATCTGTGTGTTAACCTAGATGAAGTGCTTCATTGCACGTCGAGAAGTGATGACGAGGAGGGCGAAAGTGGTGTAGTAAGTGAAAGCAGGATTGAAGCACAACAGCCAGCGCCCCCGCAAGCTGTACTGGACCATGAGTTTCTGCATAAATTCACATTCGAGGACGTCTTGAAATTGATCACAGATCTCATCAGCGGCGAAAACAGTGACGAAGGAATGTCTTTGGTTCCCAAATTAATGGAGCGGCTGGAAAAATGCTCGGAAATAGCTTTCAGCTCCAATTCACATCTTACAATCACGAAGGAACTCTTTTTGGAACAGCAAACGAACGTTATGGGAATTGTCATGTATCTGATATATTTTGGTGCCTGTTTCCTCGGTTTACGCGAACAGACGAAGATTGAGGAAACGCTGCAGATCTATGAGGGTAGGAGGGATGTGAATACAAGCACAACTGATTCTAAAGGAATTCCCGCCACTGATGTCTTGAGAGATTTATCTAAGAAGCAATTTTTCAAGCTTTTCCCGAAGGTGTCTGGAGATGTTGACCATGATTTGGCCAGAAAAATCTCAATGATCCAACATTCAACGCAAAACACTACCTCAATGAGTGAAGCGTTGGTGAATGAACTGGGGTCCAGCGTATGGGACTTTCTGCAGAGGATGGTCAAGAACGAAAACTCCGTTCTGTCGTTACAATCCGAAGACTTGAAAAATAAGGTACTCACAATGGCGGTAAATGCACCTGAGGCACTGGCCAAGGCCGCCACCATCCAAAGCATGTTCGATCATAAGGGCGGCATGCCATTTAGTAGAAAGCATTTACCTTTGGTGTCGAAGATTGAAAGCCTTAGATCAGTTCCAGAAGAGCTTTTGAACCCCACATTATCTGACCAAGAGTTTGAGTTGAAACTATCAGGATTACGAGAGGTCGCGACCCAAGCTCTTGAGGAGATGAGCAGCATTGACGAAGATTCAGATTCGCTGGAAGGTGACACTATGACGGAAGATGATCCCCTTCAGGCTGAGGAGACTAACCAGAAAATGCTTCAGAATTGGTTTTTGGTCTATCATGTCGACAATGTAGTAGACCGCATTGCGAAAAGCAGGGAGAATACGAAGTTGAGGTCCCAGAATCAGTTATACAGGCAGAAAATTGAAGCCCTCACTCAGGTCATAGCGGATATGGCTAACAACGTGCGCCATTCATCTAATCAACTTTTTTACGAGGACCCTGATCCGTTCTCGAACTGTGGAGTAGAGGACAATCCATTTATATAGACAGTATAAGATAGTTACTTAAAGTTGTGACAGAATTAATGAATGAAATGAACTAGACTGGATTTTTTATCGGCAGCGCTATTAGTAGAAGGTATACGAAGAATTGCAGGTAGAACGTAAGAGGAATGATTTGAATTTTTTAATGGGAGTCATTGAGTGTGCTTTTGACGACCAACAATGTATTCGAGAGATTTCCATGGCGTAGTAAAAGTACGAGGGGGAAAATCGGTCAGGCGGGTGATAATGGGTGGCAGAATTAAGCAAGAGGTACGCATTGAAGATTGAAGTCATCGTCTAGGGGTGCAAGGGGTTAAAACGAGGCTAAGTAGCTGGGTTTGGTAACCGTAACTACTGGTGCTGAAGAATATCACTTAGTACCATTCTGACGCAATCTGTTGATAATACTTACAGGCGTCTCTATGGTGCGCTACGAGACCAACACCAGAGGGACGGTCAACACCGGCCCTGCACGCTCACACTTCAACCTACAGATACACGTAGGATTCGGTCCCGAATTCCGTCGCAGAATTTATATTATTGAAATCTTTTCCTTAAAAAGTGTTCATTTTACACATGCTAACTTTCAGACACACACGAATTTGCTGGGCTGTTTAATCAAATAGACCGAATCCCATGTCGTCGTCGGATTCCTCGGCAGCCTCCTCTGGGGCGGCTTCCTCAGCAGCGTCAGCACCACCAGCAGCAGCACCGCCAGCTGGGGCAGCAGCACCGGAAGAAGCTGGCACAGCAGCCAATTTTTGGTTACCTTCGGCGATCAATTCCTCAACGGACTTGCCCTCCAAAGAGCTCAACAAAGAGGAGACCTTGTCTTCCTCGACTTCGATGCCAACAGACTCCAAGACGGTCTTGACATTCTCAGCGTTTGGGGCAGAGTTACCAGCGGCGTTCAACAACAAGTAGGCAGCCAAATACTTCATGATTGATTTATGGATTGAGCGAAGCAAAGGTTTTTCAACTAAAACCTGCAAAAGACCATAAAACTACCCAAAACTCGCTGTAAACTATCTCGAAATCCTACCAACTTTTACTGAAACTTTCCAAGCTTCGCCAGATCCAGTGACGTTCGCGTCCACACCACAGGGCATTCCCCGTTGGCTACTGGATCCCAGTTTGCGTGGGGTGTGTGCTAGTGTGTGTGGTACAGTTTCCCAGAGGTGGAAGCGATGTTTGTTCAGTGTGGACAAATTTTCACGCATTAATGATGTGGTGTTTGGATGTTTTGCAGGTTTTTGACAAAAAAATAATTTTTTTCCAGCTTGGATTTCCTCCCACAGAGGGCTGAACAGAGGTTCTGCCTAGAGATTAGGCAGAGCTTGTCAGATTCTAGGCAGAAACGTGAACTTCTTGACAGGAGCCAGGCAGGAGGCTAGGCAGAGGGCTGGTGGGGACCTGTCTAGTTATCTCTGTCTAGGGCTCGACCCCAGCACGGTGGATGGACTGAAATTTTGTCAGAAACTGTACGGTGTGTGAATCCCGTCAGATAGTGGTAGGATATACACACTTTGAATATTGAAACTTGGGTCATCAACGGAAGCGATTATAGAATAGTTGTGGAATTGGATTTTGGTCTGGATTTTTGTTGAAACGAATCGAAGCAAGTGTCTCTAGATTACCGTAAAGATGTCTACTCCTGTTGCCAGAAAGAGAACTTTCAAGACCTACTCCTACAAGGGAGTGGACTTGGAAAAGATGTTGGAAATGCCAACGGAAGAATTCGTCAAGTTGGCCCCTGCCAGAGTTAGAAGAAGATTTGCCCGTGGTCTATCTTCCAAGCCAGCTGGTTTGATGAAGAAGTTGAGAGCTGCCAAGTTGGCCGCCCCAGAAGGTGAAAGACCCACTATCGTCAAGACCCACTTGAGAAACATGATCATCGTTCCAGAGATGATCGGCTCCGTCGTGGGTGTTTACAACGGTAAGGTGTTCAACCAGGTGGAAGTCAAGCCAGAAATGGTTGGCCACTACTTGGGTGAATTCTCCATCACCTACACCCCAGTCAGACACGGTAGAGCTGGTGCCACCACCTCTCGTTTCATCCCATTGAGATAAGCTCGCAGTAGCTAAACTCGGGTGGTCCGGCTATGTACGTGTGCATGCATCTCCTCCTCTACGTATTTTTGTAATAAAATCACACAGGTAAGCAATTTCAAATTGGCTTGGATCTCGTTGTTGTGGACGGTCGGGTGTTGAATCTCTTTTACTCTACAAGCAGTGCTGGCGGTTGCTGACTTCGTTTTTACTACCAAAAATCCGTTAAACCCTGCCACCTTCCGAGACCCAGCTCTAATATATCATTTCAATATATATCCCTACTAATGCTATATGCTTCTCTGCAGTTTTTGCAAATCCTCGAAGACTTCCGAGTCCTTCAGGCCACTGAGGTTTGGAGCGCCCGGAAATCCATTGAAGAATCTCTTGAGCCCTTCGAGATCACTCAACTCATTATTGAACCTCATTCTGTCCACTATAACTTCGAGTTTATCGACAGGATTGTTTTTATACCGGACTTTTATCCCCTCACATTGCAAATCTTCACTAAGAGGATCACCCTCTCGTCTAAGTTGTGCCGGAGCAGCATAGCCCGTTATGCAACTTAAGGTCTTACCGTCAATTTTGACAGGGACATGATAATTCACATCCGGCACCACCACATTGATTTCTCTTCTTTCCTTATTGATATCGTACCATTTCTGGGTGGTGTTGAATAACATCTCATGCTTAACATTCGAGACCTTCCGCAAAAAGTCTTGATGAATGCAACATCTGGTAGCTTTCGTTTCCTTGTCGATACATTCTAGTTCATACCGCTGCCGCTGGTATGCGCGCCGAAGTTTGAAATCTCGTACCGAATCGATCTTCTGATAATAGCTTTGGAGAGCAGGATGAGACCCGTCTAGACACATCTGAGTTTCTGTCTGCAGTTTTGCCAGCTTACTTTCGTACAGCTTTTGACGCAACTCGGCAAATTGGTGCTCGATTTCTGTAATTTCCTTAAGAGCCATAAGCCTGATACTTTCTGTTTCCACGGGTGATTGAACTTCTGCAACGTCCGTCGCAATGCTTTTCTTGAGCACGTCCTTTGAAGTAATGTTTGCCAACGCATCATTGAGGTCAGTCTTATCAAGGATCTCGTCTTCTGCCTCGTCTTCATCTTCATCAGCGTCATTGTCATCATCATTTTCCCCATCTTTGTGAAAATCAGATGGAGGTGGTCTGGGTTTTTTGAACTGGGAAGTGTCTTCAGCTTCATCAAACTCGCGCTTCATACCAGATTTTTCATCGTTCTGCACCAGTTCTCCTTTTAAGCCATCTTTTGCGGATGTAATGTCATTGCTCTCGTACTCTTGTGGAGGTTCCTGCAGCATCTCAGTAGTTACTGAAGATGTATTTTCCTCGCTCAGGTCGCGAGTTGAACCATCTACCGAGGAAACTTTGTTATCTTTTTGCATACTTAATCCAGACGCAGCTTCGTAGGGTGTAGGATTTGAGGGCTGGTTTCCAATTTGTGGTATTGTATCTTGTGAAGTGTGGTCATTTTGGTTGTCGATTTCGGGCTCGGTCTGGTTCTCTGGTGTTGAGTTACCCTTTCCGCTATTATCAGAATTGACAACGTTGGCTTCGCTGCGTTCAAATGTAGCGGTATCACCACCCACTTCAACTTCTTCGTTTTCGGCAATTTTGAGCGGCTCTTCTATGACGATATCTTGTTGGTGCGAAGGTTCTGGCAATTGTTCGACATTCGATTGAGCATTTGGCATACTTTCCTCTTTCTGGATTTCATCAGGGGTATCCTTAGGCCCAGCGTCTACCATTCCCATGCTCATGTCGTCCGGAACGCTTTCAAAAGTTGGCTTGTCCTTGAGCTCTTGATTCAATATAGCTTCAGACTCTGCATCTTTTACTATGGATCCAGGAACATCTTCTGTTTCTCGAAGGTCAGATTCCTTTTGGTTTTCAAAATTCGGGTTTGCGGCCACCGTTTGTGCGACATCATCTTGTGGTAAAGAAGGCTCACCAACAGTTGTAGCGTCTTCTACAAATCCGGGAAAACCCAATTCTTCGGGCTCATTCATCTCCGCATTTTCAACACTCTCGTTGTCTTGAGCCAATGCAGACAAAACTACATGTCCTGCTGGTTCGTCTTCCATTTTTTCCGTTTCTGCGTCTGACGAGATGTAATATCCATCCAAGTCTAAATCGACTTGTGCAATGTTGCTATTGCTGTCTATCTTGCTTAGCTCGCTCAAAGTATCGTTATCTTCAACGCTTTTCCCAGACCTAGAACGATCGTCTATCTGGTTTTCTTTTGCTGCAGAGAGAGCCAAGTTTTTCTCTGTAAGCAAACTGTCGTCTGTACTAGTTAATAACTGCTACTTGATCACATCTAGCCTAAAAGAAGGCTTTCCAACGTCTTAGTTTGGCTTCTATTTCAAACATACTCTTGGTCGGTTCCTCTGCTAAACTCATCTATTCGCTGCAAGACACAACTACGATGGAAACAAACCGATAAAACTTGGACGCCGAGTTTGAAAACTTGTGTAAAGGATCGTAAGTATGTCCGGACAAATTGTAGCAAGTAGACGTGCTTTAATCGAGGGATTGGAATGTTAAAACAAGCATACACGCTTGAAGCGTCTTCCGGTGGATACACTAGTTGATAATCTTATATTATCGGAAGAGCCGTTCAGGATGATATCATAATCAATTTAAAGCTTTGAAAATTGTAACTTGTGAATTTCGTGACATCTCGAGAAGCAGATAAAAAGGCTCTTCAAATAGCAGAATGTGTTTTCAGAAGTATACTATTCAGAAGTTAGAATATGAGGGACTGGATTACGCTATGTGTGAAAGATTTATATACCGCTTTAATCGGAGACAAATGAATTGCAAAATTGTGCTGTCACGTGACGCTACGGTATAATGGCTGGTTGATCTATCCGTTCAAATACGAGTTTGAGGGCGATGCATTCATTATAAGGTTTTGGGAACGTTTTGGTAGACCTGGGTCAATCGATGATTTCAATCTTGTCAGTATTATAACTCGATCTCGGTTTTAATGACGGATTTTATTTTGACGTTTAATGACGATTTAGTATTGTGTGAGCCGATATCGAAGGTTTCATCCACGGGATGCTGGTCAGTAACTGGGTGATGCAATGCTCTTCAATTGACATTTTCTGCGTCGAAATTAGATACCGTCGCATGGGATTATGTGACTAAGGCGTCAATCTTGTTTACCTTGAACCGTGTACAAACCGGGTATCACCACTGCAGTAGTGAAGTCATGCTCCGCAAGCCGGTTCAAGAGAACGATTGTAAAAGCTCGTTCAAACCGGCTTTTCTAAACTTGCTGAACAGCAGATTGCAACATATTCTGAGTACCTTAGATCACGTGCTTCCTAGTGTCAGCGACAGAAGTAAGAACTAGTCAGGACCTATGACAAATAATTATTTTGAACTCTGAGATTTCTAGTGGTACATAGTTCACATGGTCATCTAGCCTATCAGATCACTATATTGTTTAGAACCTCACAGGCATCAAGAAAAGATGAATTGTAACACCCCCGGTAGATAGCTGCCATGAAGAGCTTATTCTTATACCACTTTCGGGATACAGCCGCTAAATTTATTTACGTACCGTACCGTCCATATGAGCGTCGTAGACACTGTTTTATGGCTTTACAAGTCTTTGATCTTTAGATCACGTGACTCTCATCATTAGGTAATGAGACTGACGCTGTTCATAAAGGAAGAGGCTAAAAGTCGCAAGTGCATTGAAATGCAGATCTGACATTCAATACCACTGACCAGCTACTTATTTCCATTAGTTCTATACCATGCCCTTTCATACTGAATCATGTTAAAAATGTCGAACTTTTTCCAGAATTTTTCGAAACCGAAGAGGCAAATCGTCTGGAAAGCAGACCAGCTTTATTGAAGTGAAGGCGACTAGTACTATCTTGCCAAAAGGCTTCTAATCGACTAATTGTTTGCCAAAATACTGATTATATTATTGACACACGTGACTCATCTGGTACTTATGCACCATGAAAGCCAACTAAGTAAACTGAAAAATTTAGTCAACTGAATCGTCTGCTAGCTCATCGCATTTCTAAAGACTGCATCTAACGTTAAAAATCGATACAATGGCTTCGATTGATAAGCTGTTTGGGTCGTCGGGTGGCCAAAAACTGGTCAGTGGCCTAAGTAAGCTTTTCAGTGGCTCTTCAGGACCTCTTGACGTTTCGAAAGTTAAGCACAAAGAAAGAACAGTGCTCCCAGAGCCCAACCGCTCGGCAGTTGCCAAAGCGGAGGAAAAAATTGCTGAAAACGAGGCTGAAAGCAAGGATGGTGATGTGGCAAACGGCAAACGGAGTCTAGAGGACGAAATCGACCCGGAAGCTGAAAAGATCATTGAGAAAAAGAAGATCTCGAAGAGACAAAAACGAAAGCTTGCACAGGATACCGAAAACGCAGATTTGGAGGCAAAATACTATTCAGGACTTTTAGAAAAGGAAGAGAAAGGTGCGAAGAATGGGGATGAAGATAAGACTGTTGATGCCTCTGAACAAGAAGACGCAAGTGTGGAATCGGGCGAAGAGTCGAAGTCGCAAGTCAAAGCGGCTTCAAAGAAGGACTTCAAAGAAGCAGAACTAGAAAAAGCGGATAGAACGGTCTTTGTTGGTAACGTTCCTAAGGAACTGGTAAACTCTAAACAATTAACAAAGAAATTCAAGAAACTTTTCGCTGTTTCCAAGAATGTTGAAAAGGAAACCGAAAACACCAGCGAAGATTTGGAGTCTGAGAATGATGCATTTTTCAAAATCGAAAGTGTACGTTTTAGATCGATTTCATTTGAGGAGTCTTTACCAAGAAAGGTGGCCTTTGTGCAACAAAAACTGCATAAATCCAGAGATTCAGTCAACGCTTACGTCGTTTACACCGAAAAGGCAGCTGTGAAAATCGCTTGTCAAGCTTTGAACGGCAAAGTATTCGAGGGCCATCATCTGAGAGTTGATTCAGTGGCTCACCCCACGCAGCACGACAATAAGCGCTCTGTGTTTGTTGGGAACCTGGATTTCGAAGAAACTGAAGAGAACTTGTGGAATCATTTCAAAGAAGCTGGTGATATTGAGTACGTGAGAGTGATAAGAGACCCCAAGACAAATGTAGGAAAGGGTTTTGCCTACGTTCAGTTCACGGATTTCCAGAACATTGGCAAAGCTTTGTTGCTTGACGGGCGCAAGTTGAATGGTACTGGGCGCAAATTGCGTGTCACCAGATGCAAAAACATCAAGAAAACGCAACCACAATCTCAAAAAGGTAGAAATGAGAACCTAACTACTCAGCAAAGAACCAAGCTAGGTAGAGCCAAAAAAGTCCTTGGGAAAGCGGATAGATCGACTGCTGGTAAGGAAATTACAATTGAAGGCCTTAGATCTACAAAGGGTAATTCAACCCCTGTGCTGAAAAAGAAGAAGCAGAGATCTAAAACCGGGAGAGTGACCAAGCGTTCCACTGCATTCAAGAAAAACAACCAGTCCAAGGAAAAATAAAGAGCTTGAAATTTCGAGCTTGCTTCACATATATGTAAAATAAGAATACAGCGATTGTAGAGTAGTCAATTTAAAGAGGTGTACGTCGAAAGAAGAAATGCGAGTCTGATTAGCCCGATGCAGAAGTAGCAGAGCAGGAACATCAGGGACAGACACTTCAAATGTTAAACTGTCGCGAGAAACAGTTTTAAGCACGTGATATTTTGACGAGCAGGGTAAAAGTGACAAGGTATTCACGCTATCTTGCAGCTTAATCCTCGAATAATTCTAAAAGAAGAGCTGCAAGTTAAAACCTTTGGGTTTCTCACATCTTTTGAGCTGTAATAAAAAACTTTGTGTTGAAATCTGTCGAACGAATACGGGAATTTTTATGTTAATTACACGTTGGCGAACATTCATGGGGAACGAACCGGAAAACCAAGTTTTCGGATCTCGAATCAATCTCAAAACGAACCCCGGTAACACCATTAAGTAGTAAAACTAAAAATACTAAACTCTTGGAGTCGTTCAGGACCAAACTTGGAATTTTGAAAGCTTATGAAGTCACGTGACCCCATTATTAAGACACACACTGTCGTTTCTCAACCAGAGGTATCTATCAGACCACACTCCTTTACAAGAATCAACGGCTAAAGCACCGCCAACCTCCATCTACAGTCATTATGGAGTTGTTAAGAGCTAGCTATGGAATTGAGAAGCTTCAAGACTTGGTGCGTGAGCGTCGTAGGCTAGTTGAAACGTTACATATGAATCCCTCTACCAATGACACGATAAACTTAAAGAAACAGCTAAATGCTACGATAGAATCATTGAAACAGGCAGAAGATAACGCTGCAGGTAGTGAGAATTTGGAACTTGAAAGCTTGATCAACAAATATAATTTGGTAGTGGCCGACATTCCAGACCAGGCAGTGGAAAAGGGACTTTACACTTTCATGAAGAAGATCAAACCCAGCAGTAAACTCAGTACGTCAAGCACACCAGAATCGAAGAAAGTGCGTTTCAAAGATAATCTTGCTGAGTTTCAGGATCACCCCGGGGAGCCATCAGTCGATTCTGAGATTCAGTTTGAACCTTTTAGAGACGAAGTCGAATTTCAAAATGATGACCAAGAAGCAGAAAGAAACAGGCTATTTGGTGACGACAATAGAAGCACATTAAATAGCAAGCCTTTGACAATAGCGCCGCAGCTCTCGAACCAGGAAATGTTTATTCAACAGCAGCAACAGTTGCTTGAACAAGACACCCATTTGGAAGACCTCTCGAGATCCGTTCAGAAAGGGCATGGTCTTTCGTTGGACATTCATCACGAGCTGACTGACCAAAATGATAGTGTTCTGCGAGATCTGGAGAGTCTAGTCGATAACAGCGGCAGAAACCTGGATCGTGCAAAGAAAAAGCTGCACGTGTATGAGAAAACAGCTCGAGAAAATGGACCGTGCTTAATCATCGTGCTGCTTGTTTTTATACTGGTGTTACTGTTGGTGATTCTGTAACGAGCAACCATCACTAGCGCTGGCGCTGGTCTTCTAAAAGCTTCTCTTAAAAGATTTGAATCAAACGTTGAATTGCTTACATTACAGTATTATCCGATGAAAAATAAAAAAACATCTATATACACTTCCGTGAACTGCCGCTCCTGCAAAGCCCTTAAACTGCCGTTCCTGCATTACTCGCATTACCTGGACGTCCTAAGACAGAACCAAAAAAAAAAAAACGATTCCCAAATTTGTCACAATGACTGCCTAACTTAATCCCAAGCTAAAACTTTTACCAATCTCTGTGCCCTTTTGCGGTGCCCACGTCGTGTTGTGATGCGTACATCTGGAATCCAGAATTGTTCAGATATGGGTTCTGGTGATAAGGCTGTCTCTGTTGTCTTTGATGGTGGTGATGCTGCTGCTGATGTTGCTGATGTTGCTGATGTTGTTGCTGCTGCTGCTGGACAGCTGCTAACAGCTGATTTTGGTAGTATTGCTGGCTGACAAAACGTCCATTTGTTTCTGACGAAGTCTTGCCATTTTCGGTTTTGGATCCCAAGGGCAAGTTCAACCTGAGCATCGCTTGCAAATTTCCACTGTTTTTCTCAGAGTCCCTAGTTCCTGTGATGTTCATACTAGATCCAGGTGAGAGTTTGTTTTCGGGGAAAAAAAGCTCATCGTCCATGAATGTCTTCTTCAGATCCAATCTGATCCTGGCATCTCTGATGATCGTCTCTTCGCGCTGTTGCTGGTGATGCTGTTGCAGTCTAGTAACCGCAGTCTGTGCCATATCGTGAAAGCTGCTTCAAGTTGGCTCCTGATTGGTACACTGACGTTCAGATGGTATTCATCAATCTGTGCTTCTCTTCTGGTTCGACATAATTTTAATTTACAGTACTGTACCGACAATCTTACTGTAGGTCGAAGTCCTCGTGATCAGATTTCGATCTTCAGGATATCGATCAAGAATGAGGAACAGAGAGCCTTCAGATTCGACTAGTTGAGCTTGAAGGAACTGGATAAGAAGCTTCGAGGAAGTGTTGTCGGTGTTGAAGAAATCAGGAATTTCCGGTGGTTTTTGATGTAAACTAAGGAAAATTACATCTGGTTAAGTTATAAATTTCTAGTACGAATGGAGGTTGGAAAACCGCTTACACGGACATGTCGTTATGATGGTAGCGGTTTAAGTGAGATGCAGTGGTGATCTATCCTGTCAAAGAGACTCCAAATGTGTTTTTCTGGGGGGAAAAAAAAACGTCTTTGAAATTGCATCAATCTTCTTTACGATGGACACCTCGGGCCTTGAATGGTGCTTGTACGCGAGGTGTAGGAGTATGAGAAGCGTGGCGAGAGTAAGTTGAATATAGAAAATGTTTTGCAGCTTCTCCGCGATCTTGTCTGGTAAGTCATGGTAGAGTCCAAACCTGTAACGTCGAAAAGATAGTGGAATAGTCGATACAGGTTAGCCCTTGATTTATCGGTTTGTTTTGCTGCCCGAGCTAATTTGTGCTATTTTTTTTTTTTTTGTAGGACTATGACGACGTCCAGCGTCGTGAATATAGCCTGCAACAATAGCTTGCTTACAGCACATGGAGCACACGCAAATCAATATCGATCGAAGCCTCACACAATTCTGCACACTGACAGTTGTGAAACTCGTTCGCTACCTTCCGTAGCCATTCCATGAATGTGCGACTAGTTTACTTCTAGTCAAGTAGCTCCAATTCTGTCAAAATTGGTATATGGTCGCTAGGATGATTCTTATTAGGCAATCCGAATTCCTTCAGCAAGTTGAGCTCCTCTGAAATTTCGACACCACTCAAAATGCGCTTAAGTCTGAAGTCGTTATCATGGTACCAAATATAGTCAAAGATGCCCTTCAGTTTGCCAGAGTAGCAGGTGTGATCGAAAAGCTCGGAAGGTGTATCCTGGTATATATAGTGGTTCAAATAAGGTCGAAGTGGGTTGATCAGACTGAAGTCGGACCGCTGCACACTTTCTCCCTTGAGAAATTTGACGACTGGTGAGTTTGGGCTCGAATTTAGATCTCCCGCAAGCAAGATCTTGATGCGAGAATATGTAGCTCCATCTCTGCCGACAAGTAGCTGTTTGATAACGCGGTGCAATTTACGCATGATGGTCAAACACTGACATAATTTGACCTCGTCGTACTTCCAGTAAAGATGCGTGTTGATGACCACGAAAAGTGTTCTGGTTTCTTTATGCATGAGCGACACAAACAGGCTAACCTGGTTTCTGCTATGAAGCACATTCAGCAAACTGTCCTTACCAGTTTGCTCGCCTGCGCCATTGGTGAGTGTGACAGTGGTATTTTTCAAGTAGTTGAGCTCGCTGATATTGAAAAGTCCCATTAAGTCGTTAAGGTAGATGCTAGTAGTGGAAAGATGCTGGAACTTGTCGAGATTGTAAAAAATCCCAACACCGTCCATTTCATCCTGCGGGCGTTTCCAATATGCTGGTGGGGTCTTTGAAATATAGCTACTTCCATAGTTGATTTTGTTCTTACAATGTGGTTTCCAGAATCCTTCGTAGTCTTTCACTGTCAGTTCCTGTAGACACATTATATCTGCTTTGTATAAATTCAAAATCTCTCTTTCAAGTAGTCGATGTCGATACGTCCAGTCTTGGTATTTTTCAGGAACATATGTGTATACTTGAGGCCACATATAGTACGGAGAAAGCATGTTATAAGTGAGGAGTGTGAGGCTGGCTTTACTGACCGGCACTGAAGCATTTTCCAAGAGTGCGTTACCTACTGGTAGCAGTTTCCTCGTGAACATGCCGTTGTCTTCTTGGGCGAAAAGTAGACAAAAAACAGCCCCGAAAAAGGTCAATACCAGAGAACTAGAGAAATTGAAGCTGTTTCGAATGATTTTCTGCAACAAAATGGGCTAAAGATGACGATAAGAGGTCTTTTCGGACTTTCAACAAGTTCCTGGAGAGACGATGGATGGATGGTTCATGAGAATTCGTCAAAAAAGGTAAGGCTACTAATTATTTGTTAAAAGATCACCGTGAACGAATAATCACATGACCATTGTTCTTACAGTCACGTTGTTTTTAGCTTATCAACAACGTACTTATTGCGATCTTCATTGTATGTAGGGATGAGTCGTGAATGCCTGTTCTGCTAGAGGTGTGCAAATTTCTGGTGCTTTAAGTGACGAGACAGCACTACTTTCAAATTGTGAAATCTCACTTTATTTCAGTCACTGACGTCTGGAGCACGTGATCATGATAGTTTCTCAGTAAACTGACGCGATCTGTTGAGATAAGGTTTACCGTTAGTTCGGTAAACAAATTTTCAATCCTATATTGTTCAACAGATCATCTTGTTTTATGTCTTTACTTCATCCGCAAAATTTGTCTTAGCGTGTGAGACAGCAATAAAAATGGCTTACCGCTATGAACGTAAATGGAAGTCCCGAAATTCGTTACGACAGTCTTATTTCAATGAGAAACCCCTTTCAAACATAGCCGATGGTTTCAATATTCTTCTGGCGTCGATCAATGATGGATTCTTATTATCTGACACAGGTGACAGAATAGTATAAAGTGATCAAGTTTTTTAATTAGACCCTTTCGAGTGGGAACTATGACGTTCAGAGAAAGGTCCGAAAACTAATCGGTCAAGAAACCTAACGTGTGCCAGTCAAATCAATGCCTTATTGCAGTGGATTCCAATCAGATTTAACGGCTTTTGATACTTCCATATTTTTCAATATCCAAATTTGGCTCAATATTGCAATTTCCGAGCATCTCAAATAGCGCTTCTAATAACATTTCCAAAAGGTATTTTCGAACTCTTTTGGTCGTTTGTCCTGTGTGGTAACCATTGCTGCTTAGAAACGTCCTAGAGCATACTTTATAACTGGAGGTTTTGCCTCAATTGCCAACAAACCGATAATTTTTGTCCAAGCCAGCAAGAAGGCTCTGCTATACGTAAAATCCGCTCGTTCAATAATCATGCAAACAAGAGCCGGCAAGCGTAAGCGTGTCGAGATTGAGCTCGAAGAAGGAGATACTTCCAAATACTTCAAGAAAGAAACTAGTGAGATATCTATACCAAACTTGAAGAAAACATGTCCATCAGACATACAAGGTATCGACGTTGAAATGGTCAAAAAAATGGGTCCCGATACGTACTATGATTGGGTGGATGCCAGAACGAAGGACGAAATTACCTACAAACCGATCGCTGACAGATCTGAATTCCCTCGAAATTTTCTACCCATATATCAAAAGGTGAGATTGATGCGCTCCAAAATTGCTACACCTGTTGACTCAGTAGGGTGCGCCATGATTCCTCTTACTGTTGGCAAAGAGTTTGGAGAGTCAAAAGAAAAGATGTTGCCACGCACGTACCGTTTTCAGCTGCTCCTCGCATTAATGCTGTCTTCTCAGACCAAAGACGAGGTCAATGCTAGAGCCATGTTCAATCTCAAGGAATATTGCAGAGATGACCTTCAAGATCCGGAAGGTGTCACTCTAGAATCCATTTCCCGCATAGACCAGGAAATACTGGCACAACTCATATATCCTGTGAGTTTTTACACGAGAAAGGCTCTCTACATCAAGAAAGCTGTGAAGCTTTTAAAGGACAATTTCGATGGTGATATGCCCCCGGATATCGTGGGACTATGCTCTTTACCCGGTGTAGGTCCCAAAATGGGCTACTTGGCACTCCAGAAAGGATGGGGCAAAGTTGATGGGATCGGTGTCGACGTTCACGTCGATAGGCTCTGTAAAATGTGGAAGTGGGTGGATCCTCAGAAGGCAAAAACTCCCGATCATACTCGCAAATTATTGGAAGAATGGCTACCCTACGATTTGTGGTATGAAATAAATCCTGTTTTGGTTGGGTTCGGTCAGGTCATTTGTTTGCCCAGGGGGAAAAGATGTGACCTATGCATGGCGAACGACGTCTGCAACGCAGCAGATCGCAAAATTGTCAATTCTGCAAAGAATCGTAACGAGCTGCGAAAGAGTCGGGGGAACGTTTCCAAATGGATCGAATATTTAGAGGAAACTACCGGCGCTCAAGAAACTGTAGAAAAAGATGGTGAAGTAAAAGTGATCTTGGAACAGAGCGAAACCGATGTGAAAAGGTGAGTAGTTTCTGCTAGGTATTTGGGGTTTATGGGGTATTGTAAATTATAGGAATAAAAACGGGCAAACTATTGACGTGCACTACATCAAAACACTAGCATCTTCTCCTATTAGGTTACGAATTACATCTGGCTTGTACATTGATCTAAAAACAAGTACCAATATAAGATTCATGCTAGAAGGGCTTTAGATTTCGTTAGACTCTCAGCCGCAAAATACCTCACATCGACATCATTGTCATGAGAAAGTTTCTCCAAAGAGGTGACTATCGTACTTTGGATCAGGTCTTTGTTCTTACTTTTATCGGCACAAAGACTCTCAACTACTGAAACGTAAGATTTGGCAACGTTGAATCTTATGTTTGGAACGGCATCTTCGGTCAAGTGATTTATGAAAGGAAGGACTTTTTGAGTGATGACGTCGTTGGAAATAACGGGAACCAATTCGGTTAATGCATGCAGTAAAGTGATTCGGTAAACAAAGTTTTCCAGCAGTTGAGAGTCAGAGGTCAAAAGACGAGATATGATTTTTTCACTGGCCCAGTCCGAACCGAATATTTCTGTCAGGTTTTTGAGGTTTGTGACAGCAGCCTTTCTGATCGAGTAAACTGTGTCCCATAGCCACGAAAGACAAAGATCTCCTAGCTGTTTGTCGAAAAATTCAACGCCCAGCTGTTCCGCAAGTAGCGGAACGTAGTCAATGATGGCCATTCTCACCCTCCAATTAGCATCTTTGGCAAGTTCAGTGATTGCAGGTAGCAGGTTCTCAGAGAGAAGGTCTATACCGACAACTTCGTTGACTACCTTAAGTTTCGCGATAATATTCAAGCGCACATCGGGATATTCATCTCTCAACATGTTGAGCAGAATAGGAATTAAAGTTTCGATAGCGTCCTGCTTAGGGACGAGTGGCGCCAAGTTGGTGATTTCAGACGCAAGAGAAGCCCTCACCATTTCGCTTTCGTCCATACTCAAGTTTTGTACTACCGGTAGCACCTTTTTCAAAACTACTTGTGGGTCCCCAAGAAGCTTAGCAAATCCTGGTAGCTGTTTCGCCACCCCTTTCCTGACATCGCTTTCGTTATCTTCGCACAGAGCCAAGAATGGCCCGGAGAGTTCGTCGATGTATCGAGGCGTGGCGATGAACTGATGCGCTAGCTCCTCGAAATGCTCCGCAGCCATGTAACGCACTCTCCAAGACTCATCACCAATCAGTTGGATTGCTGATCTCAAAAGGTCCTTGGAGTGTGTGGTATCATGTTTCTTACTGAAGAACTTCAAGATGGAAATCAAAACGTCGACTGCCAAAAATTTCACCGAATCCTGGCCATCCGTCATAATTTTTTGAAACATACTGGAGATGTAGTCCCAATCATCGGATGTAGACAAGTCCGGGTTTTGAGTGAGAAGATCAATCAATACGGGCAAATTTTTCCCTGCCGCTCGTCTAACCATTGGGGTATCGTCTTGAACCAGTTGCAAGTACAAGGCCAACAGCTCTTTCCGGAACTTGTCGTCTTTGACTCTTACCAAAACTGCCCTAAACAGGCCACAAGACGACACTTTGGATGAGAACCAGTCGGCGGTGGCCAGGTGCTCAATCAACGGGATGAAATCATGGAACAATTGGTCTTCCGAAAGTTCTTGCGCCACATTGTTGAGCGATTCCACAGCTTTATCCCGAACCAACGTTTCTTCGGTGGATGCCAAAATTTCCAAAGCCGGAAGAAGTAATGTTGCGAATTTGGACCCACCGATAAAAGGTACAAATTTCCCCAATTGTTCAGCCAAGACGTTAAAAATTTCATCCTCGTCATCCTGAGCCACCTCACTCAAAAATGGGATCAACTCATCACGAGCTCTTTGAGGTCCCAATGCTACGGCAATAGTATCCAACTTTTTCATAGCTTCGACGCGGTTGCCAATGTCGTCATGTTTCAATCCGTCCATCAACAGAGCCAGCGGATACAAATCCTCTCCTTCTTGTGGCCCGTTCCCACTGTCTGAAATGTCATTTTCGGTAACATCAGCATTTTTGCTGCTTTTAACTTCCGGTTCACTCATATCACTGTTCTTGTTGCTTGTATCTTTATTGTTACCGCCCATAAGTCGACGAAAAATTGACCAAAACTCACGGCAAAAAGCTCAGTATACAGATCCCAAGCTGGACAACTAGCAGAACAACGGTTTTGGCTGTAAATAGGGCCCACTTTTAGGTCTTGAACGAACAAATAGGTTTTGGATTGATTTGGTCGATGCTTCAACTTTTCCGTGAGCTCTGGAATTTAAAGGGGAGAGAAACATGCAACAAAATTCGAGAGTGGCCGGGTAATAAATTACGGTTCCTAGTTCGAATCTTCTAAGACGCATTTTAAATTCGATTTTTCGAAAACCGGTTCCACCAGCTTTAGATGCTCATCAAGATATTCAAAAGAGTTACCAAACGCCTGAGAAGAGCTGGGATCTTCCTAGCCAGCTGGCTGATGGTGCCTGATTTTTTGAGCACGAAGAGCAGAACCAAAACGACGACTGGCGCGATTTTTTTGTTTAGCAGGTTCCGCGACAGACTTGTTAACGTATTTTGGAAACGCACAAGGCGCGGAAGCGAAAACAGCTGCGTCTGTGGCTTTTTTCTGGGTTTTAAAATGTTGTTGTGTGCAGCAGCAGGTTGAGGCTTCGTTTCCGGGGTGTGATGACTGTGAAATTTCTCGTCAACCTTTTTGGTGTGCGGTGTCTTACTTTTGCGACGCCCTGGCGATTTTGACGAGTGTGAAAGCCCGGGGTTTTTTTTCTCGGCGAGTGTGTCTAGTTCTTGGATTATGCGATTCTCAAATGTGTCTCCTGAAGATGTTTCTCGTTGCAAAGCGACTCGAAGCGTTGGAGTCTCATCACATAGAATCGTGAACAGAGCTTTGAGCGATCGACACTGCAAACCACGACCTTGCAGAGAGATCAGGTAGAACATAACGAGGTTTCGCAGCTGGCGCGTTTCTTGAATAGTCTTGACAACGCTGCTGACATTCATTATAGTTTTTTTGACCAGTTCGGCCAGTTGCTTCATTGATGTTACTGAATTCTCTTGCTCTGCGATTTTATAAGAGCATTTGAGATATGCCAATAAGCCCGCAATGAGCTCGGTGGGCGGCTTACCAGTCAGTTTTTGTTCAGTTGCAGAAAACTCGGTTTGGGCAAAATTGATGCGGAGAACCTTCATTACGCTAGTGCCCAATACATGGAAGTCAACCTCCTGGCAAGCACCCACAAAGAGTTTCCATATTTCGTAATTTACACTTAAAACCTCGGGACTCAAAAGTCCGCGATTTAGCATGCCCTCCAAGCATTGCTTGTGATCTCCCTTGATAAAGTCGTTCAAGCATGCTGAATATGCTTCTGAGGTCACATCACCTTTCATAGAATTGTCCCCTGATTCAAACGCTGTATCGTTCAAAAGCTCTTCTATCGTTGTCCGACGAGCTGTAGCAGTCTCTGCTTCCATTGTTAAATGCACTTCTAAACAGCTCACAGAACAGATCTGTAGGCCAACAATCTGCAACACTCAATGAATAGTAGCAAACAAAATAAAGTTAGCAGAGTTTCAAAGCGACTAGACCTTCACTGGACACCTAGCCAACGCTTCTTTTCATCAGGTTTTTCAAGATCTAAGAAATAGGTCATCTCAGTTCGCCTTGAAAATACTAATTCACTACCACCGAATGGACTCCCAAAAAAAAATGATATTTAAAAACTTCTCGTTCGCCTTGTAGCTACCTAATGTCCACTTATAAATCCCTTATATACATACTGGAAATGTTTTAGCGCTTTTTCATCCAGTGAGTCTTTCAATAGCCCGAAAGAGTCCTTCAAACTTCTAGCCATTTATCGTTGCTAATGTCTTCAATAGAGGGCCTTTTACTGACACATCTGTTCAAGATCTTGCGTATGAGGGTGACACAGTCGTCACTCACATGTCGACCGGAATTTATCCTCAAGTCGGCATCTAGAATCTCATCAATGTTGTAAAAAGGATTCTCTTTGAAGATAATGGTATAGAGCAGGATTCCGACGGCCCATATATCCTGGGGTTTGCCCTCGTAAGGCTCCCCTCCTAGAACTTCTGGAGCGGCGTAATCGATAGTGCCCACGAAAACGTCAAAGGGCCCACTTTTGATGTAAGCCGCGGATCCAAAATCCACAATTTTCACGAATCCGTTACTTTCCACAATTACGTTCTCGTCCTTGATATCTCGGTGCACAATTCCGTTATCGTGCAGATGCTTTATGCCAGACACAATCTGCTTAAAGATCAGTCTCGCTTCATGCTCAGTCATGTCCGTTTTCAGCTCGATCAAGTCAAACAAGTCAATGGACCCACTTAGCCCATGAACAGGCGTTTCAATATAATAGTATTCGTCGTCCTCGAAAAAATCCAGAAGCTTCAGAATGTTTTCGTGCGGCTTGGCATTCAATGTCGCCATGATCTGTATTTCGGAAGGTATGGTGCCCAATTTTCGGTCTCGTACCCAAGTGTCTACCAAAATTCTCTCTTTGAAGATCAACTTGATTACCACAATGTAATTCTCCTTCTTATGCATACACAAATCCACTTTTCCGTACGCGCCCTCTCCCATTTTTTGCAATACTGCAAAGTCAGAGAATTTCTTTACGTGTTTTAGACTCCCAATGTTAGTCGCTGGCTCGGTAAGAAATGTCTCTTTGGGAGTGGTGAGGTTGCCCCTTCGAGCAGCCTCCTTTTCTAACGACTCTGTCATTGGACTATCATCTCGAGATGGATTGGACGTCAATGACAAGATCAAATCCTCGTTTAACTTGAAATTCGTATCTTTCAAGAAGAGCGACTTATCTTGTCCATAGCTTTTCGTGATGTCCAACTTGGACTGAATCTCGTCATTTAATTGCTTCATTTCCAACTTCCCCGCATTGTCATCCATTGAATCGTCTGTAGGCGTGTCGGGAGAATCGGCAATATTTTCTTCTGATTGGCCACTATGGTTTTCAAAAGACCCCACTGTGCTCCCGTCAAGTTTGAGGCTATCCTTGAGATTGGGCAGCTCGTCCACATGCAATCTCCCATTAGGAGTTTTTAGAGAACTTCTTGAAGTAGACCCGCTACCAACAAGTGCTAGCTCACTTTCCTTAAGCATCGGTAGCTGCGACGGAGTAGTTGTGTAGTTTTCGAACACTACATCTCTGGAGTGTGTGATCCACAGTAATGACGTCGTGCGGTTTATGACCCTAAGCTGAATATCGACCTTCAGTGAAGATCCGTCTCTATGTATAGCGTCGATCCCAATCGAGTTGAAAAAACTCTCCTCTTTGGAATTCATCTCGGCTCGGATTTTTCTGAAGAAATGCTCCGTGAGAACTAGTCCTCTGTTAGTGGGAGATGTTATGTCCAAATGGGGGTATTTGGCACTGATAAAGTCTATCATTTCTCGAAAGGGAGGAACGATGATAGACATGTTTTGTCCGACCAATTGAGAAGCATGCAATCCAAACATATTCTTTGCAATCGACTTGTTGAAGCTCACCAAAGTAAAATCTTTAGAGTCAATGAAGAACATACCTGCTTGATAAGGTAAACTATGGATCTTGAGCTTCATTTCATTTTCCAAAATTGATGAAGATATGGCGCAAGGAATATTATAGTTAAGATGGTTGAGAGTAAAATAGCGTACTTCATCAATTGCATGCGAAACCTTAATCGGTGCAGGTAAAAGGTCGCCATCTTTAACCTGTATGGTTCCGTCTTGGACATCCATCAAAAGTTTCTTGAGTGAATGACTCAAGTCGCCAATGTCATGAATCTCGTCAGGAAACTTCACACTCTTTTTGGGCCCTTTTCCACCAACAGCGCTTTGCTGCTCTTTGCTGTCTGATTTTTGTTTTGTACCCTTTAAACCAGCACCGCCAGCGATATGAACCACAGAGAAATCATCCAAGTTCAGAAGGACGTCCATGAAATCACAGGGAACTTTTTCAAAAACACAGAATATAAGACCGTTCCTCTTCTTCGCCCAAATCGATGACCAGACCAGTTCGGAAGATGACTCACCCGGCTGAATAATAGCCACAATCTCTCCCGTGAAAACCTGTTCCTGATTCTCGCTAGCCATAATTTTGTTCAAAACAAAATTACGGCTGTCGCTGTGAATCAGATCAAGCAGTGTGAGAGCTCGCAGGGCATTCTGAGATATCCCGAAGGTCAGGCAAGCAAGATCATTTGCAGACTTGAACTGCCACGGAAACTGCTGTAAACAGGTGAAAATTGCCTGTGGAGATGAGTTCTTGCTGGAAAAAGAGGTGTGTATAAGCCTGTTATTCATGGACGTGCTCCTTAGACTTACGAATGAGGAATCATCAGTGGATGCGTTATCTGCATCCGGGTGAAGAACTTTTTCCGCCTCTTCTGCATATTCTGAAGCATTCGACTTTTCAAAAAACGGCTGTGCTAAACTCTCCAGTAAATTTCTTTTTAGAGTGTTTTCATGGTTAACTGCTCTTTCGGCAGAATCATGAGCGTTCTTATCGTCTTGATCAACATCTAGAGAAAGCTTATTGAAGTTCAAAAGTGATATCATGTGAAGGTCCGAAGCTTTTTCAGTACTGTTGTTTTCTAACGCGTCATTGAGTAAAGACAGTAGACTTTTTAACTCGTTTTTGGCATCAAGAAAGGAATCGTCGTGAAGAAATCCATGCCTCATTGAAGCCGAAATATCTTCGGAATCGGGCTGAAAAGCGCCATCCACAGAATTTCTCTTACTTTGTTCAATCTTAGATGTATGGAGCCACGGTTCACGCGGCGGCAGTGCCTTGTAAGCAGTAGAAGGCCTTGATGCGAGAGCCGAAGGCTGAAAAGGCCCAGTGCGTCTTCCAGAGGGCCGAAGAGAGCCAGAAGAGCCTTTTGCACTTGAAACCAGAGCCGTCAGAGCGGCAGAAGACGCATTTCTCAGTCTTGTCGTCGAAAGTGGTGTCAAACCATCCTGACTGTAACTTCTGGGGATATTAGGCCTGCGTGGAGACTCGATGCCATGCTTGGATACCCAATTAAACTCCTGATGACTTCCACTAGGTGTTTGGACACGAATATGATTATCCGTGTGGTGCTCGAGTAATAAGGCGGGGTTGCGGATCATAATCTCCAATGAACGCTTCAAGATTCGCAGTCTGACCGCAAGGGAGTTTGGTGAAAGAGGATTATACGAGTATGCATGCGTAGAGTCGTTGGGAAATGTCAAAAACTCTTTAAAGTCTATTTCGCTCGCAGAAAGTGAACATGAATCGTCAGCCATGGGTGTTGGACTTCTTGCGCCTATTGCACGTGCTTTTGGACTCACGGGTCTGCTGTTACCATCAGTAGTTGCACTAGTTATCTCTTCGTCTTCAGTATTTGCCTCCTGCGGTTTTTCAATCGAACTCGATGACTTTTCTGTATGCTCATCTTCTCTTGTCTGTTTCCCCATATATAGCTTTTCTTTGAGTGCTTCAAACCGGTGTTTGCTGTGAGGCGCACCAATGTACGGCATGTAACGCTACCACAACACCCAGTCTCTGGATTCAAGTATGTAAACCAGTGTAATGTTCACCGGGGCCAGGTTCTTTAACTTTCAAGCTCTTTGGATTCCTTATCAAGGATGATGAGGTCAATGAACCAAACAACGCAGTAAAATAGAGGAACTTGCCGTTTAAAGACTATTTTGAAAGGAAAGGTGAAGTTATAGACACTTTCAGCCACGAGGACACCAATTCCGTGCGTTTCGGAAACAAGTTGATCGTCGAGATGCGTTGTTTCTCTTGAGTATTGATTGAAAACAAGATTGAAGTTTTCGTCGAAGGGAAAGACGTCAGTGCCAGGTAAAAGTGATCGAATTTGATGATCAAAGTTCTGGGTTACTGACTCGTGCTAAATCCTCCAGACGGGTCAAGGAAACGGTTTAATGGCAAGGAAGCCCTCTGTATGATGGGTTTTGGTGCATTTCGTGCCGGGTTTTGGCCAAATGTGGATTACGAGAGTCAACAAATGTGAAACTTGCAAGTAGTAGTTATTGGGAAACATTATATGCGGGGAGAGCCAAAACCAGAAGGTAAGTTGGGAATGGGGATGTGAAGATGTGGATTCAAGGTATAGAAGACTAAAGTAAATATTGTATGGCCGTTGGTTTCGTGAGCTTCTAAAAATCAACTAGTGTAGTAACGTCAGATTAGGTAGGCCACGTGACATGATGCTTTTTGTTAGGTGCACACTTAAAAACGAATAGAATTGGGTGTCCAAGAAGACAATTCGTAGTTCATAGAAAGCTGGTGGAGTCGGAGAGTAAACTCAAGAGGGATAGATACTAGCTATGAGAGTTGACGCGCACTTCTATAAAATCTAATCGTGAGAAATGACAAAATTGCAAAGCTTCACAGCATTTTTAATGTTAGTAAATCGACCAGTTCCAGCCCGAGCGTCCCATTCTCTGAACGGGTAAAGCTGATTAGTGTAACTTGAACTGAATGAAACTGTGAAAGAGATAGATAGATATTTCGAGTAATTCCGTATACATTGAATGTAAATCATCATCACGTGACAGAAGATGTAATTTGCATGCATTAACGCAGGGCTCATCTATGCAAGCCATCGCTGCAACGGTGGTCGCGTTAAAAATTCAATAGCAGGGTACACATCACTGATAGCTTTATTTCGGTTTACATTTGGTAGGTTTTTCTTCTGATAAGCATGAAAAAGTGTGTTCCACAGTAAAGTGAACGCTGAGTTTCTACTTAGATATGAGCCCTAATTGTATTGAAACGTTTCGTGACGTTTTGAAACTACGGTTTGAAAATCGAGTTTTCTATACAGGAAAATGGGCTTTAGCGAAACGAGCTACGGTAAAGAATTGCCTCTGTTATGCACGACAAACGTCGGCCCTAGTTCGACCTTCGAGAACCCATTTCGACTATCTCTAAATCCACCAAGCACGCATCTGAAGCGCGTCATAAAGCCTTTCAGGAAAACTGCTCGTTCTACATCAAGTCCGCCAAGTAGTTGTAATACAAACTCGCTGACCTATCTTAACCACATCGACTCTTCTTACTGCTGTCAGAACAGCTCATCTCATCTCATCTCATCTCATCTGTTGTGACAGGCTGTTTCATACTCAATTTACTCGAACGCACGGTGTAGATTACCCCAGTTTGAGACGTACTAGAAAAAGACGTACAAACAGCTCGAAAGGGGATCTATTACCCAATAGGGCAACAGAGCGGCAAAATTCGTTTTTGTGTCATATCCTAGATTTGCGGAGTATATAAAGCGTCCAAATCTCGCCTAAGGCCAAACATTCTTTCTCTCTTCTCGTCACCACTACTCTTCCCTGTGGCAAATCAGTGCTTTTATCATCAGTAGGTGGATAGATAGTTTTAAGCATAACTAGATAACTGTATAACTGTATAACTGTATTTAAGGCAAAATGAGTTTCACCGGGTCGTTAATCTTGAGCGGTATTGGCGGCTTGATGTATAAATATGGTGGCCAACAGGCAGTCAAAGAGGAGGATCTACCTGTAGGGACACGTGGGCTAACTCTTGGCTTCATTCAGGTGAGGATCAAGGTTGTGAAAGAACGCTGGGGAAGAGTGTCAACCAATTTTTGGAACACGTTGGTGCGCAGTGGCGGTTATAAATACCCATTTCGAGTAAGTTAAGAGACATTGCTTTATTTTGCGCGGTTGTTTTTTTTTTGTTGTTGCGAATACTAACGGAATGGAACTTTCTTCCATAGGGCGTTTCTGAAATGTTTAGGTCAAGTATATACGTCTACCATTGGGGTAGAGCTTTTGCGTTTTACGTTGCATTGTACTTGACCGTGGCTTTTGTTTACTTCATCACTATTTTACCTGTGTATTTGGCACTTTTGGCATTCTGCGGACCCATTGGCTTCGCTATCGCCTATTTGCATTTCCTGTTACACTCCAATATGCTAACTATGCTGGTGGTCCGGTTCACACAATTGAACAATACCTTGTTTGATCTGACGTTGACCCACAATGGGAAAGACGTCTTTGTCAAACGGGCCCTTGATAGTCCAACATTACCCATCAGATACTACATCCCTATGAACACGTACTATTTCTGGTTCAATCACTTGCCATGGAGACTAACAGTGCACTTCATTCAATTCATTGCGCTACTGACGCTCTTGCTCATTTCCCTCATTCCAATTTTGGGACCCATCACCTTCAACGCGCTTATCTCGCCATTTATTGCCAGACTTTATTTCTCGAGGTTTTTACGTCTCAAGAAATTGGACAACAAACGTAGGGACGATGAGTTTTATTTCAATCTGGGTTTGTACATTTCCTTTGGATTCGTGGCAGGTCAATTAGAAATAATTCCATTCGTGTCTGGCTTAATCTATTCCTCCAATAGTGTCGGAGGTGGGCTCTGTGCGATTGCTGCACTTGACGCCGAAGTTGCCGCTCCAGCTATTTCCAATCAAAATGGCACCACTGGTGAAGTTCGTGAACCCACTGTTGCATGAATAGTTTCAGAGAATAGATCGATTTTTTGCATTGGTTTCCTCTCTCCTTTTTTCGCATAAGCTAAATCTCGCATCTAACTTTAATACCTATGATTTGCTTAGTTCGACACTATCGTCGCGCTTCTTGTTTACTTTGTGTCGCGTCAATGGTGTCAGCAATCCACAGGCGTTTGAAAACTATAAAAAGGCGGTGCTATTTATGACATACGTATTTCAGATGAGAGACAAGCAGCCACATAACGAGATGACCTCCATTATGCTACCAATGGCTTACCGTAATGACGATCCACATTGTCAAGCAAAGCAGTCTATCATCAGTAATGTTCGTCTTTTTCTGTTGGCAAAATGGGAAACGTGGAGTAGCCGAATAAACGTGGCAGCGGAGAGTTTCCTCAACAATCTCTTTGAAGCACGGTTTTGGCTATACCCTCTTCAAGTATGAATTACTCACTGAAAAACCCAAAAAAATCACCAAGACTAACAAACTGTTGCATCTTCATCTTAGGGGTTCGGTTATGCAATGTGGACGAACCTCTTTTGGAGAGAAATGACCTTGATATTCTTGACGTATTTGTCAAAGTTGATTTTGGTATCGATCGTCTACTATCTGCTTCTGTTTCCCTTTGTACTTGGTATCAACACCGTAATGTGGGGACCATTGGGAATAACTGTGGCAGTTGTTCACTCGATCTTACAAGTCAATATGTACGCGTCTACCTTGACCCGACTTCACAGTGCCAAATACGCGCCGTTAGTCATGGAGAGACTCACAAGCGTCAAAACTCAAAGCAATCCGGCTGTTGTTGTGCACCCCAATTCGGTGTCTACTGCGCAACAAACTATAAGCGTAAAACCCAAAAGGCACTTGGCCAAAGCAGCTTTCAGTTTTATGGTCAAGTTGGGTTTCAAAATGACTTACTTCACATCGCTATTCTTTCTGTCCCTAGTACCTATCGTTGGCATTCTTCTGGTCAGAATTTCACGTTCTGGCACAATTGGATACCTTTACTCGGTCCCATTTTTAGCCGCACAGAGGCCACGACCTCTAAAAAAAGGTGAAACTTTTTACCAAGACCTGGGTAAGAACATTGCATTTGGTGTCGTTAGCGGAATTCTGGAATTATTGCCAGTTTTGTCTGGCCTGTGTATCGCGACTAATTACGTTGGTCGCGGTCTATGGATTTTGGATGAAAGAGTGTTCAATTCCATCCATGAGTTTCACCGACGTAGCTTGTAGCCTCCATTTAAGAGGCATTGACTGAACAGTGGTGAAGGTAGAGATAGAATGTTTACGCCCGTCTATACAAGATCACTTCATACCTTCCCGACACCTTTGACGCATTCAAGTTTTTGTGATAGAAATAAGAGATCTACCCGCTAGAAAGCTCACAAAGAACGCACAATCCATTCGTACCATTACCGACTCTTACTAAAGCAGAGATGACTGAAACCTACCCTCCTGTAGCGCTCAATTTGCGCCATAAAACCTCTCAGCCTATCGAACAACCTAATACACCAAAAAGTTACGTTACAGGTGAAAAATTCAGTTCTCTGCTCGCAGAGAAATTAATACGTCGTGCCGGATATGTTGGAAGTAACTTTTTGACAGACCTCTTCGTGGACCAAACTTACTTCTATCCAATAATGGTAAGTTTTGAATTTTTTGGTATTCTCGATACTACGTTAACAACTTACTAACCGCCAACTGCTCTTGCGTTTCCATTCAGGGATTTTTCAAGTTTTTAGTGACCCCTTCATTCTGGCTTTACAGCCTGGTTTTAGCATTTTGCTTTGCTTGTATCTTCGTCACAGTTGCTGCTTTGTACTATTTCTTCCTTGTTCCCATTTTGCTAGCCTGGGCAGTGACAACATTGGGACCCATTGGCTTCATAATAGTACACGTCCAATGGTTGTTGCAATCTAACGCCATTGCTGTCTCGCTCACAAATATTTTGATATCGCCGGTGTTTTCCAACAGCATATTTGATGCTGCATTAACCAAGATGGGACATTCTGACTTTTTAGAGAGCGCTAAAAAAGTACTAATAGCACCATTGAAAAAACTCACATGGAAATCTCCTGAATTTTGGTTTGTGGTTGTTCCCAGTAAAATTGGGAGTCTAAAACTCAAAGTCTTCTCAAGCGTTTTTCTGAGCGTTATTTCGCTGATACCCATTATTGGGCCTACCATAGCCAACCAATTGCTGAGTCCGAAGAGAGGCTTTTCTTATAACCGAAGACTGTTTGAACTTAAAAGCCTGAACGGCTCCCAAATTAAAGACAAATTTTATGAGCATTTGGGACAGTACACGGCTTTTGGCGTCATGGCAGGCTTACTTGAATTGATACCAGTGATGTCAATTCTTACCATACCGAGTAATATCATAGCAGGTGCGCTTTGGGCTTCCGACGAGTTAAAGAAAAATCAAACTTAGGGTCTAGATTTCTCAATATACGATATTCTATCAATACAGAACCACACTGTCTACACAGCCAAAGCCTGCGGCCACACCACCTTCATCGGACGTACTGGATTTGGACCTCAATAACCATCCTGCATATTCATTGAAGTAAAGCTGTTTGTCATCAAAAAGGACCCAGCCAAATATTCCTAGTTCGCTCAAAATAGGTTCTCGCAAATTTTCATTGCCTCTGATTACAATGTTTTGAGTCGTAGGCTCTGGTTTGATGAGTTCCATCAAGATGTAACCACTCCAATCTCGTTCATCGATGCTTTTCAAGAAAACCGGAATCTCAGATTTATAGATATTATTTCCACCTCCTTCTCTCTGTGGTTTTAAGACGAAACGCCCTGGCGATGCTAGAGCCATCTTCTTGGCTTGTTTTCCTAACTCTGAATCGTCCAATGGGTACAATTTCACGAATGAAGTGGCAAGTTTCTCGCGGTCATTATCATTAGGAATGAATTGCTTCAAAATTGCATCTTCGGTTAAAATCTGCTGGATTTTTTTGACTCCAGCTAGCTGCGTCAATAAGTTTGGTGCCTTTATAGCGTAGCTTGTTTCCAAAACTAATCTATTTTCCCAGTCCTGGGCGCATGTAAAGTCCTGGGGAGAGTATCCAGCTCTGAAATACACCAAGGATATTTCTTCTCCTGTGGCCTTATAGTACAGTCTTTTGGTGGCAGCATCAATTGTTGTTTTGATGCCAATTTCATGTATAGTCAAACGCACAGACTTGATCTTATGTTTCTGGAAAAGCTCATATTCCAAGGCCCGCTGATCAAACACATTCCGTTCACCTTTTTGAACTAAAAAGGCCACTAATGTGTGCGTTTCTGCGGTCTTGAATTTTTTTACCGCTTCTGCAATACCATTGGATAACAAAGCAGTAGAATCGGACACTGGAATTTCTTGCTGATAAAATGGCGCGCCAGTGTCAAGGGAATATTTGCCTGTTTCGTTCAAAAATCTGTGAAGTTGCCCTACTTTTGTTGACAGCCCACCAAAAGACACCGACACTGTATTAAACTCGACTTGTTTAGCCAAATACGTTTCAGCATCCAGCAAATAGTCTGATCTAAACAGTCCAAGTGCTAATGGTTGAGAAATACCTCTCTTTTTCGCGTCCAAGTACAAATTCCACAGCTTTCCCGTGAATTCAGGATCAAATTCAGCTAGCTCGCCAATCCGCTTACTGAGCCAGCCGTCTTGGTCCTGAGAAATCTTGGCATAAAGTTCATTGTACAGCGTTTGGACCGAAATTGCCTGCTCGAAACTTTGGCGAGGAAAAGGTGTTGGATACAGAGTGGTTGGGGCTAACTGACCCTGGGAAATGTTGAAGTTTGGTGGATACATTGCCAAACCATTGGTCAGACCCCATTGGCTAACTTCTGGCATCAATACAGACTCAATTTCATCCGGGGAAATTTCAGGAAAAGCAGGGTACTTACCGCTAGAGTTGGACATTACTTGAAATGGGCTTTTGAAGCACAAAAGATGCCAAACCGTTGGCTTATGAAGTAGGAAGAACAGGATGTGGATAACCTTTCTCGAGGCTGACATATAAAAAGTGTTGATGTCATCAATGACGAATACCTTACAAATATTATATTACTTGCAGATAGGTAAATGGTGAACCTTCTAAACACCGATGTCACTATAACTTATCGGACCAGAATAGATACCTGTTTAAAGCTGTGAAATATGTTCTATTTTGCGACATTAGGACTTCAATATAGAATAACGGGTTGAAATATAATTTAACCTTTTTTCAGCGTATTAGAGATTGGTAATGCTCTCAAACAGTATATCCAAAAAAAATGCGAATTTTCCAGACATCTATGTTTTAAAGTGACGCAGTGCAATCCAAAAAATGCCTATCGCTTTAAGACGTCTTGATTTTAATTTAAGGATATCTATTTGAATCTCTTTGGTGATTCGTTGCCCGTATAAAATTGAAAAAAGAACTACTGGGAAGTAAGCTGTCATTCAAAGATTAAGAGTATGACACACCGGCAACTACTGCTGCAGCTATTCTCAAATCGACTCTAGAGAGGTAGAAAGGGCTCTCTGAAGGGCACATCTAAAATAGTGTTGTTTTGGACTACAAGGGATATTGATCAAATTAGTTGATTTCGGTGGGTTAGTTTAACGTCGAATAATAGTCCGAAAAACTGTTGCGAAAAGCTGTAGCGAATATTACATTTAGGCCCCACATATCTCAGAATATTACGCAGTATACTAGAAATTGAATTATTTCCTTAAAAGCGCGGATACTTAGCGTCGGCGACAGATTGTAGATAAGTGCAAGTGCGGTATTACCTTTGACATTGGGTTACGTCCTGCTGCTTTGCCTCCAAATACAGTCAACCAACACGCCCGATCCGCACTCAAAGAGTTTGCAGTTTGAAGTTCCCACATGACAGATTTGAACAGCGTTTTTGATGTACAACCTAGGATAAATACTTACATTTATGTATATTTTATTATCACGAATACTGGGCCACTACCACCAAGGGCTGATAACCACGATCACACTCAAGTAGAATTGTGAGTCGTTTATTTTTGAAGAGAAACGCACGCTCCTTTGCGACGACAGTTGTCGATTGCATGGGACGATGATTTGCTGGATTTTAAGATGCCACTAAAAACTGTCAAAAATTCCCCTAATCCCATGTTACCGCAAGTTCTACCACCACCTCTATGAGTTTCTTGTTACCGATACGTCTGAATTCTAAGCCTCGTCCTGGAATCATAGTTTACTGTCAAAGTCGTCTTCTAAACCACCACAGGGCAATCAAGGCTGGGGTTCGATCGGATTCCCTAGAACCGCCACATTGTCTTCACTCGAATTAACGAAAGCTGTAGGTCCACCTTGACAATTGAAACCGTCTTTGTAAATGGACGAGGTGCGGAATAAAGAATCCAGTATCTAAAATCACATCAACAAAATTCTACTGGACTCAAAGAAGCGAAATGGTATATCCATATCCACCTTTTCTCAACCTTTCGGATCTCGATGGCAGCACGTCTTATCGCAAGAGCAGCTTACAATCATTATCTTATCCTTTTATTAAAACCGTTATTAAAGTAAAAATCAACGTATTAGCTCTCAACAACTAAGCAGCAGCTTCCCATGAATTCCACTGCCATATGTTGTTCTCCGTGGTGTCTTGAGCGGTAACGTCTTTTGAAATCTCTTTTTTGATATCATCACCAGGGACTGTAAAATAAAGGTCCTCTGGTGAGTCAAGCTTGATCTTTTTAGAATCACTCATTATTGTCGTTGATGCGGGTGATATATTTGGGCTGCTATCCAAGTCAGCCGCCTTTCTTTTCAAGCCACCACTTTCAAGTTCAACCTTCTTTACATCGAATGAGAAATCAGATATATGCGAAGAGCCGTAAACGTCCTTGAAAACGCTGAAAACATCATCAAGTTTTATCGCAAAGGGATTACTCTTATAAAAAGATAGCGCTGGATTTGGTGCGAACATGATTTTGTTATCTTTGATGGATACGTTAGCGTAGTCCTGTTCTTTCCCCCACAAAGCAGAAGTTTTGGCCGTCTTCTTCTTTCCTGCACCATTAACCTGTTCTACAACCTCCCGTGGGATAGGATTCAAGAGCTCAATCAAATCTTCGCTAACACCTAGGCAATCACCCAGTGAGCTCAAAAATAAATCTGCCGGCGAATAGCGAAGAATGTCTTGCCTGCGTTTGAACCTCGAGATAATCTCGTTTTTGCGAATCACCATTCTTTTAGAATTGTCCTCATCCTCTTTGTATGGAAAGTTAACTGGGGCAGGATTGGGTTGCGCACCAACAGCAAGAGATTTCGGCGAAGGACTAGCATTGTTGCTAGCAATCTTGTTCACCATAGGTGATAAGCTTGTCGTTACAGCCGCTGCCATGTTGGGCGTATTGCCTCTGCTGGAGTTAGAAATTCCACCCCCGATAGCCAAATTAGGGATGTCGCTAGAAATCGTGGCAGCAGGTACCGGTGTCGAGACTTGTTTCATAGCCATCTTTTTCCTCATTTGAGCCTGCTTCTTTGCCGGCGATAAACCAGTTTGTTGGGGTGACGATTTAGCATTTAGAAACTCAGGAGAGTTGAGGAACTCCATGCCAGCGGAGCCTGAGCGAATATTCTCCGGTGCGGTCTGAGGCGGCAAGTTGGGATCCGCATCCATTCCATTCCCGCTAACAGGCCTTGACCAGTTATTCACCTGTGCAGTGGGTTGACTCTTCTGCTGTTGCTGTTGTCTCATCTGCATTTGCTGCTGGATCTGCTGAAAAGAGCCCTGGATACGCTGCTGATTGAAGGTTGGATCCGCAGGGTTTACAGGCAGCGGTTGGTTCTCTAGTTGCTGTTGCTGGGGCTGCTGTTGTGGCTGTGCTTGAGGTTGCTGCTGCTGCTGCTGCTGCTGTTGTTGTTGCCTTGCAGCGATAATTTGCTGGTGCCTTCTCAAAACCTGATCCTTGATAAACTCATAGTACTTTTGGTAGCGGAAGATCACCTTATCAACTACCTCAGGCGGTACGATGAAGACCCCTCTTGAAGCGTGCTCAGTTATTTCTCTTGCCAGCATTCTTATTTGAAGTAACTGCCTCACGTTTTCTTCATTCCTAGTTATCATGTAGAGAGTAGGTATGAAGCTGTCGACATTTGTGAACAGTTGACGATTTAACTGAAGCTTATTTCTGATCGACTGCTTCTGTTCTTGGGAAATCTGATTTGTGATGTTCGATAACCTTAGGTGAGACTTCTGAATCTCGGCAGAAATTCTGCGAAGCACCATCAGATCTTGCTCTGTTGGACGAGGTAAAGAAAACCTTGGCTGCTGTGGGCCTTGAGGCGCAGCCGTTGGTACATGGGGTGTAGAATTAGGGGTTCCTGATGCTTGAGCATTTGAAACAGGGCCAACATCATTGAAGTTATTATTCGTGTTGGAAACGCTAGTACCCCCATATGGCCTTCCCTGTGCTATATTTGCCGGGACTGGGGCATTGTTACTAGCTCCATTTGATGAAAACTGACTCATTTGAGGGACAGGTGCGGCTTCCATTGGCGGCGGCGCAGCCTGCTGTTGGGGAGCGGCATTTGCGTTATTCATTTGATTTCTTGCAGCTTGGAGTTTTTTCAAAGCCATCTGGTTGATGTACTTTTTTATATAAACAGCCTGCTGCTGGGGGGTTAGCACTGACGGAAGTCTATTTGTCCTCTGTAAGTCTGCAATCAGTTTCTTGCCGTTCTCATATAAAGCTTTCTGTTCAGCTGGCGTGAAGATTTGATTCAACCTGTTGAGTACGTTAGGTACTTCTTGAGCCGGCTGTTGTTGAGCTTGATTCATTCGCATCGGCTGTGACTGAGCTTGATTCATCTGCATTTGCTGTTGCAGTGGGGGCTGCTGAGGATGCGATTGCTGTTGTTGCTGTTGCTGCTGCTGCTGCTGCTGCTGCTGCTGCTGCTGTTGTTGTTGTTGTTGCTGCTGCTGAGACTGCTGCAATTGAGATTGCCGCTGCTGAGGGCTATGTTGTTGAATGGTAGTCTGACTCATCATTGGACGTTGATTTTGCGGCAACTGTGCCATACTCGGAGTTTGAGTTGGAGGTCTGGCCTGCTGAGCTCCACGATTGTTGGTGTTCGTTTGCTGAAGCTTAGACTTGAACACAATCTGCTGATGCATCTGGTAAACCTGTTTCGCGATTTGCAAATCTTTTGGGCCCAGTCTTTTCTGCTGTGCAAGTTCCGTAACCTTTTGCCAAGTGTTGACACCAGGTGGTAAGTTCGGGATTCTTTGAAGCAGTTCGCGTGGAATCTCGGCACCTTTCATCTCATTAATTAATTGCTGTTGCTGTGGGGTGAGTTGTGGCCTCACGGGTGCATTAGGAACAGGTCCATTCGGAGCTGCGCCGCTTCGAAGCTGCTGTGCGGCCTGCTGCCTTAATTGAGCCTGTTGATTGAAGAACATCTGAGAATTGATGTTATTGTTGGAGGAGGGGTACTGAGAAGATCTTTGCTGCTGCTGCTGCTGCTGCTGCTGTTGTTGTTGTTGTTGTTGTTGTTGTTGTTGTTGTTGTTGTTGTTGTTGTTGTTGTTGTTGTTGTTGTTGTTGTTGTTGTTGTTGTTGTTGTTGTTGTTGTTGTTGTTGTTGTTGTTGTTGTTGTTGTTGTTGTTGTTGTTGTTGTTGTTGTTGTTGTTGTTGTTGTTGTTGTTGTTGTTGTTGTTGTTGTTGTTGTTGTTGTTGTTGTTGTTGTTGTTGTTGTTGTTGTTGTTGTTGTTGTTGTTGTTGTTGTTGTTGTTGTTGTTGTTGTTGTTGTTGTTGTTGTTGTTGTTGTTGTTGTTGTTGTTGTTGTTGTTGTTGTTGTTGTTGTTGTTGTTGTTGTTGTTGTTGTTGTTGTTGTTGTTGTTGTTGTTGTTGTTGTTGTTGTTGTTGTTGTTGTTGTTGTTGTTGTTGTTGTTGTTGTTGTTGTTGTTGTTGTTGTTGTTGTTGTTGTTGTTGTTGTTGTTGTTGTTGTTGTTGTTGTTGTTGTTGTTGTTGTTGTTGTTGTTGTTGTTGTTGTTGTTGTTGTTGTTGTTGTTGTTGTTGTTGTTGTTGTTGTTGTTGTTGTTGTTGTTGTTGTTGTTGTTGTTGTTGTTGTTGTTGTTGTTGTTGTTGTTGTTGTTGTTGTTGTTGTTGTTGTTGTTGTTGCTGCTGCTGATAGTGCTGTTGTTGTTGCATGGTCGAATTGTTTCGACTGTTTTGAGACTGGGATGCAGCTTTCGCCATGCTCTGTTGCACATTGGCTATCGCCTTCTTGCGTGCAGTATCCATCGCCGCTATTCTCTTGCGTATTGAGTCCAAATACAGATCCTTGGACGTACTACTGGCATATAGACTTTTTTCGAATTGCTCGGCAGTCTTTTTCAGTTTTTCCAAATTGAAATTCCCACGGTCTCCGCCATTGACTCGGCTGATCTGTGCCAAAATTTGAGCGAGTTCTGTAATATACTTGGACCGCTCCTGATTCGACAAAGTCGATCTCCAATCGCTGTCCATCGCTTCCTTCAATAAAAAGGATTTGGTAAGCTAATCGGCAGTCTCTGATTGAATAACCAAAGGGACGTGGACGAGAGAGGGGATCAAAGAATTCCCGAAAAAAACAACAAAAAGGAGGAAAGGAGGGAAACTAGCGCAAAAATCGACTTTTGAACCACTTACAGAGTTCTAGCACTTTTGAAACTATCCCAATAGCCTTAATCTTGAGCTTGAGACAAATTTGTCCAAGTTCGCACCGATTTGACAATTCTCGACTCCTACCTGAAAGCTAGGCCAAAAATCAACCAAATTGAACCGAGAGAAGAGCGGTAAACAAGTTTTTTTGCTGCCACCCTGCTGCGAAGTAGATACACACTAGTTCTACGAAAAATGTTGATTTTGGAGCCTGTAAAGGTAGCCTCCGATAGTTTGAACTGATCAAGGATATGGTAAGATTTCATCATGGGAGAATATTATACATATCGATAGAGTAGATTGTCGAAACTACCTGTACATCACTATAAACGGGAATTAATTAACTGTTAGATTTGGCTCACGTGACTGATGATAAAAATGGTCATTGGACTATCAAAACGAAGAGGGCGTCAAAGTTGATCAATTGTGCTGGATCTGAGCAGGATTATATTGCGTAGATCAACAATACGTACCCTTTCGTTTTCGTTAAATTTTGTCGTCCAACATGTTATGAACCAAAAAAAGTGCAGTTTCCTTTTGAGCATGTGTATCGCATGGCCGGTGCTATGAGATGTCTACTTGTTCTCATCGTAGATGATGTCCTCGAGAATATCGCTCACACGGTTATCCAGTGCTTCGGTGGCTTTCGGATCGTCCTCGCTGATGTGCACGTCGAGAGCCAATTTGTTTTTGGCGAGCTGGAGAATCTTCTCTTCTATCGAGTTCTTCGTGATCAACGTGGTTGCGTGCACAGTCTTAGTCTGGCCAACACGATGTGCACGATCCGCAGCTTGCTTGTCGTCGTGTGGGTTAAAGCTTTGATCAAATATGATCACGTGGTTGGCACATACCAAGTTAATCCCGAAGCCTCCTGCCTTTGTCGACAGGATAAATACCGGGACGTCGTCGTCTTCATAGAATTTGTCAATCAAAGTTTGACGATCGTTGACCTGCGTCGATCCATCCAAACGCAGAAAGTTGATGTTCATCGTGGTTAGCGCCATTTCCAAGATGTCCAGCATCTGCGTGAACAGCGAAAAAATCAGGACTTTTTCCTTCTTGTTTTCAATAATGTCTTTCAGGATCTTTCCCAGAACTTTGACTTTACCCGAATTCATCCATTCATCGTTTTTCAGCTGAAAAGGTCCAAGCGTCTTGGGAAAATTCAAACACAACTTATGCAACTCAAAGTCGGTCATGTAACTCATGTCCTCTTGGATGTAATCTTTGTTACCATTTTCAGCGTAGTCCGGCTCACTCAAAATTGCTTGACTCATTTGATCTATTATGTCATTGGTGTAGATATATCTGAACAGCAATGGGTGCAAGGAGGCTTTTCTCAAGGACATGATCAGATTTTTGGAAATGTTCATTTTGGTTTTCACCACTTTGCCATTTTTCTTGGGTTCTTCATTTGAGTCACTTTCATCGGCTTTTTCGGCGAGCATGCGCTTGTGCTCCAAAACAAGTTGGATTTCGCGATTGTAAATTGCCCTTTGGTCCTCGAACATCTCGCAGTAGTCAACCTTGGTATGCTTGCGAGGCAGATGCTTCAATACTTGATCTTTTTTCCGTCTCAAAATGAATGGCTTCATCATAGTTTTAGCTCTGGCTACGGCTTCTTGTGCTAAGAGCGGGTTATAGTCCTTGTTTGAGTCTGAGGTTCTCGCTCTCTGTCTAAAAACCGCAGATAAATCGTCTTTTTTAGAGATAAAAAGAGAAGGCATGATAAACTCTAGTAGGGACATTAGTTCCTTCAGGTTATTCTGCAGGGGCGTTCCCGTCAAAAGCATTCGGAAGTTGGCCTCAATCTTCATGAGTTTAGAGAACCGTTCTGAAAGCGAGTTCTTGAGCATATGACCCTCATCATAGACAACAACGTTAAACCCACGGTTTTTTAGAAATGAAACGTCGTACTTGCTACCTGAAGCAAGGTTGTATGTGGTCACCACCACATCGTAATGTCCGTCATTGTCTTCTAAAATTTCGCGGAGATCAGCCCGTTCTTGCTGAGATCCATAATAAGGCTCGATCTTCATTTCGGGACAGAATTTGGCAAATTCCCTTAGCCAATTTTCCAGGGTTGAAGACGGTACTACAACCAAATGTGGACCCGGTTCGTTGTTTTGTTTGAGATAAGCTAGGAAAGCTATAACTTGGCAAGTTTTTCCAAGACCCATTTCATCAGCTAAGATGCACGAAAGGTTGTTCCGATAGAGAAGGTTTATCCAGTTAATACCCGTTTGCTGGTAGTCTTTCAGAGATACTTCAGGAGATAAAAGTTTTGGCTTCTGCTTGAAAAATTTCACCGCAGACTGCCTTGGTCGTCCTCTACCACGGCCCGAGGTTCTTGTTCTTCTCCTGGCACTAAATTCTTCGTCATCACTGTCTTGGTAGTCCTCTTCTTCGTCATCTTCAAAATCACTCTCATCGCCCTCTGTCTTAGTCTTCTTCACTTTAGCAACGGGTCCTGTACTATTGCTAGCAGGTGTTTCTGGAGCAGGTGTCTCACTCTCACTTACCTCACTTTCGTCGTCGTCACCGATATCAATGAAGTTGAGCTCTCCACTCTGAATATCTTCCACATTAACACCCCATTTCTGTATTTGAGAAGCAATTGAATCCCCATAAGCCGAGCACTTCTTGATGAGCGAATCGATCGCGTTGTAACCTTTCATGGTTTGAATGACTTTGTCGAGAAGCTTTTCACCATCTTTTTTATTAGGACCTCTTTTGGTTGTCTTCTTTTTCTCTTGCTTCTGTACCTCTTCCTCAGTGACGAAATCAGCCTGGCTAAACTCCGTCAAGTTGCTGTAGGGTCTGTTTTTGACCACCATGCTTGCCTTATCCAGCGATGTATCGGCAAGATCCGCTAGATCCTTAACGTCTGCTTCGTTCAAAAACTTCAAAATATCCGCATCAATATTAATCTCTGGTGTCCTTTCTTGGTAGTCTTCTCCACTAATGTTTTCGTCCCCGCTGACCTCTCCTTCATCCTCGTCTGACAGTGACACAGAGCCCTTTTTACTCCCGCTCAGTCTTGGTTGTTGTGGCACGGTATCCGAAGCACGCACCAGTTTCCGTCTTTTACGGATCGTTGAGTCCTGTTGTGCAATTGTGGATGGATCGATCACCACCGATTCCATTGTTGGCCTATGACGTTGGTTCATGACATGCGAGTAACGGTCGAAAATAGAGCTTTTTTGCTTTTCCACGGTGACTTTCGAAGATTTCTCAGGCGATGCGACTACCGTTCTGCCGCTACCGTATCCGGCTCTGCTAAAGCCACCACCGCTTCCGGATCTTGCATCCGCCAAAGACGACGACGAAGATGTCGATCCCAGCGTTCCCAGCCGAGCAGTGGGTTTCTTGTCTCCGGCATTCCAAGCCCAGGATCGTGAAGTTTTCTGAGACTGTATCTTTTCCAACCTTTCGCGTGTCAAGTCCAAATTGTACGAATTTGACTTAAACACCGCTTTAATCAATGTTTCTGAGAATTCGGGGTACTCTGACACCAAAGTCGCAACTTCCACGTCCATGCCACTCGCATTACCAGCCTCTGAACTTACCAGATCGCTCAAAGTGGGTTTCTCAGGCGGTTTGTAGACAAATTTGTCTCTCAAAATCGATGACGATTGCTGTATATTGTCGTTTTTAAGCGGTGATGACGACGCAATTTTCGTTTCTTCAGCCGGTGAAGTTTCTGGGACTTGAACGTCGCCATTTTTCACAGGCGTCTGATCGCTCATTGGGCTCTTTCAAACTCTCAACTGCCTTTTAGGTCAAGTTGTTTGTTGTACTGTGTGTATGTTGTTGATACTGATGAGTTCAAAATTTTTTTATTGACCTGGTAGCCGCTTCATATACAAATTAATGTAGAGACGATATTTGATATATTTCGAGATCTTGAAATTGAGAGAACTAGCTCATTGGAGGGTAAAAACAGTATCGAAGGATCATTTTATGAAGATCTGAGTTACTCGATTGAGGTCTATAGCGTGTTTCAAGTAGACTGCAATTTTTAACGTTGATTTCTGTCCACTGTAAGGCTCTAAAAATTGGAATACTTTGTTAAACTCAATTTCCAGACGAGTTCGGTAGAGAAGACGTATAAATCTATCAATTTGTAAGGTATTTGTGCGGAACTTAAGACTTCATACTTTGTAGGCTTTGAAGTGAACGGTTTGAGCGTTTTTAGCAACAGATTTCTTTGGTCTGTGAGACGCTAGACGTGACGGTGACACTACTAGGTGAGCTGGACAGATTGAAAACCAAGTTTTGGAAAACCAAACGTTTTGATTGGAAACATGCGGTTTGAAATATTGGCGTTTGGATCCAATGGACGTGGTCAGCTTAGGCCTAGCTCATGAAGAAGATATGATCGAGCCCCAGGTCAGCTTTCAAAGCGACGTACGACCCATCAAGATCTGCGGGGGTGGTAATTTCACTGCGCTGCTTTTGGAAAATGGCTTGCTGTATGTGGCCGGAGAAATTCCCTTCGATGTCGATCTACAACAAACCTTGCCAACAAACCAAAATAGTTGGGTCCATGTTCCGGGTCAATTTACTGACGTGGCATGCGGATGGGCACATATAGTGGTCGTTGATCAAAACGGTATTGTTTTTACCGCTGGAGCAGGTGACAAGGGAGAATTAGGGCAGTCCAAAGTTCGAAAATCGCCAAAATTCGCACCAATTCTGTCTACGCAGCAGAACTCCGAAAAAGCACAGGTATTTGCCTGTTTCTACAACACCTACATTTTGAGCGGCGGGATACTGTACGGGTGTGGCTCCAATACGAAGTGCCAGCTTCAAAACGTTAAGTCTCGGGCTATAGATACACTGGAAATCATTAGTCCATGTTCTGCCATTGTCAGCGCATGTGTGGGTAAGAATTTTGTATGTTTTGTCGAGAAGTCGGGGAATATTCACATAAGAGGTGCATTATCCGGTTACAAAACTCAGATACAGCAACAGAGCAGTGGTGATATGAGTCTTGACCTAAAAGCCATGTGGACGTCGATCACTAGTCTTGATGGACAAAAATTCTCATTTTACGGCTCTGCAAGGCTATATCAGAATGTCATTGCTGCAAGCCAGTTTGAAAAGCCCGTTACCGCCTGGAACACCGGGAGTGAGCACGGAATTGCATGTGTTGATAAAAAGGCAGTTTTCTGCTGGGGGTGGGGTGAACACGGCAATTGCGGCCCTATTGCTACGACTAAAGCTATTGATGGCATTAACGATGGCTCCAACATCAACAGCAACGTCAATTTGACGTACGATGCAAATTGTCACTCGTCAGACGCAACGGTTTATGCATGTTTCGGAGGATGTGCAACTACTTGGATTTGTATAGAATACAAATAATTCAGTCTTATTCAACATGACAAGATGGCTACTCAAAAGGTCTAGATTACGAGATTTGAATGTTAAGAAGTACCTTTCCCTAGTTCATTTACACGCCCAAACTCAATTTTTGACGAGATTTCGACGTTTCACAGGGGAAATATGTAAAGACTTCTTGATTATTGCTCTAGAAAACGCGTATCAAGAGCCAGCAGTAAAATATGGTCTTTAAAAAAGACAATGGTGTTGCTCGCCCTTTTCTTTAAACGTTCCCTCGATTTTAGGAATGAAAAAACAGTGGTGGAAGCGATGACTTCAAATTTTGTGAGTCGATCATTTTCTTATATAGTTAATTTAGGTCACTGTGTACGCAAATGTCAAGGTAGTAGGGCTTTAGTTTTATGCTCATAACGACCACCCCGAGGGTGGGCTAGTCATTTCACAGAATCATTGGTATTGGCTCAGATTGTTTCTTCTGTTTCTCTTTATCTTTTTATCATTCTTCAAATACTAGCGTTCCTTGACATATTGTTTGGAAGAATGGGGTCAGCATCCATATCACACAGTTCAAAACCCCGCAATTGTGCTTGGACTGGTCGCAATAGAAACTTGACGAACGTCCTTACTTTCAGACACTGACTTAGTTGAAACAATAAAAGTCTTCGTTCGCGAATATGGTATTGCGTTTATGCACCATTGTTGAAACCCACGACACGACGTTCATCATCATATTGGTTTTTCTTCACATCCATCTGCGGTAACCTTGCATAAAGAAAGCAACATAGTAAAATGTCGTCACTCAAAAAGACTTCGAGGACCAAAGACTTTATAATGATGCTATGTTCACGTCACCAAGCGGTTAAACAACTATCATTTTAAGTTTTTGGATAGTTTATCATTTTATTCCTACTTGTCATTTGTCATTTGTCATTTGTCATTTAGTCACGTGCTGCCAAATTATAATATAGAAGCTCTTTTCGCAAGATGGCGGCTGTTGCAACGACCGCAACGGCCCCAAGTGAGCGTGAATTTATCGACCAATTTTTGAAGAGCATATGAGCTCACTATTCTCGTTTCTTAGGCTTATAATAATGTTTTCACAGTGAATCAAGTCCAGTCTAATTTGCAGAAAAATCCAAAGTTGCAAATTTAAACGAAACATCTGTCGTCAAGGTGTCTCACTTCTTTTCAAGTCCAAAAGGAACCACATTCTGAGTATTCAAATGCATCAATTAACAGCTAAAACTCCACTGGGGCGAATGCAGAGACGAGTCAAGAATCTGAACTCTTCAACATCTGTCATCCCAAAGTCACGTGCTGCCAAGACAACATCATTTAAATATGACTATTATAAAAGTACACAACTCGCATCTCTGGACCTGTGAAGCTTTTTGTATTGACCACCTCTTCCCCCGTCCACTCTATCCCCTTTGGCTAACGGTCCAAAAACTTTTCATTTTAATTTGGCATGAGCAAAACTGATTCCAACAGCCCTGACTCTCCCATTTCCTCGTCGGAGTACGCTGAGAAGAATAAAACGGCAAGACTAAGGTTATCGTTGGTATGCCGTCATTGCAGAAGACGCAAGATAAAATGCGATCGGAAACAGCCGACCTGTGGCAATTGTGCAAAATTGCATATTGACTGTATTTATGATCATAAGGACCAACTCGAACGTAAAAAAATGGTCTCCAAACCATCAACACTGCATGAACAACTCAACGAGCTGGAAAACAAGTTTGACGAACTTCGTAGCACGTTGAAGGCTGGAGAACTTGAAAACTGGAATGATGATAGAAACTTAAGGAAACACCCAGTCAAAGTGAACTTTTATGAAGGCCTACTGCCTAACTGTCCAGATACGGTTTTCAAATCTGACTATAAACCATTTTCGGACATGGGCATGATTCAGAGGAATGCACGGCTGAATCCATTTTTGAAGTTTGTTACGCGATCTTTCCAACCCCTCAACTACGCTGTGAAAAAAATTCTGCAATCTGTGGGGGACATCATAGAACCACACTCCGATGAGCTAGAATCTGTGGCCAAAATTTTGTTTCTCACACCTGAAGTTCGAGAAATATTGAAAAAGCACACGATGAACCCAGCGGATCTCAATGCTGAGACGTCGGAAGCTATCAAACGCTGTCTTCTCGAAAAAGGAAAGGCAACCTTAGAAACTGCATTGTCAGAACCATTTGACCTGGAATTTTACGTTTCCAAGACAACACGGGATGAACTTGTCCAGCTCGTTGTAGCGGTACTACCAAGTAAAAGCAACATCGAACAACTTGTTGCTTATTTTATGGCAGAAGTGTATCCTTTGGTACCCTACATCAATAAAACCCAACTGCTTGAGTCTGTTGCAGAAACCATTCGATATTCCAATACAGGGAAAGTAATTGGTCTCAACATTGGCGATCACCAAGATTTTTCTCGTAAGATAGGTCGCATTGCAATATTTTTGGTTTTATTGCGTATTTCCTACACAGCAATGACACTGGTAAAGATACCTTTTCAAGGAGAAATATCGAATCAATTTCTTGTGTTGGCACAAAAATGTCTGGCTTATCTGATCGCGCTTTCTCATAAAACCAATGAAGACATATTATCCTGTTTGATTGTTATGAGGTGGTCTTTGCTATATTTCCCCATGGATGGTGATATAATGACTGGCTCTATCACAGACATGCTAGCAACTTTGATTATGAACCATTCGTTTAAGATCGGTTTATATCGGGATTGCATAGATTCAGATGCCGACCGCAATAGGGACCTGCCCAGAAGAATGCTTTTTCACTATAGAACTAAGCTTTGGCTTGGAGCACTAATTTTATCCAGATCTGACATGTATCTGAGAGGCAATTTTCCCGCTGTGGGTACGGAATATGCGAATATGATCCGGGCGCTTGAAAATCCTGAAAATTATGAGGACGATACTGAGTTTCAAATCCACAAGATTCTGCACAAGCAATTGGAAGTTTACAGCAAAGCTAGTGTGCTTGATAAGCTGTCTACTCAATTGCGTGAAGGTGTCGATGTTGACGAGATCTACTCCAAAATGCGACACTTAGAGTATGAGCTGCAGTTCAGGGTTCCGCTTCCTAAAGCCCAAAACGGTGGACAACACATTTCGGTCAACACCGTGTTACAAAGTATGAATAATGCGCTACACTTTAAGATCAATCTTATTATTCGGATCTATTTTCTTGCGATTCGCGCGTCCATTGTCAGCGACTTAGAAATGCAGATCGTCAAGAAATTGGGACAATACGACCACTTGCGCTTACGCTATAGAGAGGTTACCGCAGAGTGTTTTGAAGCTGCATTGCATTTGGGAAGAATGCTACAGGACTACATGGAGTCTGCCGGTGACGAGGAGAAAAAAATAGTATTTCGGGATCACCGCTATATTTTGGATCAGCTAGTTCAGATTGGGATTTTCCGAGTCTCATATTACCTGATAGGAGTTATTCTGACCGTGTTACGTGTGAAAGAGGGACTATACGACTTTAGATGGAACAATGAGAACAAACAAATCTTGGGGGCCGAAGTCGATTACAAAGTTTCGGTGATAGATTCAATCGCCGCTTCTATCTTTCAATACGTGCAAAAACTAGTCCATCTGGGGTCACATACCCTGTCAGACACATATTTTACGTCTTTCAAGCAATTTCTTTTCCTGGAATATTCGATGCAGGTCATACAAAATGAAGTGAACCCAAACAAACCTAGTCGACTAAAAGAGGCTCTTGGTGAGACGCACGTTCCAGCACCCATCGATTACTCGCCTGAGGACTGGATTAAATTTTCAGACTACGTGAATAAAGCGCTTGGCCGGGATCTATCTATACCAAGATTTCCCTCCGCAGAAGAGCTGCTCGCAACATCAACTGTTCCAGACGGAAGCTCAGAAGAGTTCTTGAATCCAATGGACCTTCTCGGCGATGATATCAACATACAGAATCTTCTATATGGTGATTACACATGGGCGGATTTTACGTAACGAAAACTTGACTAAAAAAGACGGGAAGAAAACGCGAAAAATCGCAAAATCACAGCATCAAGTTAAAGGGTAAAGGACCAACTCGGACCATTATCAAACCGCTTGGACACCTCCTCCTCGGTCTTTTATTATCGTGACGTCGAAAGCTTGAACGGTTGATTGTCATATATTTGTCACTACCCACGACTAACGGTGATCTCGAAATTCGTCAAATCTGAGTATATCTCAGGAAACTTCATCCCAACTCACCAACCTCTAAAAACCGAGGAAAATCGCCAATATATAAGTGGTTATTAGCGTTTAAGGGTGCATGTATCAAGCTCTTAGGTATTTTTGAACATTTTGATACGCTTTTTGTCGTTTTTGCGCTACTTTCAAGCTCATTTTGTTCAACTTTTGTTGATTCGTTTAGCTTACAGCATCATTGGCTCGGAACTTGGAAAATACTGTTTTAGTCTTGGACAACTGCCAGTAACAGATGGGATTCATCAAGAAAAGCCACCATGACAAAAAACCTAGCTCCAAAAGCTCTCTGAATAGCCCAAATCACGAAAGAAAAGATGACGGTGTTGTAGAGCTTCTGGTAAACATCGAGTCTCCTCCGTGTGTCTTGTATGGGTCAGTAACGGAATCTACGGGAGCACTTTTGAGTGGTCTTTTAACGCTGCGAGTAAGACACCCAAATGATGTGGTTTCCGCTAGTGAGTCCCTGACGCCCGTGAGCTCGCACGGTCGTTCTAAGAAAAGTGGCACTAGTTTGAACGCTTTAACTCACACATTTTCCAATCTGTCTATGAAAAACTCCACCATAAGCCCTGTGGAGTCAGCCAAGTCTGCGAAAATTCCGTCTCTTCATTACTCTACGGTTTCAGTTCAGTCTGTGAGCATTTCCCTCGTTCAAAAAGTCCGTTTTGCCAAACCATTCGTAGCAGACTGTCCGACCATCAAGGAATGTAACGACTGCTGCAGGAAAGTTACGGAACTTGCAAGATGGGACGTTTTAACCAAAGAAACAGAGATACCACTTGGTGATCACGTATATCCGTTTTCTCATCTAATTCCTGGTTCAGTTCCTGCCACAGTGGCTATTGGGATTGACAGCAAATCTGAGGTAAAGTATGAACTTGTCGCTGTGGCGTCGTACAAATCAGTCCGTACAGATCAGAGTTCAGTAAATTTCAAACCAAAAGTATTACTGAGATTACCAGTTCCCGTAACCCGAAGCATTATTCGCGGGCCAGATAGAAATTTACTGAGAATTTTCCCACCCACAGATTTAGTTGCAACAGCTGTTCTTCCGAACACCATCTACCCGAAGTCTACTTTTCCATTGGAATTGAAGATTGACGGAATATCTTCAGTAGATAGGCGGTGGAGAATGCGTCGACTCAATTGGAAAATTGAGGAAAAGTCGCGGGTAAGGCTTAACGCTTGTGACGTTCACAAATCCAAACTAAAGCAGCTGGAAAAAGAAGTGGCAGAATCCGAATCTCGAAAGAAAGCTACTAAAACAAAACCTGTTAAAAGGAGCCACGATGCGGCTCCCCAGATAACAACATCAGTTTGCACTCTTGAAGATGCACTCTCAAGCTCAGATGCACCAGATGATGCTAACGCTGTAGATCAACCCGCCACTGAACAGGAGCAGGAAGAAGAGGATAACGCTTCCGATGACAATAGCCTAATCCACCCAAGCGACCATGCGTTACGCCAAGAACGTGTGGCAGAACAGCAACGTTTGAAAACGGAAATGCTGCGACAGCAGTTGCCACAAGGTACTGCTCTTTTTACAGAAGCCTTGAGAACCATAGCCCATGGAGAAGTAAAAAATGGATGGAAAAGCGATTTCAGTGGTAAAGGTAAAGTGGAATTAGTCACGGAAATCAATTGCATGGGGCTTAACTCAGGGGTTGCTAATCCCATCACTCGGGTATCGAGTTCCCACACTATGCCGGACGCCAGCCCACTGCCTGTAACGGTTGCTTGTGATGTGGAGGACCCAAAGCTGGGCATATACGTTCAACATCTACTGGTCCTGGAAGTCATTGTTGCCGAAGAGATGCTTCAGTATGCTAACGGTCAACCTCTTCATGCAGAACCCAATTCCAGTTCCGTCGCCACACCTGTTACTACAAGTGTCGACCCGAGATTGGCGGAACTGTCTCCAATGGTGGCCTCGCGAAACATGTCTGCCACAGCGCTCGCTAGTGAAAGATCCGGTCCACCTGATCTTACACCGACAACCTCGAATAGCGCCCCTAGATCAGCTACAAATCACCGTGTTGTGGGTGTACCCACGGGAGCAGCTCGTGTCTTAAGAATGCAATTCCGTCAAACAATCACGGAGAGATCGGGACTTGGGATAGCGTGGGATGATGAAGTTCCTCCAACGTATCAAGATGTTAGGCTATTGTCCCCACCGAGCTATTTGCGGGCGACGAACCACAATACGTCGTCTGCTAATCAAAAAACATGGAGTCAGGATAGCGGTTCGGACTTGTTGGATAAGAGTGATGAGAGAAATATGCCTAAACCACCACCGCAAGCCTATTCGCACAATAGCAGTAGCGTACAGCTGACTCCCGTACAGTCTCCTCAATTGCTGAATGTCATTAGCATTCAAGGTAATGCTGCCCCTGCTAGCGTTCTGACTCCTTTTAATACACAGGAGGTTCAATTACCTAGTTTATCGGAACTCATGGACACTGACAGAATCACTCAGTGAATAGGTCAAATTTATTGGACGAATGGTCAATGTTTGCGTATGCAACTTGTAATTTGAGTGAGAACTGAGCCTATGACACTCATTGTAGTGCAAGCTACAGTTTTTTGGTATCAAAAATGATAGATGTAGATTGACTAAACAATATATTTAGGAAATTGTCCAAGACTTGAACCAATTCATGTAGGAATAGTCACTCGATGGCCCCTCCATCCCGAAGGAAATAGGCGAGAAGTAATAGAATCCATAGATCACCAAACCGCTGTAAAAAGTGTACAATAATGTCTTGGATAATGTTCCGGCTTTCGATTTACCAAAATGATTGAGCCCAACTTCGAAAAGATAGCATAGGATCAATAGAGCAAAGTAGAGAGCTGGCAGGTAGTGGTGAACGTAAGTAACTCTGCTCATAATCACAAAAGGAGCGTAGTGTAGGCCCCAACCCAATAGAGGGTAAAATCCACCCATCATGAACAGGTTCAGGCTTTGAGGACTGGACAAATCCGCATACTGTCTTTGCCATCTCAAAAGTAAAATGACAATCAAGGCCATGAAACCGAAGACAGCAACTGTCGAAGGCCACGTAGAGGCTGGGGATCCCATCAAGAAATATTTAGGAGTTTCATCACCCCAACCGCAGAGTCTAATACCGACATTCAATGATGGCCATTGCCACGCGGAAGACGCTAGGTTGTCCAACTTGTCTGGGTCTGGAACCAAAGCGTTGTTAGTGGCCATCATTGCCAAGTTCAAATGGATAAAGTTTTTGATAAAACTTAGTTTAGGATACTTGAAGTCCGCAGGTCTCTCTGGAAGTTTATCATTGGTGTGAGTTTCAACGTTCCACCAAGTTCTCTTGTCTCTCCTGAATGGATTCTTTAAACAGGCGACTTCACTCTGTCTGAACCCCCATTCGGGTAGTGAATTTCCAGTCTGAGCTAGGTAGCAGCCCAATGCTGCATTCCTGAAACGGACAGCAGAAGTTAAGGGATGCAAGCGTGACGAATTCTCTGCACCGTGCTGAGCAACAACTTCTACTACCCAGTGGTCCTTTTCGTCCCCGACTGTAGCGGTACCATAGCCAGACACTTCCCAAGCAGACTTTGTCAAAGGAGCTGGGATTTCATGAGTGTGCAAGTTTTTTCCAGTGTTTGGATGAACAATTCTGTAAGCAGCACCTGGCTCGATGAATTCGATATCATGTTCTTCATCAGTCCATGCAGGCAACGGACGCACTCTGTCAAAAGTCCAGTTATTGTTGCTGTCCTTATGCCCATAGCAAGTGACTTGCTGTTGGTTCGAGCCCTCTGGGTACCCTTGGACGTGGGAATGCAGTAAAGCACCGCCAAGAGCTTGGTTTTTGATACTCACGGATGAAGATCCCAGAGCTACATCACGAGGGCCCTCACCGACATCAGTACCGATTAAGCCAGCCTGGAACAATGAAGGCATGTTAGCGTCGCCGGTACCACTGTGGGATAGTAAATCGAAATGAATTTTGAAGCAAGCCAAAAACACCAAAAAGGGTATTATAATGAGACTTACAATACGGGCTAACCAGTGGCCCACATATTGTTTCTTGGAAACCTTCTTGTCACCAAGCAGATTCCATAGATCGACCACGGTGTAAATCCCAACCAAAGTAATAACAAAAAGTCCAACCATCTTAACGGAAATGGCACATCCAAGCGAAAGGCCGGTCAAAACAAGCCATTTCCACCATTTTCTTCCGAATGGCTTGGCTCTTTGGTTGTGGAACACGACAAAACAGTAAACAGAAGTGACCGTGAAAAACAGTAGCATTGAGTCCAAAAGGATAAATCTGCCCAATGTAGCGTAAGAGTTCTCGAAAATAACCAAAATTGTAAATAGCCAAACAGTGGGTAGCGAGAACCCGATTTCTTTCGCCGTGAAGTACGCCACCGGGACACATAACGCGGAAAACGTAGCATTGAAAATTCTCATCTTAACATAGTCCAAGTAATCCGGGTACTCTTCGCCCGAGGGGAAGTCCCAGGACCCATTGTAGCCGGCCAAAAAGCCAGACAGTCCCACCAGCATTTTTCCCAGAGGTGGATGCACATCGTGGTAGAATTCGTGTCTTAAATAGTAAGATCCGAATTTCCCGAAATGGGCCTCGTCCCAAACAACATGGTTATTGACTCCGATCCTGTACATCCGGGTTGCGAACCCGAGCAAGGTGAACACCACGGGCATTACCACTTGTTCCAAACTCTTCAAAGGCGTATTTCCCGCGTCAATTGTCACTTTCGTTTCATCTTCTGGTTCCAACTTCGGAGTTGCATTTTTCGCTATATCGGCCCCAAATCGTTGCTTTAAAGCCCCGTTTTCGGAAGATACCTGAAACCCGGTCGCCGGCATCGCTGGAGCTCTTCAATTGTTGAGAAAAGCGCCGTTTTGGATGGCTTTTGGAGCTTTTTTTGGTTTTCCAACTTTGAATTGAAAGTGAAAGAAAACAAGTTATATACACACGTCTTTAAGTTTTCATATTCTTTACTATGTTACGTGGTAATAACTTTTGAAAATTTAAAAAATAAAAAGAATAAATAGAAGGTCATGTGATAATTTGATCACGTGCCATGTGTGTCATGTGATTTTAGTATCACGTGCGCAATGAGGGAAAGAATACGACATCTGTTTTAAGGTGGACAACGATCTGGATCAAACGCCATGATGCTTTAACTGATGGATTATGGGTCTTGTTTTGATTTAGATTTCCTCAAGTTTGAGTCATCTTTGACCTTTTTTGTTTTGGGCGTCTTTTAACTACCTTTAACGTCTTTTGACGTCTTTTAGAGTCTTTTGACGTCGTTTTGCATGCCATTGGATCAAGAATCGCAGGCTTTCAAGCTGTGCCTCCTCCTCTCTTTCCCCCATCAAACCTCTTTTTTACTGTAGGCAGTCACGACGAACACACATGCGTAGCTGAGCAAACTACCAAACGCTAGACCTGACGAAAGGAAAATGTTGGTAAAGCCGCCAGCAGCTTTACGCTCCTGGTCGGAGCTGAGTGCGGGACTCACCTTCATAAAACTCACCGACATCACATTCCCGTTGGTGAGTCCAAACACAAACTGCAACAAGATATAACATAGATCCGATATCACAGTAGAGGATGACTTCAAACGATCGTTCAAATTGAAGCAAAAAAACAATGGAACAAGCGCAATTCTGGAAACCGAGTACAGGAAAGTTGTGAATGGCGTGAATTTGGACGACTGGAAAAATTGTTTCTCGGAGATATATCTGCCGTACAGGTCTCCCAGATTCCATACCGTGAAGATGAATGGAATGTATTGAGCGTTTTGCAAAGGCAAACCAACCACAAACGTATTTGCAGCGAAAACCGGGAACAACAAAGTCACTACAAAAGTAGTGAAAATTGACAACACCAGGTATTTGAGCTTTGCGAATAGAGTTGAGAACGCAACTGCATCAGTTTCGGGATTCCCCGCCTCGCCAACCAACAGTTCCGGTTTGTCGGCCTTGGCCACTGTGCTGAACCGATACAGAGTAATGCACGCCATAGAAACCACCATTGTGGTGCAGAAATAGGCAAAAATTCCTCCAACGCTTTGGTTACGTGGATCTCCAATGAACGAAACTCCAAATAGTACAAGTGAGGGCAAAACGCCCGCAATGGCCTGACCCATCATAACCCCCTGACTATACTGCGGACCGTGCACGTTTGCCAGCGCCATTGCGCCATTTTGAGTCATGGCCGTGCCGCAAGAGCTGATCATCACCATTACCATCAAAAATGCAAAATTAAACCACAACGCGAAAATTCCATGTACCAACACAAAGATTCCAAGCATTCCAAACACCAACATTTCCCACAACAGCCCTCGTGTCACCCGAACCGCATAGCTGTGTTGTCTTTTCGAAAGCCAAAAGTTAAAGCCCACAGACGATATTGTTGAAACCGACATCATGGTGCTGATATAGATCTTGGCATATATCGTATCATCGTGGAACACGTCGTGTTGGAAGTACAGAGATGCACTTAAAAATGCGTTCCAAGGCCACAACAAGGCAATACCTATCAGTAAAAACGTTAAATAGCTGACATCTCGCAATTTCTCACCAAATGAGCCATTTTCAAGCCGTATTTCGGCTGCCCGATGCAAATGGTACTCTTCAGAAACATCCTGATGGTCTACAGGGGCCATTGAGATGATATATGGCCTGTAGTTGGTGTTATAGTGTTGTACATGTCTATAGATATCTTGAGAGAAAGCGTAGAAATTACTATCTTATGCATTTAGTTATCAAATTATAAAGCACGTGATCAAATCGTTATAAGTGATAGATAAGCTTTCGTTCTGTGTGGAGTGAAAAGACGTATTGGTAAAGGAATTAGACAACACTTTGCGAAGAACAAGTATCTTAAGACGTGCAGGATCGTGAATTCGTTAGGTTTGTAGTTACGTTTTGAGTAAATCTCCATTTTTTGTCTGCTGTATAGAATCCCATAAAAAAAAGAGGTAAGCACGTGATCAGGATGGTATAGAAAATTCTGAACAATTCAGTTCTGATACGCTGGCGTTCAATATGTTTGGAGTAGAGCCACGCTGGCCTCATAACAGGTTAGTAAATCCTTGAGTGACCAATCTCGATGACACACTCTCACAAAGCGCTGAGTCTAGATTTCCGCTTTTGGTGGTGTAGCACGTGACTGTGGTCAGAAAACGTTAATAGTCTATTGTATATGGTACATGAGAAGAGGTGTGGATTCGTGAAGGTAAAACGTCGAAGAAAGCGGTTGGCTGCAGTCTTGCATAATGCTAATGCGTTGTTCACGCCTTCCTGCTGCCACCAACACCTCTTGTGAATTCGAAGCGAGTCAGCAGCGGGATATGGTCGCTGGGAAATTTGTCGTTGGGAAAACCAATGAATCTGGCCACGTAGTCGGGGTCAATCTCTCCCAGCACTCCGCGTACGCGTAGTCCCTGCGGAGAAAACCATATGTAGTCGATGACATTGGTGAACAGAGGTGTGAGATTGGTGAAAGGTAGCTCTCCAATAACGTCGTAACTGGATTTCAGAGGCAAGTTGTGAGCAAAATTTTTCTGGGACATGTAACCGAAATCGCGACCATGGATATCTGTATGCTCACGGACGGAGCCCGTGCTTAGTAGCTCGTAAACTGCAGAATCAAGTGAAGAGTTGAAATCACCGCATACGACCACAGGGATTTTTTTGACCTCTTGGGCACTACTGCAGCTGTGGTGTTCCTTAATAGTCTTCTCCAGATAGTCAAGTAGTACACCTACCTGGAAAGTCTTGACGTCGTTGAATTGTGGGTCCCAATGCAAGTGTGTCGTGACGGCCCACACATGTTCGCCACTCTTAATGTGTTGTAATTGAGCCACCAGGGCAACGTTGTCCTTATTCATGGCACGATTTAGGTAATCTTCGGTGCGTTGGAACTTCTTGTGTTTCATCCATATGCTACTGAAATCGATCGACTCTTTGAAAACAAGCTTGAACTCTGCGTCCCTGTAAAAAAGACAGCATCCATCTACTTTTTTAGAGTCTTTGGCATGCATGGTTCTTGCTCTTGTCTTAGAGTGGAAAATACCAGTATAACCGTGTTCCCGTAGTAGTGGAACCCAAAATTCATCATACGTCCTGGCTTCAACTTCTTGCATGCAAATCAAGTCTGTGTCATAACCCAAAATTTGTTCTTTCAGTTTTTCGCGTCTATAATCCCAGCTGAGTGCCCATGATGGTGTAAACCTGTACATCTTAGGTGTTGCGTAGTGCTGACACAATGTGTTGTAGGATAGAAGCGTGAAAGATCTCTTGTGTGTCTCACGGTTGAGATGTGACTCAGACTCTTGCAAAGTTGCATATTCTTCAACAGGTTCGCCGTCCACATTCACGTCGATGAATTTTCTGTCAATAGTCAACGGAATTTCGGGTGCATTGTCTCTCAAGTAGAAGATCAAGCCCGTTACGGATTTTTCCGTCAGTATTTTGATCATCTGTCGATCCATCGGGTTCCCCTCTAATCCTAGAAATTGTAAATTGTAAAGGTTACCAAATTCCCAAGGAAGTGTGGAAACCATGTTATCAAAAAAATACAGGTACTTGAGCTCGTGACAGAGTCCCAATTCTGAAGGAAGTTCGGTAAGCTTATTGTGCGACAAGTCTAACACTCTCAAATTCTTCAACTGTTTCACAGATTTGGGTAAAGATGTCAAATTGTTACCATTCAAATATAATCGAGTCAAAAACTCGTATTTGAACAATGACGCACTGAGATTGAATAATTGCAAATTCGATAGGTCTAGTGCGTGCCACAGTTGCTCATCGTGCTTCGTGTTGGTAGGAGCAGCCATGCGGTGCTCGATTTCGTCATCTTCGTCGATGTTGTACTGTGACAATTTCTTGTGCTGTTGAAGCAGCGAAGGGGTCGAAGGGTTGTGACCACCTGGTCCGTTCAGTTCGGCACTGGGTGTAATGGGTGTTGAGACAGCGCTTGAAGAAGGAATCGCCGGGTTTTTCACCACTGTGGGCTCTGTTGCCAGTTCCAAAAGTAGCTGTTTGGTGTTATCCACCAATGATGCTGACATTTCGTTCAAAGTTCCAGTGTTTGCAGCACTAGCAGGGGAAGTAGACCTTCCAATAGCTTCGGCTGCAGCCGAAGCCGCCACTGAAACTGAAGCTGGAGCCCCAGTGGTTCCCTGGGTCTTGCTCAATAAGTACTTTCGCATGGCACTTTGACGTGCATATACATTAGCCTGGCCCATCGATTGGCGCGATACGGCGGCTAGCTGCAATTGCAGTTTCCAAATTGGATTGTTTAACATTGTTGGGTCACCTTGGTGTGGATGATAAAGCGGATTTCCTGCATTGGAAACCGCTCCAGAAACCGCTCCAGAAACCGGCAAACCGCCCGGCTGATGGCCGGGCTGGCCACCCAGCAGGCCCGGGGGAATCCCCTGCTGGTTGGGACCCATTGAATGGCCCTGTGTAAGCGTCCCGTTCAATCCCATTTGCGAATGTGGTTGTTGCTGTTGCTGTTGCATATGCAATTGTTGTTGAAGTGTTCCAGGAGTGCCCAAAACAGACGGCAAATGGTGTTGCACCGTCCCGGGCTGTCCCGCCAGCCCGGAGTAGCCCACCATCGGCGCTGGATTGTTCATGCCGTTGTTGAGAATAGAGGGATGTTGGGTTCTGGACGTTTAAATAGTTGTGTTATACCTGTCTTTAGAGGTAAGTTTTAGATGTCTGTTGTATTTTCATGTATGTAATAATTTTAATTATTGAGGGAGATAAATGGATAGGTCGCGTGATAGTCGCGTGACTAGGGAGCGACACCAAATTGTAAGAGTCGTATTTATTTGTAAAATGCTTAGTTTTTAAGCGTAGTATAGTGTTGTGGATATTCTTTAGTTTTTGACAGTTGTTTGGGTGGTTTTAGAGAGTATTCATTGCAGTGAACAGCGAAGTTTTTGGGAGACTGTGGTGCCAAGAGTTGGGTACAATGGGCAGGTACCTGAGGAGTGTGGGTGTAGGAAAGTACAGTGGTCGAAGACAAATACAATTCGGAAGCTGAGGAATAGGATAGTTAAAAGAAGTATCGTAAAAATGAAAAGAGTCACGTGACTACGTGTTGATCACTTTGTACTATTCTGGCATCCGTCGCTGAGAGATGGATATTTGAACTGGAAGCGATAGAGACACTAGCACGGTTGACCGATTGAGAAAAACAATGATTGGACGTACATCTGAGTGACTTCAAATATCAGTGAGTGGTCGTGAATATTGGCAGAGAACTTGATGACATCGCAGAGGTTTTGATAACATCGCAGAGGCTTTAACAACACAATTGAGCATGGGTGATCAACCCAAGCCATAAAAATAGCCTTAAAATCGAGTGTCCCTGTGAGCTATTTGTCGGAACCTCGATCTCTCGAGCGTCAGATCCATGACAAAAAGATCACCGGCACGTGACACGGTGACAAAAACAGATTCAAAGAATCTAGGACTAGTACTGATCTAACGGGAATGAAGTCGATTGCATCAAATGGTACCACTTCTATTGTTCCCATATCTGCCCATTCAAGTCATTTGCATTCGGAATATTCCAAAATTATACAATAGTCATTTCCAAGAGTTTGTATAAAAATGGACGTTTTCAACTCTATAAGCTCGAACTATTTATGCTACATATAGAGAGATAACTCTAAAACTCAATATAACGATAGTTTACATCTTACAGTAATGGATAGAAAAAGTGCACAAGATGTGGGACGTTTATCGTGAAACGACACTCCAGAGACAGAGTCTCAACACGAGTACAAACAGAGTGTTTATTGTGCAGGGAGTCTCCAGAGACAAACTCTCAACATTAATATAAACAAATAATGTGTATATTCGTTGTGAGTCCCTCCCAGGTTGACTATTCGCTTTATCTGTCATTGTTAGCTCCGTCACGTGATCACGAAACTGACGCTGCGCAAAGCCTGAACGCTTGCAGATCAACGAATAGTCATTGGAGAGAGATGAAATAGTTGTTTGCAAATGAAGAGCGTTGAAGGGGAAACAAAATGGAGGCAACTTATGTTTCCAAAACTCTAAATTATTATTATCTACTCACCATCAAACTTTCAGTCGCATTGGATTGAATTTCCCAAAACCGATACTAATCTAACCACAAATTGATCAAAGGACTCTAACTGGACTCTACCCGAACTCTACCGCAGCTCTCTAAATAGCTTTGGCCTACCATAACTCTATCAAATGGGTTAGACATTCACAAATGCGTACAGAGTGATATAGAAACGACACGAAATTCCACAAGCCAAAATTATTAAATCACAAATGACCAACGTACGAATAGTTAACTCTTTCTTTCTCTTATCACAATCCATGGCTCCGTTTCCTTAGTAAATGCTTGAGAACGACAAACGCACAAACATCACGTGACCCCACTCTCACTTTCCAAAACCCGATTTTGTAAGCAATAGTCCTCCCACAAACGCAAGATAAACCTTTGAAAAGCTCATAATCAAGCCCGCTAAACCATAGTTATCGAATTAAGTCATCAAAAGCTATACCTCTTACTACTTTTTAAACCAAGACTCAATTCACACAACGTACCAAACGACTCTATGCTAAAATTAAGCCTCTCATAATAATAATACCATCCGTTATAAGACAAACTAACTAAAACTTACACTAGAACATTGAACATTCCGCCAAGTTAAAAGCCATCCAAAACCAACTTTCTATAGTCTTTCACGTCCAGAAATGTCATCTTCAGTACCCTATGATCCTTATATCCCAGCGGAAGAATCGCAGTCCCAAACCAAAGCGGCCGCTTTGAAAGCTGTAAGTACTTATTATCACCAGCATTAAGGTCTGTAGTCAGTTATACTTCCGCGTTTTTACTAACACAACTTAAAACAGGAAATCGATGACACGGTCGGTATCATGCGAGACAACATCAACAAGGTGGCAGAACGTGGTGAAAGACTGACGTCGATCGAAGACAAAGCCGATAATTTGGCAGTTTCCGCACAAGGTTTCAAGAGAGGCGCAAATAGAGTTCGCAAACAAATGTGGTGGAAAGACTTGAAAATGAGACTCTGTCTGGTGTTGGCAGTTATCATTTTGCTCGTGGTGATCATCGTGCCCATTGCAGTACATTTTAGCTGAGAACGACAATGTCAAAATGGGGAAAGAAAGAAATAGTTGATGTTTAGTAAGTGTGCTTGAAACAGCTATGTATATTAAAGTCTTTGGTATGTTAAAAGCAGCATTTTTTTGAGGCTTCTTGTCTATGCTTTGAATGAATGGATAACTTGAACTTGATGCAATTATATCGTACGTACAAACATATATATATGCGACTCCTTTGGCAATGATAAAAACTGACTATACGCCCTTCTGAACCTCCTGGACGGTTACATGCTGCGTGACGAGCTCGACAACTCTTCTGGTGATTGGTAAATTCATCCAAGCAGGAATGTATGCTTCGATTTTACCAAATTTTCTGGTCTCTATCAAATTGAAAGGATCCTCAAACGGTCCGCTTTCAACTGTGAGAAAAATATCGCTACTGTGGGTTTGAGACTTGCCGTCTGACGATAACGAAGACTCACTCTTAACTCTGTTGGCAACAAATGTCAAAATTTCTTGTGGTATTGGAACCTCGTAGTCAGCAACAGCATATTGGGTTATCAGTTTCTGAATTTGTGCAGGTTTCAACGAAGAACAGATTTCCCAAATGATATCAATATCATCCAAATTGGCTTTTTTCAATTGTAGAAGCTTCGATGCTTGTAACATATGTTGCAGACAATCACTACCTTCGGGAATATGATGAGATTTACACCATTCCTCCAGTCTGGTTACATTGTAGTTCAGCTGCAAACCCCTCTTCCAAGACAAAAAGTTTCTCCTCATGATCAGATCGTTGAAACATATCGCGTCCACGTATTTCAGCAAAGTGATGATAACCTCGCGGAATACTTCTTGTTCAACGTGATAGGTTCTCATCGACCAATAAATGTTGTTGAAAAATGCAAGGATTCCATCCATCTTGTAGTAGTTGGTTTGCGTAAAAAGTTTACCCAAAAACTGCGTCGATTCATTGGCAATAAACCCAGGAAGGGATTGCGACATCACCACTGCGGAAACTGCCTTCTTTTCCAAATCCTTTTGTAGTTTCTTCAGCCAGATGTTGTAAATGTTGTAACTCAAGGACTCAAAGTCGTCTTTTAATTCGGTGACCAAGGTCACATACTCCTTGTACTCATCTTCATTTAAACCGCTGTTGTAGGTATCATCATTTAATATGCTTTCCTGTGCAAAAACGACAAACGAGTATAACTCGCGTACATTCGTCAGCCAAAAAGCTCCATGACTTACCAAATCATCACCTTTTAAACCGGTGACAAGTTTTTGAATGGTAGACATAGCATCGGCAAGAAAACTTTCACTCTGCTTTGTCAACCCTAATCTCCACATATCACTCAAGATTATGATCATGATTCTTGCAGGGTACAAAACCTCTTTCCTGGTCAGCTCAGCAGCGACACCTGTTTCCGGTATTTTAAATCCCTTCAGAAGTCCATCGACAATTTCTGTATTCAGGGCCTTAGTGTCTTCGAGAATCTTGTAAAGCTCGTCATTTATTTGAGACAATGCGCTTGCGGTTGACCTAGCATCGTCTTCCATGCCGTTATTCATGGAAATCACATTCAGTTGCCTTGGCGAAGTTCCGTCGGTCACACTGCTGTGACTACTGAACCTTCTAGATTTAGTAGGGGTGTTAACCATTGTACCATTTGTGCTAACTCCACTGCGGACACTGCTTTGTAGTCGACTTATTTCATCCTTCAGCGATTTCACCTCATTTTTCAAATCTGAGTTCTGAGTTTGTGATTCAGTGAAAGCGTTCTTTGCTTGGTTAAGGGAATCCACATTAGAGCGGATTTCCTCCTTTAGTTTTTCGTGTTTTTCCAGTAATTCGTCAATCTCCTTCCGAGCAGACGCAATTTCTTCTTTGGCAGCACGCAACTCCTCGGATCTTTGTGAAAGTTCACTGCTATGCGATTCCTGCTGCTCCTTCAGGTCTCTAGAATGCTCTTCTTTCTGTACGTCCAACACACTCTGGATATTAGCGGATTCATTCAAAGATGTTTGAAGCTCAAGGATGCGTGCAGTAAGCTCTCTATTTTCCTTGACTTTTTCCGCCAAATTATCTGTGAGCTGAATGACCTTGTTCTCAAGTTTATAACTCACTTCTTGCAAATGGTTCACAGACTTCGCCTCAGATTTCAGTTGCTTCAGTGTTCTTTGTGCCAATTTTCTTCTAACCAAGGACTGTATACGGATGGAAGATCCTCTTGTAGTGTTGAAACTTTGACGTGGATTGAACCCCCGTATTTTACTTTGAATACTAATGGCTGCAGTTGTCTGTTGTTTCTCTGATAGCGCTTTTTGTGCAATCCGTTTTCTTGCCAGGGATTGAACCTTCACGATGGAGGCAACTGCAGTAGTAGCGAAGCGACGCTGAGCACGTCCTCTAAAAAAGGCCTGCAAATAACATGCCGCATTACTTTTCAACTGGAAATCAACGCTTAAACGACAAGCATGACCACTACTATATGCTTGGAGCTTATGAAGAGCACTTGTGATCTCCAAATACCTTCTACGGTAGTAAAGAGCCTTTATCTTCTTTTGTATTAGGACACAGGCGTTGTGCATTTTAGTACTTCTTAGTTTTTCCAAATATGCCAGCATACCTGCTTTGAAAAAAATCTTGGTGTTACCAAGCTGGTACTTTTCCTTCTCGTTGACGGTTTCATTCAAAATATCTTTGCATAAGCTTCTGATGTCTTCCTCCGAGGCTTCCAAAGCAAAGATCTTGGTCCAGTTATCTGATGGTATCAAGATATGATATCTTAAAACAAATTCATTGTAAGTCCATCTTGACGGAAACCCTGCACATGAGATTCGAATGGTCTCTAATACACCGCAAGCACGGAGCTGCGACAAAACCATGAGATTGTCAAACTTCCATGCCTCTTTAGTCTCATTTGGTTTAATACAGCGAATATAGTGCACATTTGTGGAGTCAATCGTACTCATCAATTCGATGAGAGATTGTTTAAACATGAAACCCAGTGTTGGTTTCTTGTTGACCATTCTTGCAGGCCCTGGTTTCTTGTTAGCTTCCTGCTTTTCCGCAAGAGCAGCGGCATTTTGGTCGATGATATCCAAAATAGAACGCAAAGTATCGTTTTGCGTAGCCTTTAAGACTTCTAGATGACCATCTGAGACCGTATCCCTATTCTTCTCTATGAATCCGTCGACATCGTACGCCACATCCAAAGCATAGTGCGAGACAATGAATTTGCTCTGTCCAAATCTTGGTTTGGAGAAAACCGCATCGGTGGGAGGCTTATCGAGGGCCTGATAAAGCTTTTGAGTCCAGCTTTCATCAGACCCTGCAGGGAGTCGAGATTCTTCGTCCAGTAATGACAAAATACCAAGCTTATTTTCAATCAGATCAATGCAAGGTTGATTGTCGTTGAACTCAATAAAAGACCACTCAATTTGTTCGGCAACGTATTCTTCTTGTTCGAGTTTGAAGACATGTTGATTGAATTCCTGCTGCAACTTTTCATTCGCGTAATTAATGCAGAATTGCTCAAAGGAGTTTTTCTCAAAATGCTCAAACCCGTAGATATCCAGGACACCAATGAAAGAGCTAATATGTTCAGAAACCTCAGGATTACAGAGCACAGTATTGATATTTTCTACCAGCCAGTCGAAAAGTGCAGTGAAAATGAATTTAGCCACAGAGTCCCTAGCCACAATTGCCTGGTTGAAAGACAAATTCGAGACAATTTTCTCGGCTCTAGTTGTAATTTGTTTTTTCGTGATCCATTTTGCAAAGCCAGAGGCATCAATGCCTAAAAGGTCACAAGCGATGAGCAAATTGGGCTCATCAGAGTTTAGAGAAGCATCGTTTCTGATTTTTTTGACCTCGATGTTACCAATGTGCAACAATGCGGCTAGAATCTTGAAGAGTTGTTTCTGAGTATCTGCAGAGAAACCAACCAGCTTCAACGCATCGACAGTTTCATGATAATCGGCGGCATCATCAACGCCTTTGATGCGATAATCACCTCCTTGGTTAAGATAATGATAGTCTTCGACTGTAGTCAATGTAAGTTCAGATTTTTCGGTTTCCGAAAGACCTGCCATCAATTGATAGAAAATGTGATAGTTCCTCTCTACTTTGGGTTGAAACACGAGCCTCGAACGTTCGAGCAGGTAAGTTCTTATTCTGGCACCAATAATTGCAGTATCGGAATTGAACAAGATTTCAAGATACTTACCGAATCTCGAGGAATTGTCGTTTCTGGTGGTTTTGGCATTACCGAAAGCTTCCATGATAGGGTTGGTGGCCAAAATTCGACGCTCAGTCTCGGACATTTCATGGCGATGATCGCTCTGCTCTGATAAGACCGCTGAGTCTCTTTTGGCGGCTTGCTCAACAGATGCAAAATAGCGCATGATGTATTTCGCCGAAACAGTTTTCCCGGCACCGGATTCACCGCTGACCACGATCGTTTGGTTCTGTTTGTCGTTTTTCATCAATCTGTAGGCCTCTTCTGCAATGGCGAAAAGATGCGGTTCTAGCTCGCCACGACGTCTTCCGGCGTAAGCTTGGATCATATCCTGGGAGTACAGTTGCTCCACACGATCGAACGGGTTCGTGGCGATCAGTACGATCCCGGAATAGGTGTATATGTTGAGTTGACCATAGCGCGTCTTGATAGCATGCAGCACGGCAGGCTCATTCAAATATGACAGCGAGGTTAAATCCTCGATGGCTTCCAAAATTGGAGGGTTTCTCAGCAACGGTAGTGCATTTTTATCACCAGCGTTTCCGTTGGGGTTATTATTGCTGTGATCTTCGCTCAATGACGATGTTTCGATCTCGACGTTTTCGCCGTTTTCGAGTGCTAACGTCAAACAGTACTTACCGTCGTCTAGGTTTGAAAGTTTCGACACTTCTGCTCCAACCCATCCTTCTTGTTTATCCGGATACCAGCATCTGGTCCCTACTTCGTACGACATACGTTGGATGACAATTGTGTTTGTGTGTGTCGTGTCGTCTTTTGTTCAACCTTTTTTGTCGATGTTTGAAGTTACAAGATTCGCAAAACTGGGAATATTTCGACTCTGAAAACTCGGTTTAAGGTACCACAAGTTCTTTCAGCCAACCAACCAAGTCTATTCCCGCACTTAAAGGACTTGTATCGCTCACAATTGAGGATATTTGGGATGAATATTGTGAGTTTCTTGAACTGTTTGTAGATTGGTTTGATCTAGTAATTCTTTTTTTGTGTGGTGTCGTCGAATTTACGTGATGGGTCAATTTTTCCACCGTACAAAAAACGCCAAAACTTGAAATTTTGGCGACGTGTTGCAAGAAGCGTCTACAAAGGAGTGAGTCAGGAAGAGGTTTGAGAGAGGTCCATTGGAGAAATGGTTCTAGCAAACGCACTGTTTGATGAGTGAGATCGAAGTTAAGTTAGTTGAGAGAAAAAGTCACGTGACAGAAAGTAACAACTCCACTTTGCTCGAGGTATTTGCCTTATTCGAGTTGAACAGGTTTGTTGGAGTAATAAACAAACAGGAATCAGCGATGTCGTGGATTTGGATTCACTCTGGTGACACCCGCGGTGAGAATAGCGAAAAATCATAGATATATTCGATATAGAGCACGTGACACAACTGACTAATTATCAATATTCACCTCACAGGTGGGGATTACTCTTGAATACACATGCTTGACAGTAGTCAAACATAAGCAGAAGTGGCAACGAGTTTCAGTGACTCGAAAAGCTCTGTACATGGATAGCAAACAACTTTGTTTATCATCATATCACTCTGTACGTACATTCACTATCCAGGCGTAAATGGTTTGTGTCGCTTTCAATTTTGATAACTCTTCGACCAGCAAGCGATCCTAGTTGTGTATACTTTAACATATTCATGTGAAGTTAGCGTTTTGGAAGATTCGCGATGCCGGATTGGGTCCTTCGACACAGTCACTATACACGGAAAGATTTTTTCAAATTCTCGAGAATTGGAAATGGGTTGTTCCCTCGGGTTCATCTCAGTCCTCTCACTCTACTACAGATGCCGGTAGAGCTGTAGCTTTAGCAGAGTGTACAATGAAGTGGTAAACCCCGGTGTTCGCCGTTATGTGTCATATTATACGAATAGAAGCGTATCCCGTCGCGTGCTCTATTATTCACTAACAATACTTCTAACTCAAGCTGATGTGACTTTGAAAACACCAGTTCTCTTGCGTTTACAGATCAACTTGTGAATCGCTCCTCGCACAGGCCAAATAAGCACTCTTGAAAGCCGGCTTTATCGCCTTTGGTATTTCAGTGTGACGTCGCCATTAACGAAATCACACTAGAGTACTTGTAAACGATTTCGGGTTCGTCATGTGAAACGACTTGCGGATGGAGAAAACCCCAAGGTGGAGGGT